AAGCGGTAGAATATCACACGATTTCTATAGCTAAAGGTATATTCCTTATCTTAAGATCTTAAATTAATTATATCTAATTACTAGCTTTTGTGGCAAGAATATACCAGTTACCGACGAGTTTAGTTAAGAGAAATAGGAGCGAGAGCTTCTTACACTTCCCACGGTCGTGTATCTCCCTTTTTGGCTAATTAAGTATCCTACGTTTTATTGTTTAATCTAGATAGCCTAGTCCGCGCTAAAGGTCCCTAGGATCCTATTAGCAAAGACTATATAACGCCGCCTATAATCTTCTATATAATAATAATAAGAAGATATTCTAAGAGCGCTTCCAGACAATATAAAGATCTTAATTGCGCTCGATTGCTAGACCTCCCTTTTTATATAGGTATTTATAACTACAGCTAGCTATTTTATCGATAAGGACTAGTAATACCGTAAGGTTCTTCTCGGTTTCGAACCGCTTTATAGATCACACTCTAGGGCCAACTTAAGTTCTATACTCCTCGATATTCTCCTAAAATATAAGATTGAAGATCGGGTCTTCGCTATTATAACCGACAATATATTAAATAACTAAATATTAGTTAATATACTATAGTAAGCAATATTAGAGGACACTACCCTTATTTAGGTCTTATGCCTTGCTTATATAATTTAGCTAAGTCTAAGTGAGCTTCTTAGGTATATTAAGGTTTACATATAGAATAAACCAATAGAGATATAGTGGATAGAGTAGCGATCCTAATTAGCGCGTACGAATATAACTAAGATATTGCTAATACGCTATCTAAGGTATATAGCGCTACCTATATAACGTTACGTTTGTTTTATTACACTAATTACTACTAGATTCGAAACCTTGCTATCTATATATAAATATAAGTCCTTAACGCCAAGAGACCTTCTATAATCTATAGGGCGAAACTATAAAGCTAATACAACTTTAAGATATTAAGATACGCTAGAATTCTACGTTCCTAATGTTTCGACGTGCGAAACGCTTACGATTGTTCTTCTAGCTATTCTATAATAAGTATAAGCGGCCTAATATAGTCCTCGATAATAAAGAATAGCGCTAGGTTAACTACCTTCTCTTTATTACCTAACCCTTCTTCGATTTTATAGTTAAACTATTAAAGACGCGGGATACGACTATATATTATATTTTTCTGATCTATAATAAGCTTTTTGAGTACCTTAAGCTATTAATCACCTAGGTTACGCGGAAGAGAACTATCTAGAAGTGATAGATATTTTAGGCGTTATAAGCTACTCGAAAGAATCTTAATAAGTACTACTCTAAGATAGATAACGTACGAGGGTACTTTTACGCAACCACTATAATATATATTTTAGCGAATGAGTTCTATTTTTTTTAAATAGATAATTAGGATGATTATTAGCGTACGATATACCGGAAGTCTCTCGAGAATCACCTAATTGTATATAAAGAATATCTTGCCTAGTAACCGATATCTCCTCCCTCTCTTTTGTCGGGGGGAGGAATATCGCGTCTTAACTCGATAGTTAAGCCGAAACGTCTCTACTATAAGGTAGTAGGCGATAAGCTTTCGCAATATCTTGATAGTGGTATGTATTCCTAACCGCTTTACTAGATATAATATTGGTTACTTATAAGCTACTATAGATATACTACCTTTAGTGTTTTGGAGGGAGAATACCTATTACTTCCCTACTCTTATAGCTCTTGCACGGGATATACTTTTAGTCCCTATAACTAGTGCTAGCGTTAAACGACTATTTAATACCGCTCGAGATATCTATTATTATCGCTGTAGAAGATTAAGTGCAATAACTATATAAGAGTTAATAATGTTTCTTTGTACTTAAAAGTTCGAGATCGCGGAGGAATAGGCAGAATTCCTATAGGAGTTCTTCACTCGCGATGAGATCGAAGCGTCAAAGGAAGAGAAGGAAAGCACGCCCGATATAGTTAGCGTCGATCTAATTAGTGATACGGAAGAAGAGCAAACCTATAAAGAGGTAGATAAAGAGATGTAAGGTAGAAGGGATATATAAGTTATAATCGATCATGATAACAACCCTCCTCTTCCTTTAAATCAGGAAAGTGCTTAGATACGTGCTTTAGTACGAGCTTGGAAATAGATTAGGCGTAATAAGGATCTATATAAGTATCATTAGCGATAAATACTATAACGAATTTAACCTTAATTCGCCTAATTTCTAATAGCTATTACAAGTCAATACTATAGATAGGAAGCACTAATACACTATATTTCTAACGGCTATTAGAAATATAATAACATAGCGTAAAAAAGTTATTTCACGTACGTTCAAAACGTAGATTATCGAAGAAGTTATCTATCTATAATTTTAATACCTCGAGAAATAGAGCAAAACTACACAAAATATACAATAATAAGGACCCACCTAGTTTGTCTAGTTTGACAACCCATTAGGGGCCCTAAGAACCATTGCGGTTTGAACCCAAAAAACCAAAAACCGCAATGGTTTCTGGAACTAGCCCCAAAAACCGACCCAATTGCGGTTTGGGTTGGTTCGCTTTTGCGGTTTTGCGGTTTTTGGCGCAGTCTAGGTTCATAGAATTATCCCAAAAACAATTAGGTGGATTATAAGCCCTGTATTTTGATAGAAGAAAGAAAATATGAACTAAGATTTTTCCAACAAGGTAAAAAGTTAGTATTAGGTAAATAGAAGCATTAATTTTTATTTTCAACAATATATAGCCTAGATAAGGTATATACTTAATCTGCAATAAACGTTACGTATATTACGTATTTAATATGAAAAACAAGAAAACAGGGTTGACATAGAGTGAGTATATACTATTCTAAATCTAGTACTAAAATTTAGGATAACTACTTACTTTTATATTTAAAACCAATATGTATTTATATAGTTTTGCTAGGTAGGTTAAATTAAGTTGTAGTCTTATTATTTCCACTCTTTCATATTTTCTTCCTTTTTTTCTTCTTTCATTCTGAGATAGATATAAACTATAAATAGTATTTAATCTTTTCTCTGATTTTATAATACATACCAATAAAAGTTTGAGGGGCTACTCTTAGGCTAGATAACCTCAAGTAATAATATTTAGCAGAATAAAAAGGAACAGAAAATAGGAGTATTAGAATAAAACGATACTTACTTCGATTTAAAGAAATATAATCGCTATGAAACTAATACATATACATAATGAATAAATAGTAGATATTCTTTCCTGATCTAATTATAAAGGACGACAATATCCAATCGCTCTCAATAATCTAGTGACAATATTTAAGAGATGTCTATGAGAAAGTTCTTTTAACTAAGCAAACTACTGATCTTTGACAACGTAGCTGAAATTAAATAAGGGATAAGTATAATAAAAAGGAATGAATGCGTGGATACACCGTCAATCTCTCCAAGCCCGTCCTCTTCTCATATCTCATGTAAACACCTCTCGATCTAGATACTAGCCAATTTCAGCTGTAGTGAGATCAAACCACGTTCTCCGACATCCTCACTTCAGCCTCAATTGCTGATTATTGTTTATTAGGCCGAGCGTGGGTGTTTAGACCTTGATATTTCCCATGGGACTCCTATGAAATTAAGCTATTTTAGCCTATTTTTAAATAGCTATGTTAGCCTGAAGGTAGCTTACGGTAATATAAATAGTGTATAAGACTAGACCTTGACACATGGGATCCACTTCCACGGGACTAAATTCCAGAGCTCATTGCCAAGACTACGATCATTTGCCTCTTTAGGTGATAATCTAACCTAAATAGGTAGTCCCATCTCCAATGGGACTAGATTTCTAAAATTTCCCATGGACCCATGGGAAATGTCAAGGTCTATATAAGACGTTTAAACATAGGCTATATTTAATATCATATTCATTATATAGGAGAGATATATAAGCACTATTACTTTCTATATACCGCGTAATTTTCGTACTTTTATAAAATGCTATAATATAAATATATCATGTATAGAAATAGCTCTTTTCTACAGACATTACTTATTTCTACTTCTAGCTTAAAATTACCTACTTAAATATAGAAAAAATATAGCTCACACATACTATTACAGCCGCATACAAGTCCTGTGGACCCATTCCCATAGACAGTCCCATTGCGGGAGTCCCACGGGAAAATGTCAAGGTCTAGTCCCATCTCCCATGGGACTCGAATTTCCCCATGGTCAATGTCTAAATACTATACTTAAGCTATAATACCGCCAATTTGTTAGTGAGATAACAAAGGCGGGTGGGGTGTATTTTTAGCAATTGGGGTGTATATTTTTTAGAATTCCTCTAGGTTTTTTCTTTAGAAATCGATTAGAGAAAGGAAGAAACTAGTAGGGCTTAGACTTCCGTATATCCCAAGTTTACGCATAATTAAGCATAAATAGGACTAAATAGTAAGGTCTTGGCATATTTATGTATTATTATACGTAAAGTTGGGTCGGGCAATGCCAAGATAGTAGTAAAAAGACATTGAAAATCAAATTACTAGGCTTACCGCTATCATGTCTAGCGCTACGAATAAGTGGGGGGTGTCAATCAGACTGTTACTTATTTTACTATAGGGTGTTAGTGAAGGAAGTGCTCGGGATAACGTGATAGTAGAATATGAAAGCGGTGTATAGTAAGTAGTCTAGAACATTGGGGATTAGCCCTACTAGACTTCCGCATAAGCCAACTTCGACAGACCTAAAGCACCCAAGCCGAAGGGAATGAACTTGCGAAGTGGGGTTGATATTCCACAACATGCTGATTATAGAGCCATGTCCGACAAAATTCAAACTCCAACTCCCCGTGAAAGTAGAATACCCTGCAATTAAGGCAGTGGAAATAAACAGCATCCAAGTCCTGTACATAAAAGATGAAGATTTCAAAGCCAACTTAATGAGGTTTGAGCTTCGTCTCTCTTCTAAGCCTTGCTTGTATCACAGACAAAACAGCAGATAGGACAAACCAAGACCAAAAGACTCACCCTGGGTTATAGAAGCTACGTTTGAATAGCCACACCTTTGCGACCCATCGATTCTTCTAGATGAAACCCGAAGACAAACCGGTAGAGATCGCGAAGCCAGGAATACTGGCCACCTTGCAGCATCGCCTGACAAGCATGCGCGACATCAACGGCACCTACCCGAGCCTGTATGCCGACATTTCTGAATGCCGGATCAAATGACACGACTTTCTTATAATTCTTCAGCAACGAGGTCTGCCAGGCCGCAGAGCCGAAGGCATCAGATGGGAGGGATTTCACAAATGAGGACAGATTCTGGGTACCGCCTCGTTGATATCCACTGTCGATAGCAGCCCTGGTGATCAAAATCTTCAACCGCATGAGGTTGGGGTCCTCTGAGACGGTGGTCACAGTGTTGACCGATGATGCGGTATGTCCCGAGGACCGTGACTTCTCCGAGATACTCGATGCATTAGATGACCACTTAGTGTGGGGATTGTGAGTATTACCGTACCCTAGAACGAGAATGTTGGGGATCGGTGCCTCGTCGGGGGAGATGGTTGCATCTTCGAAGATGGTTGTCGGAGTTTCAGGGTTGCCCAGTTGGCTAAGTGGATCATCCCCAAAATCAAGTTCCGACTGCTGAGACGCTTGATGGAATGCTTGTGAGAAAGTGGTTTGGCTTGGTCGTGGTGTCCCTCGATCAGAATTGCGCAAGTTGTGCAACGTCCAGCCCTCGCGGAAGATGTCACAAAGCTCCCAGCATGCCTGGACCGCTGACCCCAGCAACTCTTCATCCAGTGGCTTATCTTCTCTCTTGCTTTGGCGAATGCTAAACAGCATCTCAGCCAATGTCCAACAAGCGCTCAGTAAAGAGTCAGTCTCTGTCATACGAGTCCGTTGCTTCATAAGTCGATGGCATAGTGTGATATAGAAATCCAAAGTTCTCTCGCGGAAAGCATCTGGAAGATTCCGATCGTGGGTGTTGTACAGGTGATTATTCAGTTCAAAACTGACTCGCAAGACCGAGTCAGAGACGTCAGCGTCGCGGGTTCGGGCTTCAAATAATGCCTGGCAAAAATCTCGACAGAGATCCAGAGTTGGATGAATTTGAGATGCATAGTCGTCGTCTCTTGTGTCATAGAGTTTCTGGCAAAGTCGCCAACATGACCTCCAGGCATCCTCCTGCATATCATCACTGTACGATTTCAAGAGACGTTCGCGATGAATATAACTGAGATTGGCCAGTGTATTGCATAGTGTCCAACATTCAGCGAGAGCATCTCTCAGAGCATTGATTTCGGCCTCTTTGCTAGTTAGTCCTGAAGCCAAGTCAGTATCTTGGTTATTGGAGGGAATGAAATTGTCATTGTCTGTGTACCTTCGGGGATATCTTATCCAATGTCAGCAAAATGGCCCTTGAAGATAAATATCGAAGGGTCAAGTACAGTACCTTCTAAACTGCTTGAACGAGTACGTCGGTCAAATTCTTCAAACTCATGTCTCGTCTGCGCACGGGGCGTTGCTCGCTCCGAAAAATCGAATGTTGGGTCAACGGTAGTTGTTAACGGAGGGGGTGAGATTGGACTGTTGCCCTGTATAGATCGGATTGTTAGCGAGTTTCCTAACGAGAGTATGGAATGAATCACTTTTTTGGTCTTTGCTGGTACACTTATTAAATCGGGTTGTTCATCTGAGCCGGACGATTGCAACTCGTCGGGACCCTCAATCGTGGGTTGCATTGGTGCCTTTGCATAGGTTCACCGTTAGCCAACGTATCAAAGCAGTACGCTGTAGACTGCGTAGCCAATGACGGAGCTCCTACAAAGTCTCCAAATCCAGGTGGAGCATGTATCACTGATTGTGGGGGTTCGTCCTCGTCCGATCTCGTGCTGAGGCCGTGATTTGTATACCCGGTTTGGATCTGTTCAAGTATAAGAATCAAACCCCACTTCAGACAGCCGTTTTCTGATCTGCTGCCGCTGGTACATACTGTGAGCTCTGGCTGAGGGGATGTTCCCAATCCACGTATTGCTTTTGCAGGGCCATCTCCGTTTGTTTTGGTCTCATCATCGGGGACCGAGTTACCCAATAGGTTATCCCGATTTATCACGTCGGGTGAGGAGTGGGAGCTCTTAGTGACCTCGATGGAAACGCCATCGATAGACCTGTTAATATATCAGGGCCGCGCATTTTCTACACAAGCATGGACCTTACATAGGGGCTGAAGGTGGAGAGTAGTAGGCCGGGCTTGTAGCGTCGCGATAGGGTAGGACAGATAGTGGCGACCTGACGGCCATCATGGCCGAGAGTATGAACAGTGTTTCCGAAAAAGAAGAACAATGAAAGATGAGGGGAGGAGCTGAGCCTGGCTATCGCTTACCTAGTACTATACACGTGATGGGGTTCAAGTAGCTCAGATGGAGTGCAGTGTATTGGGGGTTTCGCCCCATTGCCAATACGAGAACAATAATATTGAATACAGTATAAGCAATTGTATCAATACCTGCTCTTGACCGTGAAAGGTGTAAGCGCTGTTGTTCCCTATGAAGTATAGTTGGATGCAGCCCCGCGGAACATGAGTGGCCGGTGGAGGTCCTGATGCATGTTCATCACGGCGCCTAACGGTCGGTTATCGGTTGGAAATATCCGGCAAAATTTGCCATTGGTTAACATAGGCTCAAAGTATACGCGAGCTGGGAGCTCTAGCTCCTCCGATAGCCAATTTTTATTGAGTATACAGATGGAAGATACACCTATTGTTTATGGCCAAAGATCATGACGCAGTATAGTGATGATATTCGTACACTGATCAGACTACAGACAGCAACTCGCTGAGCTGTAAGCTTCTTAAGAAGATAATGATAAATCAAAACGCAAATACCTTCCATGTACGCCATATCCCATTGTGTAGAGTGCAACGCCACCCTAAATGCAAAACCAGGAGAACCAACTGCGGGGGACTGACTTCTCTCATCTCCGGGGGCCTGGTTTGCTCATGCCCAAGAACCACCCCATTGCACATAAGACATTTCGAAATAGTAATAGTCAATGATGGAAATTGACTGAGATCGAGTGCCACTATCAAGCTCGCACGCTTTGTGAATGACCTGTGTCAAAGTGCGCTCACTCTATTCTGACCCAGGAAAGACACAGTGGGTGGGTGTGGTAGAATGGTCGAGCATAAAGGAACAGATGTGACCATTGTGCATCTTTGGCGGGAAGGCCTGGGCTTGAGGACGACAGGTTGAAGTCTCGACTGGTGAACCGACTGGCTTTATACTTGAGCCTTGGAGCGATCCTTCTCGGCGGAGTTGTAGCTATGCATTGTGAGTAACACTTTTCAGCGAAAGACCTGAGTTTCCCTCTTTTGACGCACCGAAGGAGCTTTTCGATCAGATCCACGTGAGTCATGATCATTCGTCGGCAGCAGTACCGTTTACAGCCAAGTTGGTCCATAGCATCACTACAAAGCCAAATTGTCAGCTAGAAACAACCTGAACAGAAGAGAATTAGCTTACCCATCGGGAACACCATCGTCCAGCAGCTGCAAGTAACGTTCCCAAAGGTCACCAACGACCTACAATGACAAGTTCAGTAAATGGTAAGACGCGGGTCAACATGGTCTGTCTACCTTTCCGCAGGAGAAACAACGAACAGGGATAATCATATTGGCGAATCAAGGTGAGAGATGGAAGTCAGTCAAAAGAATGATGTCGCTATAAACCAGACTTTTTTTGCGGAAGATCGCAGAGCCAAGGCTAACCCAATGAGGATGACTGCGCTTTTCTGCCATTATTCCCCGCCTTATTTTATCCTTGGGAAAAAAAAGTAGCCCGATCTGCCATGAAGATCAACAGACCCAAGTCACCGCAACTCTGCTCTGATTTGTGAGAGCTATGAACATCTGAGTCGCGTTGCCTCTCACCTAGCTTCCAATACTTATTTGACACTAATTTACCCGCCAAAATGCCAGCCAACCAGTCAGCACGACACCAAAAACGGTCCCGGCTCAGTGATGCGGCCTCCGAGAAGTCTGCTCGTCCCAGTGAAGAGCGGTCCAAAAGGCGCAGAGTCTCGGGCAATGTTAACGCGAACTTCCAGACGGAAGAGCGAATTGACGAGGCAAAGGACGGTATCAATGGCAATGCTCAGACACAAGGCGTGGTCATGTTGCAAAAAAGCCCCGCGCCTTGGTCATTCTCTCGTCCCGTTGGCGGTAGATACAATAATTTGGATCCAATCTTGACAGACGATGAGGCGTAAGAATCACCTTCCTGAGATACTGGAAAACTCATACTGACCTGTTTCAATCGCAGATATCTTCTAGTCGGTCTCGATACGGCTGTTCAAGTGTTCGCAACCGCCACCTCCCGCCTGTCGCGCACTTTGCAAATGGAAGCTGGCCAAAAGATTGTTGGATTCAGTATTTGCCCAGAAGACCAAGAAAACCTGTTTGTTTTCACATCTTCGGGTTCTATCAGCAAGTGGAACTGGAGCTCCGGAAAACGCATTTCTCGCTGGGAAACCACATCGACAACCGTTTCAGCAAGCTTGGCTTCTATTGAACAGCAAGGAAACAAAAACATCAATTCTTTTTCCATCACATCGCAAAAAGATGGGAAAAGGCAGATTTCGATTAGTACGCTAGGGGACAAGAAGATCCAATGCACCACAGTCCTCGAAACAAACCAGAAGCTTAATTGCATCAGGGTTACTCATGACGGCCGCGTTATTGTTGCCAGTGATGGACAGCGTCTTTTCATGGGTACCACAAGCAGTGCAGAACTCGGAAACCTCGACACTGTTCAGTACAACTGGCGTGAGGCCACCCTTCCCGTCAATGCTACTTGCTTTGATATCCGGGAATCAGTCTCGATTGATCTGGCAGTAGGAGAGAGTGGTGGCTCCATCCTGATTTATCAGAATGTTCTGAACACTCTCTTTGGCAAAGAAACTAGCGATAAGAAGTCTTCTCCCAGGAAGTTGCACTGGCACAGAGGATCTGTCAACACTGTACGTTGGTCTAAGGATGGTATGTAACCCCCCTGGAAACTGAAATTGAGCGATAGTACTGATCTTATTCTCCTACAGGTAATTATATCATATCAGGTGGTCAAGAATCAGTCATGGTTCTTTGGCAATTGGACACAGGTCGGAAGCAATTCCTCCCTCATCTTTCCTCTCCCATCTGCAACATTGTCATCTCTACCAGTGGTAGCTCTTATGTTATTAAATTGGCCGACAACTCGGTCATGGTCATGTCGACGAGAGAACTGCAGCCCCTTGCCACTATCACCGGATTGCAGCTATGCCCAGACATGGGAAGCCGTGCGGAACCATCAAAGAGCTCTGTCGTGGCAAAGTTGCACCCGCAGCAACCAGAGCGACTAATAGTGACTGTCCCGGCTTCCCATCAGCTTACACAAAAACAACATGGCTCTCAGCCTGCGAACGCGGCTGTGCTTCAGACATATGATATCCGTGCCAACTCTCATATATCCCGCCAAGCTCTCGCACGAACCAATGCGACCACTTTGAATGTCAGTCCAGAGGGGTCCCAGATCGTCGCACCCGACGTCAAGCACTTGGATATTGTGCATGACGCGAAATGGCTGGCTACTGTCGACTCCTGGGTCCCACACTCTCAAGATGTGGAGGCGCTTGACCGCAGCTCCCCGAAATCGTCTGCTGCTCTCCGTCCAGAAGTCTTCTTGAAGTTCTGGAAGTGGGATGCTTCATCCGATACGTGGGAACTTGTTACACGTATTGACGGTCCTCATTTCGCCGAAAATCATCAATCAACTGTCCTTAGCCTAGCATCCCGCCCTGGTGCTCACGAGTTTGCGACCTTTGGATCGGACTCTGTTCTTCGTTTCTGGTGTCCAACTGCTAAGTATCGCAGTGGCCTTAAGGCGAAAGATCAACCAGAGCAGAGTACTTGGAAGTGTCGAGGTCTTGTTGACCTGAAGGGATATTTAGACAATGCCCAAGCTTCGCCCCTAGACGCAGCTAGCATGAGCTTCTCCGAGGATGGATCAGCCTTGGCTGTCTGCCTGCCATCGACCTCGGCCGCCAACGATGGCCTTGTTCTTCTGGTTGACGCACGGAACTGTGCTGTGCACTACCAAAGAACTGGTGTTTTCCTGGGCAATCCTTGCTCAACAAGCTTTCTGGGAAGCCATTTATTCGTTGCTTCTACCCACTCGGTGGCTGTTTGGGATACCGTCGACGACATTGTCAAGACCATCCAGTCCTCAGAATCTGTCGACTTGCCTGGTGTAGGCAACTCACCGCTGATTGCCGTGAATGCGAGAACCAAGTCATTGGCAGTTGCCACACGTGGCTCAAAACGTGGCAAGAACCGATTCCAAATCAAGATCTATGATGTCCCGTCATTCGAAGTGGTCTTCCAAGAGACCCTCAAGATTTCCCCAGTTGCGCTGCTCTCCGATTCTTATTCCGGTGACTATATTGTTATTGATAGTGCAGTGACTGTGCAGCGACTTGGCTGTATGGACAAGGCATCTCAAAAGAGCCAGAACAACCAGTCTCGCGATGTCACTGGTCAAATTGACAGCGGGCTTGCAAGTCTCTTCACTCGGGGGCAAGACAGATTTCCTGCTCAGAATGACGAAGAAACTGATTCGTCTGCTCATGCCAAGGGATTGGCCAGTGTCTTTGGTGATACTCCTGCTTTCTCTTTGCCTGCTATTGGTGTTCTATTCAGGAATGTGGTTCAAACCATCGGCTCTACCTGAAGATCGAAACACCGTTGAGTCTCTTTTTTTGGTGCACAGGTGTAAGTAGGGGTTGACTGGGATTTCATTATTTTTGAACATTGGAACTGCGAAGAGCGAACAATGTATATTGTATGTGGTCTTGAACCTTAAAAAAAATAAGCTCATGTTTTTATCTGTACTATTTGTTACCTCTACTAGCATGGCTAAGTCGTCTCGTAACTCGCTCTAGGGCTACATCCATGGATGCGACAGTTGTTTCAATAAAGCCTTTAATAGATATTCAATGCCATCAATGACATACTCATGTTTCAAACATTGTGTCATTTGATCATATCTGGCCCAAGGTGAACACAAGAAGCGCTTTCCGTCCGTGGACATGGGCCAAGTAAGCATCCAATTCATGGTCTTGGTCGATCGGAAAAGGAATCTCATTCCCATCCTCATCCCTATCAATACCCACAATTCGGGTGATGATAGAATAGGGATATCTAGCAGCAAATAATTGCCGGAGCTCATCCATTGTGCGCGTGGCTAGTTTTTCGGGCCAGTACTTTTCAGTCGTCTCCTGAGACTGGCTCTCAGCGCCAATCTGGAAATACACAGGGGTTTGTAGCAAATCTGAACTGAGCATAGGGTCCACATATTCAAAAGCATTGCCCGTGTCGTGCTGTGAATTGGTAGTGAAGGATGGGTCGTTAGCAGCCTGGAGCAGAGAAGGGTCGATCTGCATGTCACCGATATCAGTAGCCGTGATGGGTGCACTTGCTAGTGCCTGAGAGGCCAGGGTACTAATCCCATTGCTAATCTCATTGCCCAACATATTGCCCATCGAAGTGTTGGTAGGTGTCGAAGTTCGAGACTCGGCGCGTGCCGAAGCTCTTTTACGCCCCGGGTCTCGCTTTGTCTGATCATCACGAAGCCTCTTCATGACGTCGCGACAAAGTACTTCCAGTGCTTTCAGCTTATTGCCGTGATCTGGATCAGCTGGCCCGGGCGCGAGGATTCGTCGGAGCAGTTCAGAGTTCCCGACCCATTGCTCTTTCAGTTCTCTCCAATGTTCATCGCCGGCCTCAAACTTGCTCGTGAAATGATCTACCTTCAGCGTCTCATAAAAAGCGTTTCGGATCTGTCGGCTTTCCTCCGGATTAATGCCCAAGGCATTCTTCGCCTCGGCGATAGTCATTCGCCTCTCCAGAGTCCGCATCCGCTTGGTGACATCGGTACACACAACATCAAGCGCAAGGACCTTTGCATCGCGTTGACTAGGATCTGTGTTGAACACCTGCTGGAGATGGGGAGACTCTTGGATTAATTTGTCTTTTGCAGCCTGCCATCTTTCTGGGCCAGCTGCCGTTTTCTTGATGAAGCCTGCTTCCTCACAGATTCGCTGAAAGTGATCTCTGGTCTGTCGATACATGGTGTTGTCTAAGTTGAGATATTGCTTGCTTTCATCAATGGTCGTCTCCGAGGGGAATCGTGGAGGACCCGGAGGGTCAGCTGGCAAGCCTGCCCATCCTCGAGTACGACGGCGACGTTTTCGGGAGGCCCAGCGTTCTGCACTTTCTGCCTTCAGGCGGTCCAGCCGCTCCTGGCGTTTTGCGATGACCTCCGGGGACAGTCCAGGTGACTCAGTCGTTGGGCGTTCGGCATCTGGCTCGGTTGTGAGAGAATTCGGGTCATCAAGTGCGCTCTCGACCTTGTAAACCTCCTGCTGCAAAGCAAGTAATCCTTCGTCTTCGGGATGGACAGGTGGTGCTTCAACATTGGCGTGGGACTTCATTCCGTTGGGGACTCGCAGCAGCCACCGATTCTTTGCGCGCACTCTCATCAACTCCCTCTCCTTGATCTCGAAGCCTTCATCATTCAAAATGCGGAGCATATCCCGCTGACTTGTGTTGCTTTCCCAAAGCTGTTTGACGCGTGCGACAAGCTCGACATTCTTGTGCGCCGGGTTTTGTTTAGATGGAAACCCCCATCGCTTGAATTGGGTCTGGAAAGCTCGTTTGCTAGATGGATGAGTGGTGTTAATGGTTTAATGGTTTCCGACGCAGTAAGTCCCAGCAGAGCGCGACTTACCTGGGCGCAAACTGATAGGCAGTTCTCATATACTCCATAATCTCCTCCAGCGCCTTCTTTTCCTGAATGTACATCTGGAAGCAAATCTCTCGCTTCCCAGCCCAGTCGTACACCATGGCGGAGGCGCTCCTCCTGGGGAGGTGCGTCTGGAGAAATATGAGAGCCTCCGAGATGTGGAGCTTATCAGGCGTTTGTTGTCGCTGCTGTACGCCGTAGTCTCTGGGGAAAGGGAAACGGGCGCTGAAGGCCTCACTCGCGCAATTTGAGGTCACGTGACAAACATCGGGGTTGCAAACTATAAGAGGCTTTTGGATTTGGTACTGCGTCTAGCTACATCTCTCATTTCCATAACATGCTCCTGGAAATTATTCTAGGATAGTCGTCCAGCGAATTCCTGAAATAATCAAACATATGAAAGTAGAAAGTCAAACGCCCATTTCGCCAGCTCATATCGAACAATGTTCCCATAAATCCATAAATTTGCAAGAAACTCCCAGGCCAAAGACAAGAGAAAGAATCAAATCGCTCGCTCATTGAAACTATAGACCGGAAGAGAAGAAAGAAAGGGAAAATTGTGGACGATTGAAAAGCTAACGAAGCTTCCGGACCTTGCGTCGGAACTTGAAAACTCGAGTTCGTAACCACGTCATAAAAAGCACCCATGTGCTCTTAGATTGGGATTTCCAAGAAGCGGATGGCCCGTCCCTCTCGTGAACAGTGGAATAACGTGGCTTTTCAGAAACATTTTCAGTTGACTGCGCAACGGGAGAAGTGAGGTCATCAGACGGGTTGCGCTTCACAAGGCGTCGTGAATGTCTCTCCTCGGCTTTGACTTGTTGTTTCTCAAGCCGACGGTTCTTGGCAGCCTCTTTTTCCTCGAAAGCCTGACGAGCAGCTTGTACTGTAGCTGCGCGGGAAATTGGATCAGTGCTTGTTCGAGTTCGGGATCGGAACACGAAGTCAAGAGAGGTCCTGGACATCGGAGATGCAGTTTCATCCCGTGAGTATCCAAAGGATGGCCGGCTAGCGACATTGGTTTGCGAAATTCCAGGGAGACGCGTGAAAGAATCGTCTTGGATATGTAGCGACAATCGTGGTGGGGCTGGGCCTGAGGGAGCACGTTTCTCTGGCAAAGCCACAGGATCAGGCTCGTCTTCGTCTTCGTCTTCTCCTTCAACCTCTTCACTATCATGGGCTGATGCCTGGCAAGATTGACCCAGCGGCGGAGTGTATGCCCGCGGCATTTGCCGCATAGGATGCACGTACTGTGTCCCCGGCTTACCAACACTTGAGCCCGAGCCAGTCGAAAATTGAGATGTCCCACTGGTAGATCGATTGTGCAGAACGGATGGTGTTCTTCTGTAAGATACACCTGTAACTGATTCACTGCGTTGTCTATCCCGCTCGAAGTTCATGTAAATGCCTAAGCCTTCTTGTTCGGTAGAAGATCGAGACAAGTCGATTGAGGTGGATGGTTGATCATCTCGGGACATTTTGCGCAAGATTGGTTTAATGTGCACTTTGGGTTTTACTAATTTACCCTTGCTGGACATATAGTCAACGCCTTCGAAAGACGTGTCTGGTTCCGAAAAGTTCATCAAATGTGCTTCTGAGGTCCATGGTTGCTCCATGGACGTGGTATCCTGCACGGCCATGCTCGAAGCCATGGAGCCGCGCTTTCTGAGGTCGACAGGAGAATATGAATTGTCAAATACTTCAGGCAAGGGAATCCGGTCTTGTGAGCTGTCTGGATCTTGAGGCGAGAAGATATGATAGGACGCGGAGCGTCCAACCTCAGCACCAGATCTTCTTGCAGGTTTGGAAGGACGCTTGAGCGACCCAGATTCGCCTGGAAGTCGAGTCTTTGAGACCGGAAAAGCCGATTCATGGACATACTGGATGTCGGTTCGGGCCATGGTGAGAAACGCGACCACACCTTTCCTCGAGCTAAGCGCAGCGAACGATACTTTAGTGATGAATCGCGCGATGCATGATTGGCGCAATCAGATTGACTGGGAGTTAAGCCAGATCAAGAGCAAAGTATACAGAACGGCGCCTGAGACCTAGAGGAACAAGTATTAAAAGAGGTGGGTGAGACCATCAGCGGGGAAGACTCCGGGGGAGGGGGGGAAATAAGCGAAGGTGAGATCGCAGAAAGATCAAACCGAGCACATGGAGAGATAGAGAGACGAGAGACTAGAAACCAGAGACTAAAGACCAGAACAGAATGAAGTCCGGGGATATAAGAGAAAAGAAAAGGGGACGGCGGTGAAGCCGGAGACAGACGGATCCAGACCGCATGCGGACTTGGTACTTTGTTCTCTACACTCGACACTCTACACCCTACTGTAGTTCTCTCCTTCTCTCTCCTCTCTATATTTCTCTCTACTTCGTTTCTCTTTCACATTCTTTGGACATAATTTATACCGTTCTTCATTGTCCATTGTTCATTGTTAGTTTCTTATCGGGTGTATTAACAAAGCCACTGGATCTCTCTGTCCAGATACAGTACATCCCCCTCCCCCCTCAGAATCAAGTCTATTGGACCGATTACCGATGCATCTCTTTCATGCATGTCCTTGTCACAGAGATGCAGTTGCCAAGATGCCAAGAAAGCCCCGGAGACTAGTGGGAGACACCGGCTGCAGCCAAGAAGCCCGTATCAAATGATCATCCCCCACCATGTTTGACACTCGGTGGGGTTAAATTTTGACTCCTTTCTTCTTTTCTATTTCCCTTCCTATTGACTGTCTTCATTTGTTCCTCAAAGATGGGTCTGTTATCTCTACAGAACTTGGGGTTTTCCCTGTTGATCTTGGTCGCCTTCTCCGGCCAAGCTTATGCCTTTGGCGCTGGTAACATCGCTTCACTTTCCCGTCTCGAAGGCCAGAACTGGCGTCATGGAGACATTGAGGATACCCTCCTCAGTCTGTTCCTGGCTCGAGTGGCTGGTGGTAAGAAGTTTGCCAAGCTTGATGTGAAGAGGGTGTACTTCGGCAACTGGTTGCGTGATTACAGCCAGGCAGTCGATGTGGGCACCGTCAAGTATGTCAGTGCGGAGGCTATTCGCATTCTCATCTGGGTACTGGGCTTCATGAGCTTTGGGTAAGCACTTATATCAGGCATGTATTGCCAGATTTACTGAACTGTCTCTCTAGCTACGGAACTGCAGAGTTTGAGGTTACCACCGAACGACTAGGATGCTATCAACCCACAGAACACATTGATAACCCCTTGGGGTACGCCGAGGGAGAAGACGCGCGTTCATATGATCGTCGCCTTCGTGGTCCTATTGACGAAAGCCGAGAGCTGTCAATTGACCCTCGAAACGGTATGTAGTCGACCATGCTGGTATTATGAAAATTGATCTAACCCAACCCCCGGGATAGGCTTGAAAAATTATATCGCGACAGAGGACATGGGGATTGATACTTCAGCCGCTCTGATTCGCCGCGTGCTCGGTCGCTCGATCCAGTTAGGCCGTCGCTATGGTCAATCCGGAAACAAGGATGACCTCTACGAAGCTCTGCGACTGCTTGGCACTGGCCTTCATTGCCTGGAAGACTACGCCGCTCACTCGAACTACACAGAACTCAGTCTGATTGAATTGGGAGAGACGGAGGTATTCCCTCATGTCGGACGTAACACTAAATTGGAAGTTGAAGGTGCTAGTGACTATGTCTATCCAATCGTGACTGGTACGTTCGGCGGTGTCGACTTCTTCCATTCAGTTCTTGGAGAGCTGTCCGATAAAACAATGCAGTCTGAATTGCAGTCCCTGGAAGGTGTTATCACCGAGTCTGAAAACCAGAGCCCCTCTGAAAGCTTCCTGCAAGATTTGCTGAGCAAAATTCCTGAAGGTCTCATTGGCAACAGCGATGACCAGGCTGGCCAGATGGATGATTTCAAGTCCAAGGCCGATGATGCCAGAAACGACAACCAGAACATCAGTCCTCGGGAACCTGAAGAGTGGGCTATTTATTTGAGCAATGTTCATAAACAGATTTACCCGGTCCTTGAGTGGCATGATCGACTCTTGAAACAGATCAACGAGGCCATCGAAAAAATCCCAGTGTTGCCAGATCTGATCGAGCAAATTCAGGATCAAATCACCGTTTTTGTATTTTCCATCTTGGCCCCCTACGTTTTGCCCATCATCAAGCAGGTCAAATCGGAGCTAGAAACCGGCTCTTCCGAAGTTATCCAGAGCAGCCGAGAGCAGCAGCACATTGTGTTCAACGACGACGACTGTTCAAACCCAACTCATTCGATGCTCTCCAAGGACCACTTCTCGAACATACTGAATGAGCCGGCTGGTCGCATTGCATCCGCTGTTGTCAAGTGGTCGGTTCCTCAGCTCATGCAATGCTGGGATGACGAGGACGCTGATATTGACCGAACCCTGGACCGAATCATTTCCGGTGTTTTCCATCATCCCGCTCTACGCGAGTATGGAAATGATGGAGCCGAGGATATTCGCCAGACCATGTTCTCGACGGTCGAGAAATGGTGGAGTGAGAAAGGGGACGAGGAACGCGATGTCCTCCGTGATCAGCTGAGTCGCGATGGTGTCTACGAAGGTAAGAACCACAAAGATGGCGTACAGGATTGTGGACATGGTTGTGGTAAGCCACTGGCCCTTCATCAAAGCCAAGGCCAAAGCAGCTCTGTTGGAGGCCAGCAGTCCAGCAGCTCTGGTATTGAGGGCCTTGCCTCTCAAGCCATTGGAGGAGGAGCTCTGGGTGGTTTGGTTGGTGGACTTGTGGGAGGCATGAGCTCAATGATTCTCAATGGTGGTAACTCCAAGCCCGGGCGGGAGAGTCCTGAGTCTCCCAAGTACGACAGTGGGAATGACTATGAGCGTCCATCTCACCATGAAAGTCTCGAGCAATATGGAGACTCGTACAGTCAAGCGCCGCCTTCTCATCCCAATGGATATGGGTATCCAAATGACACAGGCTACGGAGAGCCTCCAGTTCACCACGAAGAGTTCCGTCCGCGTCCCGGCGGATATGAATATCAAAGTGAGACGGTCCATGGACAGCCTCCGATGCGTCGCGAAGACTTCGGCGGTTACGCACCTCCCGCGGCTGACTACCGCCGCGATGAGCACTACCAGTATCAGTCGGAAAGGCAAGGCTACTACCAGGAGGAACGAAGAGAGACCTTTGAGCAAACCTCGCGATACGAATATGGGGAGGGCCAGCCTCCTGCATTTGGAGGTATGGAACGCCCAGCCTACGGTGGAGGATTCGCACAGTAAGTTTGTTTGATTATGCATAGAATTGTCCGATATTGATCAAATGTGTACAGAGAGACCACTTCTGGCTATGGCAGACCACAGCCCGGCTATAACGAGTTTGAAAATCCTGGCTACAGACAGGAAGAAGGGTTTGGCCAGCGGTTTGAGGGCGGTGGCGATGAGTATCGCGTCGAGCGCCATTATGAACATGAAGAGCGCCCCCGCTACGGTTCGGGCTCTCGGAGTGGCAGTGATGATGAAGAGCGATCCCATCGACACCGTCACCACCACCACCACCACCATCATCATGAGCGGTCTGGTTCGGATTCTTCGGATTAGGAGGTACAGCATTGCTGCCCTGGTGTATTTTGGGCTAGTGAGATCGCAAGCAGTAGTCTGGGAAGGCATCTACCATTCTTTAATTTCTCCGGCTGCCGGCTGCTCGGTGCGAACAACCTTGTCGCAGTTGAGCAGGCGAAGCGGGTCAAGGGCCAATTTCAGCTAGAATGAGAACACAAATGTTAGCGGCCATGCTTAATATGAGTAGTAGACGGGGCTATAGGAACGGAGCAGACTTACTCGGCGCATGGCATCCACTGTAGATTCACCCAACTCGTGCTCGAGGTAGTCTCGCTTGACAAGACCGACGCCATGTTCACCAGTGACGGTCCCCTCCATCTCCACAGCACGCTTCACCATGCGGTGAACAACGCCCTCGGCTGTCTTCTTTTCGCTATCATTGAACAAAATGATGGCTGATGGGTGTTAGATTGAATGAAACCATGAATGTACATCATTCTGGGGAGCTTACCATGGAAATTGCCATCTCCGACGTGGCCACAAATTCCAGCCAACAAGCCACTCTTGGTCATGTCTTCCTTGGTAGCCTCAATGATATCAGGCAACCTGCTCATTGGAACCGCGACGTCTGTCGTCCAGACGTGGTCATCGGGGGTTCTCTTCATTGCCATGACACTCCACAGGGCCTCCTTGCGGGCACTCCAAAGTTCTTGCATCTCTTCCTCTCCACGGGCGAACTCAAAAGACTTGCCCGAGGTTCCAGATACAATCTTCTGGACCATGCTAATCTGTTCCTTGACCGCAGCCGGGGTTCCAGTGAATTTGAAGAAGAGAGTGGGGGACTCCTTCCACTGGCGGCTGGTTGTCTTGCTAGCATTGATACACTTCATCTGGATATCATCCAGAATCTCAACACCGGCCACGGGTATGCCCGCCTCCACAACGTTGGTCACACACTCAGCAGCGTTCTGAATGGAGCCAAAACTTGCGACTGCCACATTCTGGCTCTTGGGCTTGACTGTCAGCTTCAGGGTCGCCTCTGTTACCAAACCAAGAGTACCTTCGCTTCCAATGAAAAGCTTGGTTAGGTCATAACCAGCACTGGACTTGCGGGGACGCTGCCGAGTCTTGATGACTGTCCCATCAGCAAGAACAACAGTAAGCGAAAGCACCCATTCGCGCATAGTGCCGTATCTGTATGCATTGGTTCCCGAGCAGCCGGTTCCCACCATGCCTCCAATCATAGCGCCTGGACCAGGGTCGGGGGGGAAGAAAAGTCCGTCCTTGGCGATTTCCTCGTTCAACTCTTCCCATCCGAGCGCAGGCTGCACGACGACATCTAGATCACGCTTGTGGAGCTGCAGGATACGGTCCATGCGACTGAAGTCAATGCAGACACCACCTCTCGTGGACGCATAGTGGCCCTCCAAGCTTGTGCCACCGGAATAAGGGGTGACGGGGATCACACGCTGGTGGCAGACCTTCATGATCTGGGAAACCTCTTCGGTACTGGACGGGTAGAGGATCAAGAAAGGCTTTTCACTCTCCTTGGGTGAGTAAGACGACCAATCCGAACCAGAATGCGAAGCCAAATCACCATCTGCTGTCGAGACATTCTCCTTTCCCAAAATTTCCACGAAATCGGACCAAGCGGCTTGGAGATTGGATTTTGATATGTTGTGTTTCGGTGCCTCAATCTCGGAGAGAGAGGTGGTAGACGAGGTTGGGAGGGCAGGGGGCTTGATGGAGCCTAGGTAATAAGCACCAGTCGAAAAAAAGACCAAAGCTATAACACCGTTAGCAGGAAACCCGAGACAAGACAATGCTAGTTCTCCGCATACCAAAGACTAGCGCCGCCGAGCGCCCAGCTGGGGATTGGGTCTGCTGGTACTGAGCAAAGCGCTCTTGCTCTGCACGTTCGCGCTTAAGACGCTGCTGCGTGCTCTCGTACAATTGACTCTTGAACGATTGATTCTCTTTGGCGTGCTTAGCAGAAGCTCCGAACTGACGTTGTTGCAGGAAGCGAACGGGAGCCGGTCGGGCCCGGAGATTGCGGATCGCCCCCTGCAGGGCGAGAGCATTATATCGAACCATTTTGTTTGTGAAGTTGACGTGAAGAAGCGGAGGCCGAAGTGGAGGTATCTCCGGACCGAGTTCCGAGTCTTGGCGGATAGACGTAAGCAGGCTATTTGCCTACCTACAACCAGGATAGGAAGGTAATAAGGTAGTGCTTTAGAGTATGCCAATTGCATTATTGATGCCCTAATTTTGCCTCTATTGTTTCCATTTTCAAGTGCCTCGAGCCCTTTAGATCCTACAAAGGTGGGGGAAAGGGCTGGCCACTGTTGTACCTAAGCTCTATCCTTATGCTTGTTGCCGGGATAGAGGTCATAGCATTGGATGAATTATGCGAGGTCACGAAGAGTCACGGGCATCAAAAATATCGGGCAAGATTTACACAAAAGGTGAAAATGGCCGTACGGGGTAGTGAACCCAAACAAGTCACTCTGACTTCATTTTGCCTCTTTGGGCTCTCATTGGGAAAAATAATCCCGCGACGGTTAATTTCTCGCGGCTAAAAGAAAACATATCCACATCTGGGGGAGCTATGTCGTCGGTTTAATTCGATTCGACTTGATTCTGCCGGCTCCTGGCACTATATATTATATCCTGGGTCACCTGGACATTTCTCTCGATACTTCTCTCTCTCTCTCTCTCTCTCTCTCTTCTTCCCACGTCAACTTTCCCCGAACTCAAACTCTTCCCCCACATTCACAATGGCTACAGCTCAGGTAGGAATCATTTCGAAATCACCCGAGCCAGTCTAACAAAAAGATAGAATCTCTCTTTCGTCCTCGAGGGCATTCACAAGGTCAAGTTCGAAGACCGACCAATCCCGGAATTGAAGGACCCCCACGATGTGATCATCAATGTCAAGTTCACTGGTATCTGTGGTAGTGATGTATGTCTTATACGCATAGCACCATGACAGCAGACAGCACACTGACATATCGGAAATAGGTACACTACTGGGAGCACGGAGCGATCGGTTCGTTTGTCGTCAAAGACCCGATGGTCCTCGGACACGAGTCAGCAGGTATCATCAGCAAGGTTGGATCGGCAGTCAAGTCCTTAAAGGTAGGCGACCGAGTTGCCATGGAGCCTGGTATCTCATGCCGCCGCTGCGAGCCCTGCAAACGTGGAAAGTACAACCTGTGCGAGAACATGGCCTTTGCTGCTACCCCACCATATGATGGAACCCTCGCCAAGTACTATGTTCTCCCCGAGGACTTCTGCTACAAGCTTCCTGAGCAGATGTCCCTCCAGGAGGGTGCCCTCATGGAGCCCCTCAGTGTCGCAGTCCATATTGTGCGCCAAGCTGGTGTCAGCCCGGGCCAGTCAGTCGTCGTATTTGGAGCTGGCCCCGTAGGCCTGCTGTGCTGTGCCGTGGCAACAGCCTTTGGTGCTTCCAAAGTGATTGCCGTGGACATCCAGCAGGCCCGTCTGGACTTTGCGCAACAATACGCCGTGACGTCGACCTTCATGCCAAGCAAGGTACCAGCCACCGAGAACGCAGAGCGCATGAAGCAGGAGAACGACCTCGGAGCTGGTGCCGACGTGGCAATCGATGCCTCTGGAGCCGAGCCCTCTGTTCACACGGGCATCCACGTTCTGCGCAACGGTGGTACGTACGTGCAGGGTGGCATGGGCCGCAGCGAGATCCAATTCCCCATCATGGCGGCCTGCTCCAAGGAGCTCAACATCAAGGGTAGCTTCCGCTATGGCAGTGGAGACTACAAGCTTGCAGTCGGCCTGGTCTCGGCCGGCAAGGTGGATGTCAAGAAGCTGATTACTGGCACGGTCAAGTTCGAGCAGGCCGAGCAAGCCTTCACGGAAGTCAAGGCTGGCAAGGGTATCAAGACCTTGATTGCTGGAATTGATGAGTAAATGTCTGAATGACAGGTCTATTTGGGGTAAACGGGGCGTTGTGATTTAGCAGGATTTTGATGAGAGATGACCCAAAAGTTGTGAGAAATGACATGACTCCAGAGAGTCCAGATATGATTATGTACTTTGAACTCGTACCGAGTTGAATAATGTCTGTAGAAAGGATCACGAACGAATGTCAGGGGTATCGTGCAGCTAGTAAGAGAAAGACACATCGCCTAAAATCAGAAAATTGCAAGAGATCAACAACACCCTTGGTTTCTGCGGCTGCCAGAGCCCAAGCGGAAAACATCCTCCCATTCTCTCATTCCACCCTTCCAGCCGTTCCCAGTGCCAGCCCTGCTTTTTCGCCTGGGAGCTCTGCGCTGTAGAGGCATGGAATTCTCATCCAATGTGGCTCGGCTTCTGATACTCGAGGCATCACTGCCATGACCGTATAGACCACCATCACCGTACTGGATGCCACTCTGGGGGTCATCAGGGTCAATCTCCCCGAGCTCAATCTTGGTCAAGATAATGCGCGCTAGCCGGTTGAAAACCTCCTCCACGCCATCCCCAGTCAAGGCGGATATCTCAACCGCAACGGGGATATTTGACTTTGCAGCCCAGCGAGACGTCTCTTCCGAGCTTACCTCCCGACCTTCAGACGCTAGGGTCGCAGTCAACCTGGTCCCTGAGCCCAGGTGACTCGATCGAATGGAGCCATTTGCATCCCAAGGCACAGAGGACATTCTGCTCGATGTGCTGGACGGCGTTGGGGGAGGGCGCATGCTATCCTCAAACTCCGATTGGGCATCAGATGCAAGGTCGGCCTTATTTCCAGCTAGGATGACGGACAAGTTGGGGGAAGCGAGGGCGCGCGCGTCCATAAGAAAGGTTGGGAGGGATGCGAAGGAGGTGTAGGAAGCGACATCGTAGATGAGGATAGCGCCCGCGGCGCCACGATAGTAAGACCTTGAGACGGATCGGAAGCGCTCGGTGCCAGCGGTATCCCAGAGTTGTAGTTTGATTCGTATCCGTCGCGAGCCGGTGCCCAGTTTCACGATGCGGGACGCGAACTCGACGCCGATGGTTTGTGACGAGAGGACTCGCCCTAAGCACTTGTTAGCCCATCATCCAGCCCAGGGTCGAGGGATTGGCGTACACTCATCCTTTACGAATCGATGTAATACACAGGACCTATACGGTGTCAGTGACTGACATGCCACAGCATCCACGTGCTACTCACTTGCCAGCACCGCTTGGTCCCAGGAGGATGATCTTGGCCAGGTAATCGTACATGCTCCCCAGCTCCTAGGCGCCATTAGGGTCAGCCTTGTCGGGTCGGCAAAAATGGGGCTCATACCTGGTCTGGGGCTGAGGATACGGTGGAGGCATTTGAAAGGCCCCTTTGACGTGCCATGAGAGACCTGAGATGTGATGAGGGTGAAGTTCGAAGGGGAGGCCCGATACCGCCGGTCGGGGGTCTACAGTCTTTCCACTTATTCTCTGACACTAACGATTATTTTATTGACTATTGATCCCACAGCGGAATTGGGCTCAACAGTACAGAGTATATCCGAGATATATAGCGCGCCTCTTGCCCAACTTCCAATATCCAACTTCCAACATCCAACTTCCAACATCCAAGACTTTCATTGCTCAAGTGGCTTAGACCCAAACAAACGGCAGTGCAAAGTTAAAGGCTCTTTGACTGGAACTTGACTAACAACAAACAAAGCAGTTCAGCAAAAGGACTGCATGGGCATATGCATGCAAATATTCTAATCTTCTGGAAAGTTGCCGCAAGTGGAGTGTGGCAGTGTCCAGAGAAGAGTATAAAACTCGTATTGACCCGCTCAGGGTCCGAGGCTGAGCCTTTTTGACTTTGGGCTTTGATCCTTTTTTTTCAGGGAAAAAAAGTCTTGATTTCTTTTGAGCCCCGACTTTTAAGCATTTTATCAGCATTTCGTCATCTCATGCAGGTTCTATATATGACGCTTGGCTTCCCCAACTTCCTTCTATCTACACCCCCGAAAACACGGAACACGAAAAACACCAGAACTACAACCATAACCTATCATCATGAAGCTGACGTGGGCAACATCCCTTCTCCTGCTCTCGACCAGGGTCACCTCCTTGACTATCCCTTCAACTGATCTCGTTGAGCGCGAGGATTCGGTAGATACTACCCAAGAAATCTCCGAGTTTATGGACCTCGAGAAGCGACGTGGAGGAGGTGGTGGTGGCCGCGGAGGCTCTAGCGGGGGGAGCAGTGGTGGCCGTACTGGCAGCTCATCTAGCAGCTCTTCAGGCAGTTCAAGCGGTAACAGTGGCAGCCGAGGCGGAAGCAGCGGCAGCTCCGGCAGCAGTGGTTCCAGTGGTTCCAGTAGCTCCGGCAGTCGAAGTGGCTCGTCCAGCAACGTTGGCGGCACAACATCCTCTGGTTCCGGTACTCGAGCTTCCTACGGCGGAGGCAGCTACTACGCCGGTGGTGCCACAACTCCTTACCGGTCTGGCTCGCGTTCCGCTGGCGGCATTTACCCCTACGTTCTCGGAGGTGCAGCTCTGGGTTTCTTCCCTGGCCTCTGGCTATACAGCGCCTATGCCTACCCCTACAGCAGCAACTATCACTACATGAACCAGAACACCCACAAGAACGAGTCTCTGCCGGTTGTCTGCGTGTGCCAGGAATACTCGGAGTGTGGATGTGACAACAACAACAATAGCACCTACTATGAGTCGCTCTTCAACGGCACTGTGCCAAAGAACTCCAGTGTGGTGCGTGTGGTCAAGGTGAACGGCACCGAGACCATCTATATCAATGGCACTCTGCCCAACGGAACCACCTCGGCCGATAGCAGTTCGAGCACCTCGGACGCCAGCCCTATCATGACGACCCTGCTACATGCCAGTGGATACTGGGTGACTGTTGCTCTCGTTGTGACAGCTGTATGGTCATTCTAAACCATTGAGATTGATTTTTGACCAAGCCATGACCTGGTCGATACGTTTTGACATGATATGAAAGAGATCATTGGGAGGTCTGCTTTGCTTTTGATACCCCGACTTGGGCACTTGTCCTCGCTTTGCACTCTGTACAATAGAGTTATTGTTCTGTCCCTATCGGATCACTTTGCTGATTCGCTAATCCACATCCACTTGATGAAACTGAACTAGGCTTCATATCCGAAATTGGCAGACAGACCGGACAGGAGTAAAATGTAGATTTTAAGTATATGATAAACATGGATCGAAAGGAAGCAGGGAACGAGCAATGTTGACATTATGTATATCCTATCAAACTACACAATTAGAGTGAAGCCAGTCAAGATCAACATTCCAATGGTCGCCCGGCCGAGGGGAGGTTACGTATCTCGCTAGTACTTAACGGGATAAGCGCGAGACTCCCTTAGATTAACTCATTTCCTGTCAACTTCTCTCTCTTCTTCATCCTTTCCTGTGTTAAACAGTGTCACTCTTTTCTTCCCAGACACGGGCTGTCGCATTCTTTTACAGCTCCATTCACTCTTTATTTTCGTCTGATTCCGTTGATCAAATTGTTTATCCACATAACATATACAATGCACTTCACCAAGGCTCTTATTTTCCTCTCGGCCATTGCGCCTGCTTTCGCAGCTCAAGCTGCCTCAGCTCCTGCTAGCACTCAGACTCTCACCCTGGTGCCCTCCGGATACACTCCTCCTCCGTCATCCACCCCGACTCCCACCCCGACCTCTACTCCGACTCCAACTTCGACCCCAACTCCCTTGTCGACCTGGACCCCCATCATGTCCACTAGCACTCCTGTCTCCTCGAGCGCCTCTCTCACCCGGATCCCCAGCTCCTCTACCCCCCTGATCAAAGCCACTGGCGTGAGCTCCGGCATTGAGAGCTCTGCTACCCCGGCCCCCTCCACCCCCATCAGCGGCGCAACTTCTCTCCAGCTCTCTGGAGCCATGGCCGCCGGTGCTGCCGCTGTTGCCGGTCTTCTCCTGGTTTGAATGCACAGCCATTGGCCAATTTGAATCAACGCGAATCTCCTGGCTTCCAGATCTTGACGATCTCGACAGTTGTCGCTTCTAGTCAGCTTTAGCCTCGGTGGCTGGACTGCTAACCATTCGACAATGGTTCCACCTGACATTCTACATGTCTCTATTCACTGGATCTGTTCTTCTTTATATATTCTTTTCACCGATACACACACCTTTAACCTTTATTTCTACCGGGTTACGGTGACCTTTGACGTGATTTCCGATTTTCTGATGTCTATACCCTTCTTTACATTCTTATGTTCCCTTTTTGATGTCATCCAAGTATTTTACCTTTAATACTTATTTTCTATCTTGGTTGACCTTGGATTTTTAATTTGCGTTGATGCTTGCATCTGTGCCTTTGGACTTCACCTGTCAATTGACGAGTGTAAGATCAACAAATGCTACTTTGTGAAATGTAACATCAACATAGATCAAGACGTCTTCTAACTTCATGGACTAAATTACAAGCTTCTACTAGATCACTCCAAACATTTGATGTTTTCAGAGCTATACACACAACTTGGACTTGGAGAGGATTGACATTGATCTTATCTACTACAGCGGCCCCAAATGGGATCCTGGAAATATCGTACAAAAAGCTATAATGGCTTAGTCCTCCTGCTTGAAGGTAGCCTCGTATCTGGAGCAAAAGTCAGCCAAAATCCCATACAGTTACAGCAAAGACAACACATACCTCTTGCCTCGGAAGGCCCACAATCCCCAGTTACCACACGACACATCGTGAGGATCCTGGTCATTCAAATCCCAGCGCAGACTGCGGAAGATGTTCTCACCCGGCTCAAGAAGCACATCAAACTCACCACGACACTTCTCACTAACCCAGTTAATATCACGCTCCAAATCCCACTGTGTGTACCCAGTGCAGAGAATAGGAACCTTGGTCTCAAGAAGCTGAGGGAGAGTCTCCTCCCACTCATGCGAGCTGGCAGGGTGACCAAGACCAGGGTGGAAGAGCATGAAACAATCTAGATAGGGATCGAAGGGACCAAAGTACTGTGCCTTATTCATGGTGTGGAAGTAGTCGACGTAAGTGGTGATCTTCATCTGGCCACCGAGTCTGTCCTCGACGATTCCGCCGAAGGGGTTCTCAGGTGTGCGCTCGGGCAGCGGGAACTCGGCATCCCGGTTTGCCATACTCTCAGGTCCAATGAAGATGAGGTGCAGTAACGCCCGCGGGTACATGTACTGTAGCTGCAGCCAGACGTCACGGGGCAAAGATGATTCAGCGCGTGCGCCCAGGATGAAGATTCGTACTGGGGGTGCCTTTAGGCGAAGACCCTTGATATCGGTACTTTCACCAGCCTTTGGGGGGTGCAGCGAGTAACGGAGGGCTGAAAGGTTGTGGTTAGTATTACGATATCGTGACTTGGATAACAATCAATGTCAGACTTACCACTAATACTCTTCAGACCCTCAGGCGTAAGCCGCCCCCCGGCACGAACACCATAGGGACTAAGCTCGTGTAAGACACTACCAATGGTCTGTGGGTAGGTGAGCATGCGAGTCACCTGGCGCATAGAGCGATCATCGTTGATAGCCGGGAACTCGCGGGTGTAGAGGTAAGTATCCCAGTTAGTCATGTTAATAACAAAGTTATCATCCTGAGGACCGGGGTAATTGAATTCAGGGAAGGAGCGACCGGAACGCAGGTCGTGGTCATCCTCATTGATCTGGCGGAGGGTATCACAGATCTCGAGATGAGCCTCAAAGTCATCCATCCAGTGGCCCTCGGAACAGTAAACTGGCACACCGCAGTCGGGGCACTCGAAATGCGAATGGGCCGGGGCGAGGTTCGATTCGCTGGTGTCTTTTCTTGCTTCTGGATCGTGCGGCGAGACGGGGGCGCGGGTCTGTTGGTGACTGGGGTGCGGGCAGAAGGCATTCTGCTTGATGAACTCGGCGCGTTTGCGGATAGCGTCCGAGGGCGAGTTCGAGAAAGAATGGAACAGGTTGTCCTTGGCCAAGGCGCCAGCGGAGGCCTTGCTTGCGACACCTCTCTGGGTGATAGTCGAAGGCCATGGCTTAGGGGCGCAGCAGGAGTGTGCAGGTGCAGGCTTGGTCTGCTCTGCTGGCTTGGTGCCGAGCGATCGGCCGTTACGATGCGAACCGAAGCTTCGGATCAGAGACGGGGAGACTGCGCTTCTCCGCCGCGAAGTAGCGAGGCTCTGAAGGCGAGCCTGAGGGGTTGATGCCCGGGCTCCTTGACGGAGGACCTGGAGGCACTGGATACAAGTGTATCCTGCCATTGTGATGTCAATTGAGAGTGGAGGGGAATGAGTGAGGCCACCCGGATAGTTCTGGGGATGTTTTTAGGCAACACGTGACTGATAACAGTTGATAGACGATCAGTCACTTTAAAATCGTTGTTTGTATAGAAACTTATAGTGCAATACGGAAATTTGTAGGTGACTAGATAGCCTACTAGTATGTGGTATTTGATACTCGTTTAATATTCCAAATAGATGCTCATAGCGAGAGCAATGGTTGAAATTCTACAACGATCCAATCATGCGATCAAAAGATAGAACTTATGCATTTATTCATGGCAACTGAAACTCCTGTACAAAACAGAAAGGCAATCGATCTTAGCAACCTCTTCGAGAATTTTTTCCCCCAAATCCGAAGCAAAATATCCCAAACATCCATCATTGCTTGGTTCAGAAAATATCCTCAGATCTACTCCAATCCTGAGTATCCCTGGACTCCCAGTACTTTCCATTGTGAGCCCAGAATTCCTCACCAGTGACAGGACACTGGTCACGGGTGAACCATTGCGGCGAGTAAATTTCACCCTTGGTCTCGCGATCCCGGCGCTTGGATCGCTGCTTCTCCTCAACACGGTGTTTCTCATCGGCCGCCAATGTGTATTCACCGTCTTCCATGGCACGTTGGTCAGGACGCAATCTGGTATCCGTAGGAGGAAGCCAACCCTTCAGGCTTTCAGGAAGAGCGTTGAGAGTGATGACGAATGGAGTCAAGTTGAAAGGCACGCCCGTGGGACGAGCATGAGCCTGCCATACCAAGAAAGTCTTAGCAGACTCGGGATCCTGACCGGAGACTGGAGCCTCGAAGCCTGGAGTGTGGCGAGCGTAGATCTTGTCGTTCCAGCGACCGCCGATACTCCACTTAGGGGAACCCTCGCTGTCGACAACCTTACCCGTGACCTGGTAGGCCGATGAGGCCTTCCAGCCGCGGGGCTTGAAGTCGAGATAGCAGACTTCGCCGGTCGTCCAATTTTTGATTTCCATCAGACCGTAGTTGTCAACTGTGGGGTTACCCGTAATAATACCGATGACTGATGAAGTCACCTTTTTCCAGGTGTAGAGTTCTTCTCCACCGGAGGAAGGTCGCAGCTTCAAGAACCATGTACCAAGCAAGTTGATGTCAAAAGATTTACCATAGAACTTGGACTTGAGAGAAGATTCACCCTATACACATGGTTAGTAGAATTTCATGGTACGTTCATGGAGTAGACTTACCCAGTAGTCCCATTTAGGCGATTCAGCCCACGCGGCACCAATTGGTGGGTGATGGCTGACCTGCTCCACGAAGAATCGATAACCCTTATCCGGGCGGACATACTCGAAGGTTTCACCAAGCAGAGGGTTGAAGGGCTTCGCCACACGACCAATGGTCGAGGCATACTCACTGGCGGCGTACGAGGCAACGTAGACCAGACGTTCCATGGAGTCAGTCCGATCAGCAGCAATATCGAGGAGGTCGGTATACTCGAGATCCTCGGCTACACGCTGAAGCAGAGAAGTTGGCTCGTTGAAGGACACCGGAAGAGTCATCTTCGTCATGTCCTTTCCAATCATGGATTTCAAGATTCCCTAAACAATGATAAGCATGCTATGTAACCTGGGGATACCACTCAATACGTACCCACAGAGAAATCTTTGGCCTGTCATCAGCATCCATCTTGAGACGCTCTCTCACGGGCTCTTCGTAACCCTTGAAGGAAGGCTTGATGACAGTGGACTTGACAGCCCGGAGCTCGGCGCTCTCATCCTTGGGCTCTTCGACCTTGTGGTCCTCGGTCTTGTTGAAGTCCTCTACCTCAATCTCACCGGCATCGATAGCATCGAAGAATTCTTCGCCATCCGACTCAGAATCGTAGAGACTGCTAAGCCTGGATGGCTTCCTGCTGAGGGTAGGCCTGGTTTGTGGTTGCTCGGCAGGTTGTTCTTCATCAGCCTTCTCGGGAACACCGGCCTCAGTTTGGCTTGCTTCCAGACTCGGGTTCTCGGTTGGAACACGGGACGGTCCACCGATGGAACGGCTGCTGCCCGTTGCACTCTCCAGGGCTTCCTTCAGGGCCCGCTTGGTCCGCTTTCGCTTCTCTTCGGACTCGCCCATCTTGGATTGCAGCTCCTCGTGTTCGCGAGCCACACGAGCCATGCTCTCTTCCCACATCTGACGAATGGATTCTTCTCTGCTGAGACGAGACTGCCAGTATTGATCCCGGTCCCGTGAAATTTTAAGAAGGTTCTGCACTAAGCCTTTGAGACTGCTGACTGCAGCTTCATAGGCACCGAGAGCCTGTTCGAGGGCAGGATCCGCAATGGTCATTTCGGGGTTCTTTGCCTTTTCAGACTGCAACGAAGCGGCCACATTTGCAAGAAGGTCCAATTGAAGCTTCGCAGACTGTGCGGTAATATTCAGAGCATCTTTATCGGTGGCGGGCATTTCGTGCTCGTGGCTGGAAGCATAGTCGACGAATTCTTCGTCTTCATCTCCTTCAGGCGCAGTCGTTACATGGCTGATAGATCTGTTCATGTCATTGGGAGGGTCATAAGAGCCACCGTAGACGGAACCATCTTCATCTCCACCCGGAATATCGAGTGTCGTGCGAGAGGCATATGTGCTCAGCCTTGTCCCACTGCTGCTAGCACCTCCTAGAGAAGGTGGAGCCAGGCCCTTGGTGCTAGGCTTGTGAGAGAGACCAGATTCAGAAGGTGTGTCTGCGGCACGTCCTTCAGTCTGGTCAATCTTAGCTTGGCGAAGGAGATCTGCATTCTTCGAGCGCTGTCGCTCTTCCTCTTTGGCCTCATCCTTGGCCCACTGGATGGCGTTGTTGAGAGACCAGAACCAGCGTTTTGCCTCGACAACATGATTGGCCTTGAGGTGATATTTGACGGATGATTTGCCGTGGATTTCAAAGCGCGTTTTGTCTTGTGCATCCATATTAAGTCTAGCAATCTTCATATTAATCGCACCGCGACAGGCAGATCCTGCGTCATCTATTTAAGAAAATTAGTATGATTTTCAAAAGAAAGCACCTAGCCATGCAAAGATGCCCGTCTAACTCACCCTGGTGCTTGTAATAACTCAAAACTCCATCTTCCAGAACAAACCAGCGCAACTTGTACCCAGTGGTATAATTGGTCCATTTCTTGAGATATCCTCTCATCTCGCGGGCATCCTTGCCTGCCAATGGCGCATCGCCAATAGATGCACGGCCAGCAAGTCCTTGGGCGTTGCTATTTCCAAGAATAGCCTTCTCCTGAATACCACGTTGAGCAATAACAGCGGCTGGAGATCTTTTCAAGAGTGCGCGAGTCTTATCATCTTTAGTTACATCCTGTGGAAGCTTTCCCTTCTTGTCACGGCGGAAAGGATCAGCGCCATGCGTCAAAAGAATCTCAATAAGCTGCGCATCTTTATTCCTAGCACCTTCGTGCAGTAGTGTACCGCCGGATTGGGCAGTGGTTCGATCGGTAACCAGCTCTTGGCTGTTCACATCCATAATACCCTCAACGCGAGGTTCCTCCAGCAAGGACTCCAGATTCTTGTAATCAGCGTTCGCAATCAAGGACTGGATTTCCTGATTCTTGCTATCGATGAAGAGGGACCGGGAAAGCTGAAGTTGCTGGAAAATCTCAGGGGTGCGTGCCATATCCAGGGCCGTCTGACCCCGATAGTTGACAATAGAATCATTGATCAGCGGCCTGTTCAGCAATTCGCGAACCAGAGGACCCCGGCCCAGCTGGGCCGCAATGTGGAGTGGTGTGTTTCCCTCGCGGTCTCGCGAGTTGATATCCAACCCCTCCGCGGCGGACAGCACGTATTCCACGACCTGCGGCTCGGCGCATTGCAGAGCCAGGTGGAGGACGGTGGTTCCGTTCAGACCGTTGACACCCTGCGGGTCCGTAGTATCGTTGATAGCCTTGGAGATGGCAGTGGTATCCCCGCTGCGCAGGATCTCGAAGAGACGAAAGGTGCGAACCGACTGCTCCAGAGACATGCTGCCACTCTCCATCTGGGTTAAGGAGGGCAGATCTTCCACCGTGTCCATGTCCTCGTTGGATTCTTCAATGGCCGGGGGAGGACTCGGGTCTTGGGTCTGTTTGCGACGGCTGCTGCTGCGGGTGTGTTTCAAGGAGGCGTTCGAAGAGGCAGAAGTAACCGAGTTGTTGTCGTCGTCCATTTCTTTGTCTTCACCCTTGGATTTGTCGCGGTGGAGGAGGGCAAGTGCTATGGCACTTCGAGAGCGCTTGTGTCTGGGAGGAAGTGGCATATTAGTATCACATGAAAAGGTATGATGCAACAGGGCAGGGGTTCGAGGATTCCCAGAGGCCCAAGTGAAGACGTGAGAGCCACTGATGACTTCGCCTCTTAACTCATAACCATGGATCAGGCACGGGTACTCACCCTTCGGGTCGTTCAGACATGTTGAACTATTCCCAGTACATCAACGTGTACTTGAAGGGAACGGGAGGAGGAAGTTCGAGGGGGCTTTGGGCTTTGTTTTGGGGGGCAAATGACGCTGATCCCCGCCTTGGCAACTTGAAGCCCTCGATCGCGATCGTATCGAACATTGTTAAGTATATTCATTGTACACACACTTGCTTAGAGCAAGGTCTAGATCTATCATACAGTATATCTTCGTGCTTATCGAGTCTCTCCGCTGACCAAAACAACAACACTGCCTAGTTGTCGCTTCAGGTCCTCCCTGCCGACATCGTGGGTATCTTCAACCTCACCCCACATGTCGGTCTGCCACTTCACCTCCAAGTTGGCTGCCTCAGCCGCCTGATCAATGCCAAACTTGTTCACATCATGGCGCTGGATGTGACGGAAGTTCTCACTCCACTCCGTCAACAGACGAACCGCAATGAGAAGACTCTTGGATGCAAGGATACCACGCTCAAGACCAGCCAGGTCATGAGCAGACAGCTCCGAAACCCAAGTGCAGATACTTTCCTTCGTAGCCTTAGGCTGAGAGAGAGGCAGAATGCTCTCAGAGTCGAGAATAGGAACAATCTCTAGACCGGGCCAGACCTTTGTAGACAAGAAGGCCATGATATCCTTGGCGACGCGCATTTGAATATCCCGTAGGCTCTCGGTACGCTCATCAGTCTCATCAGACTTGCGCTCCAACCAGTGAGATTCCCCCCGCTCGGGCTCCCAGCAGAGCAGGGTATCGGTGTCTAGATAGCGCATGGCAGTTGTGATAATTTGGCTTCGGGTGGTATCCACTCCCTGGGCATCTTCGCGGGCGATATCGGTGGCACGGGCTGCGAGGGAGGTCATGGGGATGAGGTGGCTTTTGAGAGCCTGTTGGGCGGAGGTCATCACATCCCACTCCAGGGCGACGGCATGGGCGAGGTGAGGCTTTGTAGGAGGAATTGAGAGCACTTCTTTCGTGGGTGTTCTCACGGGTCGCTTGTCAAGCAGGACTTCATATTCGTCTGTACAGGATACGTTAGCGAGTCATCCGGAGATCAGACTAGCAAGGACAGCGATGAAGTTGCCGCTACGTTCATACCTGACTTTCCGTTCACATGGACATCCTTCCAGAACCGCTTCTTGAGCGCGGCAGTAAGCTTGGGGGTACGTTTTGATTCAATCTCGGGTTCTTGAGAATTTAATCCTGCGGGTTCCTTGAATTCTGGCGAAGCATCCGGAGCTTTGGGAGGAGGGCCGTGGGCAGTGACTGGGTGTGCGACGGCCGATCTGAACGGAGATGAATGGATGCGCCGGCAAAGCGACACGGGGTTCTTAGCAGCAGCTGATAACTGCGACGAGAGCGCAGCGCGAGGGAGAGCCATTATGCGTTGGACAGAGCAATAAAAGAAAATCGAGTAGATGGAGGTTCCTGAATCCTGAAGTTCCGAAGGAACTTTTCGAGGTCTTGGCCCGCACGCGCCACAGCTTTACCTGTCTTACTTGTCTCTCTTCATTTGTCGATCACGGTTTATTTCTACAACGATCTACGCTAGGTCTTCTGCAGTATTGCATTAGAGGTACTATGACAGATCATAACGAATTGCGTTTTTCCCTATTAGAAATTACCAGAGCAAAAACCAAGAGAAGACTCGAAAAGACCGCCCGCGCATCTAAGAAACGACCAACGCTCAGGGGAATCGAAGCTGGAAGAAAGAGTCATGCAAAACGACATCCGCCCATGCTTTTGTAATTTACAGAAAATAGAGATGAAAAAGGACGTTAGGCCTCTGTGCGACGAAAAGGTTGCACATCTAGAAAATTGGTCGTCACGGCATTTCGTCATAAGCCAGATGGCTACTCATTTGATGAGGTATTGGGGGTAATAGGGCTGCTTGGTTCGATCAGCGTCCGTTCGCTTCTTCATACGCTCGGCGTCGTAATCATCAGCGCCGTCACGGCTACCCCATGTAGTCTGGAAGAGGAAAAGTCAGTAAATGTGCGGAGAATAGGATCAAAGCGTTGTGATGCCGAGATATCATAGGAAGAATACGAGAGGGGCTCGCGCTTGGACGAGACATACCACATTGAGTGTCATCACTGCATACATCTTGATTGCGCCGTGGAAATAGCCGAACAGGATGGAGACTGGCAGCAGGAAGACGTCGACAGGGTAGCGAAGATAGTGGCCGAGGAGCTTGATCCATTTGCTGGTGAAAATCCACATATACAGAGCAGTCATGGAGCGATCATGGAAGACTTCACCCCACTGTCCAGTGGCCTTGTGACACAGCCAAATAAGTAACAAGTCACCGATTAGGGCAGGCGGCGATAAGGTGGTCAAGTGAACAGCATAAGCACTCCATGGTTGACGACTATAAAGATTAGCATGGCTCATCGGATTCCTAGGATAGACACTCGATAGACACCGAGCATCTTCTCCAATCGGGGCAACTTACTACCAAATGTGCTTCTCGTGGAACATCGACGTCAGATTGCTCCGCCAATTACTTCTGGACCAGCGGGCGCATTGCTTCAAAAACCGGGGGTTGTCCTCCAGAGTGGTAAGAACCTCGGCCTCCGGGTGGTACTGCATATAAGTTTCCCATCCATGCGAGACCATCCAACGGGTGATAAAGTTATCATCATCGGCGTTGAGTTGGTACTTCCCCCACCACCACTCTTCATTGGTGAAGGCATAAGTGAAGCCTTCGTTCTGTAGGATTCGCGTCCGATACGCAACCGTCCGTCCCGACATGCAGGGAAGGCCACCGTCCACATGGGTTGTCGCGCCGCAGTCAAAGTTGCGGCGTTCCAAGTACAACGCGCCCAAGAAACCCCAGACTCGCTGTGAGAGGCTCGGTTCAATGGCACGACGCAACCGCTGGCAGGTCACCACACCGCCGTACTTTTCGTCCTTTTCAAAGGGCGCCAAGATCCAGGGGAGCAGGGTCCGGGGCCAACTCACGTCGTCGTCCGCAAGGAGAGTAATGGCAGTGCGGACTTCGGGGATCGCCCGGGTCATCTGACGCCGCTTATTGGGGTGCATGACCGTGAACAAGCGGATTCGTGACTTGGAGGCTGGCATGGCACTCAGCATTCTTTCGGCCTTTTTGCGATTGGCCTCGATGGTCACCAGGAGCAGTTCAAAGGGCTGATTGTCGAGAATTGTCCGTATTGTCTCCACCAATTCATCGCCACAGCCCTCTAGTGTTGGAATGATGACCGTGACATCTTGAGATGTCAATTTGGGGTTCTCTGGGGGAGGAATTGGCTTGAATGTCCAAAAGGAGAACAGGTTCAAGACGAGGCGAGTGTATCGATAGACACTGGGGTTGTTAGTCTAGTTTCCAACATTGCCATAGGCAAATCTAAAAGGGAAGATACTCACAATAGCGCGACAAAGGCTCGCAGAAACGGAAATGCCATGTTCCAAACTCGATACCAGAGGCAATTCGCTTCACCCAATATGCCAGGCAAAAACGAATGTCAGGGAGACCAAGCTTCCAAAGAAAAGGAAAGGGGAAAACGGAAAAATGAAGTACTTTAGGGAAAGCCGATTAAAAGTAGAAAAAGCACATGTGAACAATTAAATTTCAATAATAATAATCTGAAAAACGGCAAATCCCAAAGGAGAAAAGACTAAAAAAGCTATGCCCCAGTCTCTGTTGTCGTTTTGAGTGTGCTGCAGGTGTAGTTTTGCCTCGTGCGTCAGAGACCCTGGATCTAGATGGAGGGTGGAGAGGATGGCCCATGCATGGGTATGTTACCGTCAGATCATATGTTATATTCGACTGGAAACGCTGTGGGGAAGTGTATTTGATTGGGCTTGAGTCTGTCGATCTATATAAAGGCAACCACGTACTTGTGTATAGGAGAACAAATCCGAGTATAGGATACTATACTACGTACACACTGAATACTTGTCTGCTGATTTGTGGAACAACCCCGACGGTCTATAAACCCATAACCAAATTCTGACAATACTTTTAGCGCCTTGAGAATTCAAAAGTACTACAACACGGCCGAATCGTCAAAGCTCCATAGATCGACCGAACGAGCTGTAGTATCGGGCATAGTTAAACGCTGGGCGTGCACCACCCCCCCAAGATGGATTCTTTAATTTTAACGTGCATGCCAAATGGTCGGAAATCACAACCTATGCCAAATGCTTAGACTGGAGCCGAACTGGTAAACCGGTAATCCTAGTGGCGATCGCCAAATTGCCCGTGCGACCTAGTTCGTACAAGCTCGAGTGGAGCTCGCTAAACAGGTGGCCTGATAACGAAATATTTACTACATAGTAAAAGGCAAAGAGGCATGAAAGGTTGGTGGCGTGAAGTGTAAAGGAAAGTCACGGTACTCGAACCGTGCCCATTAGTAAGAAGGCAACCTCGGAACCTGGAACTATTCCGTACACAACCTGGATAACCTGACTCGACATAGGCATCTTACATGGACCTACATGAATGGATATCCACAAACGGTCGACTCCTTCCTCTCTCGTCGAGCACGGTCTTAGACAACCGCAGACTCGCGCCAGTATCGCTTTGGCGTCTAATGAGAGGCATCCCTAAGGCCAGCCTTAGCGGAATGGAGCACGGAGGATCCCACCTGCTGCAAAAGGCCAGATGTGGATATGACCACAATGATCGTCGAAAACTCTGGCTACGCAATCGGGGTTTGTGTATTGAAACTCTTTCTCGCTAAGGCCCCTCCTGCACAGGCCGCAGTTCCGCGGGCTTTTTTGCCAAACCCCGGTATGATTTCAAGCTGCAGAATTTCCCTCTTGGATCAACTCTGCATATAAGTTCCGGCCGAACCGGGGACCGATTGGAAGAATTAGCCACGGTGTTAGGCCGATTCGCCAGGACAAGGTGTGAAACAGACGCGTATCTCGGCTGCACGGACATCCCCACCTCGGGAATGGCCGGACATCTATACAAGCATGTAAGAATATAGTAAATGTATAGTACAGTAATAGAATATGTGTAATAGAATATGGGTAATGTGAAGGAAATGTACGATGTAAGATATGAACAGGTACTGTGTGCCGTGTCAAAGTATAACTAAATGGGGGCCAAATGTCACGGGAAAAGGGGCGATGACTTGCAGGACGATCAGACTTTCCCCTCTCTTGGCCCCAAACTTCTTCTTGACTTTTGACAACCGCATTGTCTGTTCTCATACCCCTCAAGTGTGTATGGAGACTCGAATCCACAGCGGGTAGAGCTCGAGTCAGCATTTATCCACTCTAAACCTTCGACTTTCGACTTTCGACTTTCGACTTTCAGCTTCAACTTCGAATTATCATAGATCTGGTGGCAACGACTATGCAGGGGACCACTTAAGTACATGCACAGTACTACCTAAGGGAGTAGTTTCCACTTGAAACAGGATGCCAAGAGAACTTTTGCGCTCAGGATCATTGGCGTACTGGAAGGTACAATCATCCGAGCCATTCTGGCCACTCGCATTCTGGCGGGTTTAGCTGCAGCTATGGCTACGGTGGCTGCATCCTACTGCAACTATCGCTCTAGTCTCGGGATAATCACCGACTTGGGATCCACTGGTATTTCTGTTACTGTATTTATCCGGAGAACAAAGGACATTTATATCCGATTTACACCACACCCACTTCATCAACCTAACTATACTGACCTGATGCTTTCTTTGAACTTGCGCTCCACTATTTAGTGTCAGCCGTCACAACCTCTACGAGTAATGTAGCACTCGGATCCGACCTTGCGGCTCTGAAGTACGTGGACAGTCGCTTACAGCTTATCTGTGCGCGCTCCGACCCCCATCCTTTGTTCCGGTAAAAAAGGAAATAGAATTGTTATTATTAGGATAATATATCTTACATTAATCTACGGTACTGTGTAGATTGTACCTCAGCCTCTAGACCCAAGTTCGAGATGGTTCTCCTGCACTATAGATTGCAATGGAGGGTATATAGCCCTAACTATACCACCCCAGTTCAGCCCTCCGCGCAACACCTCGTATACATGCACTTCCCAATTGACTACCAAATATGCATAACGCCAAAGATCGCAATACGCTCGGCACGCATCTCATGACGTCAAGCCACAACTCCGGGCTCGTTCATGCACCGATGCACGAAGTGACCGGGGGTCCTACGGAAATGCGGCAGGAGATGCAGACTTCTGTCCATTGACTAAGCATAGCGATGGCTATAGTCGCAGCGGCATGCACCTCGTGCTTCCCCCCGGCACTAATGCGCCCAATGACCAGGAATCCTGATGTGTTGGCCGAGAAAAGAATTGAAAAATACCTTTCTAGAACCCATGCTCGTGCAGAACTCATTTACGCCATATGCAGGTGCGTCTGGAGACTCGACGTTGGCCGTTGAAATAGGCTGTGCAATGTCTTAGCCCTTGACTTCAATCAGGCAACCCGTCTTGCTGTTCTAGGCTTTGGACATCTGTTTTGCTTCTTTTTATAGACGTCTTGTGATACTCTGTTATGCTTGGTCCTTGGTCTGTGTTTGTAATAGATTGGTACTCATTTAAAATAGCAATATGCCATATTAAATGCCCGTTTCAGCCCTACCAGATCGGATCGTGGCCACTTACTGAGCTTGGCAAGATGAGCGATCTGGACTAATATCTTCGTCTAGCGACTGTTTACTCGGCAGGCCTCCATAGCCAACCTGCAGGGTCAAAACAAGATTCGAAATCGACACCACCGAACAACCCAATCGCTCCATACAAGTCGAAATTGCCTTCCAGACCTTCGACGCCCCCGGAGTCTGCATCAACCTCTTCATGCAGATTCCAGCCCCCGGCCCTCTGTCCATTTCGAGTAAAGAAGATCTCCACCTCGCAGGTCTTCTTTTTGCCATCTGTCCCGACGTCCAGATTGTCAGGAAGAGAAAACTCCATCCCAATCCCAACGGTCTCTCCAACCCTAAACGCAGTGGTGAAATCCCGACCCCCAAAGGAATCATTGACAAACCGACACCCATCATCGGAGAATACTCCCAATCCACCCCGTTCCCAACCAGGCGATCTCCAAGAGGGATAAGGCTGAGCCGCAAACCCGATAGAAATCCCACTATCATCACCAGCAGGCCCAGCCCTGAAGGCCAACACCCTCACCTCAAAGTAAATAATCTTCTTCTGCTCGCGCACAAACGGCGAGTCCATGGTAGGAAAGTACATGGGCAACTGCGTCATAACAACACAATCCCCATTCCGGTCCGCACTATGACCATTCCAGCGTCCACGTGCGGTAGCAGTAACCTGACCATGCAATTCGCTCGGATGAACAGGTCTCAGATCATATGCTTGGACATCACTGTAGACAACATCTGAAGGCCGAGCAGGCAACCAAAGAGGCACATTGTCGCAGAAGTCGTGTGCTCTCTGGGCGTCGTCTTCTGAGGCGTTGCCGGTGCCTGACTGGAGGTAGCCTGTTATTGGTGGCGGGGGGAATGTGGCGGTGTCTGGGACTGCATCTTGCCAGTTGTGGTATGGTGGTGGGTTGGCCTCTGCCTGCATCTGATACTGAGTCTGCGGCTGGAACTGTGGCTGGCCGGAGATTGACTGTGATGCATCATAGCTTGGCGGTAGATCCTGAGGCTCTCTTCTGAAGGGGTTCATGACTGCAGATGTGGCTGGGATGTATATTGTGGGGAAATGAGATATTGATTGTGTCTGATGGAGGGAATACAAGGCTCAGTTGGTTGAAGTGAGAAGTGAGAGTGCCAAGCGGGGGGCAGTGCCAGTTTAACGTTGAACTTCCGATATTTGATCCAAGTTCTCTTTGAATCTTAGACAGAAGATATTTCAAACTTGACTGTCTCTTCTTTGTCCGATGCGGTGTAGACCACATTGGAAACTCTGGATCTGCACATGCTTGTCGACTCTTTGATACTAACTTGGGTGGTATTGAGGTAGAAACCAACAGTATAATAGTGTCAATACACTATAAGTTGTCTATACTACTGCCCGTGTGAGATGTCAAATATGAAGCTAAGAATAGGCCTGCAGGTTTCAGACGCAGTGACCAATGCAACATAGTGGCGGGTTTTAGAATTTCTCTTGATTCACTGAACGTGTCTCTTTTTTTTTCTTCTTCCAACTCGTATGGCCTTGGGGCCTTTTGTCTCTCGTTCTTCTTCACATATCGCATAACCTCTGATTTCTCTGTTTTTCTGCTCCCCACAGCTCACAACATCTCTGCGATTTGCCTCTCCTTGGGTCGCTCGGATAGCTGTTCAATGTCATTCGCTTTCTTTCAGTAACTACTCGGTCGCATTCAATGAGGATGTTGGAGCAGCCCCGCAGGTCGCGTCGATCGTCGATCACTGAACATCTCAACCGCGTGTTTAACAAGTCCCAGGAGGTGAGTATAGCATATCAATCACTGAACGCATGAACTGAATTTTTCTAGAAACGCTACAGTTCTTATGGTGACATTGTGCCTCCGGCTGTGCGTCGTGAGGCATTTGGGCACGAAAAGAGAGCAAGCGAACATTCGTGGAACACGCGCTCGTTGAACGATGACACTGGTCCAAGTTCAACTTCCTATTGTTCCATGCACTCTCGTTTGCCTTCTACTGGCACACCTGGCTCTAGCCCATCAGTCGCACCGGTTGGAGCCCCTGAAGATGACACGCCAACTCAGCCAATGACACCGCTGGCCATTAGCAAATCCAACGATGGAGACAAGATCTGCAAATCCCCAACCTGGGATACAAGCAAAAAGGAAAAACGCGTCACAAAGCGATTGGAGGCTGAGAGGAAGGAACTCGAGAAGCGTTTGCAAGCCCTCGAGGAGGCTCAACTCAATGTAGACCATGGAATCTACGACAGGAATTCCCGTCGACTGACCAAGAAGCAACCTGTCAGCACCTCGAGCAGATCTTCCAGTGCAAACAGGGAACGATACCGATCGTCTAGCTTCTCTTCGCTTTTTAGACGCTCTCGTTCAAACTCCAATGCCAGTGATACCGACTTCAAGTGTGCCGATGCCAGCCAGCTTCGAACAGATACTAATCCCCCATCTCTACCTTTGACTCTGCCAGAAAGATTTGGCACAGCCATCACTCGAGAGCTGGCTTCGAAACACGGCACATCTTTGAATCTATCCGCCCACCAGCAAAAGCAGAACCAGCAGAACCCAATGAACTCGGCAAATTCAATGCAACGCCGACTGGCCCTGCATTCGGCAGCCAAGTCTGATGACCTTCGCGAGAGTTGGAAAATGGCCGAGGCATGGAAGACAAAGAATGACGAAAATGTTCCAAATCCGCTAATGCCTGAGCAGACACAGGGCAATGTCAGTGGCTTGCCTAAATCCCCACACGGTGCTCAAGGTAGCGAGAATACTATCCCGCGTGACTTGGATCGTGAGCAGTTCTCTGCGGTGCTGAAACACGATCGGAAGAGTGCTCCAGTGAAGGACCACTCCCTTGAGCGTCTCAATCAGAATGATCGCTCAACCAGGGTTGTCAGCATGCCAATATCGAAAACCTCCACACAAGCTGACCTTCATCAGCATGCATCGCCCGTTCTCAAAGTGTCCACAGCGCGGCAGCTGCAGGCAATCCCCCCTCCAGAAACTATAGAGAGTGTATCAAGTTCATCTGCTGCATCAACCGTTGCATCAAATCATCCTCTCAACCTGATGCATGCAAACTCTACAGGGAACCTTGTCAAACCAGTTCGGTTGGACCCCAATACCCATACTCAACCAAAGATCTACAAATCTTCCCCTCTTGCTTTGAACCCTGCAACCACGGACGACATGGCTCAGAGAAATTCTAGGATCCCAAAGGCACCGACAATGTCAGATCTCCATGCCAACGCATCGCAGCAAGCACGATACCCCCTTCAGCCACTTCAGCGTGATGACGCTCGAGGGAGAAGTCGCTTGCCTACATCTTCTGGTACCAGCCAGCAGAGTCGATTCAAGGAAAACTTTCATGAGGGTCCAGAATCATCTGAACCGCCACAGATACCGACCAAAAGTAAACGGCGAAGTCAAGACAGCTGGAGGCAATCAACTGCTTCAATTGATAATGGTTCACCGCATGCATCAAAAGACGGTCCAGCTCCTTTCAAGGTGGCTGTTGTCCAATCTCCTTTCCACACGGGTAATTCTTCCTCTGATGAGAAATCTCATACGTCCTCCGACAAGGAGAACAAACGGACATCCAAAAACCTGTCCGATGGTAACTCTGTTCCTGCAAGATCTCCCCGTCGAAGCTCTTACAATTCGAATGATACATTGGGGAACCAGGAGAAGCAAAGGGGACCTGGAGGATTCATTTCAGGGCATAACCGCACGCCGTCATACACTTCTTCCCATGATGGACATTCGAACTACGATACTGCGGATGAGGATGCGGCTGATTCTCCCGGATTGCACCGCGACCCACTGAATCGCGTGGAAACTCAGCCCGAGGCCACCACGGAGACGACTCCCAAAGACCTCCCTGCAAGTCGACCGCCTCAACATGGCAGCCAACTCAGTGACCAACCTGATACTCCTCCGCTCAAAAACGGCCCTATGAGTAGTTTGAAAGGAAGGTCCCAAAAGAACAAACCGCCTCGCATACCCCAAACCATCGCCAAAATCTTCGTTATCTGCTGCCGCTGCAAATACTGGCAAGACATGCCTTCCGACGTCTACGCCCGACTTGCCTGCCCAGAACGTCTTGGTACAGAGTTTAAGCTTGGTCGATCCCGTTCAAAGAAGCATAATGTGCTCATCCCAAACCACAGTAATAACCGGCGACACTCTGGCTCACAAACATTCGGAAACCTTTCTATTTCCCGTGGCTCTCGGACTACACCTGATTTACGCCCAGCTCCTCTTTCGCCTCATAAAGTTACTTGCTGCTGGTGTGGTCACAACATGAGCCGGTCTTGCTGTGAGGGATGGACTACAATTGTTGAGATGCGCGAGCGTCATCATTGAGGGTCCACAAGTGATTGGTCTGATAGACCTAAATGAGGCAATATGGATGATGAGCTACTAACTTACGAAATGATTGAGTCATGATGTTACGATTAATTTTTATATCTTATTTGTTTCATGTTAGAATCCGAACCCCTCATAGTTTGCGGTTTCAGCCATGTTTCGGCCCAGATTCTTCTGTAGATTAATTTGATTTATGAATATGCATTTTGTGAGTTTCAAGTAGATCTCCTAATCATGCCATTGACCAAAATTTGATAGATGCATGTTCTATTTAGCACAAATGTATAGATCCAGTTCGCCAATTGTGAAAGTGGCTGAGATGACTCAGCAGGATGACAGCCCGCGCTGTTCTCTATTTTTTTTTTTTCCTCTCTTCACTCATCTCAACCAACACCCTCTGGAGAAGACAATATCTCTACAGAATCTAATGTGCATTCTGATGGCATCTGTCAAATAAAATAATCTACACTAACAGCTTCAGATCATACAGTCAACGACTCAATGACCTCCACACGCCGTCTCAGGCGTCAAAATCAGATCAAATCAGATCAGCCATTCGCAACTTTTCAGTCCAGCTGTCCCAGTCCATACCCGGATATATTCAAGGACCCTCTTTGAGGACAGTCACCGCAGCGTCACGTCTTGTGGCCGCGACCGACTGGAGCTGGATTGCGAGCCGGGGTTCTTTCGAGGATCTCGGCTCACTTGAAATTCATAAGTTGCCAGAGCAATAAAGGGCCTTCATAGTTCATGTTATACTTGCTCGAGTCTTCCCTTTGGGTAAACTTTGTCTACGAGAGCATGACTCCTTGCGCACTACATTCATATACAAATGAAATTTATTGCTTCTCAGTACATCAGTCCATACTGTAGACCTCATAGTCTGCTCTTCGCCTTCTCGTTGCCAACAACATTGACAACAACCTTGCCCCAAGTCTCCCGACCACCCAGCGCCTGCAAGGCCTTGGGCACACTCTCCAGCCCAACAAAGCTCTCATCCTTGAACGCAGTGCCCCTAAACTTCCCTTGAGCAACAAGATCAAAGATTCCCTTCCAAACATCACCGACAGTTTCGGTCTCAAACTTGGCATACTGTCCCCAATGCAGCCCAACCAAGCTAACATTCTTCAACAGCACACGGTTCAACGCAACCTTCTCAATCTTCCCAGCCGCAAACCCAATAACCAACAAGCGCGCATTCCAAGCAACACACTTCAAACTCGCCTCCATCATACCAACAGGATCATAAACAATATCCACACCGGCAGCCCCATTCCCACTTCTCTTCTCCTTACACAACTTCTTCACCTCCTCCGGCCAAGCCTTATTTCCATAATCAATTACGTAATCTGCGCCGAACTCGCGCGCAATCTGCCTCTTTCTCTCTGTCCCAGCAGTAGCAACAACAGTCGCCCCCATAGCCTTGGCAATTTGCACAGCAGCAAGTCCGACACCACCCGCAGCAGCATGAACAAGAACCCAATCGCCAGCCTTCACCCCAGCACGGTGAACAAGACCCCCATAAGAAGTAGGCGCAGTCACGAATAACCCAGCCGCATCTTCGAAGCTCCATCCAGCTGGAACGGGGAGTAAGGTGTGCTCAGGTGCGAGGACGTGAGTCGCATAGGCGCCCTGTGTAGCGCCGAAGACGCGGTCGCCGACTTTGAAGCGCGGGTTCTTGGAGGAGGTTGGGAGAGTGGTGATTGTGCCGGCGAATTCGGCGCCGCCGATCCACGGCAATGGTGGTTGGTGTTGGTATTTGCCTTGGATCTGGAGGATGTCGAAGAAGTTTGTGCCCGCCGAGTGGATTTCGATTAGGTATTTGTCTGTTGCTGGGGTTGGGGTTGGGACGTCGGTTACTTTTAGGTCCAGGGGGCCCTGTAGTATTTACAGATTAGTTTGGTTTGTAGGGTAGAGTGTAGATGGTTGGTAGGTACCTTGACGTATTCGCTGACTTGGACGGCACGCATTTTGAGACTAGGTTTGGTTTTGGTGTAGATTTGAAATTGGTATCGTCAAATATTACGATGGGATGGTTGAAGAAGAACAATGGAGATATAATTGAAAAGAAGAGCTGTAGAAGAGCTTGGTTTTCCCCGCGTGAAAGATGCCGAGGTTGCTTTTCGGATAACTTGAGGCGCTTGGCGGGTCTGAACACCGACATACAAAGAGCAATATCATAAATCTGTTCAGTGATGTATCAGTTAATTTCTATAAACCTCGTCAGTGTAATATTTGATACGTTTTTGTGACTCAACTTGGCCTCTCTCTTTCCACCTCTTTTGGAGTGCTTTGGGTTGATTGATCTAGAGCATGGAAAGCTGCGTGGAAAATGGACTCGTGACCTTTGTTGTGCCTTTATATACTTATTCATTCAACCGTAAATGTAGACTACAAATTATAGATTCAGAGGTATCAATATATACAAGTCCTGTTCAACGCCAGACTCCAACAAATAACCCCCCAAAAGCACAGCACCGGGTATGACAAGACAAGACAACCACCCATATTTCACATATTCAAATCAAAAGGTATCAGGTATCACAGGTATTTAATAATATAAGAAAGGAAAAGGAAAGAGTCAGCCCCTAATAGCCGATGCCAGGGGGCTTCTGGTAGTGATCTTGACCCATATAAGGCATGATGGGAGCGCACATCACCGACTGCGGACCAGACTGCGTATGAGAAGGAGACATCACTGTCTGAGGCTGACCATGGGACTGGCCATGCATCTGCTTCCTGTCGGCATGCTCCCGTCCAGCAGATTGCCCACCCATGTCATATTGCAACGACATGGCACGCTTCCAGTTCTTGTCGCCATAGCCATGGTGATAGTCATGTGCCTCGCTCTGGTAGTGAGGGTACTGGTGGTAGACGTGACCTGAGGCAGGCGGGAGGTAGCCAGTTAATGAAGGAGGAATAGGGGCAGCTGTCTGAGCGACGCCGTTGGGAGGAGTGATAGCCTCAAAAGGCAGTTGGAACCACTGGGCAGAATTGAGGCCGTAGTCAGCAGAGACAGAGCGAGGAGGCCAGGCAATCCCGGGAGTAGTGTTTGCAGTGCCACCAGGGCTGGGCAGACACGATTCCGGAGACAGAGGGTAAGCGGAGCTTGCAGGGTAAGACGGGGCCATGGCGGAAGTGGTGTTCACCATCAGGGCCTCGCCGACGGGAGAGGCGTGGGCGTGGTCAAAGGATGTCGCGGTTGGGCTGAGATCTGGGTAGGAATTGGAGTGGACTGCCGAGCGGTCCGACACAAGGGTATGCTCGCCCGATGGACTAGGCGTGAGTTGCTGGACGAGAGGCGAGTTCCATTTGGCCTGAGGGTGGTCCTCTGAGACGGGGGCGTAAATAGACTGAGCACCAGGCCAGTCATGGCGAGTTCTTGGGGGATCTCTGGGTAGTGGGCGTTGAATTGAAGGTTGCCGGGTCACGTCTCTGTCTGAGTCTGGCTCGGCGCTTGAGCTGGACTGGGCCTTCTTGCGAGTTTGACGAGACGGCTTGGTGACTCGCCACTTCTTCAGTCTGCTTCGTAGTTGGGTTTCACTGTGCAGTGTCAGGAGAACTCTGGACATTGAAGGCGATCAACGCACCTTGGATTGAAATCATCGGACCGGATCTGCTTGATGACCTGCTTCAATGGCCATTCCTCTTCCATGTACAACTTTGCAATCAACGCTTTCTTCTTCTCCCATACATCCGACGAAATCGAAGTTTTCATCCTTCAAAGGACAGAAACGCACTGTCCACGCAAAGGGGGGAGGGGAGAAAGAAAGAGTAGAAAACAATAAGACCAATGATCAGCGAAGGTAAAAAAAAAAAAAGAGACAGGAAACGGGCGAGACAGGAATATAAGTATGGCGCGGGGGGGGGAGGAGTGGAGAGGAACCGGGGAGGAACAAATATAGAGGTGTTTGTTAGGGCCAGTCCTCTATTGTCCCGTCGATCAGATCATGACGATAACATCCTTGACATGGTTATTAGCTGTGGATCTCTCGACGATCCTTGAAATACACTTGACATCTGCTTTTACTATTCCCAGTCAGGTGCTTGGCGCATTCTAACAAAGCAATACCAGGCTCCGAATTGGATGGATCACCTCTGACAGCCAACACACACTACGCTACACACTACACCTTGCTTTTCTTTATCTCTCTATGCTAGTCGACCTGTTCCATTCGGTATGGATTCACCGGTATCAAGACCCGGAAGCCGGGACCACCCAGAGACCCAGAACGGACAGATGGAGTCGTGATTTACAGTGCGTCTCCGCCGTGATAAGCCTGTGTCTAGCTTCATCCGCGGAGTTGGTTTAGATCTCTCTCCTCGTGGTCGCCGATCATTTCGGGATTTCCACACGAGACATTTTGTGGTTCTGCACCCCCCCCGGTGAATCTTCCCAAAACGAAGGGAAGCCGTTGGAGATTCGGAACCTTAGACCCTGACTCCATTCTCCTGGAATATTGGACCTCCCATGTGAGTTTCGGATCACATCATGTGCCTAGAATCCTACTGGGAACTATCGACGGGGCCCATCTTCCTGGGAACGCTTCTCCAGACCCAACTTGGTCCGCCCAACTGAACTAAGACGGATGGTGTCTGGACTAGTGTCAAGCCCCTCATGACTCGGGCCAATGGCTAAGGCATCCGTGGAGTACCGGTTCGTGCGAATGCCAATCGATCTGGCAAGCTGATCGCCATGGATCTGCCCGGGTCCTCAATAGTGGATGTTGGCAAGCTCCACGTTTTGTCTGCCCGGAAAACCACCCAATGGGAGCCCAACCAGACTCAGTACTATATACAATCAGGGCTAGTCTCGAGACACAGAACGTTTTGCTTGACGGGGGAGATGCTGAACCTGCACGGTTCCGACAGGGGCTGCCACTGCGTCTTAGTTTCCCCGCTGCCAATCACTGTTCTCCGTGCATATGTCACATCCTTCACCGGAGGTTGAGCTGTGGTTCAACATCTTCAATCGAACCTATGGGTTGAAGCTCTCCAACGGAAGTGAGAATCTGGAGAAATGCCGCCTTGCCTTGAGTCTCCATAGGCCAAACCTTATGCCTCTCTTTGTTAGAGAGCGTCTCAGATGGACAAGGATAGTAACAGTCCCGCCCCGGCTTTCCATCCGCGCGGGATCTCCAATCTTACTCACTCCAAGGCAACTACTTTACTATATCCCCTTTCGGACATACAAAGAAAATCAAATATTGACTTATGCCAGGAGTTCTGGACCTGTCGAGAGAAAAAGCAAAGTAAAAAAAAAAAAAGAAAGAAAGGAAGCAAAAAGTCCGAGTGTCTATCATCACTGGCATTTTATTTCCGCAATTTCCGCACTTTTCTTTCAATTGACGCCTTTCTCTGGTCTTTTTCTTAGGGCAATTCTTGTTTTGATTTTACTACCAGGCAATCAGCGCCACTAGCGGTCCGCGCTAATCCCTGGCGGCTCAAGCCGGGTGCAAGGCCGGGATATCAAATGGATATTAATGGGCTAGAGGATCTCCAGATCACCCTTGATCTGCTGCAACACATGGAGGTTGCCCGAAAAAAAAAAGAAAAAGAAAAAGAAAAAGCTTCAAAGCTTGGATCGCGGGTCTTCGCTCAATTCAGTATTCTCGTTGCAAGAGCCCTATACTATTCCGATTTCGGTGGCGACTGGTGGCGATCATGTGGAGATTAATCTCCAAGAGCCAAACATCGTTCATCCCGGTGAATGCTCGGCGACATTGTCCTGCGGATCTCCAACATGACCCCCTCATGCAGAAGAAACGACGAACCACGCCCGAGTCTTTTGATCCACTAACCCTAAGTCATGATCATATGCTTTCGCAACTCTCGTATATCCATCGTATCCGAGGTCCAAACGCATGCTATCCACACTTCCTCCCCATATTACCGCTGCTCGGAGACAGCTTGCCGAGGTAGTGGAATTGGCTTTTGGGGGAGATCGACCGGGCCACGGCTCTCCATTGGAGAAGGAGGCAGAAGAATAGGAGGAAGCCTCCCGAGTAGATCTGCCGTCATCTTCTCCGATCACGTTGCCTTCTCTTTTCGACTGGACCATTCTATCTGATACACGACATACATGGATCACTTGCGGTGTGCCAAACGTACTCTGCATCTCCTTTTCCACAACTTTTGCACCTGTTTCTCGATAAACTCGGTACCAAGGACTCTCCAACACTAATACCTGCACTAGCAACTATACTGGAACAGCCATGATCTCATACCAATCTATTTATGCCCTTGGCCAAGCACCCGGAGTACACAATAGGCAATTCCCCTGCGGTCCACGCCGTCCCATGATATTCTGTCCACCTAAACACCAGGGCTAAACGTTATAGTCCAGGTCCAAGCCCAGGGTCTGTCTATATTTCCGGCTGCAACATGATCTACCCCAACGAGACCCATGGCTCTGGGTGTGCAGATGTGCCCAGACCCACTTAACAAGTTGGGTAGCAGCTCCGGGTTAATTTAGAGTATTTGTCAATGGCTGGTTCCGAGTTCGGAGGCTATTTCGGATGTACTATGATGTCTATTTCGTTTCCACTGCTTTTCTTGAATAATACTATCTATCCATAGTGAGTCTCTATGGCATTCTAGATTAACCGTGGTTTAACCCTAAGAGGCAAAGTGAAGATGTATACTCCGTAGAAAGACAAATAATAAGTGGTAAATAGTAAAGACAAGCTCAGAATGAAAACAACGCAATTATACAGACTATTACACAAGGTTTGCCTCCAACCAGGGAGGAGGCAACTATCGCCAAACAGGCAGGGCGCTCCGAGTTATTGAATTGTGAAACGGTGCGGGTGGAGAAAAAAAAAACAAGCCATTGGAGCGAGAAATGCGCTCTCGTGACAACTTCCTAGCGTCGCCTCTTGAGATGATGCTCCTTGCCCTTTTTGGATTTCTTCTTGCTCTTATCTGGAGGCAGAACCAGGGGCTCATCCTTCATGTTCCACTCCATGAAGCGTAACAAATAGTCGTCGATGTGACCAGGCTGCACCTCCAAGTCTGGGTCCTCGGTGGGTACGGATTGTGCAGGGGTTCCAGAGCCATCGTCCAGAGGCGTGCCGACTTGTGCGGGAGTCCCATGTGAAGCACTGTGCTCCTCGAAGTCGCCATCGTCTGCATGCTCCTGTTCCTTCTGCGCGTTCTTGGCTGCGTCTAGATCCTCCTTGTCCTCTGCGTGCTCGAAGACGCGGGTGCCGGCGACGCGATTGCCCAGGACACGGTCCATGGCGGCACTGGCCTCATCCTGGCCGTCGCGCTCGTCGCTCTCGGCCAGAGCCTGAGTCTCCAATTTGGTGAAGTAGTCCGTGGTGAATTCGCCTTCTTGGATAATCACGTCGTCCAGCATACGCTTCTGATTGGCCTTGCGGAGAATGTTGGACTCAATGGTGTACTCGGACACGAATCGGTAAATATGTACGTCCCGAGTTTGACCGATGCGGTGGCAACGGTCTTGACATTGCTTGTCCATGGCTGGGTTCCAGTCTAGATCGTAGAAGATGACCGTGTCGGCGCCCGTAAGGTTGATTCCGAGACCACCGGATCGACTAGACAGGATGAAAGCGAGAATACGAGGATCGCTATTGAACCGCTCCGTAAGCATCTGTCGCGACTCGACCTTTGTAGTTCCGTCGAGCCGAAGATAGCGATGGCCATGAATATTGAGGAATTGTTCCAGAATATCGAGCATCTTGGTCATCTGAGTGAAGATCAATGCTCGGTGGCCCCCAGCTTTGAGGTCGCGCAACAACTTATCTAGGCGCTGTAGCTTGCCACAATCATACTGGAGAAGTCTCTTGTCTGGAAACGCAATAGAGAGGCGCATGCGTGCTTCATGGAATGGATCGTAAGGCTGATCTTTGCGGGTATTCGTCAAAAGCCGTGTCTCGACAGGAGTCAAGGCCGCTTCGTTCATACCTGCAGCGACGGCAGCAGGTGTGACACAGGCGAATCTCTGAACGTAACCATCCATTTCGAGGGCTCGCTCTTCGACAGTCAGAATCATCGAAGCGAGCACTGAGGATCGGCTCGACAGCCATTCGGACATTGAGCGCTTCCGTAGTGGTGCATTGGACAGAGCATGCTCCTTGGTGCCAGCCCTGAGGAATTCAACAAGGCTGCTACCATAGATAGGACGACGGCCGTGACGCTTGGTTTCAAAGTAGAGACAGCGCTCTAACTCGGCCATTCGCCTCTTGCGGCACGCGTTCTCGAGAGATTCCAATATAGTTTGCATGTTGGAGCCATCGAAGCCCATTTCCCAATTGGTTCGATTATACTGGCGTTCGCGAAGAGTTTTGAAAGGACCAATTGCCATGAGCCTCATACTGTCGTCGGCCAATCGCCGCGAGATGTCTTCGCGAGAAACGGGGGCGAGGTTGAGGAAATCCAAGTCTATCTTGGTGAGAGGGTGTTCAAAAAGGAGCCTTCGCCGAACAAGGGATTCCTTGACATTGAAATCTGTTACCACAGATCGTGGCATGGCAAAGGAGGTAGAGATGGGACGAGTTTCGAAAAGATCAGGGTGGTTGCAGACCTTACGAAGCTGCATGAGACAGTGGATGATAGAAAGGAAGTTTCCGGATGCGAGCGTCTCCTTGGTCTGCGCCATCGACATGAAGCCATCGTAGAGGTAGCGCTGACGCTTGGAGAGCCGACAGTAGACAACATGCTCGTACTTGCCGGGCATTTGTTTCTCAACGTCGGCCTTTAGCCGACGCAGAATATATGGACGAAGAACTGTGTGAAGTTTGGTAATGACACCCTTGGCTTCTTCGTCCATAGTTTCCCTGCCATGCTCCAAAATTTGTTCTACTGGACGGCGGAACCATTCAGAAAAGTCTTTCAGGTCTGCAAACCCTTCAACTCCACCACTTGAGCCGTCAGAGGGCATCAAGAAGAAGAGAAGGGACCAGAGCTCAGTCAAATTGTTCTGTAATGGTGTACCCGTTAAAAGAAGCCTGGCGCGGGACTTGAACGTGAGAAGGGCCTGCCATCTCTGCGATCGGAAGTTCTTGATGTTGTGCGCTTCATCGAGAATCATGTAGTGCCAGTTCCTTCGCTTGAGAGACTGCTGGTCTTGCAAGACGAGTTGATACGATGTAATCAGAACGTTCCAGGCATTATCGTCCGTCCAACCGCGGCGCTTCTGCTTGCGCTCTTCTTGATTACCATAGTATGTCATGATCTTGAAACCTGGGCACCATTTCTTGAACTCCATTTCCCAGTTGAGCATCACACTGGTGGGAACAACTACTAGATGCGGGCCCCAGACACCATGATCCACGGCAAGGTGAGCGAGTAGGGCAATTGTTTGAATTGTTTTACCCAGACCCATCTCATCTGCCAAAATTCCGTTGATGTGGTTGTTGTATAGACCTGCTAGCCAGTCCAAACCGTAGTGCTGGTATTCACGTAGCGTACCGCGGAGTAGTGATGGTATAGGTGTTTGCATACCAGGAGCAGGCGAGTGGGATATTTGCAATGCCTTCTCAATAGCAGGCTCAAGTGAAGAGACGGACTCGGGTTCAGATGGTTTGGTTGCAAATGTTCCCGGCGAAGCCTCACTGGACAGTTCGCCGCTGGGTTGGCCATCGTGGACGGTATCTACCTCCATAGGCTGGGGCTGATCAGCGTCATCTGTCACGCCAACAGGAGTGACTTCTTCAGCTTCTGGTTCAGTTGCCTCCTCTTCCATTGGGGTATCCATGACAGGTGTTTCTCCGCCAGTAGCAGGAGATGCTTCGGATGCATTGACAATATTGGAGGTTGTTCCTTCAGGCGAGTTGTCTTCAGGAAAATCGCCTTCGCTAGCTGTTGGTCCGTTTGGAACAAGAGAAACTTCATCCTGATCCTCAAAGTCAATCTCATCATCGTCTTGCTCGATATCCGTGCCTGCTTCCTTGACGTCCCGATCATCTTTGATTGCAGATATGTCTTTCTTGGAGAAGAATCCAAGCAAACCAGATCCATCATCCTCATCTTCATCTGATTCATCGTCCGAGGTATCAACTTGTTCAGGATCTGCATCTTCAGCTTCGTCCTCGCAGTCCTTGGGTGTGGAGATCTCCTTCTTGGAAAAGAAGCCCATCAGACCAGATCTGTCATCGCCATCTTCGTCTGAATCTCCTTCGCCCGATTCATCGGCTACCTCATCACTATCACCCATATCATCGTCCATATCGGTGGAGGCATCGCTGTCGTCCATGAGCACCGAGTCCACGTCATCAAGATTGGTATCTCCGGGGGTAGCTTGGGAATCGTCTTCTAAGGCAGTTTCGGGATCCATGGATTCGTTGGGGTTGGTCATCGCAGTGGTTCCAGAGGCTATTGACATTCGGTCGGTTTGATCATCAGGTAGGTTGGCGTATTTCATTCGGAGTTCTTCGGCTGTTAAGGCAGCATCATCATCGATATTTGCTTCGTCGTCAGTTGCGGATTCAGAACCCGACATATTGCTTTCATCGTCTTCGCCTGAGCCAGATTCAGAGCCAGAATCGAGGTCCTCATCATCACTCGTCGCAGGGGCGTCACTAGGCACTTCGCCTAATATCTCTGATCGCCGTTTCTCAAACAGCGCCGTGGACTTTTGGATCGCACGGTCAAGGGCTTGTTGGTCTTGAACTTTGCGCTCTTCTTCCCAGCGTGCTAGACGAACGCGGTCAATGTCGGCCCGGGTTAGGTCGAACATCTTCTGCAAATCCTTGGCCAACTGCTTGCGCTTCCCACGCATTTCCTCTTGTTGTTCGCGGAGAATATCCTCTGGGTTCTTATGGCGTTTCCGATAAGCATCTGCACACCATTGCGCAAACATTTTGGCGGTCTGTCGGTGACGTTTGTGCTCCTGGACGAGAAGCTTCTGGAAGAATAGCGCGTGTGAAACCAAATGATCTTGGTGCGAATATTGCGGTGCGGGTTCCTCCTGCTGCTCAGTAAGGTATGCCGAGCAAACTTCCGAGCTTAGCGGTCCACCAGCCTCCGCAGCATCCATAACCTCGCGCCGTCTGCGCGCTTCAATTATAGCCTCATCATTTGACAGTGTGTTCGACCGGTCTTCTTGGTCTACCCATTCCCGGAATGACGTGTATTTCTTCTGTGGGACATGGCCGGGGTGTCGAATCGGAAGGACAGGTTTGCCAACCTTGAGCCGTAATCGGGGAACCTTTTGTGAGCCCTGATCTTGTTCGTCCCCATCCATCTTAACATTATCTGGTCTTCCGTTAACTTCTTGCGCTAATGTTGAAAGGGAATGTCGATCGCGGAGAGAACGAGAGCTGGTCCCGTTTGTACCGGGGGGACGAGGTAGCGTTGCGGAACCTCGAGATCGTGTGCGCGAATGACTTTGTTTAGAAGCGGGCGCTTGTGAGACTCGTTGAGGCTTGGTGGCCACCGTGCGCGAGGATGGGGTTCTGGGGGATCCATTGGTAGTCTTCCCACCAAGCTTTCCATTGAGTTCGGCGCGTGACTGCGTCACGGATAATGGTGAGGAAGTGACCGGTTTGTTGCTATCGCGAGCGGACCTGCCATGCCCCTTCTGCGCTCCACGCGTGTGTCTCTTATCCGATGGCGGTTGGGATTCGACAGGGACCGCATTGGTCCGCGAAGACCTACGCTTCCCTTCAAGCAAGAACGATGTCGGGCCATCAAAACCAGCTTTCTTCCATGGCGGAGATGGTGGGCGTGAGGTGGAACGTGGCGATGAGGTAGAATCCGTCAGCCTGCGTTTCTTGGATGGAGGCTCTTCGGGTTGCGGGACAGCTTCGACATCTTTCGGCTCGGGAGGGATCGATTCGGGGGGCGCAGAATCCGTTGAATTTTCGATTTCAGACCCGTTGAGGGGTGTGAGATCAGACACAGGTGTTACACGTTCATCTTGGGTGGATGGGCCGTCGAGGCTGCCGTTTTGCATGACTTGTAGTCGCGGACGACAGGGGCCGGTTGTGGCAGGTGACCCCAGTTATCCCAACAATGGCGCGGTCAAAGTGAAATATTTTGGCATCAGCGAGTAGGTAGGATTGAGTGTATATGCCACACGAAGTTTGGCATGCTTATCGGCACCGTAGCGTTGATGGTGACGGAAAAGGATTGGAGATGGATGGAATACGTGGAGAGTGGGTTTTTCGTTGGAGCAATTACCTGGTCGCGCCGCGCGTGGCTGCCTTTCTGCCTGAGAGTCCTGTGACTGGGTGCCTCAGGCCACATTCCGCAAACCTCCATCCGTTCATCATCGACATTCAACCCCCTCTACTCAATTGGCTGTCTTGCCTCCCTCTGACACTCATTTGCTTCCGGTCGTTCAACAAAACAGTGAGTGCTTTGTCTAGCTCTACACCGATTTTTGTCCTTGCCCGAACTCTCTCTGACTCTCAATTCCTCCCAGATGCTATCTCAACGGATCCTAGCCCGGCGCCTCCCCCAAGTGGCCGCCCGCGCCATTGCTCCCCGCGCAGCATTCTCTCAGGCCCCAGCTCTCCGCGCTGCTGAAGTCGAGGATCCCTTCCAGGTATATACCTTCTATGGCGCCTATATGGTCTTCCCCGCCTGGTAGCGACGGCATCTAACTTCGACACAGAACAACAACTACCCCAACCCTCCCCGTGTGAAGCGGGCCTTCAGAGATCCCTACGGCGGCTGGTGGGACGCCCAGGAGAAGCGCAACTTCGGTGAACCTGTGCACGAGGACAACGAAATCCTCGGTGTGTTCAGTCCCGAGCAATACACTCACGTCTCCGCCGGCAAGGGCTTCTTCCACCTCGGATGCTTCGTTGTCGCTTTCCTCGGCGTGTGCGGTGTTGTCAGCATGTACTACCCGGACAAGCCCAGTGTTCCCAAGACCTATGCCGACGGTCTGGAGAAGGAGCTGGGAGGGCCCAATGCCCTGCCGGTACGTGATCATACATCACATCTGTGGAAACCATGAGCAGACGAACTAATACTTTTATCTAGGCCCGCAAGTCCGGTGAGGACAAGTGGTGATTGATATCTGGTTTCTTTTTATTGTTGTGTAAATACCAGTACGATTTTTTCTATTCGGCGTCACTTGAGGGACTGATGGTCGATTGGCCGACAGTCCCATGTTTCAAACCCGAAAAGCCCGATTACATGTTCGGAATGAATTTGGATTGAAACTACTTTGGTCTTTGTAGACTTGCATCTGGAGTGATTGATATCAGTAGAGGGACAAAGAATAAAGAGGCAACCCTGTCGCAGTATCAGCTCCTTTGCGCAAAGGCATTGCGTACTGGGGATGATAGTGGTATAAGTTACACCCTTGCTTAAATTGACGATCCCTGTGTAGTCCAGGGAGAACAAGGACATCCCCTTGGAACTACACCTCCGTACAGGGGATGTAAACACCATCAGGTAGACATTGTTTTGGGCGCCTACGTCAGTTGGTTCGGGAGCTTTTTGTTTCACCTCCGCCCCTCTCTCCCCTTCAATTAATTATCCCCTCTGGTTTTGCGACAGCTTTTCACTTCTTTCAGGAAAGTATCCTGAAAAGCCTCTATCGCCCGGCGTGGTCTTCCACTCCATGGTCCCGCATTCCGGTGTCTTTTACCTTGCAACGTTGCACGAATTTAATTGAGCATCACCCCATGTCGACAGCATCTAGCCAATCCCGAGGAGTCAACCGACGGATTAACAGCCTCCAAAATGAGGGTCGCCATTCGCGCAACTCCTCTTTGTCGCGGCGCCGCCCTCTGAATGCCAACGTGGCATACAGCCATGCTGTTCGAGTCGCCTATCTCGCCTACCTCCTCCACCCTCGCTCCCGTCGCATCCAAAATGCCCCCGCCGCGCCGGCGCGGCCAAAGCGATCATCGACTTCAATTCATGATTTGATGAGTGACTTTTCACTAGTCCGGGATTCCAAGAGCACGAGAATTCCCCATGGTTTCGTGTCCGAGCTGGAGAAGCGCTTAACGGGCGTGTTGATGGGAAAGGAGAAACGAAAGGAATACCAAGATCACCTGGTGGTGCGGACCTTCGCCGCTTTCCTTAACACTCTGAAAGAAGATTCATTCCGAAAGCGCATGGAAAAGGACCGACGCGCTGAAGACCTGGTCCTTATCTTCTACTCCAATGCGATCAAGGAGCTGGGCAAGGGCAAGGATCATGACGATGATAGCTGGAAACTGATGGTGGATCGACACGTTGCTCTTTTCGTCCGGCTCTTCGGTCTCATATTGAAAGATCACGACTGGTCCAAGGACCGTCCAGAGCTGGCGAATCGCTTATCGGTGCTCGAGAACAAGCTTCTTCTGCAAGATCAGGATCTTATGGAAGGAAATGGACCTACTTCAGCGACAGAGGCCCCTGGTTCATTAAGTTATAATGTGAAAGACATGCCCCTGGTGCTGCATGTCACCAAAATCTTTGGGATGACAACAGCCCAAGCGCAGTCCGAGATCGATAAACACAAGTCCATTTGGACTGAAAAGGCCGCCCTCCAGGACCTCAAGACTTATCAGGCACACCTGAATCTTCAAACTCACAAAACACTATCAAGAGATGATTTTGAGTCGGATGATGGTTACGAAAACTGGAAGAAGAGCGAAGGCCCTGATCTCTCACAGATGATGCTTGCAATTGTGCAGTCCAATCCAGAGTTGGCTAAAAGCACCCCTGGGTCTCTCCCTCAGTTCAACCCTAACTCTAGCGAACATCCTGATTTGTCCAGAACATCCTCTGGTCGAACTGACAGAACATCCTATGTCATCGATCAACCCCTTGACCTCAGTGGTCTCACTTTGGATGAAACAGACGAATCTGATACTTACGCATTCATTCCATCCGACCCTAGGGCTGTGTACAGATACATTTTAGCCCAGACTTTGAGTCATGATCTACGAGACCGAGACCTCGAAGCTTCCCAAGCGACATCTGATGTGCCTTCAATGAAACTGTTCTCAAAGCTGTCTACGGAGATGCTTAATGAATTATGTCTCCGCTGGCGGATTCCCAACTTCTCCCGGGTCGTGTTGTTCCTTGATGTGGCCCAGGCTAAATTCGTCGACAATGAAATCGATCTCGATACTCTTGATTCGGCATTTACGTTTGTGAAGGATACGCCTGCAGGACAAGCAAACAAACGCAGTAGTTTTGTGGCTTCCGCGATTTTCGACCGGCGACGATGGACTGTTCATGACCTTCAAATGATGCAAGTACTTCTATCCAAGCTCCATGAGGCTTTGTTGAGAGAGCTGTACGAGGTCATGATGGATTGTTTCGAGGCAAAGCCGCGCCCTATCGGTCCAGTGATGTACCTTCTCGAAACACACATCCAAATGGATCCGAACTACATCGAGGATCCGGAGGACATCGATCGATTCTGTTCGTATGTGCAAGACGGGCTGGCCCAGAAGGCCACGGCGAAATATCAAAGCCTTCTTGGCCAACTCATCCCCGTGGAATCAGAGGCTTGGGATCCTCAGCATGTCACCGAACTTGGAGATGCAATCACAAAGCTTGCAGCGAAGATCCAGAAACGTTATCGTAACAATCCAGAAATCATGGGGTATGTCTCACATCGTGTCTAATTGACCAATGGCTAACCAACAACAGGGTTAATCCTTATACCACTTTATGTTCCATTGTATTACCAATGTTTGCTGAAGATGCCCATGAAATGGTTATCCGGATTCTCGAACAAGCGAAAGAGAGGGGCGAGGAGATCGCCATCGATGATGGCTTCGAGTTATACAAGGGCCTTGCTGCTGTCAGGCAGTTGTTCACACAAACCCATCCCGGGTAAGACATACATATACTGCTTTACTGGTGCTGATGGCTGACCGAATTAGTGCAACCTTCCCATTCCATGTGGAGACTCTTCTTCAGGAATTTGTCTGGAGATGGCTGCGTCTGACAGACCAAAAGGTCATGGATTGGGTTAGTCAAGCTACGAGACAAGACGCATTCACCGTTCGTGCCGAAGGAACGGCCGGTATCGCACCTGAAGATGATCGACACAGTGTCTCAGTGATTGATATCTTCCGATCTTTCAATCAAGTGGTTGAAAGCCTTGTGCAGCTGGAATGGGACGACGATCTCCAATATGCGAAATTCATGACGCATCTTTCCAACTCGATTGGTAAGGGTGTGGCGACATATTGTGACTCTTTGGAGAAGATGTTTGCGCGGGAGTTGGACCGTCTCACGCCCGAACAAGAGGCCGCATTGAACCAGACCACACAGGAGAAGCTGATGCAATTCGCCAAGGACACATGGACAAACAAGGACAAGATCGAACCATTCCAGTTCTACTCGGAGGTATGTATGCACTTTCAGTTTCGCGAATGGCGTCTAACTTTCTATAGTCCCTGGTGAAACTGAACAACATTGAGTATGCGCTTGCCCAACTTGACAAGCTCGAGAACGACATCAATGTCGATGGGTGCGCCGAAGTCATTGCGAGAAACACCCCTCCGCAGCTCAAGAAGGTCCGCAAGTCTACCACCTATGTCTTCACAATCAAGGTTGTGGAAGCAGAAGATTTGAAGGCGTGCGATATTGGTGGTGGCAGTGATCCCTATGTCGTCTTGACGGACGAATATCAGAAGCGAATTGCCAAGACACGCACAATTTACAATAATCTTAATCCCCGCTGGGAGGACACTGTTGATCTGACAACTCAAGGTCCCCTTAACATGATTGCTACTATTTGGGACTGGGATGCAGTGGGCGACCACGACTATGTCGGCCGTACGTCAATCAAGCTGGACCCAGTCCACTTCAGTGACTTCTTGCCAAGAGAGTATTGGCTCGACCTTGATACTCAGGGTCGGCTTTTGCTCCGAGTCAGCATGGAAGGCGAGCGCGACGATATCCAGTTCTACTTTGGCAAGGCTTTCCGTACACTAAAGCGTACCGAAAGGGACATGACTCGAAAGATCACTGAGAAGCTTTCTGCATATATCAGTCACTGTCTTTCCCGTCGGACATTGAAGTCTCTGCTCTCGCGTGGTATCAGCATCTCCAGTGTATCAAGCTTCCTGAACCGCAACCGAGCTCAACCAGCTGCTTCCGGACCAACGCCAGCCGACGTCGAGAACGCCTTGGATCCTCTATTCAACTACTTCAATGACAACTTCGCCATCATGAACAAGACACTCACACCCGAGGCTATGAAGATGGTGATGGCCCGGTTATGGAAGGAAGTGCTTGCAACCATCGAGAGTCTGCTCGTGCCACCTCTTTCCGACAAGCCATCCCACCAAAAACCCCTAACCATCCAAGAAGTCGACATCGTGTCACGCTGGCTCGTGCTGCTATTAAACTTCTTCCACGCCATCGACGAAGAAACAGGCGAGGCAGGCGGTGTCCCAATCGACATCTTGAAATCACCCAAGTACCACGAAATCCAAAGTCTGAACTTCTTCTACTTTGAACCAACCGAAAATCTCATCCGCACCTCTGAGCGCATGGCCTCGGCAACAGTCAACCGTCAACAAGCGAACCGCAACCGAGCCTCCGCACCTGCACACCTCGGCGTCGGCGCCGGCACAGGCCATGGCGGCTTAGGTCTTCCGGCAGCTCGTCGTGGAAAGAGTATCATGCTTTCCCGCAATCTAGGCACAATGAAGAAAGCGAAAGAAGAGAAACGCAGAGAAGCCCAAGCCGATCCAAACGACGACATGATCCTGCGTATTCTCCGTATGCGCCCTGAGGCCGCAGGCTACCTACGTGATCGTAGCCGGCAGAAGGAAAGACTAGCTGCAGCCGCAGCCGCCGACGCCATCGTGAAGCAGAGTCTAATGGCCGGAGCTGGGAGTCGCATGAGTGGCATAATGCCGCGCGCGAGATAAAGGAAACATGGAATTGGCACGCCTTGTATGTTTTTTTTGGTTGTTTTATACATCAGCCAGCAATGTTTCCCTTGTGCCTTCTGTTTACTGCCTGTCTCATTATGCATGAACCTTGACCTTATGATTCCCATTGGCATCTACTTGTACCAGTCCATATTACTTCAGATGGAACGGAAATGGAAATAATCAGATACCAATCGAGACAATGCCAGTAACGTAATTCAATTGAACCAATCCTTTCATTGCTATATCTATATCTACATTTATATTCCATACTGAATTCATTTGATCAAGTTTTCATTGTATCTTATCTAGTAAAAAACATTCATTCAAAGAACAACCCCTAATTTACTCGAGAGCAATGCACTCAATCTCAACGGGGACACCCTTGGGCAGCTGATGAACAGCAACACAGCTACGAGCGGGCTTGTGGACAAAGAACTTCTCGTATGTGGCGTTCATTTCAGCGAAGTTGGCCATATCAGTCAAGAAGACCTAGATCGATATCCAATCCAATTAGCAGATATATCGATATTGAAGGGTTTGGAGCAGGAAACGCACGTTAACCTTGACGATCTTGGAAACGTCGGAGCCGGCAGCAGTCAGGATGGCCTTGATGTTGTCACAGCAGACCTGGGTCTTCTGGCCGATGTTACCCTCGACGAGGTTGGCGGAGGCATCAGCGGGGATCTGGCCGGAGACAAAGATCTGGCCGTTGGCGCGGATGGCCTGGGACTGTATCTCGTGTTAGAATATGGTGTTTCGAATGTGTATTGGTATTGGTTTGGGTGTGTTGAGGTCAATTATCCGACTTCGGCCTTGGAGGGGTAGCTCGCAAGGTAGACAGTAGACATGAATGTGAACACCTGGATACTGGGTATGGGGGAGAACGTACGTAGGGGCCGGCAGCTATTGGATAGATATGTTAGTGGATTGTTTCAATGTGATTGTATTCCGTGAGGACTGGAATTGAGTATTGTATCCCCGTGATAGCTGTGGGACTTACGAGGGCAGGCGTCCTTAGCGGAGATGGTGGACATGGACATTTTGGAGGTGAGGAATTGAGGTCTGGAAAGGATAGAAGGACGAGGAATAATAGTTTGAGAGATAGACAAGAGACGAGAAGTTGGGCGCAGCATGAGGAAGAAGTAGGGTGATGAGTGCCCCGCTCTGCGAGTTTCCCTCGGAGAGCGTGTAAGCTCCCCGATGAAGTCATCTGGTCTTTATTCATCTTACGTCTTTATAGGGAATGGAATACTGTAGTAGATAGAATGGAAGGATTGGATAACGATTGGGCTGATACAATGCTAGAATATTAAGTCGTTTCGTCGTGTTCACATTACTTGCCCTGCGCCTTCCAGGAACATACTGTACAGAGAATGATTCTCACGATTTGCCCAGGTTGCGCGCAAGCTGCTGCATGAGGCTGGCTGTCTGTTCGGCGGAGTACCCGAAGAAAACGGGCCCATTGAAGGTAATGTGGGAGGGATTGGAGGTGGTTGAAGAAATATCAGGTTTGGTAGTTGGGTCTTCGCTCGCAGGAGCAGGAATAGGAGGAGCAGGCGTCTCTTCTGTAGTTCGGCCTTTCTCATCCTTTGGCCATTCCTTTGCCCAATCTTTCCAGGGTCCTTCGGTCTCGGGCTTGGGGGCTTCGGCTGGCTTCGGAGCACCGTGGCCGAAGGGACAACGGCCAGCAGATTTGGCAGGGGCATCAACACTGGCGTCGGCGACATCTGCAGACTTCTCGGGCGATGTATTGGACTGGTCGATGGGGATAGGTACAGGCGCCGAACCGGAGGTTGGCACAGAGGCAGGAGGGAGGTGTGTGACAGGCACTGAGATACCCCAAGGCCTGCTCGGGGATTCACCCACACGGACTTCGCGGAGTGGACGGTCGAAGTGACTCTCACGATTATCATCATCTTTATTCGGAGCTCCAGGCGTCTCCGGGTCCACGTTCTCCGCCCATTTCTCAACACGCTGGGTCGAAGCCGAGGTTGAGGACTTGCCCTCGCCGTTTTGACATTCCGGTAAGAAGGCTTGATGCTTGACTCCCAGGCCAGCGATCATGCTAGTGAGCCCGCCATACTTAGCATCCAGGTGTCGCATGTCCTGTGGATTGCGTTGGTATCGGTTGACGCAGATTGCATGACTCCGAGGAATTTCATGTTTGTGTCGTTCAACATATTCAGCGATTTCCTCTGGCGAATGCTGATCTAGGAATCGGATTGGGCATCGAGAGACGGGGCATGCGCCTTTCGATGATGGGGCGGATGGAGTATTGCTGGAGCGTCGTTCGTCCAGCTCGGCTTTGATAGGATCGATATGCTCATGCCCACAGGTAGAGTCGATCTGGATCTTTGGAGCAGAGCTTCTCCCACTAGGGACCTCACTTCCGTTCTGCATCTTATTCGGTTTGGAAAATGGGCAATGCAGATTTCCTTGTGTACCATTGGTGGTGAAGTCCTTCTCCAGCGCAGGTGGTGGGGATGGAACCCGCGCGAGGATGCAGGAATTGGATCTTTGAGAGAGGCCATCTTGAGAACGGAGCAGAGACTTGCAGCCTTTGACTCCGTCCTTGATGGCCGCAGTGGTATTTTCGTCTACATTTTGGTGTGCAACGAGGGTCTTGATTACATCCTTGGAATTCAGCGGTTGTTCCTCCACCCGAGGCTTGCTGTGTACGAGGCCCTGACGGTATTCTTCTTGCTGCGCGAGCAGTTTGGTACGAACGTCCAGTGCACGAGGTCTATCTTGAGGAGGCAGTGTTTCTATAACATCGGAGTACTATTTGCGAATTAGCGATGGTCTCAAACCACATGAAAACAAGCAAAGCAATAAAAGTCTCATCAGATAATACATGTTAATCCGTCACCGCCACAATTGTGACTACTGATCTAGAGCTAATCAAAATTTCTCATCACTTGAGACAAAGCAAACGCAGGGGAAACAGGGGGGTGGAAATGGTGTATTTACCTCCTTGAAGACCTTGTCCATATGCTGGAACATCTCATTTTGTCTGTGAGTAAGTCGATAAACGGTTAGCAGTAGGGCATCGAAGGCCTTTCCCACAGCCTGAAGCTGATCATGTTGCAGATCCGGCTGCATCTCAGCAAGAGCAGCAGGTGACATGCTGAAGGTATTACAATCAGAAATAATTCATCTGAGGAAGTGGCTTGCAAGATGCAACGCCGACTTCAAAAACATGAGTGATGGAAAAAAGGAAAAGAGGCTCCTTTATACGGATGGGCTGACACCGGAAAAACGTGAAGCGAGATGGCCTGTGCGTTCGGTCATGTGATGTACTAGTCTGTTTTGGGTGATGTACCCTGGGCACCTACGTCCGTATAGTCCGGAGTACATGTGAGGTGCACGGTACATATACCTGCAACTGATTATGTATGATATTATACTAAGGTGACGGTTTCTTGCTTGGTGGATCGGCCATTCAAAGTGCTAGTGAATATATATGAAGTATTAGCTTCGTAGTTCTCAACAAGAGAGAAGATATATATGTATTTGCATCATTTATTACAATATTCGAAATAAGTAAAATAACAATGACTAGTACTAATGGATAAAACCCAAAATAGGGATGAAATATAAAGCATAATTATATGCCAACCACAATGTAGAGGCTAGGAGAGTGGAATGGAGCGACAACCCTGGAAGATGAAAACTTAACTTAGTCATGGAAATACTCGAAGTAGTTTAATGTCACTAGCCAACAATAATACTGGGTTATGTAACCATAAATCGTTGCTCCTTCAACAGCCCGGCCGGGCTAGCTCAATCGGTAGAGCGTAAGACTCTTAATCTTAAGGCTGCGGGTTCGACCCCCGCGTTCGGCTATTCCTAAACACCGTCCTCGAGTGAGCAATTCTTTTTTTCTTTTCTTTTCTTTTTTTCTTTTCTTTTTTTCTGTTTTTTAATTCATATCGAATGTGTTTAATTCAAAGATTCAGTAAATTTAACTTCGTTCTGTGAATCCACGGTACAAAGTAACCTAGTTATATTTAGACAACCCCGTAGCGTAATCGGATATTTGCTGCAAAACACCCAGGCTGCATGTACATCTCCTTCTAGTAAAAGCCACTGTGACGAGTTTCAGATCACGTAGTAGCATAGACCCCATGATTGGCCAGACTATATAGGCGAAGGCTGCAGCACGTCCGAAACGGTCTCGATGGTCTGAACCAACAGGTGTCAACATTCGTCTGATCTAGACAAGCCACTTGACTGGGGTTCGTGAGTCATTTTACATATTTGGGTGCCACCAAGAAGCCAGATGTCTAGACCTGGAATACCAAGGAGGGACGGATTATCAGGCTACAACACCCCCTGATTCGTTTGGCCCTGACGATTCGAGGGGACTGAGCACTAGTTCCGAGGCGTGCATGAGGGCCATCGCAGATCCGCAGTGAGAAGGACCGCGTATACAATAGAGAGTATAGGATATAGAGTAGATAATCAGGGTATATAGAGTATCAATAAAACATCAAATAAGATACAAACATACAAGATATAACATAAGAATGATATGACAAAATATCATGAAGAAAGGGTAACACAATCTAGACCGAAGATCAGAGGGGCATCTGCTTATCAAATGCGATTTTGCCATTCTATTTTCCCCCTCCATTTTTTTTTCTTTTTTACCTCCAACCCCCCCCCCCTCCCCATCACGTCCCCCCCTTCCTTTCTCTTTCATCATGTCCTCCACTCTCCCCAATGCCTCCCAAGTCGGACTCCCCGCCTCCGATGCCTCCAGCGCCGCCGAACTCGCCAGTCTTAAGGTAAGACTGCGCGGTGCCCTGCGCCAGTTCCCGGACTTCCCCTCCCCGGGAATTTTGTTCGAGGATATCCTCCCTATTTTCGCCGATCCCTCTCTCCACGAGGCCCTCATCCGCTCTCTCGAGCTTCACATCCGCGCCAACTACGACCAGAAGCCCGATGTCATCGTTGGTCTTGAGGCCCGCGGTTTCCTCATGGGCCCCAGTCTGGCTTTGCGCCTCGGTGCCAGCTTCGTCCCCGTGCGCAAGCAGGGCAAGCTCCCTGGTCCTTGCGAGACCCAGGGCTACGAGAAGGAGTACGGTCAGGACTTCTTCCAGATGCAGGCCGACTCCATCAAGCCCGGTCAGAAGGTCCTTGTGATCGATGACATTATCGCTACCGGTATGTGATGCGCGCTCTTCCTACTATACATTATACTAATGGATCCACAGGTGGTTCCGCCTACGCCGGTGGTGAGCTGATCAAGAAGATGGGAGGAGACCTCCTTGGCTTCATCTTCCTCCTCGAACTCGAGTTCCTTCACGGCCGTGATAAGCTCCCCGCGCCTGTGTACACTCTGCTCTCTGGCCAGGCTTAATTTCAACGCCCCCCCAAAAGTCCAAAAAATCTTTATTCGACGACCGCCATTGCCGATAATAATACCCCTCCAAAAGCCCGACCGCACCCGATCTTGCGGTGAAGCGTCACCCGCCACGGGCCAACCAACCACAGGTATTCGAGTCTAGAGATCATGCGATGCTCGGAGCCTTCGACGTTGGAGTACCGGATATCGGATACCACATAGGATAGCGTGAATGCACTTGTACAGACATCATGTCTACTCTCTATCCACTGATCTTCAATCTAATCCACTATCCCCAGGAATGAACTTCCTCATAACCTCATCCACCCACCGCTGTGGAACTCCCAACTCCACCGACTCCCGAATAGCCCTATTCATCCTAGCAATGTATTCAAACTTCGGCCCAGCAAGCCTGACACACTTCTCATCCACATAAACCAAAACAGGCACATTTCCCCCATGTTCATACCCACGCCCATCCCCATCCCCATCCCCATCTAACCACTTAGCAACCCCAGCCTCAACATACCACTTATTATAAGACCCATCCCCCTGCTCCCTAGGCCGAACATCAACCCCAACCCACTCCCCGGTGGATTTCCCAGCATCGATATCAACACCTTCATAAGTATCAAGAATCGCCTCATCCCCAAGATCCATCTCATAGAGAACCCCATAAACCAAACCCTCAGTCCCAGAAACAGGAACCTGATGCGCGATATCGGAATCCTGACTCGGGACGCGCAGTCCAACTCTAGGTGGTGGCAGGACATTGGCGTATCCAGCCTCGCAGATTAACCAGCGCCAATGCGGAAGCGTTGCTATTGCCAGTGGTTTGGAGGAGGATTCTGGGTCTACCCTACAGCGGGATTTCATCTGTGTTGGGGAGAGGTTGGAGCCGTAGGCGAAATAGAGGTATTTTGGTTTTTGGTGTACTGTTTTGGAGTCGGGGAGGGGTTGGATGGGGGGTTTGGTAGTGGTGTGGGCTTCTGTTGGTAGTTCAGTTGTGGGTGGGTTGGAGGACATTGTGTTGGATTTGGCTGTTATTATGGATTGTTTTGGTGTTTGGAGTGTTGGAGAGAAGAAGTAGATGAAGTGGGTAAATATGAGGTGATTTGGAGTCCCAAAGCGGGGGATTGGAGATGCAGCATATTGAGCGTAACTATAGGAATACGTTCTATAACATAAATCAGACCTAGCAACGGTACCAGAGTGATACAACACTGGACTTTTGATTTGACGGATACAGAGGTTCCCAACATTACAATTCCAAACTTCCGCTTTCTCTCCTCTCCACCCTCTCCATCCTCAAGATGCCTACAGCACCTGCCAGATTGCCCAATCCCCCAGTGAAGACAACCCAAGCAAAGACGAGTGTTTTCATTTTAGCATGCCACACAAAATGACTTGCATGCCCTACGCAGGACTCGTCGCCATTGACCCTCATATTAGCATCAGCTTTCGCAACCGAAACGTGATGATCAGAAAGTACTAAAGAGATCAAATGCCGCGAAGACGAATACGAATACATGAACTCCCCAACCAACAAACCAGAATACTACTATACCTTTATATCGAGTAGAGACAGCCCTTTCTTCGGCTTCGGACTGTATTCAATAAGGAACATCCTCATGAACTGGCAATACGGCTTTGAAGAATCATCCAACAATGAGATCTTCCCCAGTCAGCTGGATCGTTGTGAAGAAAGCTACAACTTGCATGTTATTAGTGTAATATTTGCTCAAAACTCGTCTCTCCACGTGTAGAATGTGTATCGTTTCAGTACGCATATTACAGGACGAGTTCAATGGCCTGATCCTCCATGGGATGCCAATTGTCATTGAACTTGTTCGAGGGAAAGCAGTGGCTTTGTTAGAGGGGTTTCTGACATGGTGGTGGTGGTGGTTGTTGTTGTTGTAACATGATGTACATTAATATCAGAATATTATACTTGCTACCAGTCTTATGAAGCCCATTGCACGTAGGCTGATAATGTTGCCAATGAAAACATGGAGTAAGGATCGAAGGAAAGAAAGAACGCTACAGGCCAATAGATACCGAAGCCAAGAAACCCCGGACTCAGACTTCCCAAGGATGATCACCAGGCTTGAGCCTATTCGGCCACTAACACCACTAATGTCCGAGACCAATTGCTACTTGAAATTTCATACAGATCATCGCTGGAGATCTATCTAGTTGCAGGGGAAACTGGGTTCCGCTATATTTTGATATATCAACTCAATTCAACACCTCTATCCCATCAATCATATCTCCATTCACAATGGCACCAAATAAGCTAGCAATTGCCAGCGTCTCACTCAGCCTCTACCCCGGCCACCTCCTAGACGAGAAGATCCGCACAGCAGCCCAGCATGGCTACTCCGGCATCGAGATCGTCTACTCAGACCTAGAAACATGCGGCAAATCACAAAACATCTCAGTCAACACAGCAGCCGACAAGATCCACCAAATCTGCAATAAAAGCAACATCCAAGCCCTCTCCCTCGCCCCATTCGAGAACTTCGAAGGCGCAAACTCCCCCCTGGAAGCAAGACTCCTACTAGCAAAGCACTGGCTGGACATTGCCCGAATTCTCAAAGCACCATACCTCCAAATCTCATCAATCTTCACAGACGACTGCAGCCGCGACGCAGCAGTCCTGACGCGCGAAATGCAAGCCCTATCCGACCTATTATGTTCAGCTTTCGGATGGGGAGCGCTTTGATCCGCCTTCTTCTGTTGAGCATCCTTGGGCAGTGCCTGGTGAGGCGAAGGAGTTTACGTGGTCGAAGCATGCACGCCCGTTTCCGTTTGAGGACGGGTTTGGGGGGTATTTGCCTGTTGGGGAATTGCCGGAGCTTGGATTATTGAGATGGGGTTTGAGGGGTGGGGTTTCTTTGGAGGTTTTTGATCGGAGGTTGAGGGATAGGAGGTTGAGGGATAGGAGGTTGAGGGATAGGAGGTTGAGGGATAGGAGGTTGAGGGATAGGAGGGTTAGTGTTGAGACTGCTGCTATGGGGGGGGGGGTTGAGTCTTGGAAGAAGGTTCAGGTTGCTATGGAGGAGAAGTCGAAGCTTTGATTTAGATTGTTGGGTTTGGCAGATGCATTCTCCGGTGGAGTGGCTATATTGGATTCTATAGACCTATATACATCCAGACACATACAAGAAATGCTTCGAGTGTCTTTGTTTCGAGGGTATATTTGCATACATTCAAACAATGTATAAATTCGTGATTGGGACGCCCTGAGACCGCATGGTATATCGTCTCTTGACACCAATGCTGCCTGCGTGGCGTAGGAGTTGGTAGGTTTCGTCTCCACCACCGACCATAACCATACTAATGAGGTAATTGCGTGGGATACCGCTGGCTGTCATTTGGGCCTCGTCGAGGTGTGGGCGGATGAGGGTTGACTCGGCACGAACAGCGGCGATGGAAGGATCAGACTGATATTTTGATCCTTTCTTCATCTCGCTCTCTGGTGGGACGTCATCATATGAAACAACAACAATGAGCTTCAGTGCAGATCGTGTTGGTCGGTATGCGGCGATATTGCGTAGCTTGTCGGAAAAAGTACAACCGCCACGCTTGATAACAAGTACCTCGTGGTTCTGAACAACCTCACGAAGAACCTTTTCGTCACAAATTTCATCAACAAAGTATATACTTGACCATGTAAGACGACTAGTAGATGGATTGCCAAGTATTGACATGGTGACAGCATCTTCAGCATCCGGGAGCGGGCCTGACCCAACACCCGTAGCAATAGAAGCAGGGAGACTCAACCGAAGCGGTGCAGCCTCAGCCGGATCATCACGAAGCAACGAGGAAACCGAGTTTACCAGAGAAGATAGCATAGCCTTTACAGTTGAGTCTGGGGAGTCGATGATTGCGCCATCGTCGACAGAAGAGGCGGATCTGTGGGCTCCGAGGTGGGACTCCGGCGGCTGCGGATGTTCTGACGCAGAATACTCATCTCGCGGATGAGTCGAATCATTGCGTCGGCGAGCGGGCTCTGGAAGAACGTCAATGACAAGGTCTAGCATGGCATTATCGCGGATCCGGGTGAAGTTCGGATCATAGGGATCGACGACATCAAAGGTGATCTGGCGAGAGAGATATACCTTCTCATCTTTGCCCAGTGGCACATTGTTGATCACCTGCACCCTGTACCCGTCTGCGTCTTCCCCGGTCGTGGGCGTTGGGTCTTCCAGCGGTACATCCTGAACCATACTCAAACGGAGCCCTCCGATTGTTTTGACGAGAACTCCGTCACGGACACGTTCCAGTGCTCCAGATCCTAGGTTTACGCCGCCTGGAAGCGATGGGAATGAGATGTCGAGCGTGGGTCGAACGGCCATGGGGGCACTGGTAGCATCGAAGGGAACCAGCTGAGGGGGGAGTGTCCATGGGTAGAAAGTATAGTTGGTTGGCGAGGAGAGATCGGACACGAATACGCTTTGATGCTCAGTTGAGTCTTCCAAAACAGGGCCCTTAGCCGCACCTCGATTAGGCATCAGATCCAGGCGAGCTAAAGTGGCAGCGTGGAAGATATCGGAGCGAGATGCAGTGGATGATACACCAAAGAAAGGAGAGGGAATGATTTGACAAGTTCCCTCTGCGAGTTCCTGATCTGCTGGTGGTGGCGAAGCTTGGCGAGATTGCAATGCCTTCTTTTTGGGAATGATGAGAGGATGTCCTTCAGTATTGAAGACCCAAGGGGCATCAACCCTGTTCAAAGGATGGTCCCGGTCGAACAGAAGGAAGAGGTACTTGGCTGTTTCACCAATGAAGAAACTCTCCATCCGATCAATGAGTTCACCAGTCAAAACATTTCGGATGCCAGCCCAGCCACACTTGGTCCAGCATCGCCGTTTGAGGTCGCTAAGGACCATCTCACCGACGTGCAGATACCAAGGATCCTGGGTGGCCCGGTAAATGTAATAATTGGACTCGATGAACTCCGGGCGCCCTCCGTACCAAGGCATTCCGTTGTCGATGTCACCCGTGGCCACGTTCCACCGCTCAGGAATACCCGAGTAACGAGTCCAGATCGCAGTGGTTAGAAGATGAATCTGAATAGCTTCATCCAGCTTCCCATCCAGAGCGAGAACTCCTGGATAGAAAGCACTCAGACTATCAATCCAGAAAGCTCGCGTGGCACCGGTAATCACATCCCCTACAATAAGATGAGGATGTTGATAACCTTCGCCTCGGAACAAATGGCGGTTGATCGATGTGTGCGACTCTTCCCATACCTGCCTGAATGCTTCCGCCGTGTGCTGATAGTCCGTCAAAGGGTCATAGTATGAATCCAATGCTGCCCAAGGGCTTTTCGAATCGAATGGCAGACGCTCTCCCTCGGACAGGAGGACGTGAGCCTTGACGGCATATTCATAGAAACTATCAATACCCGCGCCAATCTATCAAAGTCAGTATGCGGTCGTCATCTGAAGGAAGAGGAATCCTTACTCCGGCCCATGGTCCTACCCACTTGCCCGATTCTACATCAATGCCAAAGCCAAGCAATCCAATATCACTGCGGCGGCTCCAAACCGCCCAGAATGCTCTCTTGCCCAGATCTTCGTACCGACCATCACCAGTCAGTCGGCTCAGGACGGTAAGTTCAAGGACCAGACTACCCGCGCCAGCACTACAAGTCTCAGCAGGCTCCGATGTTGCTGCAAACTTGGGTTTTCGTTTGCCTGAGCTGCTCTGACCATTCAAATTCAGGGGCGCATTTTCGTAGAACGGTATTCCATGTCGTAGGTTGACACGGGGGTAAGGGAGACCGGTCAGTGTGTAAAAGGCAGGGAGCAAACGGTGGGCCAGATCCACAGCAAGTCGAAGTAGTTGTCCGTCATAGACAAAGCCATTTACCCATTGAATGCCATGGTCTTTCTTCCCAAACTCGCTTTTATCCCATGCGCTTGCAAAAGCGGCTTCCTGTGCTGAGGGTTCGTATCCAGTAATGGGCAGCTCGCCGACGGCAAAAAGATGAGCACTGAGCAAGCCACCTACATAGTGTTAGTATAGGACCGTGAGAAGACGTGCAGCCAGTGCTATCAGCCAGTAAAGGTAACATACCTAGCCCTCGAATCACAGTCTCAAATAGTTGCACTTTACTGTCCAGATCAAAGCCTCTCGACCTTTCACCCTGACCAGCAGGGCCGTCCGAGCCATCACCGTATAATCTAACAAAATCCTGAACACCATTTTGGAAATGCGCCAAGGCACGTTCGCCACTGTCCGGACTCGACGAGATGATCGCCAGCGACGACAAGCTGTCAATCAAAGTCAAGGAGTAGTTACCCAAGACATCATTATTCTCCGGATTCTTGTCGTCACGGAATAGAGGACCGCAGGTCAACGCGCGCAATTCGTCTTCGGGGAACGCGTACTGCAAGTAGTTCTCGAAGCCGTGGAAAAACATGCGCTCCGTTTCTTGTCTAAATAAGCACGGAGTTAGCGATTTAGTCTCTGGATAAGACAATACTCATAAACAAGGGTATTTACCTTAGTTCCTTTACCTGGCTGTCTCTCATGCCATGGGCGACACTGAACCACAGGAGGATGGCCCACAACACCATCCTCCCGGCGGAGCGGAGGGAGGACATCTGTTAGCTCCGTCACGCTTCACGGGGATCTGAGTGCAGGTATCATGGATGGGAGAGGACCAGAGGACCTTAGGACCTTTCAAGGGAGTAGAGAACTCGGTCACTCAAGGGTGAGGTGGAGTGTTAGATACGGCCAGATAAGCCAATTTGGGGAAGTTTTTTGCCGCGCCCATTGCATCATTCCGCTCTGTATACTTCTATTTTGTGTATGGTTCACCTTTTTGTAATAGGAATCGCAGTGAAGTTTAGTGTACAATTCATCGGACAATAGAGGACCAAAGTCAGTGACTTGCTAGCTATTTTTTGTTATTTCCTGCCAGATACTCAGGGACATCCAAGCCTCAACCTCTAGCTAGTCTTCTGGCTCTTGGGCAGGAAGGTTTGTATGTCAATGTGCCTGGAAAAACGAATATGACGCCCGCTTATCTTCATTATAACATTATTATCACTTATGCTCACTTGCCCAGCTCTCCAAGCATCAGATTCCGATCGGACGAGCACGAAACAACTGCAATATGTTAGAAGATGTCCAAGCACATAGAACGGAATAGACTCACTGATTGGCTCATCGTTGGGGGAGAAGCGCACGTCGTTGACAGTGCCCTTGTGACCAGGAAGTTTGTACAGCAATTTCCCGGTCTGGGCCTCCCAAACAACGACACTTCGATCACCACTACCAGCGGCAATCTTCTCACCCTTGGGGTCCCAGCTGGCCCGAATGAGGTTCTTCTCAAGCCCGACAGGAGCACCATCGTATGTCTTCACTTGTCTGTTGGTAGGGGCGAATGGACGGATGTCCCATGTGCGGACTGTTGAGTCGTGGGAGTTGGACAACAAAGTCTGCGAGTCTGGCGAAATTTGTAGCGAAGTGATAGTGTCTGTGTGGCCGGCCATAGAGTAGACCACGGCCTTCTTTCGAAGATCCCAAGCGTGGATTGTGTTATCAATACCTCCACTGTAAATCTCATTGCCTGCCTCCGACAATGCCACTGCGGTAATGGGAAGCTCAGTCTGAAGATAATCCAAAGCATCCTTCTGTCGAGGATCCCAAACACCGATGCAACCATCGTCACTGCCACTGATCAAAAGCTCCTGTCCTCTCTTGCTGATATCAAGGCAATTGATGATCTCCTCATGACCCACGTGGCGGCGCACTCGCTCGCCTGTCTCGACATCCCAGCTTCCAAGAGTCATATCCGCAGATGCGGAGAACAGTGACCGGGAATCGCGTGACCACTGGAGATCTAACACGGCTCCTCGGTGGCCGGTCAATTGGCCGTAATTTTCGCATTGTCCGTATGTGTTCCAAAGTACTATTCACAGATCTCAATCAGTAGCGTCCTCGGCGGCATTGGGACATGCCAGATCAAAGGCAAACATACAGATGGAACGGTCCATGGATCCGGATGCGATGTGCTGAGCGGTAGGGTCGAATCGTGTTGCGAATACTTCACCAGAGTGACCTATAATCCCCTCATTAGCGCATGTATTAAATTGAATTGACAAAGGCATTTTACCTGTGAGCTCCATAATGGGAGCATCAAGCCCACTCGTTCGAGGTACCTGCAGACCCGGATTAGCGATCGCAATTTCCCGTATCCTCCCAAGCTTCGTGTGTAACGATAGCGCATACAGATTGAATCAGAGCTCCATTTTGCGACGAGCCCTTGACCAATGCAGTTCCCGCGTTGAGTTCGGCGTCGGCCTTGCTTCTCTTGACCACGAGCTGGTGCGAGGTGCCGAAGCCCTCGGGCGCTGGACGTTTCTCGCCGGACATTTTTGCAAGCGCGCCTTGGGGGTATTCAAAAAATTAAAAGAAAGGGTGGACCAATCGCGACCTCAAATGTGGTGGAGAGCAAAAGTTCCACGATGAGAAGCTGCGGGAAGAACGATAATCCCACTCTCGGCGGTGAGTGGACTGTACATCAGCCACTCCAACAATCACCGACTCCCCGCAATCAACCCCATTGATCACTTGTTGACTGTCGCATTTGTCTGTGCTTGCTTGGGTGCTTCTTATTCACCTGTCCTATCAACAGCCAAGGTTCTCGGCGTGTAACTCCCAAGATGTCAGCCAACAAAACCTCAAGAATAGGAGAAGAGTAAGTAGACTCAATGCTTGATTTGGATATCCTACTAATTATTGGACTCTCCACAGAATATGGAAGTCAGTCAACCCATAAACATTTATAGCAGAACTAAAAAGCTATCCTCAATTACTTGACTGCATTTCGGACTCGAACCAAGCTAACCAGCTATTCCACCGCAGAACACGAGTCGATAAAGTGAACGCCGAACTGGTCACATTAACCTACGGCACGATCGTTGCACAATTATGCCAAGACTACGACAGTGATTACCAGGAGGTCAACAAGCAGTTGGACAAAATGGGATACAATATCGGAATGCGCCTCATTGAAGATTTCCTGGCCAAGTCGGGTGTCGGGCGATGCGCCAACTTCAAAGAGACAGCAGATATGATTGCCAAGGTATGTGCCATTATACCAGCAGCTTACGGAGATATGGCTGACATTCCGATCAGGTTGGCTTTAAGATCTTCCTGAACGTCACACCGACAGTCACGAATTGGGCAAGCGACAACAACCAGTTTTCTCTTATCTTCGAAGACAACCCTCTAGCAGATTTTGTGGAGCTTCCCGACGATGGGCGGGCTCAAGATGAGCTATGGTTCTCCAATATCCTATGTGGTGTCCTCCGAGGGTCTCTGGAAATGGTAAATACTCCATTTAGCCCTCAAATCAGACAAGGTTCCTTTGTGCTGGGACCGATGGCTGACCCGGAATCTAGGTTCAAATGCAGATCGAAGCACACTTTGTTAGCGACGTGCTGCGCGGAGATGAGACGACTGAGATGCGGGTTTCGCTTGTACGATACATCGAAGATGAGATGCCACCGGAAGAAGAGTGAAAAGCAAGATGTGCATTAGCACCTACATGGGCGTTCCAGGGGTTTCTTCTTTTCATTTCTAGGGGAATTGATCCGAGTACATCGGCCCCTATTACTTTTCCTGCAATTAGGCTTTATGATGTATCTCTGAAACATCCCGCCACGCGATTTATTACTGGCATGACAGGGGCATTTCTTCATAATAAAAATTCTACGCCTGAGAAAAATACAGGGGCTTGCGATCAGTCGAGTCGCGTCGGTTTTAGTGTATCACTAGTTGCATGATCTCTGATATACGTCCAGAGGTATGACGTTGTACTGTATTGTGCTGGGGCTTGTTACAGTGACCTGGTAATGATGCTCTGCAATTAACATGTTAATTATCGAAATAGTCTATCTGGAATTTGCTATCCATGATGTTTCTAAATCACTAGATCACTTTATCAGGGTGCTTGGTCACTTTTATGTGGCAAACTGCTTCGAAGACTTGAATTATCGCCCCTTCCGCTTGTACTTGGTAATATGATTTATATCTAACTTACAAGTTGTATAGTAACGTAACTTAGGTATACTCTGTAAGCGAGAGCATGATGCCACTTAGCCCATTCAGACAAATGTGCATATTCCATATATATTTTCTATATAGCCAACGAATGACTCGTGAAATGAATCCTATACTGTACTCGTCGTCTATAGAGTAGCGTACCCGTCAGGTACTGTCATATATTACCCCCCTCAACTTCTCTATCAATTTCTTCTTCTCTCATTTCTCTTCAATTGTCCTATCAATTATTCCGATCTCTGGGATCGGTCGATCTTCGCATCTCTTCTGTGCCGGACTCTACTTTATAGACTCCCGGGATCCATCGCAGGGCCCGTAAGGTATCATATCACCAGTCTGACTTTTCTGTGTACTTTTTTGCCTCTTTGCTTTCTGCTTTCTGCTTTCTACTTTCTATTTTCTGTTCTCTATTCTCAACTATTGACATTCACATTCACAGACTGTGGTTATCAATCGGTGCATTCCCAGAAATACGCTTGACAGCGCCATCCCCAGCCCCGACCTCCGAACAGGTTGATCCGGTCCGAACAAGCGATTCTCCCGCAGAACGCAGAGAGTACCCCCGGCTCTCTCTCAATCCCCTTCCCACTGTGAGATCCACATCTCTTAACTCCCCCTGTTCCTAATCTGCTCTTTTGTTGCCCTTGGGAGTTTGTCTTTTCTGGCTGGTTTGGGTGTTCTCCTGTCTGCGATTCTGCCCGATCGGGCTTGACTGGCGCCCGCCCCCCCATACCAACCACCTCACCTGTGCGCTGTTTCCGCCTCCTTGTACCTCCGTCATCGCCCACTTCCTATACATCGCGCATCCGCCCCTGCACTTGGCATTCGAAGTCTTCTAATACCCTGACAAGTGCTCATCAATTTCTTCAGCCCATCGCCTGCGCCTTCGAGCCTCGATACCCTAGTTTCGATCCCGTCGCGTGGGTTCTCTGGCCTAAAGCGTCACCAGTGACCCGGAAAACTTATCGTCCTCCGTCCCATTGTGCGATTTCATATCCAGCCGGTTTGCGCAGCTACGCATACGCGTTGCTGAGTCCGCGAGACTTCGTTCTTGGGAAGCGCTCACCGCTTCACCTCCGTACCCATTCCTACGCGTCGCCTATATAACCCCGCGTTAGGCTAAAAAGCCTGAGACGGTGGTCGCGCGTCGGAATTTCCCTACGTTCGATTTGATCTTCCACGAAATCACAGGCAAGGGTGGCTGCAGATCCACCGTTCGCCACCATGAACCAGATGAATATCGGAATGAACCCCGGCGCTGGGGGACCAGTGGGGGGAGTTCCCATGATCAACAACGGATCCACGGCTTCCCGTAACGATGGCACTATGAATAATCCTGATATCATGATCAACAACCTCAACACGTACATTTACGATTACTTTTTGAAGCGTGGCTATCACGACTGCGCTCGCGCACTCGTGCAAGACGAATCCATCAAACTTAACACCGACAACAACCCGAAGACTAGCCCTGGCAATCGGCGTGATGGCGACATGAATGGCCTGGATCCAGATGCCATGATGACTGATGGAAAGGACGGTGAGAAGATCAAGATCCCTGATGATCTCCCCCGTCCAAGCCTCCCCAGCGAAAGCCCCTCGTCATTCCTGCTCGACTGGTTCAGCCTCTTCTGGGATTTCTTCTGGGCCCAACGAAAGAAGGGCAACAGCAATGACGTCCGACAGTATCTTCAGCATAACCAGGTGCGTGAATGCTTTGTGCCGACGGTGCGCATTACCAACTAACCGACTTCCCCAGAACTTCATGCGTCTGCGAGAACAACAACATAATCAGTTTATGAGACAGCAGCCTATGATGCCTGCTCAAATGAACCAGCTGCGCAGACAGAATGGCGGCATGGTGCCTCCTAACCTGCAGAAAACAGTGCTGCAGAACAATACATCTGGACTGTATGCTCTATTTCACCACTTTTCCCCACGGCAGGTGTCGGATTGGGGGTGGACGCCGTACTAACATGATTTTCTGTAGCTCGCAACAGCAACAGCAGATGGCACAGTTCCAGAAATCCCAGCAAATGCAAATGATGCAGCAAATGCAACGGGACCAATCTGATATGGAAATGGCCGGACATCGACCACAGTCACCTGCGTCTGCCGACAACGCTCCTTCGCCGTCGAAACGCCCCCGCCTCGAAGGCGCTGCCAACGGACAACAGCTCGCACCGAACGGTCGTGGACAAGGACAGGGAATGCCTGGACAGCCTAACCCGCAGGCTATGATGATGCCGAATGGCATGCAGCGGGGAATGACTCAGGCGCAATTCCAGCAGTATCAGCAACAGGGACAGGCTGCGCAGCAGAAGAATATGCAGGTATATGCTCAAAACTTGGCCTTTCATCACTTTCGCTCAGCATCGAATTCCCAGGGTATCTCAAATGGTGGTATGATGAATCCCGGTGTTATGCCAAACCAGACCGATATGGTGGGGATGCCGGATGGCCAAGCCTTATATCAGATGAATGGTGAATACTACGGCGCCACCGGTCAGCTCCCCCAGGTTCGGCCTGGTATGCAGACACCTGGTCCTCAGCATGGTAACCATGCACTCCAAGATTATCAAATGCAGCTTATGCTGCTCGAGCAGCAGAATAAGCGGCGCCTGATGATGGCTCGTCAAGAGCAGGATAGCATGGCCCGCGCTGATGGCCAGCCCCCAATGCCCGGTCAAGGTTTGCCACCTGGCACTTCTCCGGGCAGCCGGGCGGGCGCTTCTCCCAACCCCAGCGACCAAATGAAACGAGGCACGCCCAAGATGCCTCCAAATGGACTTCCTGGCTCGCCCAGCGCGGCCGACATGTCCCAGCGTGGATCACCCGGATCCATGAATCTCAATGGTGGTCAAATGCCACCCGAAATGGCAGCTCAGTTCTTCCCTGGGCCGAACATGCGACCTCCCAGCTCCAACCCTGCTTTCACCGGAGCTCAAATGGGGCAACCCATCCCGGCTAATGCCCAGCGTATGCCTAGTGGACAATGGCCGCAAGGGCAACAACCGATGCCTATGCAGCATTCACCTGCGGGCCAGCCTCAGGCTGGAACTCCCCAGGAACGAAGCGCAATGCCTCCGCCCTCTGCGCCACCCGTCACTGGCCCCAACGCTGGTCGTGGTCAGCCGGCATCACCACAGACCGCTGGCAATGCCCCGCCTACACCCCAGCAGTCCAACAAGGCTGCACCAAAGGGCAAGAAGGACACCAAGGACACTCGCAAGGTTTGTATTTCTTTGCTGTTTGAGTTGTCTGTTTTTGCTAACTTGAACTCAAGCGGCCCACCAAGAAGGCCGCCGCCGCCGCTGCAGCAGCAGGTGCCACTCCTTCCACTGAAGCCGCAGATACTGTGCCAACGCCGACTCCGTCCACTCCTGTTACACCTCAACATCCCAACTCCTTTAACAAGAACGGAGCGAACGGAGCTGCGCAGGGACAGCCCTCGGCACCTGCCCCTCCGCCTATGGTCCAGCCGCCGCCTGACCAATCTCAGCAACCTTTCACTGATCTCAGTATTCCTGATGTATGCATTCTCCTGGATTTTGATAATAGGCGCTGGCTCTTAAAACACAGACTGATCCCTCATAGGCCCACGCATTCAACCTTGACTTCAGCGCGCTGGAAAACCCAGACATTTTGGAGAACTTCGACTTCGATACATTCCTCAACACCGACGCCGATGCCACTGGATTTGGCTTCGACCCTAGCATATCCTACTCAGCCGACGGCGTTGAGACAGGCGCCGGCGACACATTGTGAACGTGTAAAAGTCTTAACGGTCCTTCAGGTGTTTCACCTCCGATATACCCTTGTTTGTACATTTGATCATTGCTCTAGTGCGTTTGCGCGGATACTCGACCTTTTTTGCTTTCTTGTCTCTCAATTACCTTGGATATGTGTGTTTTCGCGCATGTGCTTCGGTGAGATTGGCGTTGGCGTATGCTCTTGATCGCAGTCCTTCCATCCTCTCCCTTGTCCGGGAAGTCTCAGCAATCCCCAATCACCTACCAGGGGACTCGCTTGGTCTGACTGGAGCTCGTTTTGTGTTCGAGATTAGTGCACTGTGACCTACGAGTTTTCTTGGCTTCCTTCCTTTCTTTCTATTATTATTATTATTACTTGTGGATGTGGTTACTTAATTCTTGCTTCGTTGAGTCCCTACGGGCAAAGTTGATACTCAGTTCAGTATGAAGTCCAGTACCTTTTGGCTGATCCAGTGCACTTTCATCCTTTCATTTGAAACGGTTTTCTTTTCTTGTCACAACCCCTCTCTTTTGAAACAAATCTTCCAACAAATGCTGGACGTTTCTTCCTTTTCTTTTTTATCTCTTTTGTTACCAGTATAACTACTATATACTGGCAGTGGAATCCCATCTACTCTACCCCGGCTTGAATAAAGTCTAAGCCTTGTGATATTCTTTCTTTTTTCTCTTTCATATCTGCACTTGCTATCAATCAGACCCAATCCAGATTCTCCTCAATAGGTCGTGTATTGGGGGAAAAAAAAGGACAAACCAAAAACGAATCCCGAGATCTGTGTGGACGCTAGCCGTTGTTGCCATGGTATGGTATGGGGTTGGGTATATGGGTGTTGATGGATTGTGAAGCGATTGATTTGGATTTGGGATTTGGATTTGGATACTCCCTAGCAGACTAGGAGTTTGTTATGCGTTATGGCAACTTTAACTGTCTGTTTCTTCCAAGAAATGTTCATGACTCTATTGCAAAACTGTTTCAGTAAGCCGAAAACAATCTACAACAACCAAAAATTTGTTGTATCTATGGATGGAAGTAAAGTTGTGTCCTAATTTCCCCTTTTCGGAAATGGGGCTGTCAATCCCCCGTTGCAATGACTGTAAGTCATACATGTGTCTACAGTGTACTATTCGTATTTTTGAAAGAAAAAAATAAAAGAAGTAGAGTAGTGATTGAACTATCAAGATGCTAATCATACATAATTCTCAAGTTAAAAACTGCAGACGAAACAAGGAGCATGCTCCTCAGGCCACTGATAGTAAGTACCGAACACGTTGAATCACACAACACCATCCGTAAAGCCCCAGGGTAAGGATTGAAGGGCTAACAACGGTAGAGTAACAGCTGCAGGGTAGCAATTGTATTCTTCAAAGGTAGAAGACATCGTCCCGTACATCGAAAGAATTCAGGGCCCGTTTGCACTCTTCTTCTAGTGCTTGCAGGATACATAACTCCTTTGAGTAGCCCGTGTCTTCCATCCCAGCATCTTCCTTTGCCATATTCAGAATGTAAAGAATAAGATGCTTGATCCCAAGTGACCTGGCGGCGTCAACGTTATTCGTCACAACGTAAGCCAGGTGAATGGGGCTAGCACGGTTCAGGTATGGATGAGAATCACTGAACCTGGCGACGACTGCGCGTGTATTCTCGTGCTTGTCCTCCATTTCTGGTGCTGGAATGCAACGAACGCGGGGTTGGCTAGCTTTCAAGGCGTGACAAAGTTCTAGACAAGAAGAGACGTGTCAGTGAATGTCATGTCATGAGGTTCAAGAACCCGTTGGATAACGGCCTCGAAAACGGCCAATAAAGCAGCCAAGGAATTGGATTAGAAGGGACTTACTTCCCAGGATAGTCGTAAAAGAGGCTCCCTCATCCAATCTGCCAAAAACCTTTGCAAATTTTCTCAGGGTTATCAAAGGACCTTTGGTGGGCTCTTCCCGTACCTCGAGAGGCACAAGCCGAGCGTCAGTCACCGGAATCATGTTTGAAACCGACGCGGGACAATCGTTGTTGTTTGCTGTAGGCGCATTTGAATAAACTGGGATATCCTGTCTATTACTCCACTGGGTGTTCCTCTGGGCGTTCTGCCAGGTGTTCTGCTGAGCATTATAAGCGTTCTGCGCATTCTGCCAAGAATTTTGCTGGGCCTTCTGTAAAGCAGCCCTCTTCGCAGCCCTGGATTTCGATTTTTTGGACGCAGTCTGGGGCTGCGTTGCGGCGATAAACTTTGGCAGAATGATCGGTTTCTTCACACCCGCATATTCGACAGTAGGTAATGACTTCTCGGCATCGGAGATTGAGCGTAGAAGCGAGTTTATCTGCTTCTGGATTGGCACAGTCACCATCACCGCGGTGTCTGCGGGAAGAATACAAGAAGGAATCTTATCTTTGCCTTTGCCAACCATCATTTGATACATTGCCAGATGGGCAACAGTGTTCTCTGCCTCATCACGCGTTGGAACAGGTTTCATGGTACGATACAGCTTTCTTTCGACAAAGACATCACAGTGCCATGAGTTGCCATCCCCGAATGGCTGGTATTCTGGCTCCGGCCACTTCTGCGCAGCGCGGTAGACCTCAAGCACCTCCACCCAGTTCCAGGAAGGGCTCGTGGGCCCATCCATGGGCTGAGGTGGGATCTGCCACAGCATGTTGAATACACGTAACTGCTCAAGAGCTTCTCGACAAGCATTGACTCTGGCGTCATGAAGTGACTGAGTCACCGGCTCAATGAGGACGGTGTGCCCCCATAATATCAATTTAACGCCAATTCTCTTTCCATTGGAGCCACCGTACTTGTATTCAAACCGGGGCTGCAGATTGGCTATCAGGCCAAACATGTTGAAGATAAACAAGACCTGGCTATCCCCCAAATTGCTCACGACAACTGAACCCAAAACCTTCAAATCGGTTGTCAGTCAAATGCTTGCATGAAGAGAGTCAGTAAACGATCCTACTTACTTGGCTATGGCAGTCCCCCAAGTAATTGGGGTTCCTGTTCTGGGAATTGCCCTTAATGTCCAGGATATCATCTCGGCTCAATCGAGCCAAAAGATCTCCTGAAGCAACTGGATTGTGTGCAGAGCTATGGGCAATGTAGGGAACAATAGGATCCATTGAGAGTTGAGTATCAAAAGGAGCAGATATGTGAGTTGGCACACCCCCTTGTCTCCACTTGCAGTTCTCGGGGCTCGAGGGGGCCCGATCCTCCAAGGACACAGGAGGAGGAAGAGGAAAGGAAAGCACAGGTTCTCTTTTGGCTAGACTAGGGTTGCAAGAAGTTGGCAGACGGCCGACGGGATTCGGAGGAAGAGCCCGATGAGCTTGAGCTTGAGCCAAGATCAGAGAATCAACAGCAGAAAGACCATTGGAAAGTTCATTAGAGAGATCAGCGCAAAGAACCGTGGGAAGACCGGTGGAAAGACCGGCAGAAACATCAGTAGAATGGTCAATAGACAAAGCAGTTAAATCCCCCGAAGAAAGACTTTGGACAGAATGCTGCGGCAGATGGCCTTGAAGGCTAGCCTGTGCATGGCCACTAGCTAAAATAAGATCACTAGCAGAGTTGACATGAAATGGAGGTCCCTGGCTCAAGGTACGCTGACCCGAAGCCCGCTGGCTTGCGTGATCATCAACTGAAGAGACCCTGCCACAAGAATCGAGACCAGATCGCGTTGGCTGGCGGGAATCAGGATACCCTTCACTCTCAACCAAGGCATCACGGCCGATAGTTGAACGGGGCAGCTGCGCACCCGGGTGAGGGAGGATCAGATTGTCAACCTCAGAGGCAGCATTCAACTCGGTCAGCACTTGCTGAAAGAGGGATGGTCTCTCCGAAGTTTGGGACATCGCATGCCGTCGCCGTAGACGAGCGGAAGAACTAGCTCTAGCAACATCTGACTCAGAGTCCGCAGGTAGGGGTACCACGGGCTGCTGGCTGTGTGCACGCTGGAAACGCTGCAATCGAGACTGGGCTTTTTGAGCCTCGGATTTCTGAATTCCAGCTCGCAGAGAATGGGCTTGAGACATTTGAGCCTGCGCCGAGTCCATCGGAACCTGGTCTCCCTGGTTGTCAACCATGAGAAGGCCACCCAACATCTCCATGCCCGGCAGAGTCACGGGAGTGTGTGTCTCTGCGGGCACTGGGGTCTGGCTGAATTGCCGCATAGACTGGGCACGAAGATGCTGCTGCTGTCCTTGTCCGACGGCGTGATCCGGCTTGCTGGCAGAAGATTTGCCTGCCATGCCATGAACATCATCAGCGGGGCCGGCAAGCTGACACAACTGCTGGACACCATGGCCCATGCCCTGATGCTCAACACTCTTAAACGAATAGTTTGAAAAAGTGTCCGCATCAATTCCCAAGCCGCCAAAGCGGCTCGAGTCTGGAGAAGACCAGGAGAAAGACTGGTCAAGTGTGCCGGGAGCGACAGGCTGGACTCGATCCAGAGTAGAGGTGCATACGGTAGGAAGACTTAAGATGTGAGTTGAAAGAACAGGCCAATGGTCAGGCATGGCGAAGGGAGCAGGGTCGAAGAAATTGACAGTGGCAGAGGCCTCAGCCGATGAAGCTGCAGAAGCAACAGTGTCAAAGACAGGTCCAGCAATGCCAGAATCAGAAGCAGAAATGGTGGACGACAACAAAGCAGAGCTAGACGAGACAGAAGTGTCCAGGCCCGATTCTAGAAGCGAGGACATCCCCGAGACTGCGGTCTCGGGGATATACAAGCTCAGAGCGGGATCCGCCATGGAGAGCACAGACTGGCGATTTTGACGATGAAAATCCGGATGAGCTTGATGAACACAGAGACGGGAGACAAGCTGAAATGGGAGGAAAGGAGAAGGTGAGAGAGAAAACAAAACAGGAGGGAGGTGAGTGTCAACAGCCCTATTCCTTCCTGATTGAGAATTGCTCTTATCACAGCCAAAGACCTTTCCACACATCCACTTTTTATCAAGACGATCAGCTAGGAAATGGACACAAAAGAGGTCAGAAAGAGGCTGAAGCAGGGCGGAAATAGTACGTTGAACGGTACACTCGCTTCAAGGCTTTCGTGTAAAGACTATCTCAGACTTTACGATACCATGTACACACCAATAACCCCAGTTGTACTATAACAGCCTCACAATTTCGAGGTGGACAATCAGCTCCATAGCTATAATAAATCTGGACCAAGTTTCAAACCACATGTCAAGCACAGCTCCAGGCATCTTGTCAATAGATACTTGGTATCTCAAGGAGACTACGCAAATGACTTGTGATCATGAAGCACAGTTACGAGGAACGAGGAATGAATAGTAACAGGCATTGGTGAATCCACTATCGGCTAAGAATACGAGAATATGTAGACGACCGGAAGGTATTCATAGAAGGACACATCGTCTCCAAGCTAAGTAAGTAGTTGGCCATTCTCCTGGTCCACCAGATGAGCATCCTCAACGTCAACTGCAATCTTGATCTTCTTCGCGATATCCTTTGCCTTGGCTGTGTCCTGGCTGGCGACGTTGTCGACATCCTTCACTTCCTCCACGACCTCCTTGACGATTTCCTTCAAAGCCTCCTTCTTGCTCTTGACCTTTTCACTGGCACTAGATCCAACCTTGGAAACTGACGGCTCGACTATGTCCTTCTCAGTAACGGGCTGCATGCTTGAGTCTGAGACGTCACGGGTGCTGGGCTGCGAGATCTCACAGAGTGCAGAGGTGCGGCGCGTGACTCGGCCGTAGCCATCAGAGCGTGCTTTGGCGGCGGCAGAGGGCTTGCTTACGAGAACGATGGACGAAGGAGTGTTGGAGGGTGCATAAGTTCCCATAGTTGGCAACTTGCTAGGAGTGAGAGCCTGGATTAACTCGTTGTACTGGTCCTCATCCATGGCGGCGGTCATGCTAGGCTGCTTGCTATGCTCGTAGCTGACGCCAGTCATGCTCGAGATGGCACGGCTGCTGGTAGAGCTGGAAGCGTAGTCTGGCATGGGGACATCCTCCCGAGAAGATCGAGCACCGCGTTGACGCCAAGCTGTTTCATCGAAGTTGTCCAAAGCGGCCTCAATGTATGTGTTTTGTCCCTCCCAGCGAGGTCCACGTGGGTAATCAATCCATTGCGTGGAGGGAATAGGAAAGCCCCGGTGAGGAGTCCAAGCATAGCTTGATGGGTGGCCAGGCTGGTGGTGACTGCTGTTGTAAGTTGCGGCATTGCTGCTGCTGGACTGGCTGCTGGAGTTGACCGTAGTACAGTTGGGCTTGCTCGGAGAATGTCCATGGGGATCATCAAGTCTCTTGGCGTTGCCGTATCTGTTTCCTAGGAAGTACCGGGGTCCACTGGCTCCATCGCCCGCCGACAACCACATCTTAGGGTTGGGCCAGGCGATGTTGGAGTACTCTAGAACATCTGCAACCCACGTTATCAAAAGATTCCCTGGCAATGAGAAACAAGATACTTGCCCAAAGGCGCATGCTGGAAAGACATGGCAACCACATCCTTGTAGCGCTCAAAAGGAGGCGACCGATTAGGGCGAGAGAACCCTTCAGCAATGACGACCCTGATCCGGCCGTTCATGTCATCAATATCCCAGTGCTTCTGCCCAAGGATCTCCGGGTGAAAGGGAGGGAAGCGCATCATGTCAGGGTTTCCCTCTCGGTCGAGATCTATAAATTGTTAGAAGTCGAAGGTCAAATAGCGGGGAGGACGTACGAGTACTGAGTTCTGTTAAAGTCAGCATCTCATACAATCAAAATGGGGTGTACAACACATACCAATAACATGCGGCCAATCGGTTCTCTGCCCAAAGATAGTACCTCTGAAAGATCTCAGCTCAGTCCACAAAATATCAAGTATTGAACACTCACGCAATGAAAACACCATCCACGTAGACACGAGCTTCAAAAAGCAAGACATCCTCCGGCTCCATGTGAGACTCAATTGCAAGACTAGGACGTGGCTTCTCCCAGCTATGTACCGATACCCGGAACCGACTGTCTGCAGGAAGACTCGAGATAAAGGTTGTCAGAACAGGAAGTTGGTTGTAGTGGTTAGGGTCAGGGTAGTAAGGCCGGTTGCCCTGGTATGCAGCCTTGTGCAGGTTAGGAGAGCCCTTATCCTTAGCCACGAAGCATTGAGTCTTGAACTCCTGGATTGGAACTCTGCAGAGATCCGGAAAAAGGAGCACGTCCCAATTGCCGTAACGCATCTTGAAACGGAGGCAAACCTGGTTCAGAGTGTGGTTAATCAAGTGAGTGGATGAGATAAAAGGATGGCCCTGATGACTGAATGCACATACCTGCCGGAGTAGAGAGAGGGAAGGTGCGAAGCAACGACAAGCGAAGCTGCGCGGAGGGAAAGAAGAAAAAGAAGGGAGAGAAGAACCGGAGATACTTGGATCAACGGCAAATTGTCGCGGACGAGGAAGGTACCTCATCTGCCATGCAACTTCATTGATGCCTCAGCCCTCTCTCTACCCTACTTAGATAACTCAAGACCATATCAACTCATTTCATAGTTTCTATTGCAGAATTGACATGGTTCTACCCATTCTGAAAAATTTACCGTCGAAACAGACATTCCTCCCATGAAGCGCGAGCCAATTGCGAAGTCAACCAAGCCCTAACGAAGGAATCAAGATCTAACCAAGCATGCAAGCAAGAGTCTAGATGAAACGAGACCAGTGACCAACGGGTACCAACACCAAGACCCACGCCTCTCCATGAAATAAAAGAATATTACACGTAGCAGCTTGAAAAGTAAAGTATTCCAATAGATTGATTCCTGACAGCATCGAAGAAGACAAGGAGAGAGATGAAAGAGACCCAAAACCAAGTGCAAAAGGCCAACGAAGCGCCAAACCAGAGAGGCTCCATACTACATGAGCAAATGCTCGAGATTGTTGAATCTTTTCCAGGGGACCAGCCCTTGACAAGTCGTAGTTCCGTAGCTCAGCAGCTTAGCTAGCAAGGAGCTGATGCTAATAGAACAGACCCGAGATAGATTGGAGACGGCAGCAAGGAAATGCAAGACATCAAAAGAGCGCACGACATTATTGCATATCACATACCAAGAAATTTAGAATCGACAAACGCTGAGGCGCACGAAACAGAGCGTGTTGTACAAGCCGTCATCAGTCTAACAGGAATAGAAAGGAAAGGGGGAAAGCACAACGCGACATTCCTCAAAGCGAACATAATTCAATTTAGCTGCTTGGAAGAAAAAAAAAAAAGGTAGAACAAATGAAAAAAGTGTGGGGGGAAATGGAACTTTTCGCAGAATGCCTGCCCAAGGAGTATAGGGAAAAAGAAGCGCATGAACAATTCGGACTTCCGTTACACGCAGACAAAGACCCATGAGGTGTTTAAAACCCCAGTAGCATAAGGGCAGAGAGACATCGAAAGTAAAGTAAAAAAGGAGAATAAGATACGAAAGAGAGCGCAGAGAGGGGAAAGAGATACATAAGAACAAGACAGATATCAGCGGGAAAGGCAAAGTTCAGATCTTGCTAAGGTAATAGCGCTCACGTAAAAAGGAAATGCGTAGCACAGGAGACACGATGCTCATCAAGAGCTATAGCCTTGAAGGCAGAAACCAGGGAATCACGAATTTGTTATGACACAATAGACCCGTCAATTGAATGGCGCAGACAACTCCTGTCGGTGATCTCAATCAAAGAAAACGCTCACTGGAGAGTTGTGTCAGCCGACCGCCTGTTTCAAGAGTGATCCGGGATCGGGCTGCCAGGGTGACTGCTCACCTTCATGGGGGCAAAACCGCCATACTGGTGGGCCGGGGGCATGCCCATGGAGGGGTACATGGGAGGTGGTGGGGGAGCAGGGCGGTAGGGGCTGCCGGCAGGGCCGGAGTTGTTCTGGGAGCGGCCCCAGCTCAGGCGGACACGAGAGTTACCGATGGGGTATCCCTGCATCTGGTTGATAGCCATTTCAGCGGCGTGACGCTGGACAAACTGGACGAAACCGCAGCCCTTTCCAGGGGGGATCTTGACGTAGGTGATTTCGCCGAATCCCTGGAAGAAAGAGCGGAGCTCATCCTCAGTGACGTAACCAGAGAGACCACCAACGAAGACAGTGGTGTTGTTAGGGTCGGTGAACTGGTTCATGGGCTGGGGAGCACCGTAGAAGGGCATGGGAGGGCCACCCATGGGAGGGTACATGCCAGCGGGGCCGGGCATACCCATGCCACCACCGTTGCCAACACCGGGACCCTTGTTCTTAGGGGTAGCGGTAGAGATACGCATGGGACGGTTGCCACAGTAGACACCCTGCATCTCGGTAAGGGCGCGCTGCTGATCGTTCTCGTCGGAGAAACGGACGAAACCGTAGCCACGGGACATGCCGCTGATGGGGTCGGTCATGATCTTGGCGGACTTGCACGAGGGGAAACGGCTCTGGAACAGCGAAACGAGGACGTACTCGTTGACCTCGGGGCCGAGGTCACCAACAAAGATGGAGTACTCAGGACCACGGTCGTCGCGGCTAAATTTCAAGTTAGTACCAGGTGAGAATACCAGGTAGGGAGGTTATAATCGTGCTTACCTGCGGTCAGCGAGACCACCGCCGGTAGCCCAGTTGAGCTTGAAGACCCGGTTGGTGTTGGGCATGGGAGTGCCGTTCAGAGAAAGGGCCTTGGCAGCGGCGGCAGGGGAAGCGAAGTCGACGAAGCAGTAGCCAGCATTGCTCCTACTACCCACATTAGGAACATATTCGAGTATACAAAAGGAAACTAGTGTCTTACCCAGAGAACTTGTCGCGGATCATCTTGACGTTGACCTGCTCACCCATCTGGAACCAGAGGTTGCGGATGAAGTTCTCGTCGATCCAGGGCTCAAGCTCACCCATCCAGAGGGTGGTCTTGCCATCGGCGCCCTGCTGGGAAACGGGGGCAGCGTTGGGCTCACCAGGAGCGGGGCCCTGGAACTGAGCGGCCGAAGGATCGGCCTGACCGGTCATGGTGGTGTCAACGGGGGCCGGGGCGCCAGCGGCGGCGGGATCCTGCTGAGGGAAAGATTCGAAGTTGTTGAACGACATTTTGGGGCAAAAATCAAAGTCCGAAAGTCGACGTAAGAAGGCGAATATCAAAGCGACTAGAACTTCGTGGAGTCGTAAAGAAAGACCGGCGTTAGATCAATTCGTGATAAGCCAGGCAAGGAGGGCGTAAAGGTCCTGGTTGAATCAATTGTTAGATTTCTAACGAGCAAAGAGCGACTGACGAAGTGAAAACGAGAAAATGATATGCGACAAGACAAAAAATGACGAGCTGAGATCCAAAAAAGAAGAAGCAATGCGAAAGCTCAAAGCACTGAAGGAAATGTGAAAAAGATCGCAAGTCCTTCACAGCGCAAAGTTCCTCAAAGCGGCGCCAGAAATCGCCAAGACCAGAGCTTCGGGTAGCATTTGCGGAAGGCATCGATGGGTGGATCGGCCGCAGACGAACGGAAGAGCGACAAAATCGAATGCGCAAGACGAAAATGGTACCTGCTCCATCCGTTGATGGCGATGCGCCGGTCGTTTCCGTTTTCGTGCCCAGTGTCCAGTGCCCAGTCTGACGTCCGAATGCAACCGATCCGCTCACGATGGCGATTCAGATGACCCGGTCCGATTTTGTCATGAGCGAGGCGCGACCACCCATTTGTCTTATAGTCGTAGGCAGAGAGATAAAGGGCAGAGCATGAGGGTATAAAAGAGGCACTCACCTAATATAAAGTCGCGAAAATACTAGAAATGCGATCGCAAAAACAAGTAATCGGCAACAAGCACAACTCCCTAAAGCAAAATCCGCGAAAAACGAGATCTTCGAACAATAGGAAAGAGGGGGATGGAGAGGGGAAGAAGAAAATGAAGAAACGAAATCTTGGAGGGAGGGGGAAGTGCGAATACCAGTACATGGGTATTTGTATTACAGGGTATGGTATTCGAGTATTTGGACCCATGGTTCTACACTCCGTTCCAAGGTTCTCAGTTACAGACTATACAGCTCAAAGCTATAGCTAGAACTATAGAACTATCACTAAATTTATTTTATATCTATAACTATAGTATACTATGATATACTACCCCATGCATATGCGCCTTCTCCCCAATTCCTGACGACTCCGCCAGATCCGAGTCCAAAATCTCGGTGAAAGATACCCAATAGTACCTGATACAAGGGACCAATGCATGAAATCTGCAAGGACCTGTCGCCCTCCTCGCAATGTGACTTGTCATCGTCCGTGGGCCTTATCGTCATCGGCGCTGATGTAATGTTCGCTAGTTGGTACCGGGAAAGTGCCTATACGAGGAGTTGGGTACCTAGTTTATATTAAGCTTGCTACAAGGTTGTCGGTTGTCCAGCTTTACATTTACATTTACACTTCACTTACTCTTACTTACATACAAATCAAATGCGCCCCGCCACACAAGCATCGAACCATGGAACTACAAGTCTCCCTTTCACACCCCTGCACCTGCAGGCAAATATGCAGCTCTCTTCTCGAAGCAAGGTTCTTTAATCCATGTAAGGAAGCCAAGTTTGATCCGAATACGTCACTGTAGAAGAATAAAGGGAACCATGGGCGCTCGTATTAGAATTACCCGCAGAGATTTCATGTGCCAAGCGGCTTTCCACTCGGTACGCGACGCGTTTCTGTATGGTATTCCCGAAGATCTGGTCCTATATACAATGAGCAAGGGATCCGAGATGTTAAAGGCTAAGCCCTTGCATAGTGAGACACTGTCGGTACTGTATTAGCGTCTAGGATATGGGGTAGGGCATGCCCTGTTCCAGCTGTTCCAGTAAATGAGCAGACTTAAACATACTTGTACATGTATCGTGAGATTATTAATCCCTTGAACCATGGAACAGGTCTTTGGTGCCCACCATCGGAAATAAGAGCCTGATATTCCGTCTGTATACCTATCTCCCTGTACTAAACCTACATGTAAGCCCGATCTCTTTGTTAGGTCAAAGCACTTATTGTAGAGTCAGCCCGAGGCTGAGCATCGCCCCCAGGACTGACTAGCTTTCCCCACTTTCAGGGCTCATATCCACTTAGTTCGGGCTGTTCTGTCCATAGAGAGGGCTAAGACTGCTAGTGACTGTTACGTGAATTCAAGGTATGGAAACACTGGTCTTACAGTACTACATTCAGCTGACTATGGTTCTGGTGAGCTGCCATTTTACCTGCCCGACTCCACTGCCTGGTTGTTTTTTTTTCCTTTTTTTGCCGGGTCTCGGGTTTCAGGTTTTTCTTGCTTAATTATAGAACTTTCTAGAAGACACATGTGTATCCATCTATATGTACGGAGTATGCAGTAGAATTTGCCCTGTGGGACTTATCGTCTGCATCCAATGGCCTAAGCTTTCACTTCTAAAAATATACTCCTCAGCAATCTACAATCTATAGCTTAGATCAATAGGAACAGAAAACATTAATAACTGACCTATAGCACAAATCCAAAGCCCTGTACGAATTGACAATATCCAATCCAAATACATTAAACGCCCAACATTCAACATTTTAACAGCCAAATCAAAGCCCACAACCCACACCCACACCCACATCCCCATCCTCACCAGCCACACCAGGATCCTGCTCCGCAAGCAACATCAAACTCTTCTCATAAACCCTCGTAGCCTCCAACATCCACGGTTCCTCCTCGTCCTCACTCTCATCGTCATCATCTCCATCAACACCCCTACTAGACCCGAGCACAGAAAAAACCTCATACCGGGTCATCTCCGCCAAACTCCGGATGCGAACCTTCTGCGTCTCCGTCGCAAGCGAGTGACCAATCCGCACACCCGGAAGAGCGGCACCCGTTAGTGGATGCGTGCCTGTGCATAAAGCCGCAAAGATCGAGTCCAATTTGTGTAGGATTGTTAGCGTTGGTTGAGGGTCGAAGGGGAAGCTTTTTAGGCTGGTTTGGACTAGGCCTGCTAAGGTAATGAGGGTTTCTGTTTGGATTGAGGCTGGGTTTGTTAGTATACATTCTTTGTGTAAAAATGCATGCAGAATATGATCTCGATGTGATATGAATACAAGAGAAGAAAGGATTATACTCACGAGTCGCCGAAATCCAAATCGTATCAACCAAGCTATCCACATCAACAACTAGATCCTTAAACCCCTCGTATCGCCGTAAATGAACCGGTGTATCTGGTGCGTCCATGCCCATGTCAGATTTCATTTTGCGGTACGTGATTTTTTCAATGCCCGTGCTGAGACGGCCTCGGAGCTGGGTTTCTTCCTCGGAGCCGGAGGGGACGGGTGTAGTCCGCTGTTGCGGGAGATATAGTGGTGGATTCCATGACTGGACTGGGACTGGAGGAAGATCTATGGAGATATCTCCATTCCTGTTTCTTTCGCTGTTTTGGGCTCTGGTTTGGTGGGCGATAGGAACGTCTTCGAACTCGACGTCTGAATCTGAGTCTGAATCATCTTTGAGGGGAATAGGTGTCATTTTGGTAGGTCTTTGGATACTAGGAGATGGTGTATTGTTTGGGTTATTGGATATTTTGTGGTGAGATGGGTCGATGACGGGGAGAGATGGCTCTCTGGGAACTTCAATGTTTGAACAGTCCCAGTTATGCTAGATGGAGATTATGTTCAGGCTGTATCTGGGATACCAGAGTGATCTCACATGAAGTATACAGCTGTGCATGTATAGGTCAGATCTTATACTCAGATCAGAGGTGGGATGTCATGCCGAGCCTTGGTCTGTGCGGGATATATGACCTACCTTTAGCTTTTTATGGCTTCACTTGGTGTTTCACTTACCTATTCAAATAACGGCCTGGAATAAATCAATTGTTAGTATTGATAGTCTTTCAAGTTAAGATACATGTACTAAATCAGAGTCAAGACCACTACTGATCAACAAGGGCTGACCGTGGCTACAAAAAGTGCTGATATATATATATATATAACGTTACACCGCCGAAAGAAATCATAAAAGATAGGGACATACTTAATCGCGGCAATAAAGAGAGGAAATCGATTAGTGTCACATAGCCGAAATATTTACAAGACCTGAATGAGAGCTAATAAAATATGATGATCAAAATTCATAGATAATGTGATTGTTATTGAGATATGTATACATTCATCTAACCCACCTATTTCGAATATTAGCAAATGCAACAGCAAGAAGCAAAAGCAAGGATGACAAGATAAAAGCTCCATATCAGAAGGTGAGAAGATTGTTGATATGCTGGTTTTTGAAGTCACAGCATAACAGCGAACGAAGCGCGTTTTGCTAATATGGCCCCAGCGTACTCATCCTTAGAGCGAAATCTCAAAATTCCAAGAGACCAAAGAAACAAGTGACTCACATGTACATCAGGAAACCTCGAAACTTTTATCCTGTCCACGAAAGACTCCCAAAACGCCATGCTATCATGCACACAAGATCACTCAGGCTACATCAAAGTTAGCATCCCAAACCCAAGTTTAAAGAAAAGACTCAAACTCACCCTAATCTTGCCCCTCCGCATTTTAAGATCGTGCAACTTCTTCTTATCCTCATCAAAGCGCTTAAGCAAAGCATTCTGCCTCTCCTTCCTCTTCTCCCGAGACTGGAATCGATAAAAGTCCTCCAGACCCTCCTGCTTCTTCTTCTGCCGATCAACAAGCTCCTTCATCTCATCCTCCCGTGCAACAGAATTCAACTTAGGACCATGCGATACAGTAATGAATCCATCCTCGTCTGGCTCCGCCAACCGCTTGCTCTCCTCGCGCTTGCGTGCTTCAGCCACCGCCGCGAACGTAGTCATGAACTCGTTCACGGAACGGAGGAGCGCACCTCGGTCTGGGTACTGGAGGCGCTCGTGCGCAACGTATCGGTTCAAACCGAGGGCGGGGATGCGCTCGGCTGGTAAGTCCTTGCCCCATACGATGGTGGTGCCGCGCTTGGCGGCCTTGGTGGCGGCTTTCAGGCTGGTTTCCATGCTGGGTTTATCGGCGAAGATGATGATTGCGTGGGCGCCGCTCTTTTGGAGCTTGCGGTCCCAAGTTGAGGGGAGATTGATGTCATCTAGGTAGATTTGGTAGTCGTCTGCTGTTACGCGCTTGCGTTTCTTTTTGTTGGAGTTTGTGTCTGTGTCTGCGGCTGCTGTGCGTTTCTTTGTTGGCACATCCTCGAATTGGACTTGCTCGACGCGGCCGGCTGAGAGTTGGGTGCCGAAGAGGTGGCGGATGTGCGCTTCTGTTGTGTCGATTGGGACGTTGACGATGAAGAGGGAGCGGGCCGAATCTGGGTCTGGGATTCGGGGTTCATGAGGGCGGATGTAGAGGTAGTGTGTTGCGGGCTTGAGGAATGTTGGTGTACTGGGGAGCTGCACAGGCAGAGTAATATACCCTTCCACTTGCACAGATGCGCCCTTCATTTTGATGAGAGGCTGGTTGTTGGATTGTTGCGTTGGTTGGGCGGAACTTTTTTTGCAGTTTTGCAGAATTTTGCCGCGTCGCCAGAGCGGCGCCAAAAGCGGTGAACTTTATATTAGGGCTGTCACGACTTGATCTTAACAATATGATTTATGGTATAACTGACTAATGTATAATCCTTTAGCATCATGCTGGGTATATCTCGAAAATTATCATCTCAGACAACTCATATCACGCTTCACATCGTTAAGACCACCTCAAACCTTGTCAGGGTCATTGATACCGCCATTGGTAATGATATAGATTGCTTCGCGCTCAGGGCAGTCTATCAAAAGTTAGTCAAATCCATAGTCTCAAGGACCAAGAAACGTACCAGGGGAATCCTGGATCTTCGCAACTCGCTCCTCTCCACGACCCTTCCGAAGAAGCACACGAGTAGTAGAAGCATGAGCAAGAACATGTCCACCGACAGGCTTGCGGCCATCAGCACCGGCAAAGAGAGAACTAGCGCCAGGGTCACTCTGGACTTGGTTTGTCTGACAAGCATTATAAGCCAGGCCCACAGCATGCAAAGCATGAACGGGGATAATGATACTCACCATCAAGACACAGACGTTGAACTCTGCAATGAAACCAAGTTAGCACTTTTCTCCACAAGAAAATACCACTCAAAGGAATAAAACAAAACAAACCTTCAGCCATATGAGCCAGCTTCATCAAGAACTGATTCAACTTCTGCTGCCGATCCGCCAACTCTCCACGCCCACAATAATCAACCCGAAAGCAATTCATAATGCTATCAATGACAAGCAAGCGAAAAGCCCCACCAGCAAACTCACGACTAAGCGTGTTCAAAAGCTCAAGCTGATGCTCGCTATTCAGCGCACGGGCATAGGCAATGTTCTCTTGCGTAGCTTCTGGATCGACACCGTACCGCTCTGCAATCTGGGCGATGCGCTCTGGGCGGAATGTACCCTCTGTGTCGATGTAGGCGACTTTGCCATTTGCACCGCCTAGTTCGGTGGGTAGTTGGGCGATTACTGACATTGTGTGTGAGAGTTGGGTTTTGCCACAGCGAAATTCGCCGAAGACTTCGCTTATGCTCATACTTTGGAAGCCGCTTTGGGTTTGTTAGGATCTGTACCTGTGACGAGGATGGTAGATGGATGGGGTGAAGGTAGTACTTACCCGCCGAGGATGGAGTCGAATTGTTTACTGCCTGTCGAGATACGGACGACTCTTTTGCGTTGGTGGTGCAGTTCCATGGCAGTGATGAATCCAGATGCAGAAGGCTGTAGAAGTCTGGTTAGGGTTCGTTCCGAAGACTTTATTATACTGGGAGCAGTGGATAGCATACCAGACACTTCTGAATGGCCTCCTTGACTTTCTCAACCTTGACCTCGCTGAATCCTTTGATCTTGAGGAGTGTCTTGCGCGTGGCGCCATGGACGGACTGGATGATATAGTTAGTTGGATGGAAGGCATTGGACCATGCAAGTGGCATGGACAGGAACTAACAGCAACAGTGTAGAAGCCACTGGCTTTCAGCTTAGTGATGTCGGCTGCGCCAATTCCATGAGATTGGATTGTGTCGATGTCCACGATAAAGAGCTGTGATATGGTAATAAGGTTGGTTAGATAAGGTGTGCGTGGAGTTGGGACTGGGATGTACCTCATCATCCTCAAATTCATCGCTTGCCACTGAGCCCGGCATCTTGATCAGATCCAATGATCAATGATCAAGAGTAATGGATTGAGTTGATGGGGATGGAAGGGGGGGGAGCCGGAGAGCTGGAGACTGTGCACGAGTCACGGGTTCACAACTACCATCTCTCCTCTTCACAATACAGTTACAATAGAAAGTAATTGAAATGATTCTTTTTTGACTCTTGAAATGTTCTCTGCACCGAGGACTCTTCCCAAGAAGGGCCTTTCTTCCACAACGTTTCCCCGAGTCCAAGCTTTCCTCTCAGCTTCACAGATCTCCATCATCCTCATCCTCTCTGTCATTGCCATACTTCTTCATCTCTCCTCTCCTTGGCCTCGTCCAGGAAAACCGCAACCAAGAGTCGATCGAATTGAACCAATCGAGAAAGATAATCCGTAAGAGAACAATAGGACGCCAATCGTAAGACTTGAGAGCGAAGTCAAGTCAGAAGGGACTTCGTAAACAAAAACAGGAAATAACTTTTCTGTTTGTTCGTCGTATACATGATAGGGGGTAAAAAATAAGTAAAAAAACACAAAGAAATCATAAGGAAACAAGCGCAAGTTCCAAGTTGACAAAAAAAGAAGAAATTCAATAGCTGGTTTTTGCCGAGACACCAGACCCAACCGAAGGAGGCGGGTTTCAATATATGCAAAGGAAGAAAATGGAGGAGAGAAACGAACGTGGGTCAGGGAAAATGACCGTAATACAGAACCGAGGAAGAAAAGGTAACTAGAAATTCCTCCAAGAGGAAGAATGCGCGGTGGAGAGAAGCACTGTCAACCAACTTATGCGACAGTGGTGGTAGCAGCGGGAGCCGCAACAGGGGCAGGCTCAGCAGCAGGCTCAGCAGCAGCAACGGGAGCCGCAACAGGGGCAACAGCGGCAACGGCATCAGGGGAAGCCTCAGCAGCAGCAGGCTTAGCGGCACCCTCGTTAAGAGGGCAGTCGCGGGAAATATGACCAGCCTGAGAGCACTTGTAGCAGACCTTGCCGGTGGAGCTGAGAGGGCCACCGTTGGGAGCGGTGCAGTCACGTGAGATGTGGCCGAGCTTGCCGCAGGCGTAGCACTTCATAGCCTGAGCCTGGCAGTCACGAGCGAAGTGGTTGGGGCCACCGCACTTGTAGCAGGTAGCGGTGCGAGGGTAGCCACCGAAGCCACCACGGAAACCACCACGAGGGCCACCGGCGCCACGGCCAGCGGGACCAGTAGGGACTCCGGTAGGGCCTGCGTTGGCACCGGCACCGGCAGCAGCAGCCGCGGGGGTAGGGCAGTTGCGCTGGGTTGGTCAGTCACACTCGAAGGTCGGTATGCGGAATGGAGGGCTTACAGCAAGGTGGCCGGGCTGGCCGCAGTTGTAGCAGCGGCCGTTGGCGCCGTTCAGACGGAGAGTGGGGCAGTCAGCCTGGACGTGACCAAGGCCCTGGCAGTTGTAGCACTGCTTGGCTGGATATATATTAGCCTCGGTATTCCCAACAAGCATAGATTCGAGGTGTAGCTTACTCTCGGTGGTACGAGGAAGAGGGCAGGCGCTGGACTCGTGGCCTACATGAACGATTAGGAGCTGTTGCGGGAGTAAATTTCAAATTCCGACATACCGGGCTGCTTGCCTATAGAATCAAATTAGCCTGTAATCGTGTCATAAAGGAGACCAGGGCACGTACAGTTGTAGCAGAGACGCTCAGTGGAAGTACAGACCTCTACCGAGGGGTTAGTATAGTCCACACCACTAGCATACTCCTTACTAACCGGCATAGTGGCCAATAGTGCCACACTTGTAGCACGCGCGACGAGAGAGCATCATGTTGTAGTAGGGTGTCTTCTGTTTCTATTCATCATCAGCCCACTGTCGAGATATAGCCGCATAGCTCCGATAAGCGTCTTGCCCTCCACGGATCTGTCAAATAATGGGCGCAGTAAAGATCATGATTCCCTCTCTTGTTTCGAGTAACGACATGCTCAAACACCGCAATCCGAGCCCTGCCCGCAGCATTGTATATCACGTAGCGCTTTTGCGCCCAAAAATCAGACCGAAAGAGGGGAAGACGTAGATCGGCGGGGGTCAAAACGGCGCAACGCAAACTCGAAGGATCAAAACCCACCGTGGAAAAGACTCTGAGCGTGTACTTTCTATTAGGACCTTGTCAGCTTTTTGGAAACCTTGGAGGGAAACACGTTCGTCGACTCCGAAAATCGCGAAGAAAAAAAGTGGAACACACAAATGTAAAGACCTCAAAACTGCACAACTCACACTCTCACCCAAACTTCTCCAAGTTATATCAATATAAATCTCAATATCAGAACACACAAAGGAAGAAAGAGAGAAAAAGTGGAAAAGGTCATGCAAACTTGTCAAACGCTTTAGCTCCCGGGCTTTTCCGTATTGCGTAAGGTCGATTCACGTTTATTTACATCTATACTTCATTCCACCCCTACATTCTGTATCCCTTAAATGACAATGCAATTCATTTCTTCGTCAGATCCGAGGGATCCGTTTATCTAATTTACTCTTCTTTTTCCAGGATGGCAGGGGCCTTGATCTCACGGCCCTTGAGGAATTCCAGGTTTTCACCGCCCTGTTATATGTTAGAGAACATTCAAAAGATATGAGAAAGGGGAACATACGTAGCTAATCAGAGGGGAGACTTCAACACCAACAGCCTCTCCCTCGGTAATGACAACTCCACCGGCAGCCTCAACCCATCGCTGACCCTGGGCCATGATGTCGGCACGGCTGGTATCCGCGTCGTCCTGACCGGTACCACGGGCGTTCTTCAATGGTGAGAACTCATCCTCCCGGCGCACCTCAATGCTAGCGAACTTGTTCAATGGTGTCATGGGGAACACGTCAAAGACGAACTGCTCGAGCTTAACACCGTTGGGCTTCTCAGGCTTGACAGCGTCACCAGTTTCGGGATCAACGCAGCCAATCTTCTTGCGGGCAACGTGGTGGGGGAGCTGGTGTGCCCAGTTCTCGATAGACTCGAGGAAGCGGAATGAGTAGTAGTGGTTGACAATGTTGGCAGCACGGTACTTGAGCACGTCGGGCTGCTTGGGGTCCTTGGCCTCGGCGGTCTCCTGGTCGATCTCGGAGTACTCGACAACATCGGGCTTGCCGTTCTTCAGCAAGATGAGGCCGACAGACTCGGTAGCGTTACGCTTGCGCACCACCTTGGTGGCAATGTCGACGTCCTTCTCTGCAGAGAAACCAATGAAGACCGGGTCGGCGACCTTGACAAGGCAGTTGTCGACGCAGTAAGCGTGGATGTGCTTGATGCCACGGCGGCGCATGTCCTCACGCACACCGGAGACCACGAGGGCCTGGTAGATACCACCGTTTCCATCGGGAGCAACGGCAACCTATGTAAATGTTAGAAAATAACTCTACAAACTCTAACGCTGGGTTGCACATACCTTGCCCTTGCTCTCGAGCATGATCTTACCCTCGTTGGAGATACAAGGCAGAACACCCTGCTCGAAGATCATAATGTTGCTCTCCTTAAGGCCAAAGTAGTTGTTCTGGGCGAAGAAATCCTCGGTAGGCTTGCGAGTAGGTCCGCTGGTCATTACGTACCAGGGAATAACAACTTCGGCACCGCCATTGGCCTTTTGAGCCAGCTCCTGGAGCTTAGCAATGCGCTGAGCCTGCAGCTGGAAAAGCGATTTCTCGCTCAAGAGACCAATGTCGAAGCAGCCCTTGGGGGCGGAGCTGCCGAGCCGGGTGCCCTGTCCACCGGCCATCAACACAACCGCCACCTTGTTCTCCGCGACCTCCTTCAGGCCTGCATCGTACCACTTCTGGAGATCTGAGGGATTGGAGTCGAGAATGGAGGCCGTGGCTACGTCGGGCAGGGGCTCGAGTGTGACGGCGGCCTGCTCGGCCATGGGGGGGTTCAGAGCCTTGTCGGCCAACTCATTGATCCGGGTGGGGTCAAAATTGGACAGCTGGTGGAACAGCTGGGCCTTCTCGACTGTGCTCAATTCGTCGACAAAAGCGAAAACATGCCCTTGTCCGGCGTCGGTATACTTCTTTTGGAGGGCTTGGAACTCCTCGGGCGAGGGTTCGCGGGGAGTCTCTGCTGTAGTGCCCTGGATTTTTCCAAGCACATTGGAGACGGCATCTTTAATAACGCCGGCCATGATGTGTGATTGTTTAAGAGAAGAGAAGGTAGGAGAGGAGAAAAAGGGAGGGGAAAAGTGGCGAAGGAGAAAAGTAAATAAAGCTGCGGGGTGGAAGCTCTGATTATGTACTCTCTCACCGTAACTACGGACTACACACTCAATATGTAACGCAGCCCCCGTGGGTTCCAGGTTATTTTTAGGGATCTGCAAAGGCGAATAATAGCGAGGACCAAGGACACGAAAGGACCTAGCGAGTGCCGAGTGAGACCTACCCACTATGAGCGGGGCCCGAGTTTATGGAGTACGGAGTACATAGGGGCAAGTCATACATTCAGCCGAGCTGCATTACATTTTACATAGACATAGGTTTCTAGTTTCGTCGTCGACGATCGCGATCATCGTAACGACCCCGTTCTCGGTCTCGGTTCTTCCGCGAGTCTCTGTCTCTGTCCCGCCGAGGACTGCGACTGTACGATCGACGACGGTATCGATCTTGATCTCGATCTCGTCCACGAGGGCTGCGACTACCTCGGTCTCGGCGGGAATCGCGAGGGATAGGGTTGGTACCCTGGGGAGCATCAGGAGAATTGGCCTTGTTGCGCTTGTCAAAGACCATCCTGTATCGCGCATCATCCTCATCGCGAGGGACATCGTCAAACTCTCGGTATTGACGTTTCGCCTCAAGATCTGCCACACCTCCAAATCCTCCTCTCTGTCGGCGTTTGGTGACAGTGGCGTTGCGCCAGCTCTCGGATAACTTGGACACCTGCGATGCATTAGCGTGGTTGTTGTTTTCAGAACGGGTGACTTGAAGAAACTTACACTCTGTGAGAAATCAACGTGGATTCGGTGATCATCAATTAGGACACCCTGCATTTTGAAATAGGCCTGTTCACAGTCCTTTTGATCCTCAAATTCAATAAAGGCATATTGTAGACTGTCGCCGGTACGCTTGTCTCGAATAACTTCGCAAGACAAGATCGTTCCGAAGCGACTGAAAATTAGGTTCAGGTCCTCATCTGCATCATCATTAGCAATTTACTCAGCCGTATAATAGCGCGACAAACCTTGTGTGACTGGATTGAGCTTGCAGACGAAGAGAATGTTCTCGGGCGGTTTGACATCGGCGAAAGGTAGATCTCCCACCATCTCCAAGGTCAATGCCTGCGCGCGAGCCTCGCGCTCACGACGCAGCTTCTCCATCGCATCTTCATCCATATCATCATCCAGATCCTCATCGTCTGCGATTCGAACAGTGGCCAGTTGTGCTTTAGAGGGTACTGGGCTCTCAGGTGGCTCGACCAACTTGGGCGGGTCGTCAAAGGGATCATCCAAGACTGTGGTGTGACGAATGCGAATGTCTTTCAGTGGTCGACCTCTGTCGTCGATAAAAGAGTCATTGATCTTCTCTAGGATATCGAAGCCCTCGACGACCTTGCCGAAGATCGCTGCCTTCCCATCCAAGTAATCCAGATTATCTCCCAGTGTGATGATAAATTGACTTGCCGCCAGTCGTTGATCAGGGTCATTTGTCGCGGGGACTGTCGCCATGCTCACAGTGCCCCGCTCGGTGTGCTTCAGTTTGCGCGGTACCTCGATCGGAAAAGTGCGCTTCGACGGTCCGTCCAGCAGACCCCAGATCGAAGACCCTCCATCACTCTCGGGGGCATCAGGGCCAAGCGGATCTCCAGTTTGGAAGGTAAAGTTCTTTTGGACGCTGTGGACAGGCGAGAAATTGTAGTACTTGAGCTTGCACAGCTTCAGGAAGCTACAGACAAACAACTTTAGTTTCTGTTCACGCGCCAGACCGGGGAAAGAAACCACTTACTTCTCACAAGCCTTGGGCGACTCGTCGACCAGCAGGTCGATCACAATGTCGCCTAGTGAAGTTTCCAAAAGCGCACTCATACTTGGCTCGACTGGTAAAGGTTGAAAGTCCAAGATTGAAGGGACCGAGCTTGGACCAATGATACAGTGCCAAGACAAAGCCTCTATGTATCAACTTCCCTTCACTTCCATTTCTACTTATTCACCTTTTCTCTCTCACCACTGCTTTTGAAAAATCAAAATAAATGGCTATCCGTCGAGAAGCTCCGGATGGTCCACCCGGGTGCCTTGTGCAACGGTGCATGTCATTCGAGCATATCTTCCGAGTGTCCCCGTTGGCGGCTAACCTCTTTCTAGATTGTCATGCAGATTCTTATTACTCTGAATCTGGGAGCTGTTTGCTGGCTTATATCCCTCATGCAGCAGCAGGCCAAGCCAAAAGACCAAGAGATTCCTGTTCTAGACATGCTCGTCAACAGTGACAGCTCCAGTTCCGCCTTCTCGTTCTTCCCACCTGGGTAAAGATCATGGCTCTCTCTTCCCTCTCTCTACCCCCTGATTTGTTCCACAGCAGAAAAGTTGGGGAGCAACGGGCGACCTCCTGCATCCAACATCTCCTGGATAGAGCCACACACGTGGGAGATCAATCAGCCAGCCTCTTCGATCTGGTCATTCCAGTCAGAACCCGGTCTCAATCCCAAGATGTGTTCCTGGCGAGTCATCTGAAGCCTCTTTTGTCTCTTCAAGCTACCCCCTTCCCCGAATTTCGTGCATTGTCAAACCTTGGAGCTCCGAGAATAGCTCCCAGGGCCCAGGTTTTGTATTTGAAACCTGTTGATCTGGCCCTCTTGTCTATCTCATCTCTCTCTATCTTTCTTTCTTTCTAGGGCACCTTTTTGTATATTGTAACGCAAAAAAACCCCACCCTCTAAGTATCCCAGAATCTCGTGCAAGGTTCTCCCCCTATTGATCGAGATATGGGTGATGCCAAGCTAAGTAGACCCATCACATACATGGGTTTTTCTTTTCTTTGTCTCCCATTTTCTGGGCTAAATTGCTTTTTTTTTCCCTGTTACAATTTTAATCTAGCTGCCGAAGCGCAAAAAAACGAGCCTGATCGACAACATCCATGTCGCCGATCAGACTTTTAGATCGTGGATCCTTGCCACTTTGTTTCCTGGAGCGCGCTTGGCTTGGGGAAATCTCTCGCGCTTGTGAAGTGACAGGTGTCATAAAATGTTATATTTTTTTTGTTTCTTCCTACTAAGACATTTGCCTGAGACAGCTTTTGCTTTTTTTTTTTTTTTCTCTCGTTCTCTTTCTTTGAGACCCCGTGCGTTTGCCAGACATCCAACACATTGCCATAAAAGTCGTTCCAAACCTCGACAATGGCTTAACGTCTCAACGAGTTCGGAGTGTTTGATGCAGAAGCTGCAGCCACACAAATCGGTTGGACTATCGAGCAAACATTTCAGATCTTCACCGGACGCCGGACATTCTCCCCCGGATCGGCATCAGGATACTCTCTGCAAACAGTTGGCCGGCAGTTGCCCGTTTCTTCCATTCTACAGTATACGGGGAAAGATGGAGATGTTCCGGTGGTGCATCAAAGCACAGTAATCCCCATTTCTGGGAGTCTTTTCCACCTTGGGCAGGTTCTGGCAGTCCTGGCAGCAGAGAAAAGGCCCCAAACCGGCTGAAACACTGCCTACCGGAGCACTCTCCTGTTCTCCATCAGGTCATGTGTGACGTTACCTTGTGAAACCAGAGTCTTTAAAACGCCGGGGGCAGTCCTGCTGGTCTTTCATGCTATCTCTGGGGCACAGGGGAATCTGGATTGGACGCGGAACTTTGCATATAATTCCCCCTTGGAAAAGAAAAGAAACGAGAAGCAGGAAATGGAGAGTAAATTGATAAGAAATAAGGTACTTTTGGGCTGCCCACCAGCTGTGTAGGAGAACGACAGAACAGAAATATCAATAAAACAAACAGGGGGAAGTGGTTAGGGCAATCACACCGATTGTTACCAGAACATGGCTTAAATCGAGCCCTGCCTCCCAGAGACATCTTTCACTTTCTCCCTTTTTCTCATATTTAGCCTACTTACCGGTGAACATTTCTGTGAGTGAAACTAGACTCTCTTTCTTCTTTGCTAACAGTTTAGCAATGGTTCATTCATATGAGAATCGAGGGCTAGAAGCCCGGAGTAACAGCCTCTCTGATTCTCGATCGCGCGTTATCGAACAAGAACGCAATGTTGAGCGAGAAGAGAAGCCTCGAAAGCAGAGAAAGCGAGCCCTGGTTGCGGTGAGTCTGATCATCTACCAAACTGCCCGGTTTCTAAAACTATTCAGTGTACACGATGCCGGAAAAGAAAGATAAAGTGCAACGGCGACCTCAACAATGGTTTGGCTTGCTCAAGCTGCCGTAGTGTTGGCTCAACTGAATGCCAGTACATGCGAGTAAGTCGCCGCTGTGCAAACAGATGAGAAGACAACTGACTATCCTCGCTTCCAGGTTCACTCCGACACTCCAGAAGAGATCAAGAAGCGTCTAGCAGGTCTCCCTCCAACATCTTCTGCTCGCTATGGAGTATACCCAAGCCAAGCTCCTAGAAGACAAACTCTCATCTCTATGGACTCTCAATCCCGCAATCCCTACGGAGAGTATGAGATTTCCATGGACGGCTCCGTCCAGTATGACGAACAATCCAACTATTATGCCCAGACCTCACCAGGGTACATGGTCCCAAGTACCCGTGAGGGCACGATGGTTGACTACAGCACATGGGGAACGCAAGCCTGCGACCCAGTGCTAAACAGCCGACAATCCAACGGCGACTACTTTCAAGGAGCAGCCAGCTTATCTCAAGCCCAAACAGCCTACGGCTTCTCCCACCCCCCAGGATTGTCATCCGACATGAACCAGTCACCAGGCGTGAACAACTCCTTCTCAGAGGTAGAACGTACGCTTCCCACACCCCCAACCTGCCAAAGCCAGCCCCAATCCCAGCCCCAAGCCCCCGTCACAACAATGTGCCCCCTCCCCGAAGAACTATCAGGCATGACCCTAGCCGCAGACCCAAAGAATCCATTCTGGAACTCGCACGCAAGAGGCATGGCCGTGCCAACCGTCCCCAGCAACGGCTACACAAGCCCACCCGTCAGAACCACCCCAGAAACCGGAACCCCATCACCAGCCTTGACATTCGAATATATGCCCATGGCCACGACGGAGGATACAACACCACCCCTTCCACCAGCTGCATCATCCATCCCCTCATCCGTGGCCGGTAACCACACCCTTTACCCAGGCCTCGACACGATAGACGAGTACCGCAACGGCGACAACCGTCTAGTATGCAACAACACCTTCTCCCGAGACAAGAGATCCAATTCTCGTCTGAATGCCCTGATGTCTGACTGTTCTCCCTATTCTTATGGGTATAGTAGTGGTGAGAGGAGTAAGGCTCGTGGTTCCGCGGGTGCCGATGAAACTCGCTGTTCGGCGCCGACACTTATGAATGGCTTGCCTTATAGTCGTGTTCGGCATCCGGAGTATCATCTGGCTTTGCCGTTTGATCTTTTGGCTGATCCGTTCCCTGAGTATGGGCGTATTGAGAGTGTGACTCGGCATCCAATTTCGCCTTTGGGGTATCGGGATGCTTATTAGGGTCTTCGTCGTCTGTTCTTTGTGTCTGTCTCTTGGGAATATGCATGTCTTTGCTGGATATTTGGATTCAGCGTGGATTGGTTGGTGTTCACAATGTCTTTGTCTTGTTTTGCTTTATTTTACCCTGCTTTTGTGTTCTTTGTTGCTTCTTCCTTCTTGGTTGGTCCTCTCTTGGTTGGTCTTTTCTTTCTTTGCCCCAAGATACACGAAAGAGATACCCACATGGCCCTTACTTCTGCCTTGCTCACTGTAATGTGTTTTTCTATATGTCGTTTCTGTCGCTCCATGTCTTGTTAGAATGATCTTGTTTTGTTTCTTTCTTTCTTGTCCTTTTTTGGAATCTTCTTGTCAGCCAGGTTGAGCACTCAGGTCTGCTGCAGACAGGACCAGTGCAATGGCATATCCAAAAAAACCCCCATTCTGTTTTGCGTGGTGGACTCTATTATGTGCTTTTGTTTTTTTCTTGTTTATTCGGCGGAAGATCTCTATTTCTATTATTCTATTACTTATATTCTTCCCCCCTGGATCTGACTGAAACCTGACTTTTGTGTCCGAATAATGAGGCTGCGTGACTCTTAAGTTCATTCCAGTTATGCTTTCTAGCTTAATTGCGTGCAAGGAGCAGAGGTGGCTTTAATTTGATTTTTCATTCTAATATTTACCTACAACCGCTTGATTTGCCTCAATTCGATTCTAACATAGTGACTAATAACGATAAAATCAAAATATATTCTCCTGTCTACCTCATAATCAGAAAGGCAACCACTATGATACAACTCGACGTGGTATATGAAACTGGAGGAAGTCAAGTCCAATCATGTCTGGGTAAAGAGGTGATACACAATTATTTCTTGAGCGAGCTACCAACAGAGGATAATAGCTAAAAATATGAGAAGAAAAGAAAGAGAAAACGCAGCCTGTGTACCATGTCGGCCGCCATTACACAACCGCTCGAGCCGAAGGCAACACGCGCACATCCACCCATAACCCTGTCTAGAAGCCAGAGGCTTTTCCTGTCCACACCATGATTAGGAATTTAGACCCTGCATTTACAGGATCATGGCCAGGAACTATTGATGTCTTTCCTTACTAGATTGAAATGTTGGTTTCTTGGCTGTTGACTTCACTGAGTATACTGTCTATCTCCATGCAATGTATGTCATTGCGGGGTTGGTTTGGATTCGTATGCGTAGGACCAATAGCTATCAGGACTTTGGTGGGATGTCGTTCAGATGTACATTTTTTAGCCGATGAGATGGGGAGATGAGTTGTACGGACTTTTGGCTGGACATACTTTACCTTCGACTTAGGGCAAGCCACTTACCAGACAAGCCACGGTGGATATACATCTAGACCACTGTACGGGGAAGATCGCTTGGTGGGGACATCGACTACGCTACACGACAACCAGATTGAAGAACAAGTAAATGTGATTTCATCCCGGGTCGAAGCCCGGATTCTCATAACCCTGGCTGCCTTGGAAAGAACCGATGACCCCAAAAAACATACACACGAAACCACAACACTGACGCCCTTTTTTATCCGGGGGATCGCCAGGCTTTTTCTCCAGGGGATCACCAGCTCCAACAGCACAGGAATAAAAAGAGTTTCTGCAATCTTCACCATTCAAACGGGCATCATTTTGGGGTTTAGTCTGATGTTCGCCGAAAAAGAGAAGACTTAAACCACTCTCCCCCCACACACCTGACCACACCTGTGTTCAGGAATCCAAATCCAGGTGGGAAACTCCAGAGCCATAGACACCACCCACTTAATCTTTTCCCATCGCATGCCGCCTTTATCGGTCCATGTTGATTCGTGGTTGAGATAAGCGATGCGCTTAGTCCTTGCTCTTCTTGGGGCCCTTGACCTTGGCGATACCACGGAACTTCTTGGAGCGGTTCTTCCGTTGCTTGCCTGTGGGATGTATTAGTAGTGATTCGGGGATCAATAGACAATAAAAATAAAAAATAGATAGACGTACGCTGCTGGCGGGAGGGCTTCTCGATCTTGTCGGCGGCACCGACACGGACGAGACGGTAGTGGGGCTCGAACTTCTTCAGGGCCTCGGAGGAGTCGTAGACCAGAGCGAAGCCGGTGGACTTGCCACCACCGTACTGCGTGCGGAAACCGAACACGGAGACCTGGTCCTTGTTGGACTTGTACAGGTCGGCCAGCTTCTCGCGGAGCTCGTCCTTGGAGACGTTAGGGCGGTTGGGGTGGAGGACGTCCCTAGATTCGCGAAAGATGTCAGACCGGTGTTTTCTTCGATGAATGATTGCATTGTGCTGTGTTCCGATGTTCTCTTCTGTCTGGTGTTGTGTGGTCGTATTTCCATGTCGCGCGCCTTTTTCGTTGATTCCACCACACAGATCCAAAATCAAGGGGGGAGGAAGGGGATTCTTACACGACCATCTGCTTGCGGGCAAGCAGAGGGTTGCGGATGAACTTGCGAGTCCGCAGAGTAACGGGAGCGTCGGCCATTTTGGTGTGTGTTGGATGGAGGAAGTGTCGACGGGGTCACTGAGGATGTCGAACTTTCAATTTTCGTGTGGTGTGGGCTCGGCTAGGGTAGACACTAACCCGATCGGGGAAGTTGCCTCTGCTTCGTGACTAATCAAGCCTCAGGCAGAAAAAGAATGAGTCAGCAGATATTGCCCTTGCTGATCTAATGTCTGACTCATCTCATATTCTCCAATGATATCGTGCGCTTGATATTCTTCAATATCAAATTACCATCATGACCGACTCAATTCGCAAATTAGCGGCGCAGTATTTCCAGCTGGTGGATTTGCAGCACTTGGCCCTTCCATTGGGTCCTGTGCTTGTCCAGCCAGATGTTCAAGCTGCTATATACGAGCGCATGTTCAACGAGACTACGGTCTTTCCAATCCCACCAGCCAACTACCGAAGCCGAGTGCTAAAACTGATTCTCTCGCACATTGAAGAATCCATAGCTGACCCCGAGGAGGATGTATGCACCCCATTACCAATTGATCTTCTTTGTCTTTTTCTACTTCCCTTCCACTTCATGTACATCACCTTTCATTCCAATACAAAACTGTTATATTGAGGTCGCACTTCTTCAAGATCAAATCTAATATTGTCTAAACAGGAGATTAATGATGATCTCATGGAATGCTGGACCGAACTGGTCGCCCAGCCGAAACAATCAGCCGTCGAACAGGCACAGCAATTATCCTTCATCAAATACACAGCTCCCGCCGAAACAGAGCCGAATGAGCCAGCTGCAAAGACCGACAGATCAGTCATCACCTCTGAATCTCGCGGTCTAATCCTCTCAGCTGGAACAACCGGGTTCCGCACCTGGGAAGCAGCCCTGCATCTAGGATCATTCCTGTCCTCTGAGACCGGCGAGGCCCTCGTGCGCAATAAGCGAGTCATCGAACTCGGTGCTGGCACGGGATTCCTATCTCTGGTTTGTGCGCGCTACCTCGGTGTGCGCAGTGTTGTTGTCACAGATCGGGAACCTGCTCTTATTGATAATATGCGTGAATGTGTTCCGCATAACCTTGATTCCGAGACTGGGAAGTCCATTCCTATTTACCCTGCCGTTTGGGAGTGGGGCACTCCGCTTGAGAGGGCGGGGGATCTTGCTGGGCTTGAGTCTGGGGATGATGGGGGTCAGGGTATTAAGTTTGATGTTGCGCTCGGTGCTGACTTGGTGAGTTTATCTCTGGGGGGTGATTTGATTTATGCTGATAATTTTGGATTAGATCTATGACACCGATATTATCCCTCTGCTATTATCTACTGTGCAGGATCTCTTTGAGAATTACAATATTGAGCATTTCATCATTGCGGCAACACTGCGCAACGAGGATACCTTCCGCACGTTTTTGAATGGATGTGGTAAGTCTTCGGATTTCTTCATTTGGCGCGATGGTCATACTATGTCTGTCTGCGAGCAACCCGCTGACTTCCACAGAAACAAACAACTTTACCGTTGAAACCCTTCCATTCGAGTCGACTCCGTCACAGGACCAAACAGGCTTCTTCCATTCGACCAGCATTCCGATCCGGACGTATCGGATTTCGCGGAAATGAACTGCCACCTGCCATCTGTTATAGGTTATATCATGAGGTAACGAATATTAAATGAATAGAGAATATTATATCATGTAAATGATCATAAATAGCAGTTGTGTTATTTTTGCTTTAGTATAGAAGAAGTGTACCAACTACCAAGTATCCCATCTCGTAGATGAACGATAATATTGAATCTTATCACAAATCGGTTCAAGTCATTAGATCATTGTAAATCATTGCAAGCCACCACTCTAAGTTGTGCAACAAAGCGAAAATGGCCTCATCTAGACATATGTAGAAATCAAAAAAGAATGCAAGGGTATCATGTCGCACTCGCACCAGCGCCGTCCAAAACCAGAAACGAAACGAAACGAAACGAAACGAAACGAAACGAAACGAAACCAATAAATGCAACAATGAAACTCAAGTAAATGCAAGATAGCTATGTGGAATGCAATATTAAACGAGCGTGGTCGCTAAAAAAAGAGAAAAATGTAGAGTGTAGACAACTTCCCCTACTTGAAAATTTAGCCATCTTCTTCGGCTAGACTCTCTCGCAGTAGGTTCTCATCTATGCCTTGGGCATGAATGGCAATAGGCGCCGCGGGTGGAGGTCGGAATCCCAAAATTGGACCCTTTTGGTTCACGCCTGGGAATCTGAAGCGGAGGGCCATCGGGTCGGGGGCTTTTGGCCCTAACGATGGAGGAGCTGGTGTAGGAGGTGTTTGCGTTGGTGCTGGCACTGGTGTAGACTCCATGGTTGGGCCTTGCGTTGGGGCATCAACTTCGCCATCGGATGAAACGGGTGACATTCCCCAGCGGCCCAAGACCCAGCCTCCTACGCGCCGACCTAAAGTGGCCTTTCGTGGGCCATTGGCTGCCGTTGACGCTGTGCTGTTGCTGTCTGCGGATGTGATGGATGATGCATCGGTTGATTTATTACTCTTGCTGGCAGCCATAGAAGCAAGCAATGATTGGGATGAATGCCCAGAGCTTGTGGAGCGGTTGGCTATGATGGCCGGGGCGGAGATGACTGGGGGTGTTGAGACTAGTTCGACACTGGGAGATAGGATGCGTTGGGGGATGCGCATGCCTGGGTGCCAGTCACCCATTCGCATATGGCGGGTGTTCGGTGTGTGTATGTCCATTCCCGCCACTGAGACGGAGAGCAAGCTGTCGTGGCTTGTGGATCTGCGGAGTGATGAAGTTTGTGCCTGCATGGTGAAGAAATCATCGTCGGCGTTCTTGAGTGATTCTCGTCGTGCAGTTGATGGGAAGTAAGGTCCTTGAGGAGACGGCTCAGACTCTTCTGGAATGGCGGGCTCTCTGGAAATGTTGTCACCGTTAAGGTCTTGGCGATGGTACATATTATCGTCAAATGATGAGAGGTCATCTTGAGAATCATGATTGTCAAAGTCGCTTATTGATTGGAACGGCATATCAAGGGTCTTGAAATTCCTTGCTCCCATCACAGGAGAAGAGAACACTGTACTGCCTGGGCTAGTAGCTTGGGAGAGCTCCGCACCACGTTCGACGCAATCAAAGATCGACGATGTCCGGAACGCAGACTGCGGAGAGCTTGCCAATGAATCACCTGCATGTGACTGTAATGACCAGCGGCGCGATTGTGGTGGGATTGAGACGGATGTTTGAGATAAAATGGTTGACATGGATGAACCGGATGACTGCGAGCGATGAAGGATCCTTCGAGGTGATTGTCCCTGAGCAGAGTGCAATGCTACCGGGCTCCCTATAGCAGGCCGTCTTTTCTTCATGCGACGATTAATCGAGGCCTTTTCCTTCTTTCCGGGCGTATGGTAATGATGATGGTGGATGTGGAATTCCTGAGATACTCGACGCTCTTCTTTCGCTTCGAGCTCCTCGCTTAACGTTGTGACGGTACTTGGTTCGAGGTTATCTTCCTCGTCGACACCGGCCAGAGGCTGATGAGACAAAACTTGATCTCGGAGGTTCTGTACCTCCTCGTTCGAGGTGTTCAGCATCTCGCGTAGCTCCATAATACCGACTTGTAGATTGGCGTTGTCCTGCAGGATGTCTTTGACGAAGCGCGAGACGACAGTCGTACCACCGGCATTGCGCTTCAGTTCGGAGGCGGCAGCAGCGCCTTTAAGACGGCCTGCTGCATTGTCAAGCTCGCGCTCCACAGCTCTCTTGCGTTCCATGCGCTCAACCACCTCGGTGTGTCGCTCGCGCTCCTCGCGCGCTTCTTTCTCAATGCGGTCGATCTGGTCGTGAAGGTCGCGTAGGGTCGTTTCGGCTTTTCTCCATCGCTGCACTGCCGACTGCTCGTCTTCGTGAGCCAACAACAGACTCTCCTGTAACTTGGATTGCTCCGTCTCCATAAGAGCAAGCTGCGCCTCGAGATCAGCTGCACGCGCCGCGGCAGCAGTCAATCTGCGCACTTCGGTCTGCGTGTTCTCCAAGTTCGAAGTGAGTGTCTTGGCATAAATGTCGGACTCGGCGACAGCCCTGTTCAAGCTGTCGAGCTGCTCGAGTAGACTGCGATTCTCCTCGATGATGCGCGCATTTTGAGCCTGGACTTCCTGCTTTTCGCGCTCCAGGTCATCAATGCTGGCGACTAAGCGATGACGGTCCTCCTCCGCCTCAGCCATGTAACTTTCATGGCGATGGAGCAAAGCCTGTAAAGCAAAGGTCAGCGATGACGGCCCGAAGCAATCTGCCTTGGCAGCAGAATCCAGAAAAGAAGTCATGACGGACGCCAACGCAGAGAGAAAGGATGGGAAACCGCGACACGGAGTCCATGAGATCAGATCAGGCAAACGAGCCCCTGTGATGTGTAGGCTTGGGGTGGAACAGGTCAAGTAGACTAAAGGAAATGAAGAATGGGGAAGGAACAAAAGCCCGAGATAATATTTTGTGAGGAATGATGGAAATGATGTATCAAACATGCACGACTCAGCTCAGGACTGGGCGTCTCACGCGGATTTACAATACATTTGGGCTGAAATTTTAAACAAGCAACGTACCTGGCCTAATCTCGCGGCAGTCTCGAGATCTTTCTCCAGACCCTCCAGGGCTACATTGTTGTGCTCGAGCAGGGCACAATCATTGCGACCACAACAGCAGCGCAGGGTGGTGGAGGTGGAATGAGTTGGAATGCTGAGGCCCGAGTCCGAGCAATGCGGATGAGGATCCATGGGAATGTAATGATCCCTTGGGGAAGCAAAGTGTCCAGGAAGACCGCCAGATCATCAGTACACCTGCAACTCTTGCAGCTCAGGTCTCACAGATGTTCCTAGAAAGCGGAGAAGCTGGAGAGAAGCGGTTCGTGCCGGGCGGTTCCTGGATTATGTAAGTTCGGGACGTGACTTGGTCAACCCTAAGGAGGTTGAATATTCCCAAACGATATACTTGATCAGTGTGAGATCGTGTGAAATCGTGTGAGGACCAAAATTATTGATCCTTGACAAGGATGCGCCTCGAGAAAGAATCTCGCCAAGTCGCCCACAGGCCCACTATCCCGCAGCCTATCAAAGTATTAAAGAACGGCGATCACACCTTTATGCCCAACCAAGTATGCATATGCACCTAATGAAGTCGGTGTGAGCACAGTACGTGGAGAGTACAATGCTGAGATTGGCAAAGTGCATATAAAAAGGTACAGTACTACAAGGTAGAGACATCAAGGCAGAAGCATATCCTAGGTGAAATCATTATATAAGAATCCGCTCTGATCAGAAAAGCGGTGTATGAACTACATGCCAGCAAGGGAGTGGAGCTCAATGTCAATCTACAAGGGCAGTCAGAGACAGTCATACAGTCTGAGGAAGACAAGGCAGAAGAAGAAGCAAAGCACGTGGACGAGAGCTTGAGGATGAATGAGCATGACGCAAAATATAAAACAAAAAGTCATCGCCTGGCTCGACCGGAGACATATCGGTACTCCAGTCTAACCAAGCGATCCGGAAGGGGACGGACCAGCTAGCGGTGGTAAGAATATTTGTAAGGATAAAGGGATAAGATTAACCGCTAGACCACTGGTCCGAAACACCTTACTCTGAACACTTTATTCACAGTGATATGGCGTGAAGACAGTGCTCTATATACAGTACGCCGGAGACTCACTGTATGGTGGACTAGCTGTGAACTCTGCTTGGCTCTGACGTCGAGTGTATACATGACTTATTGACCACAGCTGATACTAGTCCTCATGTGGCGACGGCGAGGCTATACGTACTACGTTATATCGACCCCTGGCATGTAACATTTGAAGGGAGACCTTTCACCATTATGGGGAGGATATCATGCATTGTGACTATACTGCCATACTTGTACAACTCATATCTCGTAGCGAGCCATAGAAAACCACAGCCACATGTAGTACCAAGGCGCCTCGCTTTCAGGTGGGAAGAATACAACCAACCAATCAAGAAAGACAAGCAAGCAAGCTACTGTACGACAAATAAACTCATATCAAACCCCAGTCGAACCAGGAATAATTCAAACCAAACTCGAACAAGATCTTAATCCCTCGCTCGCTTCTTGATTCACAGAAAGTCCAGAGATAACCAAGAAAGATATAAAGAATTTGAAAGGATGAAAAAACATCCAGCGAAAAGAGAATGAAACAAAATGACACCCTTAAAACAGTCTAGACCAGACCAAGCCAAGCCAGACCTAACCTAATCAAAGCAAACACACCCAGGCTAAAGCAAAATGTCATCACGAACATTAATAAACGCCCCAGCGCCACCGTCTTCACTAATTTCATTGACAAGGACTTCGGTCTGCTGATACAGGCGTTCCAAAGCCGCAGCAGAAGATTTTCCTAGCGAAACTAGGATAGCCGAGTTCAACTCCTCAGCAACGGCAACCCTTCCCGACGGATCGAGGTAATGGCCATGAACAGAACGCTTAGGGTCGGGGTATGCGACCAGGGAAAAGATATCATCGAGTAGTTTCTTATCGCCTCCGTTATCGTGGGTAGGATAGTCTAGACGGAGTTGTTGGCCGTATTGGACTGCTTCGGTTAAGAGCTGGTTGAATTGCGCGACTGCTTCTGGTTCCTGATCTTCTGTTTCCATGCCGTCTGTCCAGGGGTCGTCGTTGCTGTCGTCTAGTTCCATTTCTTGGTCGAAGACTGCATGTTCGTGGGAGAGAGCTGGAGATGTTGGGCGGCGTTGCTTTGAGGCTGCTGCTGTTGCTGCTGAGAGTTCGTTGGACCGACGCATCATTTCGAGGAATTTGCGGCAGCGTAGTTTGAAGTAGATTCTTGGGTGGTCTTCTAGGACGTCGGAGTAGTAGGCTTTTGTGTGTTTGAGGGCTTTGTCGATGTCGCCGTCAAGGATTGCGGAACGGATTTCTGGGTGTGTTAGATCTGAATCTTAGGCTGTAAGGAGTAGCTTACTGTTCCGGTTAATAGCTTCGCGATCCTCCTCCACTTCATATTTCTTTAATGGCTCGCTGCGCCTATTTTCCAAAGCCATTGTTTCGGTGGCAACCTCTTCTGCGAAAGCGCGAGCCGTGTCAACGTAGCCGTCATGGGCCAGGAATTGTGCTACTAGTTCTTGCAACAATGTTGACTCGTCCAGCGGCGGTTGGAGGTTAGCCGTGTTTGTAGCGTTGATCTCTGATTGAATCGCCATTCTCTCTTGCTGTATGGAGTTAGCATGACACTTTCAACAGAAGCCGCAGCACATACCCTGACCATGCCATCAATATCAAAAACGAACGGCTCCTGTCCAAAGTTCGCCTTCAGATGTACAGTTGGCAACTTCTTCATTCCGACAGATGGATACAGCTTCACATTGCGGAGTTCGTGGAATGCGATTCCTATCCAGTCAGTATTACACACGGCCATGATGGTTGTAGAAACATACCCAAGAAGATACCGTTCTTGGTGAAGAACGCAGCCCCGGTAGAGAAATTAACACCACATCCTACGGTATCACCAACACCAAAGGTTGGACCATATGCTCGGCCAGTACCCTGATTCTCACCAAAGAACGATTTCCCATCGTCACCATGATAAGCCCAGGATTCCTGTTCCCAACCCGGAAGTCGCTCGACATTCGCCTTGGGACTTGAAAACCCAATACCAATCATGCTAGACACACGTTAGTAACGAATAAAAAACAGGGAAACAAGAACATACCCCTCCTTAGGCTTAGATTCGATTTTCACCTCAAAGTAGTAGATCCCGCACTGTGGCGGCATAGGGTGATCAGTGCGCAGCGCGGCAGCTTCATTATCATGTTTATGGACCGGACCAGCATAGCGAACATCAAGACTATCATTTGACAGTTCCAGGGCGGAGCATTTATCATCGGAGCTCCATTGCGTCGGCAGCGGTTGAAGCGTATCCGTGACGGGCGGTTCCTTCTCGATGATCTCATAGGTCATTCCACGATGGGACGGCGCCATGCGGGGCAAGTGAACATTGCTAGAGGAAGCTGAGAGCGGCGGATTCGAAGTAGAGGTCGAAGAAGAGGCGGCATCACGTTGTTGGGCGGCGAGCTTGGCTCGATGGGCGGTCTCGAGACGGGCGAGGTAGCGAGAGTTGCGGAGGTAGGATGGGGTCATGAAGCCTGGCCCGTCATTCAGGCCTAGGCTTGGAGGGAGGTCGGAGCGTAGGAAGCCGGCATACTTGCGGGAATAGTGTGGCAGCGAGTCTGGCGATCCTGAGTTCCTCCAGGCGGAGTTCATGTGCATGTCTGCATCCACGCCGGACAGAGTCCGGTGGACTCGGGTGTCGGAAGGTGGGTAGGGGATTGAGTGGGAGTCGCTGAGGAGGTGAGAGAAAGAGCTTGAGGTTGAAAATGCGTTGCCGGAGACTACGGACGCGTAGGAGGAGCGTCGTGGAATAGAGGAGATGGGGTATGAAGCTCGAGCTCCACCGGATGGGGGGATGGGCACATCAGTCATGATGTTCGCGGGTCCGTCGCCCCCCAAATGCCACGCTACCAGAGCCACTTCTGTCCGTTTTGGGCCGATTTGCTGTGCTTATCTTTTGTAACTTGAAACTTGACACTTGAGATACTTGAGGGGTTTTAGAGTATGCTTGGTGCGTGGCGGGAATCTCCAGCTTAGGCGTGTGGAAGTGAGATTAATAGAGAGAAACGAGAATGTGCGTGGAGAGAAGTAAAGTAGAATGTGAGAAATCCGAAAGACATATTCAGCTCAACAACTCAAGAAGAAGTAGAGAAAGAGAAAGAGGGGAGATGTCACGAGCCCCTATGTGCTACGAAGTACACGGGAAGTACCTTCGGCTATATCTGTATACTCTGTATACTCTGCATACTCATGTTACTGCTCTAGTATTAGCCGCCGAGCTCAGTTAAGTACATGTATCAGATTTAACAGCCGTTTAGAAACGGCCAAAGAAGCGGCCTGGAAAGCGTTACAAGTCCACTGTATTAGAGTAAGATCTTATGAAGAAGTCAATAGGCAACACCAGTGTATACCTATTCGATCTACACGTACAGACATAAAGTTATACAGTACGCACATGAGCCGTATGCCAAAGCAAGAACTATCCTCATATAGAATACCAGTCCCAAGAAGTGTTATGATACAAAACCCAAACCGATTCGGCCTGCTCGCCGACATAAGCCTGGAACCGATTCCATTCCGAACGCCAAACCAAAACCACCCGAAGAAAAGAAGAAAAGAAGTAAGGAAAATGGGATCTAATATACACAGAACAATCTGAACCGTCACGTGCATATTATGTTCAACATGCAGCACAGCTCACGCCGTCATCGCAATAGCCGGCGACGAAGGCTCAACCATATGAGAAGCCGGGGTGCCGTCGCCGTCTCCGGAATTGCTCTTCTCGCTGGGTACAGCGCTGCTGCCATTGAGTGTGTCGGTGCCCGGGGCTGTGAGCATGGGCTTGGTATCGCTGTCCCCACTCTCGAGGGCAGCCACCTTGGTATCAATCAAGTGGTCGGACTTGCCTGATCCCGGCGTGCGCCATGACGGTAGCTGCCACAGGATACCTGTGAAGCTTCGCAGCTGGAGGGGCTTGCGCTCCCACTTGCGACAAGCAGCTCCGGTGCGGTCGAGGGCGCGCAGGCCGGCGTTGATGGCGCCGGTGTTGGCTTTTGGTCCGAGGCGCTGGGCGGCAGGGAGCTTGGCGGTGTCTCCTCCTTCCTCACTGTAGAGAGCGTAGTGTGTTAGCTTTGGTCTTGGCATTGAAGGTGTACAAGGTGAATTGGCTTACAGCTTGGGCTTCTTCTTTGGGCCTGGGCGTCCCCGTGACCTGGCGCCGGGTTCGGTTTGACCGTTTGTTCTCTTGTTGCCCGGCTTAGGACCCGGAACTCCCTTCCGGCGTGGTGTGTCGCCTGGAGTTGCCCCCGTGACGGGTGTCGAGTTGGCATCATCGGAGCCATTGTCGGCGGATGAGGGCCGGATCGCAGGGATCTCGGTGGACGAAGATGGTGAGGGCCGCTCTTGGCCCTTGATGTCGGGGGTATTTTGGTTCTTCTCGAACTTTTGGAGTGCGCTGGCGGGTAGCTTGAGTATCACTGTCAAGGAGTTGGAGTTCTTAGCTCCCTTGGAGCGACCATTTGTTGGGGCGGGCATGGTGGATGTGGAAGGTATAGGAGGTGAAGTGTTTCAAATGAGGTGTGTAGGCGACCACCGTGACGTGGTGTCTTTAATCGCAAGTACTCTCAGGGTTGTAAAGATAGTGTATACCGAGATGGTGGAAACATAATCCGGGGGAAGGGGGATGGGAGGTGAGGGAGGGAGGATGGAGGGGAGGGGTGAAGTAAAAGTGAAAGTGGACGTGGGCGTGGGCGAAGGAGAAAGGGATGGACGGATTCCATATTTTCATCGACTCGTCCGTTGAAGGTTGAAGGCTTCGGCGTCGTACCGTCATTTACCGCTTTGTTTGTGGTCATTCGGGGCGATTACAGTGACCGTACACCTATACTTCTATACTTCTATTTTTACTTACTTTCCTTCTTTCTTTTGTATTCTCTCTTTACTACTGACTCTTTTCTTGACATTCTACTCTCCTTCTGTTGGATTGTGTGTTTTGACAGTCGATCTACAAATACAACAACCCTAACCCGGTGATGGATCTCATTCCACCCGCTGCATCCCGAAAATGAATCAAATGGCTCACTGACCGCAAAAGATCATTCCATACAGGGGGACAAAGTACAAATTACGATTACACATTACGAGTCACAACTTACTTACAGTACTAGAGTACTAGCAGACCTGTTCTCAAATGACCCGAAAGTATCACGAGTCAAGGCGGTCGCCACATGAACCAGAAATGAAGAAATTACGCGACCTCGCCAAGTGTCCCGGAACTCGGGTGGATTACTCTGATACTATGTACACTCACTCCAGCTTATTCTCACCCTGGCGTCGTTCTACAACTTCTGCCACGGCCCGTTGCACCTCGGGACTAGACCGTACACCAGCGAGGATGAGTCCCTCTTTCATGCCCCGCCGGAGAGTCGACACGCTCTCACGGTCACCGCGGAAAGGCGCCTGACCGAGCTGCATCATCCGAGTGGCCTCGTCATCGACTGCCCGGGACAGCTGCACCAATTTCCCGAACTGCTGCACCGTCTGCGGTGAGAGCTTATCGCCATTTCCGCCTGGCGCTGCTTTGGCGGCCGGCGGTGCAACCTGCGAGATGAAAATGTGCAGCATGATCGAGGCGCGGCGGGCCAGAGTTAGGATCTGGAAGGGGAGGAGGTAAAAGGACTGCTGGGGGAGCCAGGCTCGTAGCGCTGAAGGGAGGTAGGCCACTGGCATGAAGACAGCTTGTGGGCGCGTAATCATGGCGAGCTCGAGGGTGAGCATGGCAGCGAAGGTGAACCAGCGCCACTATACCTGTTAGTCTGGGCATGCTTTCTTGGTCTGCGGGTACTCACGTAGCGTCCCCAATTCGCCCACCAGAGCCAGTTCAATACTACCATTGTCGCAAAGCCTCCCAGGTACTGGGGGAGAACGGATCGGGTTAATGAGGCCATTAGGAACTCGCGCATGGTCTTCTTCTCGCCCCAGTTCAGCATATCGGAGCCGAGGCGATCATATGCGAATCGTTTGACGGGGTCGACTAGTGTTTCCTGGGCTCGTCGTAGGTATAGGAAGTATGCCTCGCCTTCGATGCCGACTTTGTCAGGATGATACTGAGCGGCGAGTCGGCGGAATCGGGATTTGATAGCTCGCTCATCGGCGAAGGGTGAGACTCCCAGGACTTGGTAGTAGTCGCCTGCCACCTGGACTTGGTGGAAGGTCTCGTAAAGTGTGTAGAGGAGGTAGCTGGTGATGACGAAGATGAAGATACGGCGACGATGGCGTTCGAATTTGGGCGATTGAGGCTGTGGCCGGGGCTCACCAGCGCGAATGGTCATGCCATAGTAGACACTTTGTAAGAAAGATGTGACATACTATTCAGGTCAGCATCACCAATGAAGCCATATAGCTCCGCAATCCACTTACATTTGGAAGAACAGCCCACCCGACGAAGGGGAGAAGTGAAGACATTCTGCTCAAATCACCACCCCAGATAAATCATTCCAAAAAGACAAATAAGAACGAAAAACAGAGACAGACAGATGACGCCAGTTGTAACAATGCCCCCGATATCCAGCGCCCACCGTCACCGCCCAACCCACCGCCTTCCCAACCGGGAACAAAGTCAAATGAAAAAAAAAAAGTTCTCGATTCAAGAGCATTCACATTCAATCCAATCCTCCACATCGACCCAAGCTCCGTGGAGCGCCCAATTGCGTCCCACAATGGCAGTAGACGCAATGGATATCGACCCTCTGCCCCTGCGCACCGCCGAGGCAGAGCGCAAACGCAAGAGCAAGAAGGAAACACCCGCATCGCCCTCCAAAAAGCGCAAGCAACAACCAGTCGACGCAAACCCCAACTCCAGCTCCCCCTTCACCCTCACAACAGCGACGCTCTACCTGCCCCTGTCGCCAATCTCCATCTCGCCCACGCACGCGCTGGCCTCGCTGCTCGCCGAGCACCTCTCGCCTTTGCTCCTGACTTACTTCCCCCGCTGAAGGGTGTTGTCATGGCCTACTCCAATGCCTCTATTTCTAGTCGTCACCCGTCCGACTCGTCACGGCTTGCTTCCGATCCTAATCCCCAGCCGTTGACGCTTGCTACCACTGCGGATGAGTACGGCGTGCTCTATGTCTACTTGACTGCTACTTTCTTGGTCTTCCGTCCGAAGCGCGGGCAGATTCTTGATGGGTGGGTTAATGTTCAGTCGGAGGGATTCCTTGGTGCTGTTGTTTTCAACTTGTTCTCTGTTGGCGTTGAGCGCAAGCGTCTGCCTTCGAACTGGAAGTGGGTTCCTCCTGGCGAGGAGGCTGAGACTCCTGCTACGACTGATGAGGAGTCTGGGTCCGATCAGAAAATAGCTGGGTTCGATGCTGAGAAGGAGTTTTTCCAGCCTGCTTCGCTGGCTGCTGAGGAGGTTCCTCTTGATGGTGAGGACGAGGAGGAGTCTGCTCACTCTGGGTATTTCCAGTCTGTTTCTGGACACCGGGTGCGTGGCTCTGTTCGCTTCCGTGTTGTTGATGTCGATGTTATTCCTGGTTCTGAGCGGGATCGTGGTTTCCTCAGTATTGAGGGTACGATGTTGTCTGCTGAGGAAGAGGAGCAGCTGCTCGAGTCGGAGCGTGAGGGCCAATCGCTTCCGCCTTCTTTCTTCTCGTCACCTACCAAGGCACGCACTGTTCCTGTTATGAATGTGCCGGTATCGGAGGCTGACGAGGTTTCGGTTGTGGATGTGCACTCAGACAGCCCTAAGGAGAAGAAGGAAAAGAAGGAGAAGACAGAAAAGAAAGAAAAGAAAGAGAAGAAGGACAAGTCAGAGAAGAAAGAGAAGAAGGACAAGTCAGAGAAGAAAGAAAAGAAGGAAAAGAAGTCCAAGTCGAAGAAGAGCGACTAAGATGTAAAGACCACTGATATTTGACTACATCCTGGGGGCGTTCCGGTTCCATTCCCATGTATTTGCAACTGAACATTTGAACATCGATTCACTATTACCATTCACTCCTCCTACCAAGTTCCTATAAATCAAATCTTGACAGCCAAGACATCACCACCCTCCTCAATCTCCTTCTTCCCCAACATCCTCCCCCCACGCATCAACTCTGCCGACTTAACCATAACAGGATCAACCCCCATAGTAGCAACAGCAACAACAACATCTCCCTTTGTATAAAACGCGACAAACTTGCCCTCCCCAGCATCCCGGAACACAACATCATCATACCCCCCGTTCACAGCCCCATTTCCACAATACCGCAGCTGCGCACCGAGCGCACTCCAGAAAACAGGAACAAAATTCTTCACTGGAAGAGACGAGATAGGCGAATGCCGCGCATGCACTATCGCCCGCGCAGCTGCTCGTCCGGCATTTTGGGCTACGTTCCAATGTTCGATTCTTATTGGACTTCCTCCGTTTGATTGAGAGCCCGGCCCGAAGTAGGGGTATGTTGCTATATCGCCAATTGCGAAGACGGATTCATTCTCGCTGAGTGAATCAACGAGGAAATGGGATGCTGTTTTGATCGACCCGTCTTTTTCGAGGGTGATATCCTTGTTTGAGGATAGGAAATCAGTTGCTGGACGTACTCCCACGCCTAGGATTACTAGGTCGGCTGGTATGGCTGTTCCGTCTTTTAGGTGGATTTCACCTACGGAGGAGGTGGACGATGGGGATGGAGTGGCCTTGTCCACGCTGGCGTTTAGCTTGAAAGATATGTTGTTCTTTTCTAAGTTTGATTGGAAGATTCGGCCGACTTTTTCGCCCATTATTCTTTCCATTGGGGCGCTTTCCATGCCGATTATTGTCACGTTGTGGTCTTTTGAGAGGGCGTTGCCTACTTCCATTCCGATGAAGGAACTGCCGATTACCACGATGTTTTTCTTTTCCTTGGTGGTAGTGTTGGCTGCGGCGAGGATGTCTTGTACGTCTTTGATCCCCCGCAGCGTGAAGATATTGTCCAATTCACCCTTAAATCCGGGTAGTGGGAGTGTACGTGGTATTCCACCTGTTGCCAGGACGAGTTTCGAATAGGTCAGGTTCTTGCCGGACTTTGTAGACACGGATTTGGAGTTGAAGTCCACGGAGGTCACTTCTTCGTTTAGGGTTTCGATGGCAGCTTCGGTGTACCATTCTTTCGAACGCCACTGGATCTTGGCTGGGTCGGCGATTAGGGCTTTGGACAGCTTTGTTCGATCAATTATCAGGTCTGGTTCCTGTGAGATGATTGTTATTTGGCCGGGGTATTTCAATTCGCGGAGGGCTTGGATTAGGCCTAGGGTTCCGCTTCCGCTGTTTTCTTATTAGTATATGAGATAAAGAGGAGAGATGGATATCGATTCTTACCCTCCAACGACAATGACCTTCTCCTCGGGCTTTGACACGTTGCATTTCGTCACTGGGTTGCGTTGTCCCGCTTTGACATCTTCCTCTCTGGCACGAATATAGACTGCATTCTCTTTTTCAAAGACTTCGAATTTATTCAGAGCGTTGGGTGCGGGAGCATCTTCGACGTCTCCAGTTGTGACATTGAAACAGGCTGTATGAGATAAATAGCGTTAGTTAGGTATATTTTTCTACTCTGCCTTCCCTTCTGTCATTTATAACGGAACTCAAGAAAGGACAAAGCTCAAGCAGTAGAAGCTCACCTCCATGCCATGGACAGGTAATTCTTCCGTCACTGGTAACAACACCGTTCTTCAAGGGTGCACCATAATGGCTACACCGAGGAGAGAGAGCGTGCACTTTATCATCAAGCTTGATGAGGAGAACCTTTCCATCTGCGATACCCTCGATCTCGAACTCAGCTTTGTCAGTGGAGTTGAGGGCAGCAAAAGAGGTAATATCCTTTAGTTTGTATTCTTGTGCCATTGTTGATGCTGATTTTGATGTAGATTTAGATAGATGTTTTGAATGGAGTGTGGTCAGGGTAAATCGGGGAGAGAAAGAAGAAGCAGAAGAGGAAGAAAACCAAGATATAGACAAATGCGAGCTAGAGCGGGGTGAGAATGTAGGGCGCAATGACGAGAGATGACAGGCCTGTCTACACCGACTTTGGGAGAGGCGTTGGATGTAGGGGAATGCCTTTCTGAGGGGCATATTTAACTGGAATAGAAGAAATCGTATCTAAGAGCAGTTTAATTTGTCTTCAAGTGTTTGTTAAGTTGCCATTGACTATTCCGAGCTGAATGAGGTATACAGATACATGACATCACGTTCGAGATACATTCCGCCAATCATATGCGGGGTTTTGTCACCAAATCCTGATCGACAACTACTACATCAAGTTTGCATAGTATTTGAATAATGTTCATTGAACATAGCATGGTAAAAGAAAGTAATAGTAATATCCAGGGGAAATGAATGTGCAGTCCTGGACGCCGTCGCTCTGCATCCGTACTCCGTACATGTACAGGTAAAAATTCAAGGATCCGTAACTATGATAGCAAGAAAGTAAAATAGCCTAGAATTTCCGCAATGGCTTCCGTCGCTTCTGGCTAGAAGGGCTAATGCTCACTTCTGTCATCTGCTGCAGTCGACCCGTTCCAGTAGAAGCTCTGGTGTTCCGACCTTGGGACCCAGTAATTTCGCTTTTGGGTTTTTTGAACCGTTCGGATTTGGAGCGAGACTGGGACTGGGATTGGGATTGAGACTGTGCATCAGAGGTCTCTGGCTCGGCTTCGGACTGAGGCCGATGCTCGGGAGTTGCATTGGTGCTAGAGGTGAGGTCGATCACTTCGGACATTTGAGAGGCAGGGATTTGGGATGCCGAGAGAGATTCCCGGGTTCTCTGGGATAGTTTCAGACGTGTCGAGGCGGCTGGGGGTTCGGTTTCGAGAGATGGAGGGGTTGGCTGTGGCTTTGGTTGAGCTTCCTTTTGGGCACTAGGTGGTACTTTCGGAGAACTGTGCCAGGATATTATTTTGGAAGAGCTCGACCAGGATGGTGATGGAGATTGACCAAGGTCAAGCGCGAGGTTAGTGGGATCCATGCTATCTTGCACTCGATCGCTACTCCCATCTGTTCCATAGTTTCCCTTGGGCAATGGAGTGCCTTGATCTTCATTTCCATTCTCTTCCTCTTCCTCAGGTAACTCAGGATCTTCATTATTGTGCTCGTCTTCGTTCCCATCCTCATCTCCTGAATTCAGCGGGCTCTTCCCCAACTCATTCAAAAGATCTTTCCACGAGCGCACGGAGCTAGGCGGAGCAAGACCATGATCCTCAAGACTCGCACTATCACCACTCATGCCAATGGTAGAAAGAAGGGATCCAGATTGAGGACCACTCCCTCCAGACTCGGCAGGTGGCATAAGGTGATCAATGACAATCTGGCGATCCTGCTCCTGCTCTTGTTCCTGCTCCGCCGGTTGCTCTAAATTCATAGAGGTATCCTCGAAAGACTGATTGGCCGACAAGAACGACAAATAAGAAGGATCTTCTTCAGGATTGGCTATCGCAGACGGCGTTTCACCTCCGACAAGAGTATGGCCCTCCAGATTGCCATCAGCCGTAGTAGTCAACCCTGGAGTTGCTGGCTGCCAAGAACGAGCAGAGTGGAATCCAGTGAACGAAGGAGATGGGATCGGAGGAGTGACGCTGCGATCCTCTGATCCGTTCTCGACCTGGATCTGGGGCACAGTCACTTCTTCAATGGTTTCCATAGCTGATTCCTCGACGGGAATTCTAGGAGATTGACGAGGCGATTGAAGATGGCTGACTTCGTTCCCGATGGTTAAGAACGTGGTCTCGTCAACGTCAATGTCAACGTCCATGTCAGCCGGCAGAGCTTGGCCATTCGGCATTGATTCTGCTACTACAGAGACACTTGGACAAGTAAGCGTGAGCCACATAGAGGTCAGAGGTTAATTGACTGACATGCTACCCTCTCGAGCATTCTGATTTCCAAGTTGGACGTCCGACTGTGTTGCCGCCTGTAGAAGCTTTGGATAGTTGAGTTCTGCAAATGTGACCTCGCGATGCCCATCGTCCTCCCCTTCGTCTTCGAAGCCTGGCATTTCAAATTTGTCGTATTGACGGGGCTCGTCATCCTCTGACAACTCCGGTGCCGGTCGACAGTCTCGCTTTGCCAGTCGTACGGAAATGGTGCCATCCTTGTTGGGAGATTCAATCACTTCTGCCACTCGGTACTCGGACATCCTGGGCTGCCAGTTTGTACCCTTGGACATTTCCAGTTGCCGGAAAGCAATAATTGCCCCCTTCTTCAGCTCTTTCTCATTCAAAACGGGAACAGTGTTCACGTCATTGGGGAGTACGGGAAGATCCTCATGGAAATCGGCGGTCTCAGCTGGCTCGGCTTCAGCGTCATCATAGTTGAGTTGATCATCGCCGTCGCCTTCACCTGGCCAGTAACTGTCGTTTCCGCCTTGGTAGTATACGTCGTAGCCTTCATATCCTTGGTGATCTTCATTTCCCTCCTCGTACTCTTCCTCTTCGTAGACTTGAGCCCGTTGCTTTCTCTTCCGCTTTTTGCTCCCGCCTTTGGCCCGGCGGATCAACGCATTGGCATCCTGATCCCAGCGCTGGACGAACGGATAAGGAGGAGCAGTCAACTCAATTTCGGGATAGACACATTCAACAGCACGGATAACGAGCTTGTTTTGCCAGTCGCCGTCGGATTCATCCTCGTCGACTTCCATCTCTTCGGTCTCTTCCTGGGCTAGTGTTGGTTTCTTGCCCATTGCACTGAATTTGGCAGCAAGTCTTCTCCGCGTTTCTTCTTCATCTTTCTTGGTTTTCGGGGTTCGCATTCCAAGAGAGCCAAAGAGCATGCGCCGTGAGCTGGCAATATCAAGGCTACGTCGACTTGATGCTTTCTCCGGCTCTTCTTCGGCTTCTGTTGCGACACCCACTGAGGCTGCAACATCCGATGCACGAGTTGGCGGGCACGGAGGGACATTCTCCTTCTCTGAGGTTTCTTCCACGTTAATTCCATTGCCAGACGCGAGATCTCTTAGAAGTTTCTGGCGCTTAGCTTCGAAGTCTCGCCTTTCTTCTTCTTTTCTTTGTTTCTTGGACTCCTCGAGAGATTGAGTGGGTTGTGGTACGTCAACAGGATTTGGAACATACCAGCCACCATTCTCTTCTTCCCATTCCCGAAGCTCCTCGAAGTTTGCATCTTGGTGTAAAGCTCCCATCTGCTTCAATTTGGATAGGCGACGGCGAAGTTTAAAGCGATTGTTGCTCTTCTTGGTACGGAGGGATCCTTGGAATGGTGGGCCGGCTACAGGTGGTGGCTGAATCTTTTCAGGTTGAGAAACTTCTTCTTTCTCTTCCTCTTCTGCGTCGGAATCCGAATCCGAATCCGAACTTGAATCTGATGATTCCGATGATGAATCCACATCAGATGAGGCACTCGGCTGTGCGACGGGCTTGGATGGTTCCTCATCGGAAGACGAATCATCGGATCCACTGTCCGACGATACGGAGTCAGAGTCAGAGTCAGAGTCAGAGTCGGAGTCGGAGTCAGAGCCAGATGAAAGGGAGATAGTCTCGGGCATTTGTTGCGGGATACCAGGCAAGTTTTCGCCCTTGTTGAACCTCACTGCTTTCGAGGTTCTTGGAGACGAGTCATCTGCGCGGGATCGCTTGCTGGAAAGCGACGAAGGAGCGATTATTGACCCTTTGTGAACGCTATCTGACGAGGTCGGCCGCTTGGTTGTGGATGCAGCACGTAGCGGGTTGCCACTAGCACGAGTCTGGTTCCTGATATCAACGAATTGAGAGGGCTCTTCGAAGTCTTCTTTCAAGGCTTGGAGTTCGCTCTCCAATTCGTCTTCTTCGAGCTCAGATACTGCTTCACTGCCCGTCTCTGCGGTGTGATCAATAGGGTGACGGATCACAGTTCCCATGGATTCTTCGTGTTCGGTGGGTATAATAGAAAGCTCCTTTCCAAACCCGGTGTCAGTGGGTGGCAACCAGTCTCCATCTCCTTCCTCATCGGCATCTGCCTGGTCATTCTGGATTTCTGGGACATGGTCCCAGCCAGAAAAGACTGTGCGACGCTTCTTTCTTGGAGGGATAGTAATGGCAGGGCGTGTAGAAGTAGTTCTCTTCAAGAAAGGTGAGCCGAACGGCACGCCATCGACTAGATGCTTGCCGTCGGATGCGATTTGAAGACGACCACATAGACGTCGTGCCCGAAGGTCTGCGAGCTGAAGCGCGCGGATACTGCAGAAAAGTCAGCCAACAATCCTGAGAAATAAATACAAGAGATAAAGTATGGGAACGTACACAACTTCATCTCCATCGCGTAAGAGGCCTTCAACCTCCATAAAGTGTAGACACTCCGAGCCAGCAACCTCAACAACATAATCTTCCAGTCCCCATTGGCCGCTGAACTCCGCATCAAACACATTAGGCTCTGTCTCTAGCGGAACAACCTCGTTCACATCCTCAAGCAGCTGAGCAACCGTGTATCCTCCATTTGAAAACGCGATGTTGGGGGTGCGAGAAGATGCGACAGCGGCCGCGGAGGCCGCGCGTGATGTACCATATTCGCCCAACACGGAAGTAGAAGAAGTCGTCGTCCAGAGAATGCGCGTGGCCGGCAGGCCATGGCGCGAGATAACAAGGTGGAGACGCATGGTGGATGAAAGATCTCAAACTAAATCATTGACGCGGTGAGGACTCGATTTTTGAGCTTCGAGGTTTTCAGGTTGGGAAGTTGGAGGGATTCGTTCGGGTTGGGGTTGGTCCGGTTGGTGCGAATGGGTTGGGATATCAATTTCAATCAGAATTCGACGTCTGACATTCCATACGCGGGGTTAGGGACCTGGAATAATGAGGGAGCTGTTGATCAGAAGATGGAGCTCAATCGCGTGGAGGATACGCTAGCTGCCTTGGGACTAGCGTGACTCATTCTAGAATTCGGTCGATCTTCAATCTATACAGGAACAATAACAACACTGGCAATTTAGATGTCTTGAATTTATTCTTATGATTCTATTCGTTATGCTATGGAAAATAACTTGGATAAATACTATAGACCCAAGTAATGCGGATGCTCGAAACGCCTTCACCTATTATGCATTTTAATGATGGTTCAACCGAAAAAAATGGGGTATAGTTGAAGGCAAAAGAAGAATTAGCCCCATGCATGCCAGACTGGCTTATAAAGCCAGCCAAAAAATGTGGAATGGGATTTTCACAAGATCCCCATATATCTAACCAGACTGCAATAGTCCAGTTCGCATCCAGTGCAGTGTGAACCTAGAATCATGAGGGGAATGAGGAGGTGATGATGATGAATTGACAATGGACCCAAGAGACGCAAAGAGATCAGAATAGAAACATCACTCAAGCAGAGACAGGAATAGTAGAGGTCAAGGGCCATTCACTGCTGCTTCCCTCATGACGCGAAATGTAGAAGCGCGCTACTTTGCACCACTATTCGAGCTTCGTGGCACAGGTTTTCGACTAGGAACGCCCAAATTCATAGGACGCAGGTTATTGCGCGAAGTACGGTGTTCCACAGCCTGGGGCGCTTTAAGCTGATTTCCAGCAACAGGTTCATACTGCGGCGGGCTCTCTTCATCAACGGTGTTCCGGGGAACCTTCATCATACTCTGTGACCGTCTCACAGGCGAAGCGGGCGGTGATCCAGATTGGGATTCCGGGGGAGTGGTGGGTAGCATATCAAAGGATTCCGAGGAAGAACGGTAGTCTCGACGACGGGGGGCTGAGGATCCTTCTGCCGCGGGCCCATCCTCTTGACTCTTACCCATTGGGGCTGCGGGCTTGACATCAGCTCCTGATTCCACTGATGTCCGGGAAGAAGAGGAGGCATCGGGAGGGTGATACTCGCGGCGTGGCCCGTCCACTGGGCTCAGGTGGTCTGCCATGGCATCCTCATAGCTTGGCGGTGCATCGTCGTACACGTCGCCGGAATTGACGGGTACAGGCTCGCCTGTGGGCCGTGGAGGCATGAGTGGTCGGCTGTCTCCGGCTTCTGTTGGTAGGTTGGGGTGGGGTTTTTGTTTAGAGGCTGGCTGGAGGGATGCAGCTGCCATTGCGTCCAGGAGGGCTTGAGGAGGTGCAATTCCAGAGAATACTCTGACGGGCATGCGCAAGGGAAGAACGATGAGTTGAGGCTGTGTTATGGTCAGCCAAAGACAGTTTGTAGGAGGATGGTTAGCCTACCTTCATCTCGTGAGCATTTCCGTGGGTCAAGCCAACTCGAATCTCCAATTCGTAGCTCCGTTCAATGTTACATGTCTCAAATGATGGCGCCACTGAGTTAGGTAATGGGACACGATTCCATAGGTTTGCGTCAATAGTCCAATCGGTTCCAACTGCATCGTCCGGATTGCCTAGGGCTGTGTTCATATTGCTGCGACTCATGAGGACCCAAGAGTTGCTTTCAGTCCGTGTAAGATCATGGGCCAGAATCTTTGTGTAAGATATTAGTTCGATCTGCAACATCTGCAGGAAGATCATGTCCGACCCATCAGTCAGCTTTCTAGCCAAAAGACGGAGCGGAACAGGTTCGTTGCAAGTGAGAATAGATGGATGCGGGAGCCGTGCATCCACAGAGACACGAGGGGGTTCTGCATAGATTTCCTTGAGTGCAGATGGGCCTCTTGAGAAAATGCTCTTCTTCTTGGTCCCGCTTTGAATTTTGGAGAATTGATGTTGGCGCCTGGCATATGTTTCCTCGTTGGGACTGCCGGTCCTTGGCGGCTCAATGGGTAAGAAGTTTAAAGGTACAATCTGAAAATTTAGCAATGAAAGTAGAAGATCAAGCAGTGCACTTACCGCTCGGATATTCTCTTTGTAGAATTGCGGTCGAATGATAGTAGCCTTGACGAAGTATTTGATGTCTGCTTCACCGGGGAATCCACTTAGCGAAGGAGGCAGTGTTTTCCTGACATGTCGGTTGGTATCTTTAGCCACCTCGACTTTCAACCCGGTGAAATTTAGATTGGTGAGCATGCTATTGTGGCTGCTGCATGAATTATTAAAAGGAAACTAGCCGGCGTTAGAGCTATGTAGCTATGGTGAGTAAAGATACTTACTTTGAACTGGAAGGGATACTCATATGACCCTGCAGCAAAAGTATATGAAGTCGTAGGAGAGCCATGCTGCATCACAGCGGGCGTGGGAAAGACGGTTGCCACTTTGTACAAGATCTGCATGCCTGATCAGCCAATGCTCCACCAAAATTTTCTTCCACCGACGATGGCCATAGCATCATACCTTGTGGACCTCCAGCTCCGTCCTCTTTTTATCCGAGTGCACATTCTGAGGGTTCCTGGGGCCGGATAGGCGAGTGCGACTCTCACACTCCAATTTGACCTGGATTCCACCAATAGCTGCCTCAGTCGGTAGCTGTAATACGACTTTGCCCGTCAAGAAGTCGAGATTTGTATAATGGGTGTGGCGGCTGTCTAGCACGATCGTTGCGGACATGGCGGCGGAGCGCCCGGGCCCAGGCGGGGGCACTCTATTCGGTTGCTGATGACCCTTGAAGGCTCCAAATTCGATGAGCGGTTGCCGAAGAAACACGGAACAAGGGACAAGGGTCAAATTTCGGGACGGTCGGGTGAGGTGAGGTGAGGTTCCGCACGGTGAGGTGGGATGTGAGATGGGGGGAAATGCGGATTATATGCGAGGGATCCCGAAATGACGTTTTGAACGTTCGTAGATCAACTGATCGCCAAGCTCAGTCTCGGGCGTACATTTTTTGTATAAGAGTGAAATCAGGGACCTATGCTGCGCCTCAGTGTCACAGCCACAATTTATATACAAAGAACTAATTCCGCTGGGCCCGGGGGTATAGCTTGGCGGTTCGATTCTTAGCTAGCTGAGCTACCTAGTATCACCACATACATACTACAATGTAGCTATTTCAATGCGAATGATCATATCTATTCAATTGCTTCCAAGTCTATGTCGCATACTATAATATATTCGTGATTGACACAGTAAAACAAAAAGTGGTATCGTGAACTCGCTCCAGGCACCAAGATTTCCACTATCAAAACATCCGAATACCCGATCCGTTGCAACTGCACGCCACAGCAGGGCTGAGGACAACCCAAATATATCCACAATTGCCTAGACAAGTTCAAAGTCCCTCCTTGGCCAGCATGTCTAGGTAGCCAAGTTAACAAGCTTGTCTCGACCAACCCACTCAGATGACATACCTGCAATATCCAAGTAGAATGCAATAGCGTTAAACCTGCAGAAGATCAGCCTAGTCTCAAAATAATTTTGCTGTCTACTGACTTTCGTCTGTTGCCTGTCACCTCCCCAGCCAGCCACTTCAAACGGTTCGTCCAGTTGATTAGATCCAGGTGGCTCACCCCCATTAGAGTTCCCTTGTAACCTGATTCGCCTCCCCAGTGGCTACTTGAAACGCTGACTAGGCCATCGTTTGGTCCTTCTATGTTGGCAAGGATTCGATGAGACATTCGGAAGGCGGACCAGATACTTGGTTCGAATGCTGCGCCATAGGAGAAATACCTGGATCATAAGTAGGTGTCAAAGATTTAGTTATCATCAGACTTACTGGACGTCATCCACATCTGGAACATTGGGGTTGAAGGTTTCGGTCATGTATTTTCTAGTCAGTTGTTCGAATGCGCCTGTTTCAACCTTTAGTCGGTCGAGGGCGTAGTAGACTTGGGGCAGCCTTTCAGCTGTTGAAATATCTCAGCAGGTAGTATTTACGAATTTTATGGCAACACTTGACAAACCTCCAATCTGGTCAAACACATAGTCTGCCACGGATGATCCTAGCAGAAAGGTCAGTACAAAGCTATTTCGTTCCTGGACATAATGCTAACCTTGATGTGGCGATGCAATAGTAGTAAGTGACAATACTTTAAACTTCTCCGGTCGAATTCGGCTGATCATATATCGTGAATCAAGCCCACTTCAGCTTCATTAGTTCATGCCTCGGAGATACTTTGGCATCAATCTCACCCCTATTCACGTATAAGTATCGACTCTCTTCAACCGATTGAGGGATCTCACCATGCTATGTCTATAAAAGGATCAATCAAACTGTCTTAATCAGTATGCGCAAAGGACCACATACGCAATAATATTAACATCCTTCCCACGCGCACCGATTTCAATATCTCGGGCCAATTCTTCTGCTCGGACTTCAATAGATCCCGACGGGGGTACGGTAGCAGTTATAACTTCAATTCCACGCGCTGTCAGGGCTTCTTTGATGCCGCGCCAGTACTGTACACCAGGAAGATATCGGCCAGCAAGTCGCAATTCATCAAACCCCAGCAGGCCATGCGCCAGAACAACGGGGTACCTAGGGGCATCTATTTCAATAAGTGGGCGATCAGAGTATTATTGGATTTCACTTACCATATTTCTCTCGGATTACTGAGTATTCATCGACAATCACTTTGCCATGGTCCTCAAGGCGCGGCTCAAGACTGGGGTTGGGTCTGTATGGGGACGCATGATATCGTCTGTTGTTTAGGTATACATATGAGACATATGCTACCGATGGCTTCCCAAGCACATTCGGCATTCGAACTGCATGTCTCATTGTCAACCTCGTGGGTAGATAAGTTGGTGATTGAGATCCCGCGCGGAATGACGCACGGGAAACATTGACATTTTGCCTCAGGCAGAACATTATATACTCTCGCGCTACTACAACTACTTTTAAGTTACCTCGTTCTTTCACAATCGGAGGTTTGAACTAACTAGTAATGTATACACTCTAACAAATTTGAAGCACAGACTCTGAAAAGCATTGGGAGATACCAAGACCAGCGAGCTCATTGGGACTGCACAGGTGTCTTGCGGTGAAGTTCAAGACCACCTGTAGCCCTTGACCTGGGGTTACTATCTACAGAAGCCACAAGAAGAAAGAATCACGGAAAGACAGTCGATTCAGCGCTGAGGAAACCAAATGAAATGATATTGTCCGAACTTGGATATCGATGAACAGCCACGCAAGCGCATCTTCCCCACAACGAGTAAAGAAACAACAAAAATATCTACATTATGCCTTAATCTTCTCGGGCACCTGGGGCTTCACATCAGTCGTCACGCGGAGGAGGTCCGCAACGACCTTGTCGCCCTGCTTCTTGCCGGCGTCCTTAATCTCCTGGAGCTTGACCTCGGTCTCCTTGTTGGCATCGTCTTCGGCCTTCTTGAATCCGCTCGAGTGCTAGAGACGCACGTTAGTGCTAGATAATAGCAGCGGTCTTGGAGGAATCTCACCTCAGCCTCGAACTTCTTGTACTCCTCTTCCTTCTGGCTCTTGTATTCTTCGATTTCCTTCTGTGCCTCAGCCTTGGCGTCCTTTATCCGCTTTGTACGGTCTGTATTGTTTGTGGTTAGCACGGTTGAGTGAGGAACCGAGAGTTCAATAGCATACATTCTCTGGCTGAAAGTGATGTGACGTATTAGTATCTGCCTGCAACGAGGGGTAAGCGGGTTGCACTCACCTTGCTGCACAATCTTCTGGGCCTCTCTCTCGGCCTAACAATTTGGTTAGTATCTCCCCTCTTCAGTCAACATGCAACCAAAGACCTACATCGAGGAGGGTCTGAATGCCCGCGGAGTTCTGAGCCGACTGTTCACCGTTAGTAACTAACCACCAATTCCGAGATAGTATACTCACCATATTTGCGCGAGACCTCTCAGCTTTGAAAGTAGAAAAGAGAAGAGATGGCGCTGTAACAGGAACGATTCACGGCGAGTCTGGAGCTCCGAGTCCAGGTCGATCGGAGCCACGCAGCGGCCCCCAAAGCGGTGGGGGTTCTGCCCTCACCTACCGCCTGGCTGATCGATAAACTGATAATCCCCGACTCATTTTCAAGATTGTCAGACCATATCATTGTCTTTTGATTCATTGCTGGAGCTCCATGCTGGCTGGTCCATTATCAACTTCACCATGTCTCGCGCATCAAAGTTCACATTGGCAGCCACTGGCCTGGGCACAGCGGGTATTGTCTGGTTCGTCCATTGGGCACAAGAAGCGGATAGGGCGGTATGATACAGCTTCAATCTTCGAATATAACTTAGTACTGATCCTTGACTGGTAGGCCATGCACAAAGGTGTCGAACGCGATATGGAAAAGCAACGTCTTCGACTAGAACGCCAAGCCGACTTCGAAATGCAAAAGGCCCTCGAACAGGAGTATCTCAAACTCCAGACAGTGACCAGCACAACAGGCGACTCAAAAACGCCCGATCAAAATACAAGCCCGGGGTCATGAGGTGGAACATAACTTGCGGGGCACGCGCTACCGCGATCGGGCGATTCGTCTTCGCATTGACCTTGATGTGCTCTAACTATACCAGTGGACTACAATTATCAGCTATATGCTGATGCATGTGAGAAAGGAGTTTTTTTTTTTTTTTTTTTTTTTTTTTTTTTTGGTGCATGCCATGCTGTACAAAACTTTGATGTTGTGGTTTTACATATATACCCTCATATGTACTATATAACACGAAATCGTCTCTCTACTATATTTGCCTTGTCCCGAAATATTTTTTTCCGTCGTATCATTCCCTACTTTGGGATATTATTAAACTGAAAGGAGTAAAATAGCATCTTGAGATGTTACATGGTGGGTGTATACATTGAGTAACTAGGAGCCGCCTCTTCATTAAACACGGCTCCAATTAGGAAGTCAAAGGACAAACTAAGCTTTATCACACAATCGCTTTCTAATAAGAATGTGGATTGGTTGGATTTGTTGTGGTCGAAGGCAATGTGGTCAAGTTGCCGAAAACAGCATTCCCGATGCGGAAGTATGAATTCGTCCATCGATGCCGTGTGTCCACAAAGGTCAGACTAACCACAAATAATTCAATGGTCTCACTGAGAATTTCTCTTTAGTATTCCTTCTGCCAAGACAGTACGGGCACCCACACGGTGATGCCGACCATGATCCTACCACCAATGACGATCAAAAAACGGCCCTTCCACAGCGTCCTAGTAGTTCTATCGGTGATATGTTTCTTTTGGGTCACGATCAAGTCTTACATGAATTTTGCTACAAAGGAAGTTTATCATCATCCAAGCAATAATTCGCAAAGAATTGCCAAAGTTTCTATGCTCTATGGAGAGACAAACCACATGTACGAGAGGGCACTGCAAAGCCATGAACGCCACGGCAAGAAGTGGGGGTATCCTATGCATGTTCTGCGACAGGATATCTCGGTCGGGTTCTGGAACAAGCCGAGTTATCTTTTGGCCTTGGTGATCAATGAAATGGCGAAGCCAGCGGGTGAGAGAATGGAGTGGTTCATGTGAGTCTCCTCTCACTTTGGTCACCATTAAGGTAAACACTGACTGTTACAGGTGGGTTGACGCCGACTCTATTATTTTGAACAACGACATCCCTGTCGAGGTCTTCCTTCCGCCATCCGATCTGAAAGATATCCACCTGGTGACCGCCAAAGATCAGAACGGCCTCAACACCGGAATCATGTTCATGCATGTCCACCCATGGACAATCAGCTTCTTAACTGAAACACTTGGCTATCCGCTCCTCCTCCCAGAAATCGATCTTGGTCGATCCGCAGACCAAGAAGCCATGAGACTCGTGCTCAACAAGACAACCGAGGGACCAGCTGGACAGGGCTACGCCGGTGGAGTCGCATACCTGCCACGGCCATGGATCAACACATATGAGTGGGACTGGGCTTATGAAGGCAAGAGAGGAGATCTGCTTGTGCATTTCCCAGGTCTTGGGGAAAAGCGATGGCCACATATGGCTAAATGGCTGGATATTGTTGAGATGACACCTCAGAAGTGGAAACTCCCACTTGAGCAGACTGGTTACCTTACAAAGACCGAGGCATATTGGTCACAGCTTCGTGATGCAAAGAACAGAATTCAGATCGCGGAGCAGAGATTGCAGGCTGGGAAATCCCGATCCTCTGCACGGATTGAGCAGGCAGCTGATGCGCTCAAGAAGGTCATACTCGAAGATTCAGATGAAGTGGATCGCATACAGCAGCGGCTTGAAGATCTAAATGCGTTGTTGGAGCAAACGAAGACTCTGTGAGATTTTTTGTTTCCATTGGGAGGTGTTTTGTTTTGGGCTTCTTAAATATCTCATTTACCAATACTAATGCGGAGACTCTGGGGGATTTCATGAATGCTTGCTGTCGAAAATCTTGTGATACAATAGACCCCTGTCAATTTGTACTACTACTTCGTACTACTATATCTTCGTCCTTTTGTTCTGACCAGTGACTGATATATATACATCCTATTGGTTCCCATTCATTGGCTCCTTCTCGCCTACTTTGCATCGGAGCAATTATCCATTTAAATCAGCTCACTCTCACCTCCTACTCACAGCGTAAATAAACTATATAAGTCTCACAAACTGACATTGACCTGATTTATATCCAACCGGACTAAAACGTGGCCGGCTATAATCGGAGGCCGGAATGGTACCGGCCTCCGAACGCTAGGGAAGTTTAATTTTGGCTTATCGTCCAATTAGATGACGGAATTTGATGATCGGGCCTTGGCACGGCATGACATATAGAGCAGACATCATGACTTGTAGAGCGTTCATCCGGGAATTATCCGTAATATGTCCTCAATAAGTGGTCAATTCTTTATTATAAGCAATTTTAAGATCTGACTGGTCATTCGCCACCACAAAATCCAGTCAATTCCAAGAGGAGGATGACAAGTATCTTTGACAGCTTCTACTATATTAGGCCTAGCGCGTCCCCGTGACCATCCCCTGCCCTCTCTCACTGGGCAGTTGTATAGTTCAATTGTATAGACAGAAGAAAGTCGAAATGTCTTGTTTTGGACAAAAAGTGTCCATATGAAGTGCCTCGAGTGTCCTCCATGATAGATGGAACCCATTTGCATCACGCAGCAGAGGATGTCATCAGTCCCACGCTATTCTTAATCTCTTTCGTAATGGTGGACTTGAGGCCGGAATTGATACCGGCCTCAAAGTATTATAAGAATCTGCTCCTCACCCGCCCAAATCCTTGAGTTTCTGTTCTCTCTATCATCCTCACAAGTCTCCTGACTTCTTTTTCCTCTTTTTTTTTCTCATTTTTCTTACTCCCCGGGTTCTTGACTTGGTCTTTGACCTTCATCTACCTTCAATCTACCCTACCTCACTGTCCTACACCAACCATCAAGACATCTTGTCTCATACCTTGAACATTGATACAGTTCATCATGACTCGTACTCAAGTGCCCTATCCCTCCCCTGCTACCCTGAAGCGGTTCCCTCACATCCATGATGACCCTTCAAGCATCTCCCACTCCCTAGACCCCTTCACCATCACCACCAAGACAGGATTCCTGCCCTATGAGACTGCCCCTACAGAGCTCCCGGAGGCGTTCAGTGCTCTGCTGTCTCTCGTCAACCGCCTTCCTGTCGTCAGACTCGATGGTAAGCCCGGTCTGCTGGCTACCTACGAGCTTGGCCCTGCTGTCAAGGCCGAGCTCACTGACCTGACTGATGAGGTTGAGAAGCTTGTTCTCCCTGATGGCTCACCTGATCGTTTCACTGTTGCTGCTGTCTTCCGTGACTATACCTTCCTCGCTTCGTCTTACCTTCTTGAGCCTTGCTGGGAGCACTGGAACAAGGACCCTGAGGGTGGTTACGGTCTTGGCCGTGATATCCTCCCTATGGCTGTTGCCCGTCCTTTGTATCGCTGTGCGGAGCTGTAAGTTCTATCTTTCTCACATTCTTATCCTCTCACCATCCCATCGTCTCATACTTCCATTATATTATGACATTGCCTAACTCTATCCCAGTTTGGACCTGCCACCTTTCATGTCCTATGCCGCCTCTTATGCTCTCTTCAACTACACCGTCGCTGACCCTGCCAAGGGGTTGAGCGAGTACTCCAACCTCCGCCTCATCCGCTCTTTTGAAAGGGGCCTTGACCCAAAGAGCTCCGAAGCAGGCTTCATCCTCACTCACGTGGACATGGTCAAGGAGACCGGCCCCTTGATTGCCGGTGCTCTGAAGGTCGTCGACACTCTTGAGCAGCATGGTTCTCGCCAGGAGATCAACGACGGATTCCGTGAGATCTTGAAGTCAATGGAGAAGATTGAGACCTCCATGGAAGGTATGCCACCAACCCCGTGCCCAAACAAAGAAACCAAAAACTCACATATATAGACATGTGGGGAAACTCCAAGCCATCTGAATACCTCTCCTTCCGTGTCTTCATCTTCGGAATCACCAATCAATCAATGTTCCCCAACGGCGTGATTTACGAAGGCTGCGAAGACGACAAGCCCCTCTTCTTCCGGGGCGAAAGCGGTGCCAACGACAGTATCGTAAGTAGCAGATCTCCAACCCCCAATCCAACCCAAATCCAATCTAACCATTCCCCATAGATTCCCCTACTTGACCACCTCTGCCAAATCCCAATGCCCTCAACCCCCCTCACAAAAATTCTCCACGAATTCCGCGCGTACCGCCCCCTCCCCCATCGCGAATTTCTCACCTACATTCGCGAAAAGTCCGAGGAAATCGGCGTCCAGGATTATGCAGTGCAGGATTCCGAGACGGCAGTGCTATTCCTCCGCACATTGAACCACGTTCGCAGTTTCCGCTGGAGACATTGGCTCTTTGCGCGTGAGTATATTATTCGTCGCACGCCGCATCCTACTGCCACTGGTGGTTCTCCTATTGTCACTGTGAGTTCCCCCCTCCCTACCCAACAGAAGATGAGAAGAGGCTTCCAGAGAATGCTCTTGTTGCATGCCCTATTCTCTTTCCGTTCATGAGGACTTCTGGCTAATTTGTTCGAAAAGTGGCTTCCAAACCAACTCTCCGCTGTCATGGATCTCATGGTTAAGATCTATGATACCCATCTCGCGCCTAAGGAAGGTGTGACTGTTGTTGCGAATGGTGGACAGGATTTGATTGCCTCGCACCGGAAGCAGGTTGAGCCTATGATGGAGGTTGTTCGGGACCAGAGGGAAAAGTTGGCTAAAGAGGTTGAGAAGTGGTGTCAGGAGCGGGGAGTTTAGATCTTTCTTCTTCGGTTCTGGGGGGTTTCTGTTCTTTTGCCAGTTTGCATTTCTAGATTGCGAATTTGATCCTGGGTTTTATGCTTGTTCAGACATATCTATGTTTTGTCGTCTGTTTCTAGCTGTTATCTTTTCTCGTGTAACAATTTTATTTCACAGAAACCCATATCTTGATCTACATCCAGTCCCGATTCAAGCCGATGCATGACGGGATTCTACACGTAGGGTAGCTATCTCCCCGCTTTGAGCTCTAGTTGGCATATTCTGAGTGATTCTACTGGTAAACGAGAATGAAGATCTGCTGATTTGTGATTCTGGCAATTTGACTTCGATTTCTGCATCAGCTGATCCAATATCAGGGGTCTGTGCCAGTTCAGTCTTGACCGCATGTTCTTTTCCGAGGTGGTTGCGGAATCCAAGATTCCTGCACTATGTTCTTTGTACCTGATTGGGGGGGGGGGGGGGGGGGTTTCAAGTGGGTGCTAATCTCAATTTGTGAAGTAGACTCTACAGAAAAGATTATTTGACTGTATGTAAATACCCAGAGTGAAGAGTATCTATCGCTTTGGTGGATGCTCTGTGCGAAGCCGCAGGTATATAAGCAACGTATCGGCGGCATAAAGCTGGAGCAGTAATTGCTCGTGGCTCATATGACCTAGAGAGGTCTTGGCACAGATAGAAAGCGAATAAGAAATGCTTCTCTGTTTCACAGCAGTGGTTCGTATACTCCTACTTCTCTTTGCTCCTCGAGGTCCTCCAAAGTTCTTGAGTATGTGTTAGCAACGTAGAACAGCTTGATATACAGCCAGTCTTTGTCTAGAGCCACATGCTCAACAGTTGGTGGAAGTGGATGCCGCTGGGTGAAAGGCGATTCACCCATTCGAAGAAGTCAACAACCAGGGGAATCCTCTCGGAAAGAGCCTTCGGTAGACAGGAAACACCGTAGAAATATGTGATACCCCAAAGGAGCCATGAAAGCCAAACAATCATATTTGAAGCGGTACTTCGATCTCAACCATAACGATGGGGCATGGCCTGTGGTCTTCCAATGATACGAATAAGGATAGTAAGATATGGTGAGAATAACGGTACGGATAACCGCTAGATCACAGGCCACACACCTTGATATTGCATGTCTGTTTGTCCCTGCATAGGAACTCTGCATTCATTTAGCATATCCAGTCCACCTGTGAAACCAATGCTGTATTAATCCACGACAAATGTAGTCCATGGTTCACTTTCTCCTGCCCACATCTCTCTCGTCTGCATACATCTCGCGTCTGCGCACTTTTCTTATCGGCGCACTTTTCTCTTTACGCAGCATTTCTGTCTACACCAAGGACATTGATACCACAAAAAGAATGGATGCAAAGGATTATGTATCACTAGGGGAACCGGCCCCCTATGCAAAGAACGCAGTACCTATCGACGGACACGCTCAAGACTCACGACAAGAAAACGCCACAATGCATCATCATCATCACTCAAAACATACCCTTCATCAAAACATTATCCATATTACATCCCACATCCAGCATCCCTCAGCCCTCACTCCCACACACACACCTAAGCGTCTCAGACATAACAAACCCTTCTCAATCCGCCACAGGTCACTCCAACACCGGGTTGAATTGCCCCACTAACAATCGAATCAATCGTTCTTGTCGTGGAGAGCTCTCCAGGAGCGAATAACCAAGCATACCAATTTCACAGCCAAGAGCAGCAGGGAACACAGACGAAAGCGAGTACAGCACCAGCACGTCACAGGTCATCCCACAATTCCATCGACAGAGCTTCTCAGTCACAGACTGCCAGCAACCAGTACCGACAAGAAAAAGCCCATCCAAGATCTCCGATGCATTCATCTTGGCATTCCCCTCAGCTGCGTCAACCACCCCGCACTCAATTCACAACAGCAACGATGATCATCCAACAATGATAACAGGCCACCCAGTTCCTCACCACAACATGAATACAACACGAGTACTACCGACAAGACCCCTTCTCACTAGAATACCCCGAATCAAGCCACTTCCCCGCACCAGTCGCAGTAGGTGAAGACGAACTGCCGCGAGTGGAATGCGTGTCACACGCATACCCGACGAGGACAGTTTTCTCTTGTACGGAGTGGCCGCGTTGGCCGTAGGCTTGGCAGGGATCAATGGAGTGTTGAAAGTAGAGACATTTGCAGACGGAGTAGCGTTCAACGACTTTGTAGCACATTTTGATAGCTGGTTCTTGATGATGTGTCGGTATGTTGCCGACGGGATGCGGCCGAGGTGAATCAAATTGGATTGGATTGGTGTTTGGTTGAGATGGTTGGTTTGAACTGGACTCAATGAGTCCAATGGGATATGACGATGCGCGTGAGTCGGGGTATATATTAGACAATGACGAGAAAGAAAAAAGGAATAAGGAATGAGAAAGGACGTAGAGAAGAAAGCACAGAGGAAAAGGGAAAGAGACAGTCAAGCACCAGACAAGACAAGATCAGAGACTCGATAGGGAACGACTGGCACTCGGAAAGACCGAAGAACAAACCAAGGTACATGGGGGTAGGATATAAAGAAGCGAATAACAGGGTCGAGAGAAACGAGTAGATCCCAAACCGGAATAGAACAATACAAGAGAAAAGAGAGTCTCAGCCCTACGGCCCTAGGCCCCAGGCAGAAAGGAAACGGGCCCTGAATCAGAAGGTCGGCTTAGGTGGCTGCCGATCGTCCAGTGACTCTCCTCTACCCTGCACTATGGGCCCCTCATCCGCTTTACCATACATCAATACATACAATCATCCACATGAGAATGTATAAATAACAATCGAGACTCATACTCAGCTGCACTCCCCCAGAAACTCAAACGAGAGCCTCCCTCACCGGGCTAGACATGCCCCGCCGATCACCTGCAGGAGGGCGGAGGAGCCGCAAAGACGGTGAGAAGAGCGAGGAAGGAGGGGACTCTGTGAGTGCCCTGTGCCCATGAGTCAATCCACTAGAATGTTCTGGGAATTAGCTCGGTGGAGAATAGATGGGGAATAGATGTGGTTGGTTAGGGCAAGCTTGGCTGATGGATCGGGCGTCCAGTATCTCAGCCTCTGACTTCAACGGAAGTGTGCACAGCCGGAGTTACACTGCCACCGTAGATTGTGTTTATGTTTGTGTTGATACTCCGCTGGCTGACACCGCTGGATCTGTGTCGGTGACATAGTCAAGTTGGTAATGGTCTTTCTTTTTTTTTTTTGCTTTGGTTTGGCGGTGGGTTTGTGGGTTGATCTTGTGGAGTCGATTAGGCTCCCGCATTTCAGTGTTGGTGACGCTAGCCCTACAATGATACACTGCACTGTTACTGGGATCATGTCTGGGGATTAGGTGCCGGGTACGTTTAATGCTAGCATGTGTAGACAGCAATGGTTCAATGGAGGTGGCAAACAGTAGGACGACCAATAGGTTTAGTTCTAGTTCTATGGTATGGTAGCGAAAGGGTACAGGATATCCAGTGTAGACTGTCATGTCACACTGTCAGGTATGCAGACTGCGTACACATGCATACCGGTACCGTCACAAGCCAAAGCCGTAGGGCTGAGACAAGTGGAGACAGGACGACACGGGGTACTATTCTATTCTGATCCATGGTATTCCGTCATAGTCTACAGTATACGTCGATGCAAGTAGAAAATGAGAGTCTATCCCAAGGATTAGAGGCGTAAGACGGTCCTGATAACGGAATGATATCGTACACAAGAGCCTCAAGGGCGAGAACAAGTGGGGGAGTAGCATGAGTCCCCATCCAAAATGAACAAAAACTCCGATTTTCAAAAGCCGCCCATCTTCGTCTCTTCAGCTTTCACGCCCAGCTGAACAAGCTAAACAGACCCTAAAGCACCGTGACTCAACCCACGTGCCAAACCAGACCGCAACAAGCGCAGAACATCCTCGCCCCTTGCTGATTCAGGCAATCCAACACGCCAGTCCCAGCCGCGATCACCAACTGCAGACATGTCGCTCGGACGAGGGACAAGAACGCCCGATCCACTCATCGAAGCAGGTCCGGAACCGGATCCCGAGCCTGAGCGTGTACGTGCTGAATCGAGCATGCCGTTGCCCATTAGAGAGAAAGTTGACGCGTTGAAATTAGTGACGGATTTTTGAAACAGTGCGCGCGGGGAGGGCGGTGCGCGGGAGGGGTCGGTGGATGATGCTGCTAGGAGGGTTGAGCGGAAACATTCTTCGCATTGGGCGTAGACACGTGGTGTGACTGTTTCCAGGTCTTCGATTGCGGAGAGGATTGTGAATTGTTGGGAGACTGTTAAGACGGAGGTTGGTTCTGTTTTGGTTAGTTTCAATGCTGATAAGTGCTAGTCATGGTGGGAACTTACGGCTCACGAATACTAGGGCTTCGCCGAGTAGTGCTAGCAGCCCGTCGACTTGGACGGCCGAGTCACGGTCTGGGTCGTAGAGGCCTCCGTAGATGTTATCGGCTGCACTGCCGATGACGGCGGCGAGGGCTTGAGCTGCGGCGCGACGTCGAGCTAGGGGCTTGTAGCGTGGTCGCTCGCCTTCTTTCAACTCGGATTCCTCATCGCGGATCTCGTAGAACCGGCGTAGAGTTGCGTAACCACTGAGATAGAACTGGAGGATACGAGCTGCTTCCTCGTCAATCTCGGCAATTGAAGACAAGCATGCCTTTGGTTCTTTCATCATGGATCGGAGGTATGAGTCCAGGTCTGCCGTCGCAGGGTATGCGCGTGACTGGACCAAACTGTATGAAATCAAAAGGTCGACGACGGACTTCACCTTGCGGCGGCTCTGAGCACGGGCGTAGCACACGAGAGCAAGACCGAAGTTTTCAGACTTTGATGTTAGCATGTCACCGAATCGCTCGGAAACTCTGCGTCCCTGTTCCTCCAAGTCAAGATCCGAGCATAGAACAACCAACTTGTCCAACTGATCGGAGTTCTCCAACGGGAGCTTATCAACTATCTCAGAAACAGCCTTCTTCATCTGGTTGGTATCATTAAGTCGGCTTAATACCTCGAGAGCTAACTCCCATCCTTCACGGCTGCTAGTTTCATTTTGAATAACAGGAATGTCATACAGTCCAAAAGCATAGTCACGGAGGATATCGTCCTTGCGCAGATGACGGGATGGAGCCTTGTTATCCTGACCATAGGAAAGAACCATCAAGTCATTCTCTGACAGACCGGGGAACCTCGTCTGTCCCTGGTGAGATTCAAACCACAGCCCTTGGCTGGCAATTTCTGCCACGGTGGCAGCAATGCAAAGAGACCATCTCTGAAGTAATTCCAGAACACCCTGTACATTGCCCTCGAAGACAGATGCGAGACCGACTTCCACACTGCTCAGAGAGTTGGGTTGGAAACGGCTACCAGATTCGCTGGTGGCGTTGCTGGAAGCCAATGCGAGACGATTGATGTAAGCTTCCCGGTAGTTGATGGTGACAGCACGGGTCTGCTTCACTTTGGGTCCACGCGAGCGCAGGAAATCGTTACCGGATGTGGTAGGATCGAATTCCATGTCTGCACCGTCGTCATCCTCACCATCCCACCAGGCGGTCAATGCGATAGTAGCCTCCACCCAGTCCTGGGAGTGAGCCTTGATGGCCGCGGGGTCACCGAGAAGGATTCGGTAGATGGATCTCAAGCTCTGGTAGATAGACCAGGGGATACGACTTTCGGCCATGCGAGCGGATTGAGTGAATGACATGGGTTTCTGGTTCAGGTTATTCAATCCGAAGTTGATGGCTTGGAATCGGTTGTCCGGGACTGGTACGATGGACTCGTCTTTCTCCTCACCCTCTGCAAATTCTTCCAGTTCGGTGATAGATGTCACGATCCGTTTCCGATATGTAGCCCACTCTGCACCATCGACGTTCCAGTTGTCCAACTTTGTCCCGGGGCAAGATTCAAGGATGAGAAGAGCCCTGTTGACCTCGCGCTGGATGTTCTGCAGCTGCGCGCCGCGGTATCCAGGCTGTGGTAGTCCATCCTCCATTGCTGAGCGGGCATAGTTGAAGTCCGCAGAGCGAAGAACCTTGGCAGCTTCGTCCAAATGACCACGCAGCACTGACGCAGTAATGATATCCCAGAAGTTTGACGAGGCAGTCGGGTTTGGTTCCACATATTTCAATTCCTGCAGGCCCTTCGTTTGCGGCGCATGGTTCTCATTAAGCCACTCAAGCAAAATCTGAGGGTAAGGCTTGGGGCTGCTGGATCGTGCCAAAGCTTGTACCATGCCAAGACCCATGTTGGAGGGAGATTCACGGGCAGGTTGGTTTATCTGAAGGAGCAATGAAGCAATGAAGCTTGCTTTGACCAGGTTAGGAGCTTGCTCTCCGGGTCCAATGCCGGACTGCGCATTGTATGGCCGACTAATTCCACTGCGATCAGCAGACGCCTGCCAGGTTGTTGCCAATTCTTGCGAGATAGCAGCCAACACAGCATCGAAATCCACATGTCTTTCTTCTGCGGCCTTCATCTCATCGGCAAGCTTGCCGAGGATATCCTCCGTGGCGAGAATCATGTCGCTCGGCTCTTTGACAGCAGGCATACGGGTCCGGGAAGCTAGGTTGTGCAGAATTGATGGCATGGCGGATGCCTTCTTCGGAGAGAGCTTGGCTTTGCGGGGTGACTGATTAGTCCAGTGTTCGTCAAGCTTTGGTCGCTTGGCGTCACTGGGATTCGAGTAGATGGGTTTGCGCTGGGGAGCAGGAGCGGGAGCGGGAGCAGGTTGCGGTTTTCCGAACATCGACGTGAAGCTAAAAGGCTTTTGCTGAGGCTGAGAAGTCAGGTCCATTTCCTCCTCAGCTTCCTCAACCTCCTCTTCCACTTCATCCTCGAGCTCTGGCTCCATGTCTTGGTTCTCCTCCTGGTAGTCGCTCATTTGTGACGACGCAAATCCATTGGAGTGGCCAAAGTTCATCGAGTCACCAAATGCGGTTCCATTTGTTGCGATACTGTAGCGGAGATTCGACGCGGTAGTTGGTTTGGTCGAGGGTTGGTTTCGGGGCATGGCATAATCGGTCGAGCCAAACGAGGAGCCGAAAATGCTATCATTTGTGTTGATGTTTCCGGACTTGGTAAAGACAGAGTTGGAGAATTGGTTCGTGGAGAAGGAGTGCTCATTTCGTGAAAACGCCATGCGCGAGCCACCTTCAGTCGATGTTGGCAGCCCTTGCGGTGTGAATGACTTCGCGCTGGATGGCGGCGGGCCAGCAGGAGTTGTCGACACGTTACTCCATAAGCTGCGAGAGCGATCTTTCTCTGGGGTCTCTGGGGGACTGGATTCGTAGGGTACTTGGAAGGACATTGTGACGGATATCACAATGGAGAAGAACGGGTAGGAAGCATCAGAGAAAGTAATTGGGCCGCAATACTCTGAGATTGGGAGAGAATTGCAGTTAATCAAAGGGAGTTTTGCACAGTTATTGAAGGGTGGATAATGTTTTCAGTATGAACAGAGCTCCCTCGTCTCCGAGTTGGCGTGTTTTCACTTGACTTGACTTTCTGCATCGACGCGACGGCGAAAGTTCTCAGGCAGCAAGGCATACATCATGTGATTGCCAGTCACGTGAGAGAACCTGGTACTATCACGTGTGGTAGAAGTCACGTTACAAAGTCACGGATAGCATCACGTGGGTGACATTGGCAGTGCATGGGGGCCAAACCCTCATTGGATCGGGGCACTGCCAGACAAGGCTCAGCTCGAAGTGCCCGAGACGATCTCAAGACGTAGCAGCCTTGGCGAGGCTGAATCAGGAGACAGCTTGTTTTATATAATGGAGCGACCCTCCACATGGACACATAGTCAACTACAGACAAACCACCACCATGTCTATAATATCCGCCCAATACTTCGTCAAACAGAGCCTCTTCCGGAACCACTACACAGTGACGCTCGCCGGCGATAGACACCTCTACCATGTCCAGAACTCCAAGCTCACACCGGGCAAGCCCGATTTAGCCTTCCACAAAAGTACCGATGCCAACGGGCCCATCGCGGGGATTGTCAAATTCCGACACTTCTCCAACGATGCAGAGATCGGCCTTGGCGACCCAAAACACGGAGCCAAGCAAGTTTTGCACAGAGAGGGATTTCTTAAGAAAGCCCATTGGTTCCGTGTGGCGCTTAAAGACGGTGCTCAGACTTTCACTTGGAAACGCACCCACTCTCTTGGCCGTGGGTCTGAATGCTATAAACTGGTGGAAGGGAGTAGTCAGGCTGTTGTGGCCATTTTCTCTGCAGGTTCTTTAATGAAGCGGAACGGGAATCTTGAGATTTATGCACCGTTGGGTGAGGAGTTTTATATGATGGTGCTTATTACTGGGATTGCACTGATTGAAAAGTCGAGGCGGCAGAGGGCTGCAAGTGCAGCAGGAGGAGGGGGAGGTGGAGGTGGAGGAGGTGGAGGGTGTTGAGTGTTTTGTTATGTTTAAGCTTACGAAGAAACGAGATAATGCAACTGCCTGGAGGTTATATTGTGGAGAACTGTACTCGATCGATTCAAGACACAAATCTCGGGGAGTCCGAGGGCCCCGAAACCCCCGAGGCAGTGCAGAGACATGTTTCACACTAGACAAGCCTTTTTTCCACGTTTGATCGACAGGGTTCTCTTATGTAATCCTATACAATATCCTGTTGCCTAAGAGAACAAAACTTTAGCCTCATCTTCTTTACTTCAATTTTAACTATGGCCGATTGACATGGCACTCCGACGACCACATCGGAAATCCCGTCACGGCTGTGTGGAATGCAAGCGACGACGAGTAAAGGTAACATCATCACATTGTTACCCCGAAAAAAAATCACTCATTCCCTCATAGTGCGATGAGACCCGGCCCTCATGTTCCAATTGCGCCAAGCGCCACGCAGAATGTGAATATGAGTCGTCAACCTCTCTTCTCTGGGCAAATGAAGAAGCCTCACGCTCTCGCGCCTCCGGGTCAGAAAGTGGCCATCAGGAACTGGGGACATCCCCCACCTCAACAGGAACCGACTCACTCGGCCTCCTCAGCCATCTCAGCAATGCATCATCAATCCCCAGCCCAGCGCTGAACATCCACGATCTAGAGCTGATGATGCAGTGGTGCAACACAACATACCACACGCTCTCCCGCAACGAGCACACCGATCCTGTCTGGCGCAACATCGTCCCAGAAGAGGCTCTCTCCCACCCTTTTCTAATGCACGGCATTCTCGCCGTCTCAGCTCTCCACCTCGCCAGGACAGGGCCGGACCAATCCAATCGAGCCTCGTATCTCAACCGCGCAGTAGCCCACCAGAATCAAGCGCTAGCACTGTTCCGCGAGCTCCTAGGCGATGTCAACGAAAACAATGCGAAAGCGATGTTCGCCTTCGCTGGCATAGTCGTCATCTATACGTTCGGGTTCCCGCATACACCTGACGCACAAGATGCATGGGCCTGCGTCGACGATCTATACCAAGTTCTCATCCTAACCCGGGGCGTGCAACAGGTTATCTACGCGCCACGCGATTATAGGGATTTCCTCCGAGACAGTAATTTTGGACCCATTCTGCAGGTGGATGAAGTCCGCGGCGTAATTCCCGATGAAGCGAATACGGCGTTGCGCAGACTATACGAAGCCAATGATGCCTGTGCGGGTGCCGATCAGGAGGTTTACCGGTTGGCCATTGAGAATCTCGAGGAGATGCTTAGTTGGGTTTATGGCGGGATAAGGGCCAATACGATTGCCGGGCGCTGGGCGATCCGCTTGCCGGGGAGATTTATGGAATGTTTACGCGAGCGAGAACCCTTGGCTCTCGTCATGTTGGCGCATTATGGCGTGCTTTTGACTTATTTGCAGCATCGTTGGTGTTTTGATGAATGGTGTGTGAGAGTTGCTAAGGCTGTGTGGGCGATTTTGGATGACCAGTGGAGACCGCTGGTGCTTTGGGCTATGAAGGAGACTCTTGGTGTTGATTTTCTCGAGCGGCTTTGATTTTTACATATACCCATGCGGCAATTCAATTACCGAGACTAAATTAACCTGAAACACCAAACAAACTCCTTTACCCAGATTCAGTTAAACCATAACACATAACACCATTTTCAACTTTCAACCCACCCATCCGAACAACGGCCCGTCCCCGTCCAAGAAGGTAATTAACCTCGCTAGGATGAACAACTACAAAAATAACCATAAGCACAAACATCAAAAGCCCATCGAAAACATAAATAAACGCCTCATGGCTCATAATATACCCGTACGTCCCCTGGATATACTCAACAACACGAACAACAGAACGAATAAGCACAAGAATACTGGACGCATGCAACGCCCACATATGCTTACGCCAGGGGAATTGATTTGCAATACTTTTCGCAGCAGCATCAGCCCGCATCCGCATTTGGAAGACCAATGCGCTAATTAGGAAGAAGCCAAAGAAGATGATCTGAACGAAGAGACCGCCGATGATGACGTTTTGGCCTGTTGATGTTGAGCTTGAAGAGCCTGTGACCATGATGCCAGCACCTTACCAAACACAAAATTAGCAATTGAACACGGACATCAAAATAAAATAACCTGGAATAGGTTACTCGTAGAGAAGAGATCATACCAGAAGCCTGCATCAAGAAACTAAACACATCGCCCGCGACGAATATCTTCGTCATCCACGAGACACGTACGAGTGCCAATTTTTCTCCTTGGACCATTCTCACTATCCGGCCGAGCTCCATATAGATGCTCGCTGCAAAGAGGGCTGGTGCTATGAGTAGGAGCGTGCTTTGCATAACGTAGGGTCCCAGTGTCCAATTTGGGGATTGGTGGGCTGACATTGCGCGGCCGATGTAGCCTATGAGCTCGACTATTTTATGTTAGTATTTAAATCTATAAGCAGGGAATAGAATTGGGAGGATGACTTACAGTATCCGCCGATCACTAGCGGGATGAAGAACCATGTTCGTGTTCGGATGAGGTGGAATGTGTGGAGGAGGGTTATTACTGCGAAGAGGATGACGAATATCACGGCTGCTGCCATTGAGGGGTTGTATGTATAGGCAACCCAGCCACTTTCGGAGGAGACCATTTTGTTGGGGTTGTGTTGGTCGTTCTCGGATGGTGTGTTGGCGTGGAGTATGCTCGAGTCAATGGAGGTTCGGAGAGTTGGATGAATTGAATGTAATCAGAAACTAGAACTGACTTGTAAAGACTTATATACCCATTTCATTCAGATTTTTCCTGGATATAAAAAGATTGGGCACATGCAATGACTGGAACGTGTACTGTTCGTACACTCGTATCTATGTCCCAATTTGGTTAGTATGTGATCCACTAGTCCGTATATGGAACTAAGTACGAGGATACGAATCTATATTTTCTTTTCTCTTTCAATGTACGCGTCCCATTCAAATTTTCAAGCGGATTTCTGGATTTGAGTGTCTCGATCAGCCCCCTATTGTAATATTAGGGGCCTGGGAATGCTGGGATCGGATGCTTGTCTACTTTACGGCTAGACCCTGAAACGCAGGTACCTCGGCAGTCTGCAGGGTCCTCATTGGTGGCTGTTAACTATATCTCCCAAGGACAATTCATCGAAGTATTCACATTCAAAATTCATATCAACAAGCTACAGCGAATATACATATATAAACCATCAACATCATATTCACAACTTCGCTTGTTCCCCATTCTCCAAAACAAACCGAAACCTCGCCTTTCCCTCATGCATATCCCCCAAAGCCCGATTAACATCCCTCATAGCCCTCCTCTCAACCCAAGGCAAAACCCCCTTCTCAGCCGCCAAAACCAACATATCCCTCACATCCCCAGGCGACCCAATATTTGACCCGGTAACTTTGACCCCCTTCGAAATAAGCGACCAAGCCATAAGCGGCGGCAAAGCCTCCTCAGGAGCCCCAACCTGCACAAAAACCCCATCCCGTTTAAGCAACCGCAAATAGCCCGCAAAGGGCATATCATGCGCAGAAACGGTACATAACAACACATCCATCTTCCGCGACCATTTCTTCTCCCATCCCTTCTCTTCGCCAGTCGCGATGAACCCATCAGCCCCCAGTCCAGCCGCATCACCCTTCTTAGAACTCGATCTCGAAATCCCAATGACAGAATCCGCACCGAGCGCCTTCCCAAACTGAATACCCAGATGCCCCAACCCCCCAATTCCGATGATACCAACCGTCTTCCCGGGTCCAATACCATATTTCTTCAATGGCGCGTACACTGTTACGCCGGCACATAACAACGGCGCGGCGAGGTGACTAGGCAATGAATCTGGAATTCGAAAAACGAAATGTGCAGGGCCGCGCCATGAATCGCTGAAGCCGCCGTAGGATTTGCTTCTGTTGGAGTCGAGATAGCGCCCGTTATATGTACCTGTCATGCGTGCACAATAACTTTCTTGGCCGTCGGCGCACGCCTCGCAGTCGGGTTTTAGGCATGAGCTGCTTTGGGCTCCTATTCCGACTCGTTCGCCAATTTTGATATCCCTTATACTTGGGTTTGTTGGGTGGTTTGGGACTTGGTGTCCGATGCGTCGGACTAGGCCGATTATTTCGTGGCCTGCTACGCAAGGATAGTCTGTTGGGCCCCAGCCTGAGTTTAGGGTGTGGATGTCTGTTCCACAGATTCCGCAGTGGGTTATGTCTACTTCGATGTCGGTTGCTTCGAAGGGTTTGGGTGTGTAGGTTGTGTAGGTTAGGGGTGTGTTTGCTGAGGTTGAGACCCAGCCTTTGAATGTTTCGGTCATGCCGGGTGGTTGTGGATTCAGGTAAGTGATAATTGAGTAGGCAAGAGCTTGGTAGGTTTATGGTATAGAAAAAGGAGTTGTAAAGATTAAGAGCAGGGTTTACGGGACGGTTAACGTGAGGGTTGCATGCGGAGACAAAAAGTTACCGAGGTTGAGCTTAACTCCGACTCCACTAATTGAAAATATGTACATCGGGGTATCATTACCGGGCTACGCCCATCAGATCATCGAGCTCGTCAGTTGTGAGAGTACTTCGTCGCCGGTTTGCTGGCCGAGCTTTTTCTGGACGACTCCTCTTTCTTGATTCGCGCTCTTTGCGTTCATTTTGAGCTGCGCGTGCTTCGTCTTCTACCGCGGCTAGCTTTTGGGGAACGCTCATTTGTGATTCATTGGGGGGCTATACGAAATTAGTCCTGGGGATCTCCAGAAGGGATTTTGGTGCATACCTGATGGGTGTCCTTTGTTTCGGTCTTTCGTCTTGAGGATCTCTGCGTCACGGACGACTCGGGTTTGTATGCTTTGATCGGTAAGGTGTCATCTTCCGGGGCTGACACAGCTGGTGAGCCTTGTAGACCTGGTGTGAAGGAGACCTTTCGGGGACGCTTTGTCATGGCGTTGTCACTCCGCTCTCTTAAAGCTCGGTCTGGTCGCTCGGGTACTTTGCGGATCTTGGACCTGGTCTTTGGTGGTTGGGCCATTTCGGGCTCTGGTGCTTTCTCGGATTCACTGTCCTCTTCGTCCTGGTCTTCCAAAATTGTTGGGATAGGGTTGGACTCTTGCATACTGTCGTCGGTCGAATTAATGCTAAGATCGAGGTTCATGCCGCGCTTCAATTCTTCTGCCCGGATAGAGTCTCCTCCATCTGCAAGGCGACGCTGCCAGCCGCCCATCATAGTAACTGCTTGTTTCCAGCGGCTTTCCATCTTGACCCAGCCTTCCCGCAGTCTCTTAATCTCCTCATCTCTCGTCTCAACTTCTTCCAGAGGCACGAAAGAGGGGTTGGTAAGGAGTGTCCGTAGATGATCCAATACAGTCTCCATATGAGTAGACAACTCTTCGCAAGAAGTTGGAAGCGAAGTAACGGGCCCCGACTTGTTCGGTCCCACACTTGCAGCCATACTTGCCTGCTCATACTCACTCTTCCCATGCTCAGGCTGTGGAATCCCTTGTAGATCCTTCAAAGTGTGAACAGTGCTCCGGGCAAGCTCAATCAATGTATCATTCTCATCGCTGAGATTCTGGCACAGCTCCGTCAAAAAGTCAGTCGTTTCCTGCTTCAAGCTGTATCCGGGATCATTAACTCGATCTCCACCGCTAGCTCCAAGTCGCGATCGATCGGCTGCAGGATTGATGTTGATTGTGGTGACGGTCAAGCCGTCGCGCTTTCCCCGCCGTCTCTCGTCCAGATGCGATTTCAGCTTCTGCATTTCCAGATCCCGTTTGCGGATATCGTTAGCGCATTGCGCGCGCACTTGCTGGACCGTACTCTTCATGCGCTGGACCTGTTCTTTGAATCCTCGGATCGTAGCTTCGGCACTGGAAAGGTTGGATTTGAGCGATCGTTCTTGCGCCTCTGCGAGTGCTACTGAGCGGGTCAATTCTGCGGATTTTGTTTTGAGTTTTCCCTAAAGACATGCGTTAGCACTGTAGTCGGTATCCAAGAAAAGGGGTATGCGCATACAATCTCCATCGTTTGCTCCGCCTCGGTCGCCTGCAACGTGCGAATAGTAGTTGATAAGCTCTCGCGGTGCTCAGCTTCGCGCTAGAATATGTCAGTCAGCGTATAATTGCATGGAGCGCAATACACGCACGTCTCTCCTTAGCACGAGGTCATTCACCAGGTTGATCACCCGGGCCATGGTACCATCCGTCCCTCCGTCCTCATTTTCAGGATCGGCAAAGTCAATAGGCCGACCGCCTTTCAGCAGGCCCCGAGCCAGCAAGATATTGTTGACATAGGTCGAGGCAGCCTCCAAATTGTGCTCCATTTCGGCGTCGGAGCATCTGTTGCTGTGATGATACCGAATGGGGAAGGAAGTAAACACGGCAGGTACGGGAAGCGCGGTGGACCAGGTGTGCAACTGGTATTCTGCCAGATTCATGCCAGATTTCGAAGGCAGAAATCTTGGCCAATCAACGTCTAGCTAAGCCTTGAAAATTCCAAGATAATTGTCTCACAGATAGTATCCAGATGTGCAAAGGTTTGACTGAAAGATTCAGTACGTCCTGTCATTATTAGGCGTAGTACATGCATATGGTGCGTGCGGCTGAAATAAAGTGCGTGTGCATGAGGCTCAAGCCAATCTCCTTTCCGCTAACTTCCGCTTTGTCTATTTATCTCACTCCGCCCCACAGCCTCACTACATCCTTCTCCGTCAATCTTCCTAATGACTACAGGAAACCGCATAGGGCGCGGGCCCAGCTCAAATAGCATTGACCAAGAGAAGGTTGACTCTCTAAAACGCACCGGCCAGAAGGCATTCCAGGCTGGTAACTTCCAAAGCGCGCTCGAGTCCTTCACCCAGGTACGCCCTAGCTTGCTTACTTCACCGAACTAGCCGATGACACTTCAATTAGGCTTTGGCTGAGAAGAAAGACGACATTGGCTTGCTTGATAATCGTTGCGCCACATATGGAAAGTTGAAACAGTACAGCCTGGCTCGCAATGATGCGAGAGCTATGGTAAAACTGGCACCGACTGACGAACGTGTAAGATCCACAAGGGCATCTACAGGATAAATCGTATGCTAAAAGACACAGGGTTATCTTCGTTTGGGACAGGTCTTGATTCGAGATGGGAGCCCTGAAAAGGCTCGTGCAATTTATGAATATGCCCTGCAGAAGCTCCCGGAGGATAATCGAAGCCGTGAGGTACGTTTGCTTCGCAATCCACATGACATACCACCGAGTCATGTTTTCTTTTTGCCAAACCTGCTAACTGACTGAGGCTCTGAACCAACTGCTTAAGAAGGTGCAAGACCACCTTGCTGGAGGTAACCGACGGGATCCATTCACAGTGCTGCCACTAGAGCTTGCAGAATGGACTCTGAGGAGCCTATCATTCAAGGAGAGGGTGTAAGTGTCCGTCCATCATTTACCGTTCACCAACTCATGTCATACAGAGGAATTTTACGTGTCTGCAAAGGATGGAACCACTTTCTAAAGGGAATTCCGAGCCTTTGGATGGACGTGGATCTGACTGGTGCAAAAAAACGCGTTCCCTGGACATCAATTAGAAATTATATACACCAATCCAAGGTGACGCTCACCCATGCGAACATTCACAATATTGTGCCAGCTGCTACGCCAAAAGTCCTCGACATGCTGAGCCGATGCCCTCGCTTGGAACATCTCGAGCTGCACGCTCAACACGATAATCCTGCAGAGTTTTATGCCAAAATCAGAAATTTCAAACGCCTGAAGACCCTGGTCTGCCAAGTTAAGATCTCGCATGCTTGTGTGGGAGGAATCTTGTCAGGTCTTCCACTGCTCGAGAAGGCGAAGTTTAATGATATTTGGGAGACCAGACAGGATAGTACCGAAACCTGGCCAGAGCATCTCCCGAACTTGAAAAGCCTCACTATTGGCTCTTCCTACCGTCACCCCAACAATCATCTTGTCCCATTCATGCACACGAGTGTGATTCCTAGATTGGGCTCGGTGAGTCTATTTTTTCATCCCTTGATGTTATCGCCTGTGCTTATTAGATCTCAGACCACACAGCCCACTTATCCCAATCTGGAAGAACTTGAAATTGCGTGGAATCCACCCAGCTCGGCCTCATTTAAATTCATTACCCTGCAGCCTGGGGAAACTCTACCTCCGATTCGGAGGCTGACACTTCTAGGCGCTCAAATTCAGCCTAACTTTTACGCTACGCTTCCCGAATCCATTGAGTCTCTGCGTTGCTACGCAGGCTCAGTCGAGCATTGGGCTCCGGGCCTACAACTTATGATGGACGAGTCTCCGAAAAAATTCCCCAACTTGGAAGATTTGATATTCGAAAGTGTGCCATGGATCAACAAGAACAATTTATACCTCTTCTTATGGGACTCCCAAGCGCCTATTAAAGCCCTTCACATAAACTACTGCCACAACATCAACGCCGAGGATTTTATCACTATCTTTATCGACGACAGCGCGCACGTCAACACACGAATTCGCAAGATAACCAACCTGGGTATCGCCGGCATGGCAGGTATAGATGACGCTCGTGTCAAACACATCTGCACAAAACTTCTAGATCTGAAAATTCTCGAACTATCCGAGACAAGGATCACTGGATGTACCATTCGCATGTTGGCAGATGCCAAGAATGATGATTCTTCCATGGCGAAGCTTACCGGGGTAATTATCAAGCGCTGCGATGACGTTGATAATGATGCGATTGAATATGGACGCGAGAAGGGTCTTTTGATATTGACGTGATAAATGCGATATTAACGATTTTTGGCTTGTGAGATTAATCTTCTTATTAGTTGGATCTAGATTATGCGATGATTATACTGATTATACCGTGATCAATCAGATTATTAGTATTTCATGGACACGGTCATGTGGGAATCAAATTGACAATTGATAATTTGCCTGGTACTCCATAGCGATCTTTACAATGCATGACTCGTGATACTAGTGTGCGTATGTAGATGCGTAATCAGAACCCGTGAGATTAACTAGTTCAGAAGTTAGGGTTTGTCTAGTAGTAAGCTATAAAAATCTCACAAAAATCCTGTATGATGCTGGTTCCTAGGCACACTGATCTTTCATCGCCTTTAGCTGTTATTTCACAGGACGAAAAAAGTCGTCTTCCATAGTAGAGCGCAATAACAAACGAGCTTCGGACAGATCCAGAAATAGAACCAAAAAGAAAAAAGACAATGACGACCTGAGTCGAGAGCCGGACCCTTACGACGCCGCGGGATAGCTTTGATTTTACCAAACGCGGCAGTGATCTGTATGAAATAGGATGCTACACCTGCTAAGCGCCAAAGATCACTTTTTGATGTGAATCCCTCCTTTTAAAAAGAAAGTTCCGTTCTCCGTAGTAATGGAATGTTCGAGTACAAAGTGAGTATCTGAGTAGAAGATTAAAAGCTTGTCTTTGCATTTGCATAAACAGTGTAGTATGCAGTGCCACTATTACGTGAAATTCTACAAGCGATTTTATCGTTTCACATCTTCGCCAATTTTCTAAACATCAATATGCAAACAGGGGTGAGCGGACTTAGGGTTACGGATTATGGCTGTATACAGTAACTCCGCCTACCGCCGCAGCGTTGTGAGATACAAAGTTACCCCGAAGCCGGGATGACACTTGTTCGCGCCACAAGGCTACCAAAACCATCCGTCGGCACAAACTTATCCCGACCATCTGTATATCGTCATGATTTTCCCGTTTTCCCCGTATTCACTTAGCAGCCTACATCTCATTATACCAACCTTATTTAAATAATTTTACCCTGATTCAAACAACATGCGAGTCCTCTTACTCGGAGCAACCGGTAATCTAGGCTCCCGCCTACTATCAGCCCTCATCAAAAGAGGCCACACAGTCTCAGTCTTTGTTCGAAATCCATCAAAACTAGCACCAGGCGTTGAAGACAAGCTTTCCAGTATCGAGTGCGGCGACGCAACAAAGAGTGACGAAATCAAAGAAGCCGCACTCCGCACCAAGTGCGATGCTATTGTCAACTCGGCTGGACTTGCATCCGTCTCGCCGTGGGGTCGAAGTAACCTGCCTGAGGTCGTTGAGGCGGTTCTTCGCGCTGCGGAGGAGATCGGACGTGAGCGTGGGCATCCTTTAAGGGTTTGGTTGCTTGCTGGTCAGGGGATTTTGGATATTCCTACTCAGAAGTATATGCTTGTGGATTAGTATGTGATTTCTTCATTGATATGATGCTCTACAGTTACCATAGCTACCTAAATTATTGGAAGGTCCGAAGAATTGGCTAACAAGATGATTAGTATTCACATCTTCCCTGAACACAGGTTGACATGGAAGAAAGTTCAGGCCGTGTCGCGCGAGGCTGTTGCTTGGTCTGTCCTTTGCCCTGGAATAATGAACCCCTCGAGTCCGGTCACATATCCACTTGCAGAAGCTGCGTCTGCAGAAAATTTGTTAGTCTCTGCTCGTGTGCCACCTGAATGGTCGCTCAAGTTTCTTGGTGTTCCGTTGATTGGAGGTTATTTGAATCTCTTGAGCCAGGCGTTGAGTTATGGACCGACGACGCTTGAGGATAATGCTGATCTCATTGCGAGTGACCTGTTAGAGGGAATGGATAGCCCGTGGGTCTATCAAAAGGTTGGCGTTAAGGAGCGGAAGAAGTGATAGTGTACGAGGGCCGCAAATCCAAATTTGTTTAATAATGGTCTCCAAATTGAATTCATGCTCCTGCGGGCTTGTCCTATTGTATATGTTCTTACTTTGCTGTGCTTTAAAATCACTTTCTTCACCTCTTTCGCCAGGCTTAGATACTGAACGTGAAATGCTTATTTGTAGTATTCCGATCCGGCTATCTAGAGAGCCTCGCCCCAAGGGACAAAGATAAATGAATCTACGGTGAACTTCAGATCTAGGACAAATGATGTGAAAGAAACTCAAATTGCTATTGGATAGGCATATCACATACTCCAGCCCCAGACTCACCTCGGGGTTCTGGAACGAGTGAATTTTACTCTCTGATCCACTTCACTCTTCTCAAAATCAAGTCTCAATATCTCTCCAATTCTGACTATATACGTGCCGTGAAGACAGAAGGCAGTCTATACGTCAGTGGATCAGACGAGGGTAAGTGGCATCCAGCTCCATCATGCCGGCTATACTCGGTATAGTAACAAAATGGGTGCGAAGTGGGAAGTTGAACTGCCTCTTGGCCTCAATCCACTGGATCATTCCCGGCTCGTTCTTGAGATACAACAGTGAGAAGAGGATCCGGCTTGGACGGGAAAGAGATGGAAGGTTTGCCAAAATATTGAGGATGATCGTGGGACAAACGATACATAAGATTATATCGCAGTAAAGACCATACAATATACGACCATACGCTAGCTTTGAGCTATACATGATATAGGATGATGTACCATGGCAGGACGACCGACGTCTATACACGATCTACGCGACTAGCAACAAGACGAACCGGAACCAGACTTAGTAAAAAGCACTTTTATCGACGGCATGCTTCCTAGATAAATACTACGATGTGGTAGATTAGCTTTGAGTAAATTGCAGCATGCATCTTCTCAGTTTCTTAGTAGCTTTATTTGAGTACGAAGTAGCTGTTTATATTCTCTAACCCCTGTTCAGCAAAAGTTGCTCCAACAACAAGGCGAAATATAAAATCAGTCAGCAGGAATGGCATCTGTCACTTTCCCACCAATTGCCCCGCATTGTATGATCATCAAGAACATTCCCATGAGTTGTCTTATGGGCGACGGTATGCTAATAGAACTCTAGAGATGTCATGATACCTGAGCAGTGAAAATGCGAACATTGAAAGATAAATTATAGTATTGGTTCATATAACACTTTTGTGAGGCCTACTATATGAACTAGCATCATTGGTCTAGTGGTAGAATTCGTCGTTGCCATCGACGAGGCCCGTGTTCGATTCACGGATGATGCACATTTCTTTTTGGTTTTTCCCCCACCTTTCCTGATTTTTTTTGAAGCTTTCAACTTCTTTTGATATTTCTGCTATGTTTCACTGCGAAATTCATGGACATGGTTAAATTTAATTGGCTCGCTATGTGTCCGAAATAACATTTCAAGGTCACAACTGGGTTCATAAGGTCATCGATTTTGAAGCTAGTATGTCTGCACTGTAATCGCTAATTTTTGGCAAAAAAGGGTCGTCTCTTGCTCTATTCGTAAGATGAGAATAGACGCGCTGGGGGTCGAAAGATTTATCGTGGCTTCCTCCAACTTATCTAGATGTGCCTGTTGCAGTCGGAAAGACAATCAATTTCCCGTGTGGAGATGACTGGGTCTCAATTCTGGGCTTAAACTTGGAGCGAAGCCTGTACATGTTGTTTTACTGATTCAGATCTCCAAGGAGAACTAGATAAGCTGACAGAGGCTCTTTGGAGGATTTCAAAAAGATAGGGGTAACAGCCCCGAATCTTTCAGGTTGAAATTGCGTCATAAGAAACCCTCAGCTGCATATATCGCCTTAATGCCTCATTGAGGACTTTACAATTATGAAGAATGTATAAACTACTTTCAAAACTACCCGTGAGATCCAGTGGCTTAAAGCGAATAAAGTCGTCGTTAGTAAGATGATTTATACTAAGTTATTTAAGAAGATGTATACGTTATACAAAAGCAATTACTTACCGTAAAATAGCACTTGGACCCTACCTCCACTCATTTTGACTTGATGAGGACTCATATCGTAATTACGTTACATCAGCTTTATGTAGTAAAATGTAAGATGCTTCGATGTATTATGCAGCGCCCTAGTCGAGATAAAGTACCCTAGCCCTTATTCACCGACCATCTTATACATCGCAGAGCCATAATAAGGAAGTCTATCTTACTTTGGAGCCATAAGCAAATGAGGAACGTGGTTTACAGCGTTTAGCGTGTGACCTACTAAGAATAACTCAATTTTACTACGAGGCATCAAAACAAATCGAAGTATCTAGGACTGATCTTTGCCTTCTTGCTAAACATGTATAGGTAACAAGTCTGCGATATAAGATCTTATAAGGCTTGGAGAGTCCAAACATCGAAGACGTCTTTGCCTTGAACTCGAGGCAGACCTGGCCGCATTGCTCATTTGGCCCTGAATAAGTTCCAACGTCGTTACATCAACATCAAGGGTTAATTCAAACAAGTGCTGGATGTTCATGAGGTCTTGAAATCTTCTTGAAGCCACCCTAAGATTTTGTCTTGAACTTTTTATTGCAGACTGATATTGTATAGAGATTTAGTTGATGAGGTAGCAGCGCTGACAACGGCCATCACAGAAGGAGTAGTGTTAGAGAAAGATTTCTCAAGATGATAGACTCTCTATCTAGCGAAGGGGCCCTTGATAGACTCCCTTTAACAATGAGATATAGAAGAGCAAAGGAGGACTGATAAAGGATCCATGCTAGACTATGTGAGTCTTCTTTCGAGTGGGTGCATACACCATGGTTGGCGCCTACAACTTCCTTTGATCAAAACTCTCTACTAGAGTGATCAAGAATGGAAGTTAGCTAAGTAATCAATTCTGTATTGATAATTGATTGATATGGATATAATTTGCACCGAGAGCCTTTGGCCTTATATAGATGCCAAACATCGGGCCCAAGGTTCGGGCTCGTATAATCTCTTGAAGAGATGACTGACTGGCTATCTTTGGCCCCTCCGGAGACATCCGGCGACCCGTTGAATGTTCCGGCCTACGAACGCAAATCCGCTCGTGGTCCCTGCACAAGGCTACTAGTGCGATGACAGTTATTGGCCTGAAATAGATTTATAATCACCAAATTGTATTATTCTTGATCTAACAGGGTCAAGAGTATTAAGCCGATACGTGCAGACATCAGATTGGTAGGCCTCGAGCAGCGGGATAGTTATGCAAAGTATTACTTGTTATATAAGCAAAAGGGTATGGTATGACAACTTCTGCGCAGTAGTCACAGTGCCTTGTTCTGTCTAATGCGAAATTTGAATCAGTATAAAGCGGTGCCTATAAACCTGACTGGTGGAGAACGATACGTAATGATGAAGGTATCTGACCAACTGCCTTGATACCTGTTTCCGCTCGGTTATGTCATGCTTGAGGCGAATCTTTATACTTCCTATACTAGTGTTCCACGATGATAGCTGCCCGATTAATCAAATTTCCCTCTGTGCATTTAGAATAACACGCGATGGGAGTGGACAATCACCATACACCTGTGCAACAGGGACAATCTTCATAGTAGGCTCAAATGATCTAGAGTGCCCCAAGATTCGTACAGTCTCGCTCAGTATTGACGTTGTACAGTTGTCCAGACTCTACGAGCTCAGCAGCGTCGAGGAGTAACAGCTCAACAGCATCGAGGAGCAACAACTTCTCCCTAGATGCAGACCTTGAGAAGAAACAGACACCTGGAGAGCTTGACGAGGAAACCGACCGTGACCCCAACCTAATCGAATGGGATGGGCCCGACGACCCAGTATGTGTTCAGTCTGCCTTCATGCTTCTGCCCTCGGAACTCACCTCACTTCACTAGGAAAACCCTCAAAATTTCTCGGCATGCCGGAAATGGCTTATAACTGTCGTGCTCGGTCTGATGACCGTCTCTGTAACCTTCGCATCCTCCGTATTTAGCACTGCCTCGGTCGTCACTGCGGAGAAATTCGGCGTGTCGCAAGAAGTGATGGTGTTGGGAACCAGCCTATTCGTTCTGGGATTCGCTTTTGGGCCCATCATTTTCGGCCCTCTGTCCGAGTTATACGGAAGGAAGAAGCCGTTGATCATCGGATTTTACATCTTTGCTATCTTCCAGATTCCCGTGGCTGTGGCACAGAACTTACAAACCATTTTCGTCTGCCGATTCCTTGGAGGACTGTTTGCGAGCGCACCATTGGCAATCGTAAGGATGAGTTCAGTTCCAATGCAAAAGCACCCGCACGTCTTCCTAATTTGTGTTCTCTTCGACAGGTCGGAGGCATGCTCGCAGACCTTTTCGGTCCTGTCGACCGGGGTATCGCCGTGGCCATTTTCGCAGCCAGCACCTTCATTGGGCCCGTCGCTGGCCCCATCGTCGGCGGCTTTGTCACCATGTCGTACCTGGGCTGGCGCTGGACCGAGTACATCACAGCCATCATGGCGTTTTTCTTCGGTACAGTCGGCCTGTTTGTCGTTCCCGAGACCTTTGCACCGACGCTCCTTCAGCAGCGGGCGCGCAACATCCGCTTCCGCACCAAGAATTGGGCCATTCACGCCAAAGCAGATGAGCACGAGGTTGACTTCAAGCATATCTGCTACGCCTACCTGCTGCGCCCGTTCATGATGCTCGCCCTCGAGCCAATCCTAACTCTCATCACGCTCTATATGGGGTTCATCTACGGATTTCTGTACCTTTGCTTCGAGGCCTACCCCATTGCGTTCCAAGAGCAGCGGGGCTGGAATCCCGGTGTCGGTCAGCTCCCGTTTCTCGCTATCACTGTCGGCGTACTCGCCGGCTGTGCTATCATCATTACATTCACCAAGACGAGATTCCAAGCTAAGCTTAAGCAGACGGGCCAGGTCGTTCCAGAGGAACGGCTGATTCCTATGATGATTGGTGGTCTGCTGTTGCCAGCCGGAATGTTCTGGTTTGGCTGGACGTCTAGTCCCAATATCACTTGGGTGCCGCAGGTCATATCGGGTGGATTGCTGGGTGCTGGTGTGTTGTTGATTTTCTTACAGGTCAGTTTTCCTGCCCTCATATATCTTCCGTAACAACTGGATGACGTTTGATTTAGGGCCTGAACTATATTATCGACGTATATGCCATGAACTCCAACTCGGCAATTGCCGCCAACTCCTTCTTTCGATCGTGGCTTGGAGCTGGATTCCCTATGTTTGCGACTGCCATGGTAAATATCCATATCCATTGGTCCAAGTATTAGAATTAATGACTGATGACGACTAGTTTCACACTCTCGGCGTGGATTGGGCGATGACTCTGTTGGGATGTTTGACGGCCATCCTCTTCCCCGTACCCATCATTTTCTATATTTACGGCAAGAAGATTAGATCGTGGAGCAAATTCAGCCCGACTCTATAGAAGGGTTGGGCAATATTAACAGAAGACTTTATAAGCTGGACTGGATGGCGTTTTCGTTCGCCACATGGGCAAGATTTACTTACCAAGGGAGATAATGCTGTCGGCCGAATGGTGTATCTTTTGCTGATAAAAAAATATTGCATTATTCTAGATGCTGGGACTTGCGAGCATGATACTATTGAAAACAACTGCAATTAAATTGTGTCCACATTACTATACTCCAGAACTACGATCATCCAACACCACATCAATTTGACACTTGATACATTAAATGGCGGAAAAAAATCCATGAGCTTCCCAGCTGTGTACCGGAATTAGTAACACTAGGCTACCTCCACAAAGTGGCCACAGCAAGCAGTGTCGAGCAGCACGTTAAAAACATATAGCAAGCATGCTTTGGATCGGGCAGCGACTAACGCAGGAGCCTATGCACCTGCGTTATGCCTAAATTTCAATTATGCACTTTTCGACGCATCGTTCCACCACATTCTCCCTTATATGCCTCTACCAAGTCGAAAGTAGAGCACCCCCGGGTTACCGGTTGCCCTCCGCGCTTTCCTTATACTCTTGGTTGGCACCACGATGCTCGCCCACAGTACCACTGACTGTGTTCGCATCACCACTTCTATGCCACACATAAGCCAAAAACGGTAAGGTGACGCACGCGGCAACAATTAGCCTATAAAGTGATATTGGAGTCAGCCAAGGCCACATTGGTATAACGGAGAAAGACCCACTTCCGTTGACCGCCGGGTTCTGTCTCGTCTAGCTTCCCACTGGTGAAGCATTTCCGAGGGGGATTCCGTAGAGATAGCTGAGCAGGAGCAACTCCTGTCCGGAGCGGCTGCTTTGACGCAGTGCGTGTAATAAAATGGCGAATAAGAGCCATAGTGACCGTTCAGCCAAGAAGAACAAGCTGGAGATCCTTCGGGGCAAGTAGATTGAGCTCTGGGACACAGCGAGATAATTTGATGAAGTTTGAACAGCGACCAGGGGAATTTGGGGAAAGAAATCTGGCCAAGGAAACAGTGATGTAATTCTTATATAAGGACTCTTTCCTTAAATCAACGGATGCATATACGAAGTACGTGTATATCAGGTCGTTTCGTGTTGATGTCATAGTTTTGAATCATGCACCAATGAAATGTTGCTTTCCATTACTTGATCGAGCTTGATCAAGTTCTCCAAAACAAGCTTTATGGCGCCTCATGGGAGAGACAACTGATTTGGTCGCATTATATTCATTGCCATCCGCCATTCATCTTTACCCCAAGCTCTTGCCACAAACAAGGACGAAGCTTGGCATCGTTGCTTCTTAGGTCTATCCCTTGTGACTCGTTGGCTTCACTATTACAGCAGCCTTTCCTGTCTATACGAATTGCTCCATGTTCTCTTCGCCGAAGGACACCTCGATCTTCTTCCTTCCTTTCTTTGCGGTCGCGTACCTGCATCCTGGGCACCGGCAGGACCAGAATTGGACATATCGACAAGCTATTACAAACCATGTTCTTAAGGTCTCTCTGCGAGTATTTTCAGCACTCCGAATGAGACCATCTCTCTCCCTAAGCCCGCATATCGAAGGTGAACGGTTTGTCCTAGTGGAGCCTGCACAGTCCAATCTGTACACCGGCGTCGCAGTAAACGAAAAGATCAAGCCAGAGACGATAGGGGGTACGTGGTACCCAAGACGCTTCTCACAAGGCTGTACCATCCCCAAAGATGAACACGTCGTATTGCATTTTCATGGTGGATCGTACATACTGGGCAACGGCCGAACAGCCTCTTGTGGCTTTTTGGCCAAGAACTTTCTGGCGTACACCCCATCCGCCTATGTATTCTCTCTTCAATATCGATTAGCTGGTGACCAGAAAGGTCGCTTTCCAGCCCAGCTTCAAGATGTCATTTCGGCTTACTCTTACTTGATCCATACCCTGCATATCCCTGCATCGCGCATTGTGCTTAGTGGCGACAGCTGTGGAGGGGACCTTGTGTTGGGACTATTACGATATATCGTGCAATACAACTGTACGTCTCTTCTTCCAGCACCAAAGTGCGGCTGGGTCTTCTCACCCTGGTGCAATGTTTTGGATGCCAATGACCCCAGCGCCTGGATCAAGAGCGCAAACTACGAAACGGAGTGTATTCCCGCATCGTTCCCTGCCTGGGGTGCAAAAAACTTCCTGGGTGACTTGCAGGTAACTGAACCAGTCGAGGAATACGTGGCTCCTATACGACACCCGTTTCATTTGCCTTCGCCTGTCCTGATAATCACTGGTGGCCGGGAGGTGCTATGTCAGGAACATCAAGAACTCGCAGAAGCTTTTAGAGCGATTCCACAGAATAAGTCTTCTGTTGCACTTTTTGTGGAGGAAAATGTGCCTCATGACGTGTTGATGGTTGGCTGGCTCATGGGATTTCGGACAGAGGCGCGTCGGTGCTCAGAAAGAGCTGGGGAATTTGTGAGAGGGCTACAGTCGGTGACAACGAATGCCTAGCTCACGACAACACGATGTATTATCTAAAAAATGCCTCGAATGGATTGTAGAGTTCATTAGGAGTATGTAGACCTGCCTGTCTCTGAGCTCTTCCGATCTGCAGCATCCCTAGTACCAAGTTTCATCAACTGTCCTGCCTCGTCTCTGAGCAGGCTCACTGCCAGGCACGTAAATATCTTCAAAAAGAATATTGGGATGCTCTTCGGGTGCAGGCATCTCCTCTGCCTTTCGAACCTCTTCATTCACCATCGTCCTTATGTTCTTTTCCATTGTCTTGACTTCAGCGTCTGTCATGATGCCCCAATCGATTAATTTCGCCTTCAAATTACTAAGTGGGTCATTGGCACGGTTCTGTTGCAATTCATCCCGGCTTCGATAGGCAATTCCAGGATCCGACATGGAGTGGCCGGCGTATCGATAGGTGACATATTCGTAGATTACAGGGCCATTGCCGGCTTTGACGAATTCTCGTCCGTGTCTGACTGCGGCTAGCACAGCCAGGACGTCCATTCCATCTATCCGGAGACCAGGAATGTATTGACCTCGCTTGTAGTAGTCTGTCATGGCAGAAGATCTTTCAGCCGAGGTACCCATTCCGTATTTGTTGTCTGGAAGGAGAGCTGTCAATGGTGCGTTTCCACAACTTGGGACAATTGGCAAACTTACTCTCACAGCCGAACATCACGGGAAGATTCCACAACTTGGCCATGTTAAAGGTCTCGTGCACCTGTCCTTGATTCGCGGCTCCGTCTCCATATAGATTGACAGTGATTTTTCCGGTCTCGTCGTATTGCTGGGCGAACGCAATGCCAGCGCCCAGCGGCACGCTGGCACCAACTATTCCATTTCCCCCGAAGAAGCTCTTGGTGTACATATGCATCGATCCGCCCTTTCCATGGGCTATACCGTCTCGGCGGGCGAGAAGTTCGCCAAGGATGGACCTGATGGTAGCGCCGCGCATATAGGTAAATCCATGAGAGCGATAGGCCGTGATGAGCTTATCATCTCGTTCAATCGCATGCTCAATTCCTACCGCAACTGCCTCTTGCCCTATCGACAGGTGACAGAAACCACGGATCTTTCTGTCTTTGTATAATCCGTCGGCGGCCAGTTCCATGCGCCTGGAACGGGTAAGCCAGGGTATCAATATTGCACGGAGAGAACAAACCTGACTATTGCCATGTCACGATAGAGCTGTTTGAGTTGATTCTTGGTGACAGTGACGGAAGAAGGTGGCGGCTCGAAGTTGTAGGTGTCGAAGCTCTCGCCCGAAATAGGCACTGTAAAAGGCTTATCATCTTCCTGTTGCCAGTTCAGTGAGCTAGGTAATCTCAATCAGTATCAGAGAAGTTATCCGTACCGTGGGAAAGTTCTCAGAATTCATGACTTGAGCAAATCCGCGCCACCCGGCAACTAAATGCGGCGTGCGGGGAATTTCGCGGCTTAAAGGGAGCCGCATCGCCTTTAGTGCGGCCGACATGGTAGTTGAGAAAATGCAAGCCCGGTGAAAGTAAGTTCCCAAAGTAGGACCGAAACAAACACAGTATTTGGGTTTTCTATATTGATAACCTTCACTGTGACGTAATGAAGTGGAGATTGAAGTCAGGATTACATTGTACGTGCAGTGAGTATGCCGAGTCAGGTATGCCGCTCTTGATCTAGCCAATGAACTCCCAGCATTCGAGAAATATGCTGATATCTGTCGTTTCTTAGCCCCGTTAGGGGCAACTAAGATCCTTTCGAAGCGGAAACTGGTATTCATAATTCACTAGATGATCTAGCAGTTGATGCCTCATAAATCAGCGACATGGATGTTGAATTCAATCATGACGAAACTAACAATCATCTCATCTTCGCTCCCTCCGACAATAAACATGTGGTGATAGCTTGGATGAAGAGCAAAATGACTTCGCCAAAACAAAATAAAGACACTCTGTCCAACGAACATAGAAAATGTCAAATAAAAGCCAGAAAAACCGATAAAATCAAAGAGAGCCGACAATTCTGGTGTCAACTTTATGGGGGAACTTGCAGCCCTTGACCGTACAATTTTCGCGTGGACAACGATGGCCACCGACACAACGCTCGTTATCACACCGCAAGCCCTTTGAGCAGGGAGACAATCGGGCAATCCACATCAGATCAACTACCTCTTGATTAGCAAGCTGTGGTTCATGCTTATGAGTACAAAGCTCTCCATAGGAGCAAGATCCCAATATATGAAACTGATTGCAGAATTTGTGCTGCTTCAGAACATCAAGTTTGGGCCTCGTGGAGTAGTGCAACGGACTATCAACCCGTTCACCATCCACATTCCTCTGCACGACTAACATTGAACTGTGAGGTAACGACGTTTTGGTGGGCGGTTTTGTCAAAGGGGAGCCGATCTCTGATACTAGAGGTGCGGTTCTCGCTACAGAGGCGTAGTTTGAAGTCGGCGTCCGTGGTGGTGTGATTGCTGGTGCGACCGGTTTACTGCCAAATGAAACTCTTCGAGATAATTTCTTCGATCGAAAGACGTGAGGGAACGAGGTTGTCTTGAATTCAGTTGCCAAGTCTCTCAACTCACGAGGGAATGGTGGTCCCTCTACAAGTGAAATATGGGTCGATCCGCAATGGGGTCCCAGTACCCGGGCATAGCCATTATCTGCAGATCCACAGAAAATGATGTGTTGGCAATGGACATCGTGAAGATAGTGCTCAAAATGCGCTGGGTAGTATGTTAGCGATCTCTTCACCCTCGGAAGTAGGAACAGAACATTCTTACCTCCAACCTTCACATCAGAACATTCCTTCCCATTACCTGCATCCACAAAGTCACACAGAGTATTATGCATGTTGAAACCTTGTATAAAGTATCCCAGGATATCCGCTGAGCTCAGAATGCCAGTATCGGAATACGTTTTTGCTAGACCAGCCACATTTGCGTACACCCGAATCTTGAATTGGATGTTCGGATCACTATCCGGTTTTATCTTTCGGACATGATCTCGGGCCGCCTCGATGAGAGCTTTAGCAGCAGAGCGACCCCCCTTCTGTCCCCCTTGAACCAACTCGTCCATGAACTGCGTTATAGATTTTAGTTTAAGTCGAAGCCACCGTCACAGAGAAAACTCATGCTCACGTTCATATGATCGCCATCGACCAGTACTAATCCGAAGCTCAACCTCGCCTGCACGTATATAGTCAATACCAGGCTGGGGTTCACGGAGCTATTCAGCAGAAAGGAATAAACGCAGAGCATACTTGCTTGCCATCCTTCTCTTTCAACTGGCTCATACATCTCTTCACATCTTCTCTGTAAACCCGGACTAGCTTCTTCTGGTCCTCGGACTCGTTCTTCTCGTGCTGAAGTGCTTCTTGAAGGCTTTGTACCTGAGAGAAAAGATCCTATGGTGAGTTCATCTCATTAGTCAAGTATAGCCTGCATCTATACATGAATTACATACCTCGATTATCTTGTCCTTGTTGTCTTCGGTAACTCTGACGAACTCGTACCTTTCTCGCAGCTCGTTCAGGTCCAACATTGTGCTTGCTTCCCAGAAGAGAAAACTGGGACATACGCGAGAAATATACCTGGGATATGGAGCCGCTCCGTCTGTTGAACTTTGATGTTCTAATCTCCTACTGCATGCGAATTCAGCCCCAAAACCAGCTGCCACATAAATTTGGGGCAGTGTACATGCATGCATCCTTGAATCTATATCTACATGGTTAGTTATCAAGAAAGCATTGGCCTAGCGTTAGTCGCCATGTCACCGCCTCATTCGATGAGTGGTTGTGGCAGGGGTATGGTGAAGCGCCGCAACTGCGCTTTTGGTACCCCGCAGTCCGCCTGGAATTGTGGCTGCTGCCTATGCCACCGTCCACACTCTCTCTCCGCTTGAGTCTGTATGCGCAGCGATCGTTGCCTATCAGCACCACCTTTGTATTTCAGTTGGCGTCTTGTTATAGATGCCCACCTCTATCTTGCTGCGGTGCAGGGATAGAGTAATAGGAAGCCTACTTCCATGAAACACTATGTCGGGAGCTAGAGTCTTTTGTACGAAAGTGGGCAGTAAATATGATAACCTTGGGATATTCGATCAACTAGTAGCTAGACTTTAGGGAGTCGATACACTTATGTTGTCTCTCTCCCCTTTCTTTGTTTGATACGTTCGTTTCTTCTGATCCTATACAGGAGCTATGACCTTATCTATTACATAGTGTTTTATAGACATAAAGAAAGCTGAAATACTAGCGTTGACAACACTAGAGGCGATAATAATAAACTAAATATAGCCAAAGCTAGTTAAATAGACTCGTTTTGAACCTGCCTAAATAGCAGTGACAATGTCTAGTATTTTGAGACTCCGAGCGTAGCATAGCGAGTAGTCTGGCTCTAATACACCTTATTTATAGGATGTCTTCGAGCGTCTTATTATTTGCGTAGAGCAGGAATCGACACCGGACACATTAAAGGCTAAGTGGAAGGATACGGATGCGCAGTCTATGTTGATAAAAAGAGATCTTTGTCAATCGCTATTGATGGCTCGAGATGTCGGGGGTGATATAACCCAGGCTCTGTCCTTTAAATGCAATAGTCATTTTTCATGAGATGAAGTTGAAAGATGTCAATAAAATGACTTGGAGGACTTACATATTGCTGTGACTGCAAATGGGTAGCATGTTTAGGGTTCGCCAACACCACGTGGATGCATAGGAAACGACCAACAAACAACCCTGGGGCTGTGGCCCCCTGTGACTTGTCTATAAGTAAAAGTGTTGATCGACCATTATCTAGACCACTTTGATCCTAAGGATCGTTCATGACTTATCCCTGTCGGCCAAGAGATACTAGACGCACGGGGATGTAACGGCCCAATCGATCTCCGGCTACCCCTCAGTAACATATCTCTCTATCACTCATCTCCAACTCGAAAATCTGTCCTTTCTCCTATTCAAATATTCATGGCGACTCAAACATTTGATTATATTATCGCGGGCGGGGGAACAGCAGGTTGCGTAGTAGCTTCCCGTCTCAAAGAAAAGAATCCCACGTTGTCCATCGCGATCATCGAAGCCGGTCCCGATGTTAGCAAGCACCCCCTTGTACCAGATGCAGCAGATTACCCTCAACTTCTCGGCTCTGAGCTCGATTGGAACTATACTACAGTACCGCAGAAACATTTAGATGGGCGCTCTGTTTCCAACCATGCGGGGAGGGCGCTTGGTGGTAGTAGTGTGACTAACGCCGGTGAGTACTGGGACAGTTGCTCAATACAAAAAGCGTCTTGTCTGATCTGAGGCCTTAATTCAACAGGGGGCTGGTTCCGAGGCGAAAGGGCAAACTATGACCTCTGGGGACAGACGGTTGGCGACTCGCGTTGGAGCTACAGTGGATTCTTGCCCTACTTCCGCAAGGTCGAGTCGCATTTTGATCCGAATGGCGATAAAGAACAGCATGGCTTTGGTGGTCCCATGAAAGCAGAATCTGTGACATCCACGGGTCGCAATTATCCCCTGCGTCAGTCGGTGAAGGATGCATGGGCTGCTGTCGGTGTACCTTTAGTCCCGGACATCAATAATGGCAATCCCATTGGATTGGCTGAGATCGTCGAGAACAAAGTCAAGGGTATGCGGCAGACTGCAGCCTCTGAATACCCACTCAATGTTACTATCCTGACGGATACGATGGTCAAACGCGTGGTTTTCGAGAAGCGCAATGGGCGAAAGAGAGCCGTTGGCGTGGAGATTGCGGGAGAGGAATCCCGTGTGATTTCAGCAAAGCGTGAAGTTATCATTTCAACTGGCACATATCGAACGCCTCAGATATTGAAACTTTCAGGTATTGGGCCAGCCGAAGAATTGAAACGTCACGGCGTGGACTTGGTACTTGATTCACCAGACGTTGGCCGGCATTTCCAAGACCATCCAGGGGTAGTCCAGTGGTGGAAGTTGAAACAGCCAGAACGAGGACTCGCAGTTGGATCACCTTTTTTCAAGGATCCCTTGTATCTTAGAGGTCAGCCAATTGACTTCGCAGCAACACAACCTGTTCCCCTGGATGGATTGCGCGCTGCGTTACTTCGCGATGATCCAAATTGCAACCCGGATGAACATCCGTTGATCGCGCAAAAAGGACACCTGGAAATGCTAGTCTTCTACGGAGCAGGAAATCCTGCCAATCCGACAATTGAGATGGACGGTTCTCATATTATCTCCATCGTGGTTGGTATGCTTCCAACTTCTCGCGGGAGCATTACCCTCCGTGATAGCAATCCAAACTCTGCGCCACTTATCGACCCTAACTACCTCGCAACTGAGGCTGATAGGTATATGATGCGCGCGGGGATTCGGAAGATTCGCGAAATGATTCGTGATACAGAAGCCGGACGGGAAATGATTGACGATGAGACGGTCGAAGACGGGGCCACCCCAGTTAGGGTGGATACCAGTGATGCAGAGATCGACAGTATTGTTCGAGGTCGAGCTATGTGAGTTTATGAAGATGTAAAAAAAATCATTGAGCACAAGCTGATACCTCGTTTTAGGACTATGTTCCATCCCGCTGGAAGTGCGTCGATGGGCAAAGTGGTTGACAGTCAGCTCCGGGTACGAGGGGTGGATGGGTTGCGCATTGTTGATGCAAGTGTCATTCCTGTTCCATTGACTGCTCATATTCAGATGTGTGTTTATGCTCTAGCAGAGCAAGCTGCAGATATCATAGGTGATGGTGAGAGGTCTGCGCATAAGCTGTGACGGTACTGAGTAGACAACCCAATTGACAATTTTGAAATAATCACAAGCTGGATTTAACAACTACTAAACAAACAAGCTTAGTAGGAGTAACAAATAGCCAACAGAAAAGGGAGCAGGACAAAAGGTGACGACAAACTATACAGAATGCAAACAGCGCAAACATTTATCGATATCGCCGTTTTCCCCGCGCTAAATGAACGAAGCGACAAAGAAAAAGACCAGAAAGCATTTATAACAGGTCATTTTCCCCTGTATATCTGCTCATTCAACTCTTCAAATTCTGGCGATCTCCCAGATCTCTTCAATTTATTCCACATAGACCTGAACCTCAGGTCAACCAGCAAAATGGGCAACGAGTCCCAGCTGCCAGCAGGCATCGTCACCCTGCTGGACACGGACCTGTACAAGCTGACGATGCAATGTGCAGTCCTAAAATACTTCCCAGATGTTTGTCAGTACTCTTACTCCGAACTGGGCGATACCCAAACTGACACACGAGCAGCGGTGACATACGGCTACACAAATCGGACCCCGCACATGAAGCTGCGCCGCGGGGCATACAAATGGCTCCTGGAACAGATGGACAGTAAGCAATACCAACCAAGCATCCGAATAGCAACTAACATCAACGCGCTCAGAACTAGCCAATGTCCGCGTAACAGCGGAAGAACGCCAATTCCTCCGCGAAAAATGCCCTTACCTAAACGACGCGTACATCACCTTCCTCGAAACCTTCCACCTGAAACCGGCGGAACAAATCGAAATCAAATTTATCCCGGTACAAGATACAGGCAGCGATGACGACGAAGGCAATATCGAGTACATCATCAAGGGATTGTGGCTGGACACGATCCTGTACGAGATCCCGTTACTGGCGCTGACCAGCCAGGCCTATTTCATGTTCACCGATAAGGACTGGGATTATGAAAATCAGGAGGACAAGGCTTACCGGAAGGGCTGTACGTTGCTTGAGAATGGGTGTGTCTTTTCTGAGTTTGGATCGCGTCGTAGACGTGATTATCACACTCAGGACCTTGTTATGAGGGGTCTTACTCGTGCTGCAGAGGAGGGGAAGAGACAGGGTTGGAGTGGTGTTCTGTCTGGTACTAGCAACGTTCATTTTGCCATGAAGTATGGTGTACCTGCTGTTGGGACTGTTGCGCATGAATGGTATATGACCATTGCGGCTATTACAGATGATTATGAGAATGCCAATGAGTTGGCGTTGAAGTATTGGCTGGGTTGTTTCGGGGAGGGGGTACGTGTTCTTGTTGTCTCGACGTTCGATGTGCTATATGCTGACTGATTGTTAGGTCCTTGGTATTGCGCTCACCGATACTTTCGGTACACCTGCTTTCCTGGATGCTTTCAAGAGGCCAATCTCGGTGCCGGATCAGAAGCCTGATCCATCTGCTAAGAGCTATGCTCAGGTTTACACTGGTATCCGCCAGGACTCTGGTGACCCGACCTACTTTGTCAAGATGGCTCGTGATTTCTATGATGGCCAGGGTATCTCCGATACAAAGGTCGTTGTGTTCTCAGATTCCTTGGATATCGAGCATTGTCTTGAGTACAAAACCATCGCTGAAGAGGCAGGCTTCAAGCCTACCTTCGGCGTTGGAACATTCTTCACCAGTAAGTCTTATTTCCACGGATGCGTTGACCACCGCTAATTCTTGCAGATGACTACGTCAGTAAATCAAGTGGTGAAAAGTCCAAGCCCCTTAATATTGTCATCAAGATCGCAACCGCAAATGGCAGCCCCGCTGTCAAGCTCAGTGACAATATGGGCAAGAATACAGGTGACCAGGACAAAGTCCGGGAAGTCAAGAAGAAGCTTGGCTACGTCGAGCACTCCTGGGAAGAAGGCGATGAAAGCAATCGCTGGAAAAAGCAGGAATGAGCAGTTCAATCTCGCTTCACGAATCTCATACTCATAATCTCATAGATTGGGCAGGTTTAATTGCTAGAGTTCATTTCCGTTCAGCATAATGTGACATTCCATAGAGAATAAGAATACATGATATCCTCGCTCAATCGACGAATCTAATACAATCACCAAATACCAAACACCACACATCCTTGGGTATCATCAGTCCACATAAGAATACAAGTAATTCACAACTTGATCCAAGAGCTCAAACCTGAAAGAAAAATCCATCTTCTAGTTTCTGAGCCACATCACCAGCCCATGAAGCAGATTGCATCGTGAAAATATCCTCGCTAACTTCATCAATGGAGCTGTACAGACCTCGCCAGCATTTCTCAATGATATGACTGCAAACATAGTCATCTCTGGGAAACTGGGTATTGCGAAACCGGTACTGAACCTCGACTGCATGTCGAACAGAATCCAACTCCGGAAACACCTCACCGCCCGTGATGATATGATACATCGCCGAGCCAACAGCGAAGATGTCAGTTATTTTCTCGGCGTGATAGGGGAATGGCCGTGGCATGCTGGATTTCGAGCCTTCGCGACTCAAACCGTCCAGCATGTATTCCCCTGCGCTATTTTTCAGAATTCCTTGGAAATCAGCGAGGATGATGTTGAGATTGATGTCTAGAAGGATATTCGATACGTCGATGGTGCAGTGGATGACATTCTTGGAGTGAATGAATGATACCGCTGCAACGAGCTGCTGGCACCAGTCCAGCCGAATCTCGAGACTGACTTCTGGATAACGGATCAGGTAGTCGCCCATGTTGCCGTTGGGGTAGTATTTGAGTACCAGGCCATCTTCGGTCAACCCTTCTGATTTCATGATGGAGGGATGGGGACCCAGCTTATCGAGGATGTCGAGGATTCGAGCTTCGACTTTGATGCTTATCAACCAGTTTCTGTCGTTTTCGTCCCTGGTATACTTGAGAACCTTTGTGCATGGTGGTAGTGGTTTGTTGGGTTCCCTGACAACGGGTGTTTGGTCGTAGAGGCCCACGATGCATCCGCCTGATGAGATGATTTCTCTGACACCGAGTGGAAGTCGACCTGTGAGCTGGAGAGGACCCGTGAGCGAGGGAGGGCTGCTGGAAGACGCCAGCTCTGGAATGGAGCGCATGTCTAGCCGTTGGAGGTATTCGCGTATGGGTGGTACGTGGATGACTTGCAGCGATTCCGGGGAAAGACTCCAGGGTGTCATGGTCACCTGTACTGAATGAATGAAAATGTACAGGCTGAAGAGATAAAATGGATGATTAAAGAAGAATTGAAAGATAGAGACACGCAAAGAAAGGGTCTTCGAGGCCAACCCGCGATATAGAGTAGAGTGCCTTCCTCCTATGTCCTCCCTCCAATGTGCGAACTATCCAAATATAATGGTTTTATCCTCATATCACGACACATATTTAGCCTCAAACGTTATTTCAGAATAGGGATGTAATAGCGAGGTCTCAACTGGTAAGGCTGATATCACAACTCACCGGGAACAAGCCAGTACACGACCTAGTTTATTGACTTTTACCTACCACGGAATGGAAGAAGAACACTTGTATAGAGAATCTTATTTTGAAGCATATACTTTGTGAAATAACACGTCATATAGTACAAGATGGCAGCTGGAGAAGGTAGGCCCGGAATAATAATCAACCTCGTTCATGAGACTAAAACATATCATCCCCGGACTGGAACCCTAGATCCCGATCAAGATCCCCAGTAATACCAGACCTAGCTTCACTCATTGATTGATGGCGCGAGTGTGTTCCAGATATGTTTTCATCCATTCCCTGCAACTCAAACGAGAAAGGGTCCTGCTCTTGTTCTTGCTGGGGTATCTCCTGTGACTCGAAGGTCTGTGCCTTGTCATATTGACTCATGTCCGTGTCTCGGAATAGGTCTTGTGTCCAGTCTAAATTATTGTCTTTTGCGGTTGATGATATATTGTTTCCATCCGTGTTTGGATTCGTGGCAGGGGTGGGTATGTCCGGGAATGAGTCGATATCGATTGAGAAAAAGTTGAAGGGGTTGTTGTCGACGGTGCTGGGGTCGGCAAATTGGTCGAAATCGTTGGGGAAGAGAGGTAGAGAAGTATCCTGGATGGTTTCTGTGGTAGAGTTTCTTGGTGTTGGGAGACCCCCTGAGCCTTGGGTAGGTGTGGCTTGCCTTCGTGAGATCGGGGTGTCAGGCTTGGGAGTAGGTGGCTCGGCAAGGAGTGGATGATATTGCGGTATGGGGATTGGTTCTTGGTTTCTTGGTTCTCGTGTTGTCAAGGATATGGCTGGGGCGTCGAGGTTGTATTGCATGACCTGGAAGAAGGTGCTGGAGGCGCCAGACTGCATTTTAATGGCGGCTTCGATGTTGGCGAACTCTTGGTCTGCGGCCGGATAGATATCCTTGAGACAGTGCAGCACTTGAATACAACGGTGGAAATTGTATACACTGCTTTCGCGGACAGCCGGATTGTCGGACATGGTGTTGGTTAAATGTGCCACGGCAGCGGGTAGAATCACAGTGACCCCGGATTGTGGCAGGAACCGCGTCAGATTGAGTTGATTCAACCCCTGTATAATATGTGTGATTCCGCTGGCAGCATCGTGCATTTTAATGCGGGCAGTGTTGCACAATTCAGTGCGTGTTTTGGATTGATCCTTCGAGGCGACTGCCCAAGGCCGGTGAAGTGCACTACTTGTAGCATGATAGAGCATACGCAACATTGCGCCATGGAGCAAGAGCACGTCCTCTCCATCACGGAAATTATTCTTCGTTTTCGGTATAAATTGAGCATCTTTGGGGAGAGTACTGAGCCATGAGTCGAGCTTCTGACCGCATCGCGCAAACTCAGACTCTGAAGCTTGTCGAGGAACGAGGGTGACAGTTGTCCGATTCGTGGCGCCAAATTGGCGTTGCGAAGGTGTGTATTGGGCAAACAATACCCTGCCAATACCCTGACAAAGCTTCATCTTTTCAATAAACATAATAGAGAGACGTTTTTGATGTGACACATCTTCCAATTGGCGGCAGCGGAAATTGGAAATAACGGATGGAGCGAAGGGTTCAAAGTCGAAGTCGTCTAGCCTGAGCATAGGCACGTTGCTTGTACCATCATTGACTTGAAGTGGGCGACGCATACCCATAGCAATGAGTCGGTCTCGGGAGTACAGGCACCACCAGAGCCGAGCGCGGAGTCGTCGAGTCCTTACGTCCATATCGCCTGATGCAGGGTCTTTGTTCAACCCGATCGATTGTGCCTGTGTGTTGCATACACCAATCCAATCCCAGATGTCTCGCTGTGGGCTGTTCTCCGGATCAGACCAGTAGGTCATCAGTAGTAAAGTTTGTAGAATCACAATTCGGTCCTCTTCGCAGTCAAGAGAGTAGAGTAGCTATATATGGGTTAGCTGGGCTCGAATTTTTGATCACTGGTACACACACCCTTAAGCGAGTGAAGAACGCACTCCGCGCGCTCTTTCGCGTCGAATATCCCGCATCCTGCAGATGTTTAAGATCGACAAATGCCGTGCCGACGAACATCACTGCCTGAAACAGCAAAATGCTAACATTTCCCTCCGGATCATTTTCTGCCACACATCGCAAGAATTCCTGCAAGTTCAAGACCGGCATAAAACTATGCACCCACTGAATATAACAGCGAAGCAGTTCATCCCGCAGACCGCTCTCCGGTAGTGAGAGCGCACCACGAAATCGCAGGAATTCCAAATCTTCCGGGGCGATGCGAGCTGGCAGCGGCTTCAAAAACCGAGGCTCATCGTCCAACATCGCCGTCAACGGATCGAAGTCTGGGTCAATCAGATCCTGCACGGCAGACACCATATTCGCCAGCGGTAGGGAATGCTGCACACCAGGGGTCCCTAATGTGCGCCATCCGCCAGGAGGTTTGCCCTCATATAGCCATGGGGCCTGCGGATCATATCCAGACAGGCTATGGCGCTTGGCCGTCGACTCCAGGCCGGACTCTGCACTCAGTGACTTGCGCTTCAGAGCCTGCGCCCGGTTATCGGGGGTTGAAGCCATTGCCTCTCATATAGGAGATGTTCCTATTATGGTAGGAGAGATGACGATATGGTACCGGGAAGACCGAATCAGAGGATGGCCAAAGATTCAGGCGGTGGCCGGAACTGGGGGGAGATGTGGGGAGCCCGTTTTGCGGAGACCAACCTTGGCGCCCGGGGAAATCGCCACGTTGGATCGGCATTTGTTGATGGCAATTGGTTGTGTAGGTGATAATCATTTATCCACTCGATAGACAAGGTTGGCCAAGGTGGTAAACACCATTTGTTGGACTCAACGCAATATATATACCGCAAACACCATTAGAGTCTCACAAACAAAAGAACAAGACTAGGTCACTTTTCTCAGGGTTAAAATGTAATCGGGAGTCCAAAGCGGATCTATAGATTGTAACAGATTCTCTTTTTAAGCATAAACATGGCACCGCTCAGATCTGCCACCAATCCCATCCTAGATATATGAGCGTCTACTTTAGTCTCACCACTGCAGAACTTCTGAGGAGTATTAATAAGGAGTTTCAACTCACTGATCAGCTTGAACATATAAATTTATATTATCCTACCAAAGTACTTCCAGCATGTGCCGTAGATATTTATAGCAATAATGTTCTGGAGGTTGATCTGTGATTGATACTCTAGAGATGGTCACGGCCTCATGTGCAAAACTATTGTCGGGATGGTTTCATTGCACATAATCGCTGCTATTAGGTTGGATGTTGCACACTGTTCTTCAGTGAAAGATCATTCTCCTGCCTGTACGGTGAAGGTTCTTAACATTGGAGAAGATGTCATAAACCAAGTATAATTTTTTATTTCGATATATCTAGTAAATTGCCACGTGAAAGTGGTGGCAATTTCGTCGTAAGGGTACCCATATATATTTACACATATATTGACGACATTTTGTGTAGATGGGAAGCCAGGGAAATACGACTCGATTGAAGGTGGACTGTCATATGAAATTTCTTGCTAAATATGAAACGTAAGGTTTCAAGTCTACATTATGGCCACTGCAACCCAGCTTATTCTATGGGTTCATTCTGCACCAGCCGCTGTCACATATTGAAATCCATGTCTTTCCTTACGCCCCCATGACCCGGGGACGACTAGCCGAGTCTAGATGCGCCGGTTTTGTACCACATGGCCCATCACCAGCGAGTAACCTCCTCAAGCAAGGCATTGAAGGAATCTTGGAAAGCCCATGTGTCAAGGCACAGGGCACATACGATAGAGCAGTAATGGATTCAAACCACACTGGACACCCAGTAATGGCAAATTCCTGGTATTCATGAAACAGGAGCAAAACATGCAAAAGGATACATGCCCTTCCAATAAACTATTGTACAAATTATCCAATCGAAAACCACCGAGCGAAATGTCTATTCATGTGTTTCCTTTGACCGACGCCGTATGCTTCGACAGGATTGAAAAAGGGAGGTCCGAGTCGTCCCACCGGAGGTATAAAAGGCGTAAAGATTTTACATGCTGCGTCGAGTCAGAGGCTGGTCATTGGGAAGGGACTGATGGGTGCGACTTACGGAGGGAGGAGGAACTCTCCGAGGCTGCTGTGGAGGAATGCAACACCGGCCTAAAATGAATATGTTAGCTGGTCTTATTGCCTGATGTAATGATGATGGAGTCGAACGTACACCGAAGATCAGGAGGCTGCGGACAATGGTCTTGTTCTCGGGGTTGGTGGCCTCATCGTAGACGGTGCTGACGAAGCCCTTCTGGGCGCGGCCAGAGCCGGAGTGGACGATGCGCTGGTTGGGGGCCATTGTGTGTGTGATGGAGGAGCAAGAAATGAGAACGTGAGTTGATGTTGTTGTTGAAGGTGATGATCGGACGTCGAGAAATCTGCGGACTCGGAACGGGCTTGGCGTCACTGCGTCTTTAGCTCCCGCGCGCAACCGTATATCTTTGCCCGCGTGAATGCGACAGCGCCTGCAGTGATCTTGACGTGATTCATTCTATTTCAGCTGTTTTTGCGCGTCTATTCTTCGTTCTCTCTTTAGAAATTCGCGTGAAGGACTCGAAGTCCCAGTGTTGCCTCGCGAACAGGCATCCTATCGCAACCATGAACGTCGACGAGCTCTTCAAAGTGAGTTTGAGAGAACCCTTCAGGCCATTTGCATATCTGACATAATAGAAACCTTCCTCTGGAGGCAATGGAAAGCGCAAGTTCGAGCCTCTCCAAGATCCCAGTACGTCTCCCCTCGCAAAGACGCCGATCGCAAACCTCTAACAATACAACAGACGAAGTTTACAAGTCAGCGAAGCTAGATTCGAATGGCGATGCGCGTTCGAAAGGAAAGGCACCCATGGTTGAAGATGAAGCCGACGACGGCGAAGCTGGACCCGAGCTCCCTCCGGACTTCGACCAGGAGGACGTGCCAGATGACGAGGAGGGACGTTTCTTCGGCGGTGGAATGGACCGAAAGACAACACAGGCAATGGAATACATTGATCAGCAAGAGGAAGACGAAACTGCGGTATGGACAATTTGCTCCATGAACACTGGCCAGGTGCTGACTCTCATCTAGCCCGAGAAGTTCGACTCCGCATGGGTACGCCGTTTCGCATTGAACTTTGAACGGAAGATCTCGAGGAATGCCGAATTGCGGGCGAAGTTCGAAAGTGATCCTCAAAAGTACGTGAAAAGGGCGAGATATTTGTGCTGGTGCTGATTGAGTTAGGTTCATGATTTCCGAGGCCGACCTCGACACTGAAATCAAGGGCCTGTCGATCCTATCTGAGCATTCTGAGCTCTACGAAGAGTTTGCGAAGATGGGATGCGTTGGCTCCTTGATTTCTCTCTTGTCGCATGAGAATGCTGACATTGCGATTGATGCCATTCAAATCATCAGTGAACTAACAGACGAGGACGTGGACGCCGAGCAAGAGCAATGGGATGTTTTAGTGAATTCCATGGTATGTGGAACTCCCAATGTTATTGGGCAACTACTTACTAGTTATAGATGCAAGCCGATCTCATTGAATTATTGGCTCAGAATCTCTCACGACTCGATGAAGCATCAGAGACGGACAGAGCCGGAGTATACTATGTGCTAGGTCGGTCATAAAGCCCAGAGATGAAACGATTGCTAACCAAAACAGGTGTATTGGAAAACCTTGCTTCCCAAACCTCCCACGCCGAGACTATTGGACAGGATGGTTCAATCCTACCATGGATTCTCTCCCGTATTCAAAAGAAAGAAGCCGTTGTCAGTCAGAACAAGCAATATGCTGCTGAAATATTGGCAATTCTTCTACAGTCATCACCAAAGAACCGCTCCAAGTTTATCGAGCTCGATGGTATCGATGTTCTTCTCCAATTGCTCAGCGCTTACAGGAAACGTGACCCAGCGAAAGACTCTGACGAAGAAGAATATGTCGAGAACCTGTTTGACTCTCTTATCTGCCTCGTCGAAGAAGACGTCGGCAAGGAGAAATTCGTGGAAAACGAGGGCATTGAACTAGCGTTGATCATGCTCAGAGAGGGCAAGTTCAGCAAGTCTCGCTCACTGAGGGTACTTGACCACGCTCTAGGTGGAGTCGGAGGTGCTCCAGCATGCGAGAGATTGGTGGAGGCGGCTGGCCTGAAGACCATTTTCGGGATGTTCATGAAGAAGGTATATTTCTCTATGCCCGTAGCATTGGCTAAACTAACATCCATCTAGCAAGAGGGCCAAAATATCGAGCACTTCTTGGGAATCTTTGCTTCCCTTCTGCGTCTTCTGCCTGGTGGCTCCGCACCACGCATCCGGACACTAGCAAAGTTTATGGAGAAGGACTACGGAAAGATTGAAAAGCTCGTCAAGCTGAGGCGTGAATACGCGGCGCGCGTGTCACCTGTAGAAGAGGCTATCGTGAAAGAGCGTAGAACCTTTGACAAGGAAGAGCAAGAACTTATGGCCGGTGAATGGCTGTCAAGGCGATTCGATGCTGGTCTGTTCTCATTACAGGTATGTTTCTCTCGCACAAATACTATTCCCTGCTAAACATGTAGACTATCGATGTTATCTTGGCATGGCTTATTGCGGAGGATGATGGAGCCAAGCTGAAGATTCTTGCACTTCTCGCGGACCGCGATGAAGACCTATCTCTGGTTCGCAGCACACTACAGGGTAAGATGTATGCGCCTCTACCTTTGGACAAAGCTAATTTTCGCAGAACAACTAGAAGGACTTGGGGGGAGGAACCTGGTCAGAAAGACTTCAGGGATATGCTTAGCACACTTCTTCAGTTTGTTTAAGCGATGCAACCTCTTGCATTAAATATAATCTACAATCAATCAACCCTTGAATTCTTAACATAACGCGCAAGTGATTATAATATATGCGACTGAACCATAGTTTGTCTACCTTGTACTCCGAGGCGGTGAGAGCAATTTCACGTGATGGAGACCCGAACAGGACTAGCGTCTGGCTAGCGGGCTCAGAAGCATCAAGAGTCTGGAGATCAGTCCCTTCATCTCATCATTGTCGGGGAGTTTCTTTTCCATCCCTTTCAGATTGTCAGGCTCCACAACGCATCTGCCTCTGACATTCTGATTCCTGCCGACATCAACCTCCATCACCGACAGGCGGGCTTGCAGCGCGTTGGGTGATTCTTCAGATCGTGCACCTGGCCGACGCGCCTCCCTTCGTTTTTTCAGATCAACGCCTTCTTCCATCCGCCTCCGACCTGACCAGGTCGCCTCCGATCGCCACCATGGCGGACTACGACGAAGCCTACGAGGAGGAGTTTTACGATGATGCGGACGAGGGCATCACCTCCGAAGATTGCTGGACCGTGATCTCTTCGTTTTTTGACTCGAAGGGTCTTGTGTCTCAGCAGCTAGACTCATTCGACGAGTTCATTTCTTCGACAATGCAGGAACTTGTGGAGGAACAGGGACAGGTCGTTCTCGATCAAACTCTCCCCCTCAACGAAGACGATATCGACCCCGTCGTTGTGCGCCGATATGAGCTCAAATTCGGAACTGTCATGCTTTCGCGACCATCAGTCACAGAAGGCGATGGTGCGACCACGATCATGCTGCCGCAAGAAGCGCGTCTCCGAAACCTCACCTACGCTTCCCCTCTCTACCTCGGCGTAACAAAGAGGGTTATGGAAGGTCGCGAGCGATCATCCAATCCCGATGACGATGATGCGAATGAAGGCGAAGGCGATCAGAAGAACCGCGGCACATACCTCCAGTGGGAGCAGAAGCACTTGGAGGGTGGTGGAAAGGAAGAGACGGTTTTCATAGGAAAGATGCCCATCATGCTCAAGTCCAAGTACTGTATCTTGAAGGATCTGAACGAGGCGTCTCTTTACGCCTGGAATGAATGCCCCTACGACTCTGGTGGTTACTTCGTTATCAACGGCAGTGAAAAGGTGTTGATTGCACAGGAGCGCAGTGCTGGAAACATCGTCCAGGTCTTCAAGAAGGCCCCTCCCAGTCCCACGCCCTACGTTGCTGAAATTCGAAGTGCCGTCGAAAAGGGCTCGCGATTGCTTTCTCAGCTTTCTCTGAAGCTCTTCGCCAAAGGAGACAGTGCCAAGGGTGGATTTGGTCCGACGATTCGCTCGACTCTCCCATACGTTCGCGCTGATATCCCGATCGTCGTCGTTTTCCGTGCGCTGGGCGTCGTGTCCGACGAGGATATTCTGAACCACATTTGTTACGATCGCAATGATACTCAGATGCTGGAGATGCTCAAGCCTTGTATCGAGGAAGGCTTCGTCATTCAGGACCGTGAAGTGGCCCTTGACTTCATTGCTAAGCGTGGCTCATCACAATCAAACCTGAACCACGATCGGCGTGTAAAATATGCCCGGGATATCATGCAGAAGGAATTGCTGCCTCACATTTCGCAAAGCGAGGGCAGTGAAACCCGCAAGGCATTCTTCCTGGGATACATGGTGCACCGCCTTCTCCAGTGTGCTCTGGGTCGTACCGATGTCGATGATCGTGATCACTTCGGAAAGAAGCGTCTTGACTTGGCTGGACCCCTTCTGGCCAATCTTTTCCGTGTTCTTTTCACCCGAGTGACCCGTGACCTTCAGCGCTACGTGCAGCGCAGCGTCGAGACCAACCGTGAGATTTATCTTAACATTGGTCTCAAGGCGGCTACACTCTCCGGTGGTCTGAAGTATGCTCTTGCCACTGGAAACTGGGGTGAGCAGAAGAAGGCCGCCAGTGCAAAGGCTGGTGTGTCCCAGGTGCTGAGTCGTTACACTTTCGCCTCTTCATTGTCCCATTTGCGACGTACCAACACACCCATTGGCAGAGATGGAAAGATCGCCAAGCCACGTCAACTACACAATACCCATTGGGGTTTAGTCTGCCCAGCTGAGACACCTGAAGGTCAAGCTTGTGGTCTTGTCAAGAACCTGGCACTCATGTGCTACATCACTGTTGGTACGCCGAGTGAGCCCATCATTGATTTCATGATTCAGCGAAACATGGAAGTGCTCGAGGAGTTTGAACCTCAAGTCACGCCAAATGCCACCAAGGTGTTTGTCAACGGTGTTTGGGTTGGTATTCACAGAGACCCTTCGCATCTTGTGGCTACCATGCAGAACCTTCGTCGACGAAACATGATCTCGCACGAAGTCAGTTTGATTCGTGACATTCGTGAGCGTGAATTCAAGATTTTCACCGACACAGGTCGTGTGTGCCGTCCCTTGTTTGTTATTGACAACGATCCCAAGAGCGAGAACTCTGGCGGATTGATTCTCAACAAAGAGCACATTCGCAAGCTTGAGCAAGATAAGGACCTGCCGACCGATATGGATCCAGAAGAACGTCGCGAGGCTTACTTTGGATGGGATGGTCTGGTTCGCTCTGGTGCAGTTGAATATGTCGATGCCGAAGAAGAGGAGACCATCATGATTGTCATGACACCCGAAGATCTCGAGATTTCTCGGCAACTCCAGGCTGGTTACGCCCTTCCCGAGGACGAGACCAATGACCCCAACAAGCGTGTTCGCTCGATTCTCAGTCAGCGTGCCCACACCTGGACCCATTGTGAGATTCACCCGAGTATGATCTTGGGTGTTTGCGCCAGTATCATTCCTTTCCCCGATCACAACCAGTCTCCTCGTAACACATACCAGTCTGCTATGGGCAAGCAAGCCATGGGTGTGTTCTTGACGAACTTTGCACAGCGTATGGAGACCATGGCGAACATTCTCTACTACCCTCAGAAGCCCCTGGCCACTACTCGTTCCATGGAGTTCCTGCGTTTCCGTGAATTGCCCGCCGGTCAGAACGCTATCGTTGCCATTGCCACCTACTCTGGATACAATCAGGAAGATTCCGTCATTATGAACCAGAGCAGCATCGACCGTGGTTTGTTCCGCAGTCTGTTCTACCGAACATACACGGATACCGAGAAGATGGTCGGACTTTCGGTGGTTGAGCGCTTCGAGAAGCCCATGCGGACTGACACCATTGGTATGCGCAAGGGTACTTATGACAAGTTGGATGACGATGGAATCGTTGCTCCAGGTGTGCGTGTTTCTGGAGAAGATATCATTATTGGAAAGACTGCACCCTTGGCCCCTGATGCTGAAGAGCTCGGCCAGCGTACCAAGGCACACACCAAGATCGACGTGTCTACACCACTCCGAAGCACTGAGAACGGTATTGTCGACCAGGTGTTGATCTCGACTGGTAACGATGATCTCAAGTTCGTCAAGGTCCGCATGCGTACCACCAAGATCCCCCAGATTGGTGACAAGTTCGCCTCTCGTCACGGTCAGAAGGGAACTATTGGTATCACTTACCGCCAGGAGGACATGCCCTTCACTCGTGAAGGTGTGGTTCCCGATCTGATTATCAACCCCCACGCCATTCCTTCTCGAATGACCATTGCCCATTTGATCGAGTGTCAATTGTCCAAGGTCTCGGCTTTACGTGGTTTCGAGGGTGACGCTACTCCTTTCACCGATGTCACTGTCGACTCGGTTTCCCGTCTGTTGCGTGAGCACGGCTATCAGTCTCGTGGATTCGAGGTTATGTACAACGGACACACCGGTCGCAAGATGGTTGCCCAGGTCTTCCTTGGACCAACTTACTACCAGCGTCTCCGCCATATGGTCGACGACAAGATCCACGCCCGTGCCCGTGGTCCTACTCAGATTCTGACCCGCCAGCCTGTCGAGGGTCGTGCTCGTGATGGTGGTCTCCGTTTTGGAGAGATGGAGCGCGATTGTATGATCGCCCACGGTGCCAGTGCATTCTTGAAGGAGCGTCTGTTCGATGTGTCGGATCCGTTCCGTGTTCACATTTGTGACGACTGTGGTCTGATGACTCCTGTCGCGTAAGTTCCTCCCTCTTTGATATCTGTTTATACATACTGACTCCTTGTAGCAAACTCAAGAAGGGTCTCTTCGAATGTCGCCTGTGCAACAACAAGCACCGCATCTCGCAAGTGCACATTCCCTACGCCGCCAAGCTTCTGTTCCAAGAGCTGGCCTCCATGAACATTGCCGCCCGGATGTTTACCAACAGGTCCGGGGTGTCGGTGCGGTAATTCTGGGGTTTCTTATCTGTATTTTAATGATCTGCGAAAAATGCGCATATTCTGGCCTGTTTCTGCGGCGTCTGGGGGGTTCGCATTTGAAACTTAGTTCTTCGGCCATACATAGTTGAATCACATCGTGCACATCTGTCAGTATATCAATTTGTACTCTGTAGTCTACATAATCATAGACTCCGTCCATTCCATTTTGTGTCTGACCTACCCTGATAATCCTGAACTATACACCCATCCCATATACACATCACCTAACCTCCTCCCTCTTAATCAAAGCAATACCATCCTCTTCCTGCTTAACATGAATCCCACTCATCTCCTCAACAGTCGGCTTCCTAGCCCAAACCCTCCTCCTAAAATTCGTCAGCAATCAATCCAACAATCCCATAAGAATAAGAAAAGATAAAACCCACGTATGCTGAAACATATGCAAATGAGGATCCTTCAACTCCTTCCTCGCCTTAGCAACAAGAACCTGCACTTCCTCTTTAGTCCAAGGCTTCGGAAGCCCCCATTTAGTAAGAATAAACATAGCCCACCCCTCCATCCCAGTAGCCCAATGATGATAATGCAACCGACCCGCCTCTTTGAGTGTAGCATCACGCGCCCACGGCCCGATAGGACATCGATAGCTCTTTTCATGGATATCTACGAACCCGGCCTTTTCGAGCCCGGATCGCATTGTGCGCACTGTGTCTAGCGGGTGATTCCAGTTCTCTGCTGCGTCTAGTACTCGCTCGCTGAAATTCGGTGTGTATGCGTTTGGCGGGAGGCTGTTGTCGCTGCAGCTTATTCTGGGGTCCATTTCTAGGTGTTCAATCCAGGAGCCGGGTTTTAGGTTGCTTTTGCTTTTGTTAGGGCTTGGACGGGGAGGGAATGGGGTTAATGGCAGGGGTAGGTGGTGCGCTTACTCGTAACAATGCTTGTATACGATATCCCATTCATCCGGTGTGAACGAGCCTAGCATGTGTCGTAGGTGGATCAGATCGAATGGGTCGCGCCAGGTCCATTCTTGGAGGATGTCGTCTACTTCCATTATGCAGTTTGGGGGGAACCAGTCTCCTGGTGGGGGAAAGAGGTCTACGCCTCGGACGATTGCTGTATTTGTTAGCTTTGATGTCATATTGGAGTTTGAAGACTTACTCTCTGGGAATAGATCTGCTGTGTCGCTGCTGTTTGTTAGTTTGGATACATGTATCATGGATGATGGGAATGCGTACACGGCCCAACTCCCTCGGCCTGTTCCTATGTCTAGGATGTGCTGAATTGGTGAGCTTTGGTTTTTTTTTGTGAAGGTTGATAGATACATACCTTGGGATTTTCAACCGGTGCATAAAAAAGCGGATTTTTCCTGTGCGAGTCTAGGATTATCGCGATGAGATGCCTGTCGGGGTCAGCTTTGGTCTCCAGTATAGCGAGTAGACAGACCCTGCCTCTAGACTCTCCCACTGCTGTTCATCTGATGGAAACCTATAAAATAGGTTAAATTTATTCAATGACCTTGCTGCATGGTATATACCAGGATCTTCCCTCCTTGACAACTTGGTAGCTATGCGTAGTTAGCGGGTGCCCCTGGATTGATATCACAGCCCATACCGTCTCCCATTTTCGAAGACCCCGCGATAGATGGTTGATGCGAGGGAGGTTGTTTCTCTAATGGATCAGATCAGATCAAATATATCCTCAGTCGGTGGAGATATCTCACGATTCAAAATCCCCTGGTTTATACGGCCGAGTGTCATAACAGTCGGTATCCTGGCATTGTTAGTCCGGGAGGCGCACGCGGCCTTTGCGGCTTACTTACGACCTCGAGTATGTCCGACATGTTGTATTGGATTGGCTGAAGTCAAATTTATATTAAAGTGCGAAAGATACGCACATTCTCGTGGGCGGATCCCCTGAAACTAAGCTTGAACTCTGTTAAGAGTTTTCTTTGTTCACATCCACTCAACAACGCGATGTCCACTTGACATGAGGCTTGTTGGCCTATCTAGGATCTGTAGGCATCGGGTGATAATCCGAGTCCAATCTTTTTTTTTGGCGGAAATACGTCCCACTTAAGTGTGTTCTACTATGCGGTATACTTTGTCCGCTATAAAGTACGGGATGTATGATCTGTGCGATGTCATATGTTCTTTGTGTTTGTGTTTGTGCTTGTACTTGTACTTGTACTTGTACTTGTGCTATGTAATATGTACGAATATGTAATAAGTGCTATGACATGCCCTCCATGCCCCAAGGCTTCTAAGACCTGCATGCGCCGTCACTCCGTCAGCCCACTTCCGCCTTCTGACTGGCTTTCGACTTCCCGTCTCTGGTCTCGGCACATTCCTACAAGTTGAGAATTCAGAATTGAAAATTGTGAGGGTGGGAACTGAATTATCCGAGATGAACGAGTATGGGATATCGAGTGTGTGTCCAGGTATTCTGCCTGCCTGTCTGCCTGTCTGTTTGGTGACTGCGCAACCACCACCACCGCCATCAACAACAACCAACCAACAACCAACAACCAACGACTAACACAGAGATATACTGCGCAACAGTCTCGACTCTTAATAGCCTCTTCTTTCCTTGGTTGAGGCTGACTTGTCTTCACAAAACTCTCCCCTCACTTGGTCTGACTCCAGCGCGAAATCATGGCCCATCATTGGCCACCGCCACGAGGGTATCTCATCACTGCGCACCACCGCATTGAACCAACCAACTTCGCCAAATAACCGCCCAGTCGAGTCTGTACGACAATTCTGCAGGCTCTGTGGTCAACTTGACTTAAAAGATGCCATAGCCACCCTAGGCGGATTTCTTTCTTCTTTCCTTCAGCGAGCGTTTGTTGTGTTAGTGCTGCATATTCGATCGATCCTGGCACTGGTTGCCCGATCTTTTTTCTTTCTTTCTATACTATCTTAATTCTTCTTTCAACTTTACTCAAACGAGCTGTGCTCTTTGAGATTCTGCCTTGCTTCGGATCTTTCGACTTTTATACACAGGATTACAGCTTGTCGCCGGTCGACCAGTTCTACTTCCTCAGTTTCTATTACAACAAACCAACTTAATTAATCTCGCTCGATTATCTTCATTTCGTGGACCGGTTCCCGAAAGAGTCTTTATCAGCACAACGAACTCTGGTAGTCTCGTTGTCCCAACTATACGATACTCTTTCACCTCTACGATTTATTCAAGTTACTACATTTGTTCATTATGGCCGCCGTTCAACTCAAGTTCTCCCTCCGGACCTCGTCCAACGTCAAGACCGTCCACCTCGTCGGCTCCTGGGACAACTACCAGCGCCAAATTCCCCTCTCCGCAGAGGAGAAGCCCGGCGCCTGGGTCGGCAAGTTCCGCTTCCAGACCTCAATGCTGCAACTCGGAGGCCGCTACTGGTACTACTACATCATGGACGGCTACCACGTCTCGCACGACCCAGCTGTCGAGCACACCGTCGAGCCAACCACCGGCCGCAAGCTCAACATCCTCGACGTTCCCGGCGGCAAGTCTACCAGCTCCAGCACCCGCAAGCCCCGCGCCAGCGTCGCCACCGGCCGTGCCCTGTCCCCCTCGCGCATCCACCACCCCAAGCCCTCCAAGCCCTACGCTTCCCGCCAACTCCGCGAGGCTGACTTCGCACCCACCGTCGACGACTTGACCCGCCGCTTTGCCGGCTCTCGTCTGTCCGATGAGTACTCCTATTCCAACTCGCCTCCCAGCTCTGCCGGCTCCAGTTTGTCTTCCCGCTCGTCTGGATCGACTTCGCCATCGTCGCTCTCGTCTATGAGTGACCCGCCTGTGCAGTGCCGCTGTGAGCGCTACGGCATTACCCGCAAGGGTGACCGTGTCAAGCTTGACTGCGGTGGTTCCCGCTGCGGCTATCTCACCGAGTCTTCCGATGATTCTTGCTCCGAGTCTGAGTATGAAAGTGATGAGGAGTACTGCCGTGCTCGCAACGCTGCTCGTCGCCAGGGTATTGTTGTTCGTCGGTAAATTGCTACCTTGGGGTCTGGATATGGTTTTTGACTGAGATCTGGATCTTGTGTTGATCTGTCTGCGCTTGACTATAAGGTCATTGCGTTTTGATTTTTGGAAATATGAAAAAGAAAAAAAAAGCCCGTAACCGCGGGTGAACCGGTTTCACGCCGCGGTTGGGCGGGGATGATAATTGTGAGATGCGAAGAGGTGAGGAGAAGTGAAGAAGAGAAGAAGAAGATATCGACGTACTCCTACATCGATATACCGACAACACCACCTGGATCTGATCCAGCAAAAGTGGACGCCGACAAACTTATCTTGAACCGGTCAAGATACCGCAACCCGGCACAAGCTATAAGATCCGACAATATTCGCATGGACATGAACATGGATATCAATTCCAGAGTTTATATCCATCCAGCGAAGCATGAATCGGCATCTCAACGTCAATACAACCAAGGAAATCACATATCTTGATGTGATGCGCCTGTTTCTCGGCGCGAGCTTTGGTTTAGATAGATCTTACTCGAGATGCCATGAATTACGAGATATGATCTGCAATTCTTTCATATGCGTAAAAGTAGCTTAGTACATTGTATTTTGTAAAATGTAGATGGTAGCTCTTAAATTAGTTGGCTCTCTATGTAGGGACTATGGACATCTTTGGTATATAACAGGGGTCTTGTCTCCTGTCAAGCCCTCAGCTTTATATTATCTGGGAGGCTATTCCCAGGAGAGCCTTCTAAGTTAAGTAAGAGAATTTCGACACAGGGCCATAGGATACATACACCGGTGGCCTTGAGGTAGCTCAAGATAGTGTCGAGAAAACATCAATGCCCTTAGCGGTCTTGCGAGATAGCTGACGGGCCTGATAAAGTCATTGCAGTCAACCCCTGAAAGAGAGTGTGCTGCTAGAACACGTGTGACACAATTGCCGAAGACGTCTGACCTCGGAGGAGGTCTTGTGAGATTCCAACCTCATATCACATCCCCACAGAACCGATAATGAATGACAAATGGAACCCAAGCAGCTCAATATCCTTTTGGCCATCAAACGACGGTCTTTCAACGCGAGACACGGCCGAAAAAAGATGATTGAAAACTGGCTGACGATACCACAAGGCTGCTGATAGCATAAGATAGCTCTACTCTCTAAGCATCGGTACACGAGAGGTAAGCGAATGGCGGCTCGGTGATAAACCTGGATTACTCACGGTGTCTCTGGCGCAGTAGATATGAAAGGGACGTCCTTTGCACTTCGAATAAACCTAGTGTGATTGAGTCTTGATCGGATATCTTCGCTACAAGGGAGCTGGACCAATTTCGAGCGCATCATCTTTCCGTACTCGTTTTGTGAGGCGATTTTGGCTCTCATCCTGAAGACGAGGCATCTATTTTTTGATATTAGAAATATGAAATAGAGAGAAAGCAACGAAGAGGGGGAAAGGAAAGAGATTCATAATAGAGCATATTATATCTGATCAAGAATCACATATATACTTAATGGATGACTATATAAAGAAGAAGGAAAAGAAGGGGGCGAGAAGGTCAAATGAGGGAGGGGTATTTATGAATAGACATCACTTTACAGTGACAAGCGACAATTGAAGTTTGTTTGTCTTTGGCAGAGTATGAATGAAGTTAAGGAATGTATCTTTGACTGCTTAGTGAATGTGTATCGTTTCAGCCATTCACATTCCATGATTATTCATGTAGTTCGCAGTAGACTGTAACACGAAAAGAATAGCATTAGCAGAGCTTATCTGGTTTAGCTCCAGCATCAAATTTAATCCAAGTAATATTGATAGCTATTGAAAGGCACATATATGCCGGTAAAGTATAGGAAATATCTAATTGAAGGCTGTTGTTTGAGGTCCTTTCCCAATAATTGTCTCCAAGAAATCGAATCCCTCCCTTTGCAACCACCAGGTCTTCGAGCCAACCTTCATGAGCATCGCAAAAGTATGTTCCTCCCCAGGGACCTCGGTCATGCCACACTGTACACCAGCTTCCTTCAATCGTCCGTACAATTCACGACTAAGCCCAATAGGAACCATTGTATCTGCAAGGCCATGGACGATCCACGTAGGAGGGAACTCAGCACTAACATTCTTCACCGGGTCAATCCGGTCCATTCCTGGGTCTGTAGTTCTGCTTTCTGGGTAGATAGCGTCCATAACAGTTCCATTGGCAATCTGAGTGAAAGCGAAGGCGTCGCGTGGTCGGGAGAAATTGGGACCTTTGCTTCCTCCAGCTTCGGATTGGCCTTCTAAGGAGACAGAGCTGTCTGTTGGTACTGGGATTTCCTGATATACTTGAGAGAGGAATGCTGGGTCCATGTTTGGAGGGAGTTTTGCGGCGACGTGGGGAAGAGGTGTTTTCCAGAATGGGTCTGTGAAGTGGACTGCGCCATAGAGAGATAGAATCGCTTTGACTGATTTCGAAACATTGAACCCCTGGGGTCTCAGTTAGCGCCGGTGTTTCTTTTGATGGAATGTATGTATAAAGTGACATACCAGCCCCAGAGCTAGAGTTCCACCAGATGATGTGCCGAATGTAGCGATGTTGTCAAGATCGGCGCTGTATGCTTCATGACTAGAAAGCTCTTTGTCCAGATGCCCGTCATGGATCCAAGTCAACAAGTCGCGTATATCTTGCATTGGTCCTTCGAGGATATTCACTCCCGGACATAGCCTGTGGTTTGGAACTAGCACGATCCAGCCACGTTCGAGGCAGTCTTGCACCTGAGGAAGGGAGACCATGCGTGAATGGCCGAGCATAAAGGCACCGCCATGAATGTCAATTACTGCTTTATGTTTAGTGATGGTACTTATGTTGGGGTTGACGTGGTACTCACACACAGGGTATTTCTGTGGTGACGACGAGGATGTGGGCGGGATGTATACATCTGTGGTGATTTTGCTGCCATTGACCTCTTTGTAGATAACAGTTAAGGGATTATCGAGAGACATGATGTTTGCGTGAAGAACAAATGCCTGACGCGCGGTTCTTATGCAGTGCGGGGACGGAAATCCCAAAACTGGGGATCTCGGCTTTTCCGAATCACCTCGGATAGCTCCATCGCTTATACACGCTCTTTTTATTGTTTCGCTAGTTGTTGATTTTTCGAACGGCCTAAGTCTTCGAGACCCAAGCCTTTAATGCGCTTCAGAGAGTATTTTGCATTTATCCTAGAATATATAATGTCGACTATATATACGTTTGGTTTCTCTCAGTAGGATCTTTGATGTCGTCTTTATACATCCTTAGGTTTGCAATTTTCTGCCTTATTATCGGCTTCCTTCACAATCATTTTGAAGGCTACCTTACCCTACATCGAGCTAGAGTCCTCTACAAGTGCCTCGTCTATTGGGCTAGTATTGGTAATCGTTCAAAACACTCATATACGAACATGTACGTACACTGAGTATCGTGACAGAACTTGAAACTCCACGAAGCATATAATGTTAATCAGTAGTATTATGTTACCATAAGAGGAAAGGGTGGACTGTAGGGAACTGCTGAAGAATGTGTCTAAATTGCAGCTATGAGCCAAATCCGTCGCATATTACGTGGGCTATGAAAACGCACTATTGAAAGTTAGATACATTTCAAGTAGCTTCAAGCCTACCATCTGTGAAGAAACCAAGCGGCAGTATATGTGAGGCTCGAAGGTAACTTTAGAAGCGTGGTCCAAAGCGGGCCTAACGGTCACGTTCAAGAGTAGCACCAACGATGCAGGTATTATGCTTTCCTACGGTTGGAGTAGGCGCGAATTGCAAGAGAAGAGATATATAACAGTAATTGTCATGTAGCACATGGGATATAGAAACTCCAACTCAATGCAACGTAGAACAATACAAAATGGAGAATGAAGGCCCGGGCTAAGAGTTTAGCGGAAAAACTGATAGGAGATGTGTGCTAGATAGATATAACAATCATCCTCGAAAGTAGCAAAGTACAAACTGTGTATAATTAGTGATAGAGGGGGCATAATCGGGCTCAGCTATCTCAAAAGTCCCGTGGAGTGTGATTTATCCCACTGCAGATTCAATTAGGAAATTGACCAAAATACGGGCGACTTGTCAGGTAATTTGAGCAGACATGTGATCCACAAGCCCGAAAGGCTTAAACAGCGAATCTGTCACTCGAATGTGGGACACTGTGTTCATGTTTCGCCAGGCTATCTGCATCTAACTCGCTTGATTCCTCGAGGTCCGTTTGTGCAAGACCAGCAAAGGAGAACCACACCGCACATCCTTGGATCGAGTGACCCATCTCATGTGACTTTGCAGAGCTGTCTACTCATTGTTCCCAAGTCCAATTGCTGCCCGGAATCTAAGTCATTTCTTCTTTGACTCTACTCTCTCAAGGTTCGCCAAGCCTTTGAGCCGCAATTTGTTTCTACAAGCTCCACCTCTACTTATTACCTGCTTTCACCTTCCTTCTTCCTCTCCCTTTCAACCACCAGATAGCCTCACCCAACTCAACCTTCCCGAAATCCCGACAACCGCGTGTCATTTATAATCACCTCTGCACATCATAATGCCGGACGTGTTCAACAAACTCCCTGAGACCCCTCCCCCAGATGAGGGCCTTGCATTCACTGATTTTCCCGATTTTCTTCATGGAATTCCTTCCTGCCCAGGTCAGCAGCTTGCTAGGTAGAAAAACAGAATCACCCGTGAGCTCTACTCAAACTGCGGTCTCATCGTCCACTAGCAGTCGAACCTCGAGTGGCAGTCCCTCGTCTTTCACAAATTTCCCCTCCGCCACATCTGTGAATATACATGAGCCAAGACGCTCTCAAGATTCCCAAATACATGCAGCTTACGCTTCCTCGGCCAGAGACGGACATCGGGTCTTGACCAGCTGTGACAGCAACCAAAACATCGGCGAGTGCTTTATTCACCAAGATGGGTTCATTAACGAAGCAAGCCGGGTCGGAGGACCATACATTTGCTCCCTGTCCCATGACAGGGTGGAGGCTCTTCGAGTTGTCAACACAATGGGAGCATGTGAGGCCGAGGATAACGGTTTTGATGCCTTTGCCACTGTCCTTGAACTCCACTTCTACGAATCCACATGTGCCGTAAGCTAAAAATTCATCGTGAGGCGCGATGCTATTGTCTGAGCCCAAGGTCGTTACCGAACCGTGAGTGAGACGACCAGTGCTGATTGAGGGCTGGAAGTTCCCAATAGCGCGCACTGATTTGCCGCAGGTGACATGAATCTTTGTATGGCAAAAGCCCTGACTATGGAGGAAACTGCGGATAAGCGCCTTGGTTGTATCGGTATTCGGGGAGGACGGGTCGAGGGCCATACCGACTATGGTATGGCTATTTTCCGGCGATGAACCTCTTCTGAAGCATCCCAGACTTGCAACAAAGGTTATGCCAATTGAATACAGGATATCAAATTGCAGTCTGTCCCAACAGGGAATAATCGGATTATTTGTGACCACCGGAAAAAGCCCTGCGGGAGCTGGATGAGTTCATGGCATCGTGCTGGCTATTGAAAATATAGGGTGACTAGCAAAGGAAGTCATTAGGAGGGATGTCCAAAAGGTGAGAGCAACGACCCAAAAAAGGACTTGGAAAAAGAAACGAAAAAAGAACTGAAAAAAGAGCTAAAAAACGAGCCGAAAGAAGAGCTGAAAGAAGAGGGAAGGGGAGACGTGCAGCAAGAGTGAAGAGTCCTTATAGCAAAACCTGAGGATGGACGTGTTGCAAGACTCAAATATTGAATTGGTTGTTTGTTCGCAAGGCTATGGTCAGTTTTGAAAACGCTGTTGACAACATTGCTTCTGTCAACAACACGCCAAGCAGATTGAGTGATATTTACCTTCCTTTGCTTACGTGGTCTATGTCACTTCTTGAGACCTACAACCTACCTTGTAATCTTTCATGAGGTCTTTCATGAGGGCTTCTCTAGGGACTTTTCTAGGGTCCTTTTTAAGGTCCGTGTGAATACTTTTCATTTGGTCCCTAGCTCTACAAAGGCTATGCTTGATTAGCGTTCAGATGTCAAGCTCGAACTTTTAAAGATCCGCTGTAAATTACCAGAGAAATATAATAAAGAGCAAGCGTTCTGATAAAGTATTTCATTCGCGTGGAAACTTGTACGTTTTCGATGTCATTGTACATTCTTTCTAGATGCTCGTTATACTGTGAAGTTGGTTCAATGCATCTATCGGAGATACAACTAGATATTCGACTAATGGAAATACGAAGAGCTGAAGGATCTACGAAAAAGCACCACGAAACTCTATTTTCATAACGATCTAGAACATCGATCTGTTTAAATAGTTCGAATGCTGTGCAAATATTGTGTATAAAGCTAGATTCCCATAATTTCATCATCGCTATAATGTTAGTTGCCTGGATTATCGAAGACATTTTTGTATTCTCCAGCATTGCCAATGTATAGACTTTGACGTCTAGCCCTAAAGCACGGGGTCGCGGGATGCCGATCTTTTCCGTAGATGACTCATTTCTGAGTCAGCAACGATCGACTACGGCCAATTTGTCCCCTGCGATAGACATTATCGACGCGATCGAACCCCAAGCATTTTATTGTTCATCAAAGACTCGACTGGACAATTATTTAACAGGCTCCGGGGTAAAATTAAACCTCGTTGACGCTCGCCCGACACCTCCAGCACCGAGGCACCGGCCAAACCCAACTCGTCCTGCGACCGCGTCGAAAATGGCACATGGCGCGGAGGACTGCGCAACCGTCCTGGAGCAGTTTGTCCACGATGTGGCGAACCTTCCGGCTGAAATCAACCATTTGATGGAAGAGATCCAGGCCAAGGACAAGGTCATGCAGGAATGTCGCGCCACTATCAACTCGCGCGACGGCAGCATCCAGAAATTCATTAAGATGAACGGCAGTCTGGCGCCGAACCCGAAGGAGGAGCAATACGGAAAGACTATTCTGGAAAACATAGACCAATCTTTCGAACTACAGACCGAGAAGATCCAGCTCAGTGAGAAGGCATGCGTTCTGCTCGATCGCCAAATTAAACGGCTGGACGTGCGCATTCGTGACCTGGTCAACGAGGGCCTCCTCATCAACGACCCTCCTCTCCCATCTCTGTTCGACTCGAAGAACAAATACCGCAATCCGCCCAAGGTCTTCTTCCCTGATTCTACACCCTCCGAAACCCCCGCCTACTCCACACCTCTCAATCCGACCTCTGGAAATGCGAATCCTATTCTAGCTGCTGCCCAGCGCCTTAATCAGTCCACAGCACCCCGCACTCCAGGATCTATCACCCTACCAGGCCAAACCGCAGTGCGCAGCTCGGCACCAGCTACACCAGCCGCTGCAGTCGTCCACCTCCAGCAACGACAGCGCGAGTCCTCCGCCGGAGCAGTGGATAGCAAGCGCCGCAGACTCAACCCAGTCCTCAACACCCTCCCTGTCGCTTCATCAAACCTTCGCCAGTCATCCCTTGGTCCTGGAACGCCGAAGCCCGGCACGCCTGCAGGTAGCCGTGCAGGCAGCGCCGGCCCACGTTCCAGTGTCGGCATCAAGAAGGCACTGACCAAAAAGGTCGCGCCACACCACCAAGTCAAGAAGCTGAAATCCCACCATGGCAAGCCTCTCAAACGTTCTTCCAGTGCAAGTGGTCGCATCAAGACGTCTAAGAAGTCTCCTAATGGCGAGGGCGATGAGGATGATGATTCTATGCTCAGCAGTGCGGATACCTCCGACTCCGATAATGATGCCGCAGGAGACGAGGATATGGATGATGATGACGAGGATGAAGGAAATGAGGACTCCAAGGTCTACTGTACCTGCCGCACGGTCAGCCATGGGGATATGGTCGCTTGTGATAATGATGATTGTCCCTACGAGTGGTTCCACTGGAAGTGTGTTGGGCTTACTCGTGAGCCTGTTGGGACTTGGTACTGTGATGAGTGCCGGCGCACCCTCGGCAAGTAATTTACTCTATTCTGCTTCGTTTTCTATGATTTGCATGACGGTTGATATACCCATGGCGTTTGAGGGAATTTTGTGGTGTTAGGCAGGCCGGGGGTGACCTGTCTCGGAATTCATACCTGCTACCTTTGTGCTACTTGAATTTTACCAATGTCTTATGATATGTTGAACAGAACCAAATTTGTATTCGTCTAATATGACAAATCTGGCTTTTATCCTGTGGCCCCCATCCCGTCCCCAAGTGATGGGACCAAGAAGAAATCCTTCGCAAGATTCCTCCCGTATGTCCAAGCAATAAGCAACAAGCCTCCAATCCAGGGAAAGCAAGTGCCTAACCAAACCAAGTCGAAAACGCCATCGCTATATGCACACATATCCCCGTTTTTTCTTTTCTTACATGCAAACGTGTTGGCACACAGGAACATTGAGTGCACCGAAATCAGAAATTCGTGGTTGATACCCACTTAGAAACCGAGCCCGTTGCTCAGCCAGGGGTCGAAGTACTCGCATGTCTCCGGGCTGACTGCACCACCGGGAGAGCAGAGTCGGAAGACAGGGCACTGGCCGCAGGGTGCTTCGGTCATGCCGTTCTTCACTAGGTGCTTGTTCACAACGGCGAGGTCGTCGCCTTCGGTGGGTGGCTTGCGCTTTTGGTTGGCCTGTATGACGCTGGGGCTTTGTAGGGATCGGTAGAATTCGCCTGCTCCGAGGGATACGAGCTTGTTGTCGTAGCAAAGCATCTCCATCAATTGGACGACACTCTCCTCTCCCAGGCGAACAGGTGTGATGCCACTGCTGTTCACAGCGCTGGTGATCATCTCCACGTTCGGGTACCCCTTGTAGCCGTGCGGGTAGGGGAGGTAAGTCTTTTCGTCGGACTTGACGTCAGCCTTACCAGAGGCGGTTTTGATGCGCTTGTTTCGGCCGCTCTCTGAGGCTGGCACTTCGTACCAACTCATTTTGCTGACTGTAAATTCAATGAAACCGGCGACCGTGTTGATGAAATTGGCATCTAGCACACCGTCTGTAAACCATGCTCCGCCTGTGACCTCCTCGCTTGGAGCGAGGCCGGCCAGCATGTACATCTTCCGGCTGGGGTATTTGACATTGTGCAGAGATTTGATGTAGTTCTTTCCTTCGAGGGATTTCAAACAGCGGTCCAGGATTGACTTGTGCAAGTTTGTGCGGCTTCCGATGTGTCGGACCCAGATGCCTGTTCGTCCTGTCGAGTGGATGACATTGTAGACCATGGCCTCGTCGGGTGTCAAGTTGCGGAGTCTAAAGAGAAGTCGGGTTAGTCGATGTCCATGAGCCGGTGTAATACCATGTAATGCCTACTTCTCAGCGTCCTCGCGGTCAATCAGTCTCCAAGTCAATTTTCCATCTTTCTGAAGGAGTCTGAAAAGATTTTGATCGACCAAGCTCTGGGCGCATTGCAACAGTAATGCGACATCATTTTTGGGAATGATTTTGAGATTGAGGAAATCGTTCTGGTAGAAGAGGTGGTCCGGGTCGAACTCGTTCACGCAAGCATCGTAAAGCTTGGAGGCAAGCTCGGCCACTTGGGACCCCGCGGAGGCCATTTTTGAAGGTGCGGAGAGATCAGGGAAAGTCGAAATTCATGCGAAAGGGCTGGGATCTCATATTCAAGGGCGCATAGTTGGTTAGAGCAGCATGGTCAAAATTGAGTCATGAATGAATCACGAGCGATGTTTTTTTGGACTTTTTCGCAGCGGGGAATGACTTTGGCCCGAAATGGTTTAGCCCCGATAGCTTCAGTGTCAGCGTGATGGCCTGAATTGTCAGGCTGTGACGACCTTGGAAATTTCGAGAAGCTGCGGGCGACAAAGCTCACCAACATTCAGTTCTGGTCTTGCTCCATTGACCATTTCACTTCATTTTCATATATCAAACTCTCATAATGGCTGACGCTTTGAAGGCAGAGGGCAACAAGGCCTTCTCTGCTAAGGACTATCCTACTGCTATGTACGAGCTGTACCCCACCTTTGTGACTCCGTGAACAAAGACTGATAGATCGCAGTGAGAAATTCACCGAGGCTCTTGCCATCGAGCCCCAGAACCACATCCTCTTCTCCAACCGCTCCGCTGTCTACTCCGCTCAGAACGAATACCAGAAGGCTTTGGAGGATGCCGAGAAGGCCATTGAGATCAAGCCCGACTGGTCCAAGGGTCACGCCCGTAAGGGAGCTGCCTACCGTGGTCTTGGAGACCTTTGTATGTGAATTCGAACATTATATACGGTGACGTTGCTAACCGATGGCAGTGGCCGCATACGATGCCTACGGTGAGGCTCTGAAGATCGAGCCTGGTAACGCACAGGCCAAGTCCGGTCTCGATGCGACTCAGCGTGCTATCAACGCTGAGGCTACCGCCGACGGTGTTACTGGTGACCCAACCGGTGGTCTCGGTGGCATGTTCAACGACCCCCAGCTCTTCCAGAAGCTCGCCAACAACCCCAAGACTGCTTCCCTACTCGGCGACTCCGAGTTCATGGCCAAGCTCCAGAAGATCCAGAAGGACCCCAACAGTGTTGGCGAAGAGATCCGGGACCCTCGTTTCCTCCAGGTTATGAGCGTGCTGCTCGGTATTGACATGAACTTCGGTGGTGCCCCCGAGGGAGCCGACTCTCCCATGCCCGATGCTAAGCCCAGCACCTCCCAGCCCAAGAAGGAGCCTACCCCCGAGCCCGAGCCCCAGGATGAGGAGGCTATTGCCAAGAAGAAGGCCCAGGAGGCGGGTGATGCTGAGAAGAAGATCGGTAACGACTTCTACAAGAAGAAGCAGCTCGATGAGGCCATTGAGCACTACACCAAGGCCTGGGAGCTGAACAAAGACATCACTTACTTGAACAACATTGGTGCCGCTAAGTTCGAGAAGGCCGACTACCAGGGCACAATCGAGACCTGCCAGAAGGCTATTGAGGAGGGCCGTGACCTCCGTGCTGACTTCAAGCTGATGGCCAAGGCTTACACCCGTATTGGCACAGCCTACGAGAAGATGAATGATCTCACCCAGGCCATTGAGTTCTACAACAAGTCCCTCATGGAGCACCGCACTCCCGATGCCCTGACCAAGCTACGCAACGCCGAGAAGACCAAGGCCACTTCCGAGAAGAACGCCTACGTTGACCCCGCCGAGGCTGAGAAGGCTCGCGAGCTCGGCCAGCAGAAGTTCTCCGAGGGTGACTGGCCCGGTGCCGTCGATGCCTTCACTGAGATGGCCAAGCGTGCACCCAATGACCCCCGTGCTTACTCCAACCGTGCTGCCGCTCTCATCAAGCTCATGGCTTTCCCCGGTGCCGTGCAGGACTGTGACGAGGCTATCAGACGTGACCCCAAGTTCATCAAGGCCTACATGCGCAAGGGTGCTGCCCTCATCGCCATGAAGGAGTACAACCGCGCTTTGGACACTTTCACTGAGGCCTCCGAGAAGGACGATGGTACTCACGCCCGTGAGATTGAGCAGCAGCAGCAGAAGTGCCTGGACGCTCAGTTCAGCGCTCGCGCTGGTGAGACCGAGGAGCAGACCATGGCTCGTATCCAGAACGACCCCGAGGTATGTTCCCCTTGACATATTCCGCCTGATTCCACCTTCAACTTATACTAACATATTTTCTAGATCATGTCCATCCTCCAGGACCCCGTTATGCAGAGCATTCTCCAGCAGGCCAAGAGCGACCCTGCCGCACTCCAGGAGCACATGAAGAACTCCCAGGTGCGGATGGGTATCCAAAAGCTGATGGCTGCTGGTGTTATTCGCATGGGACGGTAAATCCGGCCTGAGGATTGAAGTGTTGGAAACGATTGCCACGAAATATTTGCCATCATAGTTTATTCCATGTTCCATGTTGCTAAAATTCGATGACATACTTAGCATTCTATATTTTTTTTAACCATGCCACGGGGATGTATAAAGCGAATCAGTAGTAACACTCGTAGTATATAAACAGCAGGAAGTGTCAATATCGAACATTGAACATTGACCTGTCTGCAGTGACCAATGTGGCCGGGTGTACACTGTGCAACAAAATATCAAACACATATTTAGTGTAGCGTCTTGGCCGTGTAAAGTTGGAATTGGATCCGGGCAGACGATCAAAATATGCCTCCCCAATCCCGGCACTACAGCCAATTCTCACATGCGATCTTCATACTACCCTCAGTACGGAGTAGAGTTTCAGTAGATCTCAGACAGTTCGCCGATCCAACCCCGAAGAAAATACCGCGAGAAAAAAAGCGCCACATATAAGTGGGCGAGTGGAGATGCACAAAGAATCAGATTTCACCGAACACCTTATCTAGCCAATCGCAACAAGAGAGATACAATTCCCAGACACAGACTACAGCAAGCTACACATGCACGGCATACGACTAACAGAAAAAGGCGAAGAACGGGAGAGAAAAAAGGCAGAGCCGATGTGGCACAACCCCTGCAGTGGGAATAACCTCTGCATCAAGACCCCAGCGTGAAAGAGCCCAGGTCCAGCCCAAAGAACACTTTTCGGCGCGGGACGGGGGACGGGCAGAGGGGATGTGATAGATCGAATCATGCAGCTGCAGTGCGTGCAGTACGCTCTCCCTCGGCAGAGCACAATTGCAGGGAATTGGGTGTTGGTCAACACCGCTGGTTTAGCATATACTGTACAATGTTCTGTCACAGCGCTGCATTGTGATCCAGTATCCAATTGAGTAGTTTAAACCGAGAGTGTAGCGGGGAGAGTCGAACCTGCCACAGCGGATCACCGAATCGGGGTTAGATCGGAGTATAGCCTGTGATGTGCGGTCGATAGTCGGTGATTTTGGGGAGGGGGTTATTGATTTCTTGGGTTGGTGTTCGAGGTATGCCACGTGTACTCCTTGCAATGTGTGTGGCCTGGGAACAGGAATGGGATTCATGTTGCATTCCGACATTCCCCTTCCGGCGTTAGTGAGAATTGTCGCTGCCTGGAGCTGTAGGGCTGGGGTGCCTTTCATGTTAGCCTGTTCGCCTGTAGTCTCTTAGCCTCGGAAATAGCGATCTCCACTTGATTCCTCAAGGGATTGGTCTGTCAGTGGGTTCTGTGGGCTGGAGGCATCCACGCAATTGTCAACCCTGTGGCGGTGCTGTCCCACAGCTCGGGTCGAATCTAATAGTTGCTGTTAGTGGCTGGAGCCCCTGAGGAACCAGGAGATCAGGGGAAGTATCTGTGGCGGTTGTATACTGAGTACAGAGAAATTGGCAGAGATATTGATGTGAATTGTGAATGCCAGAGTAGTTGTAGAAAGAAGAGTTGCCCGATCGAGATACGTCATTGATCTCCGATCGACCTCGGAGCTCGCGATCTTCCTCTTTGCCAACTGCAATGGGAAGTCCAAGTCCCTCTCTGCTGATTTTTCACTCTGTGATTTGTAGAGTAATATATTTAGTTCTACAATTAGTACCAATATGATATCAATATTTGCCCAGCCCACGTAATTACCAGCCACAGTTCCCCTTGACGCAAGCGGCTGGGCGACCTGAGCTGCCCCAATTGGTCTCTCCACCTCTTTTCTCTTCTTCTTCCTTTCTACTCAGTACTCCTTGTGCATACACATACATCCATAGCACAGGTAACATCTCTACTAACCCTTTAGATCCTGGTATGCATGTCAGCATTCACAATCTTCCCCTCCCCCTCACCAAGTCCAGCCACACCCAAGTTACCTCCAGCTAATCACCTTCCAGCCCAACACCTGGCGACCACTCTGATCCCCTGAGCGCCGTATTCGACAACCGGCGACATGGCGTCCGCCGACGCGGAGAAGACGGAGATGAAGATCGAGGGTACACTCGAGGCCGCCGAGGAACTGAACAATGACCCGCAGTCCCGTGTGAACCCGGAGAAGATCGAGGCAATGGTCGTGGAGGACGCGCAAGAAGCTGGGGTGCCTGCATACCAGTTCGACCCCGATGCCTCACCAGAAGCTAAGGCCAATGCGGCGAAAGGGGTGCGTGGGCGCAATTGTTCGAGTTCTGATGCATTCATTCACCTTGCTGACTTGTTTCTAGCGCTTGCCGCCGGATTTCCATCACCCCAAGAAGCCTGCGGGCGTTTCAGTAATTACGGATAAGGTGAAACTGCCGTACACCCTGCGCATTGCCTTACATGCTAATGCGACTTAGGTCGATGGGAAAGCCGATTATGATCTGCCCCCCCCGCAATCCGCGACCGCCATTATGGCTGAGGATGCGACATTGGCTGCGGAGGGAGAGAAGCCTAATGATGACGATCTACGATGGGCGCGCAATCGAACTGGGTGGGCGCCGAAATTCGTTACTGAGAAGCTGGCCAGTCTTGACGAGGAAGGCACATTGCTTGATCACCAGGATTTCCTGGAGGGCAGGCTCCCGGATAAATTCTTCGGTGATTGGTATCACAATGCCGCGATCATCGTATTCGCTTGTCTGTCCTCGTGGATGGTTGCCGTTCTGGGAGGTGGTATTGGGTGGGTGTTGATGGTCATGGCAGCATGCAGCACCTACTACCGAACCTCCATTCGCCGAGTGCGCCGTAACTTCCGTGACGATATCAGCCGCGAAATGTCCAAGCAGCGCCTGGAGACCGACACTGAGAGTCTTGAGTGGATCAACAGCTTCTTGGTTAAGTTCTGGCCTATCTACGCCCCGGTGCTTTGCGACACCATTATCAACTCCGTCGACCAGGTGCTCAGTACCTCGACCCCAGCCTTCCTCGACAGCTTGCGCCTTAAGACCTTCATCCTCGGTACCAAGCCTCCTCGTTTGGAGCACGTCAAGACCTACCCCAAGACCGAACCCGACACTGTTATTATGGACTGGAAGTTTAGCTTCACCCCCAACGACACCATGGATTTGACTGCTCGCCAGATGAAGGACAAGATCAACCCCAAGGTCGTACTGGAGGTCCGTCTTGGTAAGGGTGTTGTTAGCAAGGGTCTCGACGTGATTGTGGAGGACATGGCTTGCTCCGGTTTGATGCGCGTCAAGGTCAAGCTCCAGATCCCATTCCCCCACATCGAGCGTGTGGACGTTTGCTTCTTGGATAAGCCCGAGCTCGACTACGTCTGCAAGCCCCTCGGTGGTGATACTCTCGGATTCGATATCAACTTCATTCCCGGTCTGGAGCACTTCATCAAGGACCAGATTCACGCCAATCTGCAGCCCATGATGTACGATCCTAATGTCTTCCCCATTGAGATTGCCAAGATGCTTGCTGGAAACCCCGTCGATCAGGCCATTGGTGTTGTGGCCATCACTCTGCATGGTGCCCACCAGCTCAAGAACCCCGATAAATTCTCTGGTACTCCCGACCCGTACGCTGTGGTTTCTCTGAACAACCGCTCTGAGCTTGGCCGTACCAAGATCATCCACGATACGGATAGTCCCCGTTGGAACGAGACTATCTACGTTATTATCACCTCGTTCACTGATGCCCTGTCTATCGCTGCTTACGATTGGAACGAATACCGCAAGGACAAGGAAATGGGTACCGCTAGTTTTGCATTGGACAAGCTTGAACAGGAGCCTTCGCATGAAGGTATTTACTTGGAAGTGCAGGCCAGTGGCCGTAACCGTGGTGCCATTCAAGCCGATATCCGGTTCTTCCCCGTCCTCGAAGGCCGCAAGTCGGAGACCGGCGAGGCGGAACCCGCCCCTGAACTCAACACTGGTATCGCTCAGTTCACTGTCGAACAGGCCAAGGACCTGGATGGAAGCAAGAGCCTGGTTGGCAAGCTGAACCCCTACGGTGTTTTGCTTCTGAACGGCAAGGAGATTCACATCACGAACAAGCTGAAGCGCACCAACAACCCTATCTTCCAGAATGCCTCCAAGGAGTTCCTCGTTACGGATCGCAAGAATGCCAAGCTGGGTCTTATCATCAAGGATGATCGTGATCTCATGGCCGACCCCATTGTTGGTCGCTATCAGATTAAGATGAATGACATGATTAAGATGATGGAGCGCGGCCAGCAGTGGTTCCATCTCCACGGTGCTAAGAACGGTCGTGCCAAGATGATGCTGCACTGGAAGCCTGTTGCCCTGGGAGGCATCGGCAGTGCCGGCTACATCGATCCTATTGGTGTAATGCGTTTCCACTTCAAGAGAGCTTCGAACCTGCGCAACCTAGAGGCCATGGGCAAGTCTGACCCGTACGCTCGTGTGCTGCTATCTGGTATGACTCGCGGTCGCACTGTTACCTTCCGAAACAATCTTAACCCCGAGTGGGATGAGGTCGTTTACGTGCCTATCCGCAGCGTTCGTGAGAAGCTGACTGTCGAGGTGATGGATGAGGAGACTATCAACAAGGACCGTACTCTTGGTTGGTGCGATCTCAATGCCTCCGACTTCGTCCGTGAGAGCGAGACCGGCGAGTACGAAATCGACGATGAGAAGCAGCCTATCAGCAGCCCTCTCAAGATCAGCGGTGGTTCACCCAAGGGTGAACTCCACTACACTGTTGCTTTCTATCCCACTGTTCCTGTTGTCAACCCCGAGGACGAGGACGAGGAAGAGGAAGAGTCGGATGCCCTTGGCACTCCAGGCCCTGACGATCCTCGGAAGAGCACCGAGTCCAAGGTTCGGAGCACGCACGCTAAGTCTGCTAGCGTTGACTCGAAAGCTTCCAAGGCCTCTAAGGCTCTGTCGAATGGCACTACTCCTAATGGTACCAATGGCGACTCCAGCGTTAGCCGCAACAGCCTGGAAACGAATGGATCCCGGCCTGCTACTGGACCCCTGTCCGAGACCGCATCTGTGCGGTCGATCAAGTCTATTCCCCGGACTTTTGTCAGTGCGGAGGATCTGGAGAAATATGGTATGTCTTGGATAATTGCCTCTTGCTTGTTCACTACTAACTTTTATAGAATCCGGTTTCATTGTGTTCAAGTTCCACGAGGGTCAACTGGCTCATGCCCATGTGCAGCTGGAGGTCTTGATGGATGACTACATGTTCCCCTCATACATCTCATCGAAAATTCACACCACGACTGCTAAGTTCACTGATGTCGGTGAGGCCTTCGTCCGTGAGCTCGAGTTCTCCAAGATCACCCTCCGTCTCGTTCACAAGGATGACCCCAAGGATTCCAGTGAGGAGAACACTGTCGCCAAGCTAACCGGCGACACCCTGCCTACCCTCATGCGCATGCTGTATACCCCCACCGAACTTGTCCTCCGCTCCAACACCGGCGAGGTGAGCAAGGTCACCGTCAGTGCCCGCTATATCCCCACCCAGATGAAGCTCGACCCTAGGGAGAGTATCAACAACATGGGTACTCTGCGTGTTGACGTTCTCGATGCCGCCGAACTTCCCGCCGCCGACCGCAACGGCTTCAGTGACCCTTACTGCAAGTTCCACCTAGGCGATGACAAAGATAGTGTGTTCAAGACCAAGGTGCAGAAGAAGACTCTTCACCCAGCCTGGAACGAGTTCTTTGAAACCCCCATCAAATCCCGTATCGGCGCCAATTTCCGCGTCGACGTCTTCGATTGGGACTTTGGTGACAAGGCTGACTGGCTTGGTGCTTCTCCAATTGACCTCGAGATGCTCGAGCCTTTCCAAGCACAGGAGGTCACCCTTCCTCTGGATGGCAAGTCCGGAGTCATCCGCCTGAAGCTCCTCTTCAAGCCTAGCTACGTTATGCGCTCTCGCCAAGGCTCCTCTACCTTCTCGGGTACCTTTGCCGTCCCCGGAAAGATTGTGGGTGCCCCCGTGAAGGGTGTCGGCTTCGTTGGCGGCAACGTTGTCCGCGGTGCTTCATTCCTCAAGCATGGCCTCATGTCCCGTCTCCATAAGGACAAGGGCGATGATGCTGCTTCAATCATGGATAGCATTGAAGAGCCCCAAGCCAGAGGCGACCGCCTAACCCCCGCCGCCTCCATCGCCGAAGCCCCCACCACCCCCAACGCCAACGGCTCCTCCCCAAGCAGCCCGAAACAGGAACACAGCCGTAACCGCAGCTCGGCCTCCCAGTTCGGCGATCGCCTCAGCGTATTCGGTGGCAATAGCCGTGCCGACACAGGAACGGCTAACATCACCGTCGTCTCGGCATCCGGATACCCTACCTCGGCCAATGTGCGCGTCATCGTCAGCCGCCCTACCTCCCGTGGCACTAAGGAACTCCACAAGACGAAGGCCCACAAGAACTCCAACGGTAGTGTAATCTACGATGACTCCTTCAAGGTCCCCAACATCACTGCCGACAAGCAGTACTCCATCAAGGTCGTTGACCACGCCACCTTCGGCTCGGACGATGTTCTCGGCGAGGGAGTCTTCTTCGTTGACGATCAGGGTTCAGTCGCGGGTCAAGACAAATCTATTTCTGCTGGCGAGGGTGAGGTTGTCATCCGCTCTAGCTTTGCGCCATCCGAGTCCAACCTCAGACCAACTACCTCGCACTCAACGGCCGGCGCCGGCGATATCTCCGAAGGAGCCGAGAGTCCTGATTCTCGGAAGATGCCTCGCAGAAGTTTCTTGAGTAAGAGAGGTGGTGAGAGGAGCGTCAGTGGGGCGTAAGCCTCGCCACAGCTGAAATAAGATGGGATGAGACTGTCTCTGTAGAAGAGTATATGAAAACATGATTTCCCTTTTTGTCACATTGTTAACGTCTGCTTACTGTTTTGTTCTTGTTTTTGTTCCTGTGTTATGGTGATATCCTTATTTTCTTTTTTTTTTCATACAGTTCTTACTCTATCCCGCTTTCGCTCTGCTACTGCGTTGAGCTGGATTATAATCTGGATAGCGGAATGGAATGGTATAAGAACTTTACGAAGTGGCTGGATAGCTGAGATACTGTATATGAGATAGAGCAACCCCATTTGAAAACTCGATATGGACTTCAGCCCCAAAAATGAGACCTCGAGTATTGCATTAACTATTGAGGCTCTATAGTTATGTCTCACCCGCCCTAACCGGCAATACACGATGCTATACAAAAATAGACGGGTGAACCCCTAAGGCTGAGAACGCCAAGAATAAATGGCGGACATGTAATTAATCAAGAGGTGTAAAAATAACCAAGCTATTGGTCCACCCTGCCACTACCGTACAGCATCGGAACGCCATGTCTTAGACATCCCACTCACTAACCGCGGAACCTAGAGTCCGCCAGGCTATTGGATTAGCTTGGTCTTTGACCCTTGTTTCTTGTAACTGTACTTGTATGCGCTAGGGGCTTGTATATGTATGTAATTCTTGCTTTGCCACTTGTATAAGCCAAGTATACGTGTAGACAACGTGTGCATGTAGATATAAACTGCAATATTGACGTGAAGCCACTTGGACCCCAGCATGAACCCTTCCCCGAAACTCTGTTGCTTGCACAGCCCGAGATGATCTTTGATCTGCGGGGGGGGGGTACGTGTTCTGGAGTATGTACAGTAGATAATGTATACGCAGGTGTATTGTATAGTGTATATAGGTGCAGAGCTATAGCTGTAGCTATAGCTGAGCTAAGCTGAGATACGAGTATATCTACGAATAGAGAATAAGCTAACGTTATACGAGAGGCAATGTCAAAAGTAAAATAAATGAGAGAAATAAATCAAGTAATTTTAGTGTCGAACCTTGGAAGTGCTGGGACTTGGTGGGGGTGTAATTTTGTGAGGTCCACTTGTTCCAGACATTTAATAGGGGTCTAAGAGTAGAGTGCAGCGCAGTAGAGTCATGTACAGTATTTGCCAGTCTGTGGAGATATTTTATTATGTAGTTATTATGTAGGTATTATGTACTGTACCTAGGACTACCTGTGTACGTACCTATGACTACAGGGACATGACGCATTCGGAAGTGTGTAAATAGCTCCCCCCTTCCAACGGTCAACATTCCACATTATAATTAGCCCAAACGTGGCCTATCGGTAGGCGGTCAGCCGAATGCCATTGAAGCCGAAACATTCGAGTCTGAAACTAAGTGCTAAGGGAATTAACCGGAGCTTGCGTGGTGGGGCGTAGGTTGAAAAGGGGGTCTGGACTGGTGTCCTCCGTAACAGTTGAACACTGTTGGAACAGTTGGGGTTGCAATTGTACAGTATGTGCAATGGCTGTAGCTGTAGCTGGAGCTGTAATATGTAGCTATCGAAATGTGTAATTGTGGCGTCTGAATACGTGCACCAGGAAGGAAGTAGCTGAAAACAGGAGAATGAAGGTCAGAGATTAAATGCCTTGACATATCACGGGATCCCCCACCTCTCCTTTATATTATTGTACATCTTCACCTTCTCTCCCTCTTTTTCCCTTCATCCTGCACTTCATATTTTGGTAAGTTCTGTTTGGTCGCCCCATCCCCTCGCTTTGCCAATGACGGCAGCTTGACATCTCGCTTTTCCGAGATCGACAGTGGCAATCCCCCCCCCCCTCCCCTCCTTTCTCTTAAGAACCACGTTTTCCCTCCTTTACTGACTCCCAGTTCAGCAGTATCTTCATCCTATAATCATGGCCTCCAAGGCGATCCCTACTCACCTCCGCGCCCCTGTGGGCGACGGTGCCGAATTCGGTGGAAAGCACCACGGCAAGTCTCAGTCGCACATGGTAAGTGCCGAGTCGTGGTTTCCATGGGTTTGACTGGAGCTCTAAGCTTCACTATTTTGCCTTCTGTCGCGCTTTCTATCACGTTTCCTCTATCGCATTTGTCTCCGCATACATATCCCTCACTATGGCTCTATCCAATCCACTGACGCGTGCTCCTTCTCATCAGGCCTTCGAGAATGCCTCCACCAGCGTTGCTGCGTCACAGATGCGCAATGCTCTTAACGCCCTCGGCGACAGCGTGACCGACCCCAGCGAGAAGAAGCGTTTCGAGGCTGAGATGGACAACTTCTTTGCTCTCTTCCGTCGTTTCCTCAACGACAAGGCCAAGGGTAACGCCGTCAACTGGGACAAGATTGCCCCTCCCCAGCCCTCCCAGGTTGTCGGCTACGACGAGCTTGGTGCTGATGCCTCCGTTGAGTTCCTCAACAAGCTGGCTGTTGTCAAGCTGAACGGTGGTCTCGGTACCTCCATGGGTTGCGTCGGTCCCAAGTCCGTCATCGAGGTTCGTGAGGGCATGTCCTTCCTCGACCTGTCTGTCCGCCAGATCGAGCACCTCAACCGCACCTTCAACGTCAACGTTCCTTTCGTTCTCATGAACTCCTTCAACACCGACCAGGATACCCAGTCCATCATCAAGAAGTACGAGGGTCACAACGTCGACATCATCACCTTCAACCAGTCCCGCTACCCCCGTATCATCAAGGACTCCCTCCTCCCCGCCCCCAAGAGCTTCGACGCTCCCCTCCAAGACTGGTACCCTCCCGGTCACGGTGACGTTTTCGAGTCCCTGTACAACTCCGGTACTCTCGACAAGCTGATCGAGCGCGGCATCGAGTACATCTTCCTCTCCAACGCAGACAACCTCGGCGCCGTGGTCGATCTCCGCATCCTTCAGCACATGGTTGACTCCCAGGCCGAGTACGTCATGGAGTTGACTGACAAGACTAAGGCCGATGTCAAGGGTGGTACCATCATCGACTCCGATGGCAAGGTCCGTCTCCTTGAGATCGCCCAGGTCCCCAAGGAGCACGTCAACGAGTTCAAGTCTATCAAGAAGTTCAAGTACTTCAACACCAACAACATCTGGATGAATGTCAAGGCCATCAAGCGTGTCGTTGAGGAGAACGAGCTCGAGATGGAGATCATCGCCAACGAGAAGTCCATCCCCGCTGATAAGAAGGGTGAGGCCGACCAGGCCATCTACCAGCTTGAGACCGCTGTCGGTGCTGCCATCCGTCACTTCAAGAACGCCCATGGTGTCAACGTTCCCCGTCGTCGTTTCCTGCCCGTCAAGACCTGCTCCGACCTGATGGTCGTCAAGTCTGACCTCTACCGTCTCGAGCACGGCCAGCTCGTCATGGACCCCAACCGCTTCGGTGGTGTCCCCGTCATCAAGCTGGGCTCCGACTTCAAGAAGGTCTCTGACTTCCAGAAGCGCATTGCCAGCATTCCCCGCATCGTCGAGCTGGACCATCTCACTGTCACCGGTCCCGTAAACCTTGGCCGCAATGTCACCCTTAAGGGCACCGTCATCATCGTTGCCACCGAGGGCAGCACCATCGACATTCCCCCAGGATCCGTTCTGGAGAACTGCGTTGTCCAGGGTAGCCTGAGAATCCTTGAGCACTAGATTTGATAAACCGTTTTGGCAGACTGCTATGTCTGTTTAATTGACTTGCTCTGGTGCATCGAGGCTATGGATTCAGGGTGCAAAAGAAGTACTCGTATTACATTACAATAATCCAGCGTCTTTTTTCTTTCTTATCTGATTGTTTTGGGTCTTGGGTATTGGACTCCTTTCTTTGATTTTCCCAAGTACTGACAGTCTGGTCTATCCTCAATGCATCGAGTTATTCATTATTCATTCCACTGTAGTAAGTCTTGTAGTAAGTCTTTGTAGTTTGTTTCGGCTTTTCGTTCCGAAATACCAGTAGAGACCAAACATGGTTGGCTACAAGTACGAAGTATGGAAGTACGAAGTATGGATTGAACCCGTGAAAATCACACCACCGTAACCACAAGACTAATCCATTAGTTCCAGGTCTTTCTACCACCATCATCTTAATCTAAAATACACTAGTGAGCCGCGATAGGTACCTAATTCAAAAAGGTGATAGGCGGGTAAAACTCCCTAATGATCGCAATCAACGTCATGTTCAGGCAATACGAGCCACCCAATTTGCCCTATACACAGCAAAGAGAGCCACTCCTGATAAACCTGTGATTTCATATACTGTATTCAATTCATAAACTCCTTGATATTTGAAGACCTTGATACCTCGTCTACATGCAATCTTGATTGTACATTTCATCTTTTCCATTCTTTATTCTTGAGTTTCATTCTGTGCTATTTGTTTTGTTTTGTTTTGTTTTTGTATATCTGCGTCCTCCACAGAAGAGTACATACCTCATACGTGCAGTACATATCATCTTCACATACTTTCGATTCTTCTATACATATTTCATCTTCCATCTTTTGTTTTATATTCATATACAATTACATATTCATACATCCATCGCAGTGCAATGACCGAGTCATATCGCCCGCTTGTACCAGGTCCTATGTCTGATGATCATGACCGTAACCATGACGATGATGACCGTGGAAGTCCCGCTCCTGATGAAGGGAAGGGATCGAGTGGAACATGGAAGAAGAGGGTTTCAACAGCCTGTCTGGCTTGTAAAAAGTCAAAACGGAAGGTAAGTCTTACACTGTTCGCCATGGATCTATAACCTTGCATCTTACTACCATCAACCGAAATCCCCAACCCAGCCCAATAGATACAAATACTAACAATTTACCCAGTGCTCAGGAATAGCCCCCTGCAAAAATTGCCTAACCTTCAAAAGGACCTGCATCTTCGACGAAAGCCTCGACCAACGCCGCCGCGTCGCTGCCAAACGCACAGCTGACGAACTAAGCTATCACCGCGACCTCTTACAGGATCTGTTCAGGTTAATTCGTGAAGGGAATGAGTCCCATGCCTTGCAGTTGTTGGATATAATTCGGGATAATGCGCCGTCTGATCAGATCCGGGCGTTTATTGAGGAGACACTTGCAGGTCTGGCGAAGAGTGGTTCTAATCCTGCTTTGGTGTCCATATCTACATCAAAATCAGCATCTGGTCCTGCGCCAGGGTCGATATCCGGATCTGCTTTGGGATCAACGTCTACCTCAACGCCGGAGTCGAAATCTATGTCGGCAAAAACAGAGACTGAAAAAGAGACAGCTGCTAAGTTGGAGGATATGCGCAACCTGATCAACGTGGAAGGGTCAAGCCCGACTTTCAGACGGAAGGTTATGGATATTCATTTCCTCTGTGATGATGCGCCTTGTTCTGTTCCTGCGAAGCCTTGGACGAGTGTTACCCAAGACTCGGATCTGGTGTCTCATCTTGTGTCGTTGTATTTTGCTTGGGATTGGCCGCTTAATGCGTTCTTGGATCAGGAGGTCTTCTTGAGGCATATGGCTCGTGGTGATCTGGGTTCTGAGTTTTGTTCGCCCTTTTTGGTTAATGCTGTTCTCAGTAATGCTTGTGTGAGTTCTTTCTTTCTGTTTTCTGTTTTCTGGTTTTTTTTTTTTTTTTTTTTTTTTGTCGCAGGCTGAGGTGAGTAGTTGTGTTTGTGGTGATTGCTGATACATGCTGGGTATAGTATTTCTCTGAGTTCTCTGAGGCTTATGTTGTTCCTGGGGATATATCTTCCAAGGGAAAAGATTTCCTTGCTGAGGCTGAGAGGTTGAGGAATGAAGAACCTGAGCAGCCTAGTTTGGCGGGGCTGCAGGGGACGTTGTTGATGTATGAGAGGTACGTATAGATCTGGTATTCATTTGTTCAACACTGACGATGGGAGGTATGCAATGTCTCGCGAAGATGACCTCGGATACATCATGCTTCACCAGGCCATTCGCATAGGCGAGTCACTTGGCCTTGTGGGCAGCAAGGGGCCCAGGCTGGCTCTCAGTGAATTATCCAAGGACATGGGGATATCGTGCAAAAGAACAGCCTGGGGGTTATTCAACGTCGACACGTGAGTGGTACTATCCTATACCTCACATTCGAATGGTACTCATCACCACACAGCATGGTTCACACAGGATTCCTTCGTCCCAGTCTGATCGATCATGTCAATATGACCCGGATTGACCGCAATGCCACCGAAGATCAAGTTATATGGCGCCCCTATCCCACCCATCGCGATCCTCGCCCGTCGCTGTTTAGTCAATGCTTCGATGAAGCGTGCAATTTGTCCACGATCGCTCGTGATATCTCGCGCAGTATGTTCGCAGCCCACCGGACGAATAATGCCATTAAATCCGTTCAATTACACAGTCGGGAAGAATTATACGACCGTATTCGTCGTTGGCATGATCTCCTCCCTGTCGACTTTAGCACACAGGCTCACCCGGCCCCGCATATCATCTTGCTGAAGTATATACACCTGCCTCGTTTCTTACCACCCTGCTAACCGCGTAGAATGCGCTACCATGCCCTGATAATCAATCTCTTCAGCTGCATCTCCGACGACGAAGTCCCACTGCCAGCCTTCGAGCCCAAAACTCCAGAAAGCTCGCCCCGCGACACCCCCGAGCCCAAATACAACGCGGGAGAAGTAACTCAAACAGCCGCACGGGGCATCGCAGCCCTAACCAGGCTGCACCGCCGTGAGTTCGGAGTCAGTCGCGCCCACCAATTCGCCATGTATGCGATGAACCTGGCTCTATTCACGATGTTGGAACAAAGCACCTTCGATGTACTCGACGAGGATTTCCTCTCGCTTTCCAGTGCATTCTCCGTTGTCGCAAGTCGCTCCGCACTAGGTCGGAATCTGTTCCATATTTTTCGGCAGTCTGTTCGGGCCAAGGCACAGGGTCATCGGATTCGAGACGCTGTTGCTGTCTCCGACGAATTGAAGGATTTGTTTGATGAGGATTCTTCTGGAAGAGGCCATAGTCGATTTGATGATTATGCCGAAGGACTGGAGAAGCTTAATCGCGATGCCAAGTATCATGGGATCGGGGGTGAGGGTGTGCTTGGGCTGCAGGAATATCCTGGGCTTGGACTCTCGGATATGCTGGATCGCTACGAGAGTTTGAGTTTGGGTAAGGACGATGTATTGGCTGAAAGGTGCCGACCTGCTGGATGCTGAATATACCGGTGTTGAGGTATGTTGTAACTTATAGCTCCAAGTGGCGAGATGGTTCTGATCTCATAATTGTATAGATCTGCGACCAACATTGACCAGCAATGACCAACCGCTAAAATCACCCAAGACGATCGCAACACATTAACCCCAACTTGTTCCACGACAGATACAAATTAATAAGTTTTCTGTTCATCTGGCGTGAAGCTGGTTGGTCGAGATATGTCGTCTGACGTCAAATCCGGCTACCCTTCAACGACCCACCGGTGGCAATCCCTGACCTCCACGTCTACTTCACACTTCCAAGCTTGAACCAGGATCCGATTAGTTAATCGTTCTAGCCTTGAAAATTGTGAGAGTTTTTATCACACAGTACACGCATTCATGTCGGACCTTCACCATGGACAATCGCGACGAAGAAAACCCGCCTGATCCCAGCTTCGGCTCCTGGAGTTGGGTGCCACCTATGAGTCCAGTTCCAGCAGACCAACAACCATATCCGACGCCGAATCCTTTCTCGCCGTCTTTCCAGACCCCTAATGCGCCTTCTTACCCACAGCCTTACCCGTCGGCAGCATCATCTTCATCTTCTGCGCCGGGATCCGCCTTCAGAGCCGCGCCAAAGGTGGCAATTCCGCGCCTGGCGGGCTCCGAGACAGGTCTTGGCGGGCGCCGCCGCTCCGCTCGAGCTTGTGAGCCTTGTCGCCAGCGAAAGATCAAGTGCGACGGGCTCAGGCCGTCCTGTGGCCAATGTATCTATCACAGCCACCGGTGTTCTTACGAGGACGTAAAACGAGTCCGCGACCAGAAACGGCTAGGTACGTTGGCCAAGCGCGTCGAAGCATACGAGGCCCTTTTACGAGAATTGGAGGGAGAGGTTGATTTGCCTACCGCGCGACAGATCAGGAAAGTATTACAGGTAAGTCCATCTGAGAGCGCAGCCTCTGAGTCTGCCTCTGGGACTCCTTCCTCCGAGACTCGGGTTTCAAACTCAGAGTGCTAAGTCAGGATTTTGACATTTGGCAAAGGCCAAGAATGTAAATACTGAGAAGAACGACGATGCCTCCGATGATTCCTCTACCTCCTTGGGTTCGCTCGATGCGATCGACCAGGTCGATGAAGACCTGAACCGGAACGAGAGTAGCCGCGCTGCGGGCTTCTTTGGAAAGAACTCGGAGGTCAATTGGATTCGCAAGTTGGAGAGTGGAGTGAGGATGACCAGTCCGCCAGGTGATTCTGGTACTTCTGGGAGTTCGCTGAATCCTTTCCATCCGGACAGTCAGGACTCCGCTCAGCGACAGAGTCTCGAAAGGGTTCTTCCTACCTCCATGATGGATTATCACCTCGACAATATGGAAATTCCGTTCCTCGAACACTGCGATCCTTATGCTTTGCCTCCCCGAGAGCTGGCTGATCGATATTTCGATGCATACTTGACATATGTCCATCCGACTTTTGGTGTTATTCGAAAGTCCAACTTCCTTTCTCAGTATCAGAAATTCTTTGAGAATATGTCCACCACGCCGCGTCCGCGCAAGTGGCAGGCTATTTTGAACATGATATTCGCTATTGGCAGTCGACATTGTCGACTAATGGAAAATATCCACAGCATGAGCGAAGAGGATCTGGTCTTCCTAAGCAGAGCGCGGCTCCTAGGCTTCGATTCCGGCGTGCTGTTCGAGCACAGCGATCTCCAGCAGATCCAACTAGAAGCTTTGATGTCGATATACCTCCTCTGCCTAGGACAGGTCAACAGGTAGGTCTTATTTGCTGCTCCATATCAGCCACGTTCAGTCACTAACCCTTCAGGGCATCTAAATTCTCCAGCATGGCTCTCCGCTCAGCGCTATCCTTGGGGATCAATCTCCGTCTCACCGACACCCAAACCCCAGAAACCGCGAAAGAAGCCCGTGGCCGTCTTTGGTGGTCCATCTACTCCCTAGAACACCTCATCACATCAGTGACTGGCCGCGCCTCCGGCGTAACAGAAAGCATCTGCTCTGTACCGGCCCCATTCCCCTGCGAGGAAGAAACCTTCGAACACCCCGAAGCAAAGCGTCTTCTCCAAGACCCAATCCTGCGCGAAACCCATCTCCGCCCAACTCTCTTCGAAGCATCTAGCCAGGGCCACCCTCATTCATGGACAACAGCCTGCCCACCATGTCCATCCCTCTTCTTCTACCAGCTCGTCGACTTAAGCCTCATCACCCAAGCCCTCATGAACAAAGTCTACAGCATCGAAGGCCTCCGCAAAGGCCCCTCTAGAATCGAATACCACGTACAGAAATTCGGTCTAAAAATGGATTACTGGCTCGCTAAATTACCCCCAGCGTACCAATTTACTCTCCCAGACGCTGGCCCCTGGCACCTCAACCACCCCCAACTAGACGACCTAGCCGCGCCATACGTCCGCGAACGCGTCTGTCTAGCAATGAACTATTACTCTGCCAGGATCACCCTCTGCAGACCATGTCTCACCCACATCCACCCAAACACAAACACCCGCTCCTCAACATCTCCAAACCCAAACGCGGACCTATCCTCCCGCACCAAACTTCGTGTCGAAATGGCCACGCATTGTCTCCAAGCCGCCTGTGCTCTCATCTCCATCTTACCCGAGACTCCTAACCTCCCATGGTTAGCGCGCACCGCACCCTGGTGGTCCGTCCTCCATTTCATAATGCAGGCAACAACAGCCCTGCTCCTGGGATTATCCTACCGTTCCTACAACACCGGAGTACAATTTCAACGACAAACCCCCTCTGACCCGCTTACGCCTGGAACACCCAGTTCGGCTGGAATTCCGTATCCGCCACTTCTAGAAACGGATCTTGGGACGGCGATTGCTTCGGCTAAGAAAGCTATGCTTTGGATTCATGCTACCTCGCAGGTGGATATAGCGTCGCGGAGGGCGTTTCTTCTTTGTGAAAATGTGGTTAAGAGGATTGCGCCTGGGCTGGGTATTGATTTGAGGGATTGGCCGGATGGGAGTGCGTTTGTTGTTGATTTTAGGGAGGGGAGGAGTCGGGGGTCTAGTGGGAATGTAAGTCGGGCGAGTGAGGGTGATGGGAATGGGAATCTGGGAAATAGTCGGAATAGTAATGGGAGTGAATGTGGGAGTGGTATGGAGTCTTTTGAGGAGTTGGTTGATTTTGAGGGTGGTGTTTTTTAGGAATTTTTAGTATGCTTGATTTGTATATGAGTGATGTTGTTATAAAAATATGATGCTTTGATGAACGTTGTCACTATTCATGAGTTGTCGCATCTTGGTAATATCGACTGGTGGAAACTGTTTTGTACATACAGCCGAATGTTATTGAAGCCACCTCAGCTCTGGTGATAGATCAAACTGGACAGATAATTGACAGTTGAGATTAGGAATAACTATATACTATACGATAACATTAGATATGTAGACAAACAACGAAAGACCAAGGCTAATAAACAATAATCAGAAAATGTCGGAGATGCTGAGATGCCGATAACGTGACTCAACGCCGACAGACCACAAACACATGGTAAAAGACTTCATGGACATGAAAGAATCAAATGCATATGGCAAATTCAGAAATACCCGTACCAACACCCGCGAATTGTTATATGGAATGGGATGAACAGATATTTGACATGTAGTGGTCACAGAACAGCCTTAGGTTGGCTGTGGTTGCATTTGGATTTGGAAGGTATGCTGGTGCTCATGTTGAGGGGCAGGCGGAGGGGGTGCCTGGCTGCGTTGTGGGATGGGTGCTCTGCGCTGCTGCTGTCCTTGCATTCCGTGGACGGGGGACTGGGCTTGCACGGGGTGTTGCATTTGTTGTTGCATGGGAGATTGCATGTAGGATTGTTGGTGCGGAAGGGGTCGAGGTGGGTGAATAGGAGATTGATGATGCATTTGAATGTGTTGGGGCATTGACAGTGGCGGCCCCGGTTGCTGGGACAAGCCATTGGGCATATGCGGAGGCTGAGGAGAAAGATGCTGAGCCTGTTGATGCATGTGTTGGACTTGAGGCTGACCAATATGCTGGCCTGGCTGCTGCTGCACAGGCTGACTCTGTTGGAACATGTGGGCTTGCTGTTGCGGCAAAGTCTGACCTTGATGCATCTGGGATGGACTTGGTGTTGGACGTTTGCGTGGTTCCTCATCAACTGCAGGGGCCGCATGTTTTTGAATTATTGTTGCATTAGCGCTTTCATCAAATTGACCTTGGCCAGCTGTTTGTGTCTGATCCCCATTGGCAGCGGCAGCGGCAGCAGCAGCCGCCGCGGCCGCCGCAGCCACATCGGCTTTTCGAGGTCTTCCACGCGGCCGGCCTGTGCCTGGTGGCTTTGGCTTCGCCGAGGATGGCTTTCTCGGTTTAGGCGGTGGCAAGGGTTGACCGGTTGCAGCAGCCCACGCAATCTGATCGGCCTTGCGTGGACGTCCGCGTTTCCGCTTCAAAGGAGTCCCATCCGGTCCGATAATAGTCGCGGGTTTGCCTGGCGCTGGAGCACCTGGGGCGGTGGGGGTCATGTTTGAGGTGAAAGAGGCCTGTCCTGGCTGGTTCATTCCGGGAATAGGCTCGCCATTTTGAGCGGCAGCAGCAGCCGCTGCGGCAGCCCTCGCAGCTACCTCTTCTTTGCGTGGTCGACCACGGCGACGCTTCGCAGGCGGAGCAGCAAGCTCACCACCTGCTGATGGCACAGGGGGAATCTGTCCTTGTCCGTTAGGGAGAGTAGGAGGGGCAGTGGGAATAGCAGCAGGGATATTAGGTTGCGGTTGAGGAGGCGGTGGCACCTGAACGGGTTCGGGTTGAACAGGGGCAGACTTCTTAGGTTTGTTGTTCTTCTTCTTGGGCGCAGGGCTTAGCTCATGGTTCATGAACGGACTCTCCTCTGCTGCAGAAACAGTCGGCATGGTTGTCTGAGATGCCGGAACACCAGCTGGATGCGAGGCTGGCTGGTACTGGTGGAACTGAGCTTGGTGCGAAGTTGGTTGGAACTGGGGTTGCGTCGGTTGAGCGAACTGGGCCTGGTGCTGGGCGAAGTGCTGCGGCTGATACTGAGAGGGGTGGAACGGAGGTTGAGAGTGTTGAGCGAACGGAGATTGTTGTTGATATGGGTTTTGGACATGAGCCTGGGTCTGTTGCTGCAACTTCTGTAATCTCTGTTGCTCCAACTGTTGTTGTTGTTGTTGTTGTTGCTGTTGCTGCTGGCGCTGTTGTCGTTCTTGCTCCTCTTGTTGCTCCTTTTGATATCGAACTATATCCTCTGCCTCTTGACGTCTCCGCTGTTGCTCAAGTTGCCTCTGCTGTTCCCGCTGCTCCCTTTCCAAAATCTCCTTTTTCATTCGTGCCTCCTCCTGCTCTCGACGTCGAGCTTCTTCCTCGACCTTTTGCTTTTGTAAAAGCTCCTCGCGCTCCTTTTGCGTCCGCTGCTCTATGCGCTGCTTTTCCAGCATCTGCTGATGTTGCTGTTCCTGCTGGTATTGTGCAACGCTCTGCTGCATGCGGTGATCCCGTCCATATTCCTGGTGTTTCATTTGTCGTTGCTGCTCCATCATCTGCTGCTGCTCCATCCGCCGTTGTTCTAAACGGTGCTGCTGCATCTGCTTTTGCTGTTCCAACCTTTGCTCCTGGATCCGTTGCTGCTGTTGAAACTGCTGCTGCTGAAGTTGGTGCAATTGTTGGTTTGTCTGTTGAGGTGACTGCGGCTGGGATTGAGTCTGGGTCTGTCTTTGTTGTTGTTGGATAGCAAACATTGATGGACTAGCCATGGACGGACTGGCGGAAGGATGATTCTCTCTCTGTTGGTGCATACCAGCATGAGGAAGCCTATTCATTGTCTGCTGTGGAGAGGGAACATTCATCGGATGACCATGGGCCATTCCAGAAGGACTCATTCCAGTTTGCGGACGAATATGCGCCATTGGGTTGAAGCTACGCTGGAGATTCTGTAAAGCCATGGGATCCGGATTACGAGACATCAAATCCGGGGAGCTTTGCGGCGCATACTGGCCTGGAAATTGGGCAAACCCGCTGCTGGTGGGGTATCCACCAAGTGAGCCCGATGTCGGGGTCATCTTGCGTAAATCCGGCGACTGTGACGCAGCGAAATTCTGCTGAGGTTGCCCTCGGAAAACGGGCTTGTTGCCTGTGAAAGGACTGCCATGCTGCGGAAGAGCCGGACCGTTGCCTAACAATGGTGACTGACCATGGCGTGGAGGCTGCGGACCTAACGGATGTTGAGGTTGAGCTTGATGCTGTTGCGGTTGAGGCTGCTGCGGCTGTTGAGGGTGGAACGCATGACCCGGGTAGTTCATCATCTTGACTATTGATATAGCGCCACTGGGCCTTGCCGTAAGCGGCAGCTGAAAGAATGATCGCTTTGTCGAGCGGGACACATGCAAGGGAACAAAAACTAGTCCAAAAAATAAACTCAGGAACTAAGTGGAATGCCAGACCATGCGACTACCCCAGAAACAACTGTCGTTCGCGCCAGCGCCGGCAATGCTCGAGAATCGCCACTTGAGTCGCGCCGAGGCCGCGTGTTTGTTGTTCTCCTAAGGCTGCAAGGCTGCAAGGCAACGAGGCAGCGAGTGAGACCCGTTCCCAAAATGGTTTAGCGGCTACGGCGGCCGAGTCTTGCCGATCCGCGCAGTTCGAGAAAATGAGTCGGTTGCGCACTCCAGGGGCTTCAGGGGGGACAAGCTGGGGGGATCCAGAGACCCAGCGCGACAGGTCCCAACCTATTTACTGAAGGTCTAAGCAGACGGCCGGACACAACAGCAGTAGATTGGAGATGAAGTGGATGACGCTGGGCTGGAATCCTCGATGGTAAAAAAATAAAAAAAATAAAAAATAAAACGAAAAAACCAGTTGGAAAATCTCCACATCACGTGAGCCGATCGGGGGCCACTATAGATTGAGTGGAGATTTAGATTTATTATTTTATTATTTTATATTGTGTGTTTGCAGCTTATATTCTATTGTACATTTTATTGCCAGTCTTGCTTCTGTACCTGACTTTGCTCGGTTATGTCTGGTTATGTTCCGCAATCCTTGCCAAAGTATACACGTATAGTGCAACCCAGGAAAGTCTCTGCAAACTATACATCACGCTGCTTTTCCTACATCTTTGTCTTCTTCAATCCCCAGATCTGCCAAACAAGGTGCGAAGAAGAGCTTGCCTGAAACAATCCCCTTCAAAGTCCCGAGACTAACTATGACCCACAAAACTACCACAAAGAGGGAGAGGATCTGCTTTCGTTAGCCAACTTAAACCCTGCACTACACCCGACATGTATCATACCGTGCCAAGAATATTAAAGAATTTGGATGGAAGTTCACTGCCCATCTGGCAGGTACTAAGAGCAAATACGCCCAACGGGAATGTGAAACCCCACCATCCAATATTGAAGGGGAATTTCTTGTTGTGGGCGATCGAGGCAATGGCGAAGAAGAGCCAAACCAATCCAAATGACCACAACAGCAGTGCAACCAAGAAACCCAGAGTGTATAACGTGGGACCAGATTCTGCCTGGAGGGTATGAGTCTTGGGAAAGATTTCCTGAGCACATTGTCCCAGTTTCATCACTCTATACAGCTGTCAACGCATTCACATGAAACATTTGATATAGACTTTACTCACCCATATCCACCTGTTCCTAATGGGCCCAGTGGCAGAAAAACGCTAACGATGACAGTCTTGGGCGGCAGTTTGTGGAGCACGAGACGCTGGAGGTAAATCACCAAGACCATCAATGCAAGGGGGAGTCCTATACCCCACAGAACATAACTGGCGATCACTGTCCACAGGGCATGTTGAGGATTGGGAAGTATCTCAGCCACAATGGCACCCGACGCGGCGGCGACAGTACAGGTGACAATAGGGAGAAGCCAGACAGCAGTCATGGAGGATAAATGCATCTCTCCACCATTAGCCATTCTAAAGAAAGATTAGTGACTGAAACGAACATGCGCTTGGAAGGGCTCACAGTATAAACGGCAGAGAAAGAGCAGTCAGCACTGAAACCACCGCATCGAAAACCCACAGTCCCCATGCGAAGTATGCAGCCCATTTATCCCACACGGGGACGCAGACTAGACAGAACATGTTGACGATTGTAGCAAGGCCCATAGGGAATGTACCTATGAACATGGACTGTACCGGATGCTGGATCATAGCCTTGAATACCTCTGGATACAATGTGTATCGCAGGGTGGAGATGATAGATGCAGTAATAAAAAAAAGCACATTCAAGGCAAATATCACAACAGAAGCCCAATATAGCCAGTTCCCATTGTAGGGCAAGCTGTGCAGTAGGAGAGACACGATCCCCGTACCCATAGTTACAGAGAACCATCTTAATATGTTAACAAAGAGAATTCAATTCCAGTGATGTACTTACGACGGTGTAAAGTTGCGCACGACTTTCCTCCAACCGTGATCATATTTTGAGGGTTGCAATCCTGCGTTCTTGCATGGTAACTCGGTGGCGTTGGATGCTTGACAAGCAGACACCTGAGGTGCCATTTTGAAGCCACCCTCGATGATACTCTTCTCAGCAGTCAGTCACTAGTGATCTGTTTGGAATTGACGAAATTTTAGACTCGGGATCTCACATTCGGGATTTTCGGCCGGGATGGCAGAACTTTCGCATCCACTTTGACTCCACATTCCATTGCCATTTTGGGACTGAAATTGACGTTAATATATCTTCAGTCTGATATCAGAATTACAATTATGTTATGTGCTTGGTTTACTTTGTACAAAAGGGCAGATAATTTCACGGGAACTATAAAGGGCGGAATTATATTTCTGGTTGTCTTCCATGATATCATCAGATCTGAAACGTTAGTCGACTATTTCAAATCCCGAAGAGGTAATAATTCAAGAATATGCGAAAAACCCCAGCCATACTACTTGAACTAATTTTTTTCTAGATCACCTGGAAGAGTGGCTAAGCTTTATGTCATAAATCGACAAATAGATCTACATTTACCCAGGTGTCAGGTCCTAATCAGCTTGGCGGCCATGTCGGATACATTCAATGGTAGTTCAGACAATCAAACCAACTAAAAACCCCGTATTTTGGATCAAATACCCCGCAATAACATCATCTATGAAACCACGGGTATACACGACCCCATAGTTTCCATCGGCAGTGAATAGGAACCCCTATCGGATAGAGAACCTTAATCCTGGTGGAGAGCCGTAATTCCGGGAAATGCTGTATGACGCAGTCAAGAGTAAGAAGAAATGGATAGATTGAAGTATCAACTGTGCTTTCTAAATTTGTCTTCTTCATTTATATTACGTTCGCATATCGCATCATGTCTACTACCAGTGCATTGGTTGTTCAATCTGCCGGGGCTGAGCCTCAACTTTAGACTGTCACCTTGGATTCGCTACAGGAAAACGAGTTGAAGGTTCAGATACATGCTACTGGTGTTTGTCATACTGATCTGGCTTGTATGGTGGGACACTTGCCGGTTGAATTTCCGATTGTGTTTGGTCATGAAGGTTTATGATACAGTGGGCTCCTCCCACGCACGGATATTAATACTTGGCATAGGCGCCGGAGTCGTCCTTGAGACAGGCAGCGGAGCTAAAGATATCTAAGTCGGCGATAAGGTCCTTCTCAGTTACAATTTCTGTGGTGAATGTGGCCAATGTACTTCGGAATTTCCTGCATACTGCGAAAAGATCATGCAGTTGAATTTTGGAGGGAAGGCGACTAGATGGGACAAGTGCTCTCCATCTATCTCTGATCAAGGCCAGGAAGTATTGTCCAATTTCTTTGACTAAAGCTCCTTTTTCCAAATCGCTATTGTTAGCACGTCTTCGGCTGTTAAAGTTCCATCAGACACAGACCTCCGACTATTCGCCCCACTCGGCTGTGGGATGCAAACTGGAGCTGGGGCAATTCTCAACACTCTCAACGTGAGGCCTGGGACCACAGTGGCGGTCTTTGGAACTATGTGTTGGGCTCGGTGCGGTTATGGCTGCTTAAATCCGGAAAAGCAGGATCATCATCGCTGTGGGTCGTCGACCTGAACGGTTGGATTTGGCTCGGGAGCTGGGTGCTACTCACGCATTCCAGGGTAATGATCCCTCAAGCTTTGATCACGGACCTTTGTGGGTCGTCGCTTGGTGTCCACTTTGCGGTGGATTGTTCTGGTGCTATTCCTGTCATTGCAAATATGATCGCCACTCTGGAGATTCGTGGAAAGGCTGCTAGTGTTGGGGCTCCGGCTCCGGGGAAGAAGGTTGAGATAGACGTTTTCTCGCTTCTGACCATGGGTCGTCAGTATGTTCGGTGTCATCAAGGCGACAGTATCTCGACAAAGGTTTGTCTCCTGCCATATTGCGGCACGGTGTGTATTAACGGATTACAGACTATTCCGTACCTGATGGAACAACATGCCCAAGGTAATTTCCCGCTGGAAAAATTGATCAAGGTCTATGAATGAAAAGGCTTTTTGCAAGCAGTTCAAGATATGAAGGATGGCAAAGCCTTGAAGCCTGTTCTCAAGTGGGTTTGAAGTACAAGACAATCCTAAAAATCTTGGAAATCGTTAATGGGTATTTTTGCAGTCATGACCAAGACCGCAGAAGAAGATGTGAAAAAAATAGGTGTACTTGATTACTGTAGAAGACGGATGATAAGTCCATCGGTATTGGCTTCAGATGAGGCCAGGCATCTATAAGTACATGTCAAATATTTATGGAACAGAAAGTCAACAGACATATCTTTCTGATATCACCCCCATAATCTATTTACAGACAAAGGAAGAAGCCTTATTAGAGTTACCACCGACAAAGGTCATGACCTTAGGCCAAGGGCACAAGCCAGCGGTGCGCAATGGCGGCTGCGCACCTCCAGTAGCGGAAGGCGTAGCAACAGCGTTGAGAGTCTCAGGTGCAACACCATTCTCAACCCAGTCCATCAGAGCCTTCATGCTTTCACCCGGATACCAGCCAGGTCCACCACTGCAGTGCTCCACACCCGGGGCAGGGAAGAACCGGTAGAAGTCATAGGCCTTTGGGTCACGCTCCAAGACCTGGCGGTAGTAATGCTCGGTACCGTTGAAGAAGATAAGCTGGTCCTTCATGCCGTGCCAGCTAATCATCTTTCCGCCAGCTTCCTTGAACCGTGTGAGATCGGTATCGCGGGTTCCAATGGCCGAAGCATACTCGTTGACTGATTGGCGGAACAAGTTGTCGAATTGTTCGTAGCCAACAGTTGAGATGTCGAAGGTGCTATTTTTTTCAAGGAACAATTGAACCCACTGCGAGGAGATAGAGAAGGGGAGAGATTTGCAGTCTGTGAGAGATGTGCAGTTTGTTCCGCCAAGGTAGATGAGAGGAGATCCATAAGGAAGGCCGTACCAGAGGGCAGATCCATCCGAGGCCTTTGCACCAGACCAAATGGCAGCCGCAATTTGAGCGGCCTTCTTTGAGATCTTGATTATCCCGTCAGGAGATGTGCACTTTACAGTCTTGCCGACAACGGTCAGGGGGTCGAAACGGCACAGCCCCTCCATGGAGATGATGCCGTCTTTAACGCCGTCTAGCTCGTCACAAGCGTCGACTGCACTCTGAGTGAGAGCGTTCATTTCACAAGACGAGGGATAATGCTCTGTTTTCACTAATCAGCAAAGATATCTTGAGTGATTCCTATGGGAAAAAGTCGAGAATTTACCAAGTTCCTTCATCATGACCTGAGGCCAGTACTCAGCAGGGATGAACTTGTCCCAATTGATAGCAGGAGCTCCAGCCAGGATACCGTCATACTGAGTAGGGTATCTTTGGGCCATCATATGTCCCTGTCGACCTCCAGTCGAACATCCGTTCCAGTAGGAGTACTTGGCTGGACGACCATAGAATATCTTTGTAGCAGCCTTGCCCAGCGAAGCAGCATCATCAAGTGCAACAGAAGCAAAATCATTCAGGTTAGGCCAGTTTACATTGCCCTCGCTGGCCAGAGCCCAAGACTCGGTAGTAGCAGACGCGCCGTGTCCACCGTCGGTGGATACAGAAGCAAATCCTTCAAATGCAGCCTGGCTGTTATGGACCAATTTACCGGTAGTATAGCCACCACCACCCATACCTGTGAATCTTTCATTCCAGGAATCCATGGGCAAGGTGATCCACGTGGTAACTTTGTCCTTCCAACCTGGGTGGGTATAGTTCACGGTCAACTGGCAAACTGACACAGTGCCGTTCTTGGTGATTCCGTAGGAATTGGTCAGATCGGAGGTGGATGGCCAAGCGACGTGTTTGGAGGTGACATCAACAGAGGAAATCTTGATGTTGGAAAGATCCAGGGAGAAAAAGGTTTCCGAAGTACAAGGTTTAGAGCCACTGACGCTTGCCGCAGCTACACCAAGCTGGGCCACAACCAGGTACGCGAACTTTGAGAGCATTTTGAAGAGGTGAAGATGAAAAGATCGATCGGGGAAGAGACCCACAGGGAGAAACTCTTCAAGATAGAATTCAGTGCTTAGGGCCTATATCCGTGGTGTCGAGGATCGACACAAGATATGCCCAAAAAAGTAGCTAGCTTAAATAACTGTGGATTTCGCTCTTTGCTATTTTCAAAGGATAGAATGGCATTCTCCGTAAGCGGAGGGAAGTAAGCATCATTTTATATACGATGGAGTTTGGTGTCTTACTTCCGAAATCGGATAGCGTGTCTGGGGTACATATAGAAGACGGGGTAACGGGTTAGAGTATCGGCATGTAGCTATGCAGATTGACGACAGGGGAATTCTGCTGACTGGAGATGACATCAGCCACAACCCAATTCGGTCTGGGCATTTGCAAACCTTGAAAGATTTGCCGAAGCTTTGCCGACCTCCTTTTTGCAAATTGGGGCATGATCGGCCGGAGATTGATGTGGGGCGATCTGTAGATGAACTCCTGGAGATCCGAACAGCTTATACTTGCAAGATGCCTGGAAATGTTAATTCTTTATTATGTTGTTACTAAGGGATATATACTTCGTAACTATAGAGCATAACGTTGATGTATCGCAACCTTTCAATTGATGTAGAAATATATATCCCGGAATCATGCAGCACACCGAAGAATACCCTGCTTCGAGCGCAGTCTGCAATCCAATTCGTCAATACCGTCTTGGTCAAAGGGGCTTTTGCGAAATCATCAAACGAGTCCGCAGCGGTAACCGGGATAAAAGACTTGATAATAGCTGCCCCCTCTGCCGCGCACACTATTTATCTTTGAATGCACACTTCGATTCCATAACGGCCCATCCGTTATATCCGTACTGCATGAACTTCCCGAAAATACCCTTGAAATCAACCTGGCCATCACCCAAGGCTTTAAATCTTCCGGCTCGCTGAGTTCAGTCCGCAAATCCACCATAAACACCTTGGCGGCCGTCTGGTCGGAACTCGGCATCCTTCACGTGGAATGCTTTGATCCGGTCGTGATATACATCGAAAAATTGAAAGATAGTCCAGGCATTGGACTACAAAGTGACTGGGATCAAAGAGAATGCATGCTCGTGGATGGTGATCCACAGCTTCCAAGAATCGTTCAAAGGAGACACGATCATGCAGGTCCTCGCCGGGATGAGTTTCATAGCAGAGATCCACACCGCATTCATCAAAAATTCGAGAATTGGTTTCCAGCGAGCAGCTAGCTCTTTGAATGCTGTCTCCACAAGACCAGCGGGACGTTGGGGCCAGGGATAGAAAATAGAAATAAGGCCAGGCAAGTGCACCAGAGAAAGTAGCATGTACTTTGCAGTTAAGGTTTTTGGACGCTTTAGCAGCCAGACAGAGAGTCTCAGTTACCCATTGTTGTCTAGCTCTGGGATCATTGTGCAAGTGTTCGGGTGCAAATCCATCGAAAAAGGGCGGCATAATGAAGATGAGAGGACAGCTCTGTCAACGCAGTTTCGTATGTGCTTAATATATCCTAGAGTGACTTGCAATAATCTAGGTTTGTGGCGGCTTGTTCGATGTCGATGAGTCGTGGGTCTATGGGTAGTTGAATGCCTTGGTAACCATGACTGGACGCCCATTTGCATATACCTTAGATGGACGCCCATCAGAGAGGTACTTGGCAACAAAAATAGCCGGTCATTTGATATCTGGTCTGCTCATCATGACTAGAAACCGTGTATATATTGTTCAAGTGATGAAGTTGGAATGGCCATGGCGGGGTTTATGCAGGAGCAAATATAATCCGACATGGTGCCGATTTACAACGAGAGTACGGCAAACCCTAGAACATTAACAGTAAAACAATTGAATTCATTTTCTCGTAAAAGAGGCCTAACTATGGTTTATCTTTGGCTATAGCCCTGGGAGCAGACGGCATCAAAGCACCTTCAGAAGGCTTGTTTTTGCTCTTGAAATCGTCGCTCATTTGCTCGAATGTCACCCATTCCACTCCTTCGTGTTTGTTGATATATTCAATGAGTCTGTCAAAGGATAAATGGTATGGTCTGAAAGAGATCTGCCGCCACAACTCACCTTTCATGCATGAGCAACACATGGGCCCGACCGGAGACATCGGGATGGATTGTCATTGGGAAGACAAACTCGTCATACTCTCGGTAAAAGTAGTCGAAGTGATCCTTTATAGCGGGTTAAGTCAGCCTTGATATTGAAAAGAAAAGAAATCATGGACCGACCTTCCAGATATCCTCAACATCGCGGGGATTTACCCAGCCATGACTATTGGCCGAGTTCTTGATAAACATCATCGGAGGTAGATCATCGATGTACCAACTACCAGGAATTTCAACAAGGCCAGTAATCTTGCCTCTTACCAAAGGCTTCATCCATGTCTCCGCCTTCTGGCTGTAATCAATCCTCGTCCACGTATCTCCAGTGCGCAGCCAGTACATCTGACAATCTTCATGCGACATGGAATGATCATACTCGATTCCATATGCCAGCAGAAGATCAACCATCTCAGCACTAGACTCCCACCATGGCGCGACGATGCCACGTGGAGGCTTTCCACAGAAAGTGGTTAACAAATTGTATGTTTTATCGAGGATGTCGCGCTGCTGCTCGGTTGAGAGACTGGATGGATTTTCGTGGGTATAGCCGTGTAATCCGATCTCGTGTCCTGCATCGCGAACCATTGCGCACTCTTCTGGGAAGGTCTCGAGGGAGTGACCAGGGATGAACCATGTTGCCTTGATCCCGTACTTTTCCAATAGCTTCAGCACTCGTGGTGTGCCGACGTGTCCTGCCCAAAGACCTGCATTTATTCATCATGGTTAGCCATTGATTCTATTGAGAACTGGAGAATTTGATACCTCGGCTAATGTCACTGACACTGTCCTCGCCTCCGTATGAACCCAGCCATCCAGAGACTGCGTCAATGTCGATGCCGTACCCAACGAGAACGCGCTTCTTGCCCATATTGCCTAATTGATCGGATTGAATTGGAGATCGAAGAAACGATTGTAAGTTTCACTCACTAGAATTGCAGGCGAAAAGATGTCAGAATGAAAGAGACCTTCGGAATATTTATGAGAGCTCCCCCAACCCCCCTCAAAGGCACCTTGGCTCACAAGGGTGGGGGTCGGCTCTCCCCCTACTCTGCAACTTTCAGATAGTGGTGATACGGTAGATATGAATCGCAGAGCTTGGATTACAGGAATGAAATTGACATGCCCAGAAACACGGCGTGTTGCTATAAGGTGCAATTGATAAACATACTCCAGTTTAACCCCATGTTCGACTTTGTCTTCTAATATTGAGAAACAGCTTTTGAGGTTGACCTTTACTTTTTTCTGTTTCATTTGGAGTTCAGGACTACGTTATTCGTAGAGACCAGACCGCTGTGAAAACTTCCAAACTAACGTGAATGTGAATTCAAATCTGAGATTTACATTAGTATCCAAACACCTATAATGTCAACCCATCGAAGAAAGCTCTTGTAGTTCCTTATTCATATTTGATTATCTCAGGTAATTTGCTATATGAGAAATGACCCGTTTAAAAAAACTCAAAGCTTTCCCTTCACGATGACCGAGCTTCCAGCGTCAAGATATTCCATCCCACCATAGATATCACGTTGTAGCCTGCTTGTATTAACCTATCAGAAGATTATTAGCATTTTCCCACGAGATCTGTGGCGAAAAATATTCATCTCACAAGATGGGGACCAAGGTCCTCCACAGTCTTCGCACCAAGTAGACGCATGCATGTCTTCATCTCGTCAGATAGAACTAAGAATCAATATTTTACGTTAGTAAAAGGCACTGCAAGAAAGAAATTAAGACATTACAGACTCTGTAAAGTCCGTTCAACTCCCTCAACGCCACCAGCCGCGAGTCCCCAAAGCGCCGGTCGACCAATACCAACACCTTTAGCACCTAGACACATTGCCTTCACGGCGTCTGTACCTCGGCGTATTCCACCATCTACCCAGACCTCCAGTTTGTCGAATACACGTGGGCAGTACTTTCTGATTTCGAGAAGAGTGTGAACAGCAGGGGGTGCTGTATCGAGCGATCGTCCTCCATGATTCGATAAAACGATAGCCTTGACGAACGGTGCATGTTGCGCCGCCATGAGAGCATCCTCATGCGTTTGAACTCCCTTTAGAACAATTGGCATTGTAGTATGTTCCGATAGCCATTCCAGCGTCTCCGTCCATGTGAGGAATGGATCGGTCCCGGCAAACAGCTGAGTGCTTACGCTTCCAGTGGAATGAAACTGAATATTGAGTCGTTCGTCGTCTTCCCTTTTGCCGGAGACTGGTGCGTCGAGTGTCAAGACAATAAACTTGATTCGACCCAAACGATTGATGCGTGCTAGCATCTCTTCACTTGATTTCCGGTTTAGCTGGACATAGAGCTGCCACCCGAATACCTGTGTTTCTGGTGCATCGGCAACAACTTGTTCCGGAGACAAAGAGGAATTAGTCGCGATGATTTGTAGACTCCCAAAAGATCGACATCCCTCGGCGATTCCCTTCTCGCCAGCTGGATGTCCCAGTCGTGCCATCGCAGTTGGGCTTATAAATATCGGGAGGCCGACTTTGTTTCCCAAAAGTGTTGTTTCCAATTCGCATATTCGGCAGTCGACGAAAATCCTCGGTCGGAATAGGATTGAGCGGTAAGCTTCGGTGTTGAGAAATTTCGAGATCTTGTCGTCTGCTGCTGTAGTATGCCCATGCCTTTTTATTGATGACTCGTGTCGCCTCCTTTTCAATCTCGTTCAAGTTCAGCAAAGTTAACATAGATGACTGAGGCTTCGTAAGAAGGCTCAGGATCAATGGCGGAATAAGAGTCATCCTGTGGCTCTACAGGACCCAGATGTGTTGCTTCAATGTCTTTCAAGGTTTCAGGAGGATGAATTAGGTCAAAGTCTTCAGTCGCATCTCGTCCGGCAAATCGTAATATTGCTTGCGCTCCGCCAGGATGACTCTGAAGTAAACCTGTAGCCTCGTTGCTTTTAGAATTCAGCAGATTAATGATCGCCGGGAAGAGGTTCGTACATTGTAGACATTTCCATACAGAATTACCCAGCAGCTTTTATCACTGTTATGCTTTGACACTGATTCCATGAGTTAGAGAGCATGTTTTTTGAAAGCGTTAGCGCTTACCTTCAGACTGGGTAATCATGGTGATTGAATTGTCAGATTCAGTCGAGTACGACCACAAGATTTGTACTAATATCCTGAACTCTTTGTGTGAACAACACAATATGATAATCCCACTCGATTGGAAGAAGCTTGAGCACCCCCACTTTCATATTATAGTACTTATTGCAGGTCGAGGTGTAGCGTCTCCGAAAGCTATCAACCCCCATCTTTATCCGAGCATCGGGATCCACACTACATAGCAATAACGAACAGAATCAACGTTGATTGAAATCATATCATCCAATTTGCTCTGTTAAGTTCGCCCAAACTTCCGTGCTCTCAAGTTCTTATCAATTACAAAGCGTCATGACCGTGGGTCTCAAATGGCAGGCCAAGACAGAAGACCCCCACAGTAACCCACAGTGCAGCACTGGCATAGATTGGAGCACTGGTAAATCCAGTCTGCGAGGATATGACACTGGCAACAAGTCCACCCAACCGAAGAAGGGCTGCAGCGGTTCCGACGCCAGTGCCGCGATGAGGGGCTGGGAATGACTCGGGCGTAAATGCGTACATGATCGCATACTCTGAGTGTAGAATTAGAAAATGCCTTCTTATGGATAGTAAATAGATTTACTTACCAAAGTTAGCTAGAAGACTGGTAATGCAGGAAAAGGCCAGATCGGCAGCTGGGCTTTTGACGCCCACATAGGCGAAGAGGAAGACGGCGGTGACAACAGCGGAAATTCCCATCATCCAGCGTCTTCCCAAGCGGGTATTGACAGATACTGCAGCGGAAAGTGGACCAACAATACCAACTGCTGATGTGATGCAGTAGTTGCGGTACGTGAGGTAGAGAGATGAGTTCTCGGTGAACTTGGTTGCTAGGTAGGATGGCAAGAAAGCAAAGAAGAGCGGGTATGCGATTCCTTAAATCAATGTCAGTATCAACCTCATGGGGCAGATATTCAGAGATTGACTTACCAACAGTCAACCAGATGGCCCAGATGATAATTGTTTGTCTGCCGAGTGTTGGAGTAGCAAACAAAGCTTTGTAATGCTCGCCCCTGAAAGCCTGCATGTTCTCTTTGACAATTTCCTTCGTCGTCATGCGGGTTGTTTCGCCTTCTTCGTGAAATGGGCTTCCCATTCGAATATCGATCTCCTGGAGCATTGCTATTGTCAAGGGCTCTGGTTTGCCATTTTGTCTTGCGACGTGGTTGACAGCATCCACTGCCTCCTGATCCCTGCCTTGAGAGAGAAGATATCTTGGAGTTTCGGGTAATTTGAAAATGAAGATGCGAACGAAGGTGAATGTGAGGGCTAGACCACCGAGGGTAATCAGGGTATATCTCCTATTGATGTGTTAGCAACGAAGAGGCCTGAGATGGGCGGCACTCCTACCATCCCATATTTTGGCTGCGAGAACAAGTCTCTGGTGTAGTGTCGGTCGGACAGCTGAAGTTTGCCAGGAAGACCCAAGCGATTAGCGAAACAATCAATTGACTTAGGTTCCACCAGGCTGAGAGAGCCGTGAGAAGGTACTGATGGCTTATAAGGGTTAGCAGGACGAAAAGAATTCTTTGAAAACCACTTGCCTTCCAGGCACAAATTCTAGGAAGATCATTGAATCAACCGGGACGTTTCCACCGGCGGCTGTTCCGATAACGGCCCAAAGAGCACTAAAGGCGATGAAGTTCATCGACCCAGCAGCTGCACAAAGAAAAACTCCAGCAATGAGCAGGGTACAATTGAATGCGGGCTTACGGCCCATCAAATCACTGGAAAGACCCCAAAACGAGGCACCAAGAATAAGCCCAACATAGTAGGCCACTGAGCTGTAACTGACTTGCACAATGTCGAAGAACTCCTGTTTGATGGGCGGTTGAACACTTCCGATACCTTGAGACGCAAACTTCCCAAATAATTTAGCGCAAGTAGTGGAAAGGGGGTAAAGAGGTAGATCTTACATTGTCAACAATCCATCCAAAGCCAGTCACCACAAACAGTTTCCATTGAAACCTAGTACTGTCAACATTTACCTGTCATAAACCGAGTGGACGAGAAACGATATACATACCAGCCCATCCCAATCTCCTCCATAAATTTACCGACCAACTCAGACTTTAGACGATATGACTGTGTAGTAGAAGAGCCATAGAAATTCTCAACCTCCAAGTCATCTATCGTAGTAATTTTGCCAACATCATGGTCCAGACTTTGATCCTGATCTGGCTGAGCACATTTCTCATTGGCCTGAATGTCATCCATAGTGAATGTGAATTCTTGCTGAAATTGAGGAATTCCTGCTCATCGCAAGCATGATGCCTCGAATACTGGTCCCTTTTAGGGCTCTGTGTTATACTTGCCTAACTTGTGATTGGCTATAGCTATCTGACAGTTGATCTGATAGAGGCCAGACTTTGGGGAAGATTACTAGTGCCAAGGGTGGGATGGACGATATGCTATCCCCCTCCCACTTTTAATAGATCTGGGGATGTGCAGGGATATCTTCGAGTAAGTGCATTACATCACTGCAGCAATGGAATACGACTGGGTTACGGAAATTCATTTATTATTCCCAAAGCTTCATCTATATATATATTTATATAGATTTGCACGTGGTGAACGAACGTAGAAGGAGTGCAAAAGTCCAATTTCAATTTAGTTACAAAGCTGACAATAAATTTTAAGCACCAACTGCTGCAACGGCGGGCAATGGCTCCGGCTTCTTGCCTTCCAAATCCTTCTTGTACTTTTCTGCCCGGCCATAGCTCTCCTTGTAAGAGGCAGTAACCATATCCTGCACTGTAATTGGTCCGTACTTGGCGTGCTCTCCCTCTTCACGACAGTTAGGCAAGCACTCGCAAATGTAGTCTGGGTTTCCACTGAAAAAGAAGGGAATGGAGTACCGCTCCCGGGCAGATTTGTTGATGACCCGATGAGTGTTAGATTTGTACTTGTCATTTGCCATGCGCATGAATAGATTGCCCAAATTCACCACATAGGCGCCTGGAACCGGTTTGACCTATTACTTGTTAGCTAGATCTAGAATATATTGTAGTTCGGGACTCACATCTAGCCATTGTCCAGTTGGAGCATCCAATACTTGCAACCCATCCACCTCATCCTGTAACAGCAAAGTAATGCATCCGAAATCGGTATGCGCTCCAATTCCACGGTTCAATTTCTCATCAGTATCCTTCGGCTGAGCCGGATAGTGCAGGTATCGCATCGTAGCGACTGCGCCATCAGTGAGGGGTTTAAAAAATGTCGATTCCACTCCAAGTGTTTGCGCGAGCACTCCCAGAACATTTTCGCCAGTTCGAATACTTCGTGATAGTATTCCATAGTTGTCTTTTGGAATTCCTCCTTCTCCGGTACAGTCAGGGGCCACTGGTTGGGGCCACTGTTCAATTTATTTTCGAGGTAATATGGGTGGTCTGTGGGAATTTCTTCGCCAATGTATAGGCCTTCTTTGAGCTCGGGGCCGGTGCCTACCTCGAGCATTTGCGATCGCAGGAGTTCGTAGCCTCTGTTAAAAGAATTGTGGTCTATTTCCGTCAGTATTTTGCATGAAATAAATTTGAGTCAATGCCTACTCTTGTCAATCTTGAGTTTCTCCTCCAGAGGAAGGTCGAAAAAGCGCCTTGAACAATTCATCACGCGGCGCTGTAAGTCAAGCGGAACGTGGTGACCAGTAATTTGGAAGAATCCATTGTAGTGGCAACACTTGCGCACTTCGTCGATCAATTTCGACTTTGCTTCACTGTCTTCTCCATAGAAAGGAGAGAAATCTAGAATTGGTGCGGCGGCGGGCGTAGACATTGCAGCTACACAGTCGGTAGAGGAATACAGTTTGCGTTTGCCTTCGAGAAATGATCCCGCTCGAATATATTTCCCCAAAAGCCATCCTAGACTACCCCGACCATCTTCGTTTTCGCAAAGAACTCCGACATCCCCACGCCACTTGATGTTCTTGGATTTGTTAAGGATGGGGGTGGTGTTGGGATGTCAAAGATGGGGGCGAACGCGTCTTCCCGTCCCGATAAGAGGGCGGGGGTAGTAGGGGGACTTGAGGTGATCCAATCTATCTGTACTTCAATTGGTCGTATCTAATAGTTCTTTTTATTGAATGTTGAAAGTTGTACATGGCTGTCAGGTGTCAAGGGATTGGAATGTTGTACATTGTGTAAACTATTTATAAGAGTCCGATCGCGTCGACTTCGCGTCAGACTTTGCATAGCTATTCAATCCAATATGTCTGAACCCAAATCATATGATGATGTCAAAGTCATAGACCCCGAAATAAATAATGGAGAAAATGCGCCATATACAGACCATGAAGCCGAAAGATCCTATGTGAAGAAGATTGACTATATCGTACTACCTGTGCTATGTTTGGTGAGTGTTCTATCTTCAGCTCCACACGAAAAAAAATCGCTGATTAATAATACTTTATGCGATATAGATATACTTTTTTGACTGCATGGACCGAGTATGTATTGAGATCTGTCGTTTCCGAAGCCTGCTAACGGGGCCAGAGCAATTTGGCAAATGCAAAGACAGATGGGCTTGACGAAGATTTGCACCTGGTGGGAAATGACTATTCCCTCTTGATTCTTCTTTTTTATATTCCATTTGGTATATTCAACTTGCCATGGAATCTTCTAATTAAGCGATATTCTGGTCGACTCACGCTCTCATCCAGTGAGTTTATCGATACTTCTCCAGATTTGATATGCTTGAAGGCTGATTGAAATCACAGTGTCTGTTGCGTGGGGAATATTAGCTCTCTGCCAATGTGCTGCTAGAGGCTTCGGCTCTCTGCTTGCAATTAGACTTATACTCGGCGTCTTTGAGGCTGGCTTCTTTGCAGGCGCGACATTTTATTTGACACTATTTTATACTCGCGGAGAAATGGGATTTCGCTTGGCTATCATACAATCCTTTGCTGTTCTAGCTTCTGCTTTCAGTGGGCTCATCTCTTTTGGATTATTCCAAATTAATGACCCAGCTGTGAAGGGATGGCAATGGCTCTTCATCATCGAGGGATCAATGACCCTTATTACAGGAGTTGGTGGTTTCTTCTTACTACCGGGCAGTGCACCAACAGCCTGGTTCTTGAGCGACAGGGAGAAGGCAGCGGCGACAGTACGTCTTCTTCGCGACACTTCATCCGAAGTCAACACTAGGTTTGATCTGAAAGCTTGCTTTGAGTCATGGAATGACTGGAAGTTCCCGGTTTGGTGCTTTATCACTTTCACTTACCCTGTTGCCTATGCCACTGCGATGAATTTCTTCCCCTTGGTAAGTCTGCAGAAAACCATTTCATACATCAACTAACGAAAGAAGATTGTTCAACGACTGGGATACTCGGTAGTGAAGACTGACCTTTGGACTGTTGCACCCAACCTCGTGGGGGCAGTCTTCCTGCTATGTGTCGCCAAATGCTCTGATTATTTCCGAGAGAGAACGTTCCATATCATCTTTTCATTGACAGTATCACTGGTTGGCATGATCATATTGACTGCTATCGATGTGGAAGGGAATAAAGGCGTGGCATACTTCGCCTGCTTCCTCATGGCAGCTGGCTCATACATACCATCTTGTCTTGTTCATGCATGGCATAACAATAACAATGTCCATGAAAATTCCCGTGCTGCCAATACGGGATTCTTTGTTGGTTTGGGAAATCTAGCAGGTATATTGAGTGCAGGAACGTTCCGAACACAATATGCGCCCAAGTAAAAGACCTGGCCCATTCAAAAGCAAACTTACTAACATGTTCTAATAGGTACTTGCCGACTCTCATCGCAACATGCTGCTGTAACGCAGTTTGCATTGTTCTAGTGCTTGGACTCGGCAGCTGGATGCGCATGGAAAACCGCCAGCGAGACAAAAAGCAGGGTCAAACTATTAGAGAAGCTCAGATTGACACTAGCCGATTTCAAGAGGGAGAGAACAGTCCGGAATGGAGATATTTCCCCTGATCTAGGAGATGTCTATGATTTCATTGAGTCGCGAAAAGATTGCAACATAACTAACAGATTTGATACATATTACGACTTAATGCGATAGTTCACACAATTGATAATGTCTTACCGGCCACTGATAGAAAATCCCGCGACCTGGCTAGTTTTGCCTCTTCACTACCCACAGAAACATTTAAATACTGTAGGTTCTAAATTCCTACATATACTACCCGATGCAGCCATGACAAATGCACTGCAGGTTGTGATAAGCGAACACATACCAGGGCGAAGTATACCAATCACCCGTCAGCGCCACGCCTGCCCCCGCATCCTTATCAGCTGCTCTCGGTCTTGACTCCGAACTGTCGAATTTATCTTCAAGAATGGGGAGCCTTTTCTCTTGTATAATGCATTCAACTCAATATGAAAAATCATGCATGCCAGCATCCCGGGTGTAGCAAAAGCTTCACCCGTGCAGAACACTTGCGCCGACATGCGTTCAACCACGAGCAGCCGCGCAATGGATATACTTGTGAGCGGTGCTCTGTTCATTTCCAGCGTCCTGATTTACTAGGTGTGAATTGTTTGTGATAACCTAGTTGAAGTCGTGCTAATTGTTATAGCGCGACATATGGAACGGCATACGAAACGCGACCAGGAAGCTGGAGGACCAGGACAAGGCTTACTCAAGACGCGAAAGAGGACCAGACGGGCGGAAGATGGTTCTATCGTTGTACGGCCTTCACAGCGACAAATTAGAAACGCATCGAATTCCACGGGCACCGCGAACAGCTCTGGTCAGGATTTAGAAGAGTATCAACAACCTGAGGGGACTGGTCTCCCTATATCACCACCTGGCTCGGGTACGGATCCAACATCAACTGAACTAGATGAGACAGACCCATTCCTAGCACCTCTCATCCCCATCGGTTCTTTTGAACCATATGTTGAGCCGATTCCGGGACAGTTTGATGCTGCAGATGGGTCATCCAATGTTGAGCTTGATGGAATAGGCGATTATTTTGGCATGGACACAGGTATGCCTGGAATTACCTGTAGGAAATGCTCAATCCTGATATTAATAGCAACCGACTTCAATCTACCATTTGCTGCGACTTGCAACTACAACTGGCTCTTTGACGTTTCCTCCCTCGACGACGCTTTCCACCAATTTGACTCTTCCATTGGATTCGATGTAGTCGCATTTCAAGAAATGACAAATAACATTCCAACGGAGCAGCCAGATGAGAAATATGACGGCCCTTCGGCGCTTTTGATGGCATCCATTATAGACAGAGAGCCATTTCAGCAATCTACCTCACCCGTCCTCCCCAGTCTCCCCGATTTGGACTGGATGTCAGGGCCTGTCATGCTAGATCCAAACACTCCGCCTCGCCTACCACAGATATCAGGAGAAGCCCGAAAGGGAATCATGTCTGTCGTAGCACATGCGCGCCCAACAAATATCGATGGACAACCCATGCTTCTCGAATCGCCTCTTCTGTCACTAGCTGCACTCCAGAGCTACAGTGACCTCTTCTTCGGCCGTTTTAACACTACATACCCATTAATCCACCAACACACATTCAACCCAAACACTGCAGCACCAGTCTTCCTCGCGTCTATTCTCTTTATGGGTGCAACGTACAGCACCCGCGAAGCCCACCAACTAGCAGTTGAAGTACACGATACTCTCAGATGCCAACTCCTATGCCATCCCGGATTCTCACCACAACCAGATCTCTGGGTCTTACAAACAATGCTTCTGATTGACTGCTTTGGAAAAATGCGAGCTGGTCCAAAACAACGCGAACGGGCACAACTCTTCCACTGCGTCCTCATCAAACTAATCCGACGCAGTAACTATTGTACCATTCGTGGATTGTCCTCTTTGGACCAATCGGCTGATCTGGAGCAGGTTTGGCGACAGGCTTTAGACGAGGAACAGCGCAAGCGAGTCGCGATGCATTGTTTCATGTGGGATACCCAGCATGCAGTCCTATTCTCGCAGTCTCTATGCATGTCTGCATTTGAAATTAGGTCTTCGTTGCCTTGTAGCACTGCGGCATGGGAAGCTTCCTCCGCGCGAGAGTGGGCGCAACATGCTTTCCGCGAAGAGAACCGCTTGTTCCTTTCCGTGCTGAAGGGCTATATCACACCAGCAGCTGTGTCCCGACCTCGAGATTTGAATGTCTTTGCCCGCATCGTTATTCTGCACGGTTTGATGTCAGTATCTGCGGACCTCAAACGTCGCGATCAGACAACTTTACGGTCGGAAACACCCGATCGCGTTGGGGCATGGACACCGCGTATGGGTCGTTCGTACGATCTATGGAAAGTCGACTTTGATTCGGACTGTCTTGCGATGAAACTGGCACAAACTGCTAGTCCTCGCCAGTTCACGGGACTCAAAGTCTCTGGACATGCCTTGTATCACGCCGCATACCTTGCGTTGCATGTTGAGGTCTTGGATTTGCAGATCGTCGCTGGTGCACCACATATCCTTGGGCGTCTAGTCACCGATGCTGATCGAGCGCGATCGCTTCAGAATATCACTAGATGGCTGCAGGAGGATTCCGAGCCCCCATGCACGGCTGCCCAACAAGCTGCATCGCTCTTGCAGGATTCTGTCTTGAGTCTTCACGAATGGGAACAGGCTGATTCGTTCCATTTCCCGTGGTGTTTGTACCTGTGCACGTTGGCCTGCTGGGTATTCCACCGTGGGCTTGATCTTACTTCTGATGAGAATAGGACAACGACAGATTTATCTTCGTTGATCGTGATGATGACCAACTGTCCCACTCCGTCCGAATTGGGATCGCTGTCTGGCAAGTATTGTCCACGACCCCTTGCAGCAGCTATGGCACAGCAATTAGCAACAGTTCGATGGGCAGTCGTTCACGACGCGATGAAAGTTTTAGTAAATTTATCTTGATCGTCTTGATTTGATTCGTGAAATAGGCAATTTGTTCTATCTGATATGTTGTTATATATGATTTGTTCGAACCGTCCCTTGCATCTCCATCTATGCACTATAGAATGGATAGTCAGTATAGCCCTTCTCAGCAGGATCAGCACCATAGAAGGTCGTCCGGTCATAAGGAGTCAAAGGCAAGCCCTCCTTCAAGCGACGCGGCAGATCAGGGTTCGAAATGAAATAACGGCCAAAGACAACCGCATCGGCGCCATCAGTCGCAAGCTTTGGACCCGCATTGTCGGGGTTGAAGTTTCCAGCTGCTAGGAATTGGATTCCTCCTTTCTTCAGTGTCGGCCGGAATACCTCTAGCGAAGGCTTCTCTGTGGCCAGGGAGTCGATCTTGGCCTTTTCATCGAGGACTTCGTCGAAACGAGGCTCGATCATGTGTACGTATGCCGGTCGGGATTCTTCTGCCAGGTTGGCGATCATTGAGCACAGTTTTGCCCAATTCACGCTGGGGTTGGAGTCGCGTGTATCCTGGAAATAGTTGTATGGCGACAGACGGATTCCAACCCGGCCGGCTCCAAAAGCGGCAGTGACTGCTTCAATGACTTCCAGTATGAAACGAGCTCGCTTCTCGATGCTGCCGCCGTATTCGTCGTTGCGGGTGTTGACGTTGTCGTGGAGGAACTGGTCGAGGAGGTAGCCGTTTGCGCCTATTCAATTAGCCATGGTGCATATATGAAACCTTTCAAAAGGTCTCACCATGAATCTCGACTCCGTCAAATCCAGCTTCATGGGCTCGCTTGGCTGCATCGACATATTCCTTGACTGTTTCTTGGATTTCCTCAATGGTCATAGGGCGTGGTGGCGAGGCTGCATACTCGGTACCATCAAGTGCATTTCCAGTAATGGGAATTTCACTAGCACCAAGAACATCTCTTCCTTCGATGAAAGAAGAGACAGTTGCACGGCCGACATGCCACAGCTGACAGTAAATGAAGGCGCCTTTAGCATGAACTGCATTGGTAACCTTCTTCCAGCCGGCAATCTGCGAGGGCGTGAAGATCCCCGGGACTCCTGGATATCCAGCCGCCTGATACTGTTAGTCTTGTATGGCCTAGGCGGTACCCCTGGTATTGTCAATGACTTCACATACGTGTCTGCTAATGGGAGTAGCCTCCGTCAACATGAAACCTCCATCAGAGGCGCGTTGCGAATAATACTCGACATTGAGATCATTGGGCACGTATACACCCTCTGACTCCTTCGAAGCTCTCATACGCGTGCATGGTGCCATAATGACACGGTGCTTGAACGGGAGAGCTCCCAGACGGAGGGACTCGAAAAGGAAATCTTTGGTGGCAATTGAACCCATGGTGTGTGATATTTTTGGTTTGGTAGTCTATTGAAGCAGTGTATCTATTGTATATATAGCTAATGCCCCCTTTTACCTCCCGCTTTTGTGTAGAAAGTGGGATGCATGGAGGGATATTTTTAATAGTGGGATGAAGCTCTTGCAGCTCTATTGATAGTGGCGTGCATGAAACACCCCCACTGCATATTAGCTCTACCCCCATCTTTCGTATGCTCTCCTCATTCTTGCTGCAGGAAAGTAGTGAGGTGGCAAGTTTTGGTTGTTTCCTTTGTCTAGCAGTTTCGAGTTGGAAGGTCTATGAGAGAACTAGTTCAGATAAAGTCTAGCAGACTTCAAATCGATTGAAACCCCTGTAGTTATGAAGTGCCCAATCAAGATCAGAGCTCTCACTCAGAAAAGAAACAAAGCGCCAACAAGTAAAGGATGTATGTCAGTATGATAGTAATAACACGAGTTAGGAACATGAGCACATAATGTATAGAAGTGTGAACTTAATTTCCAGTTCTTTCTACAGCAATGGAGATAATACAAAAAAAAATTCAAAGACACATTCATCTATTACAGCATAAACGAAAAGTAGTGCTTCATCCACTGTACCGCGCGCTCTCCTTCGCTGGTACCCCAGGAATCGATAGCCCCAATATATCCATCGGGCCTAACAACGGCAATACCAGCCTTATCTGACCGGAGATCACCGAACCACTTCTGCGTACAACTAGCCTTTTCAGCATTGTCCAGATATAAGGTCCAACGACTCTTCTGGAAAAGATCTGGTAGATTGGCAATTTCGAACTGGGATTGAGGAGACCGTGTCACCATCGCCAAAGTGAATGCCTCTGAGACAGCCGTGTATCGATGAGACTGGACAAACTCATCAGAGGGAGCGTAGCCTCGAGGTTGCTTTCTGTAGGATTGTTCAGCCTGAGATGTGATTTTGACGAAAGTCTTCTTCAACGCCTGAGTGACATCTTGCAGGAACCCCAGGGACTGAGAAACCTCCGGAACAAATGTGTAGATCTTGAATTGGCCGAGAAGGGGAACATCCAATTGAATATCGACTGGATTGGCATCAAGGTAGCGAGTAACTTTGGCAGGAAGCTGTAGCATTCCAGGCTTGAGTCTGCTGTCGTTGGCCGAAGCACTCGTAAGCATTCCAGGACCATACTCTGCGCCAACACCGGAGATAAACCGAATATTGTTATCGAAGTTCTCTGACAATGCAGCTTCGCCCTCTGCAAAGGCTTTGCAGTGCTCCACGTCGAATTTGATAAGATCATATGCAATCTTTTGTCGTTCTTCTTCATAGGTGTGCAGTATAGAAGGCCTAGCCAACCCTCTGCTCAGGAAATTGATCTTCCATGCAAGATTGAAGCTATCGTGCATGCTGGTGTTAGCACCCTGAGCAGCAAGTGCCGAATGACAATGGCCGGCCTTTGTAAATATCAGCGGAAATCCAATTTCGTATATAGTCGGATTGAAACATACGTCACCCGCAATAAAGATCTGTGCCTGCGGATCCATAAAGTGTCTCGCAACACGTTGTCCAACAACGTATGTACCGAACCACTCTACAGATTTCCACTCAAGTTGAAAAGGCTGCATTGCATCTCTTGCGCGTTGCATCACATATTCAGTGGTAGCTTTAGCCTTGTCCACTCGTTCGCCATCCGTTGAGCTCAACTCAACGTACAACCTAGTCATTCCCCTCTCGCGAGGGATCCAGAGGATGGACCCGGCGGAGGCTGATCGCAACGCGACTTTGCTCCATAGATCGGGGAAGTCGGTATCGATCACCCCTATCTGGTGAGTTGTTTATTCATCGTATATGACCGCAGAGACATACCATCCAGCACACCCCAGGCCGCGTTGGTGAGTTCTCCCTCTAGATCAGCATCTGGGATGAATCCCCTGACCTTTGATCTGGCTCCATCGCATCCAACCAGGTAATCGGCTTGAATCTTGTGGGAAGTGCCTGTCGAGATATTCTCGTATACAATTTCCAAGTTGTTTGTCCCAGACAGGCGCAAGCATGAGGTAAATCGGCTGTTGCGCGTGATGAATACACCCCTTGACTCCATGTCGTCAATCAGGACCTCCTCGACCATGCCCTGGTGTGCTAGTAGAATATATGGATCCGACGCGCCGACGAGGTGCTCGGGGTAATGGGTTTGACGGCCTGTTCGACGAAGGGGATGGTCGGCGGTCGATTGCTATTTTTTTTTTCTTTTAGCGAAGCCTCTGACATACGAATAAATTGAACCCACCCAGAACGCGATATCGTGGACTCTAGCTGCAGTTCTTAACAGTGGCTCTGCGAGACGTAATTGTTTGAATGTCTCGATGGTCTTGGGTTGCATTCCATCGGCCTTGCCTGTAGATGTTTTATCGGGGCGATCATCGAGGATCACCACTGCAATTCCAAAGCGGACGAGGTTGCAGCTGTGGTTTGTGAGTATAAAAATAAGTTTGACGCTTCCAATATGACTTACGCCAGCATCAAGCCCGAAGGCCCGGCGCCCACGACAACCACAGTAGTAGACGCATCGACGGAGCCAATGCGATAGCCTTCATGGTCAGCACTTGGAGACATGTTGATAGTTTAGCGTCCAATTCAATGCAATTCTCTATCTTGGTCTTCCTATTTATTGCAATTCCTCTTCTCATATGCGGGGGACACCCCCACTCTTCAACTATCACCATCCTGTCACCCCACCGTCCACGACGATGTCCGACCCCGTCATGTACAGACTGGCGTCGCTGGCTAGAAACACACATGCCCCCATAATATCCTCGGGCTCGGCAATGCGGCCGTTCATTGCCTCTGATTTCCAGCCTTCCAGAAGATGGGGGAACTAACCCTTAGCACTCGATTGGAAAAGTGGGAATGGGGCCTCACCGATGCAGTCATTTCTGTTTTCACATATCCTGGCGAGATGGAATTCACTCGAATGCCCTGTTTCGACTTAGTAGCCTGGTGAGTTGACTGAAGCGGTGGGGTTGACTCACATATTCAGCCAGTTCCTTCGCAATGGCAGGACACATGGATCGGACGGCACCCTTGGATCCGCAATACGCAGAGCACAGCTGGCTTCGCACGGCAATGTGGCTGGCCATGCTTGCCACCAGAACGACGCTACCATGTTTTGTGCCATTTGCGATCATCTGCTTTGCCGCAAGCTGTGCTGTGAAATACAGTCCCAGCACGTTGATCGAGAGGAGATCCTGGTGGTCTTTGTATGTGAATTCGAGGAAGGGAAGGTGGCGATTGATCCCAGCACAGGGAACGCAAATATCAAGCGCATTGTGGAAGTCTTTCTGGAACTTGGCGAATCCTTCCTGGAGACCTTCTTTGGAGGAAATATCGACTCTTCTTGAATCAGCAATTGTAGTTGTATACTACGGTGAAGGTATAAACATACTTGTAGTACGCAGTTTGCACGCCCCAATCTTTCTCAATTGCGTGGAATGCTTCTTCCGCTGGCACAACATCGAACACTGCGACATTTGCCCCTGCTTCTGCGAGTCCTCGCGCAAATGCCAATCCGCAGCCCCGCGCGCCGCCTGTAACAAGCGCTGTGCGTCCTTTTAAAGAGAACTTTGCGAGTGAGTTTTAAACTATACACAAGTTAGCGCATAGAGAACTTACTCTCGACATGTTCAATAATGCTTCCTGTGTGATGGCTTCCTGATGTTTTCCTGCAGGCATGTCTACCCAAGGCAGCCTTTTAAAGGCATCGGGTAACGGCATGAGCAGATCAAGCTAACCCCCATCTTTGAGTTCCAACTACAGTCGCCTGCTATCGGTATGTAAATATCTCCCTGACTTCAGAACTCCGACCTCGTGAGCGATTCAAACACTGTTTCAGTACAGCACCTCTCCCAACTTTGTACAGTTTCACACTCGCCGCGCGTCACCATGGCCCCTCAGATCCCCATCAAGCAACAACAATCCCGGACCGAAACTTGCAAATTGAAAATTATTCTTGTCGGCGCTGGCCTTGCTGGTCTTGGTTCTGCAATTGGCTGCGCTCTTGCTGGCCATGAAGTTCAAGTCCTTGAATCCGCCTATGAAATCAGGGAAGTTGGCGCTGGGATCCAGGTGCTGCCTAATAGCTCGCGGGTTCTCCAGCACTGGGGGTTGCAGGAGGCTCTTGAGCCTCACATGACTTATCCTCGGGTTTGCAATTTCCTTGGTTGGAAGGGAAACGCTATCTCTTCTATGGATTTCCACGAATCGGAAAGTAAGTACCCTGGGACTTGGTATCGCGATTTCCATCGTGCGGATTTGCAGCAGTGTCTTGTGAGGAGGGCGGGGGAGCTTGGGGTTGTTGTTACTTGCAATGCTCGTGTTGTGGATGTATCTGTCAGTGAGGATGGGGCGACTGCAACTGCTACTGTGGCCGATGGAAGACAGTGGATTGGAGATTTGGTTATTGGGGCTGATGGTATCTTTGGGAAGTTGACGGAGGGCTTCCTCGGTCGAGTTGATCCACCGGTCAAGACTGGTGATCTGGCATATCGTCTTTTGCTATCTACAGAAGAGATGCTCAAGGATCCTGAGCTTGCGGAGCTTGTCACGGATCCCCAGGTTAACTATTGGTTGGGCCCAGATGCTCATGCTGGTATGTTCAATATCTTCACATTGGAGACCAAGACTAACGGTTCAGTGAACTATGTTCTTCGAGGCGGAGAACTGTTCAATATGGTTCTACTTGTCCCCGATGACATTCCAGAAGAATCTCTCGCATCTACAATCGAGGGCAATGTGGATGAGATGTGTGCATTGTTCAAAGATTGGGATCCACGGTCAGAACACCTTACCTCAAGTATAAATTATCAACTGATAGTAACAGAATCCCCAAACTCCTCAAGTTATGCCAGTCTGTCCAAAAATGGCGTCTCTGTATCCGATTCGGAGATTTCGATTGGACTCACCCATCTGGTGCATTTGTCATGCTGGGCGACGCAGTCCATGCAACACTGCCATACTTGGCATCGGGGTATAAATTACTATCTACGTTGCGCTAGTCCCTTTTCTAACAAACACAGTGCCGGAATGTCCTTTGAAGACGGGGCAGTTCTAGGAGAATGCCTTGCCCGCCTCCCAAACAATTCCAGTACCTCCAAGGCCTCGGCCGAGTTCCTACAAGCGAAAAAGCACGCCCTTGCCGTCTTCCAGGAATGTCGCAAACAGCGCACGAAGATGGTTGTTGAGCGCGGTAACGTCCAGCAACATCTATACCATCTCCATGACGGCCCGGAACAACAAGAGCGAGATCGCAAAATGCAAATGGTGCCTACACCTGAAGGTGAAGCATTGGCTTGGCGCGACCCCGGTCTGGCGCCGAAGTTGTTGGGATATGATCACATTGCCGATGTATGTTTTTCTATACACTTGAGTGAGAAATTACTAATGATTATAGGTCAATGCCCATTGGGGCGAGGAGGATAGTTCCGTTCAGTCCAGATTGTAGTTTGTCATTGTCATAAATCGAAGTTCTATAAATATCCCTGCCACTCTGCTTATCGGCCACCCCCATTCTTGACACTGGAATCGCTATAGAGTCAATATGGGGGCAATGGACGAAGTACCAATTGATCATATCTTATCATAGACCCCGCTCTCCCATTCTCGTGCATTAGCTCCCCGCAACGGAGTGTATAGTTAAAGTAGATGATATAGAAAAGCATTTGCACCAATATGCTATCAACTTCACCCAGTAGCTCTACAATCAATCGAAATGTGGAATTTCTGGAGTTCACCAGCCAAACAACCTCCATCCCCTCCAAAAGGCCTCCCGGCATCATGGTACCGCTCAGAAGCAATGTACCAACTGGAAAGACGAGCAGTCTTCTCCAAACGCTGGATCCTCCTCACCCATTCTAGCCGCTTGAAGAAAGCAGGAGACTACCTCTCCTTCACAGTGGCAAACTTTTCCTTCTTCCTCATCCAAGACCGCGACGGCAACATCAACAGCTTCCACAATATCTGCCGTCACCGCGCATTCCCCGTTATCCGCGAGCGATCCGGCACAACTTCCATCCTAAGCTGCAAATACCACGGCTGGTCCTACGGTCTCAAGGGCAATCTGTCAAAAGCACCTCGCTTTGATAATGAGACAGTTCCGGATTTTGATAAATCTCAACACTCCCTCTTCCCTGTCCATGTCCACGTTGACAGAGCAGGTTTCGTCTGGGTGAACCTACAAGCCGGGGACACAGACGTGAAATGGGAAAAAGAGTATGACACAATTGACGAACAGCCTCGCATGCAGGATTTTGACTTTGCCGGCGAATTCAAATTCGATCACTATTGGGAAATGGAACTTGATGCGAATTGGAAGGGCGTTATTGAAAATTACAATGAATGTTACCATTGCGCTACTTCTCATCCGCTGATCAATGGTGTTTCAGATTTGCCGCGCTATCGCGTTGAGCCTAAGGCTGCTTATATGGAGCATCATATTTACAATAAGGATGCTGCTGATAGTCAGTTTCGGAGGGCTATTACTTATTTTAATCCTACTACCTCGGTTACTGTTACGTGGGTTTTTTGTTTCTCTCCGGGAGAGAGAGAGAGAGAGAGAGTTGTGCTAACTGGATTCGATTAGGGATAAATTCTTTTATATTCAACGTATGATTCCGGTCTCAGCCACGAAGAGCAAGATCGAGAATGAGGTTTATCGTCATCGAGATGCTACGGATGAGGAATTCGAGAATATCAATGCCTTCTACAGACAGGTCCTGGATGAAGATAAGGAGCTCTGTGTTGGAACACAACAGAATCTAGATGGTGGGGTGTTCACCAGTGGCGAACTACATCCTAGCAAGGAAAAGGTATGTATTCATTTAGGATGATTCAAGAAACTATCCTAATACTTGAATGGCAGGGACCGATCCACTTTCAAAACAGCGTGCGACAAATGGTGATGGAACATCGCCAAAAAGAAGAGAAAGAAGGCTGTGAGATCTGGCCCGCTCTCCCAATCACACCTTGGATTAGCAAATCCGATGAGGAAGAGACATTCTGTTCGAAATTGGATGCGGCAAGGTGTACAACTAGACCCGAGTTGGCATGGTGATGGTGATGCGATGAGTGTTAAGGAACGTTGATGAGATTGTATACAATATTCAATCAAATATTATCCATATCATAAGCGACCGATCGAAAATAATAAACACATGATACCCAAGAAATTCAAGATTCCGTTACTCGTAGAAAAGAATACCCGAGTGAGCATGGCTCACTCGTTCAAACCGAGAGGATTCTCAGCAGTCTGCTTCTTGCCTCCGACGCTGGACATTCCATTTTGGATTCCCTCACCAGCTCCCTTCGCAGTGTTTCCCACCCCTTCGGTGGCGCCCGAGACTGTTTGGCCGACACCGGATGTCGCGTTGCCGACTGTTGAGCCTAGGCCGCCGACTGTGCTGCCCACAGTGTTTGTTACGCCGCCGACTGTCTTGCCGAGTGTGTCACCGAGGCCGCCGAGGAGACCGGCTAATTTTGATATGTGAGTATGGTTGACAATGTTGTGCGATTGTGTTGGTGTAGACTCACGGTTCTGGTTGTTGTTGGCCATGATGTAATAGGGTAGATAGTATGGAAGTGGTAACGTGTTGTTTGTAGACTGGTATTTGCAAGGTATGTTTGTTTATAACATGTGAACAACCAGAGGCGACAGAAGCATTTATATGTCAACGCCACGAGTAAAAACCGGTTGCAAACGCATGATATGATGGGTGCAACGTCAACCAAGCCAGCCACAGACCTGTCAGATGAAGTCCACCCCCGGTACAATTGGATTCTGACGAATCATAATATCGGACAAGGGGCGTCGATCATGAACAGCCACTTGATCGGATTTATTATTGTACGATCTGACGTCTGACGTATAGTTGGTCCCCGTGGCTAATGGAGGTGGATGTGATTATTGGTTGGAATTCTCCGATTGCGTTAGTCTAGTGGCTGATATTGTTTGCATGAAGTTATTTATATTAAAGTATTGTGGCGAAACAGAGATGAGTGGTGAGGATTTGTTGTTGTGATGTTTCCAATTGGGGATGATGTCATTCTATGCGACTGGGTGGAGCCTTTGATATTAACTGTGATCTCATGTCGCCAAATCATCTGGACATAGATTTGCTTCTATGTTTGAGATGCCGTGAGAGGTCTCGCAGCATTCCTTTTTACTTTCACGCAATGTTCCTCGGTGCCAGTGAAGGAATGAGTGATTACAGACTAGCCTTTCCCCGAGATTCGTACGGCATCAGCAAAACCAGCAGTCCAGCAGCAATGAAAAGTGCCCCGCTCACGTATACTGGGACAGCAGTTTGAAGATCGGCAAAAATTGCGATGATAGGCGCCATGATGCCAAAGATCCGATTCGCAGACGCGGTCAATGCATTGCCCGTGCCCCGATCTTTGGTCAAAAAGATCTCCGGGGTGTATGCATAGAGCACTGCATACAAGAGACTGCTCATGAAATTGAACGCACAGTTCCAGCCGAGTAGTGAATTGGAAGTGGTTGCTGTGGTCGAGGCTAGGAGGAAAGCTCCTGTCAATACTGTCGACGTGCTCAGGGCACCCTTCCGGCCGAACCCTGGTAGCTCCACTAGGAGTCCACCTAGGAGGCAACCGGGGATCCCCATCACGGCGATAATCAGTGAGTTGCGGTAGGTGATGTATGTTGAACCATCTCCGAACTCGGCGCCACGCGATTGTTGGATATATGGCAGGAAAGCGTTGTACAATGGATAACCAAGGCCAATGAAAGCCCAGACAAGGATGATAAGAGTTGTCGACCAAGCCCGCTTTGGTGTGTCGAACAAAGCCCGAATGTGATCGAATCGAACCTTCTCCAGTCGCTGACGGGCGATATTTGCAGCTGAGATATCTTGCGTCTCGCCCTGATCGAAATCATCGAGTTCCTCCTGAGACAGATCTGACAACTTCCCATTCCTCCTCGCAACCTCGTTCACGACTTGTACGGCTTCCCCATTCCGCCCTTTACCCATGAGATATTTGGGCGACTCATAAAGAGTGAAGAAAGCAAATCGAGTCACAAACATGATCATGGCAAGCCCACCCGTCGCAACGAGAAAGTATCTCCATCCCATATTATCAACTTTCGTGCATCCACCACCAGAGTCACAAGTCCTATATCCGAGTAAAGGCCACGCAACCAAGTTGGCAAGCACCTGAGCAAATGCCCAGTCAATAGACAGGATCGTCAAAAGATATTGATGCGACCCAGGCAAGAACTCCAGAAAAATGGCCGAGTCGACCGGTAAATTTCCGCCAACACCAACAGACCAAAGTGCCACAAATGCACATGCCGCGCCGAAGTTTGGCGATCCAGCTGCGACCAGACCAAACACCGCTGTGATCCCGATGGTCAAATTGAATGCCCAGCGCCGACCGAAAATATCACACCCAAAGCCCCAAAACACGGCACCAATCAACAATCCTATATTTTGTGACAGGGTGAGTAAGGGCGCCTTAGACGGGTGGAACTCGTAAGATATCGGTGGGAGGATCAAAGATGTGACAATAGGCCAGAGATTATCGCTCGCCCAGCCAAATCCGATTACCACGAAGAGTTGCCATTGGTATCGGCCCATGCCAATATTTTGAATTGCACGGTTGAGCACCTCGGCTTTGCCGATGTAGCTTGTGTTTGGATCATCGGGAAGTTGGGTGGGTGCATCGGTTACTGTAGGCTCGGGGCCGGGACTTTTGGGCGAGGTTGACATGTTGTCGTGTTTGGTAAACAAAGACCTAAATGTCAAAAATTTGCGGCTGGAAAGTTGAGTTTATCATCGTGTGCAGTCGATCCTAAATTCGATGGCTCGGACTTTGTATTGGTTTGATTCCATTGGGCGTGACTGGCGTGATTGCCTTGCATTGTTGTGTCAGTGACTTTCCCCCACATCACGTGGAGGGTTTGGTAACCTGCAAGGGATATATTGTGAATGTTGGATTAGTAGCTTGGATTGGACAAAAATATGGTTATTCCGAACGAAAGGGCAAGTATATTGTGTGTTGACTGCACATCCGCTCTATATACAAAGTGGACCCAGGTGAGGTGATCGCACACCATTATCGCTGTTCGGCTGCCAACCTATCTATGTCGAAGTAGCCTGGGCGCCAGCAAGAGAGCTGTAGGGAGTAGCGCCAGGGTAGAACGAAGTAGGAATGGTAGGAATAGGGATAGACGAGGCAGTACCGAAAGCTGCGGTCAGATCCGAAGCCATAGTAGCAGCGGAGTAGCCAGTAGGGGCAGACTTGACGGTGACACTGGTGGTGTACGAAGTGTAATCCTCGCTATCCTTTAGGCATTCACCGGAACCGTAGGCGCTCTCGCAGGTGTTAACCTGATAAGAGCCGGACTCGGTCCACATGGCGAAGTCCTCAATGGTGATGTCCTTGCAGGGGGTTTTGGCGGCGCACTTGACCTTGACGGGGCCGCGCTGGGCACCGTTGGCTTCAGCTCCCTTCCAGTTCTTGACTGTGACATTGGTCAACTGGACACCGTCGCCGGAGACCTGGCTCATGCTGCTCCAGGCACCGTCGATGTCGAGGGAGTAGGCGTTGCCGTGGCCTATATTTGTCAGTACTTCTAGAATATATCGGGCGGATGTGTTCTTACCGATGAAGTTCTCAAGCAGGAGGTTCTCGACATTGCCGCTGCCACCGTTGCTCTTGACCATGTACATCTGATTAGAATTCCAGGTGTAGATGTTGCGGTAGGTGATGTCGGAGATATCGACGTCGGTGCTAAGGGAGCCCATGGCACAGCCACCACTCCAGTTACAGTAGACGTTCTCGACCAAGATGTTCTTAGCGGGGCTCTATTATGGTGTTAGATATACCTCCCAAGATTATACAAGCAGCTGTAAGTCAAATGTCACATACCTTGACAGTCACACACTCATCCTTGTTGGTAACCTCGACCTACTCTAATCAGCATCAATCTCAGTATAAGAGGAAGCAACAATCACGCACATCATGAATCCAGATGTTAGTAGACCAAACATCAAGACCGTCAAGTCCACCCTTGTTACCACCGCGAATAGCAACGTTGTAAACCTCACCGTTTTCACAAGTATCAAGCGACAAGTGGAAGACGGGGGAATCAACAAGAGCAATATCGTGAACGGAGAAGTCAGTAACATCAAACAGTCGCAAGAGACGAGGACCACTAGTCGAACCAGACTTGTGGAACTCATATCCCAACCCCTGGATAGCACCCTTAGATGTTGAACTGAACATCTCGAAGTTGGTGGTGTGCTTAACCATGATCATGTTTCCACCATCAGTACCAGTCCGATAGAGGATACCATCCAACTGGATGGCAGTGTTTTTACCACTGCTAAGAGTAACCCATGAAGAGAACCCGTAGTCTCCAGGTGGGATGTAGACCACACCACCGTCTCGGCAAGCAACCCAGGCGGAGTTAAGAGCCGAACCGATATCGTGCGACTTGCTTGCCACGGCACCGTAGTCGAGCACATTGCAGACCTTGCTGGCGGATTTTGTTGCGGCGGAGGTTGTTGGGCCGACGGAGCCGCTCAAATCGGCGTTTGCAAGCAATGGCGCCAGGCCGATTGCGAAAAGAGAGTAAAAAAACATTTTCAATAAAAGCACAAATATAAATGAAAGAAGTGAAACGAAGGGGTGGTTTGGAAAGACTCAAAATCTGGCCTGGGTGAGATTGACTATATGTATAGAGCCCCTGAAGTGGTTCAATGTTTTATTTCAAACATATTCAGGGCTGGCCTTGCCGTGACCGCATCCGTGTCAGTCGACTGAAGTCATGTAGTGGGGAATCTAGGGCGTTTATAGGAGGCGGCATGGAGGAAACAACGAACTGCTTCACATAGCCCGTCAGGCCCATATGGCCGGGGACTCACCCGCCAAGAAATGTACAGCTCAAGTGGGGAGAAGGGGTCAGGGGTGCATGAGAAGGTGAGGAGAGTAGAGGGTTAAGGAGGGTGTTTTGTGTTGATTGATTGGCGTAAATCGACCAAGGACGCTAAAGGCCGTTCTCAAACGGTACCTTGCCCCATCGTATTTAGCTTGTTTCATCGCGAATTTAACAACTTTTCGTCTGCTGTAATATACTCAGCTAGCTACAGTGGTAATTGCTTATTGAACATTGCCATCTATATTGAGTTTAATATGTGGATGGCAGATATTCCAGCTAGCGGACCCTGCTGCTCGAGCGCAAGGCTTAGTGCGATCTACTGCGTTGGGCCAGGTGCGCTATGGTGATGCAATTCTTCATTGCGCTGGCTCGTGTCCACTCCACCTTGGAAAAGCGAAGAGCCGATGATTCGGAATTGATATGACGGGTGGTTAAATGGAGACCAATCTATAGCTTACGAACATCTCAGACAAACGTCCAAGCTACGAAGAATATTCAAAGTTCAAAGTGTCTGAATTGTCCATCTGCAGATGCAAACAAACTAGCTTCCGAGCAAATATTGCCAATTGTCGACCCAGCGGCAAGAAGTCCACATGTCACAGGGAAAGTCCTACCACCAGGCTAACGAGCCATTCACAAGCGACATACACCAAGTCCAATTCCTTCCATATCCTGTCTAAGAAACATCTTAGATCATGAGACGCTCGACCTGGAGCTTGATCTCGCGAATGGAAGCAGCGAGGTCACTGGCGTCGTTGGTGGTGATGGAGACGGCGATGACGGGGCGGGAAACACCGGTGGCACGACCGAGAGCCATCTTGCTGGGGACGTAGACGTAGGGGACGTTCTTGTCCTCGCACAGCAGGGGAAGGTGGAGAATGATGGGGAGGGGGGTGGTGTCGGCGGCAAGGACGACGAGCTCGGAGGTACCACGGTTCAGGGTCTTGGTGGTCTCGTTGGCACCCTTCTTGATCTGGCGGTAGTGTCCGGCTTGCTGGACGAGGTCGAGGAGGCTCTGGGAGAGAGTCTCGTCGGCGATGGGCCAGGCTAGAGATTGTTAGGCGGTCTGCTTCACACACAAGGCAGGGGTTAGATCTTACCGGCGGTGGAGTCTTCAGCCATTGTTGCGTTTGGTAGATAATTCAAAACACCAGATCTTGGAAAGAAATGGCTCACTCAGAGGATCACGGCCTTGTTGTACAAAGGAGGTAGTAGGGCGGTTGAGGTTGAGGTTCAGAGTTGGAGATGGGAAATTTTCTGGGATGGAAATGGAGGAGTATGTTCACCGCCTGCTATTTTGCGAACTACTGAAGATTTCTGCATGGTCACGTGTATCCCCTGATTGGTCGCTGATTTTGATGTTGATGCCTGGTTTGTAAGGCAGGAGTGTGAATTTTACAGTTGGCATTTGGAAATTGAAGTAAATGCAGTGGAAACTTTTGTCCTCTAATATTTGAGGTTTCAAACCCTCAATCTATGTATGTACTCCGTAGTATGTATGCTCATAATGACATATGCGTTGACACGCTAAAATCGCAAGAAATGACAAATATTTACTCGCCTCTGGCAGCACTGACAGTGGCGCTGGCAAGTCTGGATCGAGCGCGCAGCGCAGGACCAAACTTGTACAGGATGAAAGGAATGAAAGTCAACAAAGTGGCAATGAGGGCCAAGAGCAGACCGGCGTACTGACTACCAAGGTTGTGGAAGAATTGCGAGGCGAACAGGGGCGACACAGCACCGAGGGTGTTACGCATGAAACCCTGACCAGCAATGGCAGATGAGGAGTGCTCGCCGTAACAATCGGAGGTATAACTGTAGCAGGACTCGAAGATGAAGAAGATACCGATGGCAATGAGGACGAGACCGATGTTGGGACCAATCCAATGGAGACCCTTGTACTGGGTGAAACTGTAGATAAACAGACCAATAGGCAGCCAGACAGCTCCGCAGAGGGCTCCGTACAGACGGGACTCGGGGTCAACGACGCGGTTGGGGTCGGCAGTCAAGGCCTTGTACTTGCGGATCTGGAGGAAGTTCAAAGCGAAGCCGATGGTGGTTCCGATACAGAGAGAGATGTAAGGAAGGCCAGAGACACCCTCGCTCCAGCCACGCTTCTCCTGGAAGGTGATGGGGATCACGGACAGGAAAAGGAAGGCAAGGAACCAAGCGAAACTGATCCAGAGACCAAAGGCAAAGACCACGGGCTCGGTGAACAGCATTTTGACGGCCTTGACGGACGAGTTGTGGAGCATTTGCTTGATACCAGGGGCCTCAAGGTCGTTGTGGGTGACGTAACGCTCATCACCAGTAGACTTGCGGAGAGCCTTTGCACGCTTGGCGAGGGCTACACCTCCACGAGTTTCGATGAGGAAGACAGCGATGATGATCACGAGGGGAATGTTGGCCAAGCCCTGGATGCCCTCAACCCAGCGCCAGCCCAAAGCCTGATCAATAAAACCAGCGTAGATTGGGGCGGCGACGGTACCGAAGATGGCAACGAAAGAGAATGAGGCCATAGGGATGGCACGGTGCTCGGGGGTATACATGTCACCGAAGGTACCGCCGACAAGAATAGTACCAACGCAACCGAAGAGACCGAGCAGAGAACGGCAGACAAGGATGGTAGCAATGTTCTTGCCCAGAGAGAGACCGATGAACATGAGAGCAAAGCAGACGTAGGCGCCGACGTAGACGACTCGGCGACCAGCAAGCTCACAGAATGGAGCCAGGAACAGAGGAGCCAGGGCACAGGTGAAGTTGAAGCAGAACAATCCAAGCTGACCAATCTCGTTAGTAGTTCCAAGGTCCTCTACCATGCGCGAGATTCCGGAACTATAGGCTGTTGTGGCGAGACCGATGAACAATGTCATCAGACAGAGCAGGGCACTAATGAAAGCCTTATAACCTCCACTCCAGTTGAAAGGGTTCTCCTTGTCTGCCTCGACAAACTCGAGGATGATGAATTGTTGTCCATTGTGTTCGGTAGGCTTAGTCACGGTGAGAGGCAAGTCGATGTCGACCTCTTGTAGTAGACGGTCATATTGTTGTGATTGTTCCTCGGACAGCTCGTCACGATATTTTCCTCCGACGATGAGGCCCTTCTTAGAATATTCAGGTCGAGTGACTGTTTGAACAGTCTGAACATCTTCATCATGGTCAGCCGAGACAGGCTGGGGATTCTTTGATGCCTTCATGATGTTGTGTATATGGGTGGGAGGTGGGAAAGGAGTTGAAGAGAACTGGTCTGAGAGAAGATGGGAGGGAATGGTCCAGCATATAAATTTGCACCGGCTATGCCTTGCCGCTGTACGTCATGCTCCAGACTCCGGAATTGATGAGAACTGGGGCTTCGTGCGGGATTATACGGAGAGTGGGGAAAAAAATTTCAGGCAATGATCGAGGGCTCTTCGAGAAACTTGCCCGAGAAAGAATCATCCGATTAATCACTGTTGGCAAGTGACCAGTAAGTGGGTACAAACAAATCTACATAAAAGACTTTGTACCTTGTACCTGAATCACGCTTCGTTCCATCATTTGAATATGTTCAAAGCCAAATCTCGAAACAACGACGAGCACGATCCCTTCAACTCGAGCTTCCCGTGTCCCCCTGCTTTCTCCATACTCAAGGATGAACGCCCGGGGCTTGACTTCATGTCCCTTCACAATTTTGACACGAAACAGGCAATGTGGACCTGTAGTTTCTCCGACAAATAGCTAGTAAGAATAATAGCGCCACGCTGTAACAACAGACCATGTCTCGGACGATAACCAGAGAGGTCAAGATTTACGAGTATAGTCCCGACAATGGACCGAAGATCCTCCCGAGCCGGGTGGATCTGATTGGATACAGGTTCCACTTATCCAAAAATGAGGTCGGCATGCCGTATGCCGTCGGCTTCCGTGAAAATTGCGATCATAGAACAGGTCGTGATACAGGGATGGCGTTATAAGCACATGCAGGAAAATAGGAAGATGTTTACAAGTGGCAGGCAATCCGAGACTACGTAGAGGTAGATACTGGTGTATGAATAAACTTTTGTTGGAGACTTTCGGGAAGGTCCCGATACCCAAGTAAAGATCTCGGTGAGGCCGAGATCAGCAGAAGCCCCGAGGTTTAGCCCGAAATTGATCCCGAGGCTATGATTCGCTGGCTGATTCTCGGTGCTCCACCAAAGATTTGCACTCCGATTTCCAATAATATCAGGTGCTTAACTGCTGTTGATCATGCACCCAACGCTTGTATGCATTTCACGCCTTAGATTCTTGGGGCCCCGAGGGTTGAATCCACTCGGGGCTCTCCTCCACTGTTAGATGCCGTTACCTCCGTACTAAATGTGCCATGGGGATAGCATAAGAGCACAGGGGTTAGCTTGCATAAAATGGCATAGCTTGGACAATGTGATTGGCTCTGTATAGCTCGCTTCGCTGCCGAGTCATGCCACGGAACTCGCCTCGTTATGACAGCGTTCGGGCCTCGTCCGAAGCCATGGTTCCAATCTCGTGTTGATGAACCTCAACACTTTCTCTCCGGCTTGACCCGTGCTTGCATGATCAGGCGGCTATACCGGCTCTTCGTTTTCCCCCACCTTTTGTTCTGATACATCGACCTACCTAGAAGAGAACGTAGAGGCTGCACGTGACGCACTACATGGGGGTGCTTGTCGATTGCAATCGCCGACTATACCTGGGCATTGTATAGGAATACAAACTTCTAGATCCACTCCCGTAAATGCTGCAATTGTCTGTAAAAAAAAGAAACAAAACAAAACAAAACTTAATTGCCTCGCTCTTTCATTCCAACTTTCGCCACGAGATCATCATTGACAGGTGTCGCGACCCCGACTTCTTTGTCCCGTTTTACCCTGCCCATTGATGAACTTAATTTCTGTTTCATGCCCCGCCCGGAGGTCCCACACCATTGAACACGTAGTGTGGAATGTTTTCTCGGTGATCGCATTGACTGTTGCTTCCAGTTTGTCGACTACAGACCGCTTTTTGAGGTTTGATACATGCTGCAACTCTGGTGGTGCAAATACCACGTTCAAGATCTCGGTCAAGATCGTGTGTCTAGTTTCAGTAATTGTGAAGAAAAAGCTATTCTCTGTGTCATGCAATGCACAAAATGGATTACAGAACACGCTGATCGCGAGGTTTTCCAGCTGAATTGGAAAAAAACCCGTATGCGTATACTCCGTGGCATTTAGGAGAGCTGAGAGTGGGAGATTATCGAGGAGATAACTTGAGGCTTTTTCTATTCCGTGGGTCGGGTCCTCTGTCGATCTGGGGACTGGGCCGAGTGACGTCGCTGCGAACCCGGTGTGAGTGATGTGGAAGGACTTGTGCAGAGTGACGCCATGCGAGATGACACCGAATAGTTCGGACGTTTGTTCGGATTGGGGAATAGTTGTGCGTTGACTTCGTCGATCGTGCTAAAGCCATGTTGAAGGCACCTGGCGTTCAACTGGGGGTAAGGTGTTTTTGCAACGATCGTAATGCAGAGACGGTCTGTGTAGTCTTTGCGGCTTCTATGAGGTTCTCAATCACGCCGGATTGCGCGGAACAGTCACTGCCCTCTATTCTTGAGCTTTTCTACCATTTTCCGTCGCGGAAGAACTCAAGGTCATATGCTTTCATTTCCAATTTTTGTCTCCTTCTCTTGTCTCCAAGAGGATTCGGTTTCCGTTATCGCGGTAGGCGTCGAGGAGGGAATGGCGGTGGCAGAGAAGAGTGACAGAAGGAGGCTCAAGGAGTTCACATAGAGTGTGCAGCAAATGTACCAATACTTCCAGGTCCTAGCAAATGGACCCTTGGCCTCTGTGCGCATACCGCAACTTGGGCAGAACTATGCATACAGCGGCGTAATAGGTCCGCTCGGGAATCACACGTGGCAGAATATATATCTGAACAATCTATCCGAATACCAACGACGACCTGTCTCATTATGCATATTCGAAGATATACCAGCATCACAATGTCCGTCTGCCAAATCCCGATCCGAAATCCTTTCTCACGCCCTACGCCTTGGGCCCACTTTCCTCATGATGCGGTCAGAAATGGGGTTGCGCAGAAAATCTCGCAATCGCGAGTTCGGAATTGATGCCGATGACACATGATCGAAATTCAGAGATTTAGTACAATTTTTTCTCTCGTCCCCGAACACAGCGGTGGTGGTCGCTGAACCCTGAATGTGAACACCCACCCCATGGACCCACACCCGCGCCCTAGGGAGATAACCTTATTTTTCATCGCCACTTCAGGTTTTGCCACCTTCAAGATCTTCAGGAGTGAATCTATTCATTGAATATGATTTGTTCTCTCTAGAACTTCGGAACCAGAGGTTCCACTTCATTCCCAGGAACCTGTAGATATCCTGGCTGGCAATGCAACCCGCGGAATGCCGAAATTCACTGGCCATTGTCCACCCAGTCTGGTTCCAGTTATCCTCGCAATCGTACAATAAACGCTTAGACTCTTGCTGTAACATATAATGCGTTGGAATGACACCATGTTTCATCGGTTCCCGGGCGTATCGGCTAAGATGCATAATTGGAATCTCAGTGAAGGAGCTGAGTTCCGACTGCGAGGAGAAATTTTCTTGGAGAGATTGAAGGGGTTGAGGATACTCCAATTTCTGTCCCATTCCTGCGTTAGATGAAATTTAGAAGAAGTGGTCACGGCAATTGACGTCTATCGCAAAAAAAGGGAACCATCTCAGCGATTCAGATCCAATCAGGTAGGGTGGTAACGCGTTTGTGACTTGCGCAGCGAAAGGAAATGGGAAGTCGTGCTGCTCGCCGTGCCAGTCGACCATCATTGCCCCTTCTCTGTAATGAGATGTGAAGTCTGGTGTCTCTAGACTCCAATCATCGACCAAATGCCATGACGTCCAGCTTGTGTACCAATCGAAAATGTTAAACAAGTGGTCCTTCTGACGGAAAACGCGAGGCTCTGTTGAATCTTCATGGCATGCTAGATGGTAGTGTTGCTCGAGATGATCTGCGTTTAGTTCCAAGGTATGGTAATAGGCACAGTGCGGGCGCCTGGTGGTCATCGAAAAGTTTGCCCCTCCATAAGGCGCACACACCCACGCTTTCAGTTTTAGATGCAGGGACTTTTCGTGTCGCGTCAAATAGTATCTGCTCTTGAAGCGGTCACAGCAAAAGGTGCAGCAGAAGATACACTTATGATGGGTACCTGGTTTTCCTGAACGGGATTTTTTAACCCGTCCGTCCTCGAGAATTTCGAGGTCGTAGTGTAGAAGAGTTTCTGGAGGACCCAGAAATTCCGGAGTTCTCGGATCGCCTGGATTTTTGAGACGACATGCTGTTACCGCTTTCACCGTTATTGGATGATGCAGCACGTCGATGGAGACGGAATGCATCAGCAGATTGCCGAATATTGCCCACGCTAGACTGAGATAGATCTCCAGATTTCCGTTCCGGTGTTGTCTGAATGGCATTCATAATTGCCGATAGATCCGCCGGCTCATCTTCCAGAGGTGAGTCTTGCCATCGCTGCATCGGATCACTGTCGACGTCTGCGTTAGGACTTGGCGCTATATAGACGGGTGCCGGATTGTTGCCCAATCTTCTGGTTGAGTAGCGCCTCCGATGCCTCGGCAAGCCTGATTGGGGGGTTTTCATGTTTTGTCTTGTGCGGGAATGAAGTCCCTCCAGTTCCGAGCTTGCACCTGTTGATTGCTCTGCACAAGAAAGACTTGGCTGGCTGTCTAGTGTTTCACCTAGATTCCAAAGGCCGCCTGGATCCAGGGGACTATCAAAGACCCCCAACTGAGGCGGTGCCATGAATCCAAAATCTTCTGTCCAGGATCCCTCGGGTTGTGCGCTAGTATCATGATTCGTAAATGAGTTAGACAGGCTGTTGCTTGAGGCGTTGTGATCCAACATGGATGTTAAAAAGTCTAGATTTGTAATATGTTTCTGAGACTCATTTTCATGATGGCTTGAATCACGCTCTTCAAGCCAGTTCCACTCAGAATCAATATTCACTTGACCGGATCAGCAGGCGCAATGTGTAGTGGGTTGACGATACCCACATTCAATTCCCGTGTATGGCGCACCAGCAGGTTCATCTCGGTATTGAAACGCCATACTTGGCTGTCTGGTGATGATCCAATATAGCTTTTCATAGATATCCTGGACTTGATGGAATTAAGTGAAAGACGAGCACTGAGTTGGGAATGGCGGCATCGGGCTGCTCAGTGATTACGTAATGACTTACCAGTGCCAAGCCTTCAAGCAACTCATGACTTAACGCAGAATATATTAAATTCTATGTCAACGTTAGTCTGGACTTGCTTGTTACTTTGAGGCCATGACGAATGTCAGAGGTAACTTGCAGCTGGCAAGCTACACCCCGTAACAAGCACTTGGATCTACTTCCTGTAGTTATATATTTTGAAGGACATCAAAGATGCAATAGCTATCCATTCCTTTACGGTAAGAAAATTAAATGGATGTCTGTCTATCAGAAAGGGGAAGCCACTGTAAAGTTGTTCTAACAAAAATATCGGAGTGTCAACAAGAGACCTCAAGAAGAGGAATTTTCCCCATCGACCACTAACAACCAGTGTTTCTGATGCAACGGTCAATTTAAACAACCTGTACTTGACTGGTGGCTCAGGCATTGTTTGACCTCTCCAGATGATGTTGTGCATTTTAACCACGAATATAGGGAGTTATTGGAAGCCAGAAGGAGGTCCGCGGGTCTAGCGATTCGGTGTAGGCGCCACTGCCGACGTGACATATTGCGACACAGCCACCGGTAGCCCCTGCTACAATGTATTGGCTGTTAGATGAAAATGAGAGGCTTTTTTTGGTCTAAAGCTCATTTGCTCTGCACCAGTCTGGACGTCCCAGACTGTGGCTCAAACATTTCCAAACACAGATACCAAATGTCGATTGTTGGGCGAATGGCCGACTGAATCAATTCAAAAATTCTCACCAGCAATAGTTCTCATGCGAATGCCACTGGCAAGCTTCCAAATTTTTATTTTTCCTTCTTGGTCTCCTGAGGCCAGATTACAACCATTGACGGAGACCGCTGTCGAGACTTATTATAGAATGATCGTTGCTGTCAGATTTCCAAATCTCGATGGTGGCAGAATCTATTACTCTTGCAATGTAAAGATCATCTGGCGAGAACGTAACTTCAGTTACCCCTTCGCACAGTCGAACGATATTCCTGGGAGAGACCAATTTTGGCAGTGATTTGAGGTTTCTGGGTCTGCTCAATAATTTGGCATATCATGTGCTCGTACATCTTGTTGAGATACGATGGCATCTTGCGGACAAATTCAAGAATTTCGTTGGCCAGACAATTGTCTCTCCCAGCTTGGTGAAAGACGAGAGAGACCCAGAGGAAAGTGCCATTAGCCATGATTCGAAATTCTTTTGTGACCTCGCTTGGTGACGACTTGACACAAGCCACATGACGCGAGATGATGGATCCAATACAGTATCGACAATGATTATCAACAAGTGTTTGACATCTGACTGGTACTCATCGAGAGCAGCCACACCATCAACTATGTAAAGCCAAGGCTAGGGTTACGTACCATGCGCACGAATATTTCGGACAAGATGAAAGGGTGTTCCTTCCTTTGAACAGCTTTGAACCTGCTGTATCCAATTCTTTGCGAAGATGAGATACAAGTGACGGTCTTTGAACAGTCAGCCTTTAGCTCAACCCTATAAGTACTACCGTGGCATTGTTGAGGTTTTCGTCCTGCTCCTGGCAGAACAACAATGACAGCAGTCTGGATTCTTGATTCCAATAAGAAGCATTGTCTTTACCTTGCCATGGCCACTCTTGATTCACAGTAGCCCAGTATTGTGATCTCTTTTCCACCGTGAAAAGCTGTCTTCGTTGAGAATCCACCGGTAGGACTTCTCTAAAAGCCAATTTTTGTTGGCCTCAATGCGCTTCATATCAGCTACTGGGTCGATGAGGCGCAGGTCCTTCAGGCAGTCGTAATACCTATCATCCTCCCGAGAGTCTCTTTGAATAGAAATCCCAGCCTGGAAGCTCCCGTGAATGTCTAAAGGACTTAGCGTAGCCGTTGGATCTTTGGATCTTATAGAGAGATGACGTCATACTCGGATACTCGGATATCAGCCCACTTCCCCTCACGATATTCAAGGAATCAATACAATTGACAAGAACACTGGAGCTTTCAGAGTCCGGGGCGTCATTCTGATGCAATAGTATCATTGTAAGCTGCGGTATCCATTGCCCTATAAAGATCGTCCCGTCGCCAAGCCGATTGTCACAGTCAAGCTTTTTGTTCAACTTTCCCCAGATTTTAGTTTATTCTTTGTGGGACAATTACCTTTTCCCGTATTACCCTTCAACATGAATCAAGATGGCTATTCGCACCACCTCCACAAGTATGAAGCCCACCTCAAATGACACCTCCAGCCTCTAACCATACCAGGACGGGCAATTGGATGCCAGCCGACCACAAAGTTCACAAAGAATGGCTCGGCGGAATAATGAAAAAAGTCGACGAAAACCAGACGGCACTCCATCCAGTCCTCGAAGAATTCAAACACCTTATCGAGACAAACACAAGAGTATACATGCTCCTTACCTCAATGTTCAAAGAAGTCCCCCGCCGAAAACGATACGGTCATGACCCAACTGGAAACCCAGAAATCCGCGATTATCCTCATTTCTTACAAGTCTTGAACCATCTCCTTACCACTGCCCCTTCATGGACTGATAAATCTCACCGTGTGGGTCTGGTTGGGTTGCCTATCAATGCAGTCCTCGATTGGCCAATGGGTACACCAAGTGGTTATGCAGCATTCCTCGACCCAGAGATAAATGCAATGATCAAGAAAATCCTCAATGCCTGGGGTGAATATCTGCGCTCGCCCGCTTCAGCCGATGTCCTGAGTACCTCTTCTCACGGCTGGTTCGGCGAAACAGGTCGTCGTGACCTAACAGCCGTCGCAAAGATCGGTCCTACAGCCGCGACGGATCTGCAGTTCGCCGACATGTTTGAATGTGACCCCTCCAAACCCAACCACGGGTTCAACTCCTGGGATGAATTCTTTACGCGAGTCTTCAGGGAGGGGATCCGTCCAGTCGCCGACCCAGAAGATGGAAAGGTCATCGCCAATGCGTGTGAATCGAAGCCATTCAGAACTGCGCATCACGTGAACGCGCGTGACAAATTTTGGATTAAGAGTCAGCCGTACTCCGTTCTTGATATGCTTGGTCATGATGAACGCGCTTCGCATTTCGTTGGTGGGACTGTCTATCAGGCTTTCCTTTCTGCTTTGAGCTATCACCGCTGGCACGCGCCCGTTACTGGAAAGGTTGTTGGGGCTTATGTTGTTGATGGTACTTATTATTCTGAGCCGTTATTTGAAGGGGTTGGGGATCCTCAGGTTTCGGCCAAGGAGATTGATATGGCTGGCCAGGTTACCTCGCAAGGATACATTACTTCGACTGCTACCCGCGCTCTGATTTTCATTGAGGCGGATGAGCCTGCTATTGGGCTCATGGCGTTTATCGGTGTTGGTATGGCTGAGGTGTCGACCTGTGATATCACTGTCAAGGAAGGAGATCGGGTTAACAAGGGTGATGAGATTGGCATGTTTCACTTTGGTGGCTCCACTCACTGTCTTCTCTTCCGGAAGGGTGTTGATGTGTTTGGGTTCCCTGAACCTGGGATGGAAGACAATATGCCTGTTCGGAGCAAGCTGGCTATTGTTTCATGAGCAACTATTGGTTGGAGTGATGTAATTCAAAAAGATTCAACATTTATCATGTGTAATTAAGCTAGTACCATAGATTCGTCAATCTCAATCTGATAACAAGAATCTCTCGATACAAGCAAACAATTAATGAGCAGCTAAGTGGTTAGACATAGTGACCTCATCTTCTTCGCGAACAGAAGATCGCTGGTAACGACCCCGACGACGACCATATCCGTATCCATGTTCCTCAGATTTAACCGCCAGCCTCTTGGCAACCTCGTTTGCCTCAAATAGACTGACCAATCTTCTCTTTGAAGGAGTTTGTTGAGCTCGGCCTTGGCAGACACGCAGCATGATGTTCACATCATGGTCTGGAACGCTGATACCTTCGACGAAGTAAACAGGGCTACGAGAAACCATGTTCATGCGTTGGGGTGGTAAGTTCCTGTTCTTGTGAGGACTCTCAGGTGGCGCCGAGGTCTGCTGGTTCACCCAAGAGTCCACAGCCATTTCAAGCGCAGTGGTTCCGGTTGCATTCTCGCGGTATAGAAGGTCAGGGCGACGGTCCAGGATTTGTTCCAAGACATCGTGTTGGCCTCCCTTTACTGCATCATGAGCCACAGTGTTTCCCGCTCCATCGAAGAGCTCCAAATGTCTTTGGTTGGAAGAGTTTGCAAGATTTAGGATCAGGTTTGTCATCGAAAGAACCATTGCTTTGCCCTCTTTCTGGTCGATACGATGGTCTGAACTGGGGCAATGTCTCAGCCAGCGGGCGAAAGGCGTCTGTGAGCTATCGCCTGCTCTTTCGATCAGCATGATAGGGATGAGCTGCTGATCGAGAAGATTGATAAGCCTGCCACATCGCTCGGAGTTCCTGCAATTGCGACCCTCGGCCGAGTGAAGAATAAGATGCAAAATATTGTTCGCTTCGGAATCACGAGTTGCTTGATTGGCTCCCGCGGCTATAAGGATACGGGCGAATCGAACCCGATGGAGAGACATAGCCAGGGCAAGGGGTGTGAGTCCACCACTGGAGCGGACCTCGATGCATTCAGGATGATGATCAACAAGGTACTGCAAAAGACGCTCTGTTTCGTCAGATGGCCGACACATCACAGCACAATGGATCACAAGGTTATCTGGAAAGAAGTCAGTAAATGTGTTTAGTCTCTTAGCCAGCAACTTACTTCTCGTCTGCAACCAGCTCAACAGGGTTCCTTCCACACCAAGCTGGGACTCGGCGAGTCTCTTGACGTCTTCATCATCCGGAATTGAGTTCAAATATTCAAGGTAATACCTTCCAGGGCCAGTGCCAAGGAAGAATTCTGTACTCGCAAGATTGCCCTGAAGGGCTGCAATCAGAAGCGGTGGGCGCTGATCTGGATGTCCGATTTCTCCACCTCGTCCAGCATCGGCCCAGTCAGCACGCTTGGTGCCACGAATCGATAAGCCAGGATAGTATTGAGGCTCCTTGCGAGCTTCAACTCCGCAGTCTTGACTCAATTTGGCAAGCGGAAGTCCTGCTCCAGTGCTTTGAATGAGCTTGGAAAGGCAGTCGATGCGACCGAGCCCGATGGCAAGTTGGAACTCCTCACTTGAGACTGAGTATTTGAGCTTCCCATGGGGGTTGCTCTGAGCGAGATCTTTTCCGGTTTCCAATAAGAACTCCAAGAGGGGAAGGTCGTTCTTGTAAACGGCGTACTTGACGAGGCTGTTGATCTTGACATTGTCCTGGGATACCCAATAGTTACCGTTGTCGGGGACAATTCTGCAAAGGTGCTTCGGTGGGAGCACGTCTAGGAACAGAAAAGCATCAAAGTCCTTTGAAAAAGCTTGGAAAGGAGTTACGTCACTTTCAACTTGGCTGATGTCTTCGCCAACGTTGTCATGAGTGAAGGTATCGTCAACTTCATCACCCACGATGTTCAAGTGGTCGTCATCATCCTCGTCCTCCTCTGAGCACTCATCGTCATTGATTGCTATCTCAAATCGCGTTTGCTTGCTTCCACGGGGCTCTTTAACCTTCAGCTGTGCGCGCAGGATTTGAAGAATTGACTTGGCGACATCCAAGTGGCCACGGATGATGGCAATTGAGAGACAAGAAAGACCCCTTGAGTCGCTGACAGCAATCTCGAGGGGAAGCTGATCCTGAGTTGCTCCCCACATACCCAATGTCAATTTTCTGATGGTGGCAATGTCACCATTCCAGGCAGCTTCAAATCTGTGAAATTCATGTCAGTGAGATAATCCTCTTTTCAAATATAGGAAACAACGCACAGAGTCAAATATCCTCGTCGGCAATCATCAGTAATGCCGACCATGCGGAAGTTGAACCGAACTCTAAAGACATTCTTCTTGGGTTCCCTCTTCTCGGGCTGCACCTGAGCAACCACGGTCTGCTGTGGCTGATCCACAGGATGAAGCTCTTTGAATGTCTTTCCACCTTTTGTCAACAGCTCAGCTTCAAGATCGTCGTATTGGCGGATTAGCTCTGCAATGGCTTGTCTCTTCTCAGCAGTTCCTGGAGGATCAGCCGGCACAATTTGGGCTTTCTGGAAACGCTCCTCGGCATCATGGGCCCTCTTCCGCGCACTACGCAGCTGAACACTCGCAAGGAACATTTTGTAGCTCCCCGGCACGAACTCTGCCAAGTACGACTCGTCGTCTTTGTCAAATACCATCGCATTGGGGTCTGATGTTGGCGGTCTGTAGCTAGGGTCGGCCATGTACCCACGAAGGGTCTTCAGAATTTCCCGTGTAAGATCCAGAACAGTCTGACCGGTCGCTTGGTATCGTTGCTTTCGCTCAGTATTGACATTGGCCCCGCGCTTAAGAAGATCAATGGCAACCAAAGGAAGATCACTCTCAACGGCTTGCAAGATAGGCTGGTCGACACTGGACTTGAACTCTTCTTCAACGTCCCCATAAAGATGATTGGTCTCTCTTTGAGCTTTGAGGGCTTTCACAAATTCAGTAATCTTAATCTCTGGCTTCGCGCCTGTGTCCAGTAGCTTCATTGCCACTGATGAGCTCTTGGCAGCGAGGGATACCATCAAAGGCGAGGAGAACTCAGGAGACCAGCGCGAACCTCTGGTTGCTAGGTGGTTGATGGCCCGCCTCACTGCTGGCTCGTCGTGATGAAGGTAAACATCAAGCAACTCACTCTCAGTAGAATGAGCAATGTAATAGAGAGGTGTTTTCTGTGCCAGATCAGCCTGGGCAGGCGAAGCTCCAAGTTCGAGAAGAGTCTTTGACATCTCTCTCGCCTTAACCGAAGGAAGTGAAAGAGCGAGAACCAAAGTAAGAATTGCTGCCTCTGGCTTTTTGCTGTAGTCGTTCAGAATCTTGATTGGCATCAGAACATCGGCTCCAAAGGAGGTAACAAGCTCCTTCACAACCTCAATGTGTCCGTGAAGAATAGCAAGATGCAGTGGAGAGGTACGGCTATCCCAAGCAACCACATTGATGTCGTAGACATCTGGTTCAAGCTCGTTGTCCTCGAGGGTGTCATATGTCGTCATTTCCGTATCCTTGTCTTCGTTCTCAATCTTCACGTAAGACTCAGATGTGAGCGACATATCATCCTTTGTCTCGTCTCCATCGATACTCATAGCATCATCGTTGTCTTCTTTCTTGTCATTCTTCTTCTCGTCGTCCTTCTTGTTCTCTTCTTCCTCTTCGTTTTGATTGCTCTTGGTCAACAAAATACGAATAATCTCAACGTCTCCTCGGGCAGCGGCAAGATGCAATGCAGTCTTTCCATCAGCCATGCGTGGGATCATCCGAGCACCACAGTCAACAAGACATTGAACAATCTCGGCAGTGGACGACATGCACGCTAATTGAAGCGGTGTTCGTCCAGTGTAGTCCCGGCGGTCTGGATTAGTGCCATCCTCAGCAAGAAAGGCCTTGACGGCTTCAAGATCGTTCGACACAATGGCCTGGCAAAGTCTTTCGGTCCGGCCGACATAAGCCATTTCTATGCCATATTATCAGCCGACTATTTCCGCACATGAAAGGGTGCAGCATTCTTACCAGTCCAATCCGTCTCGGTGATTGGGTTGAAGCTGCCAATCTCCTGGCGACCGGGGTCATCCTTGATGAAGCTCACATCACCAGAGATGTAAATCTTGCTCTCCTCTTCGGCAACCTTCTTTTCTTCCTCGTTGGCCGGTTGAGGACAGAAGCCGCAGCAATCATGAATAACGTGCTCAGCCTCACCAAAGAATGCAGGGTGTCGATGAAGATAGACTTCACGGTCCTTAGGCTGATTCCACTGAGCGTTCAAGAGCAAGTCCTTCGTGTAGAGGAGCTTTTCAATCTTCCTCGCATTGAAGTTCCTGCCGTAAGGAATAGTCTATCCTTGTCAGCAGAAAAATCTAGAATATAAAAGGAGGTTTGCTCACAAAGGTGTGGTAATCAGACACTTGGTCTTGCTCTTGCCACTCTGGAACCTCGTCCTCCCAGGCATCTTTGATGTTTCCTCTCAATTCCTTACCCTGACGGCGGCGCATATAGATGTTCAAAGCAGGACGACCGCGCTCCTCGCGTCTCTTTTGGAGATAATTATCTCTGTCTTGGGACAGGGGAAGCTTTTCCAATACTAGAAGCCGGGCGAGACCTTCAGTCCTAGTGAAACTCCGTTCAAAGATAGTCTGTTTGGTAAATTAGATGTACATCCCAAAATGTATGTGTTTGCACTCACCGGATCAATCTTTGATCTGTCAAGTTGAGGCCAGAAAACCTCAAAACCTCGATGGGAATATTTGGAAAGCCGGTTTTCGTATGATGGCGATCGCCGAGTCAAATCAATCTGATTGACTTGTGTCATGTATGCTGCAATTGCACGTGGAGAGGCAAACACCTGCCTGCCGTCATAGGCAACGCAAGAAACATCAACGTCGAACCCGGTAAGAATCTCAGCAATTGAACGGTAGATGCGAAGAACGATCTGGACATGTCGGTTGGGATATTGCGAGGCAATTGTGATTGTGTTCTTAGTTCGAATAGTCGTGGTTTCATACAGAATAGTATTGCGGATCTTGTCCTCGATATGCTTGATCTTTTCGAGTGCCTGCTCCTCAGTCAAGCCGTACAAGAAAAGGTCCACATCGGACGCGGGCGCAAACTCTTCATGATAGTATTGGCGAAGACCTCGCTTGGAGTGGCGATATTTCTCCGGGACGGGCAGGAGGGAAGTCACGACAGCACTACCAGCAGCGACCACATTCGACCAGTCAATCTCACTGAGCGAACCCTCCGTGAAGAGAGCAAAGTTATGTTGGAATTCATCCATAGTCGGCACAACTGCGGGCGAATCATGTGGCTTTCGGAGCTCATCGCTCAATGGCAAGATGTATTTCTCTTTTTCCTCTGGTGTCTCGGATGCAAGGTTTCGTGCCCGAATACGAACATCTGTGGAACGACTTTGATCGTATAGTGGCACAATGTTGACATAATTGTCTTGAATAGAGGCATGAGAGGGAGCTTGGGCAAATGTCTGACGCAAAACAGCATCATACTTGGCAAAAGGCTCGATCAGATCTCTCATAGGCCTTTCTGGTTTGGATTTCACATAGGCCAAGAAGTCATTGTGCTTGACAGGGAGAGAGGGCAAAGAGAACGCCATTGTGTAGATGATGTGATGCAAGGGTATCTGGTGTATGAGAAAGGAAGTAGGATATTAATGAAAAGAGTGAGCAAAGTGAGGTTTAAGTAGAATGAAGTCGATATTTTGGGTTGTTTTAGTTCGGCACTTGGCATCAGGGGACCAGGCAGCGTTAGGCAACAGACCCGCTATCCGTGGCATTGACCAATGATATCGGTTTCAGTACGACCGCCAAGCATCAAAAGATCTCACTTCGCTTACACTTTTGATGTCGGCAGATAATATGCACAGTTGTTCCACAACTAGCTACACAGCAGGTTTTAAGCACAGGCTATTCCAGGCAGCATCGACCTTATGCCTAGTTCCTTTCGCCGGTCTATGCAAAGCTATGAATCATACTTTGCTTTGAGACCGCACAGTTGATGCTTCCAGATGTCACAACATGTATGTCAGTTGCGCTTCAAATCTTTACATTTCTCAACAATCTGCTGTGTGTCATATTCTCCCCTTGTTGAGCAAGTACAACCAGATCGATTTCTTGTTGTTTTTGTTGCAGAAGACCCACTGAAGCAGAATGAACCTATCATATCCGTATCTCCGACGCCACGAGTCTCAACTTCCCTGTCGTCAACAGGACAACAGGGTGTTTGTTGCCTCTTGCCTGACACTTGTCAAATTGCCCGACCCGACAGATCTGCCATATGAGTTGATTGCTATGGTGCTTGACTTGGCCTTTTATGTCAAGAATCTGTGCGGCCTGTCTTTTCTGAGCTACAGGTGACATAGCTTTGCTTGGCCACATATACAATAAGTGGACATTCTTTGACAGGATTCTAGAGATCTGTATGCACAGCCCCCATTAATGCCTATATCGCATTACTGGTGCGAATTTTGGTTGTTGGGAATTGGAGCTTCGTTGGTGGTGGACCGCCAAGTCAGATCTACCTGCTGCCAAAGGAGAAAGGATTGATTCACAGCGCTACACGTGAGATAGACTCGGCAAATCTTGAGACGCATCTTTAGAAAGTCTGTCTCGGCGAGATCATCGTCCTTTGATGACCATTCTTCTGGTATCTCTTCCAAGTCTTTCGTTCCTCTATGCCCATGTGCCGTCTTCGGATTCTATTCTGAGATATATTCTAGAACAAAGCCTTGATAAAGGTGGCTGGAATCATGTTGTTCTCTGAGTGGGCTCAAGTAACTGTACTTTTTCCCCGAAGAGTTCAATTACCCGGCCCATGAGCGGTACGAAGCAATGTTAGCGGTACGAAACAATGTTAGATGAATACCTCGATAAACCATATGAATTCCGTATATATAATCATTTTATCAAAGTGCCAGTGGAGAAGGTCGGAAAGTTGTTTGACCTCAGTTGTGGTTTCCACAGTACCGCGCCATAGTGACAGACGAAGATAGTCAAAGACACAGGCTAGAACTCGCTGAAAATCTGTGGCTACATACAAGCTCATAGCGTTCGGTGATCACCGTAAGATCGAATTGGAGTAACTCGTCGCTTTGACAGCAAATTTTACATGGGGGTTAACTACATAGCCGGCATTCGTCCCCGGTGATTGATCTCGGGGTCTGATCTGAATCGTTGATTGGCCAGCCCGCGAGTATTCAAACGGATCGGCATAAATGAAGAAAAATCGCATTCCCCCAAATCGAGGTCTGTTGTCATTTTATAATTCTATTGCAACATTGAAGATGGAAGTTCCACCCGATGGAGGTTATGGGTGGGTGGTTGTTGGTGCGATCTTCTGGAACAATGCACACCATTGGGGTCTTGTCTCGGTAAGTTGCACCAAAACGCTATAGCAATTACCAGACTGATCATGTTTAGAGCTATGGTGTTTTCCTAGCATATTTCCTCTCAAACTCAGATTTCACTGAAGGTACTAGTCTTGACTATGCATTCATCGGTGGACTTTCCGCCTCACAGGCCCTTCTTATGGCGCCGCTTGCTTCTATTATAAATCGGCAATACGGCTTGAAAGTCGCAATGAGTCTGGGTGTCATTCTTGAGACGGCGGCGCTTCTGGGAGCATCGTGGAGCACAAAGGTTTGGCAACTATATTTGAGCCAAGGAGCCTGCTTTGGCTGGGGACTGGGTCTTCAATATGTCTCGACCATTCCGCTCATCCCGCAATGGTTTGCGAAACGCAGAAGTCTTGCGGCGGGTTTGGCTGCTGCTGGCAGTGGCACTGGAGGCTTGGTATATTCCTTAGGGTCGAATGCCATGCTTGAGCGATTTGGCTATGGTTGGACATATCGTGTCCTAGCTATTGTGCAATTCGTTGTGAACTGTGGCTGTTTGCTGCTCATTCGAGACCGCAACAAGCTGACCGGAACTAAGACCTCAAATCTCAAGATCTCTGATATTTTCAAGCGATATGAGCTTTGGCTATTTTGGGGTTGGAGCTTCTTGAGCGTCATGGGGTTCATGATCATCTGGTATTCGCTGGATGATTTCGCTCGCAGTCTGGGACTCAGTTCACACCAGGGATCTGTCGTCACAGCAATCATGAATTTGGGAACAATCATCGGGAGGTCGGGTACAGGATACGTCAGTGATCATCTCGGAAGAATGAATACGGCATCCTTCGCTACGTTTGTTACCGGTGTGCTGTGCCTTGTGCTTTGGACCTTGGCCCGCTCCTATGCTGCGACCTTGTGTTTTGGCTTTTTTGGCGGGCTGGTCTTTGGAACCTTTTGGATGGTGTGTGCTTCTCCACACCTTAATCCGGGCTTCAGTACTAACCTAGGATATAGGCCGTGGCTCCACTCGCAACCGAGGTGGTTGGGTTGAGATACTTGCCTTCATGCTTGACACTGACATGGGTTGTTTGCGTGATTCCTGCAACTTGTAAGCCAGATATTTACTTCTGAAATATGATTCATCCTTGAGATGCTAATTTACGACAGTCGGAGAAGCTATTGGTCTCGAGCTCAGAACCAGCGGAGATCGCGAATATCTTCATGTCCAGCTATTTGCTGGCTTCATGTATATTGGAGCCTCAATATTCGTGTCCATGCTTCGTATTTGGAAGATGTCGACTCTTCCCGAGGTATCTAGCGTGCTGCATACATCGGAAGACTCCAAGGAAACCGCAGTAGTCTCCGTGGAAGCGAATGGTCCCCGAAGCACACTGAAGCAGTGGTTGAAGGCAAACAAAGTGTGAGACTGAAATGGGACTTGGCCTTGTTCAAATTGTGCAAAAAAAGAGTCGACTTCAAGCCCCACCGTTCAGAATTTTAACGACATGCATATAGTAATGAGCATACAGACAAATGAACACGATAATATCTCTTTTTAATTGTTTGCCGGGCTTTTTGGTTATTGAAATTGGCATTTTGTGCCAAATGAAGAACAGTATTTCGTTGCTCAGTCGCTTACTGACACCCTTTCCTCTCACTTGCATAACACGAGTCCGACAGCAATCTCACCAAAAGATAGGGCTTTTTGTGATCTCACGCTATATCTCATGTGCGATAATTATCAGCCCATATAATCTCTGAAAGTTCGCTGGATCTGACTTAAAACCCACCGAGGCTCATACATATCACACTAACCCAAAAGGGAAGTCCTTGAGAGCGGGCCCTGAATGCCAACCTCTTCCATCTCTCCACAACGCGTGAATCGAAGCGAGCTGCCCAATCATGAAATCGCGTTCGGCTAACAATATTAAACAGCTCATTCAGTCACTAATGTACCCCGGAATGCATCCACCCAGCCACGCTTACTCCTTCTTCAGCTAGGACATTTAGTGGCGTCTCCCCGCTTCAAGCTGATCATCACTTGGCAAGGACAGCCAAATCAAGGAAATGTACTCTGTAATCTACTCTGTTGTCAGCCCGCGGACCTCCGGTGTATCCGTGATGTCCATCTAAGCGACCCGTTCCACTTGTATCTTGGCAAGGAATGAAGTAATTAAAATGAATGGCACCCCAGGCCGGTCAGGTCAAGGGCACAGGAACAGCAGTGTCGAAATATGAAGTACCAGTTTCTGCTAAGCTCACTGCTCTTGGTTAGCCAAGCTTTCGCGGCTCCTTCTCCCAAAAAGAATGATAAGCCTTGTGTCAGTTCGCACGGGGGTCTCCGAGTCTTGCATTACAATAACTTGGGCCCGCGGAACAATGGGACATCTGCTGTCCTTGCATATAGCCGCTTGACCTACGCAGATGCTGTATCCAAGTGTGTCACCATTGGCGAAAACCTTCACCCCTGGTCTTCGAAGTGCCGCGATAACCAGACTCAACTCGGGTACGAACTGGACTATCTTATCTTCGCGAAGGAGCTTCAAATCCATGATTTTCTATGGATTTCGAATGAACAACAACATGGGAAAGACTGCTACGCCTTTTCAATTTCTCACAAGAAGGTCGTTCAAAGGGAATGCAAGGACAAGTATCCCGTTCTCTGCACATCTACTCCTCCCCCAACAACCGACCAGGACGGAGCTGCCAGGGACACGACAAAGTTGAGTGTTCGATCCAAGGACTACACCCTGACTGGATATCGTGATGCCCGATCCTTCCGCTTCCTCGGTATTCCCTTCGCCAATCCCCCTGTCAAGGATTTACGCTTCGCACCGCCACAAGCGTATACCGGCCCCAAGGAACTCGATGCGACTACCATGGCAGCCTCATGTATTCAGTCTCTGTCGAGCTTTGGAACACTTGGTGTTGGTGGAATCTCCGAGGATTGCCTATATCTGAACGTGTATACTCCAGCCCTTCCTGCTGAAGTTACCAAGAAGACTGCACTCCGCCCTGTTGCTGTCTATCTCTATGGAGGTGCATTCACCAAAGGTAGCTCAGCCATGGTCGACTATGACGGCGGTAACTTTGCCAGTCGGAGCGATGTGGTTGTTGTAACTCTCAATTACCGTGTTGGAGCATTGGGATACTTGTCAACCGGAAATCTCACTATTGGAAGTTATGGTACTCATGACCAGATCATGGCACTGAAATGGGTTCAAAAGCACATTTCGTCTTTCGGTGGTGATCCATCCCACGTCACTGTCTTTGGGCAGTCCGCTGGTGGTCAAAGTACTGTAGCTTTACTTTCTTCAACTCAAGCGAAGGGTCTCTTCTCTGGTGCACTTGTGCAGTCTGCACCCATGGATCTCCCATGGTTCCCTCGGGATCTCTACGCTTACTATATTGCCCCTGAAGTCGGAAAGGCAGTAGGCTGCGAGAACATCACATCGGAGAAAGCATTCCTGAAATGTCTTCGTTCAGTTCCTGCTTCGAACTATCTGGACAACTCCACCGATTTCCAAAGTGCCACCAAAGCCATCTCATCCAGCATCGCCAAGCACTACTACCAAAACACAGAGTTACTCTCTGCTACCGAGCCCTTCATGCCAAAGGTCGACGACTCGGGCTCAGGAGTCATTGACGACCAATTCCACACCCTCCTCGCAAACAACAAACTCCCAATACGGGTGCCGACGATGTTCACAACTGTCCGTGATGAAGCGAGCCTCTATACAGGCCGCCAGGTCCCGAACCTCGGTTCTACACAAGTCGCACTGGACATCCTACTCAAAACCACATACGGCAGTGAGCTGGCCCCGAAAATGATTTCTTCGGGTGCATTCAATGTCAAAAAATCGGACTCAGATGGTGTTCGCAATGCCGCTTCCGCTGCACTTACCTATAGTGAATGGACCTGTGCCCAGGGTTATATTCTCAATCAAGCCAGATCGGTATTGCCATCACTGTACGAAGTCGAGATTACAGATGGTCATATTCAGACTACTGTCAATGTGCCGGATATCTGTTCCCCAAATAGCGTTTATAATGCTTCCTGTCACTCTTCTGATGTCCTGCTCGCGTGGGGGACATTGAACTCCAAGACGAATAATGTTGATCCCTACCGCAATGATGAAGAGATTCGTCATTCGCAAATGCTTCATGATATCTTTGGTTCATTTTTCCGGACTCGCAACCCCAATCCTGATTTGGAGTTTTTGGGGGTTCGCGGCCCGGCGTATGCTGCTACACGTGAGATCTTTGCTGGCGGGGAGAAGATTTCTTCGCACCATGAGCATAGCTGTGGTGATAAGGGTTACTCTATTGAACAGTATCATCCTTCGCAGCGAAACCTGACTCTTTTGGGGATGCCGCCTTCACAAACCATTAACTTTGAGGACTCGGATCAGTGTGCTGTTTTCCGGGACTACGGATTTACTTTCCAGAGGGCGATGTTGACAGATTAATTTCACATTCTGGGTTGACTTTGAAATAGAACATTGTGTCATTGAATCATTTTCTTTCGCTATCGCAACTCAAGGCATATAATTTATTAGGAACAGAAGCTTGCTTGGACTTTTGCCATCGTCTGCAGACTAAATTCATACACAATCCTGACTTGAGATGAGCTCCAAGATTGCTTTTGGGATAAAAAAACCAGCTCTTATAGGTAAGACCTTTAAGTAGATAATTGGACGCGTAAAGGTATTGTGGGATTCAAATCGGTAAGAGTTTCTTAACTTCTTCTGAACGGGGCTTAGGGCAAGACCACAGATCCCTTGCATGGCCAAAGATGACGCTATCGAATCCGATCGTTCATAGACACAGCCTCGCTGTTAAGGCTATGTAATATGACATAATATTCGTAAAAATCATAACAGAGTATTTTAATAAAACAAAAACACTAAAGCATACGAGATGGGATAATATGAGAATAAACTGAGCACAAAACGCTAGAGGAAACCACGCCGAAACAGGATGAAAGTGTAATGCTGTCGTGATAGAGCTGAGATGTAACGATAATGCAAGTGAATGATAAATGCAAATCGAAAACGCCGAAGAATTTATAATCATTGCAAGAGCATGTAATAATCTGCAGTCATGTTAAATCCGTCATTCGTAAATCGGGACTCTGCGCGAAGGGATATATCCCGGATCTTCATGAACTGTTTCTGGGGTGTATCGCTTTGCAGCTGCGCTTCTTGGACTAGCCCAGCCTGGGCCACGGTGGAAACCTGCACTGCTGTATGATCTTGGTCTTTCGGAACTGCTTCCTCCGCTGCCTGGTCGGCTGCCGCCTGTGCTTCCGCCGCTGTAGCTTCCTCGTCTCATTTCTTCTGCGGCGTAGGGATCTAAATGGCGTGGGACTGCTCGGGGTGGGGGTGGTGTGGGTGCTCTGTATAGTGGTGGGTCTGGTGCTGCTGGTGCTGGGACGGAATCGCCGAAAATGAACTCGCGGAATTTCACACCTGCTCCTGCTCTTGAGCGAGAGCGGTCTTTCGTGTGCACTCTGGGCGATGATTCAGGATGGGATCGGCTGGACCGGCTTGATCTTGAAGAGTGACTTTCGTGACTCCGGCGCTGTCCCCGAGGTGCTGATGGGGAGAGATCTCGCATTGGTCTGCGTGTGTATGCTTCGTGAGAGTGTCGCCTGGCACTACTGCTGGAAGGAGGTGAGAGGTTGCGTCGCTCACGATGACGGTGCTTTGATGCACGCTCCTCGGACTTGCGGTGGGTCTCATCAGACGATATATCTGAAACATCCGGCATCTCGCCAGTTCCGGGGCTAAGTGGGTGACTTTGGAAAGTGGCATGGTCTCGACCCCTTGAGCGGGGCGGACGCTCAGGCCATGGAGGTGGAGATGAAACTCGCGGAGTTGAGTAGCCCGATCTAACGCCTGGTCTGTGTCCCATAAATGCAGGGTACTCTGCACTCGGACTGGGCCGTCGATGACGATGTCCAGCGCGTTCGGGGTCCACATGACTCTGACGTTTTGATCCACTGCGTCTTGAAGTGCGGAAATAGTCATCCTCATCGGGCAGAGGGTCCTTGCCACTGAAATGATAGTGATATGTTGCAAAGTCTGGGGGTGATGCGCGCTTGGAGTGTCTTTTCAAGTAATCATGCTCTAGTCGCCGACTCACGCCTTCATGCCACTGCAACATTTCGGGGTCTGGTTCAGAGGGAAACGCGTCCCTAGGGATGTCTTTGGGAAATATTCGACCCTCCGCATCTGTAATATCCCACAGACTAACAGCATTCTGCAAGTACTGTGAATGTTCATCCGGGTCCATCAACAGTTGGATTGTCTGCCATCGCACAAAGCCATTTGGGAGTAAGGACGGGACTGAAGGTGGTTCGTAGGGGTTTGAGGATGGCTGGAGACTGTGAAAGCATCCTAATGACTGGTAGATAAAAGACAAGGCCTGCGACTTGGTCTCGAGGAATAGAGGGTCGTAGTTACCCCCGACTTTACGATAGAAGCTCGCCAGTCGCTCGGGGGTGATATCGGTGGTGCCGTTGGTATCAAATGTAGGCTGATATATCAGATCATGTCAGTATCATTCTTCCGGTCTCCACTTTCAGGCTGTAGACGCGGGGGCTTACCAGCAACTGCGCGATTCCCAGACACAGATGCTCCAGTAGCGGGGCTGGGCTTTTGTCGGGATTGATCAGCGTACCCCAGTAATTCTCTGCAGAAGACATGGCAAGAATGTGAGAATATGCAAGGCGATTGCAGCATGTTCAAAGTCCAGTTAATTCTGAAGTCCGAAGTCCAGAAGCTCAGCCCGAAAGATAAAGAGAGCGGTCAGGCACGGGACCCACTGCGGGGGAACCAAGGAATGCGAAGTATATAATTGTTTGTTTACTCAGTAGTTATACTCAGTAAGTATTTGTATATGCTGATGTATATGATAGAGCTGAGAGCTGAAGGCTGAGAATGATACTTTGAACTACATGTGATCTTTCCCGTGACTCACTTGCTCTCATGTTGCGTGATGTTTGAAGCCTAATGTGGCGCATTGTGACCCAATCAGCGGATGATGCACTCGATCGGGCTGAGTAGGAACACTTTGAATTAATATCGTTAGATTTGGCTTCTGTGCCTAAATCTCACTTGGTACTTGGTCTTCGGGTATTTCCACGTTACTTATGTCACACTATGCAGACTGTCGGAGTATATTCCTATATCTGTTCCGACACCGGTCTATGGTTCGCCACAGCATCTCATGTCACAGATGAGGTCACACCGAGCCTCCTTATGCAGTCCATAAAGAGAACTTCGGCCACGAGGACATAGCATCAGTCATGGAAGGATCCAGGAAATCAAAATCAACATCAGGCTGTGCTAGGAACTCCTCCATACCCTCTCCCAGGAAGGACATGTCGTTCGTAAGGTTTCCTGGTGCAATGGCCTCAGGTACACTGCCCACAAGGCTCAAGTCACTTGGTCTTCCGCCTAAAAGAGTGGGCATCATTGAAGGATGTGCACCACTTTGATCGTTAACAAAGGACCGATCGAATTGAAGAGAAGGACGCGACTCAGATGCACCCTGTTGGTCCAAGCGCTGTCGGACACACTCAAGATTATCATAAAATTCGGTCGCAGCCAGATTTCCATGGTTACTCATTGCCCGAAGAATCTCGAATGCTGCCTCGAACAGAGAAAAGTCACCGCTATTCTCTGGATACACTTGACTTGAGATGACCATGATAAGTGCCGAAGAAAATAGATAATGAGCATAGAAGTAGCCAAAAACTGGGAGCGATCCGTTTGTCCACTCATCCACGATAAGTGAGTGGGTGTGTCTTGCTGCGTGAATGCAGGCATCGCTGAGCGTTTTAAGGGTTTGACGGATATTTGGGTGGGCAGCATCTTCTTCAGGTGGCTCTGAATATGTAGTTTGAATAAGAGCATACAAAAGGACCGGTCGACTGGCTAACATAATACACTATGCTCAATTAGGATGGAGTGTTTCATCTTTTACTCGGCCGTGACTCACTTGGTTGAATTGCAAATGCAATGATATGACATTCTTCAGAATCGGACCTTCGCAATTGAGTCTGATATTCGGAGCCAGAGCGCAAGCCCATTGTTTCAAAGAAATAAGAAGCTTCTGTTCGCGCTGCAAGAATGACTCGGGATGTTTCTTTCGGCTATACACCCGGTCGATAACCTGTCCTGTGATCCTAGCAAGTTGAATACTCGCTGTCAAGAACTCCGTGTCAGAGAATTCCTCGTTATGAATGTCACCAGGCACCGTGGACGGCATCTTGACATGAATATCCTCATCGGCAATTTGGATTGGCCAGCCGACTTTCGAGCCATACATTCGGTCAAAGACATAGATCCCCCACCATAATCTTGTTCGATGCTGGCGGTCAACTGGATCAGGACATTTGGATTGCGGTATGTCATGATTCAATCCCAAGGTCAACCCCAGGCGCATCGCGCTGCCAACAAGCAAAAAGGCAGAGTGGCGTCTGTTGAGGAAGAATGAATATAGAGACTGAATAAATTAGCTCTTGATCATGCGACGCAAAGACAGTATTTCATACCAGAAGCAACAAACTCTCAATATGCGTCAGACTTGGACGTTCAGGCAAGATAAGGATCATCGTCATCGCATTTACATAATAAGCGGCGCCAGGAACATTGCATTCAAGCGTCGAATTCGATCGTGCAGAGTATGCTTCACCAAGAGCAAATAAAGCGAAGAATTTGCAAGTTAAGACAGGATTGTCGAGGTTTCTATCTCGGTAGGCATCTTCCAGCTGATCAAATGTCGACTTGCGCAGCACCAAATGATACACCCGGCTAACCTGGCTGAATACAATCTGAATCAGAAGCCGAGCTTGAGGAAGACTGGGCCATTCTATTGCTGGGTCGCGGATCTTCATCAATGTGGATTCGGATGTATACTGTGTCCGAGGCATGTGGATTGTCGTCTCCTTCTTTGTGAGAACCTTGCGTAAACGAGTAACGAATGCTGTACATGCTGCTTCTCCAATGTGAATTGGTAGTGACGATGGGTCATAGGGTTGAAACCAGGCTCGTTCTCCCAGCATTGGGTTTTGAACATGTCTATCTGCGGCCGATTCATTGGTAACTGAAGAAGATGAGCAGTGGTTTTCGGGCTGAAAGATAAAGGATTACTTTGATCCGGAACTGAATACTCCCTTGGGGAAAGAAATACTGGCGACTGAGACAATTGATCTCGCAATCGCTGATTTTCAGCTGCGAGCTCGTCGATATAACTTGGACCGTTAGCTTTGCCACGGCAGATTCGCAGTGGATCATACCTCTCATGTACTTTAATTTGGCGATCTCGATTCACATAATGGCAATCGGCGGGGCAACTGGATTGCCGACATTTAGTACATGGCTGGCCTCCACTACACTTCATCTTGTGTGCATGGCATCGTTGACAGCTGGTGATAAAAGATCAGCGGTTTGGTCTTGCTGGAACTGGGTGCCACACTTACGTGATTGACTTCTTTTTCTGTCGCCGAATAGCCGGGTCAGATGTCTTGGACACTTTCATTATGGAATCTGACTTTGGCCTCGGTGTAGATGAAGGAGATGCAAGGAGGTGAATTCTCTTGAGGCTGACGACGTTGGCGGTCGGCAAAACCTTATGTTGCCGAGTGGAGAATTCCGCATCTGGCAGAGAGTGATATAGACATCCAAGTAGTTGGATAGAATTGAACTATCATACTTCTGAATTTAACAATTTGGCAAAAGAATCTCAATTATAGCATATTTGTGGTTGAATTGTACAATCAACGTGAGGGACTGCCCACCTCGTGCAGCTCAGCTCCGTTCGGGAAAGTCACTTTTCGCCGACACCTCAAAGTATACCAGGATCTATGAGTTTCCAGTTTAGATCCAATACGGGCAGCTGCTGTATTTGTTGGTCTATCATATGAACTATATCTCTTTCTATTTCAGACCCAATCATCTTCTGAATCGCAAATGATCCCAAGTTGACCGGTTGGCTACAGTAGGACCAACATTAGCTCTTCTTTCTATTGACCCGTATCCATTCACAACTACCTCTCTCGACGCCAATCACTTGGCAGACTGGTCTAGTTGTACGTATTGTTATTGGGGCCGATCCGAGGCAATCGGCCTACCCCTGTCAAAGATGGACCCGTCCAAGCCGGTGATCTCCCTATAGCATGGGTTCGGGGCCACAAATCAGTCTTGTCGGGTACACGCAACAACAGGGATTTGAACCTTCATTGATTTTATCCGATATCAGAATGGTTAGGGTATCCCTGTGCACACCACAGATATCAGTCTGCCAGTCTCTTGGTGGTCGATCGTTTGAGGCTGTGCCTTATGAGAATCTCGATAAGCGAAGGGAAATTAGTATGTTTCCCTCTCCGGTGCTATTTACGCTTTTGGAGAGTGGGTTGTGTATTTCCCTCTTTCCGATGGGGTGGTTCTATATACTAACGAAGGCACGCTTTCTCTGTTTAAGTTGAATTGAAGTACCAAGTTGGCATTTGGTGGATTTTACCGCTCATTCGTGCCTTTAGATGTAATTTGATATCGTGAATCTACTCCTTGCTGTGTCTGGAATGAATTGAGGAATGCTGTGCAGCTAATTATATACCTTGTAATTCCTACCACGTGATGAATAATAGTTCGACTAAAATCTGCCCTTCCAAGCTTCAACTATGCTAGCCTCTAGACTTGAAGAAGCCTATTTGACTAGTAATCATTATCCACGAATGGCTTTGGGTCGCAGTCCCAGATGATTAGGTGCTTACTCTCTATCCCTTCATCGGCTTGATCAAGGCCTTGACAACCCTGGAGAGGACGAGAAGTGTGCACTTGATCCTCTGATTGCGACCCGATACAAAATGCAATCTCACGGTAGAAACAAAAGTCGAACTATGATTGAGAAATGCAAATTTAGCTAGGAGGGCTCAGCTGATGATGATCGAGCTGACCCAGCCCTACTGCTTAATCGCCAAGAAATAAATTCTTGAGTCATATTCGATATCATCCGTCAAGTTCAAAGGTTGATTAAAGTATCATATCTTTGTTTAAAATGGGGCATTGGCATGTATGTGTCCTTCCGCAGTGCGAACTCGTAAATCGGCAATATGAATTTTGACCGACACACCACCCGAGGACTGACACGTCAGGAATAGTACTTAAATCATCCATACCCAGCCGGTTTAGCTATATGGAAATGCCAAAGATTCAATCATGAGGACCTCTGATATACATTTCGCTGTGAATGCATCGGAGACATGGGTCTACAAGACTCACGACACGGTCGATGGAGTGATTCTATTTACACCACACCAAGATACCGACATCGATGATATCAACGTCTCATTTCAGGGTAAAATAGCAGATTTGAATTAGAGCAAAATCGGATGTTAACGTGATAAATAGGAAATGCACGAACCGAAGTTGAGAACATGAACTCGCATGTCCCACTCCCATACAATGAAATCCGAAAGACCTTCCTTCGCATGGACATAGCACCACTCGACTATTTACTAGACACGAGCATCCTCAAATCCGACAAGAAATATCGAGTCTCGTTTGTATTTGTCGTCCCAGACCAACTCCCCATCCACGCCTGTCACCATGAATGCGCCAATTCTCAAATCCGTCAAGAACACCTGCACCCTCCCCCAAGTCTCAGTCACCAAAAGCACAAACAAAATATCCACGACATGTCACCAAAGATGGCAGAGATTGCATACAGCATAATCTTCACATTATGGCAGCGAAGCGGCAAAGGAGGACGATCCAAGAAACTCCAAGAAGCAACATATCCAATCCAAATCCAGCCTACACGAGAAGAACACGCTCCAATCCTGATCCCAGAGAAGAATAAATACTACCAACTCCATTCTCAAACGACAGTCTCAAAGGGTGTGTTGCGACATACTCTAGGCAAGCTGGTTGTATCTTCCACCCAACCACCAGCAATCCAACTCCACAGTCCCCAGCCACGTAACGGTTCTTCAACCACGGTGAAAATTGATTTGCGGTTTCAAGCTTTGCTACACATAAGAGTCATGCACCACCTTCTCTGTTAGCTGCGCGATTTCAGCTAAGGGCTTTGACATTCTTTGGTCTGGAGCCGTGAAGGGATTCCCCTGATTTGTCTGATTATTCCACATGGGGTTCTCGTCAAGCTTTTTGGTCTGAACATGTGGCTTTGAATACAGATCGGGATATTACTGTGAACTGGAAATCCCAGATGGAGAATGGTCAGATAGTTTTCAGGGCTTCAGTTCAGGTATCTGTTTCACTGCCGTACCATCGACGTTATCCTATTACGTTTCATTCGTGTTTGATGTCTCGTGTCTATTCAGTGAAGGTAAGTTTGTTCTATCGGGCGCATGAAAAGTCGAAGGGGACTTCATCTATATCTCTGTCTGTTCCAGTGGAGCTTTGTGCTTGAGATTGTTTGACATGTATTTTTATATCCAACCCTTAAGACTGGCGCTTGTTGAAAATGAATAACAAAGTAGCAGTAAGCAATAAGTTAATCAAAACAGTTTCCATTCCTTCCAAGAGAGTTCTGTTGCCGAGACGATAGACTTTTTGTTTCCCACGCGTATGAAGGTTCAATATAGATCGATCACACCTAGACATCACCGGACTATCAAATGCTAATTGACGGCTATTTGACAGCTAAAATTCCCCTAATATGCTTGTGTCAGATTGCATATTGACCGTGCATTGCAAGTCAGATTATTTCGCATTTCTACCATCAAGTTTTGGGTTTGGACATTCCACGATCGACATGCCATCCACAGGTGGCATTCAACACAGCCAATTGACTTGTGTATAGCATAGGCTGGGGTATTCCAGAGAACATCAACAGTGGCAGCCTGTGGATCATAACTAGACTGGTATCCCAGCCTTCGATAGCCCGCGCCGCCCTTTAGAATTCCCTTGGCATTCATTGCTGCCGCGCCTCTTATCTGGACAATAAGTGCTGTCGATGCCCCTATCTAATCTTTCGTCTTACAACGATCGATCTCTTTCTTCCTCATCCGACCATCTAACTCTGGCTTCAACATCGTCAGTTTGATACAACTACATCTGCGCTGGTCCTGTCTCACAACCAATCGACATCCCTTGACTCGTCTGTCAACACAATATAACATTTACCAACCTATTCCGCCAGCTTGACACACCAGAACATTACCATGGCACTTGTGAGAGACCCATTCTTCTGGAAACGCTTCTCAACAGCAGTCCACATGGACGAAGAAGCCAAAGCTGTCGACCAAGGAACACAAACCGCACCAGTCTCGTATGTCCCTTTCATCCCTTACTTGCGCCTGAACACCGGCTTACAGACACTAGAGCATCATGGCTATCCCGCGAACGACGAAAGCGCAAGAGATCTATCATCTGTGGCTTCGTGATCTTCTTCGCCATTGTCTTTGCTGTCGCCGCTGGAGTGATCATCTGGTGGCTTGCTAAGAACAATTGGCTCCAACCTGGACCTGATGAGACTCCCTGAACGTCAGTGACAGTGATGGTGATGGTTTCATTTGCATTGAGTTGGAAGTGTTTGTTTTTGGTCTGGTTAAAAGGAGTTATGGGATTGCACGAATGGAGATATACCCGCCGCTTGCTCCAGTGGCTTGCATTATAGATATTCATATAGTTCAATATACATACAATCATACAATATCATACTAAGTATATTCGCCTATCTTCTTCAAATCGCCTATCGCCCGAGCGCATGCACCTGCCGCAATTGGCCTAGTGGGTGGTGTTATCAACTCGACTTCACCTCTTGATATTCTTTCTCTCTTTCTTTCTTTAAGCTTCAATTCATTCACAGCTACTTATTTTTTGCCCCTTAACCCTTGCTTATAACTTGACTGCCACACTTACAATTACCCCAGACTCAAAAAGGCAAACACCGGCTAACCTCGGCCTTATCGCATTCTCCACTCCCCCGCATAAATAACCCCAACTTCTCTTTCTCCTCCTTACACCGCAACATCATGTTACCCCCATTCGATTACTTCGCCTACAGGCGTCTACGGTAAGCTATCCCTATGAATTTACAACATGGTTAGTTGTCTCACAATCACAGAGCTCAAAAACAAAAAGAGCGCAAACTCCGCTTCACAACCGGTTTGCCGCACTACTACCACCAACGCATCGGAGCAGCAGATAAGAAGATCATCAACCAGCCCATCGAACAACTCGTTCACGATGTGCAGGACTCCACTATCTCCGCTCTTGATGTGTTGCGCACCTATGGCAAAGTCGCCGTGAAGGCTCAGAAGGAGTCGAACTGTATTACTGAGCTGCTGCTCCCCGAGGCGGAGTCTTGGCTGGAGAATGATGTTAACCTCAAGGGTCCTCTTGCTGGAATCCCTGTTTCTCTCAAGGATTCTATTCATGTTAAGGGCTTTGATGCTTCGGTTGGGTATGCTGCTATGGCAGGTAAGCCCATTCTGGAAGATGGGCCTATGGTCAAGTTGTTGAAGGATGCTGGTGAGTATCCTGTCAAAACTGTAATTGGATGGCTGCTAACCTTTGAAGGTGCCGTGCCATATGCTAAGACTGCTCTGCCAATTACTTTGCTCTCTTTTGAGTCGACTAATGGACTCTGGGGTGTATGCCGGAACCCGCATTCCCCAGGTTACTCGCCTGGTGGCTCAACCGGTGGAGAGGCAGCTCTGTTGGCCCACGGTGGCCGCATCGGTATTGGATCTGATGTTGCTGGTTCCGTTCGTGTTCCTGCTGCCTGGAGTGGTATCTATTCCCTGCGCTGCAGTACCGGCCGTTGGCCCAAGGGCGGCGTGAGCACCAGTATGCCCGGCCAAGAAGGCATCCCCAGTGTCTTCAGTCCCATGGCTCGTACCCTGGATGATCTCAATTACTTCACCCGTTCCATTATTGGCATGGAGCCTTGGAAGTATGACCACACTGTTCACCCCATTGCCTGGCGCGATGATCTCGAGGCTCAAGCTCAGAGCAAGGTTCTCCGTATTGGTCTAATGACCTCTGATGGTACTTAACGTCCCCTTCACCCTATATCTCAACTCACATCTAACCCGGCCAGGCGTCGTCCCCCCTACACCAGCCATTGAACGCGCCCTCTCCACTACTGTTGCAGCTCTCACCGCAGCAGGCCACACGGTAGCAGAGATCACCACTCCGCCAACAGCAGACCCCTTCACAGGCCTGAACCTCGCGTCGCAGCTCCTCAACTCAGACGGCTGCCACCACTTCAACGCCCCACTGAAGAGTTTCGAGCCCTCAGACCCAGGCGCCATCCAACTCTCCCGCATCGCACACCTCCCCAGCCCCCTGCGCTACCTCTACTACCTCTACGTCCGCTACATCCGCCGCGACGCAGTCTCAGCAGCCCTGATCCGAAACTTCGGTCCCAAGTCCTCCGCCCAGCTCTGGACTCTAACAGCTCAGCGCGAAGCCTTCCGCGCAACCTGGCATAAATGGTGGGACGCAGAGACCCAGCAATTCGACTTCATCCTCTGCCCGGTCAACGCGACCCCCGCTCTGCCCCATAACGCCATGCACGATGCCGTATCTTCTTGCGGTTACACTTTCCTTTGGAATTTGCTTGATTACTCTGCCGGCGTTCTCCCCGTTGGTCACGTAGACGCTACCCGCGACGCCCTCGTCACGCCTTATAAGACGGCGCTTAAGCGTCTAGGCGCTGATCACGGTATTGCCCGTGGCGCGTGGAAACACTACGACTCCGCTAAGATGGCCGGTCTACCTACTGCCGTGCAGGTTGTCGGTCGGCGCTGGCAGGAGGAGTCGGTGCTGGGATACATGGCTATCGTGGAGAGGGCCTTGGACGCGTACCGCGACCCGCAGACTGGACTGGGCTGCAGATATACCCTGCTCGAGGTGGATTAAACAGAATATGAAATGGGATATGATTTGAGCGATAGTGATCTCCCGTCCATACAGTAGTGTCTAGTATGCATGTACATGTATCTACACTAATCTCGTTATCTGGCTTGCATGGTTTCCCGCTCTCCGAGACCAAAATTACTTACAACTTACTCTCCCCAACCTATTGTAGAGTGAGCCTCCCACTCTGACACTAATCCAACAGCGGCACCTGTGCCGCACAATACGAACCTGAGACGATCTAGTTACCACCAATGCAGATCTATGACCCAACACCCCCCACACCCACTACCGATCATGGCTTATGATTCGTCTAGAAGCAACACGCGGGCGCGGATGCGGATGCTCTGCATTTTGCACCATTTCTGCAACCATTTCTGCATTGCTGTCTCGGTTTGGATGTTGGTTTGTTGGTTCTTTTGTTGATTGGGCTGCTTCTCTATTTTTTTTTTTTTCTTTTTGCCACTATACCGGCTTTTACAGGATCAACAAGGGCTGTGTGTTGTTTTTACGAGGGATCGTCGGTTGTAGTGTTTGCTGGTGAATGGCATTGTTTCTGGTTCGTGTGCTGAATTTTTTATGGTTTAGTTATTGGTCGGGGATTTCTCTATGTATAGACCGGGTCAGACTATTTCGAGTCCACTATAATTGTTGCTTTGCTTTGTTGCCGAGTCTGCACGGTCATTTCTGTTTCAAGTCTGTTGTCTATTTATGTGAATGTGATTAGTCTGAGGCTGGTTCGGAATTACCAGGCCAGGCTAGGTGTGTATTGAATGAGAATTCGGAGTCCGAAGATAAATACTAGCGCCGAAAGTGGGTTAACAGTAGTCCAGGTTCTTTTTGTTTGTTCTATTTTGCCGATATGACCATACCTGGTGGTCTGATGTCTGTGATCTTTTTTCTATACTATTCCTCTTATTGGCTGTGAGCCTTGCGGCCCTGTCGCACGGAGATTAGTTGGCGTGAGTGTGAACTAGTAAGGATCAGTGCGTTAGTGGCTAACAAAGAAGTGTAATTTCAGGGGGGAGAAGGTACTACAGTACATATATACCGTATAACTTGACTTCCCGCTGACGTTACTTGGACTCAGTAAAGAAGTCAATTTGGTCACGGGGGACCCCCCCCCCCCCCCCCCCACTTGCAGATCCACGGGCATTTTTTGACACTCCCCACACTCCACCTTCTTCAAGATGCTACACAATGGCCTCGAAAAAGAAACAGAAGGATGGCATCCATTTTGTCAACGCCAGGCCAGCTTCCGAAATTGAGAAACTGAAAGCCCAGCGTCTGGTACGCGCCCACGTCGGCCGCTGGATCTCCGACCAAACAAAAGACCGCTCGGAAGCTGCTGTGCGCCGTCCAATCCGCAACGCCATTTCCTCCTTATCCGCCAATGACCCTGGTGTCGGTCCGTCCTCGTATGCCCTCGTGTCGCGCTCTGGAAATCGCAACGTCTCTTTTTCGTTTGCGCAACCTCCCTCGCCGTTCCCGCCGTCGCATCATAGCGATAGCAGTGATAGCTCCAGTGGGGAGGATACGTTGAGCGTGATCTTGACCGAGAAGCATGGCGTCGTGCGATGGCGCAAGCGGTCTTCTGTTGCCCGTGAGATCTCGGGTGTCTTCGATCCTTTCGGTACATATCCCTCGCCCGCGCATTTCGATCCGGAGGTAGTTGATCTGTCCGAGCGGTATATTACGACGGTCATCTGGCCGGGTCTTGCGCCGCGGCCGAATACTATCAAGGCGGCGGGTGAATCATGGTTTCCCTTGTCCATGGCGGACCCTGCGTTGTTCAGCGCGTTCATGTTCGGGTCGCTATGTCATCTGCGCGTTCAATGGCAGAATAACTGGGTGCCGGGGACGGTGTTTGGTCCGAAGCAGCAGCAATTATTACAGCAGTGTGAAATGGAATCCATCAAGTTGATCAATCAGGCGGTGCGGGATCCCACTCGTGCGGCCAGTGATGCGGTAATATTGAGTGTCATCTGTATGGCGCATCACCAAGCCGAGGAGAAGTTGGTTTATCGACATCAGAAGACGGCTTTCAACCCGCCATTCCCGCGACTACAGTGGATTGATGTGTATGGATGTTTACCGCCAAACATGATCCACATCCAAGGCTTGATACAGCTGGTCAAGATGCGAGGTGGATTGCGAAATATCACCACAACCGGTCTGGCCGCGACAATATGCTTGTATGAATCTTTTTCTCCAGTTTCGGTGACCTACTAACCTTTTCAGTTCCGCCATTCTCACCTGCAGTTCCCTCTGTGTAAACCCAGGCTTCGAATTCTGGCCCCTAGATGAGAACCGCCTGGATATGGGCATCTATGAAGTATTGGATTTCACTCCATCAGATACAGAACACGGTTTCGCCCGCCTCCAAGCAATAGGCGCAACCTACGAAATGGCAGAAGCCTTCCAAGCAGTCCAGAAATACATCGGAATTATCAAAGCCAGTCCAACATCCACACTAGACGTCTCCCTCCTCGCCGATCGCCGTAATATAGTACAACACACCCTCATCTCTCTCAAGCCTGCTTCAGAGTTGCAGCCTTTCTTCTCGCATCCCACTCATGCATCTACATATGAAGCATGCCGTCTCGCCGGGCTGGTCTTTGGCGTAGGCGTTATCTTCCCCATTCCCGCTCAAAATACCCCCCTCCACACCCTCGCTCGCAGTATCCAGTCCATCCTCCTTGAGCCCACTTCGTCTGCATTGTGGTCCTCGCCTTCGGCCCGCTTTGCGCTCATTTGGATTTTGACTTTGGCTGGTATTGCTGCTCACAATGCGCCGGAGCGTGCTTGGTTCGTTTCTGCTCTCGCGGATATCACTCGTCGGACTGGCTTGTCTTCCTGGGGAAGTCTTAAGTCGGTCCTCGGCTCTATGCTTTGGTATGATACTGCTTGTGATCAGGCTGCTGAGGATGTCTGGTTTGAGGGACAGCGTACAGATCAGCAGCATCAACGTACATATGCGATTAAGTGATATATCAGACGCTCTCCGTGAAATACCTGCAGCTCCTGTCTTCACCCTGATCTTTCTCTCTCCCCTACTCCTCTCTTTCATTCTCATCCTTTCCTTACAACCGAGATATGAAACGTGATCCCGCGACCGGACACATTCATGTCATATACTATCAACATCTATCCCCCTCAGTCAAGCAGAATATATTAATGATACCCATACAGTGACAACCCAGTCCTGTACAAATGTGTGGATTACCCTGGACACATTATCTTTTCTCTTTCCTCTCTCCATCTCCCTCTCTTCTATGTTTCCTTTCTCTTTCTCCTGGATGAGACATACGGATTGGATGATAATGCATACCGCCCTCAACATCGATATCAATCAAAAGGGTGGGCTATTCTGGATAATTGGATTATATCGCGTATACTTGTTACACTCTGCATACTTTGTGGGTTGACATTAGAGATATAATATATAAGATTCTAATGCTACATACCGTTTACCAACAGGGGTAGTTTATCTTGCGGAGCTTGACCATTACAATAGAGTCGTAGGTGAGATAGAGGTATACAAACATAGTCAATCAAGCAGTCAACCATGTCCTCCTTTCATTCTATCCTAATAATCCATATACACGCGCATTATATACTCGATAACCGAGCCAAGCGCCAATCGCTCAAATCAAGAACCAAAACAAACGCCAATCCCCACGGGGGAAAGTACAAACTGGGACAGGATCGTCGTTCCTATAATTGAGACGACCCGCACTTTCACTTTTCATCTTCGGGGGTATTTCGGCGTAAATATGCCGGTGTGTAGGGCTGAGACAGTTATGCGCATAAGACTTCGATTATGGTTTGGTTGTATAAATACATCAAGGTTCTTCTCTTTCTGTCGATATGATATGTACATCTGGATTGGAAGCGGGATGGATGGGATATGACAGAGGATACTTTGACATTCTAGTCACATGGACGTATCCATGCCCATATCTGTACAGTAGCTGTACAGACTACATCAATCTCCAAAATTCAATGACCTTTTCTCGTACGTGGGCTAACGGCCAGCCATTTTCCTTCTCTATGCGTTGGAGAAGGTCGAAAATTAGGTTTTGGGCGAGGGGGTCGTCGATCCATGAGCCACCTGGTCACGTCAGTTGTGTTTGTATAGCGGGCTGAGGTATGACTTACAGCCACGGAGGACGTGGGAGGCTGTGATTCGTAGGGGAGGATCGTCGTCGGCGGAGAGGGCGATTCCGAAGATGAAGTAGAGATTTTCTGTGAGCTCATGCTAATATCCGTTAGCTGTGTTCGTATCATAGCATGAAAGCAGAGCATACCTTTAATCGGACGGGCTGTTCCAAATGCCTCAGATTTGGACTCCAACCCTCCAGTTCACGAATGAACATCAATGCCTTGGCAAGGCAAACATGTTGTATAGCAGTGGCTACAACAATCAGCACAACCCATTAACCAGCAGAAGAAGACATACCATGGCAAGAACTAGTAAACCAAGCAACAGGAAAAGGCTTCCCCCTAGCACGATCCGGCGGCGTAACATGCAACGGCGCAAAAGAATCAGGCCTGCCAGTCTCCCACTCCAGAATCCTCCGTCGAAGCGCAACTTCACCAGCGGAGCCAAGTCGGCCCCCGTAGTTTCGGCCCGAGACATTCCAGCAGAAATCCACTGTTTCGGCTAGCAACCAGATCGCACGGTTTGTCCAGTCGCCGTCGCTCAGGATCGGCTTGGCGACCCACCATCGGCGGAGAACGTCGTCGAACGGGGCGAACGTCAGCCGAAGACATTTTTGGTACGTAAGTGCGAATTGGATGTCTTGGATCACAAAGAGCCAGAAGGACGCTGTTGCTAGCCCTCCTGATATGGCGCAGTCGACGTGTGAGCTTATGTAGACTGAGCCTGCTAGGAGGTGGCGTTGGTGGTCGTTTGAGGGGTTGCAGGCTTCGACTTTATTAGCTGAGTCGGTGGTGGGTGTGCGTTGGTACGTACAGGAGACTTGTTCGAAGAAGCGGAGCATTACGGTTGATGAGATGAGGATGTCGATGCCGATTTCGCTTTCCTGTTTGTCGAGGACTGGGAGCATGATTGAGATGCAGCGTTCATGATACATGTCTTCGAGGTCGGGTGGGAAGTTTTCTGTTGTTCGGGATAGGTGGCAGGCTGATACTGCGAGACATGCATATAGAAGTAGGGACGATGTGGTCGCGCGTTCGACTACATCGGTTGAAAAGTGTCGGCGAGGGTCGCATGCGTCGAGCTGCGATGTTAGCATAAAGTGGGAATTGATCAGAGAGAAACTCACCCATGGTGCAAGGTGCTTTTGAAAATGGCGTAGGAGATACGCCTCGTTGATGTTGGTTAGTTTCGGCTGGTTGACTGGTGTCGGTGTCGATGACTGGGAGGTTGCCGAGTTGGACCGCGAGCCATGATGTGAGTATGGAAGGACCAGGTTTGGGGTGGCCATAGATGATTCCATTGCTGATGAAGGCGTTGAACGAGCTTCAGACGAAGATCTTGACGCTGATAGTTGCCTTGCTACAGGTACAACATAGTATTCAGCCGCGGTCTGATCCGTTTCATCCTTGAAGTCGACTATGCGGTCAGCACAGCATCCACCAGTATGAAGAGACAGAAATACACTCGGAGCGGGTCTCAACCCAGATCTGATCGTCCGGAAAGGCAAGATCACTCTCGCCATATCTCGGGGGACCCTTTCCTCTTAACGACGGATTTTGACCATGTCGAAAGGACACTTCCTCCGACTTGCCGGGAGCCGGCACACATTCGCGGCCAGATCGTTGACAGCGGAGACATTTGGAACCGGATTTATCACCTATTCAAGTCAGTAGAAGAAAGACTTAGGGAGAGATATTCACCTACATTTCAGATGGCGCAGCCGACATGTGAGGCTGGAAACGTTAGCAATCCATCAACTTGGTACGTGATTGAAAACTGACCATCCCCTCATTACGCCAGAGTCCAACGGGGAAGGCTTCCAGAATCAACAGAGAGGCCCCAGGACATATCTAAATAAATAAGACCACAGACCAGAGGTGGGGGTTGGCAGATCATTTGCGTATGTATGTTGGGGTATTATCCAGCAACTACGTTTCGTTGGAGATTAGCTCAAGGAGCGGAGCTCGGGTTTAAAATATACTGAAACTCGAATTGGTTGATCTGGATATAATCTCTGGATGATACCCTGAACAGGAAAACGTCCAGTGCAACACTCCCCACACCCATGGCTGGGCAAACGCCTGCTGAACGTGGTTGGACAACGTCCCCCACAACACAAAGTTTCGGCCTCTGCCATCATGAAACGATCCTTGCCCGAACAAGAAGGATCTCGGGTGTGTCAAGTCGGCTTGGGTCGGGAATTCGGCATGAGAAGAGTAAGAATTAGCGAGTCGCCTTGCCAAGGGAGTGTGCTGCAGAAGTATCATGGCCGAGACAACTCCGTTGAAATGGCAGATGGAGTCAGGGGAGACAACAGCAAGAGCCAATAACATGGAGACGGGATGAATCCCGCAGAATTGGTATAAATCCGAGGTCAGAGCCAGAACCTAAACGGGCGCAACAAGCTTCAGCGGGTTGATATTAGCCTCCCATCTCTTCAGTTGTCTCCTTTTCATTTGTCAGAAATCTTCACCGATTCTCTGGTTGAGACCCGGACCCGCGCCGAGAAATTTGCTGCTCGTGCGCTGCCAGGACCACACATGGGGGAGAAGGAATTTTCAGGATTGGACCGGACACGCCGGGATCGACTCGACAAATCCCGCAAGTTCCCCTGGTGGGTCTTTTGCGCTGGAAATACCGGCATTAGGAGCAGGTAATTTCACTTGAGCCGTGGATAGGTACAGACCCGTCGAACCCTGTCGATCTTGGGGAGACCACCTCTCCGAGGCAGTTGAAGCCGAAGATCTGATTCGATTGTGTTGGATGCTGCAGCAAACCTAAATTTGAGGGCCCGGAGTGTGTGGGTATTATCGAGCTGCCTGATTGAGCTTGCTCCGAGATTACATTCTGTCAAGGTGAAGAAGGAGTGCAAAAGTTGGGATATTTAGTCGACAGTTGACTATTGACTGACGGAAAAGATGAAATGAAGTTGTTGTCAGGTGACAGGAATGGTAGCCTGGTTTTCAAGGCCACCATGCAGGGATGTAGATAACTAACACATTTGTCATTTCATCGAGTCTTATCTACACAGCTTCAAGCAGCTAAGAGTTAGCAGCAGTTAGTGTTGAATATATTTCTCCAGGACTTCATCTCTTTCCTTCTCCACACCCATGCAATAACATGTCCCTCCCCCGTATCTCCTTCCTCGAAGGATGGGAGCGCAACCCCACTTATCCCTCCGACGATGAAGACTACCAAGATCTTCCCGAGGGGTCTGTGTCGTCCTCTTTTCCCTCCACCTACAGCAGATTGAACTTCAATCCTTATGCGGGCCCGGGCTGGAACGAAAGACCAGACGATCACGACGATCGATCCACCTTCTTAAATCTGTCTCCAACTACTACGCGCGAGGGACGTGCTTCACCTGCGCCTGTGTCTGCGCGTGCGCAGTCGCCAGAGAGACATGAGCCGGTTCATGTAGAGGTTATTGCGCGCAAGGAACCGTGGGCGGATACCACTGGTGCTTATGAAGTGAGCGCTGCGAGGAGAATTGGTATGTTGCTTTCCCGGTGGGGTATACTTCAGCTAACTGGTGCGGGTCATAGCCCAGGTTTGTACCGCCGTTGTATATTGCTTTTTGGCGGCTGGTGTTGTATTTGGATTCGCAGCTATCAAGCCAATTCTGATTCGTGAGAATGTATATCGCAACCTTTGCACAAAGGCGGAGCTTGATGAGGGGGTTGATGTATGCGATAGGCAGGAGATTAGGTTAGTAGCTCCCTCTTGCTCCGCTGGTTCGATTCTAACATTGGCAGGTTGAATCTGATGTTCACCATCGCAGCTGTGGTAACCAATGTCTCGGCTCTCCCTGTTGGGACGATCTTAGACGCATATGGACCCCGCGTGAGTGGGATCATTGGCAGTTTCTGTCTCGCTATCGGAGCACTGCTGTTCGGAACAGCGCATAAACTACCATTCGATGGATACATTCCTGGGTATTTGTTCCTCGCGCTAGGTGGACCATTCGTGTTCATCACGTCATTCCATCTATCAAATACGTTCCCCGCACGATCAGGTCTAATCCTGTCCATGCTGACAGGAGCATTCGATGCCTCGAGTGCTCTATTCCTGATCTTCCGCCTTCTCAACGAACATACCGACGACCTTGTATCAATCCCCAGTTTCTTCGCGGTCTACCTCATCGTCCCACTTTTCATCATCATAGCACAAATCTTCATCATGCCAGCAAACTCGTACAAAACAGCAGGCCAGCTAGTACAACAGGCAGAAGAACAAGTCGCAGATGAAACAAATGACCACATAGACGACTCAGTCACCGACCAAGACGAACGCGAACGTCTTCGCAAAGACAGACGCCTCCGTCGCCAAAGCATCGTCAACCAAATCCAAAGCCTCCTAGACGACGGCACCGCATCCGTCGTCTCAGCCACCACAATCGACGACACAGTCTTCCACATCGACGCCCACCTCTCTCCACCCAAACCTTCTCCTCCAGTCCTCCCCAAATCCCATCCCCAACCCCAGCCCTCCCAAGGCGGCGTCTGGGGCGTCCTCCACGGCCGCAGTGCCCTAAACCAACTCCGCACACCATGGTTCACCCTGATAACAGCCTTTACGGTATTAATGATGCTCCGGATAAATTACTTCGTCGCAACCCTCCGCAGCCAATACAGTTACCTGCTTACACCCCACACAGCAAAGACGATAAACACCTTCTTCGACATCGCTCTTCCAATCGGTGGTCTCCTCTCTGTTCCTTTTATAGGAACTTTCCTGGATACCTTCCAGACCCGCACCGTCCTGCTCATCCTCGTTTCCACAGCTACTGCTATTGGAATTCTGGGCTGTATACCGGATAGTCTACCCGCGGCATATGGAAATATCATTCTCTTCGTGCTATACAGACCTTTCTATTATACCGCCGTCTCCGATTACGCGGCCAAGGTCTTTGGTTTCCAGACTTTCGGAAAGGTATATGGTCTTGTCATTTGTTTAGCTGGGGTTGGTAATTTCGCTCAGGCCGGTTTGGATGCGCTTACGCTTATTGTTTTTGGGGGAGATCCTATTCCTGTTAATGTTGGGCTTACGCTTCTTGTTGCTGTATTTGGTGGTGGGCTTGTTGCTTTTGTTTGGGTTATGACGAATGTTTTGGAGAAGGAGAGGGTTGACGGCGTGAGCGGGCAGGGGGAGAGAGCGCCTTTGCTAAGTGAGACTGAGGGGAGGAATTACGGTGTGTAGGTGATGTCTTTGTTTTTAACGTTTATATCCATATTCATGTTTTATGTAGATATGTTTGCGAGCCATTGATTTTATTCTCCGCTTCTAGTATATAGTTCGACGCGCAACAGTGACCAAGACAGAATGAAATATGTTATCTGACTATGAACAAGCAAGCGAGTGAGACCAGATTCCTATATACATGTAGATGATCGAACGAAGACCTAACTCGCATGGGTATAAAGCAAAGAAAAAATAACAAACTAAAAGAAACCAAAATTTCCATCAAAAGAAAGCGGGAATGTGAATAATCCCTCATCAATCATATTATTCAACGTGTAGTAAGGATCCCCAAATCCAGCTCCAGCATTGACACCAACCTCAGCCATTCCCATCGGTGGTGCCAGTTGCATTCCTGCTACTGACACATCGGGGTATCCCTGCGTCACGGTGGTCTGGATATCGGGGTATGATTGTGGTTGTTCCGTTTGGGAATAGGGTTGATAGTAGGATCTTGATTCGAGGGTTGGGTCTGTAGCTGAGAGGGTGGTTTGGGCTTGGTAGGATGGCCAGGGTGTAGGGGGTGTTGGTCTCTTTGCCTGAAGCGCTGGGTCGGGATAACTGTTCGATGATGGGGTTTGCGTTCTTTCCGGACTTTGGTCTGTTGGGTATACCTGTCGTTGGGGATTTTGAGTTGAGGGTCTGTTGGCTGGGTCGCCCATTGCTACTTCGCTTAGGAAGTGGAGCGGTGTCATGCCTGGTGCCATCTGCTGTCGTGGCTGCGAGGGTTGATTGCCGGCTGAGAATAGTTCTTTCAATTCTTGACCGTGATCTCCTTGGTCTCGTTTTTTGACGAACCAATTGCGGAGTAGGACCAGGATGTTTCCGAATTTGGCTAGTACACGACCTCCATCGCGCGCTGCGCCGGCGCGATACTGTGCTATCACTTTGTCGAGATAGTAGTCCAGTTTGAGGCTTTGCACGTCGAGGATCTGGCCTATGCGGCTGTCTGGTGACATGTAGAGAGAGTAGATCTTGATCAAGCCGACCACTGGATATGATGTTCGAGCTATAGACGATGTAGGCAGAGAAATGAGCCGGTCAATCTCAATTGAGGAGATTATGTCGAGACTCTGGTGGATGGAGCGTATTGTGGATGTTAGAGCATCGATGACAGCAGCCACAGATGCACTTGGCAAGTCATGCGGTGAGTTGTTCACCGTGTTATAGTCCAAACTCATGACTGATTCGTGTATAAAGATACTCAAAACACTCTCAGTATGAATCATCGGTCCTGGAATTGTTAGCAGAATTCAACAATCCGGAAATTGTACTCACCAGTATAGACTTCGCGTGGTACCTCAGCTCTCCACCGCGATAGCCGATTCTCAAACGCCTTGATCTCATGCCAGGCCCTACTATCCGCAAATGTGACAATAGAGCCAACGTCATCCGAAGAGAAGCGTACACCAGCGTCTTCCATGATATTTCCCAGTCTTGCCCACCACTTCAAGTTCCGGTCAGAAGGTAGAGCATCTGGATGATTATCCAGGATTTCAAGACATTCATCCATATATGGTTGCCAAGTGACAAGATGCACTCGCCTCAAAGCGGCGGCCATTCTACAAGAATTAGCATTGATACTGACACAATGATACCAGGACACTCACTGGACGGAGAGATAATAGCACCCAACCCAAGTCCTCCTCGCCTCCGGTCCTTCGGGATCAAACGCCGGACCCGATGGCTTTTTGATAATCAAATCACGGATCATATTGAACCCCTTCTTATTCACAGACAACCGACGATTCATACCAAGTTCCATTGCCATAGCCACAGCCATCTGCGTCATCGTGTAGAACTTGATCTCATCGAAATTGTCCGGCGGCAAATACCAGATAGTACCAACCATAATAGCTTGAAGCAACTCCAAAGTCTTGTGTCCCTTGACAACAACCTCCTCAGCAATCGAACGGTAGTGTTCATTAATGAGCGTCATCTGTGCCTCAGGATTAAATGTCCCAACAGCAATAGCCATAATAGCAAGAAACAGAAACGGCTTCGTCCGCCTCACGTCAGCCATACCCGTCCCAGGAGGGAAAATCACAAACGGAAACTCCGGAGCCATCTGATAAATATACCGCTCAAAAGCCGAAGTGGCACTTTTCAAATCAATCACACCGCGATCAATCATATCAACAAACTCACTCGCAGTCTCATGTTTCGCCGCATCAACAGGTCGTCGCCACTGCTTCGAAGCCGGCTGAGAAATCTGCTCAGCAGATGGACTCCCAGGCCTGGAATACCGCGGTCCGAGAAGCCCACCTCCAGCAGACTCCTTCGCCTCACCACCATGGCCCCGCTTCGTCCCCGCCAAAGTCGACTCCCCAGACCCAGAAAGCCACCGCCGACTAGTCGCAGGGTGATCATCCAAAGACGGCGAACGCTGCGTCGTCGCTGCAGACCCAGCCCTAGACCCAGACCCCGCAAATAACGATCCAGTCGCATGAGACGTCTGCAACGTCGCCGTCAGAGCATCAATCTTCCTCTCCAACTCCGCAACCCGACTATCAGTCTTCTTCTGGCGCTTACGCGTCGGGGCAGTAACGATACATGTTCGCCGCGCTTTCGCGCACCGCTTACATGATCCATCTGGGTGTTCGGGGTCTGGGTCACAACGGACCTTGAGCTGGCGACAGGGCTCGCAGGCGCGAGCACGTTTCGCATCGCCCGGTCCGTCGTTTGGGTCTGGCGATTGGTTGGTTGGGACGTGCTCGGCGCCTAGACTCTGGCTGTGGCTGTATGATGATGGGCCCGCCGGGTCCCGGTGTGGGTTTGAGATTACGTGCATATGTGAGGGTGGCTCCGGGTAATCCGCGGCTATGGTTGTTGGCGTGTATACTCGGGGCCTCCCGTCGCGGGCGCGCTGTAATTGCGGGTCGATGTCCATGTAGTGTGGGTAGGGGGTTTTAGCTGGTTCAATTGGGTATCTGTGTGCATTGTGTGTGTTAGCTTTGGGTCTGTTGGTGTGTTTCGTTGCTGTTTGTTCTATCGCTGTATACCACGCATGAATGATGTGGCCACTCGAACCACGCGGAGGACGGTGATCGCAAACACCGACCACCGACGTGGGTGATCAACGGTCCCAATGAACTGTGGGGGGGCCGGGGTTGAGACTGAACAATGAAACTGCACTGCGTACCTCTCGCTCAAATCACCTCGTACCCCTAGGGCTGGCTGTCATAAAGTGAGCGAAGTTCTTTTCGAAATCTTTCGATGATTTCACGGGGCTAGCACGTGACCGGTATCGACTGGACAAACTACATTTGTTACGGAGTACCCGACAGTTTACTTTGGACTCATTTTCAGTATTAATTCAATTCAGATTAACGCTCAGTAGGATATCAGAAACACATGTCCCAAGCGCCACAACTCAAACCAAGGAAAGAGCAAGAAAACAGTCCGACGACGATGAGACATCTCAAAAATTACTAAATATCCAGATTTATGTATCTAGGATACTTTGTGCACAGGGCATTCTTCCTTCCTATCAAACCAGTCTACAATGCAGTGGCGGTGGAACTTGCAAAGGCACTCCAGGCGGGCCAGGGTCTGCCCAACCTCATAATCCTCCATGCAGATCGTGCACTCAGCTGGTTGACCATCCCCACCAAGACAATCCTTCTCAGTAGCCACAAACTTGAGCATGCGGGCTTCAGGCGGAGGAGGGGGTAGTGGAGGGCCCTGCTCAGGCGAGTCTCGGCTTGCCGCAGTTGGTCGCAGATAACCTTCAATGCAGTCCCGAGTATGGGCTTGACGGGCCTCAATGGGATGATCTGGACCGAGAGGAGGGAATTGGCGACGGCATACCGGGCAGAAGTCAGCCTCGTCGAGTGCTGGGCGACGGGGCAGACCGGCATCACGGTTGGAGAATGAACGGTATTGTCGAGTCCCGGGGAAGGGCTGCCGGCTTTGTGTCAATTGTTCCAAGTACTGGGGTCGATCACTTGAGCCCACAGTGCGGCGTTCCTGGCGAGCGTCGTGGATATGATTATCTCGCTGTATCGCGTTAGCCACTGGTCAATACAGAGCAAGGATAGAACTCACTGATAGATTCTGGAATATACCGGGCATAGTGGAGGAAAGAGAGTGCGTAGAGCGATGACCAGATCCTCGGACATTGCCGAAACCCAGAGGGTTTGGGTTGGGATCCGGCACACAGGGATTGCAAAGGCGTACTTCCTCGCCTCCCCCAAGCGCGGGATTAATGGTCGAAGAGGGTGTGGCAGGCTCATCATCGGTAAGATCAACCACTGGAGGTTGGGACGGAACTGGTGAAGATTCGAAAGGCTCGGAATCAGGAGGGCGGACAATGAATTGCCTGGGGATAGTGATCCGATGAGGGGAACAAGAAGCGCATACAACTCTTCCACATTTTCGACAGTGATGCTTTCTGTACCAGAAGCTGAACACAGTCTCGCAGATCGGACACTCAGTCACATCCGAGTCAGCCTGCCAGGTCGGGAGCGACATGTCGATGAAAGCCTGATTCGGATTGTTAGGACCAGACATGGCTTGGGCTGCCCAATTGTAGGACTCGCGTCTATAACGCCTGGGGAGTTGCTCAGAAGCAAAGGAACGGGGTATTTCGGGGGGAGAAGATGAAAGATCAATGGCGGTGGCATACGAAGAGCCAGCCGAGGCAGAAATCGAACTTCGTGTTCGAGACGAAGGCATCACCATCGAAACAGATCTATGCGGTAACGCAGTGCGGGAGCTTCCCCCGTTATCTCGGGCTGGTCCAGCCAACCCTGCGTGTGACCACTGCCTGGTGTCCTCACCAGTACTCGTCAACCGCCTTTTACGTTCCGATCCAGGGCGGATGGGGAACGCTTGGGGTCTAGAGCTCCCTTCAAATCCGCTATAACTGGCAGACCCATGTGCCTCTGGTCGTTCGCCCATTCTGCCAGCCCGGACCCTCGGCGGCGTACCTGATCCAGTCGGACTGGATGATGCAGTGCTCGACCCAGGCATATTATATCTTATCGTCGTTTTCTTTTTTTTTAAACAAAAGTGGTTTCACCAGTATTTTCCAACGCAGGCAACGAGATCAATCTCGGCCGTCAGGGCGACGGGTCTTCATGGACCAGGTGGCGATAAGGATGGACGATGGCCGAACAGCAGGAATTTCGGACAGGTTTCGACAAAACAAATCGATGTATAGAAAGGGTAGTCCTCTATGCAATCTCAGGCTCAGCCTCAATGACGTTGACGCCTTTTGCCGAAGATTGCATCCAACAGTGAAAGGATGATGCTTATCATGGGGTCAAGATGTGACTAGGCAAGGATGAGGTCTCGTGACTATGTTCTCAGGCGCCAGGATCGTAATATTGCTGCCGGCAGCTGCAAAGAAGGTTCTCAAATAAACCAAGCAGAAATCCCTGCATGAAAAAAAGGAGAAAAGAAGATGATGATGTAGCGTGATGTTTGGCTCTGTTATCGTGGGGCCGGGCGGTGAGGGCGGTGGCGACAGGCAAATTCGGCCCGATCTGCCCGTAGTGCCCAGTTAGGAGCCTCATTCCGCTATGCAGTTGGAGTGATTCAATAGTTTACTTGATATTGTTGCTGTGTTGAACAGGGTGGCATTTTCTACCTGACTGGTTGAGGTATCAATGACAGGCTCCTTATCTCCGGCAGTTCTTTCACGCATAGCCGCAGCCTCCCTGCATGATATTGGGACTAGACAGAAAGCCACGCAGGTCCTGGCACAGCCTGGTCTCAAATATACTTCAGTTTCAGCGGTAATTGACAGGTAGTGGAGCAGTGATGTATATCAAATATGCAGTATGGATCAGAGTCCTACATTTATTACAAATATAGAAGCAAGCTTGGGAAATATAGAAACAAAATCCTCACGTATTATTATCTCGATACTCAAGTTATGTCCTTAAGGATTCATACAAGAATAAAAAATAGAAACAAGATAAGCAAAGCCTCCAAAGGACACTGGCGGCATAAATTCGACGGCCAAAACCAGTCTCCATTAGGTGTACCTCGGGATCACAATCAAAACGCCGTCGCAGCAATTTTAGATAGAGCAAGCAATAGATAGACACAGGAAGGAAAGGAAATTCGTAGGCGTGTCATTAGGGCGCCGGTTTTGGGGTATGACAGTGATGTGGAGGTGGTTGAAGATCGAGAAAAGGGAGGGTGGATGGAGAGAGGGGAGAAGAGAAAGAGTGATGATATAATCCGAGTTCAAGACACATAATTTTGCATTGTTTCTAGTTTTCGTGGTGTGCAGCTTCATCCACAAGTTCTGCAGAGCTGCCAGCAAAGGATGGCTCATCTGGACTAGCTTCATGGATGTGATCATGTGCGCGGTGTTGCGCTACATAACCCATACTTGAAGGCCGTTCGCCTCGTCGGCCGTCCCGTCCCGTGCCATGGCTAGACGCTATTGACCTTGACCTGGAAGTGGAGGTCATTGATAGACCACGTTCTCGAGAAGGTGAGCTACTGTCGCTGAACGGTAGTCGGGCGGTGGGAGAGGGCTGCAGGTGGTTCCCAGAATGAGTGGATCGTCTGTCCGAACCGGGCTGTTGTTCTTGGGAGATAGTCTCGGTGACGACTGGAAGGGAAGTCGAGGGTGCATCTCCTTCCTCAGCTGGTGCTTGGGTATGGCGAGATCCCTGTCGACTGGGTAGCTCGATACCACCGCCAACAGATGTGTTGATTTGCGGTAGAACCGGCGGATGTGTCCCGCTCAATCGCTTAGACTCATGCTCGCCATCCAAGTCTTCATAGGGAACATTACCAGTAGACACATTGCGGGAGTGACTGCCACTGGGAGCATCTGGATCATCTTCATAATGCTCGTTGTAGTCCCCAACAGGCGGGAACAAGCCAGGCGGGGGTGCCCGAGCACTTCGAACCACCTCAAATCCCTTGGCGCTATCCTTGGTCTTTCCTTGGAATAAGCCTCGGAACCAGCCTGTTGCAGACGAGACCGGACCTGTCGGGTCAGCTGGACCAGTTTTCAACTTTCGCGTGCCGGTATGTGAGAGGGGGGGACCCCGGACTCCGTAGTAGAAATCGACCTCACGAACTGCGTAGTCTTTTCGCGATTGCCGTTGGTCGTCCAACTCCAAATCATCCTTTGCTGTCGGTAGATATGCCGGTACGGGTGTTGCACGGCCGGACATCGGGACATCTCCGATTTCATCATCAGTATGGACTGCTCGGCGAAGCGATCTTGACAAGAAGCGCTTGGAGGGACTCTTGCTCGGGGCCTTGCCCTTCTCAAATGACACAGTGCCTTGAGGTCCTTTTCGTCCAGGGCGAGGTGGCCGGTAGTAAGGATCACGGGGACTCATTCCCATCATTGTACCGCTGCTAGGTGAACTGGGGAAGCCAGGTCCAGGGTAAGCTGTTGATGTGGGTGTAGGGAATCCTCCACTGGCGGCACGACTGTGCGAGCCTCCTTGAGAACTGGCATAGTCAAAGTAGGCGCTGGCTCGGCCATCACTGCCCGTGGCGCGGTTCAAAAGGAGAGCGGAACTGCCAGATAGACTACGAGGACGCGATCCATCGAATTGAGCAGACAGACGGTCGTCAGCGTGTCCGAGCATAGCAGCCTCTGAGCCCATACTCTGTCGAGCAAGATCGCGACGTGGTGTACGTCTGGAAAGTTGACGCATACCGAATACCTTGGCGAGACCACCACGAGTAGCTCCACCAGCACCTGCGAGTCGAGCCAGAACTTCGATCAACGTCTGCATGGCATTGAGGAAGAATCCGAAAATAAGCACCATGGCATGAAGCACGAGAATAAGATATCCAATCCAGCCTCGGGCGGCTTCTGAGACCGACAACGATGGAACAAACACCACGCTGAGAATAACAGTCAAGAAGCGCACGATGGAGAAGAGACAATGGTACAGGTTCATGTGAGTAGGACCGGAGAAAGGTCGGAAGGCAAGTAACGTGAGCACAGAGACGACTTCACAGATCGCAAGCATTACCACCTGGGCAATACCCGATGGCTGCAAAGCACCCACAGCGACGCCTCGAGCTATGTTCAAGACGATTGGAACTGCGGCAAATGCAGCGGCATCGTCACAATAGGTGTTGAAAAGAGGACCATACAAGAGCACGGTAGGCAGGTCATCGAAAAGATGTGCTTTAGGCCTTGTGGAGACAATGACGCGGATGAACCAGAGGGAGAAGCAAATAAGGACGACAATCACCAGAGCGGCCAGAGCCACATTGTAAGCGGGGGATTGGCCAGCTATGACCAGCTGGAAGAAAGAAAGGGAGACAATGGGGAAGAGAAGGTAATTGAAGACCATGCGGATAATGTTGCCAACAGTAAATGGCAAATTTCTGGCGCGCAGATCCTGATCGGTGTTGTTTGCCAATTCACGACGAAGCCATCGAAGTCCAAAGGCGATCTGAACCAGCAGCGTGACGCAGACCAAGATGACCAGAGTCCAGATTATCATACCCGGCCAGATATCCTGAGATGACTGCATCCCAACCAACTGATTCATCCTGTCCAGGCCGTACGTTCCATTGAGGGCATAGACTCCGTCGACAATCGGATCCCGTCCACCGGGGTTCACAAAACTTTGATTGAACATAAGAGTCGACCACGCGCCTTGGCTGACCGCTGGCTGGTAGAAACCCGGGTAATCCAACGAAAGTGCACCTGTCAACACCACGTATTGGAGGTACTGCAGACAATCCGCAAATCCGGGTGTGACCAAACGGAGAACATCCTCGTCGCGGCCGTAGTTGCTTGTCCACCTAAACAAATCCGTTGTACCCCAAGGACTATACATGGCAGCAGTGATGGTAGCAATTCCCACCAGCAGCAGTATGACCAGAGGCACATAAGCGAGTGCATTTTTCAGAGACGTGCTGAAGTCGGGCGTGACTTTCACTGTCAAGCAAGCAAGCTGAGCTGCGGAGGCGTCACCGGATCGAATCGTTAACGAGGGGTTGATGGTCCCGAAGCGATAGGTAGAGAGCATATCATGCTGAACGGAGAATGCGTGCAAGGTTGACAGATCGCTCCTGTATGGATGTTAGAACAATGCTACTGCCTGGTCGATCATAGCTTACATGTTGTAGTTGAAGACTGGGCCCATCGGTAGCGTGCCTTGTGTGAGCGAGTCGCGAAACCGTGAAGCATTGTTGAAAGGCGAAAAGCTCAATACGTTAAACGCTGTCATCAAAGTAGTGTACTTGTAATTCGTGGTGCTCAAGTCGATAATCTTCCCGTCCGTCCAATTCGGATTTGTCCAGTCCGCAGAATCCATCGAGGGATAATCCGCCGTTCGGGATACGGTTCCCGATACATTTCCGTAGACCGTCACATTGAGCGGGTGTAGAGAATTGGTGAGGTTGAATACGACGGAGACGTTGGTGGGGACGAATTGTAGCTGAAGAGGGTCCGACTCGAGGATTGTTTTCGACAGACAGTTGTCAAAGTCCAGCAGGACAGCGGCGGCGGGGGAAGCCAGGAACACCAAACAGAGCGTAATCCACCACGAGCTCCAAGTTCGTCGGCGTTTGGAAGTGTCGCGCCAGGGCCGACCTTGCGAAACGTGTAATGCCTGTCGCGGGCACCCGTGTGTCCGTCGAGCGGAGTCTGGGAATCCATCCCGATCAATATCCGAGTAGTACATGTCCGCTTCGGGCATCTGGGATGACCTCCTAGGGGAGGTCAACCCCCTGTGTAGATGATCGAATCCACGTTGTGTTGACAATGGGTCGGTGTCAGGGTTCGTCCGCATGCACCCCGGGGTCGAAATCGAGGGATCAGGTACAAGGATGGGTACGCCTCAGTAATGAGACACCCTGAGAAATCACAGAAGTGAGAAGTGAGAAGGAGAAAAGTGATGCTGCGCCTTGTTTGGTCTGGCCCGGTGGAGATGGCTGACTACTCGAGAGGTATGTTCGCGGGTGCTAATAATAACTTCCCTTTGCTTCATCTATACGGGGTTCCTCTGCTTATTATATTATATCTCCCTTACTACAGACCCCTAGTTACAGATTACGTCTATTAAGTCATCCCTATTCTCTATTCAATATTCAACTATTCCCGGAAATAGTAATCGGCCTTACCTGATCCGCGCTAGACTCTGCAGTTACGTGTACTTCTCTCTATCTCTACTACTTTCTGTTAGGCCGCCTAATTTCAGTTCCGGCTTTCGCTCCCAGTGGTCCGTCTAACATTATAGGCGTTTTGATGTGCACGTTTTGCACGGTTTGTGTGGGAATTGGTCTCAGTCCCACGATGTGGGTTGTCTCACTTACTGCTGATCGATGACCACACAAATTGTCGAGCAAAAGGCTTTCATGTCGATCAATATCGCTTAAGACATGTCGGCGATGCCGTGAAACCAGAGTCACTATTGGGGACTTCTCTCGTGGCACTGGCGCTGTCTCGGGTGACCGCGTTCAAGCCACAGAGACCTGAAGTTGAGAGGAGCAAATCCCGTTTTGGCGAATTGGCTTAGGCGATGGAGTATAGATGGAGTATATGCCTACAGCCACAGCTCCAGGGTCCAATGCCCTGCGCCCTATGCACGGTACAGCGGGTTCTCGGCAATAGTCTCGGTTTTATGGTGAGACAAGCGTGGTGGCTTGGGGCTTGCTCGTATATGGACTGGAATAGCCTCTTGGCTTTTTAAATGGGCATCAGCCAATTTGTAGAGTTATTATAAATACATAATACAAAAATTGATATCAGATGTTCAATAGGTTAGGTGGTATTCTCAACAGGAATAAATATTGGCGGACGGTGGACGAAGTAGAACGCGAACATAGTGTTAGTAGATAGCTGTGAATTTGTCTGAGTTGCCTGATGTGCTGTCAATTGAGACAAAGTACCAAGCAGATGGTAAATCGTAGTTTTTGTTCTCGTTCTTCGATCTTGCTTAACTCATACTCATCTTTCCACTTCTTGTGCGATATCCGAATGTAATTATCACATCTTCTCTATTAAGCACACCCGGTATAGTCCGGCCAACTCCCGAAATCAGCTCCAGGCAAGACCTGTTGTTATTCCGAAAATACAACACATATCTTCCTTTCATCGAGAACTGTCCGATCGTGCCCTTGCTAGCTGTCGACCTTCCCTTTCTCTTCCTCAACACATCACAACCCCAAGCGAGACCTGATCCTCCCCAAGCCACCATGAGTAAATCGAAATCCACGGCTACCGTGAACAGGGCAATTTCATCCCGAGCATCCAATTCAAGATTGTCGGCTTGGAACATAGCAACGGCGCGAGCTCGTACCGCAGACCCAGATTGAGTCACGGATAATCGAACGGATTCAGAACCGAGTCGGGTTGCAAAAGCTCTTTCTTGTTTGCGGAAGGAAACATCCGTCACTGCACTTTCCCCTGTGATGTTGGTTTAGATGGAGACCAATTTCCAGTCGACAGAGTTCTATCATGATGTTTCCCAAAGCAACTAACAGCTGATTTGAATGCTCAAGCAGACACATTGGACATCTCGACATTTGAGTCTAAGCAAGCAACCTTGCACTGAGCTGAGCCGCATCTTTTTAGTTTAACCCAAATTTCAAGACAGCCACCAGCCACCTGAGATCCTCCTCGCCTCCGCCGAATCCTATACACCCCCGTCCAAGTCCAGCCACATGAACACAAACGTTATTCCTGTCGAGAACGCCATGTTTCATGGAGGGATTCCGGACTCGAGTCCACTCATTTATACTGTTGAGATCTAGTTCGACAATCGCTCTCCGGCATGGATATACCCTACGAACCGAAGGCTAAAATCATTATAGATTACCTCGGTTGAAATCAATACACACCGATGCCTGGTCTCATTGGGCTACATTTTGCCTTGGGTATCGCTCGTTCTGGGCTAAACTTGGAACATATACCGCCAATGACTATTTGTTTGTGGTTTTGGTTGTGATGATGGGTGATGCCTGATAGTAGGCAAGGGATACCCTTGAAAATGTGTGATGTGATGGCAGTGTAGCTCATGGTTCTTTCCTTGTCTTAGCTATACGGTAGGGCCTGATTGTTAGCAATGAAGTTCCTGGATCTGCTGCTGTTTCTTTTGCTCATGTAGCAAGGAGTGGGTGTTCCGAATGGTGCGCTGTGGATGTTTATTGGAACATCTGACCTGGGGATGTATTTCGGATCAGATTACATAGACTCCCCTGCGCGGATTTCAAAGAGAGGAATTATACAAAATGTTTGTAGTATTTAGTCGTTTCAACAGTTTAGTACGGTTTTCCATGTGGTACCAGACGATTCTGTGATTTACTGCCATTACATATTCTGTGACGGTTCCCTAGGCGAAAAGAAGTTTGCCATCGATTAGCACGAACCTAAATCATTGAATATCAGCTTTGCACGAAAATAGAAACTATTCTCCTACGCACGTCAGAGGCTTGATGTTTGGGGGTGCAAATGTCTTTCAATAGCCATGGAATGTGTGACTAAAAATGGCAGCCTTGGCGAGTGATTGTGGGGAATGTGAAAGACATTGTGAAATGTGATATCAAGACCTGTAAATACCATATCGGGATTGAATCAATTGCCCTGTTTCGATGTCCCTGGATTTTTCAAATAGTAGGTCGGTATCCCACCATAGACAGACGTAGGGGTCATCCTTCCCACCCCGGATACACGCCATCGTCAGCGACGGCTTTCAGAATGTCTTGGATTAAGATGACGGGTTCAGAGTCATACATCGATATCGCCATTCCATTGACAAAATCAGGTGCGAGTCGGACAGTAAATATGTCCATATCATTCTCTTTATTCTGAACTTGAAGCAGGAGTAAGGTTTGATCTCTGATTGTCTGGTTGTCTGCAATGTGGAACAAGGTTTTCGCTACTGTGTCTCCAGTAACACCTTGAAGTATACGAATTCGTCATTGTATTTTCCGTGGGATGCAGATGTTTAGTACCCCAGAAAGGAAATCTCAGAAAGAATTGCGTTATCTTCAATGTTGGTGCCATTTTCAAGGACGTATTATAGGCTCTTTGATCGGAGAGTGCTTCTCAGGTAGGCTGTGAAGACAAGATGGCAAAGTATCTATGGATATGATGAGATGTGAATATGGGATGCATGAAGGGTCTCTCTAACATCATGTGGAATATGCTGTATGCAGTCAATGGGGGGGGGGAAATATGTCTATTCGTGTCGTTTTTGCTGAAAGCGAAGAGAAGGTGGGCGCAAGGAGAATGACCCAAAGGGCTAAGTGCAGGCAGACTAGTATAATACAGGGTAGGCGGTCAAGCGGCTCATTTCCGGAGAGGCTGTCATTTTCGTCGGTTTATAGTCCGTTCTATGAGTCACATGGGACATTAAAGTCTTGAGAATGTGTTACCATTAGAAGTCAGTGAATAGGTGTAGATAGGGATGAAGTTGACACATCTGGAGTTGGGTGGGTAAGTAAGCAGTGATGAACTCAGACGTCAAGTCTGACAGATCCATGCGGGGTGGTCCGAACCTACAATCCTTACATCTCTATGTCAATTGCAATGACAATGGCAAGTATGCCGATTTATGTGATTTAAAGATGATGTCGGTGTAGAATTAAGTCACGGTGGACATCCAGATAGCGGTGTCGACCATTGCATATAAGTATACAGTATACTTGCAGCTACAATGCATATTGCGTGCAGCTTTCAGAGAGTGTGTAGTCCATTCAGATTGAATATATCCATGGACGGATATCCGAGGACAGCGAATGGGAGGCTTGCAGAGGACAGGGATCCGGCATGCATGTTGCTCTGAAAGTCCCTGGCAACGGTAGGACCAAAGGGGCAAGCCGCCGAAATGGACATTTGATCAGATGCCAGATTGAGAGGCTGGCTGGGATGTCTTAGCGCTTAGCCACGAGGTGTCAGGGTCATAGGGCGCCACAGGGGGCTAAGAGATAAGGACATAGACTCATATGCTAACACAGCATATAAATGTAGAAGTAAGTTATATCCGTACATGTAATCAAATGAGCTTGAATACGCGTCAGAATGTAATTGACTGAATTGCTCGAATATCATAGGAAGATCACAGAGCTCAAAGCGAAAGACCTCGTCAGCGACCCGCCGCCCCTCTTGTCGCAGCCCAATTGGAACTAGCGCAGTTTCACTATGAGACGAGCGGGTTGTCTGTGCTGGAGATATCTTAGTTAATTATAGCTATTTATTATTAGTTAGTAGAGAGAAATTGATTAGAATGGAGTAGGCTTCAAAATAGGTTATACTTAGTCGGCTAATTGTAGCTGGTTAAGTATATTAATATTAAGTACCCCCAGATACTTCCTCCAGTGTAGCTCCACAGCGGCAATCCTGGTACCTGCGGAGTACTTGTATCGCATCCCCCCTGATACGGACATTCCTATTCTTTACGGCTGCTGGTCCAGCTTCATTGCCAACTTCCTTTTGCAATCTCCGAGGTAAGTGACTCTTGCTGTACACCCCCAAGCACATTGCACATGTGCCCGTGTACTTGCACTTGTACCCCGTTCCCCACACCTGTTGACTTTGGGCTAATTTTATTTTGTCTCAGTGGCTCTTTTTCAGGGACTCACCCCTCCTTTCTCTACTAGGCACTTGTTTAGCCACAAGGCTTCATATTCGCTTATCAGCCCCTGTCGATCCCTTTCTCACCTGGGGGGAGGGAATCCTTTGACGAGGACTGGTCTCCTTGTCTGTGCTTAGATCGTGCGATGTGGACTGGATCTACTCAGTACCTTGTTTCTCGATATGCCTCCCGATGACCCATTCTCGTTCCTGCCGGAGCAGCCTCAGCCTCGGCCTCAGCCCCAGCCCAAGCCCACAAAGTCGCTATGGAGGGAGAAGTTGTTCTCCAAGAGCAAGAATAAGGGTGCGTCGCATCAGGAGATCGCAGACTTCCTGGGCTCGGCCAGAGGAGCGCCTGCGCCAGAACCAGTTCCAGTACTGCCGACAGTCGACCCACGATACCCTCCGCAAAATGTTGCCCGTACCCCTTCCTCTAACGATGTCTCCGTCCCGAAATCAGCCCCGCCACCTCCCCGCGACAACTACGCCGCCTTCGACTTCTCGCAGTCTACGCAACCCTCACCAACAAAGCCGCGTAAAGGAAAGGGACTACGTGTCGGATTCTCAAATAAAAACCCAGATGTGATTGGAGAAGGAGGTGATGAGTCGGAGGCTCCTACAATTGAGATCTCGCGTGCTCGCCAACGATCACTCAGTAGCAGCGCGTTGTGTGGAAATGAACCCTCACCCTCAGAATCACGATCTAATTTGCCTGCGCTACGAGTTGACACATCGCTGGGCGATGGCGATGCGCGACCACGGCGAACTGCCACGAAGCGGGACCCCCATGGGGATACCAATTGGAAACCACCCCTTATGCATAATGTTCAGGATGCCGATTTCCTAGCGACATTGTCTTCCAGTGGAAGCGGCTCACGATTGTCATTCCGAGGCGATTCTGAAGAGGCCTCGTTCGCAGAGCGTGTTCGCGACAAGATGTCAGCGGAGGAAGGCCGTGCATTGCACCGTGCGTATGAGGACGATACACCTTCTCCTGGAGCCGATTACGAAGATCTGCCCACTCCTCCCAGCCCTCCCAGCCCAGAACCGCCATTGAAGGAGGATCATGCATCGGAGTCAGGCTATGATACAGCCCCAATGTCGGTCACCTCGACTGCGCCCTCGGTCTCTCTATCTATGAAGTCCATTGTACACTCGATTCGTAATCCTCCGAGTCCTGTCGCTTATCGTCAACCAGAAAATCTCAGTCCCGTTGACACTCGCATGCCCCCGAGTCTCACACCAGGTAGCCCCGGCAAGGTTTCGCCAACACGCGCTAACCCAACACCCCCAGAATTGCCTCCCTCAAACCCCGTGTCACCTCCCAGTCGCGAAGGACAAGATCCACCGCGCAACCCTCAACAACCCAAGTTTTCTTTGCGCAACGTTGCCAATCAGGTCAATGACACTGCGTTTGCGGAATTTAAAGAGTACAATGCGAGATATGAAAGTCTTATCCAACTGGCAGCGGAGAGTGTCAAGCCATTATTCGAGACGTCTCTAACAGAATGGGTCCGGGCTGCGATTTGGTGGTTTTTGCGAGGAAAGACGCGATTGGAAGTGTATGCCCGCTCCCGTTCAACGGCGCCGCCCAGCCTTGCTAGACAGGCCGTGATTGATCTCGGAAAGGCATTATGGATCAATGAGCACATTGTTCCCAGTCACAGCGAATTAACCAAGTACGGGTCAATGAGTGTCGATGCTCTGCTTGCAGTTGCAAGCACCACTGGCGATAAAGTGTTGGCCGATCTTCTTAGTCTGCATCAGATTCTTTCCAACCACCTTCGGTCAGTTTCTATGTCTATCAAGCGAAACAATATCCTTGCAGCGGTTATCTCAGACGATGGGTCACCTACTCAACTGGACACCACTATCTGGCTGCGCTATCCTTTCTACGCGCCTGATGTTTCTGCGGTTTTGTCTGGCGCGGCAACAAGATCGATGTTGGCAGATAGCGCCAGCAAGACGCCAAGCCTGGTTCATATGATGCCTCTCAGCGACACAGGTCGTTACTTCAGCTACGGCAACATGTTTGTCCAAGTCTGCGTGAGCTCTAATGACGACGATGGTCAGCAGCAATACGCCATGCCCTGTGTATTGACTATTGTTCGCGAGCGCGCAGATTGGTATGTTTGCGCGGCGATCACCAGTCAAAGTCAGCTTGTCAACATTTTGGTTCAATCCGATCGCAAGCAAGGACCGACCTGGGAGGATGTGGACTGGCAAGTCCGGTCGAACTCCATGCGAGTCAAACTTCCTCGAGGTTTCGAGTTGAATGTTATATTCAAAGAAGAAGATTTCAAGGGGCTCTGGAACATTGTCAAATATACCCAAAAGTCGGAAGCCAGTCTACACCCCGAAGCTGGCGAGACTGTTGTTTTTGAGAATACCGTTAAGATGTTCCAGTACATGGACCCGGGTACGCCCAGGGCATTCCCTCCTGATCCCTTCGAAAGGTGTCGAGTTCGTCTGTTTGAGCGGTCAGTCACCGTGACAGAAGGCACCGGAACTCGCAATGCGCACAGGGGTTTCAGACTTGTTGTCTTGACCAGTCCCAAGGTGAAGACTTTGAGCAGTATTCGTCATATCCTGGGCCACGGCTCACCGATCGTATTTGGTCTTTTGCGCGGAGAGAATGGTGCTCCTGCTCTTCTTCTCAAGGTCACTGAAGATGGCCGCCAGAGATCTATGTTGATGACTTTCCATGAAGTGGAGGAGCGTACCAGTATTCACTCTGTTCTCCTCGGCATGGTGCCGAAGGAAGGAGAGCTCAAATCTCCCGACATTCCCATCTCATCTTATTGCATTGAGCAGCCGGCAGATCCAGTTAGTGGCCAGTCTCCTGTTAAATATGTGCAGTTCCCCGCCGGAAGTGTGTCTGTCATTGATCAAGAACATGCCTACGTTGAGCATGGCTATGGTCCCACAATCCTATCAGAACATCTGAGGGCTTTTGTCGCTACCGAATGGGGCTCTGTTACAGACCGTATCAACTTAGGTGGGTGTCTTTACACTGTCAACTTTGAGCTATTACTAAATCTATCTAGGTCCTGGTGAATTGAAGATTGGCCTGGATGTTAATCGTCAGAATAGTATGAGCTTATTCCGCCAAGCGCAGCAGGACCTGACTCTCTCGCTTGCGGATAATCTTATTCGTCCCGAGATGCCAGATCAGTTAACAGGCTTCCTGGAGAAGATTACTGTGAAGCCCATGGTTCGCCGGCTAGAGTTCCCTACGATGCAGGGTATGTTCTTTCATCCGAATGATTGCATGCGATACTGATATTACAGATCTCCACGCATTCGAGCAAGCGGTCACTGGCTTCCAGGTCCTTTACGATGGGTATGTTACCTACCTCTGATATTTGGTACTTGCTAATTTGTCCAGTATGGCCACGTCTTTCACCATTTCCCGCCGGCGGATGGTCGTTCCAATCTACAAGAAGTGGGAAGCATCTCTGGCTCGAATCCAAATTGTTCGACAGGAGAGAGTCATTCAGTTGCTGGTGTTCTTCGCCGATTTCCAGCACGGCACTTGTATGAACTTTGTTCTGAAGGGCACCGATCTCATGGAATCGTTCAGCCGGTCTGGAAAATTCGGTATCCGTCTCGTAGATGCCAAATTTGCACTTCCTAAGAAGGACGAGGATCCTTCTTCAAACTTTGTCTGTCTGGACATGCCCGAGTATCCTATCGAACACGACGATCTTGCCATTTCGTTTGATACAGAAGCTGGTGAGCCTATCCTACCTATTACATTTTCAAGGGAAAAGCTAACCATTCAGCCCGCGCCTCCTTCCGAGCTGCTCTGCCAGGATCAGTGCGAGAACCATCCCGCATGGGCTCAATCCGCCGTTAATCCCTCCACCCACGTGACTGCTTACGTGCTTCCCCCTCATTCCCCCGATATCCTCCATGTTTCCCTGTTGGTGTATCATAACCTTCTCTGTGCATACAATTCAAGAACATAGCATACTATGCATACTAGCGAGTCCGTTGGCGCTTCCACGCGTTCCCTACACGCCGACGATGCCTTCAACGTCGTGACAGACGTTGCCCCTCCACTGCATCTCTCCACCACATTCCGTTACTCAAATGATCCCAACGAACTAATTCCCTACTCTGATCTCTCCGTATGCCCCCTCTTTCAGTACTCATTATATGAGATAGAAGTCCAATCTAATAAAAGTAGGCGACGAGCAACTCAACAACCCACGTCTACTCCCGCGCCACAGCTCCCAACCCCTCCCGCCTCGAAGCAATCCTCTCCTCCCTCATCCACGGCGAATCAATCACCTACTCGTCCGGCCTCTCAGCCCTCCACGCAGCCCTGACCCTCCTAAACCCCCGCCACATCTCCGTCGGCGATGGCTACCACGGCTGCCACGGCGTCATCGCCCTCTTCACCCGTCTAACGGGCCTCAAGAAACTAGACCTGAATTGTCCAGCTGATGCTCTGGAGAAGGGTGATGTCATTCTCCTCGAAACGCCGGTCAACCCGTACGGGACGGCTTTCGATATTGCCCACTACGCTGAGAAAGCGCATAAGCGTGGTGCTATCCTTATTGTTGATTCTACCTTTGCGCCGCCGGGACTGCAGGATCCTTTCATCCATGGTGCTGATATTGTTATGCATTCTGGCACGAAGTATTTTGGTGGTCATAGTGATATGCTCTGTGGTGTTCTCGCCACCAAGAATAAAGAGTGGGCGAGCCAGCTAAAGACTGATCGTGTCTTCCTTGGTAGTGTCATGGGTAATATGGAGAGTTGGCTCGGTGTGCGCTCTCTACGCACGCTCGAAGTCCGTATTCAGCGGCAGAGTGATAATGCCACTCGGTTGGTTGCCTGGTTGGATTCCTGTTTGAGGGTTAGGGATCCCGATGCTAAGAGCGACGCTGCTGTTGTGCAGACTGTTCTCAAGGAGATCTATCATGCTAGTGTGCAGAAGGTTGAGGGCGATTGGTTGGAGAAGCAGATGCCTAACGGCTTTGGGCCGGTTTTTGCTATTATGATGACCGAGGAGCGCTTTGCTAAGGAGTTGCCTAACAAGCTGGGGCTGTTTCAGCATGCTACTAGTCTCGGGGGTGTTGAGACTCTTATTGAATGGAGGACTATGTCTGATGCTACTGTTGATCGGAAGTTGTTGAGGGTTAGTATTGGGTTGGAGAATTGGGAGGATTTGAAGAATGATTTGGCTAGCGCTTTTAGAGAATTGCTTGCGTAGATATAGTTAGTATTTGCTAGACATTCTGTTGTTTGCTTTGTACATACATCAGCCAAGTATATCTTGACTGTGTTGATTACCCCGCATTGACCCTCTTATTGGCCAATTCTATCTTCTTCGCTTCCTCTCTTCCTCTCCCACCCAAGTCTACCAATTGCTTCTCCTCCATCCAGTGCATACTCCCACTACTACTGCCACTACACTGCTGTATCAAGAAGACAAAATGTCCACCTTCACAATCCACTACTTCGCAACAGCATCGCAATATACAGCGAAAAACACAGAATCCCTCTCGGCACCACTCCCACTCCCAGATCTCTTCCATCAACTCGAGAAGCACTATCCTGGGATTGTGGAGAAAGTCTTATCCAGCTGCGGGGTTAGTCTCAATGGCGAATATGTTGATGTGAAAGAAGATGTCGACGTTGTTATTACGCCAGGGGCCGAGGTTGCTATTATTCCGCCTGTTAGTTCGGGATAAGTTTGTTTGTATGAGGGGCTGTTTTTGATTGTATATATTGAATCATTAGTTTGGTGCCATGTAATGCCATGTCCTTTTGACTGGATCCTGTTTGAATTGATTGGCTTCACATGTAAATGATTATTAGGGCACACGCTATGTTATATAAAATCAAACAAACGAAAAAGAAGAAACAAATTCGACCATCCATCCATCACCACGCTTTCCCTTGATACCATCTAATACCATCCCAGACAACTCCCATTCCAGCTTAAGCACTGCACACCCAGAGCCAGCTCACTCAACAGCCTTCTCAGCAAGAACCTTCTTCTTCTGCTGCCACAAACAAACAGAACAAATAGTCGAAAAGAAGAACAAAATACTAAATTAAGTCAGCACACTCTCAACAAACCCCAAACCAAAAAGAGAGAAACTCACCAAAGAGCAATACTTAATCCCCAAATAGCCTTCATCTCAAGACAAATCGCCTTACTAGCCCCAATCCAAGAAACATAATCAATTCTCCCACTAATACTAGCCAAATAACTCGACAACCGGCTCGCGAATGCGTACGCCGTGGCATCTTTGTCGCCCAGTTCGGCTAGTGTCGTGCATTTCAGGTAGGAAAGTGGCTTGCCGATTATCACTGCTACTACTATCAATGCGATGAGCAGGAGGAGGTCGAGGACAGCGCCAGGGAGGAAGGGGAGGATGTCGTCTTTGAAGAGGATGGTGCTTATTATGCAGTATATCGCTGCGATGCAGGTCTTTTTCATTTCGTTAATTCTGCTTCTTGGCTGGATGAACTGGGGGCTGAGCTTACCACGCTGATTGTGCCGATTACTATGTTTGGTGGTGTGGCGTTTGATGAGACGATTACTGAGATAAATTTGGCGGTCATGCCGATGATGGCGATGAGGGAGCAGGTCTGGAAGAGGCGGGAAATGTAGAATGTTGCACCGAGGGCTCCGTAGCGGGACATTTTTATGAATGAGGGACTCGAGGTTGGTTTGGAGGTGGAGTTGTTGCTGATGGTTGGATAGATTTTAGGTCTTGGTCCGAACAAAAGAAACGGTCGAGAATGCAGATAGTTCTAATCGAAAAGAAGGCTTGAAGACTGAAGACCGGAGAAAGAAGAACAGAAACAAAGGGAGTGTGTCTGAAAGAAGGTGAGCTGATGAATTGAAGTCTCGGCTGGGTCCAGTCCTGTCTTATATAGCATAGCAACAAAGGCATCGAACAATGACTTCAACATTTTACCATCCAGATTCTAGACCGGATTAATTTAGCAGCATTCAATTCTAGACCATCTATTGACCCAGCTCTGCCGTCTTCTCATTGTGCGTTACAGGTTGTCTGGGGATCAAGCGCCCCGGCTGAGAATGTCCAACCCGACTGGTCGCCTGCGAGAGCTCTATGCTAGATCTGGCGATCGGCATGGATCACAGCTTGAGAAGCTCAAGCTCTGAACTCTGAACAATTGGTCTTTTGCAGAAATAGATTTGGTTACTGTTGGGTCCACCCCGGCGCTTGCGGGAAACCCTAACTGGTTCCCGATGTTTCTCAGCCACTCGTTCGCTGGGCGTTTACTCATCTGAAGCAGGCGCTTATTTGATACTTGGTAACTCATGTATTGTAGATCTTGTTTCATCCTTGTCGTTGTTTAGTTTGTTTGGTCTGCATTCTGATGTTATTTTCCGATCCGCGTGCGTCCAGGGATGAGGTTAATTTCACCAGTTGGTAAATATATCACGGCGGATCGCCTGCGACCTATCTATTTCTTTCACTGCGCCTCAGTCTTGAAATCCATTGTTAATTGATTAATGTGTCCTAAATAAAATTATAGACGAGAAAATATATTTCAAGACGTTTACTCGTTCAATCTCCAGCCACCGCTGGTCCGCTTCTGGAAGAACCCGTCAGGGTCATAACGCTGTCTCGTCTGCAGGGCCTGCGCCTTGGATGCGGGGCTAATACGTCCCCAGTAATCTTGGCGGTAGTATGCGTCGTTCATGAATAGTGGACGATACACGTCGGGGAGGAGACCTTCTTTGATGTTCTTCTGGACTAGGTTGTCCATGCCTTGGTAGAGGTCGATGTTGGCTGCGTCGATCTTGGAGTCATCTAACGATAGGGCGTAGGAGAAGTCGAGCTCGATGAAGATGTATGGGGTGTCAGTAGGGACGTCGAGGAGATCCTGGGATTCGTTAGTAATTATCTTTTTGACTGGTGTTGGATGATTCTTACTCCGCCGCGGTCCTTGGCCTTCTGAGAGAAGGTTCTGGGCACGGGCTGGAAGGCAATCGAGCCCAGAACTCCAGTTACTTCCAGGACTGACTCGGTCACGTTGAACCAGTGGTCGTAGTACTCCTGGAGAACATCCGCGCCAACCGTCTTGTTGGGGAGAGGAGTGGTCTCGGTAGCGATGGTGTAGCGTTGTCCGCTGTTACTAGTCAGTATGTATTCTATATATCTATAATATGGCGACTCACTGGAGAATGAAAATGTCGTTGTTTTTCAGCAGATCATAATAGCTGTCCCAGGCCTTGGCAGTAGAGGTGTGCTCAATGTCGGTGAACTCGTCGAAGACACCGGCAGGGGGCTCAGGGCCGTCGTAGAAGACGAACATAATCCAGAAGTCAATGACAAGGCCATGCTCGGAGGTCAAAATGATAGCCGCCTTGTCATCGGGATACTCGTCAACAAAGTTGCGCAGAGCCTTCAGAAGCTGAGGAGTCTTGTCCGATGTGAAAATGAAGTTTCCACCCCAGACCTTGTGATCTTGAGGATGCGTCTGCATGGTGTATGCAGTCACCACGCCGAAGTTGTTACCACCTCCCTTCAAAGAAGCAAAAAGATCTGTGTTCTCCTTCTCATTCGCATGAACAATAGTGCCATTGGCCAGGACGACTTCATAGTCCTTCACGTTGTTGGCAGCCCAGCCATATTGGGTGCTCAGGAAACTCATTCCACCTGAAGCTGTTAGAATGTCAATCCTTAATGCTGAGAACATCTCACATACCTCCAAGCATATATCCGCCAATTCCTACACCTCCCAGGCGACCTCCAACGACACACCGTCCGGTTCCATCAAGGCCCTTCTGGGCCTCCTCCCAAGAAAGACCAGGTCCAATAATAGCAGTGTTATCTTGAGGGTTATAGTCGACTTGATCCAAGTTCTTAGTCGAAACCAGCAATCCATCCTGAATACTAGCAAATCCATTATTCGGCATATGACCACCAGACTTGACAGCAAATAGAGTATCCACGTCATGCAGGTTCTTAATGATCTGAGACATCTCCGCTGCACTAGATGGAGCGGCGATACATGTAGGCTTGAGATCGCCGCATGCTGCGGACCAGTACTTGGTCAGGTCACTGTTGTAGTTGATTGAGAGCGGATACTCGATGTCAATGCCTCCGTCTTTGAGTGTCGAACAAATATCAGCCATTGCATGGGGAGCAAAGGCTGCAATGGATAGCGCCGCGGCGCGCCATCTGTTGCTTCCAAGCATGTTTCAAAGAGTGTGGGTGGTATACTAGACAAGTATTGAACCTATGTGATAGAACGGCAGATAGTAAAAGAGAGAACTGTAGCGTCTGGGAGGCCCTGCGGGTACAGATAAAGTCAAGATCGAATTGCAGGACCAGGAATCAGTATAAATAATCACCCCGAATAGCCTCCAACTAAATCGGAGAATATTTCTCAAGCCACTCCGTGGAGCCGGTGAGAATGGATCTGATCCACCGAAAGCAAACAATTCCACCTTGAGAAAAGTCTAGAGACCACATCGAATCCAACCGAGGGCCCACTACACCGGTTGGGCAAGGGGCCCGGCTGTAGATTCCGCACTCCAACCGTGGCTATCATTTGTGACGAGTTCATGACCGACTTTGACAAAGTAGGGTTCGGCATAGATGCAGAACGAGCACATGGAAGCAAATGTAGAAACCTCGGGTGAACCCAAGAGCAGTACGGAGTATGAACGAGTCAGTTTGCGTTCGGATCAAGCATTTGCATAACCGAGATGACTTTCTGCGCCGATCGAGGGCCAGATAGGTATAGCCAGGGAACTACAACGGCAAAACAGGGGTTGGGCATGATATCGCATGCATTCGTGAAAAACCGATCGGGCAATTTCCGTGTATATCGATGTCATGGTCGTCAAGCCATAATCTCGGGCCCATGATCGACACTATATGCATTCCGCTGCCTTTGACCAGGGATTAAATTGGCCTGCTAAGGTCAATGGTTTCCCGCATCGCAAACCGCACATTGCTTTGGTATTGGCGAACTGAATTTTCTCGAACTCCTATTTACAAGTGGAGTGAAAGTGAGACACTGATCGACAGGCGCAGCGCAAATCCAGGAACTTGCGGGGGATTTCCCCTAAATGGGTTTTGAGACGCCACGCTCGGGAGACCCAGCTCGCTTAGACCGGCGAGGAAATGATATTCGTAACCTGTCAAGTTTGAGCTTTTGTAGATCGACTTAGCGTGGTTTCTTACTGGTTTGGTTCTCGCATGAAGTTGCGCTTCTCTCCGAGCCGGACTATACGATGATAGCGGAGACGCCATATTTCTCGCTGCTTCTTCACAGCGATCGTCAACTGTCCCTTCGGTTAGAGTTGATGTGCATGTAGAAGCCGTTTCCAAAAATGAGGGGTTGGATATACTGTACAGTAGTTGCGCGGTTTGTCAACTATCAATCCAACATTGAAATAACGACACAGTAGCACAAAGTATAACAGGGATGTACTCGGCCATTTTGCGCAAAGAATGGGCTCTGTCCGATAGGCCAAAAATGACAGCGACAGCGCACGAGTCGCACACGACCCCCCTGTCTACCCCCTGTCTGTAGACTGCCGATCCAAGGAGTTCGCTCGGGTCATGGCGACTATGGCTCGGGGACTATTGTCTCTTGGCGAGGCCAGTGAGTTGTCTGGGGAAAGATTTGATGTACAGTGTCATTTGTGTGGAGCTCCTTTGGCACAGTGGATGCGAGCCCGTTTTTGAGTGTCGATCATATCCTAAGAATAGAAACTTGAAGGATTCGCTATGATAATGAGTTGGAAGCAGCGAACAGCGCAAGTGATGAAACAGGCCTTGGTAACCCCTTACCTATTTACTCGTTCAATCGTTCAAGAAACTAGAATTTTAAGTATAGGAGAACTTACAGTTTTTTGGTGTATCATCTCGCTATTACTTTATTTTCTCACAAATCTGGTTTCCATTTTCTCTCTTGAGCTCAGTATTTTCAAAACCTGGCCTCTCATTGTTAGCGAAAGTATTTCTCTCTTTACTAAACAGTCAACTCCAGGGCGGATGCTTGGTTGATCGACTGGGAGGTTTTGCTAACCTCTGTGATCAGTTAATATGTAGATCATGCTTCGGGTTGAAGGCATATAAGTGAGCTACTGCTACTATTATATAAACCAAGTTAGTTTTATACCAACGCAGAGCTCTTTGACAACAATCGATCTTCCTCAGCTCATACTTCACTACAATGTGATTGGTTGGACCTTTTGATGTACCGCCTAGGGCGGTAGTAGAATTGCGGGCAGAATAACCAGTTTTCCAGCGACAGGAACCTTCATCAATACAATGCGTTAGATCTGGCCATGGCACTTATGAAGATAGGGGCTTTGCAGAAACTAGCAGCTGCCCGGAGAGTTGGCTTGCGGCCTACATGGAGCCAACGCGCAATTTGTCCACACACTGCGCCTGCACGTCTTCCGCTCACGGCGCGGTTTTTGTCCACCTCGAACTCGTTGAAACTGACCGAAGCTGTTGAAATAGAGAACAAGGTGAGTTTTATCAGTCTGTGATGTGTGATCTCAAACTAACCTTCTCCCTGTAGCCATCGGCAGAGACGGAAGAGCGGCAAACGGCCTTCACTCCCCCCCAGCTCGTATTCGAAGAACATGGGGATATTCGTGAATACTTGGCCAAATGGCAGGTCCTCAATCCCCTGGACATGGATCCGGTGCGACAATCCAACTCCACTCACCACAGGGAGCCAACTCCAACCGTCGGATCGATGCCTAACAACCGCGAGGCGCTGGATGTTTGGGGTGTTCGAGAGAGAAGGAATGAGAACACGGAGAATGAGATGTTTGGCAGTGACCATCTGGAACCAGGTGATCTGATTGCCCGTTTGGATTCATATGGAGCGTTTAGCTACGGCATTTACGTGCGATCTATCCACAAACAAAAGCAGTTCTATATCACCAACGGCAATTGGCGCATTAGCTCGACTATCGAGCTCGACTATGTTATCAAAGGGTTTGCCCCACCTGAGCTCCTTGAGCCTTTGAAGGAATGGTTCCCAGATGCCGAAGCCATTCCACAAGCAGATATCCAGGTGGCCCCTGAAGGAGGTCTCCCCAGGCCAGTTGGTGCTCCTCTTTTGACAATGATGAGCAACTTCAAAACACATATTGTGGAATTCTACCGGCAACACTCTCAAGCCCTGGACAGTCTGCATGAGTTGGTGGCAGATGATTCCGAAGTTACCTGCTTAACCCTTGATCAGTTGACAATGACTGCTCTTGGTATTGAGGAGTCGGAACTGAACAGCGTCAATACATTTGCTGTTCACCAAGCTGTCCGGCGTCATCCATTCCTCATTGAAAGAGACAACGTCTCAGTCTTCAGCCAAAACTATTTGGTGCAACCAAAATCAGTTGCAAAAACGATCAATCAGGTCGTTGAATGGACCCATGAACACCAGGATTATTTGGTTCGGTCTGTGATGGGTAAAGACGTACCGGGGGCTAGGGACAAGCCGATGCAGCAGTTTCTTTCCAAAGCACAGCGGTTGATCCGCCTCAGCAGAAAGGTCCGTTCTCCGACAATAATGTCCAGCGTGGGACCATCTGCCCAGAAGTTCCAGCCTGGTCAGGATGGAAACCCTCTGGTTTACCGAGACTTCACTACGGAGACTTTCAATGCAAATGATCAGAAGATTCTTGAGTTTTTACAGCTCTACGCGGTCCCTTCCACTGTTATGCCGTCTGGCACATTGAGATCAACAGCAACGCACATTATGCGAGCAACAGGAATGTACAATGCTCTTGGTTTGAGTGAGGCTTCAACCCGGCTTTTCCTGCAGGAAATCGGTGTCATTGCTCCGTGGGAGAATCTCTACCCCCTAGACCAACATTTGATGCTTCCTGGACATGGTGGTTCTATTATGAAGGAGTTGGAACATGAGGAGATAGAAGAGACTTGCGCAAACATGACAGCTGATCTGCTTCAAGATTCAATGCAAGATCTAAGAAAGGATTGGGGCGATCTCCCAGTCTACTGCGTCGATGACGCAACAGCAGAAGAGATTGACGACGGTGTGTCCTTGGAAAAGATCCCAGGATCCGACGATACATTCTGGGTGCGCATTCATGTTGCCAACCCAACTGCTTTTTTGAACCACGATGATCCTATCATGCGAAATGCAGCCTCACGAACTACCACTACCTATATCCCGGAGCGGTCTTATCCCATGCTTCCAAAGTCTCTTACTCAAGAACACTTTAGTTTAGCGCCTGGTCGGCCTGTTCTCACATTCAGTGCTAAGATGAATCTACAAGGAGAGATTTTAGACACTGAGATCAAAAACGGGAGAATCCACAATGTCATTACGATCACGCACGACACCCTCCGCAAACACTTCAACAAGGGCTCTCAGGAATCTAAAGTCACTTGGACGGTAGGCGGCGAGATTACCGAACCACAAATATCCAAAACCAAGAATGTCCACGAGACTTTGCTTCCCGAAGACGAAGAACAATTCAATACATTGCGTCAAATCATGCTCGCACTCCGCCAGCAACGAGTCAAAAAAGGTGCTATTGACCTGACACCATTGCATGCTTCAACCTCTGTAGCAGTCCGAATGGGAGGACCAATAAAGCCATACGAGATGCAAACCAGCGAGGGACGGTACTATCTCGGAGACCCAATCATCAGTCTCGGTGTACACAACATCGATCCATACGAGGTCCGTGACGGCTCCAAAGATAACTTGATCTCCCTGATAATGAACATGGCTGGAAGTGTCACTGGCCAATTCCTCGCCGCCCGCAACATCCCTGCTGTCTTCGATGGAACATGGTATGATCCAGAGTACCAGCGCGTCACGAAAGAGAACGTTTCCGAATTCTGCGGCAAGAACTATTACGCTCTCAGTCCGCCATTGAGCCACACGAATTCAAGCCCTATCCCTCACCATACGATGGGTCTGGACGCGTATGTCAAGAGCACCAGTCCGCTGCGTCGTTTCGGCGACATCATCGCACACTACCAAATTGAGGCTGCCCTACGCTTCGAGCACGAACATGGCCGTCCGTTCGATGCCCTCGTTGACAGTCCCGAAGCAGTGGAGCCTGCCATTCCAGAACTCAAAACAGAATCTGCAAATATCGAGGAACTCGAGCCTGTTACTTCAGGAATCGAAGCAAAATCTGCCAATATCGAAATAGAATCCAACGAAAACACCCCTCCTTTCTCCACCTCCACCTCCACCTCCATTCTCCCCTTCTCCAAATCCGACGTGGATGCCCAACTCGCACACCAAGCTCCAATCCAAGCCCGTCTCCACCAAGTGCAAGACTTCTCAACCGAGCACTGGATCTGCATGTTCCTCTTCCGCGCATTCTACTTTGCCGAATGCGACCTACCAGAAACATTCCCCTGTCTGATCCGTATGCCGCGCAACAGACCTCGACATGAAGACCCGGGATATGCTGCTTCAATCACTAACCTCGGTCTAGAGTGTACAGTTACTATTCCCCCGTCATTCCCGGATAGTGATAAACTTGAGTTCTTTTCGCTGGTCGAGGCCAAGATTATTTCGGTCGATATGGCTACTCTGAGGGTAACGTTGGAAGCGGTGAAATTCGTCAAGCCGTTTCAGAGGACGGGTGAGTGGGCCTGATCTAATTGATCGGGTTGAATGTTTGTACTATATTGTATCATATCAAGGCCTCGCCAATCATAGACTCTGTATAATTGAGATGAGATTCCACTACATATCATACTGACAGCTCGCCGTATCTGCTTTGACCAGTTCATAGCTCAATGAAGCACACCGGCAGTTTGCAGGTTCTCCTGAAGTCTTTCCTCTGGGACTCTTTGCTCCATAGGCTGCGAGTCTTCCTTAGGGAAGTAGATATACAAGATCTCAAATAAGCCAGCTCCCATGGTCATGAAGCTGTTTTCAGTTAGCGCTGTAAACGGTGTTCTTGGGACTGGGATTACCCACAATGCAATGAAACTGAATGCCTCGGCAGCATACTTCCGACTGCAGACAACCTCCCCGTTCCAGCGATGCACGCTGCAACTGACATGGTTGAAGTCCAAGGCCAGGAAGATGAAAGACGTGAGCCAGCTAGGTATCTATTAGCACTAGAACATGAATTCTTGGCTCTGATTACACACAGGTAAGAAATTATTGCATCAGAAAAGAGTAGTGGGAGAACATGCCATCTACGACGATTGGCGATGCAGCTCGTGCTGAGGGCTATGGCGTAAACGACGGGGGTTATGACAGACTGTGTAGAGTAAGTAGGTTATTCAATAAATATCAGTCTGTGTGAAACTTACAATGACCAATGTGAAAATCACCGTCAACGTATTCGTGTTGGTGACTGCCCAGGCTGTGATTCCGAGGACGATAATCGAACTAACACATTGGATTATGTGGGCGATGGTTGAGATCGTGCCACAGGGATGTTCATAAAAGCTCATCATCTTAAAATCGGGTCTGGAATGAAGATAATCAATAATTATTCACTGCGTTGTGTTTCGGGGGGTGGTTTGGGCTTTTATTTCAGCGTCCGAAATGTATGATATCACCACATCTGGGAACCAAAGGACGAGCTTCACAACATGGTATCCTCTAAACTGGGACCAAGTATGATTTGCTCGTCTTTTGTTTTATTTCCCCCCTTGACTCATACTCGGATTGTTAATGGCTACCTTGTTCTAAGACAAATAGCTACCATAGTCTGTTATGTATACAGTTACCCACCAACCAATGATAAGTAGTTTTCAAGAACACAATACCATCATATGATTAGTCCTGTTAAGCAATATATGCACACTCCTTAAATTTAAACAATCTCGCAAACCCCACATCATAAGCCCTATTGGATACGAAGTCTTGTGGAAGTAGCTGATGCTGCCAGAGGTACAGCCAGTTGGGAGTACGAACTTTGTCATTTTGCTGGACACTGAAAATATGTTATCCAAAAGGAATAGGATTCAATTTCTAGAAATGTAGAATGAAACGGAGCAAGAGAACCTTGATTCGTCATTAAGCCATACTTGCGAATGCCCGTTGCGAGGACTTTGTGCCTCGAGGGTTTAGCACGGGTAGTTCGAATCAGCTTCGACGCGTAGATATTAGATCTTAGAGGGCTAATCTACTTCAAATAAAGAAAAAGGTCTTATACTTCCCGACGCGCGTAACCTGATACATCGTGATTTACACGTGTCTCGCGCCAAATTGGGGTCTGACGCCAAGAAATGAGGCGTTGAATACGACGTCGGTGGAATCTCTAAAGTTAGATTAATTCTATAAATGATCTCAATATCAAAGTCTATAAAATAACAAAGAAAGTAACCAATGGAGAGCAATCAAAGCTCAGAAATCAACAAGGCCCCTTGATCTGCTGCGAGGTTCCGGCATGATATACTTCTCCCCCTGAGGAACGCGTTTCTTCGTCCGAACAGATGGCAACAAGTCAGGAATTATAGAGAACACAAAAAATGCGAAGATCAGCGCAGCAACTGGTCAATATTAGCTTTTGATCTTGTCTCAAGATGTGAACTTAACAATAACATACCCCATTCCAGGACCGCGCCTGCATTCTTGCTCTCTTTCGAGCTGGATCTCGAACACACCCCGAATCCGATGGCAACACCAAGCTCGCAGATGATAAAGACAGCCTTGAGATAGAAGCTGACGAGCAGGATGCGAGCTTGGGGGTGATACCATCGGCCCATGTGGATGTATTCGAGACAAACTAGGATGGCGCAGACTACGTAGCTTGCACTGTGAATGGGTGAGTATTTGAATCATCCGCAGATAGGAGAAGTGTTCGTACATGAACATGCCCAGAAATCCATAATGAAGGTGTTGGTGGTGCTTCGTGTCGAAGATGGATAAAAGAATGACACCCAATGCGCCGGTGAGCGCAAAGAAAATAGACCCTATGGCACACGACTTGTCGAAAAGATCCCTATTCCGTGCCAGTTGGCCGGCGTGTCGAAGCCATCGCTCCGACAGTAGCGACAGGGTCATGAACACGCCGGTGACCACGCAACCGGCAATGAACAACGGCTTGAGTCTTTCCGCGCCGATATGGGAGATGTACCTGACCAAATCAGTTCTGATCATCGCAGACAGCATGCCCTTAAACTTGAACTCACGGAATCGACAACTGATCGCTCATGGTGCTATAATGCGGCTTGCCGTCCGCCGCCCAGCAGGACAGCATAGCAACCAGCATAGCTAAATGGTCAGTATCCATACTAATAAGACATTTCGGAGACAAGTCTCACATAGCCACATGCATCCGGACACCACGGGGAACAGCCAAAATGAAAGAATCCACATCGTGTGGTGAAAGAGATTTTACTCTCCGAGACGGGACGCCGCGGGTTTGTTTGTTCCTCGATGAACAAAGGAGTGACAGGAGTGAAATGATTGGATGCAAGGGATCTATAGTAAACGAGTGTGTCGACTCCCTCTGTTCCTGCAGGAGGTATGCAAGGGGAAAAATGTATCGCGACACACGACTTCTTGGCGGATCGCCGTTAGGCCCCCACTCATCGGGGCTTTCTCTTGTTCGGGGCGTGCAGTTACAGATTGATTGTTCAGATGTCATGCTTTAGATCAATTGATTGCAATCAGTGACGTCGAACGTGTAAATAGCCTCATTATAGATTCTCCATAGCCCGTATCAAATCCTCCAAAGTCTGATGGCTAACCGTCCCAGCAGTCTGAGCATTGGCCTTGCTAGGAACGCGTTGAACAACATAATCTGCCGAAAGAGAAGCCAAATCGGTCGCGGACCACATCTCGCTATTCAAATATTCGAAAATAGCAGTCACCTTGATAGGAACAAGGGATGGATCTGGGTCACTGGATTTCAGGACCAATTCAATGGTCCGAAGAAAGGCTTTGCATAATCGACCCCAGCCAAGACTCATGTGCCAGAGGCCGACGACGCAGCTTTCAAGGACGAGGGCCCATTTGGGGTTGTGCGCGTCTAATTGGGTGGTCGCGTGCACGCCGCCTAAGCAGAAGTAGTGTAGCATTACGATTGGGATGGATTTCCAGCCGTGGCGGTGTTTGAACACTAGAATGAGAGAGCCGATTGTTTCCATCGCTTCGGATTTGACGTGGTCAAAGTCGATTTGATGGTTGTTGGGGTCTGTGGTTGGGTTTGCTTTTGTAGTGAACAGGGTACTCAGTGATATCAGAGTTGCTTGGTGATAAAAGCTAGTGGATGAAGTTAGTATCCATCCGAAATAGGAGGAAAATACTCACTGTAAGCAGAGAATATGCGGAGTGGTATTATTTTCAGGCAAGATAGTCGGCGGCAGACTTGCTCTCCAGGTGACAATCCTTTCATATAACTTGTAGCAATATTTCTGGTCATCCTTGGTCATATTTCCGGTGAGTCGGAGTGAGAATGTCGCAATCTCATTCACAAGGGCTGCCAGTGCACTTCTATACCGTAAAGTGGTATAGTAGTTCGGACGAGTGACTGGATAGTCGAAAGGATAGGGCTTCCATTCCATATTCTCATCCAGCTTTGCTGCTTGTTCTGCAGAGCATCGTTGGGGAGGAGGCACCGACCAGTGGGACACTTTTCTATAAACCTGCGAAGCGAGTCTTTTCCAAGTTAGTGATTTCCATAAAACATGAAGGGATTTCCCACGCTTGAACATCAAATATGGCCCACGAGACCATTTCTTGGGACAGTTCAGCTGAGGAGAGTTCACTTTTCTTCTCGCTATGCTCACTACTACAGCGTTCAACCGTATCAAAACTTGATTGGAGATATAACTTCGCTCCATTCATGATAAACTGCGTGCCCAGCCGATCAATTCCGAATGTACAGGAAAGCAATCCGAGTAGAATTCCGGATTGAATTGTAGGAAGGTCCGGAGTCCCCTTGTCACTTTCCCAGAGAAGTTGTATCTGGTCGTAGAGTTTCTGGCCTATGCCTTTCTCCTCTCGGCGGTCAGTAATCCGGTTCAATCTGTATGAAAAACTCTACGATTTGTCAGAAGAGACCACCAATAATCAAGTATAAGGAGGCATACACAGCCGAAGAATAGCAGCACATGGACTAGTAAGCGAGAACAATATCTCCCCGGATGATGGGTCTCCAAATCTTGGACAAATGTTTCTAGATCGATCAGATTCCAGGTTGGATTCTCCCAGGTAAAATAGAACGACAAGAGGTGGCTGGCGGTGTCATTCTCCACAATCGAAGTCCAATGTTGGATTGATTTCACTTGGACTGGAGGATCTTTGGTGATTGGCCGTTTTAACTTTGCATCGTCGGACATCGACTCGATGTACATCTGGCCCAGCGAGACTCTCGAATTTGGCACTTGAACATGGTGCCTGGTCAATGACTCCGAAAGTAGTATATCGGAGAATAGCTCCGGAGATGCCGTACAGTGTTTCTATTGGCTCAGTCACAGTTCACATATAGAAAGAGCTGTTCACAAACTTTGATGATATTCTTGACAGAGACGTTTTGATTGATCTTGGCCTGAGAAATAATCTCGCCCAGCAATTCTTCATAAACCTCGACTTTGCGTTGCAGAGAGACAAGCTGAAGCTTCTGATTGTCCCGCTTTGATCCGGTGTAAGTGCAGGCCCTATCTAGTCGGGTACAGTTCTGACATCTAGGGCGTCCACCGTCACATTTAGCCTTCTTCTCGCGGCAAGATGAGCACGCGGAAATTGTCCGAAATGGATTTATTTCAGGTAGCTCATTTGGCAGGCGGGGGATAGCAATCTTGCCCTCGACACCATTTGGGGGTGTGGGAGTCGATTTCTGGCTTTCAGAGGAAGAACCACTCATTGGATCAGGTATGTTTCTGCGATAGCAGCCCACAAGCGCACTGCGGTCCTCCAGGTGGTCGCACAAATTGAGGCGTAAAAATTCTCGAAATTTGGATCTTGTCTTTTGTATGGCGGAATGCCAAGCCGGTGGACGGTCACGTGTCAGTGGTTGTATAGATCACATCTATTATGCCAGTAGGAATAAAACAAGTGTGACGGAAATTATAAGTAGCTTCCAGTGAGGGCCAAAGTGATATATATCGCCTGTCAAAGCAATGTATGTCCACGGAATCGGGCATAAGTTCATGGCACTATTAATGCCCATCGATCCAATCGAGATGTCGTCTACAATTCGAATTGGTTGGATTCAATCCTTATTTCAAGCTTTCGAAGTTTCAAAATGTTCGATACACTTGCTTGGATCAGCATATTCGCAATTGCACCCTTGTCACTATAGTAGTCGAAAGGAGCCTCAAGAACGCTTTGCAACGACTCTTCATCAACGAAAAGCCAAAATCGATAGCCTGCGGTTGCGAAGTTGGAATGCCGGAGCATATCGGGAGAACCGACTTGCTCCTCCTGAATGGCAGTCGTTGCCTATTGCTGGAAATGTTCCCGGATCGTGGCTGTGCTCGCACCTTTGAGATCACTGTCTTTAAGAATCAAAAAGTCTTCGAGGGTATTTTCAAAGACAGTGATCTCAAACGTATCAAGGAGGTATAGACCGTTGTGTTCCTTCAGACATTCAGTGGCATACCACCGGTAGCGACGCAAGAATCACTCCGATATGTGCATCGATAAATGGGAAACCCCCAATATCGGAAACCAGCCTCATTCAGGGCTTTCTCGATACGAACAGCATCATTAAATATAAAAGGCCTGTCAAGTGTGCGTTTCGATAGGGTTTTAGTCGATTCCCGAGACATTCTGGCCAGTGCCAAAGCTTTTTGGGTGAGCATTTTTGAATAATCCGATAAAACGTTAAGTTTTGATAGCTTTGTGCAAAAAGTTGACAGTGATTAAGTAGGGGCGGTTTGTTTTTCCATTAAGAGAAATCACACTCTGTAGAGTGGAGTGTTCCGGGATTTGGACCGGGTTTGTGATTTTTTTGGGTTCTAGAAAGATTTCGGAAAGATTTCGAGCTACGGGAAACATGACTTCGGCTAGTATTGGTTAGTCGGAGCATTTCCTTCCGAGATGGATAATAATATGCGTCAATCAGTTCCAGAGGCATAGGAAACAGTAGCAAGAAAGAGAACAAGGTGGAAGGTGTTTTTAGCCAGGGTCATGTCACGTGTCACGTGTGTACCAAAGTACGAAAGCAAGCCCTGAAGCTTTGAAAGTACATGAAAGCCTTTTCTAGTCTCGCCAATTCCCCGTCTCCATTTAGTTTTTTAGCAAGATAGATCACACCAGGGGGTAGTTTCGGTCAATTCCAACCATCTACTTCTATATTTAGACAGCGTTTTCATTGGTTACATGGCCATATTATCGGAAACTAAGAATGCCAACCTATTTCGCTCTTCTGGGGGGCACCGGTGGTCTGGAATTAAGTAGATACCCCACCACAAATAGCAGTATCGAAAAGTGTCTGACAATCATCATAATAGCTATTTTTCACTTATACAATTCGGCGAACGTGATAACTAGATATTGAAGCACTTGAAGATATAAAACTGGAATCGCTTAGGATAGAACAGCACACTCACCAGCATGAGATAAAGTGTAGATCTATTCGTCCACGAATTAGGACATTATGGACAAGTGATTATTCAGAGATGTCAAAGCAGGGAGTGAAGTGAAGTCCAAATTGCATCACGTGGTATAGATCGTCATGACGTAACCCAACACCTGTGGACTTCAGTTCGCCTCATACCTCACTGCATTGCGTGGGCTGCATGGTTTGTATCTTGTTCAGATACGTCAATATAAGTTCTTGTGTCAGACTCCAAGGGAGAATCAGCCACAATGGAAATCCAGCCTTATATGTCGATCATTACGAACAGCCACGCAAGTTGAAGTCCAGACATCAGAGATCTACATGAGCAATGATCTCATGTCTGATATTGCACTACGGTTGGTCCAAAATGACCAGGATGAGAGAGGAATAAGTTGCAAGATTCCCCAGGGACTTGGCAAATCCGCCTGCCTTGAAACATGACGCCATCTCTGTAGTGCAACTAAACTTGGCCCTGAACCTGAAACTGGCCTGAACCAGGATATCAACCTGGAAATGAATGTCGTCCTGTTTGTTCATCATTTCTCTTCTCAGTACCTGTGACAGAACCCTGCGCAAGTGGCTGAAATTATACATGAACCTATGCCAATAATAGAGCCGAAGGCGTTTGTTCTCATTGACGTTGCTTGGTGGACTGTAGGCAACAAACGCGTCATATTTTGTTTTGGTATCACATAAATACTCACTTCTCTCCCCAGTCTTTTCTCTCCTCCATAATCACCCACTTCAATCATCTTCCACAACTTTGATATTACCTACCTTCATCATGGATTTCGTTCGTAAGGCCGAAGAGGCCTTGACTGGCAAGAACAAGGAGTCCAAGGAGTCGACTCAGTCCTCCAACCATGGCCCTCACTCGTCCAACCTGGCCAACAAGCTTGACCCCCGTGTTGACAGTGACCGCGGTATGCCTTGCCCACCCTTACCCTCCTGTCAACAACATTGATACTGACTGATACTCTGCTGTAGACAACCGCGCTGACCACACTGGTGTCCACCACACTGGTGCTACTGGAACTACTGGAACTACTGGAACCACGGGCACTACCGGTGCTACCACTGGTGCTACCACTGATACTACCACAGGAAACACTGGCACTGTCCACAAGTCCAGCATTGCCAACAAGCTCGACCCCCGCGTTGACGCTGATGCCGCCAACCGTGCCAATGTTACTTCCACTGGCACCACTGGCACTCACGGTGCGGGTACTACCCACGGTACCCACAACACTGCCGGTACTACTGGTCTGACCGGTACTGGTACTCACGGCACCCACGCCTACGGCAGCACCAACGCTGGCCCTCATGACTCTAACGTCGCCAACAAGGTTGACCCCCGCGTCGACTCTGACCGCGACAACCGTGCTAAGCATGATACCTTTGGCACTACTGGTGCCACTCACGGTACTTCTGGCCGGACTGGTTCTCACGGTACTGGTGCTACTCATGGTACCTCTGGCTTGACCGGTACTCATGGTACTGGTGCTACTCACGGTACCTCTGGCTTAACTGGTACCCACGGTACCCACGGCACCACTGGAACTACTGGTACCGCTGGCGTGGCTGGCACCCACGCTGCCACTGGCACTTCCCACACCGGCAGCACCAATGTCGGCCCTCACGATTCCAAGATCACCAACAAGCTCGACCCCCGTGTTGACTCTGACCGTGACAACCGCGCCAAGCATGATACTTTCGGCACCACTGGCACCACTGGTGCTACCGGTACCTCTGGCCTGACTGGCTCCCACGGCACTACTGGCCTGACCGGTACTGGTACTCACGGTACTCTCGGTACCCATGCTACCCACGGCAGCACCAATGTCGGTCCCCACGACTCCAACGTCGCCAACAAGGCCGATCCCCGCATCGACTCTGACCTCGACAACCGTGCCTTGCACCACGGCCACACTCACGGCGCTGGCTCTGCTGGTTTCGAACCTGAGATGCATGGTGCTGCTACCCGCACTGCTGGAACTACCACTGGCACTGGCATGACGGGCTCCGGTCTTGATACTCGGACTTCGGGTGCCCCTGCCGGTAGCTCTTACACCTCTGGTAATACTGGCCATCTTGGTTCCACTGGCACCGCTGCTACTACCGGCACTGGCATGACTGGCACCGGTCTTGATACTCCTCGTACTGTGGGTGCCCCTGCCGGTAGCTCTTACACCTCTGGTAATACTGGTCATCTTGGTTCCACTGGTACCACTGCTACTACCGGCGCTACTACTGGACCTCACGACTCCAAGATCGCCAACAAGCTTGATCCCCGTGTTGACTCTGATGCCAGCCGTGTTGAGTCTGCTGGACTCCAGCGCCAGCTCTAGGTGCAGCACCACTTGTTTCTAGGGTGGATTAATTTTCTTCTTATGGTCTCTTTTACCACCCCGATTCAGTTTGCTTCAGACACTGGCATCTGGATCTTTGATACGATGTTACGACTTTGATCTTTCAGCAAGCAAACTCGTTTTAAGATAGGATACACACAAATCAATTCTCTTCTTTTCAATATGATTGCCTGAAGTAGATATTATACAGGAGTAGAGAATCACCAACCTCTAACCCGCCAATAGCACCAATATCGAATATAGTACAGTACACTCAGAGTCGTTTCTACAATCCAACCAAATCAAACATCAAACACCTCTTTAATAAGAGCCTTCTTATTAACTGCAACAAGTCAGCATCACATACAAGCAACACTTCCCACCCCGGAACCAAGAACGAAGACTCACCCTTTCCCATCGCATTCCTCGGAATAGCATCCAAGACTTTCATCTCAGAAGGAATCTTATAAGGAGCCAAATGTTCCTTCAAAGCCCGTCTCATATCCATCGGACCCCAAGACTTCCCACTTCGACCCGAAGAAGCAGCATCAGGATGAAGAACGACGACAGCAGCGACCTTTTGGCCCCATTTTTCGGAGGGGAGGCCGACGACTGCTGCTTCGGTTATTTGGGGACTATACATATTAGTAAATATTGACAAGAGAGACGAGATGGAAGGAAAGGGGGAAGGGGAAATATACAGCGAAAGCAACTCCCTCTCAACCTCCAACGCGCTAATCTTCTCAGCACCACTTTTGATAATATCAACGCTCTTCCTCCCCTGAATGAAATACATGGGTCCTTTCGCCCATTCACCACTGCTGCCAGACCCGGCACCATTAACGACCCTCCTCGTCGCTACATCGCCCGTACAGAACCATTTGCCTTTTCCATCTCCACTTCCATCATCGACGAATCCTTCACGGGTGGCTTTCTCATTACCCCAATACTCACTGAAGATAGTATCTCCGCGTAACTGGATCTCGCCTTCGAGTTCACGGCCTTTGGGGTCGATTTCATCGCCGACTGGGATGACCTGGCCGTTGTCTGTATCGACTAGACGGGCTTCAACGCCTGGTAAGGGCCAGCCGACGCTTCCGTCGACTCGGTCCGCATTGTCTAGTCCGCAGCTTATTGCCATGCCGACTTCTGTCATGCCGAAGCGCTCGAGGAGGACGTTGCCGTTGCTTAGATTTGACCAGGAGGTTTTAGTCGGTGTTGGGAGCGCGGCGGAGCCTGAGATATTTAGTCGGAGGTTTGATGGGGAGATTCCTTCTTTGGCGGCTTTTTGGGTTTCTGCTTGGAGGGTTGGGAATGTGTTTAGAAGTCTGTTGTAGATTGTTGGGACGGCTGTTAGGAAGGTTATTTTTGATGGTTTGGTGGTGGTGGTGGATTGGAATGGTGCTGCGAGGCGTTTCCAGACTTGGTCTGTGTTGAAGGGGTACATGAATTCGATGGATGAGCCTGCTACTATTGGTGCCACGATGGCGTTTACTACACCGTGGATGTGGTGGAGTGGTAGCAGGTGTAGGAGGCGGTCATCAGGGGAGTAGTTCCATGCTTGTAACAGGGATGAGGCTTGAGCTGCCAGTGCCGACTGTGGGATGAGTACGCCTTTCTATGGATTGTTAGAATCCGGTCCTTGCTTGTGGAGGTGGACTCACCGGTCTATTGGTCGTGCCAGATGTATATAGCATCATTCCACCAGAAGGCTTCTTCAATGCCTCCAAAGTGACGCTCTGCCGGGCACCACCCTCCAATAGCTTCTTGCGAACATTGAATAAAGGCTCACGATCCAATCCCTGATGGAGGACCTCCATAGCTTTATCCGCATATTTCTCAGTGGCAAGCAAAACCTTCGCCTGGGAATTATCGAGAATATACTTCAACTCCCCAGACGGAAAAGAAGGCGACAACGGCAACGCAATAGCATCACTAGCAAAGATCGCCAACAGCGTGACTAGTACCAGTCAATACATCATCAAAGTGAAGGGAAAGAAGAATACCTACCTACGTAGTCATAGCTATTCTCGGCCAGAAACGCAACTCGCTCACCGGCCAATTGACCCGACGCGTTGGCGTTGGCAGCTTTGCGCTCGAGATCATCCTTGGCCGCGACAACATCGGCTATCAGACTCCCGTATGTAAATGAGCGCGCGGACGAACTGTGAATGACAGCTAGACTGTCCGGGTCGTGGTCTTGCAGTGCGCGGAAGATGGTCGTGTTCGGGAGTGTCGATAGCTGTCTGGCGGGGATGCGAATGCGACTGCAATTGATGCGCGCGCGTCGGGTGAGTAGCGAGATCATTGACATGTTCGGGATATCAATTGCATTGCAATTGCATCTGTATCTTTCTTCTTCTCAAGGGAGGAGGGAGTGGTCAAGTTGATGTCATGAGCAAAGGTCCGAAATTAAAAAACGTCCGATGGGCCGGCCTCATTTGCCTTCTTCACCTCTTCACTCCCGATGCTTCCTCGCTGCCTACCGGGTCTTTTTCCCCGTCGACTGTTCTCTGTTTCGAGCAGGATGGCTTCCATGACTCCGTTAGAGGATGCCATGCGCGATAAGGCGAGTTTCTCGGTGGTGGTGGTGGTGGTGGTGGTGCAATGGGCAATGCAATCCTAACGCTGCTCTTCTCTTCTCTAGATCGCTCATGCCTTTACACCCTCTACGCTGATTATTCGCAACGATTCTCATAAGCATGCGCACCATGCTGCTATGGAGGGGTCGACGTCCAAGGAGACGCATTTCCAGTTCGTTCGCCGGTCCCTGCATACCTGTGTCGAAGTCGGACTGACAGCTGTTCCTATAGTGTGACGATTGTTTCGGATTCCTTCGAGAAGAAAATGCAGCCTGCTAGGCATCGGATGGTCTATGCTTTGTTCAAGGAGGAGATGGCTCGTGAGGGCGGACTTCATGCGCTCCAGCTGAAGACGAAGACGCCGGCCGAGGAACAGCGCGAGAAGGAGAAGGAGAAGGCCTAAACAGATCAGATCAGATATTGGTGTTCGAGTATAGTCAGATACCCCTCGAATGCATTGCATTGCTTTCATTCACCACATACATGGACCTACAGTGCGTTTTACTCTTGGACTTGGGGACACAAGAAATCAATTATTAGACGGTATTACATAGATTCTAGCGCCAAACAGGCCAACAGAAAAACAATCTAGTATATACATCCATGCGCCGCGACCAGAACGTGAGCGCGGGCAGCTGTACAACAGAACAGCTCAGCAAGACATAAGGAAAGCACGATGGAAGGCATTGCTTTTACACAAGAGAAGAAAATGAAATGCAAGGGTGGTGGTATAACAACGAGGGGAAAACAAAGGGAATGGCCGGTCGTACAGGGAGGATTATAAGATCAGTTCTTCTTGTTGGACTCGACGACACCGACGGCGACACCGACAACAATGGCAATGATGATGACTGTGGATTTTAAATCAGCGACTATCAAAAACGGGAAACGGAGTAGAGGATCACTTACTAACGATGATCAAGGCATACCACTTCCAACGACGGGCGTTCTTTGCGCTCTTAATTGCGCTGTCCAACTTGGTGTTGGCTTGCTCGACGTTGCGGTGTGTCTCCTGGGCGCCCTGGTTGATTTGTTCAACAGCTGGCTCCTGCTGGTGCACCAGCTCGGCGATTTCGTTGTACAGCTCGCTGAGCGCGATCAGGTCTTGTTCGATCTTGCGGATGGCGGCGGAACGCTGAAGAGTTGCCTGGCGGGCATCGTTGGCCTGGCGAGTACGGGTACCGGGAACCTGTTCGGCAATTAGAAGTGATCATGCACTCTGCCTGATATGTACATACCATGAAGCTCTGCTCTTGACCCATAAGAACGTTCTGCACACCTTGCTCCAACTCCTCGGGGGTAGCCTCGGGGTTGGCGATCTCGTATCGGCGGCGCACTTGCTCCTCCAGACGCTTCTGAAAATCGCTCTGTGTGCGCTGGTATTGCTCGATCTCACGGCGGAGGTTGCGGCTGACGTTCTCGACCTGGCCGGAGACACGGCTGTCGCCTGATCCGGGGGTCTCCTTGATGCGCTTGAACTGATCGCGCAGGTAGCGCAGCGCAGTGTTGATCTCATCCTCAATGTAGTCGAGTGTCTGACGTGAAGCCTGGTCCTCCTTTCCGGTGCTCGAGTCGAGCAGGGCCTTTTGGGCGTGGGCGAGCTGAGTCTCGCGCTTTGTGGTCAATTCGGCGATTCCCTCGTTGAGCTCCTTGCACTTGTTCAGGATCGCGGTCGGTCCGCCGCCGGAGGGCTGGTTCATGTTGGACATTTCTATATTATCGTCAGCGCGGGTCACCACGACGCGGTCGAATTGACACATACCGTAGCCACCGTTTCCAGACTCCATGGCACCGGCCTGGCCGTAGCCACCACCGTATCCATAGCTCTGCTCCTGGCTGCCGTAGGGATTCTGCTGCTGACTACCGTACGGGTTGTACTGGCCGTAGCCCCCTTGGTTGTTATCCCCCAAGCTCTGGTACTGGGGAAATTCGAATCAGTCCCATACATCCGCCATTCATGGTCAATCGGGTTCACTCACACTCATGACTGCGAAAAGGGTTGGTAGTAAATGTGCAAAAGGGGGGCGGGTGTGAGATGAAGGAGGGAAGGGTGAGACGGGAGATGTGGAGAGTGGCAGAAGCGCCGGCGGTAGCCAATAACGAGGTTAAGGAGAGAATTAAGATATTAAAGAGATTAAAGAAGTAAAGCCAGGGTAATGAAAGGGTGTCAAGGTATCAATTGGGATCCCCTATTTTATGAAATTTGCCGTACTCGTACAGCCTCCTTACGTGGACCCAGCAGAGATTTGGCTGTTCTATTTCTGACGGATCGGCCGTTGTACTGGGTACTTGGCTCATGCTGGTGTGGTCCACTCTGAGACAGGTACCCAATACCCACGTCAGGGTCCGGTCTGCACGTCATGATTATGATCTATCGAGAGCTACATACATATTTCATGCCATTCCAATGTTATTCCAATGTCATTCTACAATATACTCGATATCTTGTACAGAAATCTGCACCGGTAATAGCACGCGCAGGCAGAAATGGAAGAAGACCCCGAAAATGGACGAGGCCAATCAGCTGAAGCTGCCAAAGCTAAGCCTCGTTAGATCTCAGCTTGTTCTCAACGTCCGCACTAGGGAAATATAGCGAATGACCTGATTCAAGACAGACATCAGATACGATAGGCTTCAGTGAATCCTCCAGATTATTCAAGATACCACTACATACCCATACAATGTGATTGCCGCCTGGAAGTGGCGGACTATGTAGCCGCTGGACTCCGTACTCGTCTAGGCGCCCACCCTTTGGAGGGCAGACGGACTCTCCCCCCCACATATCACGCCAAAGAAATAAAGTGGCCTATCTAAATATAGGCAAAGTCAACGGTTGGTCTGGCAGTTAAAATATATGCCTAGCAGGCATCATAGCTGTTCATTCTCACTTCCCCGTCGTCTCTCGCCTACTTCCTCCGCCCTGACGGCCTCCCCAGTGCTTAGATCGTGGGGTTCTTAAACAGCCGCAGTTGATAATCCACAATCTGTCCGACAATGTCATCCAATGCGCGTGGCTTGAAACTAAGCCCGTGCTCCGCACACTAGAGAGGGACGAATTGTGACCATGTCAAACCCTGGTTTATGTGCAGAGACGATGGCTTTGGTGGCCTGCAGTGCCAACATCTTGCTGACCTGGTAGAGAAGCATTGCCGCAGGGGGGAAGGGGTGCATATCAAAGACGCAACGGAAGAGGTGACAGATCCTCTGGATGCTCGCAACCTTGGCTACCTTGGAAGGAATGGCTGTGGTCAGGTTGATAGCACCTGGGAAGTAGTCGGCCTTTGATGTTCCCTTACGAAGAGGCGAAGCAACATGCAGAACATAGTCGACTCCGACCAGATGTCCGGAAAAGGCGTCTCGTTTGGTAATGTCCGGGATAATGACAGACTCCAGGCTAGCCGAGTAAGATGATGAGGCTGCTTTTATCCACGGGATCTGCGCTTCATTTCATACGCTCAGACGAAGGCGATTCCCGGGCTGTAGCCTCTCAAGAGCTGTAGCGTAACCGACGAACCTGGAGACTCCGGTAACGAAGACGAGTCCTGCCGGCATAATGGTTGCGGGTGAAGAGAGCAATAAAATGGACCGTTAATGGTGTTGGAGCGACTGGAGGTAAGAAAACTCCTAATACCAGCCTGACCAAGAGAACAACAGTATATAAGTGTGAGAAGAGCATCATATCCTCCGTCGAGCTTACCTCCGTGAAACACCGTTAATGATGAATACACTGACCCAGTGCCAATATCTTGTAATTATTTTACTCTGTCTGTATGCTTTCCAACAAGGCCGAGTGTGGATTGGTGCAAGGATATCAGGGGCGACCCGTTTGAACCCTAAGTCTAACTAGGATTATTCAACATTTCGGCACTTTGATTCAGATACATGCCCCATCTTAATAGAAAGCTGTATTGCTGAATGTCCAGGAGTCTCCACTCCTCCACTTTAGGTCACCCAATATTTAGGAATGGCAGGTCGAGGGCAAAGAGTGGCGCGGATTGCTTGGACACGCAGTGTCGCAGTGCAACAGGCGGCGATTGGATCGTTTGACGCTGAGACTAGGCTTTTTATAAGGCCAAAGCAGGCCGACACACCCGTGTTGGTCACAAATGGAAAGGCCGATATCATGACACCGACTTCGAACAGAATATGATAAATGTCGCCAAGCAAGGGACTGTAGGAACCATCATGCTTACGTGCAACCATAGAAAAACTCTCATTATTTCATAATAGCATCATTCCAATGACGTTGCTGACATGGTTTACCAAGATGGCTGCTACCGGAGTCCATTCATCAGGGTATTTCATGTCTGTATCCTAATTTGTGGGGAACACATCGTATCGCATGTCTTACTCCATCTGGAACGAGCTCTACGTGTACATATATACCGGATAATGTCTGGCAATTCTTGGCTTTCCCTTTCCGTTCTAGTGCTCACCCCCTCGCCGCTTTTACTCCCTGAGTAGAATTGAGCACGCCCCTGACCGGCCTGAGCTGATCAGTGATCATTATATAATCAAACTGATCTGAGCCATGATCTGATTAAGTTAGTTATTCGATGCTCTACCAGGAAGTAAGCACCAGATCTAATTTATGCTGAGCTGTGGAGTCTCAGGCACAAGATCAGGCACTCATAAGTTATCTCGCCCTCTTGGTCATACAGGCTCGACTTTACCAGAGGGAAAAGGCTTCGTCGTGGTGCTTAGCAACTTATTTCAACTAAATAAAGACCAGACGAACAAAGTAACCCAGGCTATTCCTCGAGAACCCTAATCTGGAGCCAAGAGTTGACCTTTTTGTGATGGCCACAGAGATTGTCTAGAATGCCAAGGCAACTTAGGATAACGTAGTTGCTACGTGGTCTTCCAACTGTGTTCCTGATACCGCAGCAAGGAATTCTAGTGTTTACAACAGTATCTTTCAGACGAAGGACTTTCAATGTGGCAGTCGGCCAGATCAGAACATGACGGGAATCAATACTCAAAAGCAACATCTTTGTGCTAATTAAGGACGAATAGTCATTCGATCTTCACCACTACTATCACGACATCTGGGCCTTCTTATCCTAAGTTCGTGGTGAATGTATTTGAAATGATTGCTCTGTCTTAAATCGGAGATTGGATACGGACACTCAGATCTATGTGCAATCCTTTCATTTTCAATGTCGGCAGCCTCCTTTAGATATTTCCCTCCATAGTCAACGAAACTGCTTCTGATGATCGATTGTTGTGGCTCACGATAGAGTAAATAACCCCCTGGTCCCAGCCACGATCAAAGGCTCTGCTATCAACATTACATATGACAGGCCTGTGAATAGTGTCAAGAAGCATCATGGCACCTATGTATGCCAGAGCCCAGATACCGGCAAATTCCGCCTATGTATTACTTTTGGTGCCAGGACAGGTCGTCAGTCCGTAGTAGTGATCGGTTGCATTACCCTCAGCGATATTTGGAGCATAGATTAGGATTTCAAAAGTACTAGTCATAGCCAAGTAAATATTCATGTGCAAGGAAGTCTTGGGTCCTACATGGGATAGATAAAGCTCGCAGTTAATGATACTGTGGAAGATACCAGCCATGGTGATGGGAGTGAGTTATAGAAGATGAGTAAGATAAGGAGAATTGGAGTTGAGAGGACCAAAACTGGATATAGACCAAGGCACGCAGATCGTTACCGGAATCAGAATCAAGACCAGGATTAGAGGTAGGGAGAGGGTAGATAAGTGGGAGCGTGACTAGTTATGAAATAGAAAAACAGGCTAGAGCAGAGGAAAGCAAGCGAACAAGAAAAGTGGTATCGCGGAAGGAAAAGAAAAACAACATCATTCAGATAAAGAATATAAGATAAGGATACATAGGTATTTGAGAAAATAAGCTACACATGCTGGATGTTCCATATCTTTGTTGCGACTTTGATCAGTGATTGTACCGGGATATCGGCGTCAGTTTCTGGCGGAACGGGCGCACGGCGGAGTAGTTCTTCGCAAGATACATGCAGAGGTTCGGCCGGCACACAACTGACTGGCATTGTTGAGCCGCCGGGAGGACGTGAAACCTCAATTTTTTGGCGTGTAACTGGCTGAAATCGAGGCCGGCCATTGCGCAGAGTTATGATCGGTTGCGAATTGATGATGCTCTCGAAAGTGATATTCGCTCGTTCTTGGTCAACAAAAATCAGAATCACGACTTTCACCTCCCCCTGGGAGTTGGCAAGCCACCAGCTAGCGTCAAGATGGAGTCTTCGCGATGATTCAGAGTATGCAACTTCCGCTACAACAGAAGGCCATGTATCGTCGGTTGGAGGAGGAGTTGACGGGATCCATGAGCCATCTGGTTCTTTATAGCACATATTCCCTTTCACGCGACCCGAGCCTGTTGCTTGGGTCTCATCCTCCAAATTTGCCTCAACTATGGCCGTTTGGAGCGCAAAGGCAAAGTGTGGAGCTGCCGAATCATGAATTCGCCCGGGGATCGTAATGATTAAAATTCGCGACGAGGCGTCGTACGACTGGCGGCAGCCTTTGGATATGTAATTTGAAGCAATACTTGGCGGAACATTACTGAACTTCAAATACTGGGTGCCGTGCTTAGTATCTTCATACTTCTGCGTAATGACTTTTCGAATTCCAGCGACCGAGGAGCCAATGAGATGGGTAGCATATGGAAGATTGAAACGGTCATGATCGATCCTTTGGAGTTCAAGATCGAACATTTCCTGTTCTGTAGGGGTTCGGTTTTGGCGGGTTTGTGGTCTCGGTGGGGTAGCTAGGCCAAAGTCCACTGACAGTGACATGGTGGCGAGTGGGTCGGCAGAAACTCGGAGCACTGAAAGTATGCGAGTGGAGGGACTCCGTATGGTCGGCGGTAGGACTCTTGCGCAACGCCGTCTTCCGACCGGTGGGTCCTCGAAAACCTCACCCAATCGGAACGACCCGTTCGCAGATCCACCGCTTGTGATGTTTGGGGTACGACTTCCAGACGACAAGAAAGCTCTTTCTGATGATGGAATCGATGAAATCTGGATAGAAACGAATGGTATTGAATGATATGGTCTCTTCGTGGATGCACGAAGAAGAGAAGTTAAGAATACATCATAATGAGAAAGATAAACCCCCTTATAGTCACCTGATTGAATCCGAACCATGGCTCGGAAAAAAAATAGTTCCTTTCGGAATAATAATAATCCCCCGTATGTACTTGTAATTTTGAGTGGTTAGTCATGCACCATTCCCAAGGTATTTTCGACCGGCAGAAAAAAAGGGACCGCCTGTCACACCGTGCCCAACTTTACTAGTGTCCCCCATACAAATTTGGACTAGCAGATATGCCCAAGTCCCGCACATAATTGATGAGATTGGGCAATTTGTATGGGTAGGAATAGTTTCATACAGGGCGGCTATGTTACAGTGCCAAGAGGCTGTGCGTATCAGAGTGTGTCCAAATTTGTATGGGGAACACTAGTAAGTTTGGGACACTGATAATACAATTGGTCTCTATGGCGGTCAGCCCAAAATACCTTGGCATGTCTACAGGGTCCGTTGCCGTTATGTACATACTCTGTATCCGTACAGTATGTACAGTGACGCAGCAAAAGTTTTAGCACCCTCAATCAAAATTCTTCCGGCAATACGATCCTAGACCAATAGGAGTTTTAATGCAGCAAGCGGTATACCCATGTGAGAAGGCGGTACGGACAGGGGTGTTCAGACATTTACTGTGTCACTGTATGTATTGAGCACCATAGCCCCACCTATCCTCAGTTCCCCATGCTGTCGATCCTTATCATATATAGTTAGCCACAGCATGCTAGATAAGTCGTATGTCTCTGGGGTCTCTGTACTGATTGGATCACCGTAATGTCACAATACCACAGACGCGAGAAAAAGCCTAAGCGGACAGTCTGAGGAAAAGGGACATCATGTAACTTCGCTTTTGTCCTTAGCTATTAGATTACCTCTTGAGGTCTAAGGTCCCCTTATCTTTCTGTTACCTTTTATATTTAAATGCTGTAGTGGGGATTCCTGCCCTCAACATCAGAGTCATGTGATTAGGGCCTTAGCAACAAGGCAGCCATTTTTGTTTCAGGAGATTAAATATTTTCGTTCCATAGCATCAATCTAATATCATCATGCATGTTCCCCTTTATGTAATGTTCTCCTGAGGCTGCTGAGGTTGCGGTATTAGTATATTGCTCATGAAAGGTTCTGTCGTCTGTTCTGTCGTCTCTCTATAGCGTCACGCTTTGTCTACGGTGTCCTGCACTTTTGCGAGTGGTGGTTTTGTCCCCTCTGCGATCGACCCGTCTGCCAACGCAGACTGCCAGCGAGCATTCCCATCTTTCAATGTGTAATTAGAGAAAACACAGATTAAACACTATAGCGCTGATCCAAATAAACGGTGTATCCAAATGCCAGGTCTAGTACCTAGGTATCGAATAATTACTGAGCAGTACTCAGTGATCCCTAAGCAGCCCTGATTGGTCACTGAGCAATCAGTGTGTCTTAGTTATATCTTACGTAACTCAGGTGATTCGATCACTGAGCCTGAGCCCGTACTGGCATCTACTTACTGAGCCTGAGCCTGAGTGCCCTCATAAAAGCGGCGGCAGCCGAGAAAGGAAAGCCCCACCTGGCAGACAAAATCCGGTGTATATAGGTGCATATGCCCGCGCTAGATCAGCTCTGGTTCAGCTCCAGGTCCAAGCGTTTTGTCCACATCATCAAATATGCGACTTGATCGTATTTGATTCTGTCGGGAATTTGGGATGAAACATGATCTGACTTTCTTCTCTTCGCTGGCTGATAGCCAGTTTCGTTGTCTTTTCTGATAGACATAATCTCCGCTGTCGGAGAACTTGGATCCTGACAGATGTGACATGATGAAGGTACTATAGTGAGAGGGAGTTTGGTATTGAAATCATCGATTTATAAATATATACTATTATGATCATAATCATAAAACGTCTCCGATGTGCAAAGAGGAACCTGCTCAAGATGCAAGCAAAATCCGACTCCAGCGGGGTATGAAAGATGCAGAAACACCAATCACAAAATGCAGACATGAAAAAGGTGGGAATATGGCAAATAAATTACAAAGATCACCAAGCTCAGCTTAGATCTTGGGTGCGGACTCGCGGTTGGATTCGCGGCGAGACTCGGAGACGGCAGCCTCGGGCATATCGTCTTCCGCGTCCAGGGCGTTCATGTCGTCTTCCTGGGCGTTGAGGTGGTGGAAGACCATGAAGAAGACCAGACCGCAGACGAAGGAGGCGCAGGCCAGACCGACGAACATCCACATGATGGCGGGATCGAAGGCGGCGGGGGTCAAGGCCTCGGCGATGGCGGATCCGAAGGCGTTGGTGAGGAGGTACATGGACTGCACGAAGGACTTCATGCTTGGGGGAGCCTTGGTGTAGGCGTACTCGAGACCGGAGACCGAGGCGAAAATCTCCGACACACCGATGAAAACGTAGGCTGGGGTCTGGATGGCGATGTGAACGTTGTTACCTTGGGCGGCACCGTCGACCTCGGAGGCTGCGCAGAGGGGCTGGCCGTAACAGGGTCCGGCGGAGTAGATCAGGTGCTGGACGATGGCGGCGTACATCATGGCCAGGGCGGCGACGATGAAGCCGAGGGAGATACGGGTAATGGGGCGGAAGGGAATCTTGAGACGGCGCATCACGGGGTAGACGCAGGTCTCGAGCAGGGGGATGAAGACGATAATGGAGATGGGGTCGAAGTTCTGCATCAGATCGTTGGGGATACCGTGGCCCCGCATCTGACCGGCCTGGGTAACAAAGTTGCCGGAGAACTGGCCGTAGACGACCCAGTAGATGGGGTAGAAGGCGAACACACGGCATGCAACAAGGGCACGCTTGAGCTCGTCAATGAAGTGGTCATCCCAGGGAAGGGAAGCCTGGACTCCAAGGTTTTCGGCTTGCCAAGTAGGCTTGGGGGCATCCATGTTGCGGTTGCGGATCATGATCCAAAGAGCGCGGAAGGCATCGGTAATAATGGATCCCTGGGGAGGGCGGACGACGTAGAATTTGCGGCCGAGGATGACCACGAGGGTACCGACCATGAACATGCACAGACACAGCAGGAAGGCTGACCAGAAGCCGATATAGAGCTCCATGTAGGGAGTGGCGAGGAGAGACAGCGAACCGAGGTTGATACATCCGTAGAAGATCATGTAGATACGCTGGATAGTCAGGGCAGGGTCGATGATGACACGCTCACCCTTCTTGGTGGTGGAAACGGCCATCTTCTTGCGCTTGTACTGGTCGGCAATCAAGGGTGCCACGTTACTCTTGATACCACCGGTACCCAGACCGATAATCAAGATGGCCACAATGAAACCACCCAGACCGGAGCCATGTTCCAGGGCCGAAGGAATAGATGTGCAAACCAGGATGAGCAGGCCGACCATGTAGACAATACAGAAGAGCACGATAGTCTTGTACTTGCCAAGATACTGATCGGCGATGATGGCACCAAGGATAGGAGTAACATAGCACCAGAACTGGAAGAAGGTGGTGAGACCGGTAGCACCCTGGTGAGCCATACCGAGAGCACCACGTCCCTGACTGCCATCTAGTGGGCGCTGGACGTAGTTTTGGAACAGACCCGACATTCCGTAGTATGTGAAACGCTCGCACAGCTCGACCACGGCGACCAACCAGGCGGAGATGGGCAGGTTCTCGGCGATATGGCGCAGAGAAGACTTCTCATGGAGAGTAGGTTCCTCTCCATCAGGAGTGACCTGGTTCTCCTTATCCAGGTCGGCGTCCATGGCGCCCTTTTCGTTCACGACGATTTCTTCGACGGGGACATTGTTTCCTGATCTGGAAACATAGGGTTAGCATGAGTCATAAAAAAAATCGAGTCGAGTCGAAGCACATACTGAGCAAGCTCAACCTCACGCTCGGTCGACATAATGGCTATAGACCAGATGCGGAATCTCCTAAATGGTAGGAGAGAGGGCGATCAGAGGAATAGAGAGGAGAAAATCCGGACGACCGCGATCTTATGCTATATATGCAATTTTAACGTGCGAGCCTCGGTGGGGAAAAGCTCTTATCGAACCGAAAAGTCATAAATAATAATAAAAGGGACCAAATCGCCCCCATCTCCACCACTAGAGCCATCTGAGAAGGTCAAATTAGCCCATTGTTCGCAATTCAACCGTGGACGCGATCGGCAGTGTCTATCGCACAACGGCGAGTGGCTCGGTCCACGGATGTAACCCCACGGCTGAAGCGGAAGCGAACGAAAACTCGCAGATGGCGACAAGCAATATGCCGAGCACGCGCAGAGTGGAACTCGTCGGATCAATCAGAGGTCACGCTTGGGTCTGGCATCTGGTGTCTGGGGATTTCTCGAAGGGCTAGTCCGTCCCTCCACTGTTATCGTTGGCGAATCACATCGGTATTTCCAGTCGGAGATTGCCGGTGAGGTTGAAAATTTCCCAAATGAGTAGAGTACTTCCGGTCCCTTGCCACGAGATATCTTTTCTTGCCCGGAGTCCACTCCTTGCTCCGGGCTCACTTAGACACCGGATTATGTTCGGGATCTGGATTTTTGACCGATGCGGGTATCGCGTGATCCAGGGATGTGGGTGAATCACGGACACGACAACCTGACAGTGAGGTACATTAAGGTACATTCCAGTCTGTCGATGTATCCACGGGTACACTGTTTGCGGGCGGCTGTTGCGGGAAAGTTTGGACCTGTTGCTTGTTAATTGCTTGTCGGGATCCCCTGGACCGCCACTTTGGCCGCATGCAACGTTGGGGTTGTTCCCCGCGTGCTTATCAACCCTCAACAACCAATGCGCATCGTAGTCTTTGTCCACTTTGGTTTGAGTTTCGGAGATGTCTCACTGGTGAGCTCCTAGTGCTACATACCCCGGAGTTGTCCTGCTTTGCTGGGGCCACGGTATCAATGATAGGTTCCGCGATAGATTCCGAGGGTCCATAGTACTTGTATCCAGCCAATGCAAGTAGCGGAGGGGGAGTCGTCGCTGGTTTCGGTTGCGATTCGGTTCAAGCCGTGATATCCGGGGTAATTATTCTCTCGTAACAGCGTGTGTTTGAGTGTTCAGATGTTGAGAAGGTGGATCAAATCCGCCAAGGCTCATGATAAGGATTGGTCATGGTGAGTAGTCAGCTGTAGTCAGTGATGGTCAGTGATGGTCAGTGATGGTCAGTGATATTTGAAGTTCAAGATAATCTGTAGAGTGTCACATCATTGTATGAAGAAGTCAAAAAACTCAAGTGATCAACGGGGACACAGCCGCATATATACCAGGCATGGCCACGCCCTTGGCCGCTTGGCCTCCGACTTCGCTTGATAGGCACGTCCCACCAACAGCAGCGCTCATCGTCAGCAATCTCTCTCTTCCCCTCAGATGGCGCAAGTCCAAGACCTTGGCTAGTCTGAGCCACCAATGTTATCAGCCACGCTAAGAATTGGCAACGGCACAGGGGATGACCAGAGACACGGTCGCTTGTGACAGACATGCTTCCTTTAAGAACTCAGAAGATCGACTCGGATGGCTACGGTATTTCTATGGGGCTGGAACCGCGTCATCCGGGCTCTATATGATCGCCCCTATACGACAGGCACGACCGCCATACTCCTCTCAACGCCCGACTATGCCCTATAATTGGGCACTGTTGCCTATCGCTGCGCTGAATACGGGCGTACTTGCTTACTTCCGGTTTGGTTGGCTTAATTTGACAGATACACCGCTCCGACATCGCTCGGTCTTCAACCGAAATGGAGTTTAGGGTTGCTTCTGGGGATCGGAAATCTGATATTACGACATCTTTGGCCAGTTAGAGGGCTTGTATAGGTGATCCACTGTTGCTCATGCGGTCTCGCGGGTCGAGTCACGACTATAACAGAGCCGGTGTGAAAGGAAAATCAGTACCGAACCATGTTCGTAATTGATCAATGAGGACATTCACTTTTGAGAAGTGAGTCACGAGTACGGACTACTTCCGACTTTGACTGGCAGAGGCCCAACACAATAGAGATCGGCAAATCATCGGAGAAAGACAACTTAGGTCTGTCAATCCGAGCATCTCTTATTGGCCAACAGATTCAAGCTTACCATCTACTGTGAGCTACTGCAAGGTGAAAAGACTAAGCTTCAACCCCTGTCAAATCCATCTCGTTATCACAGATGCCTATACCAATGCAATAAAAAAGATATCATCTATCCTACCAATCTATCCCAACCAATAGTGCATCCCACTAAGCAATACTCCCCAGCTCAGGCTTCCTCATAATAGGAGTAATCGGCTTAGGAGGCCACCCCTGCGAACAACTCTCCTTCAACAAACACTCGAACGAATACTGGCCCGATCCAATCCACACACCATCACTCTCGCCCTCGCCCTCTGGCAAAACAACCAAAGCCCTTGAATTAGCCGGAACAACCAACTCCATCTCAAACCGTCCCCCAACAACCTTCCACTCACACTCCAACCGCCCATAAGCAGTCTGATAAACCACCTCGGCAGAAGTAACAGTCCCACCAGGAATCGGAGCAACACGGATCTCCTTCCACCCCGGTGAAAGAGGCGTAACACCACCCACACTAGAATGAAGCCAATTGATAATTGACCCGAGAGCGTAGTGGTTGAAACTGGTCATTTCGCCTGGGTTTATCGTTCCATCTGGAAGCATGCTGTCCCATCTTTCCCAGACTGTTGTGGCCCCCATTGTTATCGGGTACATCCATGATGGACAGTTTTTTTCTTGGAGCATTCTGTAAGCGATTTGCGCGTGGCCGGTCTTTGTGAGTGCGTGCGTTATTATTGGTGTTCCTGCGAATCCCGTTGCTACGCGGAATTTGGCTAGTCGGACTAGTTCCACGAGTCGGTTTGCTGCTGTTTTCTTTTGGGAGGGCGTTGGAAATAGGTCGAACATTATTGCTAGGCTCAGGGCTGTTTGTGTGTCACCCACTAACAAGCCTGAGTGGGCGATGTATTTAGCTTGGAAATGGGTTTTGAGGGTTTGCGCGTCTGCTTGGAAGCGTGTTGCATCTGCTGTTTCGCCTAGAACGGCGCTGACTTTGGACATTGTTGCTGTCACATGGATTAGGTAGGCGTCTGCTACTAGTGTTCCGTTTGTGCGGGCGTCACCTGGCTCGATTGGGGGTGCCGTTGGGTCAAGCCAGTCTCCTAGTTGCCAGAGGGTTGAATCCCATAGGCCGTCTGGGCCTCTTCGGATTCCACGGTCTATCCATGCTAGCATGCTGGAATATTGGCGACGGAGGATATCGGTATCGCCGTATGAGCGGTAGAGATCCCATGGTGTCAAGACGACGACATCGTCCCAGATTGCTTGAGGGAGATGTGGCCATAGTTTCTCGCTGATGACATTTGGGACGACGAATGGGGGAACGCAGCCATCTCTTTCGAGCAGTTGTTCGGCGGCGACATCTTTGAGCCAGTCTCCCAGCATTCCAGCGGTATTGTATAAAAAGCTGGCAGACGGCGTGAATATCTGAATATCACCCGTCCATCCAAGCCGCTCATCACGCTGGGGACAATCCGTCGGGATGGAGAGGAAGTTGCCGCGCATGCTCCACCAAGCATTGTTATGGAGTTGGTTGACCATCGGGTGGGAGCAGGAGAACCATCCCGTACGGGCCATGTCAGTGTGCAGCACCAAAGCCGTCAAGTTAGTCAACAGATCTGGATCCTCGGCTGTCCAGCCATCGACTTGGACATAGCGGAACCCATGGAAGGTATATTGCGGTGACCAATCTTGGAGTTCTGTCCCAGAGAAGATGACTTCATCTGTACACGCTGCATGCCGCAATGGTCGCGTACCCAGCTCGCCATGCTCCAGAACCTCTGCATGTGTCAAGATTACTTTGGTTCCGGACGGTTTGTTCAGACTGCCAATACGCAGTCGACCAACCAAGTTCTGACCAAAATCAACCACAGTCTTTCCCGCGGGCGTTTCAAAGACCTGCACAGGTTTGATCTCCTCGGTGACCCGGACAGGTGGCGCATCCGGTGCGACAAGAGTTGCTGTTGGGAATGCCAATCCCTGTACAGGATCCCAAGGGGCTTTATCTGTTTCGAGAGTGGGCATGTTCCAATTGAGATCTTCCTCGCGTACATCATACACTTCACCATCATAGATTTCACTTTTGATAATAGCACTCGAGCAACATGTCCAAGTTGAGTCCGTAGAAATCGAGAGGTTAGGCTCTTCATTACGAATTTGGACCTCCAGTTGAGCAAGCGCTGCCAGACGATCTCCGTATAGCTGTCTGCGTCCACCTTTGAAGCCCAGACGGGTTGCATACCATCCCTCGCCGACCTCTATCGCAATGACGTTCGGGCCATTGGGGTTGAGGAGCGGTGCGACATCGTAAAGTTGATAGTTTAGACGATGCTTGTAGCTCGTCCATCCTGGTGCCATACACTGACCCCCGATCTGGTGGCCGTTGATGAAAGCACGGTATACGCCAAGACTAGTGATGTAAAGGCGCGCTCGATCGATGGCCTCGTTCCCAAGGTGGAATGCCTTGCGGAATCGAATGGGTCGTAGAGGACTTTCGGATTGTGTGTGTTCTGGGCTTGCGATTGGTACGGCGGTCCAGTCGTTGCGGGCGAGTAATGCGCTTTCCACTGTTCTCCATGGGGACCAGTCTGTCACATCATGAGAGTTGCCGTATGCTCGAACACGAATCTGGACGATTTCGCGCGATTTCAATGGCTGGCTTGGCCAGGGAACCAGGACGGATTTGTTGCTCGTCACTTTGTATGTCTCAAGAGACTTTGAGGAACGAGAAATCTCAATTTCGTAGGCGGTTTGCTCCCATCCCTTGACTGTGTCGTCGGATGTCAAAAACCGCCAGGATAGGCGAGGATTGGCGATTCCAACTCCGAATCCTGTCGCATGATGCTCGACAGTAGGAGCTTCAATGATTGGGAAGGCCATGGTGAAATCAAGCCTTCACAAGAAATTGGGGAAAGAAGCCGGGGCGCCATGGGGTCATTCACATACTTATATTTTTACCCCAGAGTGAACACGCGGACGGACATAATTGACACGAAGGCCGAAAGCATATCCAATGCAGCAGTCTGGAGATTTTTGGGCATCGAACCAACCCCCACGCGAACAGAACGTTGTATACTTCTGCGGTGTCCCCCGCGGCGGCGTTATTTATCTCGGATTGGTCAGTCGCCGCTATAGTCCCCACTTACTCACATGACTTTTCTCGTCTCCCATGGGGAAGACTCTCTCTTTGTTAGTTATGCCAAATGAATCATGAGGATACTGTATTCACGGCTGAACGGCTCGGGCTGTTTATGAACCGGTATTACGCCCCGATCTCTATAAATACAGTCCTCTTGCGAGCAGAATGCACCAAATATCGGATATCTAGTTGCAAGCAAAATGGTGCCTTTTACCCTTGTTCTCATTGCTCTAGTGGTTGCTCTGGGTGGTTTTGTGTATGGAGTGGACTCAGGTATGCTGATGGGTGGTCTTTCTTTGCAAAGCTAACAGGGATAGGTATCATTGCGACGACGTTGGCGCATGATACGTTCAAGTATGCCATGCTGGGCCCGACTGGGACCAATGCTGCCCTAACTGGTGCTATCGTGTCTCTGTATAATGTTGGCCAGGCGTTTGGTACTTTCGGTGCCGGATACTCGGCCAACAAGTTCAGTCGACGATGGACCATCTGTGCTAGTGCAATGATTGGTAGGTTTGTTTCTTCTGCTGTATGAGCCCTGCTAACATTGTTCCTCTATAGCAATCGTTGGTGCCACCCTCCAGACTGCAGCAGTCAATGCTGGCATGATGATCTTCGGACGCTTTTTAGCCGGGATGGGATGTGGAATCCTCCTGGCTGTCGTGCCCACCTATATCGCCGAGATCTCCCCTCCCCAGCATCGAGGAATGATTGTTGGTCTCCAGGGATTCATGATCGCCATTGGCTTTTTTATTGCCAATTGGATTGGCTATGGTGGTGCATATGCGAAGGGTGACGCCCAGTGGCGGATTCCTCTTGCAATGCAGATCCCAGGACCCATAGCTTTGGCCCTTGGATGCTACTTCATTCCATATAGTCCCCGTTGGTGTAAGTCATATCTCACGAGCATGCCAAGAAGAAGGACTAACATCTTCAAGTGGTTCGACAGGAACGGTATGAAGAGGCGCATGCCGTCTTGACCACCTTGCACGGCGACGACGAAGAAGCAGTAGCTCGGGAACTCGCAGAGATTCGACACCACATCCAAGCTGAAATGGCACGAGGGCCAAGTTTCAAGGAGTCTCTCACAAATCTCCTCTCTCGCCGATATGTGCACCGTACATCGATGGCCTGCTTCCTTCTCGTCATGGGCCAATTCAGTGGTTCTTCTGTTATCCAAAACTACCAGAGCAGTTTCTATGCAGCGGTTGGATTCACTGGAAAGACTTCTTTGTTGATCAGTGGTATCTATGGCATCATGGGTGTCATTGGCCAGGTGATCTACCTGTTCTTCGCTGCTGACAGGTGGCCTCGCACTCGAACATTGTGGGTTGGTTCTGTTTTTTTGTCGGTGATGATTGCCATCTGCATGGCCCTTTCCGCGTTTTACGGTGACGCAGACACTGGAAACATCAGTGGTGCACGGGCTGCCATTGCCATGATTTTCCTGTATTCCTGTGGATACGCTGTCTTCTTTAATGCGACAATCTGGGTGGTGCCATCGGAGATTCTTCCTTTCTCCCTTCGAGCAACAGGTATGGGCCTTGCGGTGTTCTGCAAGTCTATTTCTGCCATTATCTTGTCACAGATTACACCCACGGCACTTCAGAATGTCGGCTGGCGGTACTATTCCCTCTTCATTGCCACGAACCTGGCTGCAGCGTTTGTGTATTTCTTCCTATTGCCGGAGACCAGTGGTAAGACTCTGGAAGAAATTGAGGAACTGTTTGGAGACACCGTTGTTGCGGATCGTGAGGCCAAGTTTCATGACGGGGATCAAGCAACTGTGAAGACTCCAGAACCCAAGTCCTCCCATGTTGAAAGTGTCGTGTAACTCCCGACTGCACGAAACTGAAGTCAGATGTAGATGTTGCTTGATCGATGGAATTGTAAATATTGCCAAATACCATTTTCATTGAACCATTTCTTCTGGAATTACTCCAGTAGCCAGTCAATGGCATGGTTAACAAGAGCTTCGCTTGTCACATTTTCGTCGTGTAACAGGTCAGATAGACCCTGCACCTCAGAACCAATTTCTAGATTATCGATTGCTTGGGGAGCGCCAGTCAGTTCTGGATGTTCCGCAGTGAAATCAATATCTGCGCTCTTATGACGTGTAATGTTCTGTTCTATAACTTCCTCAGGCTGCATTATTGGCATCTGGCGCTCAGAGAGATCGGAAGAATGCTCAGTCAGGAATCGAGACATCCAATTATCGAGCACGAATGGATCTGATATCGCATCCTGGCAAGAGTTTTGGAACTTGCGTAGTCGTGCTACCTGAGACAGTTAGCTTAGTGTGTGGCTGGTCGAATCCAACACATACAGAATGATCCACCACAGGCCAATATGATTTGATTCTCATCAAGTACTCAAAATTCGAGACGAGTTGTTGTCGTGCCATCGTAAGTTCCTCGGCGTTGTCACTAAAGAGCAATGCGTGAAGGTGGACGCAAGAACTGATCACAGCAATGTGGCCATAAATGAAATAGTTCAGATCGCAGCCGTCGATATCTGTGCTATTTTTTATTATTTCGGAGACGGTGCTTGCGCTCTGTTTGCATTGGGCTGCTCCTTGTGAAAAATTTGGTGTATCCCGGTTGCTGCGTGCATCGAGGAAAGGGAAGAAGAGCATTTGGCGGAAGTGGTGACGGCCAATATGCATTGCTAGAAATGTTCGACCAAGCCGATTTTTGACGCAGGATAGGATATTTTCCATGTTGTATTGTAAATTTGGAGGCAAGTTTTGCTCCCACTTATCCAGGCTGTGTTCTAGTCCCGTTGCTTCTATGCAATAATCACCAAATGGTATCAGACCTTGGCTTAGCTGTCGAAGAAGTGCACTGGTTCTGTTGAAAATTTCGAGTGTCTTGGCCATATGCGCCCACATATTGCACGGTGAAGTTATCTGTGGCGGATCTGGGTCGAGACTAGCAAATGTCACATCATCGACTTCCAGTGGCGTAAATTCCGGGCCATGTGCAAATGACACAGACTCAATAGACATATCTGTTGCTGTCCAATGACTTGCAATATGGATAGAGAGCCAAGTACGACGATACTCCTCCTGGCGCATGATAGTGGCATCCTTTGGAATATTGGGCATCCCCAGAGCTTCCGCATGCAATCTAGCGAGTCCACTATAAATGTGCTTGGCTTTCGTGTTGCCTTCCCCGCCGTAGTAGTAGCCGATTAATATCAAGGCCTGTATTGTTTCCAGGCTGGGTGTCGTGATAGACTGGTGGATGAGACTCTCCACTGCGGAGGCGCCTAGCTTTCCACGCTGACCACGGGCAGTTTCCTCGTAATGTGGGTGGTTGGAAAACCTCGCAGCAAGTGAGTACATGGCATAAACCAAAATGGGTGGCGCTTTGCTTTCATATAATCGATGCATGAAGTTTGCTTCGTGAAACATGGTATGGGCCACATTGTGGATGTAACGGAAGTACAAAGGAGTCAATTCATGGTAGAGTTCGTGGCCAGTTTGGACGGACATCTGTCTAGTATCGATGACCCTTTGGAGGCTGTTTGACTGACTCGAAAGCCCAGTGGTTCCATCGAGACTGCAAGTGGCCCCAATAGACTGGCATGGTCCGCATCTAAGACTATCCTCTGCTGGAACGCATCGTCTTTTTCGAGTGCTGGCTTCTTTAGTAAAACACCGTCCGCATATGATGTCGTACCTACCGGCACTTCACACAGGCTCCCGCTCTTGTTCTCTTCGGGGGAGGCTGCATGTTTGAGGTCGAGTTAAGAGAGTATAGTTTTACTACTCAACGATGAACGGCAGAAGTTCAAAGGAAACATCGAACCTCAAAAGGTGGGATTGATGCTGAGTCATCCTGTCTATAATCTCAGTCGCCGGCTGATTGGCTGGCTGATTAGAGGCATCTATTGAGCACGGACACCTACCATCGGCGGAATAAGTTTCTCAGCGCCACACAAGAGATATTTCTTAATAATTTATCTGTTCCATATAACAGTCATTGTTCCCTATACACAATGCGTAAAATATCGTCGCGGGAGCATGTAGACGCCTAGTCTGAAGCCAAGAGCTAGATTAAAAGATGCTTACAACATTTATGGTAATTTCAGAACTACAAATTTCACAAATAAACTCTCCTGCATAAGAGCCACCAGTGGCATCCTTGAACAGAAGAGGCTTTCACAGAACCTCCTGGCCAAAATGCCGCAGGCTATTGGCTCAGGTTTTCCAATAGTGGAAACTATACGGTGGAATGCGACTCAGGAACGGCATCTCCAAGCTTTGCATTGCTACTTGCAGTGCACGGATATGGTTGAAAGCAATATCAAACAAGCCCGCCGCGGCGAAAACGCCTTTCTCGGCTAGCGTGGGGTTGTTGCAGGACATGGCACTGTTAATGTACTGATCAGTGTGTTCGGTCCTAAGCCCCTGCAGAACATGCCGAAGTAGCTGAAATAATCTGTGGCGTTGATGTACATTTCATATGTGAGTAGGTAGCCTAGTGAAAGGCCGGAAAAGGCGCGCTTCTCGAGGTCTGTCGAAACTTTGGAATTCTCTTCGGGGTAAGGGAAGAGATATTTCATAAAATTCTCACGGACACAAGCAGTGATGGGTGCTTTTGAGAATCCGCTGACTTCATAGACGAATAAGTATTCCTGAGCAATATTGTAGAGAGATGGCATCACCACAACAGTAGGCTCAATGTATCCGCGAAGGATGAGATTATCTAGGACTTGATGCGGCAGTTCTGGCCATTTCCGTCTCCTCTATGGGAGAGACGAAGAATTGGGTAAGCTTTCCCGTGAGATCTTTCATAGTCCTTGGGAAGGTAGATGGTGAACTCATGGATATCAGGCGCTGGGTGGATAGATCCCGGCGAAGTGTAATTCACAATTGAGACTGCACCCCGATATTGTTTGGCTACAGGCAAGACGAAGTCAAAATTGAAGTCCATCCCCGCGCAGCCTCGATATTTCGAGCCGTACGGGATTTGAAATCTTAACTGGGGTTGGTCGCCCTTGACATTGACAAAAAGCCGATTGTTGGGACCCATGACATAGTTTCCTGCTTCCATAGTGCATTGGGCTGTTGGTTCACAGTCTATAAGGAACGCAAACTGATAAGTGCCAGACGGAAGGGGTGTTATATATGCTCACTGGCCGTTGCCGTCTCTACTCATATGGCAGAGAACATGTTGAGACAGGCCAAGAGAACGAAATCAACCGGGCTGGTAATCATGAGGGTCGTAGTTGGCACCTCCATGGCATTTGTGACCTGTAGTAGACGAAAGAAACAGTGTGATGGCCGACGGCCTCGGTGTTCAACTTGCAAACCTCTCATCTACGGTGCACATACGATAGTTTCCTATCTTGAGATTTAATCATGTATTTGCAGAAACAGAGACCGGAGTCAGCTCTGAGAGCATATATAAACAAAAGCAAGGGCCATCATCTGAACCACTTGAAAATCCTATCGTAGCGTAAGGTTGGGACTTAATATGAAAAAAAACCCCATATCTGACATCCTTCGCAGCGATCTTTGCGAGGCAGTCAATGAGGATAACACAACAAATCTAGGCACCCAAGAATCTCTAGATGAAAATATGAGTGCTTAATCCTTGGACTTGTGGGATGATGACTTCTCAGGGTTCATGGGAAACTACGATGTCGCCTTATCCGACTTCGAGTTCAACGTTCCAGTCCCAGACACAGAAGCTTCGAGAGAACTTGAAATTCATGACTCGTCATTTTCGCTGATACCAGCTCATGGCTCCAGCTCCACGTTGATCCCCTTCAATAGTACCGATAATGTACAACCATCTGCCAAAAAGCGACGAATGGACGAATTACCCACGCACCTGCTGGCACATCATTATTCGAGGGAGCTAGCAGGTTGATATACATTCAAGCGTTCAGGCTGGACATTCTACACCTATTTTTTTCACCGTTTTGCCGAAAGCCATCCCTAGGTCCATTCTGCGATCTTGACATGGACATCGGCAAATCTTTATTATGCTGGGCAAACAAAACCATTGGATGATGTTTTGAAACATTAAGATGAGAGCTTATGAGCCATGTTTGAAAAGTATAGGATTATACAAGGCGAGAATAGACATGCGACTGAGGAAGGGCTTCTGAGCTCCTCGTCCTTTGGTGGCATGGATTCCTTGTTCGTCGCATATTTCTTTTTGGCACTCATGGACCTTGTTACGGTTCGATCCAATCGATTCAGAGTGACTTTTCGCCTAGTTGCGGCGCTTTCAATGACACCTGGGATTCAGTCTGAAATTACGGGAGTTCAAGCACGTGTGACGTCCTGAGTAAGTAATGACCCAGTCTCTTCGACTTCTCTCCTCTTTTTGGTCTACTATATTCATAAGCACTGATCATGTCAAGTTCTGCAATCTTGGTGGGAAAGCATCTGCAATTCAAGTCGGAGAAGGGGTTGTCCTTGAGTTTATAGGCGATGAGGAAAGCTTGGTGAGAGCAGTCCGACTCTCATTCACAACTCTCCAAAAGGCCTACAGTGTCACATATCCTGATGAGGAAAGGTGCTCTGATAAAAATCAACATCCACTTTTGAAACTGATGCTCCGACTCACCTTACTGCTACATCGGATCACTCAAGTCAAAGATAACAATCTCTGAATTCATGATGTCCATTCAATCCGAGAAACGCTGGGTTCGTACTGTCTGGTGATTGAGCTCGATTTCGGTCAATATGAGAGTCGAAGTCGATGTACCTTTCTCATTCTCTGTGCGCTCTATCACAGCGTCGAAATGTCACTCTCGCAGTGTTTAATGTCCGAGAAGCCTCGACATGCTGCTAAACAACACGCAATGGACATCATTCAAACTTCACAGAAGCTTGAAGCTACGCAACCTGTTGGTGCAAGATCCTCACCACCACCACCACCACCCACCAAGTTTTGGCCCTTGCTTCTGGTTATGGCGGCGATTGAAGTTAAGGACTTGATATATCGCGAAGGGGCAATCAATATGCTTGAAGTTAATCAGAAAGTGGCCGAGGATAACTACTCCTGGTTTAAGAAGTTTGTCGAAATTGTTATCGAGCGTAAAGATCAGGTCTCTGTGCGACTCGATTGGGGTGTGATTCTTGGAGGACTAAAAGATGGACTCGTCATGTGAGGCCAAGATTCGTATAGAACCGCAATGAGCTAGCAAAATCGCATGTTTATTCCACTGCGCACCTTCATATGCTTGAATCAAGATTTTCCATGCGTTATCAGTCCCCCAAAATCTCTCCTTGGATCAATAGACTACTGACATCGCGAGATATCACCCCTTACATAATCACCCGATCCGGAAACCCCAGGTAGATCAGATCGAGAGATCGACATACAAGATCTCAAATCTTTCGCTAAACACAAAAATTCCCCTGAATCTCAATTCACCCAGTCAGCTACAAATATGAGACTCTTCGCATTGGCTGCCCTTTTTGCTGCCGCGAGCAGCGAGTTCACCTGTATCAAACCGGTCAACCCGATTCCAGCAGGCCTTCCCGGTTTATGTTGCAAGGATTTGGTCCAAGCTCCTTTATTAGAATTTGTGTATACTGGTGAAACATGTATGGTTCTTGTTTCATAGTATTTACTTTGGATTCTCATACTGACACCTTGGAAGGCACTCGTGCGAATGAATTGAGCAAAGCCGATGATGGTAGTACCACTTATAGCTCCTGTGAGGAGGGTGAGCATGCGGCTTGCTGTGATCCGGCAGGTTTGAGTTGACTCTGGCGTCTGGAATCATCTTGCTGATTGTGTATAGCTTTTGTCGGAGGTGACCCTGGCAACTAACATTGCTTGTGTCTTGCCCTCGTCGTAAACACGGTTTATCTTGCCTGTTGGGGGCTGAAAAGACGCTTTCACAGGGGCAGTGGACTTGGTAGAAGGTATATCGAGGCTTAGAAAGCTATTATAGAGCTTATGTGCAATAAATTTATGAACATGGATTTAGTGATGTATAAAGATCTGGCCATGGCTATTACCACTACTTTAAATATCTTCGTAATAGTTCTACTTATAAATCCTCATTGATCTTACATAAATAAAAAGCGAAAATGTTTGTTTGGTGCTTTGGGCAATAGTGTTCGGGATATATATATGTACATACCAAGAGACAATGCGTAGAGGTAGCCAGTCGGACCGTGTCGATACCGACACAGCTTATTTGCGACTACAAGATCGGAGATGGTATGAATAATAAGGAAGCTTACCTATACTAAGCCACCGGTTGAAGAATACCAGAAAATTTAGCTGTAGTGAAGCCCTGTGTGAGGCTTAGATTTGGAAGCAAGCTAAAATGTAAGTTTCGTAGGTTTATATAAAGGATCGAGTCTCTATCCTCGAGTGTATAGGTTGTGTAGTTACTCCATTCTGGTAATTGCAGGCCATGATAGGAGCCAAAACTTTGAGTGGTATCCCTACAGTACCAGCGATGAGTGGGAACAAGATATCTACAATCCTACGAGGACTTCCATCTCCTCTACTGTCGAGATTACAGACCTCAGACCCGCACCGGACTCTCGTCAGCAATGCATCTATCAATAGGGTCATATTTGTACTCGATATAGAGTAGGATAATGTGGGAGTTCTCCCAAAGTCATACAAGACCAAGACACGATCAGAACGGCATAAGCGTAAAATGTGTTTGGTAGAGTAAGATACAAGTCGCAATCAGGTCGTCACTGCAGAACTATGCAGCGGGGGTGCATAAGAGAGTAAATGGGGTTCCCTATGTCATTCCACACGCCCAGCACCACCCATCGAGGGAAGACTTTCCCACTCGATTGTTTGGTCCATTATCGTGAAATCCGCGTCCTCCCCGTCCCCTTTCCCTTTTTTGCTTCTTCAAAGTTCGTCATCGAATTCGTCTCGTCCCCCTTAAACAGTGTACTTGGCCTTGGCGCGCGTGCTGCCGCTGTGTGCGCTGTCGGTGTGGCCCGAGAATTCCACCACGTCGGCCTCCTTCAAACGGAGGACGTCCTTGAATCGCTGTCCGATCGCCTCGAGAATCTCCTTGCCCTGCGCGGGTGTGCGGGTGTTCTTATCGCCTTGGATGCTCTTGCCGACGGTGCGTGTCCATAGACCAACTCGGTAGAATCCCTTGCGCACGTTCACAACCACTCCCATGACTTCATTGTCGGCGTCGCTCTCGAGGGTCTCGCCGATCGCGGAGAGCTGGGCGTGTAGCCACAATTCGTCGATGGGGACCGATCGCTTGTCCTTGAATTGGTACGACCACTTGCCACCGTGCTTGTTCTGGGGGTCCTCCCACTCGGGCCGTACACCCTTCTTGAAGAGATGGTAGTCGGCCTTGAGACCGAGTTCGGAGGTAGGAGTGATGTTGTTCTAGAGGGGTTAGTGTTGGGAGTTGATCAGTGGTTGGGCTGGACATACGTAGATGCCCCAGAATTCTTCGACGGAGCTGAAAGTGACAACTTCCTTGAGGAGGTCGTTCCAGTTATCGCCCTGGTAAAAAAAATGTATCAGCATCAACTCGACAAAACCGTCAATTATATTTTACCTTTCCGCTAGGGGGCTTGGTGAACCAGAGGGTCCATTCGTGCATCAGAGGGTGCTTGACGTTGAAGTCCTCGGCGTTGTGGAAGACGGTGACCGGCTCACCGGACTCAACCTTCTCGACAGGCGCGGTGTTCTCATCGGCGACAGCCGGGGTACCATTCTCGACGGCGGCCATGTTGGGTGTTGGGCGATGTGGGGTGAAAGAAAGGTGAAGATGTTGGATCAAAGGCGGCAGAACTTTTTTAAGGGAAAGCGCAATCGGCTTTCACACAAAGAAAAGGAAAGATGAATATGAGGAGAGAAAGGTCTGCTCCAGGCAGTGAATGGTGAGTCGACAATTAACCGCAAAGATGAAGTTTTGAAGTTCGACAAAAATTGCCTTCCGACGAACATCACCGCTTTCCGGCCCTACAGAGTACTTGTCAACTCTCACTATTTGTTTACTTTATACATTTCTTTCTTCTTTTAAATTTCTCATTCTGGTTACTGCTTTCTTCTTCTCGCTCTTTCTTATTGGATAAATAAATAAATTGTCTAAACACAATACGACCTTTTCCTATTGACCGAATACGAATACATGTATAACCAACCGAAATCCTATATGAAGCGCCATGTAAAGCAGAGGAAAATTGACAGACCAATAGGCCAGGGTATCTCTAAATCAAGCCCTCTAGTTATCATCACCGCTGTTCATAATGCTCAGCAGGCAGTTCCAACCTAAGTATCATGTTAGTGGCCGGTCCTCTCGAAGAACAAGCATTTAAATGAAAGAGTGCTCACCTAAGCTGACCACGTTGACCACCAGAACACGCAGCTCTGGAGGCACAAGGGCAAAGTTGGCTCCCTGCACAAAGGGCCACACCATCAGATTGGCCTTGTAGGCAGGAGCAAAGGCACTGCGCCACTTCTCCACGGGGTCACTGCCTTCCATGATAGCCATTGAGGACAAGAAACAAGTGAGCTGAACCGGGGCAAAGCAAATCTGATCAGCTGCGACACGCGCAATGGTGGTGGTGGTTGCGCTCTTGAGGACGACATGGCGCTGGAGGATGCCGAACCAGGTGGTGGCCACGGGACCGAAGACGGCTGGACAAGGATGTGTGAGCAATTGTAGAGATCAAAGGGAGAAGTGTAGCTTACCTCCACCGTAGAGGGCCATGCGCCCGGTTCGGCTAAAGTCGTGCTTCTCGAGACCGCGGCGGTCAACCGCTTGTTGTGCTAGGACATCACCGCTGCCGAAAAGGATCTGTATTTGAATGAGTATGGACGTGAGGGATTGGCTGAGGAATCGAGGCTCGTACTGCACTGGTGATGCTTGCGGTGAGGATTGGCTTCTTAGCCAACTTGGACTGGTACCTGAACCAAGGTTAGACGTAAATGCAATCCGCGATGAACAAGGGGCTTACCAGCGAAGCATGATGGCGATAGAAATGCTTAGGAACAAGAAACACAGAAAAGACAAGAAAGACAAGGTAACGCTGAACGAATTCAAGGAAGCTGGGGGAACGAGGATCTTTAAATTGCGGAGAACGAGATACCCTGTCGCATTACCTGATTAGGAAATGCAGCCGCCAACCAGATTTTGGAGTGACGTAGGGGGTTTGTGTAAGTTGTGAACAGGGACTCGATTGATCAATATATTATATGAATTAAATGTATATTATTCTTAGTTATCTGTCTTCACTAATGTACTTATTTTCGTACTTGTTAGCTATAAGTATTGTTATTGTCATTTGTTGAATTTCATACAAGTAGATCTAGCCCATCACGTGATAGATAACTTATCACACGTGCCGTCCCAATGCAGACTTAGGGCTTAGGTCTCCACTAGGGCTCTCACTCGCTTAGCCCACCCGCGCAAATTTCGGGTCAACAGAGTGAGCCGGTATACCTCGACGACCAACCTCAATTCGACAACCCTCCCCGTCACTCAAAAACATCAAAATGGCTGACGCTGCTCCCCGTGGACGTGGTGGTTTCGGTTCGCGCGGCGACCGTGGTGGTGACCGTGGCCGTGGTGGTCGTGGTGGCCGCCGTGGCCGTCGTGGCCCCAAGCAGGAGGAGAAGGAGTGGCAGCCCGTCACCAAGCTCGGCCGTCTCGTCAAGGCCGGCAAGATCACCTCCATGGAGCAGATCTACCTCCACTCTTTGCCCGTCAAGGAGTACCAGATCGTTGACTTCTTCCTGCCCAAGCTCAAGGATGAGGTTATGAAGGTACGGATCGACAATCGCTGAAGGAATGGGATCGGGATCGAATTGCGACAGTTGGGCACAATGCGCACAATTGCGCAATGAGAGACCGAGCTCTTTCAAGGAATGGAATTCAAGACCACGAACTAATGCAATTTCAACCTACAGATCAAGCCCGTCCAGAAGCAGACCCGTGCCGGTCAGCGTACCCGTTTCAAGGCCATTGTCCTCATCGGTGACTCCGAGGGTCACATCGGTCTCGGTATCAAGACCTCCAAGGAAGTTGCCACCGCCATCCGTGCCGCCATCACCATCGCCAAGCTCGCTGTCCTCCCCGTCCGTCGTGGTTACTGGGGTACCAACCTTGGTGAGCCCCACTCTCTGCCCGTCAAGCAGAGCGGCAAGTGTGGTTCCGTCTCCGTTCGTGTAAGTATTATTATACAGGAATTCGACGATACAATAAGCAGGGTTTCTAACGGATTGTCTAGCTCATTCCCGCCCCCCGCGGTACTGGCCTTGTCGCCTCCCCCGCCGTCAAGCGTCTGCTCCAGCTCGCCGGTGTCCAGGACGCCTACACCTCGTCCTCCGGTTCCACCAAGACCCTTGAGAACACCCTCAAGGCCACCTTCGTCGCTGTTGTCAACACCTACGGTTTCCTTACCCCCAACCTCTGGGCCGAGACTAAGCTCATCCGCAGCCCTCTGGAGGAGTTCGGTGACGTCCTGCGCCAGGGCAAGAAGTACTAGGTCCGCCATGATGCATGATTTTTGTTCCACAATTCCAACGGGTTTCTTTTAAAAATTCTCCACTGTGCTTGGTGAAATATCGTGTGCGGGAGACATCCCGTACCACTGGATGTATCTAGAGGGACACAAAATAGCGAAGTCCACGGTCTTGCCAGCCAAATGTTCCGTGTAGATGTTTCCGTAGCTCTAGAGTGCAATTGAACCTCGAACAGAGCCGCATACTATAGTCAAACCTTATTTCGGTCTACGTCAAGTTGGTCTCGACCGCTGGAAGAAAATAAGACAATAGGGAGTCATATTTAATGACGTTAGTTGAGGCCGTCCATATCAATCTAGTCCTACTCTATCGGTCTGCTTTGAATGTCCAGTCCCAACATGAATGGTTCGAAATGGGTAGATAGTATATGAAACATGATATCAGGGTATTCGCATGCCGTCAAATACAAAGATATACAATCAATCTGTCTAGGAACAAACTCCAGGAAATGCTACCTGAGTATGCTGTTCAGCTGAGAGTCACTCGGACGTCGCAGGCAGTGGTACCTGACACCTTCCTCTCCAGGTTGTTACCTTCTGTACCTTTACTCCCCTTTGGTGTTCTCTTCCCTTTCTCTAATTCCCTTCTCTTTCTTCGACTCTCATGTCTTTCTTGTACTCTGCCTCGGTTCAGACGTAACCTTGCATCATGGAGGAGTATTCAGCCCACTGGAAGAACACTCTCATGGGAGCGGACTTCTGGAAAGACGCCGCCATCTACGAAGAGGAAGTCGCTAAGAAGCTTCAACGAGGTACGGCATCCCTCGTTCTCATTAGTTCGCATCTTGTCGCTTGTATCGTCCAAGTTTTGGTCCCGCTAACATCACCAGCCCTAACTCTGAACCTGCACAACCAGTTCCCCTTCAACATGGGCGCGGAGCAAGGTCGCCGTCTCCAAGATATCCCAAAGAAACGTCGCCGTCTGAGTACTGCGGACCTCCTTACAATTTCTGGTCTTCGACGTCATCCTAGCGTGAAGGGTACCACTGCGCGTATCAAAGGACTAGCCCGCCATGTGCGAACTGGTTCGTTTAAAGCCGCGTCAACTTTGGATCTAAAACTATCTATCGATACTACTTCGAAGGTACTCGATGCTCCCAAGAGTACTACTGCTCGTGCCGTTGAAATCGTGTCTCCCCCTCCGGTTACTCTCCTCAGTTCGCCTACTACTTTAGACCTGGCTACGCCTGTCAAACTGATTCTGCTCTTCCGCGGCGGTCCATCTTGGGCAGAGCTCCCCAGGATCAAGTCAACTCTGGAACTAGATTTGTTTTCTACTATCGACAAAGAAGAAAAGGATGATGGCATCCTTACTATCGTTGAGCTCAAACCGCTGTGTGAATTTCGGAATCTGCGTTCTCTCAAGCTCACTGGTATGCTGCGCTCGTACCAACTGTACATTTGGCAGGCTGTTTGGCTGAACACCAAGCTTGAAACTCTCGTTTTGGGTATGGCGCTTGAGCCGGACATCTTTTCCGCCCCCGGTTCCCAATGGAAACAAATCAAGACTGGTTGGAAGATGAGTGGGAGGATGTATGCTGATCCGGTTTACTAGTAAGTGCATCTTGTCCAAAGTTTTGATACTTGGCTCATTGTTTCTAGTGGACATTACGGTATTGGCGAGTTGAACCCGGATATTGGATACGGCGAGTATCTCGACAAGCATGCCATCGAAAAGGCCAAGATTTGTGCGATGGCCATGGGCCCCACTGTGAAGCGCCTGCGGATCAAGAGCATCTCCCTGTCCGGATTCGTCGTTGATGGCGACCCTTTCTTACACTGGTTTGACCCGGAGAAGCTGCGAACTATCCATTTCAAGGCGCACTGTGTGGATGCTGGATTGTGGCTACCTCGCAACATGCGCAGTGTGACTATTCGACTATCTAAGCCTTTTGACCTGGAGGCCGTTCCCACGGGCCTGGTCAAATTGAACCTGTTAAAGGATTTGAACATGATCACATTGAAGAAGGGGCGCAAGGTGAGCCAGGTTCCGTTTGAGCACTGGCAGAAGGAGGATTGGGATAGTCTTTCCAGTCCAAAGTCCAGATCTCCTTCTGGATGAGGTTCTACTTTTACGATTCATGATGAATGAGGCAGCTCAATACCCAGGATGGGAGGTACTTTTCAAATATCATTGAATTGAACGGCAGTCTGCCAAGTAACCTGATTACATTCAACGAAATGCAGAACGAGAAACAATAATGAATGAAGCAATATCGACTGTGGAGTGGAGAACAGTAACTTATGCCGGGCGTATAAGAATCACCCAAGCACCAAACACATTCTGATCGACCGAAAAAGAAGATATGTCATCCTTCGAGTCTCAGTATGTAGGGTAGCATACTTTGCTTAAGCACCCTCTTCCTCAATACGAATGGCACCTTCGTTGCCAATGCCATGGGACCAGAAGCCATCCATGTACAGGTTACTATGAAGGTCAGTAAATGAATATGAACATGGACAGGTAGGGAATACTTACATTCCAGGAGAACTATCATGCGTCAGAAGAAGCCAGTAGCCAAGGATCCCCTGAGTCCAGACATCAAGAATGGCAAAAAGGATAGTCTCTGTACCGACGCTGAGCTGGAGAGCGAGAGGTCCAGCTGCGAGTGAACTGTACATACCGTTAGCATCACATTTCTCATCCTTATCTACGTCCACATTGTAAAGCAAAAAGGAATACTCACATAGGGAACAAAGCCAACACAACAATCGCAGACCCAGAAACAGCTCCGAAGAACCGCCTTGTGCGAGCATCCTTCGACTTCGCCGCTCTCTGGGCATGGAATCCAATATGATGGATGACAACCAGGTAAGCAATACAAGAAATAGTAAGCCAGACCCAGCGCTCGCGGCCGTGACTGGCGTATGAACCGAGCAGGCCAGCGGAGAGCATGACCAGGTCAGCAACTATGGCCAGTAACAGGTTCGCGCCTGGCAGGCCGGATAGGAGGGCGAAGTTGATGAAGATCAACGGGGTTGTTAGGGCCCAGTTCAGGTAGCGGAGCCAGAGGATTTGGCGGAAGACTAGGGTTGTTGTGTCCGGGACGTGTTTGTGCTTTTCGTGCAGCTTGCTGGAGCTGTAGTTGCTTCCTAGATTTGTGGCTAGGGCCAGGTAGACAATGAAAGAGATTGTTGTTGTGATTGAGGTTAGGATGTGGAACATTCGCTTTGGCTGGATATTGTTAGTATGCTATGAATGTGTCGTGGTATAGTGATGCAAGTGGAAGAGTAGAGTGTTGGATGGCGATGTATAGAAGTGGGGATGCAGATCCGGGGTAAAGATCAACTCACCAGGGGAGCCCGAGCTGCCAAGAGGTAGAACACCAGCGAGGAGATGCCCATAAGCACAGTAACAACCCTACTATGGTTAGCATCTTTCTGAAATCATGTAGAAGCACTTACCAGAGAGTCCGGATGCCCACATCGTCAATCTGCTGCCAGGTCTCGGATCCCGGGATCACAGTGGGGATGGGCGCCACAGAAGAGGTGGTGGCCGGGCCCGTCACAGACGGAAACTCGTCAAATGGAGGAGGAGGATAAATCATAATGGATGGTTATGATGAGTGAAGCATTGAGAAAGAAAGAGAAGAGGAAGCAGTGGAAGTTGGAGTGGTATGATGATAAAGCAAGGTCATGATTGGCAAAAGCGTCATCAAGTTGACCTGTCGTCATACTCAGAACTTGATCTTGTTCTTCTGTACTTTGTTACGTTGGACTTAATAATCACTTTAGTTACTATTACTATTGTAATTTTTCTTTTCTTTTAGATGTTTGCTACGGTGACGCAGCGTAGAGTGGAATTATCAAACTGCATCAAATCTATAGTACAAGGGTATACATGCATATCAAGCATTTGCCTCTAGTTCACGCACGACCGTCTCACACCGGTCGCAGATCGTATTTTCGGCCACTGGTTCCATAATAGCATAGCGCCAGCATCGGGGGCATTTACCTGCCTGTGGCGCGTACACGTGCACTGTGCCCGGTTGGCCACCAAGTTCAAAGGCTTCTTGGTATTGCCATTCGGCTTCGATGATTTCAGTGGGAACAGGGTCAGCGTTGGATCCCAGTGTAATGGAAGATACAACAAAGAGATCGGGGAGTTCGGAGAGGTACTGGTGGAATAAGCCTGAGCTGTTGGGGAGGGCGATGTGCACGAAGGATTGCAGGGATGAGCCGAGTTGCTTTTTGCTGCGGGCTTGCTCCTGTAAGTTCTTGATGGCGGAGTGTACCACTGTCAGCTCTTGGTAGCTGGTGTCCAGAGAGGCATCCTGCCATTCCGGTGCGGGCGCGGAAACGATGCGCTGCAAGGGGTGCTCGGTCTGGGTGCGGATAGCCTCGGGCGTGTGTTCCCAAGTTTCTTCCACGAGCATTGGGGTGATGGGGGCCAATACCTCTTGGAGATGACCGAAGACGTAAAATAAGGTGGTTTGGGCAGCCCGACGGCTCAAGCTGTTTGCACCCAGGGTGTAAAGTCGGTCCTTGATCGCTTCCATGTAGAATGCGGAGAACTCGAGGTTGGCCCATCGGTTCATCATATTGACAGCCTTGTAGAATTCAAAGTTGTCACATGCCTTTTGAGATGTGAGAACCATGTCCGAAAGGTGCTTCAGGGCAATCCGGTCCACCAACTGCAGCTGCTCATATGGGACAACGTTGTCGGGTCGGAAATCGGCGAGGGCACCCAGAAGCAGCTTGAACGTCACACGGAACTTGTGGAGACTGGTGTTGACGGTCTGGAGGACCTGCTTTCCAATTACCACGTCCCGTGTGTAGTCGCTGCTGGCCGCCCACATGCGGAGAGCATCGGGGCCAAGTGCGTCGTACACAGGTTCCGCTTTCTCTGCTTGTTTCTTCCCTTTGCCCTTGCGGGGCTTGAGAGGAGGCAGCAGAGTTCCATCCATGATAGTTTGCGGGGCAATGGTGTTGCCAATGGACTTGCTCATCTTCCGGCCATGTTCATCCAGGGTGAAGCCGTGGGTGATGAGGTTCTTGAACGGAGCACGAGGGGTCGTACCCTGTTCGGAGCCGAGCTGGTGCGAGATATACGTGAGAAGTCCGGACTGGAACCATCCACGGTGCTGGTCGCTACCTTCGAGATACACGTCGGCAGGGTGACTCCGACCTTCGGTGGGCACATCAATCTCTGCCCAACTGGTACCGCTGTCAAACCACACGTCCATGGTGTCTGTTCCACGTCGATACCCTGCTCCCGACTCACTGCGCAAGTTGGGGGGATCCATGCAACATCGTCGGCACTATCAGTCCACCACGCATCGATACCCCGCTCTTCAATCGTAGTCATGATGTGTGAGACGCTGTCTTTGGTGAGGACGGCCTCTCCAGTGGTCCGGTGATAGATTGCGGGAATGGGAACACCCCACGAGCGTTGTCGTGAGATACACCATTCACTACGATTCTTCACAAAGTTCTCAAGTCGGTGCTTGCCAGTTTCAGGGACAAATCGGACATCCTCCAGGGCTCGAAGAGCACTGCCACGGATATCCGCTACGTCGGCAAACCACTGCTCGGTTGCCCGAACAATAATTGGAAGCTTCGATCTCCAGTCGTAAGGGTACTTGTGCTCGTACCGATGTTGTGCGAGCAGCTGATCACAAGATTCGACATATTCCAAGACTGCGGTGTTACCTTCTCCAAGAACTGGCTTTCCAGTCAATCGAGTAGGATCGAGGGGCATGGCTTTCTCGGTGAATCTGCCCTCATCGTTGACGGGGGCAAACACAGGAATTCCGCGCGCAAGACAAGCTTCGTAGTCATCCATTCCATGTCCAGGCGCACAGTGAACCATACCAGATCCAGAATCAGCAGTGACAAAGTCGGCAGCGATAATACTCTGGCTTTGAGCTTCCGGGCCCCTGAACAGAGGTCGATACGTAGTTTTCTCTGCCAACTCCGAGCCCATAATAGAGGGAACAATGATAGATAGGTCCTCATTCAGCATGTTCTGCAGGTATTCGAACCGGGATTGGGCGATGAGAAGGTGGCCATGTTTCTCCGACTGAACAATAGTGTATTCCAAAGACTCATGGACGGCAATGGCAGCATTGGCAGGTAGCGTCCAGGGGGTCGTCGTCCAAATAACAGCACTCAATTCTTTTCCCTTGAGAAGAGGGTCTTCAACAAGGTGTTTCGGAACATCAACCAGAGGGAATCTGATCAGCGCAGCGGTAGACACGTGGTCCTCTTTGTATTCTAGCTCTGCTTCCGCAAGAGCCGTCCCTGTTGAAGGCGACCAGTATACAGGCTTGAATTTGCGATAGATCAGACCTCGGTCAACCATTTCCCGGAAGATACCCAGCTGGCGCATCTCGAATTGTTTGTCCATCGTCTTCCAGTGGTTCTCCCAGTCGGCCATGACTGCAAACCCACGGAATCCTTTCATCTGTTCCTTGACGGTCTGTCGGGCTAGCTGACGCGCTGATTTGCGAATCACAGCTGCACTGACTGATCTGTCGGCAATGTCCATGTCGCGCAGGCCTTGGAGAGCCTTGAGTTCGATCGGCAGTCCATGGCAGTCCCATCCTGGCACGTAGCGAACCCTTTTACCCCGACCTAATTGTACGCGACAAATGATATCCTTCAAAATTTTGTTCAAAGCATGTCCAATATGTAATTCGCCATTCGCGTATGGTGGGCCATCGTGGAGGACGAAAGGGTTCTTGGCCGGTCTTTCGCGGCTTTGCCAGGTGTAGAGGTTATCGGTGCATCGTTTTAGGTATTTGGTTTGATCGACAAGCGAGACTCGAGGTGGGAACGAAGACTTAGGAAGCTTCAAAGTCGACGTCCAGGAACGGGGTATCGACCGCGCCAGTTCCGGCATTGTCCAGCATGTCGGAGGAGTGAAAGTTCGGAGCGCGGAGTTTCACCAGCTAACTATGGAACAATGTGCTTGAGCTCGCACTCATATGAATTTTCATTAATGGTCTATACTACTATTAGTCTGGAATTTATATTCGCATTTCTGTTATTTCTTTCTTACAAATGTGTTCCTCGCTTCCATTTGGTTATTCATGTTAAATATATATTTTGCTGTGTGCTCTACATATACTTACCGCAGCTACCCGCCATCATGTACCATCAAGACTGTTCTGTCATAATTCATAATGCATTTAAACTAGCTATGTATGTACCAGCATCACATGAACAGTCAATACACGGTAAGACAGCTCACAGCGCCATTCTTAAGCACCTCAAATAACAGACCAGGGAATCCAAAAAGCTCTGTATTGCCCAATCCCCCATCTTGTCCATCTGCACCACTCCGAGGACCCTTTGCAGTACTCTCCTCCCAGCCGCCTAGGAATTCCACGCTGCTCTCGGGGCTGTCACCCCATCCGCGGTTGAGGACCATGGGTCGCTGCAAAGCCCGCTCTTCGGCAGCGCTAGCGTAGGCCCCTTTCCAGGTCTTGCGGAGTCGCTCAGTAATCTCCTCATAGGAGGACTCAGATGATAGGAAGTTCGCCGAGTCACCCATCGGGATGATCCAGCGGCTTCGACGGTGGCGGTTGAAGGGATATGAGCCTGGAACGTTGCCATGGAGAATGATCTTTGTTACTGTCAACTGGGACGAATGTGGCTGTGGCGTGGGGTCTGGTATATCGGAGTCTGGGAAAGAAGGACCGGGTGTGGCGGGGTATGAGATGAATGCATCGAATCCATGATGGAAGAAGTTCAAAAAGCATTCTGCGGGTAGTGAGGTCGGGTCTCCAACAAAGGCAGCAGCCTCATCATCTGAATCTTCAGTAACACTGTTATTGGATGAGTGATCGGCATCCGGCATTTCAAATCCTCTGCCTGGAGAGGGACTCAGGTGTAGTTCACCGGCGCCAGTTGCACGGTGGATGGATATCCGGCGGTCATTTTTACGGTAGATCGCATCAGGTGGTCCAAAGTCGGCTATCAAGTCCTGAGGAGTAGTTTCTCCAAGGGTGATGCCTACGGGAGCTCCTGTTCTGCGAAGCACTTCCAGCTTGCCAGCCCCAAGAACCTGCCACTCCTCAATCTCGTCTGCAAGTGACTCCCGAGATTTGCCAATCAAAGCGGATGAGCGAGGGTATTGGAGTTGTTGTATAAAGAGCTTTGCTCGAACCTCTGGCCAGGAAGATCCCTGGAAGATCGACATGGAGGTGGCTGGTAAGGCTGCCGAGGAGGAGAGCAGTGCTACAAAATCACACTGGTCGGACCAGGCCGAGTGCTGAAGTGGAAACGAGAACGCGACTCCAGGATAAGATAAAACATATGTGCCGTATGGGGACTGATCTGCCGGCGGTACGTATTCTCCTGGGTATGAAGGACCAAACAGGCGATTGTAAACGTGCCGGAAGCTGGGGCCATGCGAAGATACTGGGTGCTCTGATTTGGCTCCCTTTAGCACTTCCTGATTCTTGTAGACAAGATTCACTTTGGTAAAGTCGAGAACTTCGATCAAACGAAGTCTTTGGTCAGGACCATCGAAGCGAAGACGCAGGCCGTTCGAAGGTAGCTGCAGTACCACGGGCTTGCGGAGCGGATCTGCGGGGGAGTATGCAAGGTCGATGGCGGGGTATGTTTGAGGATAGGATTTGACTCGGGTCAGGACATTATGAAGCGAAGCTCCTAGGGCTATGAAGGTATTAGCAAAAGCAATCAGAAGGGTGAACGGAAGACGTGCTGATAAACCCCAGTCCTTTCCCAGGGAAGATCTGTGCCTGCGAAGTAGTAGTAGATGTAGTCATATTGATCTAGGATGTGCTTTCTGTTTTCACGGCCCAAAGCTGAGCAAACGAAACTCCATGCGATCAGTAGAGAGCTTACAAGTGAAAGGAGGAGACCATGGAGACCTCGGGGGAGGGGCGATAAGATATGACGATAAGGCCAGCAGATCAGATCATGTGATCAGGCGAGAGGGGCATCACGTGGGATTTGTTTATGTTTTCCCATTTGAGACAAAGCTCCACAGCTATACACAACGACTCAAAATCAGACTGGAGCTGACTTAGCTACTTTCGCCGGTTTTATTTGGAAATTAACCTTCAACCGACATATAATTGTCGCCTCGCTACCATGGCCGGCCCTTCAAGGCCTCCATCCACCCTCCCGACCACCACGAGGAGGTCGGGTTTGCGCCAACCAACGACACGACGAGCCGGTTCCGCCGCACCAGAGAGACATACGACACCTGCACCAACACCGTCAGTGCGATCGTCTGCAGTTAGCGCTGTCCGCCCACCGAGAAGCCCCGAAAAATCAAATGCACCAAAGAGAAAGGAGAGAGAATTTGAGCGGGAAATCAACGAGGATACTAGCATTCATGTGGTGGTTCGTTGTCGTGGTCGCAGCGATCGCGAGATTAAGGAAAACAATGGCGTTGTGCTCTCAACTCCAGAGGGCGTGAAAGGCAAGACACTCGATCTGTCAATGGGACCAAATGCAGTCTCAAACAAGACATATGCTTTCGACAAGGTCTTTTCCCCGGCTGCCGACCAGACCGCTGTTTATGAAGATGTGGTCCTACCAGTTGTCAACGAGGTTGGTCAAGTCCCCATGTACTGATTAAGTGCTGCGCTAATTTTGTATAGATGCTGGCAGGCTACAATTGTACAATTTTCGCATACGGACAGACAGGAACAGGAAAGACATACACCATGTCAGGAGACATGAACGATACACTGGGTATTCTCTCCGATGACGCGGGTATCATTCCACGAACACTTTACTCCTTGTTCCACAAACTCGAGGACACAGAAAGCACCGTCAAATGCTCCTTCATCGAGCTATACAATGAAGAGCTGCGCGATTTGCTGTCTTACGACGATAGCACAAAGCTGAAGATTTTCGAGAACGAGAAGAAAGGAGGACACAGCACAATGGTTCAAGGAATGGAGGAGACCTATATCGACTCGGCTTCTTCCGGTATCAGATTACTACAATCCGGCAGTCACAAGCGCCAGGTCGCGGCAACGAAATGTAACGATTTGAGTTCGCGAAGTCATACAGTGTTTACCATCACAGTTCTCACCAAGCGCACAACCGACTCTGGCGAGGACTATGTTAGCTCAGGAAAGTTGAACCTGGTTGATTTGGCCGGAAGTGAAAACATTGGACGAAGTGGCGCAGAGAACAAGCGAGCGACTGAAGCGGGTCTCATCAACAAGAGTCTGCTCACCCTTGGCCGAGTGATTAACGCCCTGGTCGACAAGAGCTCGCACATCCCATACCGCGAGTCAAAGCTTACTAGACTACTGCAAGATTCACTCGGTGGACGAACAAAGACATGCATTATCGCGACGGTGTCGCCTGCCCGCAACAATCTCGAAGAAACTATCTCTACTCTTGACTATGCCTTCCGCGCCAAGAACATCCGCAATAAACCCCAGATCAACTCCATTATCTCGAAGAATAAGCTTCTGCGAGATATTGGCATGGAAATCGAAAAGCTCAAGAGCGAGCTCATCGCTACACGGCACCGCAATGGTGTCTATATGACACCTGATGCATTCGAACAGATGACGGTCGAAAGTGAATCACGACGAATTGTAAACGAAGAACAGCGCGCTAAGATTGAGTCCATGGAATCCAGCCTCCGACACAAGGTCCAAGAGCTGCTTTCCATAACTGGCAATTTCAACTCGCTGAAGCATGACAACGAGGAGACACAGTCCAAGCTCAACGAAACGCAAGACATTCTCAGCGAAACTGATAAATATTGGAAGGATTGTCAAGAACAGCTAGACGAGGAGAAGACAGTACGGAAAGCCCACCAGCATACAGAGAAGCAACTTCGCAACATTGGTGCAGGACTGGTGTTTACTCTGAATGGCACGATTCAAGATGTGAATGGGTTGCATGCGAAACTTGATCGCAAAGACAACCTTGAAACGGAAAACCGACAGACCTGGCAGACTTCCACCGGTGAAGTCTCTGATATTACCCAGCAGATCGATGCTCGCATGGAAGTTTTCCAGACGCAGCACGCCAAGCTGCTAGAGGGCATGTCGGGCAAGATCCATCGATTTGTGGACACTGAACTGAGCACCGTGCAGTCTGCTCGCTCTCAACTCCAGACTCTTGGGACCTCCTTTGACAAGGTTGAGGTAGAGGCAAAGAACAACACCTCCTATGCCCATACTGAGATGAACGAGGTTCTTGAAGAGATCAAGGTCCTGCGGGAAGATGTTAAGACAAAAGTCGGCGAAGGTCTGAATGGCTTATCCGCGGCAGCTGCTCGAATCTCCAAGGAGGTTATTGGCGAGTTCTCTGAGTTCCATACACAGCTTCACACATCATATAGCAGCCTTAGCAAGGACTTCAAGTTCATGTTTGAGAACATGGCTAAGCATCTGGATGAGCAAAAGTCTGAGGTCAACAGACTACGGGTTGAGCTGCAGGCAGCCAACCGTCAGACCGTGGAGGCCAATAGAAAGGCTTCGTCCAACCTTGCTCAGGTCTTGGAAGAGGAACATGCCAGCGCACAAGCCGAGCGTGACACTCTGATGTCTCATATCCGGGGACTCCTCGAGGACTCCAACCAACGACAGAACAACCGCCTTAAAGGCAAATTCGATACTCTTCGCACAGATATCTCGGCCACGGGAGACTCGCTTGAGCAAGCCACTGCGCAGCACGATAGACACATTGACGAATGGATCTTCAAGGAGGAGCAATTCGCCAAGGACGTTTCTGCGTCTAAGGATGAGATCAAAACGAGGATGCAGAACGATTGGGAGGTAAGCTACTTTCCAGCACAACATTTTTGAGCATCAACTAATTCGATCAGGCGTTCGACCAACGAAATGCCTCGATTCACCGAGCGACAGAGTCTGTTCACCAGGAAACCGTCCGCATTGTGGATGCTCAAATGAGCGATATGGGCACTCAGATGGAAGCATTGGATGACTTTGTTGCCAAAGCACGCTCACAGAATGGCCGTTTCCACGAATCTCATATCGGTAGCCTGAGCACTATGGCCCAGAACGTTCGCGAGTCCCGTTCAACTGCCCAAGGACAACTGGACGGATTCACCCAACGTGTTGGCCAATTCAGAGAGGAAGTCGATTCGCATACCGAGAATCTCCAACAGTCCACCGTTCCTCTGCAAAGAGACGTCCGCCAGCCACTTTCAGATATGCGTTCCAATCTCCTAGGCCACCCTATGAAAGAGTATGTGCCCACAGGTGCAACGCCCCAAAAACGACGCTACGAATACCCTTCGGAAATGCCCCAAACTGAACCTCATGACGTCCGCTCTCGACACCGGACCTCAAAGCAATTCACTGCTCTCCCCTTTAACGAAGAAGATGATCGCAAATCCCCCGTTGCTTCCCCGGAACCATCACCAGCCAAACCCTTTGTGTATCACGATACTGCGGGACAGGTAGGAACCCACCCTGTTCTCTCCGCAACCCCATCCTCCAACACTGGCCTTAGGGAAGTCGATCTAAACGTCGCCAGACCAACCGCATGTGACGAGGACGCCGCTGTGGCTACCAGCAAACAGGAGACCCCCGCGCTGAGCACATCCCTGGACCTGGACGAGACACCTGAAAAGGAAGAGCCGGAGCAACCTATCCGCAAGCGCCGCCGCTCAAATTCCGCTATGGTTGAGAGTAAGGTCCCGCAGAAGATGTCGAAGAAGATGTCTAATATGATGGAGGGTCGCGAGAATCAGATCCCTGCAGGTCGAAGATTTAGAAACCGAGGTTCCGATTAGGTCCCTTTCACGTTTTTGTTTATTGCTTTAATTTTGATACCCGATGTCGCTGGGCCTTGAACTTTTCTGGGTTGGAGTTGGGAACAGTGCGGATTGGTCATTCTCTTGTGTTTCTTATGTTCACGTGCTATAGGATGGCACCTTTATTTGACTTGGCGTTGTTGGATTGCATCGGTATTCCTATAGGAATGTCGTCTTCATCTTAATACACATCTTGATCTCCCGTGGACTGGTTCTTGGCATGTTCAATGTAAATCAATGAGGTATCTGGCACTAGTCTGGGAATTGACTAATTGTACGCCTTCTCCATAATTAAGTATTGCTGTCATTAATCGAAACGTAAGGCTGCATCCTCTTCCAGTATTGTTTGGCCTGCATCCTCAGAAGGATCATGTTCCAGTTCCTGCTGTTCATCCGGCTGGGTCTCCGCTTCCGCAGCGTCGATGATAGTCTGCAACTCGCCCATCCGCTTCGCAAACTGCTCCATCATTTCCTCCAGTCTATGCGCCCCCTTCTCCTTCCCGGACACCTCAACTGGCATCCCGCCCGTACCGCGGATCTTCAACATTAATCCCTGCCCCGGTGACTCGGGGGTATTATTCTCGAATGTCGGTGCGGACATAACTTCCGTATCGAGGACCTGCCACGATGACGAAAAGCTTTGTGCGGATGACACCCGGAACTGGGGATGCTTGCTCGATCCAGGTTTTCCCTCCTGTGAGGGTATGGATGGGTTCGCTGGTGACGATGACATAGACTTTGCTCCCTTTGCTTGGTCTGTTTGGTTCTGTGCTGTGTCACTTGTGGGCGGTACGGGCTCCATGTCTAGGATGAGGTAGTTCTCCCGGACTCCTGGTACTGGTGGTGGGAGCAGTGTGGTCGTTTCCGGGTCAGCTTCTGGATCTGAGGGGTCTTTCTCGTGGGGATTGGATGCGTGGGTCTGCGCGATTTGGTCTTTCTTGGATTCCGAGAGGGCATCTTGTTGGGCGGTTAAGCTGCGCAAAGCTGCTTCAGTTACGATGTCTGTGTCATCGTCGGAGAATATGTAGTGGACGTTGGGGTGATAGTAGTCTGATGTATGGGCGTCTTCGACTAGGGCGAAGAATGGTTGGAATGTGGGGTTTGATGGGTGTTGTTCCTGAACTTCGGGTTCTTCGGTACTGTCAACGGCTCCATTGTGGCTTGAGGATGTGACGATCTCTTGTGTAGGAGTCTCGTCTATGGATGGACGGCCCTCGGGTGTCCCTCTTGACTGTCGATCACTCGGCCGCGAGGCCGTCTCTGGTCTTGAGAGGACCTCTTTGCGAAGAGACTGCCGAGATGAGGAGGAGGATAGTGGCTGCCGATAGGGAGATGGACTGTTCGGCGACATCTCCAAAGCCGGGACTACATCATTGAGACGGAAGTTGAATGTCAAGTGCGGAGAGCTCTTATCGATAGTGGCACGTGACGTTTACAGTATGAACACTGAACGAGCATACTTTGGACGATGATCATATACTTAAGAAGCTTACCTTGAAATTCTCGAAAGATCCTAGCTGAAAGTTGACAGCTGTGTTGGACTTGACACAGTCTAGTCCGGCTGTAAGCTAGTTCGGGACATATACCGCTAGAGATCAATAGATCTTAAAACACTTGAACATTGATGACATTCACAGGGCTGAAACTGTGTTTCAAAGAATTGGTCATGCATTGAGAATGATATCGATCTGTATAATTAAACGGAGCTGACATGGCCTGGATCGGTCAATCCGTCAAGTTCCCGCACTCTCGCATTGTATACTCGCTAGATAACTTCAGGTTTCCACCAAGTCAAGTATCATCAAAGAAAAAACAAAAGGGTATCTGAAATTCATCCGCAACGCCGTGGTAATATGTGGGAGAAAGAATCGGTCGTCACTCGTTGCCCTGCTTCCATTCGAATTCTGGAGACAGTTAGATATATACCATATAAGTAATAAGAAGAAAGCATACTTTGTCGGCACATTGGGCAAAGACCCTTGGAAGACTCTTGGTTGATCCAAGTCAACAGGCAATGCTGTTTAGACGCGTCAGTCCAGTTCCTTACTCATATACCTATAGTCTCACCATATGGAATGAATGCCCACATGTTCCGACCACTATAAATCAAACACAGTCAGCATCAAAAGTTGATTGTAAACGCTTGGATAATAGGTTCACTCACAGAGCGCGCATTCGTCGCCGGGAAATTTGCAGGTTGGACAGGTGCCATCGAATTGCACACGGCAGATACCACAGACTTCATCTTCTGGGATATCCCAGTGCCAAGTGGCAATGGCATTCCACTCTTTGAGGGTGACCTTCATGTTGTGTGTGTAGAAGGAAGAAGTGACCGCGGCCGATAAGCATTGTTTATCAATCATGTGAGCACTTCTCCGCACTCCACACTCGCGCAATAGTCGACTTGTTATTGCTACATTTGCATCTTTCTCTTTCCTCTGCAGCCATGGCTTTCTCTGCCATGCGGTCCTTTGCACCTGTCCGCTCCTTTCGAACCATGTCTACCCTAGGCCAAATTCAGTCTCGCAGTGTCTCTTTCTCCTCGTATCTAGTCACCCCCAAACAGCTCAATGAAGCTCTCAAGAAGAATCCCCCGACCAAGATCTCCACATCACCTCGTGTGATTCCAATCTGTGCAGCATGGTTTATGCCCAATGACCCCGAGGGTCGCAAGGGAATTGACTCGTTCCGCAACTCTCGCATCCCCCAGGCCCGGTTCTTCGATCTAGACGCTATCAAGGACCCTGATTCACCCTACCCACACATGCTGCCAACATGTGAGACCTTTGCTGAGGCCATGAGTGATCTGGGTATCCGTCGTGACGACGAAGTGGTGGTCTACGATACTGCTGAGCTGGGTATCTTCAGTGCGCCCCGCGTGGGCTGGACACTGCGTGTATTTGGCCACCCCAATGTGCACATCTTGAACAACTACCGCCTCTGGGTTAAGGAAGGACTCCCAACTGAAAGCGGAGAGCCTGCACCCGTGGAGAAGTCCAAGTACTCTGTGCCGACCTATGACTCCAGGCTGGTGATTACTTTCCGTGAAATGAAGGAACTAGCTTTGGACTATGGCAAAGAAGGAGCTGAACCAGTGGAAATCCTCGACGCCCGCTCCTACGGTCGCTGGGCTGGAACCGACCCTGAGCCTCGCGCTGGTCTGTCCTCTGGCCATCTCCCAGGATCGAAGAGCATGCCCTTCCAGCAACTACTGGACCCCGAGACCAAGACTTACCTTTCTGGCGACGAGTTGCGGAAGGTCTTTGAAGAGAACAAGGTGGATCCATCTCAGACAATCATCAGCTCTTGCGGTACTGGTGTGACTGCCTCCATCATTGAGACTGCCCTAGGTGAGGCGGAATTCGGTGACCCTCACCTTCGCCGTGTGTATGATGGCAGCTGGACGTTAGTGCAAATCCCTCAAGTCTATTGAATCTCTGACTATAGTTCAATCATGCTAACTGTCACAGTGAATGGGCGCAGCGAGTCAAGGAATCGGATGGGCTCATCAAGAAAGTGAAATCATAGGTGTCACAAAAACAGCTCTAGGAGGAACTCTCAGCTCACGAACGACATGATCTCTTTTACTTTTAGATTGTATCCCAGAACATAGAATCTCTCAATTTCTCAATCTGTCTCATATGTCTTCATCTTCTCTTCTGTTCTCTGTTCACCTGTAGCTGACTAAGCACATCTCGCCCACGCAGCGCATCAAATCTCACGCTTTCTTTTGCTTCAAACGAACCGCTGGGACTACAAAGATGCGGATGGAAGATTACTATCAACAGGCTTCTCATCGTGAGTGAAAATCACCTCCTTCGTTTGCGCTACCGACACCCGCCTCCCCCCACATTCTCCCATGTCCCTCCAACCTCCCTGGCTCTTTCTAGGCTGACCTCTCAGTCGTGGTCAACACTTCCAGTCTTCCGATATAGGGCGCTTTTAGCCCTGTATCTCACCTTATCTTTCATCATGTCGACCGGACGCAAGGTCTTTCATTGTGCCGTCGATGAGACGGCCTTGTCTACCAATATTAGCGAGATCAAGAAATGGACTACCAACGGAGCAATCGATCTTGTTGTTCCTCTCTACAGTGAGTTCCTACGGACTGAGATGATCTCAATCGCTTTGCGCTTACTCTGGCTAATAATTACTTTCTAGCCCTTGAACGCCTTCATGCGCTGAAGCGAGCCGGATCTCAGGTCGCTATTAACGCCCGCGAGGCTGTGCGCTTTCTCGACCGAGTCACTTCTGGCAAGGATCATATCGCCGCCGACCGAGTCGTTCTCCAAGGTCCGATGGAACAATATGAACGCTGGGAAGAGGCCGAGAAATTCTTCCTTCCGGAATTCGAGGAGGACCCCGAGGCGATTGACGACGCAGTGACCAACGGCGAGGCGACCGAGCCCCTCACAAAAGAAACCGTCGCCAAGACCGACCAGAACGACCTTTCGCAAATGCTCCTCTCCAAACTGAACTTCAAGAAGGACCCAGAGGCTGCGTCGATCACTTCCGTCGGTTCGCCCAGTGGACCTGGCTCGCGCACGTCCTCTCGCAGCTCTCGCACCAGTCCTGAATGCGCTCAGCACGATTCAAGCAATGGAACTACCAAGAACGAGAAGAACAAGACCTCTAACCACCAGCGCTCGCTCTCCGCATCCGTCATCCCGACCGCACCGGCCACCCTTCGCCCTCTACTGAGTGCTTTGCTTTGGCGCTTGCACAACGGGCCCGACGCCGAGAACTCCGCAAAGACCTGCATTCTGATTACCAACGACCGCGCGACCCAGGTTTGGGCGCAGAAGTTCGGGATCGGCGTCAAGAACATTCTCCAGTTGCGCACCGCTATTCAATACGAGGAGCGCGAGTATAAGAACCGCTGTAAATACGTCGAGAAGACCCAGACTCAGCCCGCCGAACCCAAGACCTTGTTGTCCTACGAGGAAGAAAGCGACGATGACGAGCTGGTCTTTGTTCCCCGTGGTCGTGGCAAGGGTGCGCCTCGTGCTTCGCGTGGTGGCCAGCGTAAGGCTGCTGCTAAGCCTGCCCCGAAGCCCGCGCCTGCTCCCGCTGAGAACACCGTCGAGGTTCCTACCCAGCCCATTGATCCTGACTCGTTCAGCCGGTCTTTGGGTGGCGCCACCAAGCAGCCCACCGCGGACGTGAACACACAACCAGGTGCTACCCGGGGGAACCCGGGCGCCTCTCGTCGTTCTTCCAATGGACGCAGGGGCGGGCCTTCTCGCAGTGCACGAGGCAGTGGTCGTGGCCGGGGCAAGCTCTGGGTTCCTTGATTACACGAGTGACGGTCTACCGACTCTATCATTTGATGGCATGACGTAGACTGTGTTGAACTAATGCATTCATAACCGGACAAGGGTATCTCTTTTCTCTTTGCAGGGCACCACATCTTGCTGTGATTGCTTGATTGCCCACAGAGTGTGTTTCCCCCTCTCATCCCCGGCAACTCCAGACCACGATCGGATCTCGGACTATCTCGACCTCGAACAGGACATGCATCCAGTGGAGGATTCAATCCGCGGCTATGTGCTGCATGGATTTGTTGAAGATTGACCCCTTTGCCCTGTTTCCAAAGTCCTCCCTCGAAGGAGGGAGGCGTTGAAATGTTATTTTGGAGGGAATTATGATAGTTGGTTTTGATTCATCTACCTGCACATGGTCCGTAATGTAGTGTAGTGGCAATCATGCATGATGTGAAGTATCAAGTGCGTGAAGTATAGAACGGGACTTCCCCGCGTGATTGTCCCGTCACTTGACTTTCCACTAAACTTTCTCTCTTCTCTTCTTCAACTCTCTTTCCTCTCCTATTCACTACTCAATACTCACACAGATTAAGCTTAATTCAATCCAAACGAATATCATCATGTCCGTCGATCAAAACCCCCTCGACTCAAACTTCGAGCGCCGCAACTCGTTGGAGAAACACCTCCAAACCCGCCCGGACATGCAGGATCTCAAGAACCGCCACATCCTGTTGGATACCAATGTAGCCCCGTATATATCCCAGAAATAAACGTGGAACATGTTGGAAATGGCTTCACTAACGCACCTCCAGAGCTCTCCAGTCTGCGCGCCAGGAACTGGATCGCCAGCGTGCTTCTGATAACTTGAAGAAGAGCTTGGAGAAGAGGCCTGAGAAGGATGAGCTGGTTGAGCGTATATTTCCCTTTTCCTCTCACTCCAACACTCTCTCTTTTCTTTGTGGCTCACTTCATGCTCTATTCTATTCTCCTTGGTATGCTTGTTTTGATCTATACTAATCTCGCCAAGGCAATATCCTCCCCGCCTCATCAGCCGCGCCCGCACTGCAAGCCAATGCTCGCGAACTCGAGAAGCACATGTTGGCCGATAATCTCGAGCATAAGATCCAGAATCGGCCACAGCCCGAAGAGCTTATTTCCCAGGGCATCTTGTCTGAAGATGAGGATCCTCGCTCCGCGTGATTTCCTACACTACACTACAATACAATACCGAGCTACTCTACTGAACTCGATGATTTGAAATGAGATATGGACAGGGCTGGCGTTATTCTTTCTTTCCATTCTCTTTGAGGAGTTGGACTTCTGACTGTTTCTGTCTTTACCGCGATGTGGTGATGTCACCGTGACGGATCCGTCGATTGTCAATATCAATTTTGATATCAGTTGCTGCTTAGCTATTATCGTGTAATTTGCGATATTAGAATAGGATGTAAAGCTAGAAATTAGGGTTACATATACTGTTGGATCTTCTCTGGTTGTCTCCTACTTCGTATTGCCCATTGCAGAGAACGTGATATCATTCAATGGCATCGATCATAGATCATCTCATGAAAAAAGTATCTAGTGACTCTCCACCTCAGCAGCAGCAGAAAGATCAGGAGTCCACCCACTAGGTCTCTCACTTCCCCGAACAAGAATTCCATAGGCCGCCCTCTCGACCTTCTCAACACTAGCCTGCATAACCTCTAGCTTCTTCGCCAGATCACGGAGCATATTGTGGCGACGAGGAACACTGAGCCCTTCAAAGCGTGCCCGCATAGCCCGTAGATCAACGACAATATCACCCTGCGACGGGGCAAGTGTCGGTGCCTTAGATTCGGATTCTACCGCGGCTTCGTCTGTCTTCGTTGCGGCGGCGTTACCTGAACTTAGGGATAGGACGGCAAATCGCATCATCTCGCCTGTTAGATCGAATAGACCCAGCAGGTAGTCTTCTTCTGTGACGAGGATTTGGGCGGGCACGCGGGCGGCGACTTCGGCGTGGGAGATTAGTGTCTGGGTGCGGAGGTAGTGGTCGAAAGAGACGGCTTCGATGAATTCTTGGATTCCTGGGCTTAGTTGGCGCTGGTAGCGCCAGCTGTTTATGCCGAGTTGTTCTGGGACGACGGCTTCGAAGAGAGCATTGATTTGGTCGAAGCGGACTTGGTTCTCTTGGGCGATTTTGGGCGGGAGGGGTTGGTTGGTTGCGCGTACTCGTTGGAGAGCGAAGATGCTGCTTTTGTTAGTTTTATCAGACAAATTGAGTGAGAAACGTACATCTTCTTGCTTAGCGCGGTGATGTCGCGGCTTTTCTTGATGATTCGTTCGCGGCGATCATGGTGCTCGTCCAGCTCGTCGCGGAAGTTCTCAAAGATGGATAGAACTGTAGGGGGGCTTGTGTCGGTCATTATTGTATCTTTAGGATGCAGCTCAAGTGGCTGACCTTCCCAGTCGCGTTTGGTGCCCATTGAACAAAAAGTTGGAGGTTGCTGAGTTGACCTCCACGATAAGAGATAGAGACATCTCCGATCTTCACTTCACCTTTAAGCTGGACTTGATATATGAAATACTGGGATTGTTTATTTGATTTAGATTTGAATTGCTAAGCTACTGGCATTGAAATGCTCGCTTTAAAGGTGATACCACAACTAGCTCAGACTCAAGCCACAACCTCACAAGATTCCTGCCCCAAATACCGATACCTCAGGCTGCTCTTACCAAGACCAGTCACTTTGACAGTCTGCTCATCACCAGGAACAATGTCAATTGCATTGTCCTCGAGGATAACACCCTCCTGTTCTTCAAAGACAAGACATTTAACCGGCTTGCGGGCATTGATAAGCAACACTGTCTCACCGGCTTCTCCTTCTTGTTTCTGAATCTCCAGCTGTCGTCCAGTCAAATTGAGATATTTGAATGGCTGTGGCCAATCCACATCTCGTGCCACGATCTGGTTATTTACCCACAATCGTGCTGCGAGGACATGTGGCTCTGGCTCGGCGATGTGGTCAATTACACCATCCGTGATGATATCAGTCGTTCCATTGGCCGTGATCGTGATGTTCTCGTGTACAATCGGCGCTCGGATATCACGGCCTGTGTTGACAGATAGGAAGCGCAATTCAATGCTTCCATGAACGGTCTCAGCTTTGTTGCTGGCAATCCAGAGCTCGTACTTGCTCGTCTTTGGTGGTTGGGCATGTGCGACGCTCCAGTCGTGGTGTTCTCGGCGCACTCCAACGGCGATTGGGTTCAGGACCCGCTTCACAGCGTAGTAGGCTGGCTTGGGCTTGAGGAAGTAGTCCACGATTGCCCAGGAGATGGTTGGCCAGCAGTCATTTAGTTGCCAGAGGAGGGCACCACCACAGTGGCGCTCATCGCCCCATTGGCGGCGCCAGCCTCGGTAGCCAAACATCATTGTCTCGGCTTGCACGACTTGCGTGAGGTAGGTGTAGGTCTGTATATATTAGCCTCGAACTAATCAGGACTGAAGATAAACCATACCTCGAGGTCTGTGGCAGTTCGCAGATTTTCTACGAGGTACGTCGCCAGTCTTCGTTCATGACCATCAGCCTTATTGTGGAAATCGATGACATGAGATTGAGGGAACCTGTCCTCTTCTTTCTCGACAAAATAGTCGATTGTGGAGACATGCGGGAATGCCTCCATGCCAAACTCGCTGTTGAATCGACCGCCGAGGGTATCGAAGATTTGATATTTCTCTTGCGTTCCGTGCCACACTATTGTTGTTGTTAGTACATACTTTTCATTCTGCTTTGATATACTGACCATTCCACTGATGCATATCACCAACCGTCTTATCCGACGAGATCTTGCCATCTCCCCATGGACTTCCAGGGTGGTAGAATGTGCTGGGTGAATGTTCAGCCACCACCTCTGGGAGGAGCTTTTCATAAATATATCGTGCTGGGAAATCTGTCTTCAACCAGCTTTCTGGATCCTTGTCCTCGTAGTTGTAGGTCAAGCCCTCTGACTCCTGAACTTGATAGTCCTCATTGTTACCAGCATAGAGCACAATGGATGGGTGGTGGCGCATGCGCTTCACGTTGTAGATTGTCTCTTGGCGGACTGAGTCCAACATTTCGGGCCATGCTGGATAATTTCCACATCCAAACATGAAGTCCTGCCAGACCATCACGCCTAGCTCGTCACATGCTTCGTAGAAGGCGTCAGCTTCATAAATACCACCGCCCCAGACACTACCATCGTTAGTGCGATTCATATAATCGGTAAGTCAAACTGTCATACCGAATCATCACTTGTCTTCCAGCCACCATCAGCTCTATCCATTTTCGGTATCGCTCAGCACTGACGGCCGGCAAAAGACTGTCGGCCGGAATCCAGCATGAACCACCACAGAAGATGTCCATTCCATTGATGCGGAAGAAGAAAGACTTTCCATGCTTGTCAGGTTGTTGGACAACCTCAGCAGTTCGGATACCAAACATCTTGGTTGAAGAGTCGACCTTTTCCCCATTGCGAAGTAGCACCGCCGATACGTCGTACAAAGTCTGTTCACCATACCCATGAGGCCACCACAGAGCTGGCCGATTGACTCGGAAAGTGACTTGAGCTGTATTCCCACACACGGGAATGTCCTGGCTTGCGATCTCGTTGCCATACAGCCCCAATTTCAACTGGACTTTATACTCCCCGTCTATAATGCTCTCTACTTCAACAACGGCAGTAACCTCGGCTGTTTGATGATCCGTGGCCAGCTGGACCTGAGGCCACAAGCTAACAATACGGGCGTTGTATACCTCGAAGCGGACAGCGCGCCAGATGCCCGCGGTCATCAGCACTGGACCCCAGTCCCAGCCCCAGTGATACTGAGCTTTCCGCACTGCCATGCGAGCTGGATCTCCGTTGAAACCGACCCATCGGTGCTTGGTGTCTTGTGCTCGCAGCTCCCGGGCTTTGAGAAGGGCACAGTCGAACTCGATTTCGAGTGTATGTTCGCCGTCTGCGTCCAATGTCTTGGTCACATCAACCCGGTGGCCCAGAAACATGTTCTCGCTTTCGAGAATGACCTTGCCATCTAGTTTGACCTTGGCAAATGTGTCTAGTCCGTCGAATACGAGCACCATTGCAGACCCAGCTGGGGCAACTGGCCTCGAGAATACATTGCGATAGACCCAGGACTTCTCGTTGACCCAGCGAGCATCCAACTCCTTGAATCCAATGTAAGGGTCATCAAGCCTGTAAGTAAAACTGTCAGTATCAGATCATGGAAGCTATCTGAGAGAGCTCACTTTTTATTAGCAATCAGGTCCTGTTGCACCACAGATGGAATAGCAGGCACAGGCAGCCATTCATCAGCATCCCGGTCCCTAAAGGACCAGCCAGAAGACAAATCCACGGAATCCATAGTTGATGACAAGAGAAAGCTTTCCCCACGTTTATACTTTTATACTTGGTTTATTGCCTGAGGTTCCCCACATTCCTTCCCTTTTCGGGTAAGGACACTCCGTGACGGATTTGGGACTAGAGGTATACAACCCCCATAAATACAGTGAAAATACACAAATCTGACCATTGTGTAATTCTCAACTGTCTTTTTCAGTTCATGCACCTCATCATCCGGATTTGGTAACCTCTAACCTCCTTTGCTAACGGCAATGATCCCGTCAAGCTTCTACTGCCGTGCATTGTTTCCACCCGGGACCGTTTGGCAAGAACAAACGTTCTCCGCTTCTCCGATTTAGGCACCCATATGGCACGCTTCCACCCCCATGCACCTGCGTGCTTTGGGCTATTCGCACAGCCTCTCATACTACGCTGATTGATTAACTAGAACATTACCTGCATGACTCATAACCGAGCCAATGATCGGTCTCAACGGACATTCTCCATCTCAGAGGCTTGGCAGCTGATCCCAACAATGAAGTGTTGGTTCGGGTGTGTTGGAGTTGATGGCATTTCCTAGATGAACTATTCAACTTTCTGATTATTAGTACCATATCTACGCATCGACCCTCCTATCTCCTACCTTTGTTTTTGCACCTTCACTTCCATCTCCAAAGAAGACTCAGACCGGTTGTCAACCACTAGCGGAAATCAATGATTCTCACCGGAGTCCCATCTCGGGCCCTTGACCAAAATGAGACATGGCGCCCGCGAAACGTCTCGGCAGTGAATCCCCTCTCGCAGAACCAGGTACGCCCCTCCTGATCCAGGGTAAAGCTCGAGCCCCTTCATACTCGAAATTCCCTCACGGCGTCAAGGGAACCGCTGAGCTAGAGCCCAACATGTGCCTGGTCCTTGAGAAAATGATTGGATTATTGCGAAGGAGATCTGGTCCCAAGGAAGTCTGAAGTTGGGCATAATATTCAAGTCAGGATTCTGTGGTATTGAGTATCCATTTCGGCTTTCAGTCCCACGGCTTCTCCAGACGATCGATTGTCTGCAGGGTTCGGTTCTAACAAAGGATTCCCTACAGTCTGGGGAAATGCCCCTCTCAAACCCCACTGCATCATGACTGTGGCGTGTGAAGACCATGCGGAAGCGAAATTACCCAGCGTCACTCTGCACCCCTGGTCATGCGCGTGGCACTCGGATAGAATGATGCAGCTTCGGGATTCGCAATCCATGTCTTTCAAACCTGGTTTTATATGCCGGGAATTACTTTGCTGACGCGGACTCCCATGTAAAGCCGTTTCAGGGCCGTTGAAAATGGAAGAAATAGTAGCGAGGACTTTATAGTACACCGAGAAGGGAGATCATATAACTATATAACCAATCAATTCCAACCGGTTGAACCGGACAAGTTGCATCCCCAGACCAAAAAATGCGGGGAGATTAAGCGGATCAGCCTATATTTCGTCTATTTCCTTTCGGTTCTAGTGCTTTTTGCTTTTCCTCTTTAATCTTTTGATCCCTTCGTTTATGTGTCTTCCTTCTATCATACGATCTTAATTCTCCACCCCTTATGTCGCCCACTCAGTGACCCGTGTGGTCAGATACTAAACCTCGTCTGTGATTCTTTGTTAATATGTTCCATACATTTGAGGGGTTCGAGAACCCAACGGCAGCAACTCCTGCCCGCAATCGGGCTACGAGTGAACGGCGTGAGTCGATCAGTCGCCGTGTGACAACGCTACGTGCTTGCACATCTTGTCGCCATCGCAAGATCAAATGCGATGGCGAGAAGCCATGTGAGGCATGTCGATGGTATAAGAAGTCAGAGCAGTGTCACTATTCAGACCCGCGGCCTTCGCGAAGGTGAGTCACCTGTCTATGGTATCAGTGTAGCCAGTTTACTGATGAGGGTCTAAAAGACATGTTGAAAAACTATCTACAACTCTAGAGGAATACAGAAGTATCCTCGACAAATTGTTCCCCAACTACTCTCCAGATTCCTTGGTCAATTTGTCCAGGGAGAAACTTCTCGAACTAACAACTATCGCGGGGCCGGTCCAAGGTCACCCCCATCATGCCGAATCACCAGCTACTTCGGCTTCAATAGAGGCCCATGTTTCGCCTTTGTCAAACGACGATGACAATCTCGAGTCTCTGCAAAGCATGCCGGAGGAGCTGCCAGATAGCCGCAATGCTAGCTCCACAGATCTAGTGGAAGGCGTCTCAGACGACGTTAATGCGCTGTCTCTGTCAACCCGACAGCCTTCATCTTATTTGGGTGTTTCATCCATCCAGGCTGCTATCAAAGTCATTGTCTGGCTAGACCCAGGCTGTGCGTCTTACTTCTCGCGAACACCTGCGAGTGAGCAAGAGGCGTCTGGCTGGCCACATCATACTCCTATAACACCTCCACAACCAACGATCCCGCCGTCAGAGATGCAAATGCTCGACGCTTATTTCCTTTATTTCCAAGCTTTTGCGCCTATGATCGACGAGCGATCTTTCCGCGAGACTTATTGTGCTGGCCGCCGCAGAGATGACTACTGGCTTGCCCTATTGAATATCGTTCTCGCTCTGGGTAGCATCGCAGCTACAGGCCCAGATGACATGACGCACCAGACATATTTCCTACGATGCAAGAACCACCTGAGTATCAGTTCTCTGGGAAGTTCTCACATTGAAACTATCCAGGCGCTCGGCCTCATCGGAGGCTGGTACTGCCATTATATCAGTCAACCCAATCTGGCATATACCCTCATGGGTGCTTCACTGCGCATGGCAGCAGCTTTGGGCTTACACAAAGAGTTTGCAGAAACTCGCCAAATCCCAAGCCCGGCTAAGATCGCTTCCATGGACTTGAAGCGCCGTGTCTGGTGGTCTCTCTTCTGCATGGATACATGGGCTTGCATGACACTGGGTCGGCCTAGTATGGGTCGATACGGCTCAACCATCACAGTCAAACCTCCCCACTGCCGCGACAAGGTAATGTACTCCTCGACCAGGTGTGTCCGTTCTATATTAACCACTTTGAATAGGAAAACGTTCTCGGCATTCTCCCCCTAGTCGAAAACATCCGATTCGCCAAGATCGCAACGCAAGTGCAAGAATTCCTGGCAGCAGCACCCCTAGTCAAACATCAAGAAATGGCTCATGCAGACGCCCAACTCCTTGATTGGTGGGATAACCTCCCCGCCATCCTCAAAGATCACCAGCCCTGTTCCGAATCCATCAATACTGTCCGCACTGTCATGCGGTGGCGATACTATAACCAGCGCATGCTACTCTACCGACCCACATTGTTCAGCTATGCCATGCGGCGCGTGCCTTACATTGCCCTGCGGCTGGAGGAACGCACAGCCATCGAGAAATGTCGCGAGGTGGCACAGGAATCTATTCAGAATATCGCTGCCACTGCTCAGCTTAATCAGCTTTGTGGCTGGAACGCTGTCTGGTGGACTTTCCAGGCTTCTATGGTTCCGCTGGTCGGGCTCTTCCTTAATGACCCTACTGTCGATGATCCGCGGGCTTCGGTCGAGTCCTGCCAGGCGCAGGTTGAGACTGCTATGATGACTCTGGCTCGCATGCAGTCATTTGGACATACGGCGAAGAGATCGCTGGACGCTATCTCGCGAATATATGAGGCGAGTAAGCGTGGACAGGTCGCTGATCCGGACCCTTCTGGTATTATGAGTGGCTCTTTTCCTGCTGGCCGGGATATGTCTGCTATTTTCTCACCGGCTGAACCTGCTCGTACTACTATGCCCATGACTGACAGTGGGTTCCTTGACCCGCTGAGTACCCCTTTCGAAAACGATTCCGGAGGTCAGTATCTATGGGAGTATTTGAGTTGGAGTGACAATAACCTGTGGCCGGGGATCGCCGCGGACATCGATGGACGCAATGATGCCATGGCTTTGCTGACGCCTGAACATGAAAAAGGGCCAAAGTACGGAGAACAGCCGTATTTCGATCCTATGCCTGATCCTGGGTATTTTGTAAATCAGGCTCTCTACTACTGATCTCTACCTGGGTTGCTTCGCATGTTAGAATAGGGCGCACTGGAAAGGAATCACTTGTAATTATTCAACACTTATGCGGTCAGCTTACCGTCTTTGCATTAGTTCTATTCATATCCAGCAGATACTCAGATACCCCCGACCATGCATAAACTGATACCTTACAGCCTAATTGTCTCGGGTATTTTCCTCCAAAACCGGTTCTTCAGTGGAGATGCGGGGATTCAATCATCACAGTGAAAGATGATCATCGGGTCTACCACTTCTATTGGCATATTGGATTTTAAGTGAAGATCTGTATCCACAGTGGACTTCGTAGCCAGTGAAAATCCATGAATACATGCACTTATGACTACGCTGTGGTTGGAGATTATTTCGACCTAATAGTTCATGGACAGCACCGTAGTCATATATCATAAATAGTCATTGTCCAGCTATAAAGGTATCATCAAAAGTCCAAATCCAAACAGAAAATCATAAAGAAGCATAATATCTCGCCAAAGAATCTATCATCGCATCTCGTTTATCATCGTCCTCATCCTCAAAGACCTTCTGAACATGCTTATTCTGTTTCAGACTTGCAATCCGGTTGAAAGCGATACTGTTGCCAGCTGGCCCGCGCCTCCGAAGATCGTCGGTGAGGCCTGAAAGCGCACCGGTCAGATTCAGATTGGGGTTGGAACCTAGGTAGCCCAGGGTGTTTTTGAGTACGTCGCCAATTCCAACGTTTGCTACTAGGGGTAGCTGGCCGAGGACGTTGGTGTAATATGGAATCAACGTGCCATTTGAGATAATTGTTCGGGTCATTGCTGTTAGGGCTAGTTTTCCGTTCATGAGAGAGGAGCTTTGGGAGGCGATCACTTCTGTCAGGTTTGATATTACTGTTTTGAGGTCGAGGACTCCTTTCAGTGGGAATGTGTTGTTTCCTGGTCGGAGGGTCACGTTGTCGACTGTTGCGTTGCCGATGACGAGGTCTGTATCTCCGCTCTTGAGATCGAGTGTGATGGTGCCGACTTCGAAGGAGAGGGCGGTTGGATTTGGAAGGGTTAGGTTGGCGATGAGGTTAGTTCCGTCGTCTTGTGCTGGGAGCATGAGTGTAGTATCGGCAATAGAGAACCCCTCGAATTTATTCAATGCTGTTGAAAAGGTCTTAGCCGGATGATGAATAGAGTAAAAGTTAAAAGACTCACATGGTATAGTTACGTCTTTATCCAAGGTGATGTGATTTTTCAAGACGCCCAAATATGCATAGGTGACACCGTAAAGTGACAGGATTGTCTCTTTCTTGAATACAGTGTCGTGGACAAACGATTGCCAGGTAGTAGCGTTCAGGATTGGTATGTGTTGGTCGGTGACTCCCAAAGTATAGTTCCCCTTGATCGTTTGTCCAGGGATATCAATTGCTCCCCAAGAGTTTTCGTGTCCATATTTTCGAACAAAGGTGTAGAATTTGACAGGCTCAATACGAACGCCCAGTGCAATCTTCAAGTCCACCTTTGCTGCTAGCGTCATCTGTACCGTATCTGGCGTTGGATGCATCACTTCTGCGTTGACCACCACCAGGTTCGACTTGTTGACAACAAGCTGTGCAATGGCTGGAATAGCAACTAGGAAGCTTCAAGAATCCGTTAGAAAGGCTAAGAAAGGGAGTAAGGTATTGCATACAAAACAGGCAAGAAGATAGCTAAGAAGATGACATTGCCGATCAAGTAGCAAAGCCAAAATCGTCTGCAATGTCGACGAAACTTATCCTTCTTAGTAGCCGACCTCGTCGACGACTCAATTTGCTCGAGCTTTGCAAGGTCATCGGGACCTGGATGGAGGAGGCCCCGATTGCCTCCAATGATATACTTCTCCTTCTCTTTAGCCATGATAAGGTCCAGGCAAATTGGACACAGAACGCGAGGAAAGCTCTCTATATAAACCCACGCTAGTCTATGCAGATGTCATATGTCTATGAAAGATACCGAGGACCAGGAGACAATTAGGTTTATAACTTGGTGGAAACTCTCTTGCTGTTTGCGGGGGATCGCCAATCACGACTCAGGTATATTACATACTTGGTGATATCGTGTGATATCTCAGGGCTACCCTACCTTTGTCTATATTTTACTTTGGCCTGTCAGACATGTATCCTCCTTGAAAATAGACGGGGCTTGATTAGATACATGGCTAGGTCGTGTTACTTTTGCAGCAAAAACAAGTCTTATCACACCTGCTGGGTGACCTATCAGACCCAGCTGTCCCAATTTGAACAGTCAAATTGCAAAAGGGGCAGTCTATCTTATGCGAGAGGTCTAATGCAAGGCCCAGCTATGTAACAGGCTTGGCTGGGTGTGTGCTCACTTCTACACTAGCGTCTACACGGGCTGAGTCGAGGTCTCGTTCTCTCCTCGGTGCCTCGGAGGTACTCATCAGCTTACAATAAGGCTAATGATAGCCCTAAGTATATTTGGGCACTGACACAAGTCCGATCATCGAGATCGCCTGCTACACCCATGCCCACTTCGCCCACTCCACCAGAAGGGGGTCTATATCTACCTCAATTTGGTCTTGAGCAAGTTGACTGGATAGTGATACAATGTTGAGATTGAGCGTTAGATCCGTCATCTATCACTCTTGCTTTGTAGTCTTTTAGCAGTCTTGTCGTGGTTAAAGCGATGACTCCAGTTTCAACAATATATCGAAATACCAACAGTCGACGGCGTCCGGACTGTAAATACCACCCGAAGATAGTCAGAGAGCCTTTTCACATGAGCTTCTTCTCGGTCTATTGAGATATGAGGCACATAAGAGAAATCCCCCAGACTGTGTCTCAAGAGCTCTGAGTGCCAACCCCTCAGTGGCGGGCGTATCACCTGCAACGGTTCCAAACGAGATGGAGCTGACTGGCTCGCTTAGAAAGCCTGCGAGTAACCATCGTATCTATGTGGCTGATCGTACACACTGACATCACACTGTGCAGTTGGCTCTGGAAGACTTCGTTAAGTTGATCCCCGCAGTTCCAAGAATGGGGCGTTTCCCCCGCATATTTACAAGTTTTGGCGATCGGTGGAGATTTGACTTCATTGGCGAATATTCCGGGGGCGGACGCGTTATTCTCTTTGAGGTCTGACCGTTCTGTTTTGCTTTGGGTATCTGAGACCGAACGGCCTTGGTTCCTGATAAAGCGGAACATATGAGAAATGTTCCATCAGTCAATATATCCTGTAGACAATATATCCCACAAGCTCTCATCCAGGAATTCATACTCGCATAATGCTTCATACTTCCTGTTCATCAAAAGAGGTATTCTCAGAAATACTCGAGATCGGACAAGCTGAAACCCCTATTTGATTCTCCTCCTGATTCATTTGAAGTACCCTTTGAATAACCCTTCAAACAACCGATGAACTATTCAGATGAAACCGAAAGCCATTCTTGTACTGAACCTCACATCCACAAGCATCTAAGTCAAGAATGAAGATGAATCTATACTTCTCTCATGGAAATCCGGGGTCAACGCACAGACCACTCTGACTCAGCACATCGCGGAAAATGGCTTCATCAAGTCCACGTAAACAACAGCGCTGGATAAATTGATAATCACCGATATCGATTCATCCATCGAATACAGTCCTGACAGATATCGCACAGAACCAATCAGTGGTGGCTGACCAGCTCGGCAATCCACCCACGATATCTGCTAGGGGGTTCCAAACCACCGAAGGATGCGCGCTACCCGCAACCACCGCTCTAGCAGTTCTTGACATCTGAAATTCAATCCATCTTGCCATTTGCAAGCAGAGAAGAAAAGAGAGAGAGAGGGAGATAGAATGTCTCTCTTCATCTCGCAAACGCGGGTCTTCCTCGCAGCCACGGCTCTGCGGCTCATCCTCCTCGTCTACGGGGGGTGGCAGGATGCTCATTCGGCCGTGAAATACACGGATATCGATTATATGGTTTTCACCGATGCCGCGCGATACGTGGCGAAGGGTCAATCGCCTTATGATCGTGATACGTACCGCTATACGCCGCTCTTGGCGTGGATGCTTGTTCCTACTGCGTGGGAAGGTGCTGCGCCTTGGTCTACGCTGACTTTTGCTTTTGGTAAGGCGCTCTTTGCTTTGTCAGATGTGCTAGCTGGGTGGCTTGTTGTCAAGTTGCTTGTGCGGTGTTATCGGTTCCCTGTTGAGCGTGCTTTGCGGTATGTTGCTGCTGTTTGGTTGTGGAATCCTATGGTTGCCAATATTAGTACGCGTGGTAGCTCCGAGGGGCTACTGGGTGTGCTTGTTGCTGCGTTGCTTTGGGCGACGCTTACGAGAAAGCCGATTGTCGCTGGTTTGATCTTGGGTCTGGCTGTTCATTTCAAGATTTATCCTTTCATCTATGGTGTTTCTATTTTGTGGTGGTGGGACGCTGAGCGTGATGGGTCTGCATCTGCGAACTCAAATCTCGTTTCGCGGGTCATTGGATTCATCACGCCGTCTCGTGTGAAGCTCACGCTTGCGGCATTGGCCAGTTTCGTGGCCTTGAACGTGGTCATGTATGTTCAGTATGGCACGCCGTTCCTGCAACACACCTTCTTCCACCATCTTACCCGCATCGATCACCGTCACAACTTTTCTCCATACAGCACCTTGCTATACCTGTCTGCGGCAGGTGGAGCGGAGACTCACTTTGAGGCTTTGGCATTCATCCCACAGCTGGTCCTTGTGGTCATTGCCCTCCCACTTGTCCTGGCAAAGAAGAGTTTGACCACTGCGATGCTTGCGCAGACTTTCACTTTTGTGACTTTCAACAAAGTGTGTACTAGCCAGGTAAGCCAGTATTCTAAGATGGGTTGAATGACTGCTGACTTGTACAGTACTTCCTATGGTACCTCATTCTACTGCCATTCTACCTTCCTTCTTCAACTCTTATCCAGAAGCCGGCTCTGGGATTCACAGCTGCTATTCTCTGGGTCCTTGGACAGGTATGTTACCACATTGTTTGCACGAAGATCATGTCCCTTACTAACGTGACATAGGCTCTCTGGCTATCACAGGGGTACAACCTTGAGTTTCTAGGCCTCCCAGAATTCGTGCCTGGGCTCTTCCTTGCAGGACTGTTCTTCTTTGCAGTGAATGTCTGGATCCTGGGCATCATTGTCCGAGACGGAGGAGAGGGTGCGGGTGAGATCGAAGGTGAAAGTGAAGATCGCAAACTACGCTGATAGAAACATCGCGATTGAGCAATTGTATAATAACAATAGACAGTGCAATTGAATCAGTACATTATTTAGCTACTGAGAGCCCGTATTACCTCAAACACCACATTCAAACTGACATGTAAACACCGACACGTGACATCTGTATGCTGTAGTAATCGTATGAAGCGAGGTATCGTATTGTCGCGTTGTATTGTCGCAAGGCCGTATGTAATGTCACATGTTCCGTTTCGATCAGATTAGATCGATCTCACTCAATCACAAGGTCGTGACTGTTGCAAGCCAAAAATGTGCAGCACCGCGCCTCCGAATGGAATCCCTAATCAAAAAAGCGACCATTAGATCAGATAGGTATTTTTAGCCTGTTAAGTGATAGCATAGATAAGCATATAGAAATAAAAGCAAAGAAGATGGGGTATTTGGCTAAATGACAGGATATAGAGTAACAGAACGCTCCAAATTGCTTAAAAGAATCTTGGATTAGAACTTGTTCACGTCGGCGATTATTTTGTACATGGCTGCATTGATGCTTTGGGGTCGAGTTCGTGGGTAGATGGCCCCGACCATTTGGTTGTTTTTGCCATATTGAGGGTAGATGCCATCTGCGAGTTCGACATAGTGCACGTTGGGTCGGTTGAGCTGGAGTGCGGTGAGAATTTCATGACTCCATAGACCCGTGCACTCATTGTTGGAGAGTTGGAAGTAAGGATTCAGCAGAGGACAGGTCGAGTCCAGGTCAATGTAGCGGATCCGGATGTAGTCGAGCTGGGGCAAACGGGCTAGACCCTTGACTGCCTCGAGGACCATTGACTCGAAGATGTAGATGAAATTCATGTTGTTGATTCCGGATAATTCTGGCGTTGGGGGTACCATGAAAGCTTCCTTGTTGGCTGCTTCATCGCGACAACATGACTTGACTACAATGTCGAGGGACCTCAGACGGGAACTTGTTGTCATCTTCCCCAACTCCGATTTCATAGCCTCAAAGAAGCTTGCGCAGATTCTTCCCGTGAAGGAAAGAGACTCGAGGTGTGGTGCTGACTGGCCAATTAAAGTGCAGATTGGCGGAAGCACAGCTCGGGGAATGGGGAATGAGGTCTGCGTAACATCTTTGTTGTTGTAAAAGCCCTCTAGCGTCAGATTAAGATGTCGAATTGTAGGCGGAGGACGAATCAAGATGTGCATCATGGTGATGTAGGCATTCGGCTGGGGCTGAGCGTAAGAACAGTGCCATTCTCGTAAGGCTGGAAGCGCCCGTGAAATGTGATGCCAGTCTTCAAAGTCGCGCATCAAGTTCCAAGCACCGCGCATAACGAGAGTTTCGATATTCTTTAGCACGGGAAGCTGCCGAAAGCTGAAGAATGAAGTAGGGCGACCGGGAAGTCCTCTGAAATGCTGGACCATGGGCGGATTCTTACAGTGACCTCCCTCGAGTGTGAGAACGCGGGCAGCGGCGAAGAAACCCTGCGCCAGTTCAAAGATTTCCTCTAGTGTAGCAGTCCGAGATGCAGTGTGATAGTGGATTTCGTTTGTGCTTTGAGCCTCGGGCTGAGCCCACCATTCTAGCTGTACGGATGGATCTCCCCATGGGGCAGGGCCGATCGAACGAGACACACGAGGTCGATGGACTCGGTCGCCCCAGACGGGAATCCAAACCTCGATATGACGGACGTGGAGAATAAGATGTGGACTAGTTATGAACCATCGTGCGCATTCGGCCAGGCCATCTTGAGTTCCTTTGACCTTGACTAGTAAAACCCAGTTAGCAGAAAACCTGGCTGTCGGTCGCTTTACTTACTGTGTCTGTAGATGCGGCTCTGGACGAGTGGAGTCCACACTCGGCATATCAAGGCGAGATTTGAGAGTGCCTTGCGCCGCGGATGACGAAAAGCCTTGCTCCAATTTTGCGCGGAAGTCTTAGACGAAGCCGCCGCTCTCTCGCCGAAGATGTGATCCAGGATATTCTCGTGAATTTCAATAGGCAAATTCGCGAACTGAGTCTCGTCTCTGCCGAGGCCAGACGAAGTGGGGACTGCGGGGACTGTATCGATCTCCACTGGGAGTGAGAGGCTATCGCGAAAGGGAATCTCTGCACTTGTGCTGCGGACTGTTTTGCTTGGAAGCGGCAACTGGGCTGGGGCTCTGGCGAGTGAATTGACCGACACCGGCCGGGGCGGGGCGATCATGGCAAGAGATCGGGGGAGGTTTGGGAGTTCGAGTGAGTGCGGGATTGGTGAGTCCCTAATCTATTGGAGATGAGGTTCTATTCTCACATCAGCAAGCAAACAGGTCATGTCGGACGATGCACATACCCACGGTGGTAAGATGCCAACTGAAGCTGAGATCGAAACACCGAGTGAATACAAATGCAATATCCCAGACAAACGCGGAGTTGATAAATGATGAGGGGTGACGATCAGGCGGTTGGGCGCTAAATGAGGCGCATCGGGAGAAACCAGAGATAAAGGGAAAAGAAAAAGAAGAAAGCAAGGCGAGGGAGTTGAAGGAAGAGAGAATGAAAGAGAAAGGAAGCTGGAAAAGAAGAGGGGAGACCAAGTTCTTCGCACTTTACTTGAATCAACTGAAACCCGAAGAGATGCCCCATCTGCACGGATCGTGGTTTGATCATTTGAGCTTGAATCTAATTTACCACTATTTATACATGTAGTTTAGTCTAGTTTAGTCTAAGTAGTAGATGCACTAGTAAGATGATATGGATCCACACGCATATACAATAGAGTAGAGGGTATCGATGAAGAACAGTACGCTACAAATGCAAAATAGATCCTATCGCTTGCGCCTGAACCGGAACCGGAGTCCATCATCGCTGTCCGAGTCTCGCTCCTCACGCGCTCTCTTCCGAGAAACTGGAGTTGGATCTGCAGTGGCTTCAGGCGATGCGTGTATGGCCAATAGCTCGGACGGGACCATTGGACTCTCGACAGATCGATCTGGCTCGGCTCTTTCAGGGGAATTGCGACTCCAATAGTGATCACCGATTCCAAAGTCCTTGCGCGTCACTTCTTCAAGGGGAACAATGACCGTCTGCACCGTGCGACTACGGGGTTCACCCTTTCGCCGAAACTTCTTGAAATTCTTGCGTCCATTCCATTGCGCTTCCCAACGGTCAGTCGTGTCTTCTACTCGCGTGGGCGGTGTTCGAACTGGAATGTCCATCTCTTCGACAATCGCGAGGTTTTTCAACTGACCGACGTCGACGTCGCCCATCTCGGCTGGGTGTGAATCTTCTTCCGCCTTGCGCTGTTGCTCCTCTTCAAGGTGCTTCCGGGCGGCTTCTAAGACATCGAGCTTGGGGCGTTTTCGTTTAGGCGTTTCCGTTTCGGCTGCTGTCTGCTCCTCTTTCCGGCCGTGAGTCATCTCTGCACGACGACGCTTCATCGCGCGGGCCCCTGGGAGCAGATCGGAGACCACGTCTTCTTCGGCTTCTTCCTTTACCGGGTCCAGGGGCTGAGTTGGCTGCTCCGGTTCTTGAGTGTCCATATCCATGACTTGAGTGTCGGCATTGCCCTCTCCCTCCGCAGCATACATTGGAATTGAGTCCATGTCAAATCCATCGTCAAATGTCTTCATTTTACTGACATAGGGGCGTACGCGAGGAGTTCTACCCCGAGATCTCGATGGTTGGCTGGGCTGGCTAGGCTCAAGCTCAGGTGGTGAGACCGATGAAGTATTGGCTACCTCTTGCTCACTCGGCAGTTCAGGTTCGGGAGCAATAGGTGGGGATACCTGGCTGGACGCTTCCTCTGTAGGCAATGGACGACAGAGGGAGGAGGCATCGTTATTGAGGATGGCATCGAGAAACTCTCGTTGTTCGATGACACGTTGATCGGTCATCAAAGCCACCTCGTTTCCAATTTCAATCGACCAGGGCTCATGCCCGCCTGGTGCTCTGAATCGAACAAGAACGACACCACCGGAGCCTCGACGCTCGCTACCCACGCCATTTCCTCGTGCTGACTTTTTCATGAAGCGGACAATCTCCGCAGCCGTTGTCACTCCATTTTCCACCTCGTATAGAAGAGCCTTACCTTGACCATTGTTGATGGGTGCCTGGAGATTGTCAAACTGCGATCGATCACCGAACACGAATGTATAGCCCTCGAAGACAGTGAGACGGGCGGGATTTGGCGCGAAAGCCGAGGCGGGTCGGTTGATGGGCTCTTTGCCGGCAGGCGGCAGGTACTCCCTTGGATCTGGCCATGATGATTCGAAGTCGATTTCGAGAGGACAGAGAGACTCCAAGTTCTCGAGATCACTGGGCGTGGCCGCGTAGACGACAGCATCAATGTATGAATCATTCACAATGTACTTTCCATTCACAAGAGCTTGGAGACCCTTGGCTGTGTTTCGTTTACTCTGTACCACATGAGTAGTGTGGTCGACGAGATAATCAATGACGGTCTTGATATCGAGGTCTTCCAAGCGTGAACGCACATGGACCAGGGGATCACTCGCTCGCATCTCTCTAGAAGAGAAGGAGAAGCTTAATACTACTGGCTCCCATTTGATACTGTAGAACTTGTCAGTCACAGTCACCACTGTGAGCCCGGGTCAGCATACATACCGAAGCGTGTGTTGGTATTTGGCCAGTTGGATGATATGCTCATCGGCCTTTTCAAGTTTGCGTTCGCCTTCGATCCTCTTGTCATCGACGATGGTTCCCTTCTTGGACTGCAGGTCGGTTATGGTGATATCGGATCGTGCTCGTGGTGACAACTACCTCCCGTCAGCAACAGCATCGAGTATCGGAGTGGTAATCGTACTCCATCCTTCGGCTTGACGGCGGCAATCTCGATGGTCATATGCTTGCGAGAGATCGAATTGTGATTGACGGCATGGCGGACTATCCAGAGTCAGTATCTGATCGTCAATCACAATGTGGGCCATACCTCCATCTCGTTGGAATCGACCGAATAAATACTTCTTTCCGGGGCGCAGCCATACGCGCTTCCCTGCATAATATCAGTAGTTGCGCAGTCAATGAATCATTACCAATCACCTTCTAGGAAGTCACCGCTCGAATCAAGAACCCACATGTTGAGCCCGCATGTCTGGGGAATGAAGAGGCTCAGGCGCCGCACGTGAAATTGAAACGCGTGGGCACGTGACTTGGCGTTTCCTTCGCCTCGTCACTCTTCAGTCAGCGAGGTGCATGTATATCAACCATGGAGTCCTCGGGCGACAAGCCTGCAAGTGAGCCAGAGTTGGAGGATTATGGCACTCTGAAGTATCAACTGCTTGGCCCGTCTCTGACGAAAGCGGGTCAGGATTCGGTTGATCAGCAAAAGGTGTGCTAGCAACTGGATTCCGGCTGTTGAGCAATCACTGAAGTCGATTATAGGTGTCGGAAATCATTTACAATGCCTCCAAAGGCTCCAAGTTCTTTAGTCATGAACAAGACCGTGATCGAAATCTAACGCTTAAGATTGAACGAATCCTGAAAGAAAAAGCCCGGCTAGAACGATTAGATCTGAGCCATGAGTTACGACGTGCAGATGAATACCTGGCCGAGCTGGAGTTGAGTCGCGATCTCTCCCAGCATATCATTCATGTCGACTGTGACGCGTTTTTCGCCGCCGTTGAAGAGCTGGACCGACCAGAGTTGAAGACGGTACCCATGGCAGTTGGCAAAGGCGTTCTAACGACCTGCAACTACCTGGCAAGAAATTTTGGTGTCCGCAGTGGTATGGCTTCATTTGTCGCGAAGAAGTTATGTCCACAGCTTGTTCTTCTGCCTCAAAATTATGAAAAATACACCGCAAAAGCTAAGGAAATCCGAGCCATCATGGCCGAGTACGATCCTCTCTTTGAAAGTGCAAGTATCGACGAAGCCTATCTGAATATCACTGCATTCTGTGATGAGAATCAGATGGAGCCAGCAGAAGCTGTCCAGCGAATGCGCGCACAAATCTTAGAAACTACCAAAGTGTCTGTTTCTGCTGGAATCGCCGTTAACGCGAAAATCGCTAAGATCTCTTCGAATATTAACAAACCCAATGGCCAATTCCAGGTTCCCAATGAGCGTCAAGCAATCATGGAATTCATGCGGGATCTCCCAGTACGCAAAGTCAACGGTGTTGGCCGAGTATTCGAGCGAGAGCTGCAATCAATCGGCGTCGCGACCTGTGGAGATATCTACCCAAATCGTGCATTGTTGACCAAGCTATTTGGAGAAAAGGCTTTCCAATTTTTGGCACAATGCTACCTTGGCCTGGGGCGCACCAAGATTGAACCCGTGGAAAACCATGAACGCAAAAGCGTCAGCACAGAGACTACGTTCCATGAAATCGGAGACAAAGAGGAACTTCGAGCAAAGCTCTGGTGGGCTGCACAGGAACTAGAAAAAGACCTCACGCGAACTCAGTTCAAAGGCCGCACACTCGCCCTGAAAGTCAAACTCCATACTTTCGAAGTGCTAACCCGCCAGACAGCTCCATCTCGCCCGGTGTGTATTGCAAAAGACTTGTACACATTTGCTCTACCGATGCTAGCAAAGCTTGAGAAGGACATTCCGGGTATGAAACTCCGGCTTCTTGGGTTGCGCTGCTCAAACCTGGTCAGCACGCAGAAAGTAGGAATCAACTTTTTCGGTGTTTTTACGCAGCCAAAACCCACCCCAGAACCTAGTTCGGAATCTACTCCGACAGAAAAGGCAGATCATGAGATTGACGCCGAAGAGGCCTTTGAATCAGCCGCTCGCCAGGAAATCCAAGATGAGATGAACGACTTGGAGACCCTTAGTCAAGAAACACCAAATGTCCCTGTCGTCCGCGAGCCAGAGGAACCCGCAGTCCCCGAGAAATCTACGTCTGAGACAGTCGAGCCACCTCCCATGTGGGACTGTCCAATTTGTTCCCGGCCCCAAATTGCCGATGATCGCATCTTCAACGAGCATATGGACTTTTGTCTCTCTAGACAGACAATACGTGAAGTGGTGCAGGACAATACAGAAGAACCAACACCCTCGATACCCGCAAACAGTCGGAAAAGAAAAACACCGCAGACTAGTCCCCCTGAAACGGACCCAAAACAGAAGCGACTCTTCTTCCAATGAGCCAATATGATCTAAACCTGTACAATCAAACCCATGGACTGAATATTCTTCACTGCACAATCACCCTGACGTTTGCTAGTGCCAGCCTAATCACTTAGTGGCCCCCTAGCGATGATTTTCATCAATAACAGACTCACCGTGTTTCCAGTCTCCACTTGACAGGCACTAGAGTCGGGATAGAGACACAAACGGGATACCCAGTTGCGAGGCACACGGCGAGTATGCCTAGCAAGCCATGACAATAATTGCACCCTTTATATCAAGGCACTGTAGAACTGAGATGTCATATCACTTCAATAGTCGGAAGTAAGGAATTCCACGTTGCGGTGAAGCGCCGCCCTAAACCCAATCGGGCGGGAATGTTTTCGTGACTTGATTCTCTCTTTTGACTTCTCCCATCAGGCCACCAGAAGCAAGACTCTATTCTGGCTGATTGTTGGATGTGGCACCATGCTGATGTTCTGTGGCTCGAAATGCCATAACAGACCCAGCACTCCCCGCAATTATGACCTTCGATAAACAAAGCAATGGCAATCTCGCCAAACCGTTCACTCCCACCCTCAGCGCTGCTTTTCACCGGAATAAGTCTCCTTTGACACCGAAGCTTGCCAGTCCAAGCCCAGGCCCAGGTTTCTCTGCTGGTCGCCGCCTCGCTCAACCCGATCACCCCTATTCCACCCCCTCCAAAGATCCCCCCGCGGTCCCTCCGACCTACCTCAGTGCCAATGTTACTCCACGATCCGGTGCCCGAACCACTCGTCGAGATGGCACCAACGCCTCTCCAACAAATACACCTGTTCCCGCTCCACATACACCTTACTCTCAATCAACAATCGGATATGGCCGCCGAACAGACCGCAGCCCGGCTCGCGGGGTCAAACCGGCGCAATCAAGGAGCTTGAAGGGCCCCACGCTGTCGGCGGAGAACCAGCCTATTTCACGTCCGAATTCCTTCTCCGACATGGCATCGGGGTCGCCGTTGTTCTTTCATGCGTCGGACGCTCGTTCATCACATCCCTCTGAGGTGGAGGCCCTTCCGATAAGACCTCAGGGGAAACCGTCCCCAGCTTCAAGCTTTGTTTACGCAAATGGAGATCAAGAACGAAAGTCACTGGGAGACCAGTCGAGTACCACATCGTCTGTTGTAAGACGTCGATCTGGAGGTTACTCGCGACCCTTGCCCACCGTCAAACAAACAGCTTCACCCTCGCCTCGGCTGAGCTCAGCCAAGCTCTCAGATGCCACATCCACTCCGCCAGATGTCACGAAACCTCCATACCCCCAAAATGCCGAACAAGGTCTAGGGATAGTCCACCGTTTTAGTCCCCCGTCAAGTACGGTCAGCGATAGGCCACCCATCGGCCGGCATACCAAATCATCTAGTGTCGACTCTAGCCACCACGCCCTTCCGCACGACAGTTTACGATCTAGTCCGGTTATTGTACCTGGAAACTATTTCAGTGAGGGATCAGCACCTGTAATGTCAGAACAAATCCCGACTCTTCGCCCTCGAATCTTCAGCAATGGCTCTTCCATGAACGGTTCCACCGTCTCGAATGAAACATATCCCCAAGCACCTTTAAGTCCTGGAAAGTCAGATGGTCCAAGTGAGGCCGCTTTGAATGCGCGTACCGAGCGAAAGATCATGGACTTGGAAATCAGCAATTCTTCACTGCTTGCCATTAACCGCACCCTAGAGCGAGAAATGCGTAAACAGAATGCTGAGCTCCGCCGATTCCGCCGATTGAGTCGCTCGGGCCGTATCTCGATGGCTCCGTCAACACGTTCGTTCTCAGGGGCAGCCCTCTCGACAACGAGTGAAATGGATGAAGGTGCAAGCGAACTTTCGATGCGATCACAGGATGATATGTCAGATATTAGTGACGAAGATTCCCTTGCGGATGATGGAGTTACGAGTCCTGGCTCGCTGGCCGAGCATGATGTTAAGCAACGTGCCCAAGATGAGAAACGATTTATGCTTGACCTTGCAAAACACCAAGAACTATTAGCAGACAGCCAAAAGATGAACCAAAGTCTGAAACGCTGTCTGGGATGGACAGAAGAGTTAATCAGGGAAGGCCAAAGGGCCCTTGAGTACAACGTCCATGTTCAAGACATCGAACTCGGTGGCCGAGTCCTGGCACCTGAAGAGCTGGGCGAGGTTGGCGAGAGTGGTCGGGGCCTATTAAGCCCTTCTACTGAGTATGACGGTGTATTTTCACCCGTCGAATCTTCATCTATTGGTTTCTCTGATGAGCCATCTATTGCATTATCTATTGATTCACCTGTCCCACCATCTGCCCCTGAACTTACTACATGATATTTCTGTTTGCTCATCTCCTGGCGGGATGATCCACTCTTTTCTGCTTGCTCATACCCATTGCACAATACCCCTTTGATGCCTTTTCATCTTGAATTCGTCCTTTCATTTCTTCATCTGATACAGGCTCTTCTCATTCTTTTGACCCTTGCACGTTGCACCTTGTAAAATGAGATTCTCGGCTTGATTTCTTCATTTCTTTTCCCAAATGGTCAATGTTAGATATACCCGATCATATAACCCGTCTTGACGACTGTTGCTGGCTACTTTGATACCCGATGTGCAATTATTATTTGCGTGTGTTCATATTCTGCGATTGCGATCTCTTACTATGTACGCTTGTTGTGTTGAGAAACAACACGAGCACTAATTGACCTGAACGCTAATAATGATACTTGACACTCTGGACTCATCCGTCTTGATACATATTTGCCTTCATGGGCACAAATCATGGAAAAGGACATTGCCCCATCCGCTCCTGACGCAGAGTCTCTTGTATAGCCTCAAGTTCCTTTCGTCCCTTTCCTTCAAAATACTTCGGGCCCAGATCAGGTGTATAATAACCCTGGGGGTAATACTTGTCGCCATCATCACCAGGCAAAGGCTGTCCAAGAGCCCACTTGAACCATGCCACAGGACCCCAACGATTCCAAATCGTGGGCTGCACGTAGAATGGGGCCCCCTCATAGATAAGTACCCAATTTCGACCATGTTCGTTAGGCTTCTCAGTGAATACATCTAACCGCATGAAACTCGGGCGTGGGAGAGCCAGATACCGAAGGCATAACTGACGTAGCTTGAATATTGAGGCGAAAGTGAAGCTAAAGAAGGCTGGAGGGGGTTCCATCCTAGATCATGAGTATCAGCTCATATCTCCATACAGTCACCCTGTGAAACATACATCATGGCACCTCGCAGACGTTCATCCATCAAGAATGAGACGAAATACTCGCCAAGTGGCTTCATGAATCCAGGCAGACTGTATACCAACACATCGATGGTTTTATCTGCGATTTCCTTATTGCGTGGGTGAGGCTTCATGTGCTGTGCCTCATATTGCTCGCTCCAAGCATTGATCTCTTCCAGCCAGTGGATTCCATCTTGGAAACCATCCTTACCGGAGGGGAGGACATCATAGCTGATTCCCAATGCGTCACCAAGACTTTTCCAGTATGTACCCACGGCGCAGCGTTCCATCTCCGTCATCTCGCGCCACTCATATAGTTTCACGAATCGGATTGGTTCGATGGCGAAGAGGCTGAGTGTGTACAGCATGTCTGCTTCGAGAATTTTTCCGCTTGCTCGATATCCTTTGTGGAGGAACTTGGTTCGGGCTATTGCTGTTTGGGCTCGATCTGAGCTTGGGTGAAAAGCCATGAACTCGCCGATTAGTGCACCCGTGTCGGCGTATCGTTTAAATGAAGTGGCTGAGTCGGAGAACTGGGATGTTTTTAGGAGAAGGGTGGAGATTGTTGGGATGCCATATGTCTGTTCGGGTCAGCTATATCATAGTGCCGCATGGCATAATTAGAGCTTACACGAAAGAGTGCAAACTGGAGTGACTTGAGAACCATGAAGGGAAACTCAGTCTGCATGATGGTCTTCTGGATTGCCCAAGCATCATGATCGGTCATTTGGCCCATTGATTGCCTTGTTGAGTAGTAACTATATTGTCGGTGCAGAGTGCGTTGCCGTTGGAATCGCAGGGAAGATACCAGGACCAGATAGGTAATTACACCCAATGAGACGCATAGCATTTGCTGCGAGAGTGAGGGAGGCCATAGAGCACCGAGTAAAATCTCATCCTCTGGTGATCGGAGTATAGAGAGCGATGCCATGTCTTTCAAGCCGAGATAGAGCAGATATAAATAATGTGTCTTTGCAGTGAATGCCGCAGATCAATATGTTAGTGCCAGGGAACTACTGATTTATATATTCACGCTCAAATCTTCTGCTCAATTATACCAGTAGCTATGCAGCATATCCATGGCAATGAAGATAACCAAAGAAGACAAGCTCGTGTAGTGGGTCATCTAAAAGAATGAGCGGACCGAGGAACAGGCACAGTCCCGCGCGGGGAAATACAGAGCCTTACTGCAGAATATGAAATCATGACAGCCGGATGCCACAACTAGGTGTGTTGTATAAGGTAGTCCTGGCATACGGACGAATGAATAGCGTTCTGAGTGGTATGACAAGACATATAGCCGAGGTTGCCAATCAAATCCGAATCATTCGATGCCTTCAAATCGTTGACTTGGGATTGTGAAATAAGATCGGCCAACCAGATACTAAGATAGAAAGCATGATGACAGCATAAGTGTTCGCATACTCGGTATATCGGCCGGACGGGGATGCACCGGTGTCAGACCACCCGAGTTCGATATCAGCAGCATATCTGTACCAAAATAGGGCTTCGGAATACAAAGATGCCGGGGGATCAACACTGGACGCATGGCGTTGGTGGATGAGGGGGATCAGCATCACATGAAGCCAAGGCCAGCCTCATCTTCTACACAGATCAGATATTCGACTATACAATGATCATAGCGCCAATATGTAACAATTAATTTTGATTCCTTTATGTCACAAATAGCAGAGTATCGTAAGCTATGATCTGCTTTGATCTATACCAAGCGTCCACAAACTAAGTCTTGATAGAAGGTATACCAGTGAGCTTGAAAGCCCTCTCACTTAGAAGTGGGTCAGCCAGCGGCTTCGAACGATTATGAGGGTCTTCCTTCCCATCCCTCTGGGCGACATTGGTCCCAGTATGCTTCGCATTCGGCCAATGCGTGGTACCAACACGGCGATCAAACGCGTCCTTCTTGCGCAGCAGGTCCTCTTGTGTCGCATCTGCAACCGGCATGAAGCAGGTATAAACAGCAAAGCGCGGCTCGTGTCTCTTTGGGCTCAGGTTGTAGTGAGGCGTGCGTGAGTCCCAAAGAAGGAGATCCCCAGGCTCGGCGCTGAGCTTTTCCCACTTGCAGCCGTGGTCTTCGAGCCATTTCATGCCGTGCTCCGTGAAGCCATACCATTCTGGTGTCCAGGCTGGGATTCTCTCTTCGTCGGCCATCTCTTTGTGGAATTGCTCGGAAAGGAGGTGGCTGCCTCGGCAGACAATTAGTCCACCGTCTTCTGGGCCGTTGGGAAGCAGGTTTACCAGTCCTTGCATGCAGCGGAAGCCATGCTTCTCGGGGTCTTGGTCCTGGTGTGGCCAAGGCTTATTGGGAGCAATATCGGTACGACTAAGAGGTTATTAGAATACAAGGGCTATGCCATCAAAGATATGAGGACTTCAACATACTTGGGGAATTGAAAGTTGATGGCATCAAAGGACACAATAAGATCCTCATCATCATAGATCTTCTCAAAGGCATCGACAACACCTGGCTCACTTCGAATGCCCCAGACGAAGTTCTCATGCGGAAGACCGTAGTGCAGACACATGCCCTTCTCATTGATCAGGGGAAGTTTGTCTTTGTGGACAGTAGACAGATTGTTTCTGTCGAATCCGAGTTCACTGTGTTTTTGGCCAGTCGGTTTCAGTGGTACCTTCGCTCAAGTATAACTTACAAGCCTTCTAGCCAGGAGTACATCTCATCCGCATACTTTAAAGCCTTTTCTTTGGGAATAGCGCCTTTGACAATGGCGAAACCATCTCTAGTCAGATCGTCTCGAAAATCACCGAAAGGGCGATCAGTGCTATCAACACGCATGCGACCAAAGCCATGCAGATTTGGGTTGACCTGAACGGTCGCAGCAGTGGTTATTGTAGAAGACATACTGACACTTGGTTATAGAAGTGAGCTGTGAAACTTCAGCATGCCAGCTCCTTAAATGAACAACAGCTTCTGGGGGGAACTCCAGTCTCACCAGAGCTGCCCACTCGGAATCACCAGGTGAGCTTTGATTGCTCCAATTAGTTCCCAGCTACTCAACAATGTGTTGCCACAGTGGTCGGAAAGTGGAGGTGGGGGAATGGGGGCCGTGTAAGATGGGGGAAGTCGAAGGCTGCTTGGCTTCTCTCGATAAAACAGCAGATAATTAGAGTGGAGTGCGTAGACTATTCAGTGTAAATATTTCCATCATGGCGCCTTTTCATATCATTATCGTGGGTGGTGGCATCGCAGGTTTCACGGCTGCCATTGCCCTCCGTGGACCCAATAGACATATCACGATTCTCGAACAGTCAAGCTTGAACAAAGAGATTGGTGCTTTGATTTCTTTGCAACCAAATGCCTCGAGAATCATGAAGTCCAAGTGGGATTTGAGCCAGGAGCTTTCGGAGGCGCAACAAATGGTGGATGAAGGGTTCCGGATATACAACACAGACGGACATTTGGTCAACACTATACCCCTGATGACAAAGGAAAAGTATAGGGCGGAACGCCTCTTGTTTCATCGCAGAGATCTTCATGAGGCATTGAAACGTGCAGCTGTCTCACCCACGCGGGCAGGAGATCCAGCCACTGTGCGAGTCACGTCGAGAGTTGTGGACTGTGATGCCTCCAAAGGAACAGTGACTTTGGATGGTGGTGAGATAGTCAAGGGTGACTTGATTATTGGTGCAGATGGAATGTAAGATGTGAACTCCTTTGAACGAGTATGAAAAGCTAATATAGACGTGGCTTAGCCATAGCGTTCTTCGAAAACATGTACTTGAGGAAGCCATCAGCCCTATGCCGACTGGTCATTCTGGTGAGAGAGACTTGCATAATTGTTATGATTGATTGAGCTGACCGTCGTCCATAGCATATCGCCTGATGGTTCGGTCTTCACACATCATACCAACAACCTAGCTGATGTCTCTAGATGCCAACAGAAATTCTTGAACAGGAAGAACCTGAGTTCTGTGCGAAGATCAATCCTCGTGATCCTTTCACATCCATGATTGTGGCCCACGACTGCCGCCTCATCATGGGCCCCGGAAGGCAAGGCGAGGTTTATGGGATTGTCGCTTCAGTGCCGGACGGTATGCACAGGTTTAACTTTTTTGAGGAAATGCTAACAGATATACAGACCAAATGAACGAGGATCCTCAGGCAAAACAGTCTTGGGTTGCAGAAGGAGATTTGGAAAAGTTGATGCAGACTTTTGCCGAATTCCTATCCTGGGTGAAAAGTTTGTTCAAGTATGACCACAGGACCACTCTCAAATTTTCATAGAAGCCTACTCACCATTTATTAAAGGCACTCGGCCGACCTAGGGCTCTGGCAATTACGGGATCTTGTAGGGTCACCAATTGAATGTTTCTTACTTAGCTAACAAGTACAGAATCCTTTGAAGACATGGCATCGGGGCCGTGTAATTATCATTGGCGATGCCGCACATGCAATGTTACCAACGCAGGGCCAAGGAGCCAGCCAAGCAATCGAGGACTCTGAAGCTCTTGGTGCATTCTTTGAGGAGATCATTGAACCACCCTCTCCTGAAGTCCTTAAAAGGGCACTCAAGGTAAGAAATCCAGTAAAATAATAATTGGAATTCATTTCAACTGAACAAATGCAGGATATCTTCCAGGCACGCTATGCACGTGTGAGTTTGATACAGGCATATAGTCGACAAGCAGCCAAGCCAGCAACAGCCCGGGGAACTAAACTGGTTACGATGTATGTATGAGGAGTACCTTTGGCTGAGCATAGACTGACTCATTAGGAAACCGGATGAGTTCATGGACTTCAACTGCGGATATCGCGGGGCCAAAGAATGGCAACGGGTTTGAAAACAGTCAGGCTAAGATATAGCCAATCTTTTCTTTCTTGAATGTGTAAGAAAAAGCCAAAACCGGGGAGACGAGAATGAACCGAATTAGCAAAAAGAATCAAAACCCAGCCTCTAAAGACTGTAAAAAGTTTCCAAATCCCGGGAAATACATCCTCGCGTGAACTTATCAAGCCAACATTTCCCCGCAAATGTGGAGTGTGAGACTGTAGGTCGCATATAACTGGCTCTATTGGACGTTGAGGGGCCAAAGTGGCCCGCAAAAGAAGCGTGTCCCGATCGCCCATATAAACGGCCAACTTCCTCACATTCCCTAATTCTCTCGTTATGCCTGATGTCCGACATTCATGCCCGTCGACGCTCCTCGCGGAGTAAATCTGGCCACCATCACTGTCCGCACTGTGGCAAAGGGTACGAGCGACCAGATCATTTGGCGCGTCATTTAGACTCCCGTGAGTGTCTCTTCTCACCTCGGCAGATGTCTGGTTGACCAGGTTTCAAGATCGCAACGAAAGAACATATCAATGTCGGATATGCCAGCGTGGATTTAATCGAAGGTGAGCATATATTGCTCCAGGAAATTAGTCACTGAGGTAATAGAGTCAGAGATGTCCTTCAGCGGCATCAAACAGTCCACGAAAAGAATAGCAATGAGGGCAAGAAAACACCTCGTCGCACACGAGAACGAGCGGCTGAGGCTTGCAACACTTGCGCGACCGCTAAATTGAGTTGTGACAACGAAAGACCCTGTCAAGTAAGGATTCCTGGTCCTTGGCTTGGTCGCCTGTTAATGGTTGTAGAGATGCAAATCAAAGCAAATTGAATGCGATGCAAAGCGCTCTCGACTCGGCAATCATGCTTCACACCCTCGATTTTCTCCGATGACTACAACACCAGATTCAAGTTTCTCGGATCTCAGTGTACTTCCTGCGACGGAGTACTCAGCTGGCCATGAGATTTATGACGCCAATTTCGCGCAAGATTTGACACTAGATCCATTTATATCAGATAATGTGCCGGTATATCCTAATTTGAACAATTTCCCTGCCTTTTTCGAGCATGGTATGCTTCCAAACGTGGAAATGGAAGTTCCACAAGAAACACAGCAGCCTCGGGGTGTGTTTGACTTCATGCTCGATACCGATTTCGTTTTCCCTGAAAACGATTTGTTCGATGCAGACTTCATGCCCGATCTCGATCGAATCCTAGATGCTGGGCCCTCCATATGCGGATCTAAAGACCAACAGAATCCTCAACTTGGTGATCATGAATCAGCCAGCAGGCGAGCAGCTGCATTTCGAAAATCATTCTGGTAAGTGAATGGTAGTGATCGATATCAATATACGTGTTTAATTCCAAATTTCATAGGCTATGGGTGCCAGAGAAGAACCAATATGCCTTCAGCGAGGAGAGAAGAATCCCTCTTCGTGATGGGGATGCTATTTCGCCGAATCATCAAAACCGACTTCAAGCTCTTCAAATACCGGGAAAACTATCCATGCGCTCGCGGGATGATATCTTCAAATTGGTCGTGCGAACAGCCGGCTCTCGGCTTTCAATTTCTTCATTTCCTTCTGCTGAGTACCTTGATACGCTCATCAAAGTCGGTATTGGAAAGCGAATAGAGACGGATGCATGGATTCATCCATATACCTTTTATGATCAGAAGTTGCGACCTGAATTGTTAACCGGCTTGGTCGCAGCAGGATGTGTTTGTTGTGGATTGGCGTCCATCAACAAAACTGGAATTGTTCTACAGGAGATTACTAGAGTATCTCTGGCACAACTTGTATGACTCGTAACCCTCAAAAATTCTTCACTGTTGGCTGACTATTTGTCTGTTTCATCAGGTCGAGGATGATAACAGTGTCTTGCGCGATCTGCAATGGCTACAAGCCTCGATGCTGTGATTGGATATTGGTATCTTCTGTGGTTATCGACGAAAGATGCAAATAGCAGAGAGCTATCTACAGCCACTGTGTACTGTAGGTGCACCAAAGGATAAAACGATTGAGCTAACTTTACAGGCTTTCCGACGTGCTGCGGCATTTGACAGCTCCACGTACTCTGCTGTAACACCTTCTATGACTGGCGATGATGAGCAGTCTTTGAATAATATATGGCATGAGTGGGCAAGACAAGAATCACTGAAGCGGTACGTAGTGACTTCGATATTTGAGTAGTCAAACCGCGACGCTAACAGAACTAGATTAGCTTATCATCTATTCAGCCACGATGTAGAGGTTGCCATGGCTATGAACCGCCCAGCTCTTACTTCGTACACGGAGTTCACACTACCCTTCCCTGCTGCAAGAGACCTCTGGCTCGCTCCTACAGCTACCGCATGGAGAGATCTTTGGGAGGCGAAGTACCGAGTTGTAGAGGCGTCCGACTTCAGTTTGCGGGACTTGTTATCCGATCCGTCCTTAATTACTCGTGTCCCTATTGAGATGGACTTTGATATTGCAAGGTCTGCACTATTACAAGGAATGGCCAGTCAGGTGTGGGAAACTCGCCAACAGATGGTTTTATCCCAGGGATCAAGGCCTGACACGCGTGCTTTGACTCGACTGTGGCTGCAAAGCAGACAAGACGAGCTGTCAGTTCACCACCTCCTCTGTCAATTTAATGCTGACTGGGCAAGTTATACCACATTGAAGTCTATACCTGAGAATCCACCGGCGCCTCCACCTGTCACAACATTACTGAACCAATTTATAATGATGTACCTTCATATTGATATCGATGCTATCCAACGATTTGTAGGTAAGCTTGGGGAACTGGATGCCCGGCGAGCATAGCCGGGCCTTCGGGACTGGAGCCATGCAAGAGAAGCACGGACAAGCATATGGCATGCCGGCCAGACATTGCGTGCCGCGCGAACTGTCAAGACTTATCAGCTGCGCGGATTCGATGCTATGGTTATCTACCACGCTGCTTTGGTTCTGTGGGTATACGGGCTTTTTCAGTGTGGAGAATTGAAGCAGCTTGAAGACAAGACACCAATTGGTGAAACAGACTTGCCACCATGCGTGTCACTTGATGGCCTAGAGGATACGGCGACCAAAGCGTTCTTGGGTCATGGAATTGGTCGCCCAGGTCTGACAATGACCCGAAGTGGTCCCGATGGGGATACACCAATGTTCTGTGAACTAAGCAAGCCGCGCTCTGTCATGGCTGTTGCTCGGCAAGTCTTTGAAGGGAATTGTCCTTGTCCTTCTCCGGACGACCGTCTGCCACCAATGATCCAGAGTCTGTGTGAACTGATAGAGGATCTGGGGAATCTTCCATAAGAAATAACCTTGCAAAAAGTACCAGTCAACTAATCAACTAGATAAAATGATTCCGATATGTATCAATCCCCATTTGCCGACGTGATAATTTGAGCCAATGAGCGAAGCCCTAATTCCGTCGGATTATGGGGGAACTCCGCACGGGGTAAAACGCCCTCGGCAATTGTGGGAATGTTGAGATTGATCAGCTCTTGGATTCTATATCAGCCACCTAAACTATGCCCATCGAGCCGCGGGGGAGCTGCACTGCAGAAAAAAGGGGGCTTTGTCTCTCACTTTCTGTTTTCCCACTACCTCTAAGAGCGCCATTCCAGACATACCACACAACCGTCATGGCGTCTAATGACCAAAAGGCCAAGACTGAATTTCTCGAAGATGTCGGGTTTAAAGAGACCGTAAATGGTGAGGTACTTGTTGATGAAAGGGGGGAAGTTCAGCGATTGCCTGTGCCTAGTAGCGATCCCAATGATCCGCTAAACTTCACCAAGTGGGAGAAGTTAGGTGTGATTTTCAGTTGCTGCTGGTTCTGTAAGCCATTCTTTGTCTGTAGATGTGAGCACTGCTTACATATTTCAGCGATCATGTCCTTGTCGGTAGTTGGAGGATTGGGCGCCATCCTCGGTGTCTTCTTCGAGCTCTATGTCCCTCTGGGTCACAGCTCGGCGCAAGTGGTCTGGCTGGCAACATTCCCATCGTTATTTGTTGGTATCGGTTAGCAGTCAACCTCATATGTGTTACAAATCTTGCTTCTTAATTCTGACTGACCGGTAGGCAATTATCTGATCCTCCCGTTGGGTCTGGTATATGGCCGTTGGCCAGCCACGATCATCTCAATTGTTGTGCTTCTTGGGTCAACAATCGGTTGCGCTCTATCACAGACATTTGAGCAGCACCTTGGACTTCGCATTCTTCAAGGGCTTGCTACAGGTGCTACGGAATCGGTTAGTTGACCTCTCAATTTCCAATTGTCAAAACCTTACTTAAACATTTTGACAGCTACTCCCTCTCATACTATCCGAGGTCACGTTTGTGCATCAGCGCGGTACAATCTTTGGTGTATATTGGGCAACACAGAATGTAGTGACAAGCTGCCTGAATCTGGCCAGTTCGTACGAAGCCGCCGCTCTGGGATGGCGCTGGTTCTATTGGGTGTATGCCATTGCCATCGGAGTCGGACTGGTCATTGTTGCATTGAGTTGCTTCGAGACAAGATACCAGCGGCCTGCGCAAATTCTCAATGGGCAACTAGTCATCACTGATGAGTTTGGAGTCACCCAAGTGCTTACTGGAGCGCAAGCCAATGCTTATCTGCAAATGCAAGAGGCAGAGGATGATATAACTATCCCTGATGCATCACGACCAAAGAAAGCCTATGTGCAGATGCTTACTCCGATTGGGCCTTCCACCAAGAACCCTGTTCGGACTGTGTTGATGGCTTGGTTCCACATGTTCGAGGCCTTCTCTTCCCCGGGAATTCTATACGCAACTCTTTTAGCTTCGGTGGTGCTAGGGTCTTCTATCTGCATCTCGCTGACGTATGACGCCGTGCTTCAAAGTTATGGCTGGCCAGCCCAGAGTGTTGGTTTGATCAACTTGGGTGGTCAACTTGGGTGGTGTATTTGGTGGCTTTGGGGGTATGCTATACGCCGGAGTGTTTGGTGACTGGTTTATTCTCCGGATGGCCAAGCGCTCAGGTGGAGTTCATATCCCAGAACATCGGTTGATTCTGCTTATATTCCCTGGAATGCTCGCCGTTGTGTCCCTGTTCATCTATGGTGTCCCTGTTCCTCTATGGGTTCACTGCCGGTAACAACGCCACTTGGGGAGGGCCATACATGGGATGGGCGCTTTTCCAGGTGGCCTTTGTCTCTGTGTTGATTCCGTCAACTTCATTCGCGGCAGAGGCCTGAGAGAAGAACCCCGGACCTGCATTGGTAGCCGTCGTTGGAACCAAAAACATTATCGCCTTTGGAGTCAGCTATGGTCTCACACCCATGGTGGCCAAGTATAGTTATCCGACCGCGATGGGTATTTTGGCTGCAGTTACAGGGACCATATTCCTGCTTGGAATCCCTGTTTATTTCTTCAATCCAGCTGTGAGTATGCCCCGGGATCTAAGTTTGACGGTAGCTTATTGACATGTAAACAGAGGCGCCTTTATAAGCAACGACAAGAATTGAAGTAATCAGCTGGGAATTGGCTATGGTGGTATGGTATATAGGCATGATGAGTACCGTAATATCCCACTTAATTCTCTCGCGAGTCTAGTAAAGAAACTCATGCATTGCGTACTGTCTCAAACTCAGACCTTTCGCAATGCAAACTTGTCGCGGAGGTATTAGTAGTTCATTCATATAGAAATGAGCAACTATATTCGAGCATGTTCACCATAATGTGGGTATCGATAAATCAGGCCCAACAATCTCTTCCACAGACCCAGCCCTCCCTCAAGGCTTTCGAGGCTGTCCATTACCAACCTGATTGGTAATATTATAATCACCAAAGCAGGCTTCTTGATACATAGCCTCCTTTTTTAGTTCTGCGATAGAACTGAGGAACTTCTCAACAGGACAGAAACCATTCACAGAACCATCACAAGCAGTCAACCCATCCACGGGTACTGGTGCGTTGTTCAGAACAAAGCGAATGTAATCAGTAGTATTAGAGTCTGATGATAAGTCAGGGTTATTGTATTTCTGCGGTTGGAGATGCTCGAACGAGAAATTCTTCGGGCAAGTCCAGAGCTCGGAAACCAGACGAGCGCCGAATGGAGTCATTTGATTTAGGTTGAAGTTGCGTCTTGGAGCGTGTGAGACTGATGTAGGCATGCCATGAGAACTGTACTTGAAGTAATCCAGACCCAGAGCTGTCAATACAGATACAATAATATCATCATGAGACATATCCATATAAATTGGCTGATCGAGCGGGAAGGTCTTGGTGTTATCATCGTAGGTGTAGTTGATGCTGCTGTCGCTGCTCATGATTAACTTTGACTGCAAACGTGCAGCCAACTCCTGAACATAGCCAATTCCCTGGGCGCGCCCACTCGGGGAACCAAATCCATAGTTGCCATAGAATTGGAGGTCGGCAAAATATTCAAAGTCGCCCCATTCCTGCTCGGTGAAGAGGGCACAGAAGGAGGATTGACCCCAGGTCGCATATTCGTACGGGCACATGTTAAACATGGCGACAATGTCAAAGGTATCCAGATTCAGATCCTCGGGCAAGTATTGAGCGAAGCGTTTCTGCGCGTTCTTAACAAGAGTTGGGGCAAAAACTTTGCCGGCATTGTCACCTGGCTCTGTACCTTTGGGGCAAGAATCAGTCGCTGATAGCGTATTATTGAAATCATCGACCTCAGGAATGATGACCAAGTTATACTCGGAATATGAGCCATTGGCTCCAATATTGCCAAAGAAACCGCTTAGCCACCAGCGAGCACTCTCCAAGATGCGGGGGTAGGATGTCGTCCGGAAGGTGGGCTTCGGTCGTGACGTGCCATTGGAATACACATTCATTGATGCATTCCAGGAAGCATCACCGCTTTCTGCTCGGTAAAGTAGCCGGCCGTATTGGCTCCAGAATAGTGCGCCGGAGGTGGCTTCGGTGGCGGCGCCGGTGGGAAGTAGTGTGTTCAAGCCAAGTATATACTCCCAGTCGTTCAAAAATGCCAGAGGACCGGTACCAATCTTCTTGGAAGGGTGGTTCCTTGTATAATTCGCTATTTTCTGAGCAAATGTCTCCATTCCCCCGCCATCCAGCGGCCATTGCGTCGGATACCGCTGCGCATGGCGATGGAGTACATGCACCTGCGAAAGTTCACATTCTGAGGGAAAGCCTTTGGAGACATTGAAGTCCCGGGCGTCGGTGTACGGGCTAAGATTGGCCCAACTGGTTTTCATGTCAAAGCCCGAAGGATACGACAAACCGGTAGGACCGGCAGCGGCTGGGCTAGAAGAAGCCATTGCGGCACTCCCGCTCGCCAGGGCCAAGAGGGCGATCATAGATTGCATAGATGCCATGTTCGGGATCTGAAAAGTCACAAAGCGACTGACTCAATGGAACCTCCATTTGTAAGACTGACGGTTTTATATAGCTATTGCAACTGAGGGGAAAGATCGGCTGAGTCCATTCCTAGTACAGGGGCCCGGAGGCTACAGTAACTTCTCCGCATGCATGACGCAGAGGATCATGATCTTGGCCAAGTAGAGTAACCTGTCGCGAGACTCTTTGTTGGAAGTGGAGAAAATGCTTGACTGCGACGGATGAACATTATACTCCGGAAGCTGGCTTTCTCCGTAGACCGACGGTTTCCTGCCAAGACAGTTGAAAGACGACGAGAAACTCGATTTGCTCCATTATGTCCATTTTGGGGATGGACAGGCTGCGCGCTTTCTATCGAAGTAATATCTGGGTCGATCAATGTTCTTCAGAAGGGGCAAGAGGTGTGTCGATCTCAACAACACAAAACCAGGCTATACGAGAAGCCCCAAGATGCCCTCGTATAGTATATGTTCATCTTGAGGAGCTGGGGACCTAGGGACCTGCTTTAACAAGCGAGGAGTCCTGCACTGCAAGACGCTTGTGACTCCGACTTTGACTCATCACATTCGAGCTCCTGCAGGTGGCGCAACGCACCGCTGGCAGGATCCCTTGCTGTACCGATGAAGAGCTTCAGCTGCACACCAATATATGTCCGGCCCGAAACACTCATTCGCTTACCTTGTACCGATTTGGGTCAGGGTGCGCGCCAGGGGAATGTGGCTGCTCGTATCCGACACGAGTGGAGGGATCCTTCACGGGTTTGTGGTGCCAAGCGCCAGCCCAACTGGGTCGTGATAGCTAAATAAGGCTGATCGTGGGTTAATTTTCCTCGATCACGAGCGCGATCTATCTTGAGCCGCACGTGAGAGACATTTTAAAGCGCAAGGGACTCCCCCTTTGAGGCCACTGAAATTTTCTCTCACTGTTTTGATTGTTTCGCGCTCCAAAGTCGGGCATATCGACTGCATTATGCTGGCGCTCAACATCGTCTTGTACGCCCTCTTGGGTACCTCCTTAGCCTTTGCCATTGTGGAGCTGGGTCTCTCGGCTTTCCTCACTTCTGCATATACCGGAACACGTGAGGTCGCGACTTGGAGTTCCTACTCTGGGTATTCGTACAGAACAGTGAATCTCAAGGCCCCAGCTATTCTCGCTTTCCTGGTATTCGCTTCCTGCTGGACTATCCTAGTGACTGTCGCCGCGTTAGTGCTACCATGGCATTTCGCAAAGAAAGGTTTTGTTAGTGCAAAGCTGAATACTATTCTCGCCTCATGTTTTGTCGGTGTTTACTTTGTCACTATGGTCTTTTGGCTGGCTTGCTTCGCCGATCTCGCCTCCCTGCTTGGTGGAGGAACCAGCGAGTCGTCGTACTTTAACGCTATACTCGCATTTGGTGTGCTCCTTTGGTATGTTTCTCTGGCTGTTGTCGCCTACTCAACACGACTAATCGATATTATACGTCTAGGTTACTTTTCGTCGCTCTTGTGGTCTTTACAGCTCTTGCCATGTGTGGTGTGATGGTTTCTGACTGGGCTGGCTACCAGTCTTTGAGAAAGGACAAGGGTGCTGAGGGGCCCCAAGCCAGTGGGCATGCTCATGATGTGCCGATGAGTACGACCCCTGTGGCTCCAAAAATGTCGACTCGGGATGCTGAGGGTCTACATAACCAGCCGAGCAGCCAAACGCATAGTATCTCTTCGCCATCGGCCGTTCATAGCGTCGAACTCAGCGGCGATAGCGCTCAGAATCACCACACAAGTCGAACAGTGCAGATCAGTCCAGTTTGATTGATCCTGTAGCCCCGATTCTCCTGTGTCATTCGTGTCATACGCTTTTTGATTGACGATGGTTGCTGTGCTGGAATATGGAAGTATTTGCATGTTTGATCGTTACTGATACTTTGATACCACTTATAGTACTAATATTTTGCTGATATCTTCTTTATTTCTGTTACTATGAGTGTAATCATATATACATGCCTATCTTCATCGGAATACTCGTAGCGAGATACGTCATCGATATATTTATGGACCATGTGCTTATGATAGCCACCACTGGATTACATGAATTCTTATGCCAACATAGAGATATGTCAAACTGACGTGTTTTTCTTTAATTATGCTGCGTCTATGTCCGTACAATGGTCATCAAGTCCCTGTCCTGCTGGAACGGAGGGACATGGGAGGTATATAGGCCAATCTATCGCTTGAACTATGGGCATGTAAGATGACCTCTGGTCACTGTAAACAAGGAAAGGACTGGTCCCTAGAGGGGGGAAATGAAATGAAAAACAAACATGTATGTCCAGGATATAAAAGCCGGCTGCAAAGAAATACCAGGCACGCAATGAGACTACAAACAGAGGCTGGGGGTGCAATTAGGCGGTGGTCTCCTCAACAGTCTCATGTCCCTCCTCTTGACCGTGCTTAGACTTCTTCTTCTCCTTTTTGCCCTTCTTGCTCATGGCCTCGGCCATCAGTTCTTCGAAGGCCATGTAATCACCCTCTTCTTCGGGGTCGCGTGCAGCCTGTAAGAGTTGTTAGCATGATGTATTCCGAACAAAGTAAATATACATACCTTGGCGTATATGTTTCCGGCAATCACCAGCGCATGTGCACGCTCAACGCACTTCTCAAGTCGAGTACGCTTGGTGTCCAAAATTTGGTCACAAACATCACGCAGGACGCTCTGGATCTCGAACTTGCTGCCACGCCAAGCGGCCGCCAGAATTTTGCCAGTGACCTTCTTCTCGTACTCGGCTTTCTTCTCATCAGTCCAGTCTTCACCACCTCGTTCTTCCATCTTGGCCATCTCTTCCATGGTCATCTTCGCATCAATGGCCGTGGAAATAGTAGTCCAAGTCTCCTTAGCAAGAGTACCCTTGTCCTTCAGGCGAGAGAAGAAGCCAGAGATACCAAGGAATTTCTGTGACTTAAGGAAGGAAGTACCCTTCTGAACATAAGTCTGGCCAACGGCGTGCAGGATCTCGAGACCAAAAGATTCCATTTTCAGGTTCTCAACCTCGAGTCGGATCTTCTCCTCAAAGGCATGAGATACATCCTTGCCCTTGTCGGTTTCGGTCCACACGCTCAATCGGTCAATGAGCTTGTTGGCCAGAGTGTTAACCCGCTCCTCGCGAGCCTTCTTCCGCTCTTCCTCGAAAGCGGTCAAACGCTCCTGTTGCTCTCGGGACAGACCCTTCTTCTTTTCCTTCTTGCGCAGCTCCTTCTCCTCCTGGGACAGACCAGCTGCCTCCATGCGCGCCTCTTCCTCGGACTTGTCCATCAGTGCCTGCTGGCCGAACTTCGGTCGTGGAGTGCTGGTGCCAGAGCTCTGCGAGGGAGTTTGCTTCTCGGCGGGACCGGCCGATGATGCAGCAGCTCCAGTCGTGGTATCGTGGATTTCGGAAGCTGTAGCTGGATCGCCACCTGCAGCCTTCAGCTCCTCGTCGTGGATGTGAAGCTTCTCCTCTGCCGATTGGGCTAGTTCCTCCTCTTCCATCTCCTGCATAGTAATGTCCATAGTTGCAGTCAAGTCCTTCATGAGAGAGATCTCGCCGATCAAATCAACGAAAGCCTCACCACCAAAGATCATGCTGAAGAACTCAGATGGATCCTCTGTACGAAGGAGGTCAGAAATGTCAGCGCGGGCACCAGTTTTATTAATAGGGTAGACCAACCGAAGCCACCACCAGGGACCGACTCTTCCTTGCCGAACTTGTCATATCGCTTTCGTAGATCTTCGTTGCTCAGAACTTGGTAGGCCTCGCCGATCTAAAGCATGAACGCGTTAGCCTCGTGGTGATCCATTTCTGTAGATTGATGTTCATACAGCCTGGAAGCGTTCGTGTGCGGTTTCATCGTTGGGATTTTTGTCTGCAAAAAAGAGTCAGAGACGTCACGACAGTCGCGATCAACGAGTCCCTACCAGGGTGAGTGACGATGGCCAGCTTGCGGTAGGCCTTCTTAATCTCGAGTTCGGTGGCCGTGGGCGGCACGCCAAGGGCGTCGTAGTAGCTCGTATCGGCGACCATCTCTGCGAACTCAAAAGTAGAGGAAAGTAAAGTGAAGCCAAGTGTTTAGGCGGTGATATTTTTCGCTGATATCATGTGGGGGTTGTATGCATGGTTTGTTCCGGGTCACGTGGCAGCGAACTCTGCATTTAATTTCGCGGCTTCTCCCCTTTTCCCTTCTCTTCTTCCCCTCCCCTATACCTTTTTTCCCTAATTTTTTCTGTTTTTCTTTTACTACTTTAATACTGAGCTCCGCCTTTCATTCCCTGTAAGAGCTCTTTGGACGTCTGCACGTCCCTTCTCCCAACATGGGTCTCCTCGGCAATGCTGTCTACTACACTTTCCACCCTATGCAATTGAGGTCTATCCTCCAATGGTATGTTCCTGATCCCAGCCATTCTAGCTTGAGCCAAGCTAATAATCCACGTCACAGGAAAGTCTGGCACAACCCTCCCCACGAGCGTAATGAGAAGAACGAGACGGAAAATCAAAAGCTTTGCTTCAAGTTCCTGGATAAGACAAGTCGCAGCTTCAGTGCCGTTATCAAAGAGTTACATCCTGAGCTGTTGCTTCCTATTTGCATTTTTTACTTGGTTCTCCGTGGGCTGGATACCATCGAGGATGACACCTCTATTGACTTGAAGACCAAGGAGCCTCTCCTGCGGGACTTCAAGGATATCCTAACACAAGACGGCTGGAACTTCACCGGCAACCGTCCTGAGGAGAAGGATCGCGAACTGCTGGTTCAGTTCGCTTGCGTCATTACTGAGTTCAAGAACATGAAGCCTGAATACCAGGCCATCATCAAGGACATCACTGACAAGATGGGCAACGGCATGGCCGACTACTGTGTAAAAGCAGAGAAGGACGACGCCAGTGTTAAGACCATTGAGGAGTACGACCTGTACTGCCACTATGTCGCCGGTCTTGTCGGCGAAGGTCTTACCCGTCTGTTTGTCGAAGCCCAGTTTGGTAACCCTGCTCTATTGAAGCGTCCCAGGTTGCACAAGTCGATGGGACTCTTCCTGCAGAAGACCAACATCATCCGTGACATCCGCGAGGACTTTGATGATGACCGACGCTTCTGGCCCAAGGAAATCTGGTCCAAGCATGTCGACAACTTTGAGGATCTCTTCAAGCCTGAAAACTTGGATGCCGCTCTCAACTGTGGCTCCGAGATGGTCCTGAATGCCCTGGAGCATGGCGAAGAGTGTCTCTTTTACCTCGCTGGCTTGCGTGAGCAGAGTGTATTCAACTTCTGTGCAATCCCGCAAGCCATGGCTATTGCCACCCTCGAGTTGTGTTTCCGCAACCCCGAGATTTTTAAGCGGAACATCAAGATCACCAAGGGCGATGCCTGTGATTTGATGCACCAATCCACCCAGAACCTGCAGGTCTTATGTGACACTTTCCGCCGACTCACCCGTGCTATTCACAAGAAGAACACCCCCAAGGACCCCAATTTCCTTAAGATCAGCATCACCTGCGGCAAGATTGAGAAGTTCATTGAAACTATCTTCCCGTCGCAGTCTGCCGAGGCCGCTCAGCGGAAGGCCACCGGCGAGCTTACTGCCGCCGAGGCCAAAAAGAGGGAAGAGGATGCTGAGAACAAGCAAGACATTTACTTCATGATGGCTCTTATGGGTACCATTGTTGCTATCGTCGCTGGTCTCATGATCTTCACAGCTTGGATGATGGGTGCTCGGTTTGACCTTGCCTTCAAGGAACTCCTTAACGGAAACTTCCGCCCGCCACCCAAGCAGCTCGAGCATCCCGAGCTTTGATTCCTATTCCAATATCTACGGCGTTACGACCTTACTTTTTAATATTCGATTCCCCCTCCCGGCGGCACCTTGTTTTACTATTCCCGACCGCGACCGGTGCCGCGATGTGTCTTGATAATAACATACTTTTTCTTCTTTTTTCCTGTGCATTTTAACATTTTATCACACAGCTTTCCAGCACGGATGTCAAATTGCGATCCGGCCCTTTCATGGCCGAGGTTGTGCCGAAGAAGTGCTTATATTGAAAGGAGTTTACTCCCTTTAGCCAGTGAGTACTAGATCTTTGTCCAACGGTTCGTCCGAGGTGGCAAACATCCATTGAAGATCTGGAACATACCTGTATGCGTAGACTTGTCCATAGTCAAATATTATGATATTCACTTTACATCTTGATGTTTCAATTTTTGCCCTTGTACTTCGTATCATGTATTGAACAGTTGGACTCAATACACCTGGTCAGTATCTTCGTGAAGATGCTGTAGACATGTAGACTAAGCTCAGACTCGGAAATATATGGAAGAATTGCTGATAGTGGGCCCAACCCCCGTCGAATCAAAAATCTCTGTTTTCTCATCACCCCGGATTGCTGTGCATTCCCACCTTTTCCTTTGATATTAATTACCTTGAGTCGGCAGTGATTACACGTCCAACTGCCGGATGCATCGTCGGACACCTGTGAGCCCACGATTGATTTTGCGGCCATCCTTTGTCCCTCAAATCAGACCTTTTTTCTCCCCACGACGCTTCTCGGACACAATGGTTTACAAGAAGAACATGTCTTCAGCATCGGACGCTGGTGAGGGTCTGCCGGCACTGTCTCCCAGTGAGTTTCGAACTTACAACCGCATGTCAGAGCAAATGGAAGCATTTGTAAGCTTTATCAGTCCCAATGTATACCACCAGAGCCAAGATCACTGACTCCCACCTAGCATAGTCATTTCCGTTTAACATGGAACCAACTCTGGGAGGCTTGTAACAATACTGGAAAGCGACCTAGTGGTCTGTCAGCTCGTCAGATGATCATGATGGGCCTGCAGTTCTGCTCGCAGTTGGACTTCCACCATTCCATTGAGGAACAACATATTTTTCCAGTGCTCGCCAAGAAGATGCCGGAATTCCGGAAAGAACTCGAGCTGTTGAGCCAGCACAGACAGATCCATGCCGGTCTCGAAAAGCTTGAGAAGTACCTCGGAGATTGTCGCTCTGGTGAGGAAGATATGCGCCGTGAAGAGGTGAAGCGGTTGATGGAAGGATTTGGAGAGGTCCTATGGACGCACTTGGATCAGGAGGTACAGATTCTACGTGCAGAGAACATGCGCAAATTCTGGTCACTGGAGGAGATGCGTCGACTGCCTATGTGATGTTGGATATTTTTAATGACTGCCCCTTGATGATTATGTTTCATTTCTACTTCGCATCTGCTGCATGACCACCTTGCCGTATATGCTGTCTCATTTTGAGTTAATCTGTCGCTGAATATGTTACTTTCATTCTCAACCAATGCTTGACCATGTTCATCTCTGGAAAATGTTTTTATTCGACCTCCGTTCTTTGCCGACGTCAGGCCTGACCATCTTTTGTTGAACCCAAGCCGCGCGACAGGGATCAGAAACCATTCCCAACAAATCATTGGCTAAGAGTGAGATCTGCAAATTCATTTGCCGATCACCAGATGCAAGTTTGGCTTTCAATGTCCGACAATCTAATCCGGTCTACGCCAAAGGAGCTTTACAATCAAGCCAGGCAGCCAATGCATGAAGGCAGTGAGCCAACGCAAAAAAAAAACCCCCCTGCTAGCAGAGTGTCCTGTTCGCGGAAGATGACTTTAGCAACAAGCCAACCACAGTGGAGTGCAATGGCCGAGGAATGCGAACCTGTTGCCATCCCTTGGCTGGTATTTGACTTAACTTCTTCGACGAGGTGGCGTGATGTCGTGAGACGCACATTTCCATGAGTCCCGTGCGAAAAGAGGTCTGTCAGTCCAGACGCCGAGGTACTGGCATGTTCTATTCGCGTGTCTGCTTGTCTGCGTACAATATACATGCCCGGAGTGTCAATGCATGCCATACTGCTGGTGGCCCACTTCAACTGTTGATTTGATGGAGTCAGCAGCTATGCAAGGAGAACTCTGAAACGCATGAAACACGGGATCTGCACACAATGGCCATTGTTTAATTCGAAAGGCATTGTCTGCTACTTAAAATAAGGCGGATCTCGGGACTTGCACATTTCGGGATCTGGCATTGCTGATCTTCGTCTGATCCGTCGCAGCTGTCAGATGTTCCTGTCCCCAGGAATGTTTCACCCAGACGCGCAAGCTCATAGCGAATGAGCTAACTGCAACTTATTGTTCTCATGACGATAACGGAAACATGGCCCAGTGACTATGGACTACTATGGATTGATTAGATGCTGGACACGCGGAAAAAGGGGAAGATCAACGCAGAACACATGCAGGAACACCAATAAGCGTACTGCTCCTTGCAGTGTCACAGCAATATGTGGATAAACCTGCTTTTCGTCTCTCTCCATCTCTCCACTCTGCGGGTCCCGGAGGATGTCTCAATGTCTAGGTCATCGGGGTCACTGCTACACCACGAGCCTAATTTCCCCATGCGGGGGGAATCTTGCTGGGCCGCATGCAATTTATCTGAGCAATAAGATATAAGTACTATCGAGGCCACCTGAACTTCCCCATGTATCTCACGTTGCAATCCCGTGCCTTGTTGTTGTATACTCCCAGGATCAATCCTACTCCACGCCTACCACCGCCATCATGAAGTTCACCTCCACGATCATGGCCACCGCTGTTCTGGCTGGCACATCTCTTGCTGCTCCCCGAGCTGGCCTGGCCGAGCGTCTGCAGGCTCGTGGCGTCCTTTCGCACCAGTCGAACCCCTCAGATCGCAATGGCGTTTTGCTCAAGGAGGGATCCGATGGAGCCAACGTCGAATACAGCAAGAACTGGGCCGGTGTTGTGCGTGAGCAACCTCCTGCCAGTGCTACCTACACTGCGGTCTCTGCTACCTTCACCGTTCCCGAGCCAACAGCCACCGACGACTCTGGTAACATGCAGGCTGTATCCGCCTGGGTTGGTATTGACGGCGATACCTATACCCAGGCCATTCTGCAGACCGGTATCGATGCCTACATTCAGGATGGCCAGAAGAGCTACGATGCCTGGTATGAGTGGTACCCCAAGAATGCCGAAAACTTCGACATCGGCTTGACAGCCGGCGATGTTATTGTCGCCAAGGTTGAATCATCCTCACCCAGCCAGGGTGTTGCTATCATTGAGAACAAGTCCACCGGTCAAAAAGTGACCAAGACTCTAACTGCGCCCTCCACATCTGCCACTCTCGGTGGCCAGAATGCCGAATGGATTGTTGAGGACTTCAACTCTGGCGACAGTATGGTCCCCCTCGCCAACTTTGGCAAGGTTGATTTCACTGGTGCACAGACCGAGGCCGATGGTGCCAGCTATGGTGTCAATAATGCGGCTATTCTGGATATCCAGCAGGGCGGCTACGTTAAGGCTCATGTCAAGGTCCTCAGTGACACTGAGTTCTCTGTCAGCTACGAGTGATTCGTGTATATACCCAAAGATCGTCGATACTTGGCGTTGGTGGTCTGGCGTTTCTGTTTACTGGGACGGTGTTATTTGCTTTTGTGCCTTCAAGGCATTGGGGGAGTGTGGCACAAACGGATTCGAGAGCTATAATATTTGCATTTACTTTCAGGTCAATTCAGTTCATATTGTTCAAAACTGAACCAAAGTATGCTTGAACACATTATCTGGATCATACTCTTGCTTGATGCGCTCTAGCGTCTCGTACTTATTCCCATACATAGTCTTCATGTCAACCTTCTTCGGCTCAGTAAGTGGAAGATAGGTTGATGGCAAAATGTTCGATGATTTGGTGCCCATCATTTCATCGTAGAAGTTGTGAGCCCATTCAAGTGCTTCGTTCAGCCTGTCTGCGTCCAGAACAGTCGGCAATATTTCAACAACAAAGTGCGGGCTACGAGTGTCCCAGACATTCTTCCTTATGGGCTGTGGAGTGCAAGCGCGCAACTCATGTATCGCAAACATGGTCGAAGGGTCGCTGGGCTTCAAAGCCGCAAACTTGCTGATGACAGCGACGATTTCAGCTGTCAGTTGACGTAGATTGAGAGTGAGACACAGGCCGTAGGCATGAGCATGACAAATGCGCTGAGCACCCTCGTTGAAAGCCATCATATCAGTCGGCGCAACGGTACTCACGGCCACAGGTGTCCAGGAGCTGACTTTGGACAACCATATCTTTCCAGATTCAATGTCTGTAGATGCCCAAACGAAAAGAACTGAAAATCTTTTGCCTGTCGGGGTGTTTCCGATACATTGGAAAAGGCTAAGGCTGGATGGAATGCCTTCTTTCTGTTGACGCCATGCATCATTGTATCGCGTTATGGTCGTTGATATGTCACTGGACTCATACGTGATAACACCTGCAAGGACCTGGTTCATCATTGAGCATAAATAACCTTGCAGAAGAGGATCTCCATACCTGAGCCAAGGGATACACCTTGATTGTGAGCTCGACGATGATGCCTAAAGATCCTCCCCCGCCGCGAATCGCAGTCAACATATCTTCGTCTGCATCACGGATCATAGCTTGTGAGTCGACGAGTCGTGCCTGCAGGATCTGATCTACTCCAAATCCATACTGAGCGCTGAGTAGACCGTATCCACCATGGGTTGCCCAGCCCACGAATCCCACCCCCGGAATGACAGGATGAGGCACCACCATGCCATGTTGCTTCAATTCTTTGAGTACCTCCATGAACAGTACTCCACCACCAAGTCGTGCAGTGTGTGTTTCAGGGTCCACGTGAACGTAGGCGATCTCGCGCAGATCTATAGTGATCGCCTCATGAACCTGCGATCGACCAAACATGTCATGACCACCAACCCGAACGGAGAAGGGGAGCCCATTTGCTTTCAGAACAGTAACCAAAGCCGCAACATCGTCGGCTGAACGAGGTCGAACAATCATCGCTGGAATTTTGGCGTGATCGAGCACATATCCTGGACGTAAAGTGTCATAGTCCGGTGACGAAGGAGTGGCATAGTGAATACGTGGGGTTTGCGCTAGGAAGTTCGTAAGTTCATCCATGATTTTCGCTCTGTATGACTTTGCAGGAGGAAACCCCATTCATATAAGGAATAGGCAAAGCAATCGATCTGCAGCCGAGGAATGTGGGATGTGGATAAGCCATTTATCGAATAGACATATCAGAAGGTATTGTAAGGTCTTATTGAGGTTGACTTGGCAAGACTAGGGCCAATAGTTCTGTCGTAGTGGGGGAATATTAGCAACCTGCATAAAAAGATCAATGACAAGAGCGCAGATCCTCTTCTGCTTACGATGAGCGAGTGGCGCATCTCAACATCGCGATCCTTCCGACTCGGAGACATAAGCCTGCATTGATAAGCAAGTCGGCTTGGCGAAGACATATAAACAGAACATAGGTATCTTGTGATGGTAATACCAATATAAGCCGCCGGATGCGCAGCATAATCTGCAATATGAATAGAATTCTCGTTATTGGCGCTGGCGAGCTAGGAACTCACGTGCTTCGGTCTTTGATCCAACACCCATTCGGCCAAAATGCCACCGTGTCTGTGCTATTGCGATCGGAGACTATTGGGTCAGCCGATCCGGTTAAACAGAGAGAGGTTCAATCCTTACAAGAAATGGGAGTAAAGTTGGTTCCCGGGGACATTGTGCATGACGAAGAATCAATTCTCATCTCGATCTTCGCCGAGTATGACACCATTATCGGCTGCACAGGCTTTGTTTCTGGAAAAGGGGCCCAAGTCAAGTTAGCATCTGCTGTCCTTGCAGCGAAAACGACCCGGTATATCCCCTGGCAGTTTGGAGTCGACTATGATGTTATCGGGCGCGGTTCTGCGCAAGACCTATTTGATGAACAACTCGACGTTCGGGATATGCTCCGCTCACAAGCGACGACCAAATGGGCTATAATATCGACTGGGATGTTTACAAGCTTTCTGTTTGCGCCATCATTCGGAGTGGTGGATTTCGACAATACCACTGTCTGTGCCCTGGGAAGCTGGGAGAATCGAGTCACCATCACCACACCTGAGGACATCGGGAGGTTCACTGCGGAGATTTTGCTTGGAAAGGACTCGGATGCCCTCGTTTCTAATCAAGTCATCTTTGTTGGCGGCGACACGATCGCCTACGGGGAGTTGGCGCAGTTGGTGGAGAGACTGGCACAGAAGCCGTTCGAGAAAAGGGTTCTCATGGTGACCGATGCACAGACTGCCCTTGCGAAGGACCCAAGCAATGGATTATTGAAATATCAAATGGTCTTCGGCCAAGGACGCGGTGTTGCATGGGATCTGAAAGAGACGTGGAATTTCAAACAGAGTCTCACCGCAAAATCAGCAGAGGAATGGGCCAGAGAGAATCTTGTGTAGTGTAATTGTATATAATTGAAGTACATGAGAGCGTGATACACACAAATATAAGACTGTCTAAGATCGTCAAGGGAGCAAAATCTCACCTAGCCGCTCGGGGAACGAAAAGTCCGCCGATTTCGATATCAGCCAACTTTCGCGTTTCCTCACTTTCACTTCGCTTCTGCACTTCATCGCCCACCATGGAAATAAAAATAACTCCGGCGCAATTTCCTGAAGATGCGAAAGCCATTCTCGTTTTGTTTTCCGGGTACGCCACCTCGCTCGACATCGACCTGAGCTTCCAGTCATTCCAAGAAGAGCTCGACTCACTACCGGGAAAATATGCCTCATCTCAAGGCGGTGCGCTATTGATCGCTCGAGACCAGACTCGAGTAGTTCTCGAGGTTGGTGAGTCGGCTGGTTCTTCTGCCCCGCGATATCCCACTGCCCTCGGATGTGTCGCACTACGACGCAGTCTCGATGGCTGGTGTGAGATGAAGCGTCTCTACGTCCTCGAGGAAGCACGAGGAGAGCGACTTGGCGAAAAACTCGTGGAAGCCATCCTTGCACAAGCTCAAGCTTTTGGCTATCGTGGTATCCGACTGGACACTCTGCCGGAGATGACCGCGGCACAGCGACTATATCGAAAGTACGGATTTGTGGATATCGAACCATACTACGAAACTCCAATTGAACGGACTGTATTCATGGGCTGTGAATTCTTGCAATCATGAGATGAATGGTCATGGGGATGATTTTGAAGTCTGACATTACTAAATAGACTGCATGCACAAATAACGGTTGATTAGATGAACGTCAAATTTGATATGCAAGCTCCCTCGTTCCGGGTCGTAAGACATGTTCCAAACCATGACGAACCTCGATACCAATATGGTTGAAACAGAAAGTCGCGTGGAGATACTTTTGACAGGGTATCATTTCCGGAAGAGGAACTCTTGCCACTTCCGCTTATTCATCAAGGGGCCATGAAGACACCAAGCCTTGCTTTAAAACGGCTGAAGACTTGTAGGTCTTGTTTCAGATGAGTGCACTTGCGCGTTTCGTCTGATTTGAACGTCCGATCTACTGGATCTCTTCCTTTTCTGTTCGGCCTTCGGAGATAGTGCCCGGAGATGACCAGCTTCCGAATACTGTCCGATTAGACACAACAGTATAAATTCGTTAGAGGGGTTGGTGGCTTTGATTGATATCAGCTGCCCAGAGATATTTCAGTCATGACTATGACAGATACGCCTCTCAATGTCCTCGTTGTTGGAGCGGGGATCGCGGGCCTCTCCGCTGCCATTGCTCTTGGCAAACAAGGTCATCGCGTTGTGGTAAGATCACAGAACTCAGGAAAGACGTCTCATCCTGACTGCGAATTCAGATTTTGGAAAAGTCGGCATTTTTGAGAGAGGCCGGTGCTGCAATCCATCTGCCACCAAATTGCACGGCAGTACTCCGCTGGATGGGCGTTGATCCTCTTGATTTTGGAGGTACATTGATACAGGAGGTGTGTCAAGACAGTCAATAAAGGCTGCGTAGCGCTGATTATTCCGTCTTTTAGATTCACCGATACGGATATGAGGGAAATTTGAAGTATAAGAAGAACTTCACGGATATACGCCATCTCTGGCAAGCAGTAAGTGGATGAGAGATACTCCATGACGCTTCTCCAAGGTTGACTTGAAATTAGGAGTTCTATCTCGTTCATCGGGTTGATCTACACCATCATCTCAAAAAGCGCGCTCTGGAGACCGCAACACTCCATACTCAATGCAACATCATCAACGTAGATCTTGAAGCAGAATCCCCTTCGGTCACACTCAAAGACGGTCGCATTTTCAAGGCCGACCTGCTTCTCGGTGCAGATGGAATCCATGTATGAGCTTCCTCTGTTTATGACATTGACAATTATGTACTAACCCTTCCAAAGTCCCAGCTACGTCAAAGTGTCGCTCCTGGTTCTCCAGCTCCATACGCTGTCGGAAAGTCCTGCTTCCGTTGGCTCCTTCCAACGGATGAATTGAAACAGTACGAGAACACCATCGACTTTGTTAAAGATCCAGGAGTGTTTATTGAATGGGCTTCCGACGACCGACGACTTGTAGCCTACCCTTGCTCTGATGACAAGATGTTCAATCTATGTGCCTTTATGCCTTCAACAGAAACAAAAACAGACACCCATAATGGCGGTAATTTTTGTGTCCATATTTCAGCTGAATTTTGACTCACAATGTGAAACAGGATCCCAAGCAGCGGGCGACAAGGCAACGATTGTTAACGCCTTTTTAAAGTTCTCCCCGGGTGTGCGAAGAATAATTGACAGCGCAGAGAATGATCTTAAGGTCTGGGACTTGTATGACATGAAGTCGCTACCAAACTGGACGAAAGGCCATACCGCTCTTCTGGGAGATGCAGCACATCCGTTCCAGCCATGTAAGTGTTGAACCAAGCTACATTCCTTTCACTCACTGATCACTTGCTAGACATGGGTCAAGGAGCAGCCATGGCCATTGAAGATGCCGTTAGTATTGCGACCTTACTTCCACAGGGAACTGCGCCTGAGAATATTCCATCGCGTCTCGAAATGTATGAGAAATCTCGCCGGGAACGGGTCGAGTTTGTTCTTCATTACACGCGATTGAATGGGCGAGATGAAAATGACACCTCCAGTGCGAGGATGACGGGTGGGTTCTGTGTGTTCCTGACGATGAACCTTGAAGCTGACAATCATAGCCGAGGAAATGGTGAAGGTCATGGAGATATGTTTTTCGCACAACGTGATTGACCACTCCACACAGTTGCTGGAGGGTCAATAGCCTGAGGATCTGAGTCAACAGGATCGGATCGTGAAAAGGTGATGTGCAACCGGCAATCATCCAATGAAATGACAACTTCAGGCATTTTTGCATTTTTGATTTCACCGCTACCATCGCAAGCTTATTACTTAATAACTCACGAGCGAAGCAGTCCTTTGGGCACGAATCACGAGCCTATTGTTGCTCTGCGACATAGCCATTGGCTTACCGGAGCTTATCCGATACTAGAAGGCAATAGAAACGCCAAATGCAATGCGCAGTAATCCAATGTAACGTCGGGGATTCTCAACCTGCCCTGCCAAGCCCAGTGCTGTCGACTACCGCGAGGAATTTACAGTAAAGAATTCGCTAGCATTAGCAGAATATCACACGAGGGCTGACTCGCGTTTTGTCTGTCGTCGATGCTCCACTACGCCCCTGTCTGCTGAAGTGGCATTGGTCACCGAGAACCAGGAGAAGAGTGGTGTTCAACGCTGATCTGCATGCTCTTTGCGTACACGAGATTGTGAGAAGAAGGAAGTGACTTGTCGAAATCTAATATTGGACTAGTTGTAGGTCATTGAAGATGAGAAATAGAAGACATCACTTTCACTTGTGATACATCAGGTCAAATTGCGATCTCTAGGGCCCTAGAATAGAACATTGTTAGACTTGATGTGCGTTTGGCGTTATCTGCCGATCTCTAAAAACTCTGAAAGTGTGTCGGATTTTAGTAATCAATGCACTTCTTCAGGCCTAAGGAATGAAACAATAGCCATTATACCCCCGAGATAAACGTGTTTTTGGTGCACTGGCTTTGGTGGAGAGTGCCAAGGTAAGATGGTCTTACTGTCTTCTGGCATACCCGTCGGCGTCCTCTAGGGTACCAGTAACTTGGGTCATAGACTATGGTATGCAGGCCACCATCGAATTGTCGCACTGTGGAATTTGATTTGGTAGTTCTATCATACGGAATTACTTTCTCCGAATCTTCCCCGCCCATTCCTTTATTCAATCTGGCTGAGATGCAGCAAACCACTGGCGCCTATTTGGATATGACCCTGGAAATGGCAGATGGAAACCCGAGCACAGTGCTGCCAGGACTTGAAGCAAACACAGAAAAAGTGGTGAAAGACCGCGAGTCTCAAAATTCTGAAGCCAACTTGACTCATTCCGATTGCTATCGTAGTACCCAGCCGAAATTGAGAGTATCGCAAGTGACCTCACATCATTGACCTCATCAATCTATTCGCACGTATACGAAAATGGCCGTACTTACCATGCATATCGGCCAGGAACTTATGTGTGTGAAATTTCTGCTAACTACCACAATGTGGCACTTTTAACGCCTACCAGCTTCTTCCCAATGATCAGCGGGAACAAGGTATGTATCTTCTGGTTCTGTGCTAGCGTGAGGTCCCAAATCTGACAAATATTCGCCACGCAGATAGAGTTGCATCATGTATACCGTCTCTGTCTAGAAGGAGACCTGTGCAAGACACAACTGCAGCACCCACAGCGTGTACTTGATATAGGCACTGGAACAGGAATTTGGGCAATTGAAGGTGACATATATGCCCTTGAAACCAGTGGTGATTTTAATATTCGGTACTGATATCTGTCCAGCTGCAGACGAATTTCCATCCGCCGAGGTGATTGGGGTAGATCTCTCCTATTCAGCCTAAGTGGTAAGTGCCTACCTTCGTGGCTATCCAATACCAGTAGAATACGCTGACCTCCAAGAGGGTTTCACCAAATGTCAGCTTTTTCATCGTCGATGTCACTCAGGAATGGGCATTTCCCATGGACCAATTTGATTTCATTCACGTCCGCGGTCTCTCGGGGTGTATAGAAAATTGGTGCGAGTTCTTGTCGCAGTGCTACAAGTATGTAGGGAATTCTGTTATACGATATGAAATGCATCATTTAATACCTTCGCAGTCATTTGAAGCCCGGTGGCCAAGTTGAAGTGACAGAGATTCGACCGCGAGGTGAATGTGAAGATAATTCATAGGCAAAGAATTCGTACTAGCTCAAATGGCAGGTTAATACCACGATACTCTTGGTAAGGTTTGGTTCTTAATTCTTGTCCAACAGAAGTAGTTTTATCGCCTGGCAGAGATCCAAGGTCGGAACTGGGACCCTACAACCGGTTTGGTAACTGTTCTTGAGAATACTGGCTTTGAAGATATTCGGTCTACCAGCTACTGCTGTCCTGTGGGGACATGGTCAAAGGACCCTAAGTTGAAAGAGATTGGGCGGTTGACCCGTCCTCAATTCCTTCATGGAGCCATAGACAGCTATACTCTTGCAATGTATGACTGACTTCAGTAGTTGCTTGTCACGGCGCGGAAGGCGATTCGTGTTGAATGTTGATGTATGGTTTATGGAGATGAATTATCCTTACATTAGAACAATTCAAGAGACCAGTCTTTTATGAGCAGAATGTACTATGAACAATAGATGTTGAAATATTGAAAGCCGGTGTTGCCTTAAAACTCAGGAGTCTTTGTGCCTCAGGTCTTAGGCTGCCAGACCTCCAAGCTCGGACCAAGTCGCGTTCCCCGGACTATCCGCCTTTCCTCTTTGTCCCTTGTTCTGCTCATGTAGAAAATGGCCTCTGGGTATATGCAGCCTGAAAAGCCAGACTCATTTCTCATCCGACGGAAGCCGGTGTCCAACCCAAACTTAGGGGCCACGTATGCCGATCACCGGGCGGCAGCTGCCAGCACCCCATCGCTCGTGCCCCCGTCACCCCCGTCTTACACCGAGCTCTATGGACCACCCCCGATTTCCAGGTCTCCGAGTCCCGGGCCAATTCCGAGGCCTCGCACGGCAGGGCCAACAGCTTCGCCAGCCCCTCCACCGCCGACACCTGTCCAAAAGGCATACGGTGAAGCTCGACATTTCCTCGGTGGCCTGATCAATCATCCAACAGAGTCAAACAAACATGTTACCATCCTACGACACTCTCATGGTCTAGTATTTTACCGTGGGAATACGACATCTGTCACGATATCAATATTCTCCGATACTCCTTTACCAATTGATCGCACGCTCTGGTTACAGAGTAAAGGGTGGTCGGGCAAGACTGGCATGCGAGCCAAGTCTTTACTTCGTCTGCGAGATAGCTGGGTGGACGTCACTCCGGGAATGCCATTACGAGCAGACCAGGTGAATCCGGATGATGAACGCGCCTGGCAGCGCGACATCAAGAAGTTCAAAAAGAAGGCACCGGCTCGTCCGCGTGATACACATCACCTGCGTGAAACTGCCGTTGTTCGTATTCCTGCTGAAGGAGGAGATGGGTATTTCCAGCTTGTGCTCTGTCAGGGGCCCAAGAAAAAAGTACTCGGCAACAGTCCCGTGTTTCGAGTGCTCTCTACATCCACCAGCCCCAGCTCTATTCGCGGTGCAAGTCTTAGTACCCTGCCTCTTGAGGTTGGCGCACTGGTAGTTAGCCTTTATGCTCAGACTGCTGTCCGAACCATTGCATCTCCAGCCGCAGTCGCGGTTCAATCCAAGGTGCAGGCCAAGGTCGATCCATTTCGTCCCTCCTGGGTGAACAAAACTGCAGCCAAAAAGGTCTATGTCAGTAGTGGTGCCCAAGATCGTGTGGGTGGTATCGTAAATGGCCCTAATGGATTTATTGGACGGTCTCCGACAAATCTTGTGGCACCGCAAGTCATTGAGAACAATCCTTTTTGCGTTGAGGCTGGCCCTCAACCGCCATTCCCAATGGTATTCAAAGCCCGTTGCCAGCCTGGTCAAACCCCGTCTCCCGAACCTTGTGAGTTACCGAAACTGGCATTGACGAAAATGCCCGATTGGGTGGTGGAACAATTACGGGGTTACTTCTTCGGTTGGGCAAGATTTGAAGCCTCGTCTAGTAAGGAACCGGCCGGTCCATGGTGTCCTGCTATCCTCTCTGTACGAGCATTGGACCCTCTACAGACCGCACGGGTAAATCTAGCCCAGATTGCGAAGCGCCTAGTCGCATTGCGCCTTCTTGAAGATATTCCGCTTCAGTCTACCAAAGTCGAGATTCGCGTGCTGGGATACCTGCGCGCTGAGATCCCTCCACCTACAGGGAGCACCAGTCAACAGCTCACAGAAGCGCAAGAAGCAGCAGCAGAGGCGGCCGTGCTCGCTGATATGTATGATGCGTCTGTAGTGCAGGACACTTTGTCCCATCCTGCATGGGCGTCAGGAAATCCAGATACGCACAATTTGCAACGTCAAAATACAGGCTGGGTCGATCGGACACTGGAGGCTTATGGCAATATACAAAGTCAGGGACAGAAACTGGTACAACAGGTGCCATTGCATCGCCTTGGCGTACGTTCTGCCGTTGATGAGATCAGAGAAAGCCAAGTGGCTGTGAATGGGTTCTTTATCGTTCGGTAACCCCTCATGTCAACGTATATGCGCAGCGAGTGCATTGCGTTGATTAATTTGTACAATACTGCCAACATATCATAATGAATTTCCAAGCTAATATTCTAAGTCTACATAGATCGCTTTCAACATATTTATAAACCACAATCCCAAGACATTGCAAACACATAACAGTCATTATATCAATACCAAGAAAATCATGGTCCGACTGGCGGATCAGAAGCAGCCAAATTGCACTGGCGGAACAAACGAACCTCATCGGGCTTGAATGCACCGACTACCGAGTGAAGCACTCCACGGTTGTTGAACAACACCAAGTCGTTGTCCACCCAGTCATGTGGATACACGTATTGGGGGCTGATCGCTGGTCGCTGCAATTTGTAGACGATCTCACGCACACGAGCCAAATCTTCAACCACAGAGCCATCAGCGCAATGAATCCTCCGCACGGCAGATGGGTGGATCTGCAAAGCCAACTTTCCCGTCACGGGATTCTTCCAGGTCATAGGAAAGACCATGATCTTGCTAGGGTCAATGGGCGGAAGGTCTGATTCTGGGAGCTCGAGACCCTCGGAGTGCATGCCTAGTCCAGTGGAGCGAGATCGAGCTGGGCTCATCCAGATATATGGGTGAGGGGCATATTCCATCTTGCTCGTCTTAACAAACTCCTTGTCCTCGGGCGAGAGAAGTTCAAACATGCGTTCACCACTGACAAACGCCGTTGTACCTAGGGGAACATCCATTGTTTCTCCCGTGCCATCATCATATAGGAGTGTCTGACGGCGACCTTTCGGTACATTCACGGCCATGAGTGTCGTCACCTGGGGTGGGTATAGATCATAGAGGGCAGCATCGATGTGCCAGCGGTAAAACCGAGTGAAGTCATAGTCTTGATCATCAGGGACGTGATCCTTGTGAAATGTACGGTGGTGAGGGTGTCGCAATGTGACTTCTTTCAGACCTTCATACGCTGGAACGAATCCATTTCCAATGACCTGAACCTGTGGCTGATGGGGAACGGTCTTGAGATCGGGATGAAGAATGCTTCGCTTTGCGTCAATGGTCTTGCCATGTCCATAGTTGTCGGAGGCCGGATCGAAGCGCTTGGTCAGCTCATATTGAGCTTTGGGAGATAGTCCCTTCTGATTCTTGAACACGACCACATGATAGCGGTAAAGAGCGTCACGAATAGTCTTGAATTGCTCGTCTATGAATGTTTCAGTTGAAATACTCGCAACACAAGGGTCATTTTCTTACCGGTCAAGGTTTCCAAATTAGCACCCTCAATCTCAGCACCAAAATCAATATCCGAGCCTGGTGGAGGCTGAATCGGACGGACGGTAAGTGGTAGCACGGCCATTTCGGTAAAAGTATTCGGGATGTCAGACTGTCGACAGTGCGCCCGGCAGCTTTTTAAGTTCGAAGTATATAAGGTCGGGCCGGGGAGAGACGGTGGACGGCGTACACCGGGCGAACACAGAGCTATTAAAGGAATTCAGCCACACTTGCTCCATCTCGGCTCTTTTGATAAGATGAACTCCGCATTGCGGAGAAACAACGCGACCTGATTGGAAAATATGGAAAGCTGCATTTCGATAAGGCGGGCGAGTTGGATAAACTCATCCGCAGTCAATTTCTACCTTCTCCGGCTATTAATTAATTTGACTAATAGTAAACACTGATCTCCCTCAATTTACATGTAATTGATTACCAAATTTTCCACCAAGGTCCACGTGGCTGCGCAGGTAGCTCAGCAGCAAGAATCTCGTCTAAGCCAGTATGCAAATCGACCTCTTCAGGACGCCACGCCCAGGGGTCACTCCAGTAGAGAATCCGGTGCCCGAAATAGAGAATCACAAAGGCCGGAATACCAATATATGCAGTGAAAAAGCCGCTGACGGACCACTCAGAGGGGAAGAAGACCGTGAAGCCATTGATGAGCAACATGAGTATGGAACCCGCCAGGCCGAAATAGGCGCCATAGGGCTGTAGCCGCGATTTGTATGGTTGTTCGACCCCCTGGGCTTCCACGGCTTTGCGGAATCGGAAGAACACAATGCAGCAGCAGATCCAGGAGATAAAGCCGGAGGTGTTGGTAAAGTTCACGAACCAGTTGAAGACAACTGAGCTGGAGTTGCCGAGAGCTAGGTAGGCCAACGCCGAGAAGCATGCCGATACTCCGACCGCATAGTATGGAACACCCCATCGGTTGCACGACTTGAAAACACTTGGGGCATTTCCAGACATAGCCAATGAATAGAGGGATCGTGATGACATATACAAGAAGGAGTTACCGGCGGACCAGGCAGAGGTCAATACAGCGGCATTGACGATATGGTCCAAAACGGGGATTCCAGCATTCTTGATCCCAATCACAAAAGGCGAAGAGCTCACCGTGCCGTCGCCCTTGGTCAGGCGGGAGGCATTGGATGGGCAAATCACGCCAATTGCCAGGACACCGAAGATGTAGAAGAAAACCAATCGGTAAATATACCGTCGGGCCGCTCGAGGCACGTTCCGTCGAGGGCTTTCCATCTCCCCTCCACTGATCACAATCAGCTCGGGGGCGAAGATGAAAGCAATGGCGCTCGACACGGTACACTTCAACAAACCCACGAATCGGCCGGCATCTCCCGTGGCAAGGTACTCATTAAAGGGACGAGGGTCTTTCCAGTAATGAAATCCCAGTCGCTGCCGATTAGGACCACCACCCCAGAAAAGAATGAAAGAAACCATCAAAAGACCAATCAAGGTGATGATTTTGACACCTGCGAACCAGAACTCGGACTCGCCATAGACTCGCACGGGCATGAAGTTCAGGGCAACAATAACCACCATCATGATGGTGATCCACACAGCGATGTTGATCGATCCACTCTGGTCCCAGTATCCAATAACCAATCCAGCTGCCGTGATCTCATAAGGCACCAGGATGCCGAGAGAGTACCAGTATAGGTAGCCCATGGCAAATCCCATGCTTCGTGATACATATCGGAATCCGTGGTAACTCATCGTGCCACCGTGTACTGGAAGGTAGGCACCAACCTCGGCAATGGCAGTGACCAGGCCATAAACCATGGCTGAGATGAATAGGTATCCCAGAAGAAGCGACGCGGGGCCTCCAGTAGCTAGTCCTTGACCGGAACCAACAAAGAGACCTAAGTCGCGTTAATCTTTTTTTTTTTTTTTTTTTTTTTTTTTTTTTTTTGAGTAAGAACTTTTTGTAATAGCTCCAACGTACCTGTTCCAATCGTGCCTCCGAGGGCCATCATCTGGACATGGCGGTTCTTCAGACCACGCTGAGTGGTGGTGTAGCGCTCATCGAGTAGGTCGGCTTCGACAAGAGTTCGAACTGCCTTACCTTTTTCGCTGATGGAATGACGAGTATCTTCATGGGAGACATATGGTGCATGATTTATGCCTGCCATTTTGACTAGCTGTTAGACGGTGAGGTGCTTAGAGAAAGTTTGGAGGATGAGGAATTGGATAGCCTTAAATGTTTTCTCCGTCCGGGCGGTTGCATCTCGAACACATAGCCTGGCCAGCCACGCGGGATCAAACTGCCTCGATTCTGATCCATGACTGGTCCAGGCGAAGAAGGGTCAGTTAACCGACGTGACAGCCAAGCCCCGCTAAATGGAAATTCCGGGGTAAGCCTCGTGGCGGCAGATAAGGTAGATTTTCTTATTTTCCAACTTGGATTGTATAGGTCTATACTCCGGGGTTTGGGGATTCCTTGTCACAAGGCTTCTCTTGTCTGAAGGGGTTTTTTGGTGGTCAGAAAACCCCCAAGCCCACCACTTGGTAACGCTCAAATCTGCTTCAGCAGACCTTGGCCTCGGGCTATCAAAGACCGCTTAGATGAAAGAACTTTGATTTGAGCAATGCTTTTTTTCTTATCTCTTCATGATAACTGAAAGCCACACCGGCCTGGCAACCGGTTGACCGGAATGGTATCTCAAGTTAACATAGCCGACATACTGAAGTTAACATACTAAATACACATTAAAACCACAAGACACCGGTCCGGCAACCGGTCCGGGGGCAGAATTGCTAGGCAGTTTCTCTGGGCACATCTTCAAGCAACTCACAGGACGTGGCCTTATCGGCAGGAGTGCAGGGGTCAAGAAGCGAGACACAACGCAGGGCGTAGATAGTTGGATCCAGTCCCAAAAGGGTAAAGTCTGCAGTGGTAACCAATAAACAATGATACGCTAAGCCTAACCAAGGCTGGGCTGGGTAGTGCTAGTCCCAAACAGGAAATGCTCTCTACTCTATCATTTACGGAGAGGAGCTAATCTTAAACAAGCTTAGATTCGAAGGTACATGTCAATGTAACTATGGAATACGAGTTCTGTATTATAGGCAGGCTACCATAGACATATTTCTGCTGTATGCCGCCTAAATCAACAACTCCTGGTAACAAGCTGAGGGGTGCAAGCGATAAACATATATGTACATAGTACCCTAACATCAGACCGCAAGTTTGAATATTTCCAAACAGAATTGAGCCATTCCATCAGTCATGCTAATGACCTAGCTTTTGACTTTATTATGGGACAAAACCTCCATGCCAACCGCCGAAAATATGGAATACAGAAAGACAGAAGCCTGAATGCGACAAATTCCGTATTCCATATTCAATGACCTCCAGGTGGCCTGGCCTGGGCGAGACTAGATTGACAACCAAGGAAGTCAGCGTAGGGATTTTGGTCAACATCGCACAAAAACGATGAGATGTGGTTACATCATACTTTGTGGTCGGTTGAACGCTGTGTACCCGTTGCTTATTCCCCCCACCCACCAGGTAACACAATAGGAATACAATGTTGCTATCGGTAGCAGCGATCTACATCGATAGCATGCTGGGAAATATGTATACATATATCAAGCCCAACCTGACCAGAAATCTGCACCGTTTTTCACTTATGGCATGATCTATAATATCACTTCTCCACTTCCCCCGCATACGAACCGAAGGGATTCGGGAATCGGATGATGCCCGACATACAGACTCGCTGATGTGTCCGAGATTCGAGACGACGACAGTTGACAGTATATTCTGACGTCGACTCTCCATACCTAGACTGCAAACAGCCCAAATGGATCCTAAAACTACTCCAGATAGCTTGATTCAATTTGACACCATGAAAGCACTGGTCTACACTGGACCGGGAACCGTGGAGGTCTTGGATCGCCCAAAGCCGACCGTGCAGGCCCCCACAGATGCCGTGGTTCGTCTCCTGCACGCCTCTATCTGCGGAACAGATCTCCATATCCTCAAAGGCGACGTACCAAGTATCGAACCGGGGAGGGTGCTAGGACATGAGGGTGTCGGAGTGGTCGAGTCACTTGGGTCTGCTGTGCACACCTTACGACTTAGTCAGCGTGTTCTCATCTCTTGTATGACATCGTGTGGTGCCTGTCGATTCTGTCAGCGAGGCATGGCAGCCCATTGTACAACGGGCGGGTGGACGCTGGGGAACAAGACTGATGGCACCCAGGCTGAGTACGTGCGGGTTCCTCACGCCACCCTCTCCCTGCATCCGCTGCCCGAATCAATTGACGCACGCGCTGCGGTCGCGATATCCGATGCTTTCCCTACGGGCCTTGAATGTGGTGTGTTGAGCGCGGGTGTTCAGTTGGGAGGTTCGGTGGTGATTGTGGGCGCGGGCCCTGTTGGGATGGCCGCACTTCTCACGGCCCGCTTATACACCCCATCGTTGATAGTCATGGTGGACTTAGACGAGGGGCGACTGGCGACAGCGCATTGCCTCGGAGCACATGCCACAGTGGTCTCGGGCCCCGACGCCGAGACAAAACTCATGGAACTCACGGGCGACCAGGGATTCGATTCGGTCATCGAGGCAGTGGGCATCCCTGCAACTTTTGAGTTGTGCCAGAAAGTGGTCGCTGTGGGTGGGCGTATCGCGAATGTAGGTGTACATGGAACAAAGGTTGACCTGCACCTGGAAAGACTGTGGGAGCGAAACATCAGTAAGTCGAAGTCGAGGGAAGTGGCAACATGCAACTGACACCTCAGGTATCCACATGTCGTTGGTCAATGCGACGACGACCTCCCGTCTGCTGCGACTCGTGGAAACGAACATGTTGGACATTAGTTCTTTAGTGACCCATCGTATGTTTAAATGAGGCTGAGACATTCTCATCTAACCGTCCCAGATTTCCCATTCACCGAGGCTCCCAAGGCATTCGAAACATTCCAGGCCGCCTCTCAGCACCAGGCGCTGAAAGTGGCGATAGATTTTGCCTGAACATTCTGTGATAATGAATGAGGAATGCCACGGTACTGGACTTATTCGCCCTGCCCCTTTCCCCCGGCCCCCCTAAATGGAGCTTATCTACGGGATGGCCGCACGGCACACGGCTGAGATGTGGTACCGACTTGCGGGTTTTATTTGCAGATTCGGGGCTGTTAATCCTCATAGTGTTGTGATTGGTTGCGTGGGGTATTTGGCGTCTTTCTAGTCTTACGCGGTTAGAGAAGTGCGCCTCTGATATCACCTTTGCACAGTAGCGCTATCATAGTCTCATGGAATGATAGCGAGGGAGATAGATGTAGATAGATGTAGATTGACGTAGATATAGCCTTTGTCAGACGTTTCAAAGAGGAAACCACTACCTAGTTTAGTATATGTACATGCGGAGAGATCTTTGAAATCTGTTTATCTGTTTCTCGAACAATTTCCCAAGTATTTTGATTGGCCCACCGTATCTCCGTAACGGACTCTAGTTGGAACCTTCGACGACGTTGCTCTGACTGGCTCTAACTTAGTTTGGTGGCTTTAAACGGCGCATTTCACTGGCTACAGTGTCCAAGTAGCCACTCAAGTGGCTCTGCTGTCTGCTGGTCATCTCCGTCTTACTCCACTTCCTTGTTCGTTTTTTTTTTGCTTTTTTTCTTTTTTTTTTCCTCTTCTATTTTGCCTACTCTTTTTTTTTCTCTCTCATTTTATATTTATTCAGAGTTTTCTCTCTGATATGAACATCAATCACTAAATCCTTTTTCCTTATTTCTTCAATATGGGTCTCGTTGAACGTCGCCCGTCCGGGGAGCAGGGTGTGGACACTACCAATGCCGATCGGACTTTAGAGGACATGGGCTACAAGCCTGAGTTGGCTCGCAATCGCTCCATCTGGCAAGTGACCTTTATGTGCTTCATTCTTTCTTCGGTTCCTTACGGTTTGTCTACTACGCTGTACTACCCTCTTGCTGCTGGTGGTCCCGCAAATGTGATCTGGGGTTGGGTGATCATCTCGTTCCTGATTCTATGCGTGGCCATCTCTCTGGCTGAGATTACCTCGGTGTATCCCACAGCCGGTGGTGTCTATTACCAGACCTTTGTCTTGTCACCGCTATGGTGTCGTCGTGTTGCATCCTGGATCTGTGGCTGGTCATACGTGGCAGGCAATATCACGATCACTCTTGCCGTGAATTTCGGAACAGCCTTGCTATTCGTGGCCTGCTTGAATGTCTTTGAGAAGTCACCCGGCGTGGGCATCACAGATGACTTCCAGACATACCAAACCTTCCTGATTTTCCTGGCCATCACCCTGTTGACTCACGCCATCTCTGCATTTGGCAACAAATGGCTGCCGTGGTTGGAGGTATGTTCTGCACGTGCCATATTACCCCATGGGGAATAGGACTGATATCTTTCATCTAGACATTTGCCATCTTCTGGACGTTAGCTGGTCTGGTTGCGATCATCGTCTGCCTCTTGGCCATCGCTAAGCAAGGTCGTCACTCCGGTGCCTGGGTGTTTGGTCACTTTGAAACTCAAGCTGGGTGGCCTGCTGGATGGTCCTTCTTCATCGGTCTCCTCCAAGCAGCCTACGCCACCTCTGCCACAGGCATGATCATCTCGTGAGTTTCTCATTGAAGTGAAACACCGCAGAAGCTGAGCTGACAATATCTAGTCTATGCGAAGAAGTACGTGAACCCGCTATCATGGTCCCCAAAGCCATGGTCGGAACCATCGTTATCAACTTTATTGCCGGACTTCTCTTCCTGATCCCAGTGTGCTTTGTGCTCCCTGATCTGACTTATTTGGTGAACCTCGCATCCGGTCAACCTACCCCGGCGATCTTTAAGGCCGCTGTCGGAAACTCGGCGGGTGCTTTCTGCCTGCTCATCCCCCTGCTCGTTCTGGGAATCATCTGTGGCGTAGGCTGTGTTACTGCCACATCTCGCTGCACCTGGGCCTTTGCCCGTGACGGTGGAATTCCCGGTTCCGGCTGGTGGAGCACGGTCAACCCCAAGCTAAACATCCCTTTCAATGCCCTGGTGCTAGGTATGGTTGTGGAAATTGTGCTTGGAGTCATTTACTTTGGCTCTACCGCTGCATACAATGCCTTTTCCGGTGTCGGTGTCATTTTCTTGACCACTAGCTACGCCTGCCCGATTGCTGTCTCCCTGATTTTCCGCCGCCGCGAAGATATCAAGAAAGGAAGCTTCAACTTTGGAGTTTTTGGGCTGATTGCTAACATACTTGCTTTGGGTGAGTCGGAACTTGTCCGCTGTTTCTCTGGGAACTTTGCTAATTATTCTACAGCCTGGAGCATTCTTGCTATTCCTCTTTTCTGCATGCCGACTCTCATGGTGGTGACCAAGGAGAGCATGAATTACGCCTCAGTGGTCTTTGTTGGATTTGTTGCAATCGCTGCTGTCTGGTATGGAGTCTGGGGTTACCACAACTACCGGGGCCCGCCAACGGATGCGGTGGAGCATGATGGAGCCTCATCGCGACCCACCTCACCTCCAACTTATGCCGAGGTTCCTGACAAAGCTGAAAAGGTCCGCGATGACTAAATGGAGATGATTAAATGGACTTGGTGACTGTGGTGGCGTTCCGCTACGATATTTGTATCTGTCTCTTAACTCACCTGAGAGGTCTTTAGCATCTCCGATATGAGACGTATGTACGTTAGCATAGATACCCGTTTTGTTCGAATTTACCTTGTAGCTTAGTAAAAGCACAACCACACAAGAGTTAAAAGATGCATGTAATTATTTAAGGCTCGAATCGCGCCGTGGTAAGACTCGAGCACGGAATGTCCTATCGACATCCATCCCTAGGAACCGATGGCTACCATATGATCGGTCACCAGACAAGTAAAGTCGGACGTCCCGTAATAGAACGTGTTACCGTCATCTGGCGATTTTCCATAACTAAGTGTGTCCCCATACTGCCAATAGAGGTCAGCCGCAACACCAGTGGCCGATAGCGCCGTTGCTTGCCACGGTGCCTCAATTGCACAGTGGTCAGATGTAACACCGTACTCCTCAAAAAGACATGGCTTGCCAGCAGCTGCACAGGCGGCTCCGTGGGAGGTGATCCACCCGTTGCCCCAGTCGTTAGAAGTGCCCCCTTATCAATCAATTAGCAACAGTCATCGCTTAAGAGAGGGAGATATGCGTACAGCTCGATGGATAGAGATGGAACGTGCCAAAGTCAATGGTGTCAATGTCCAGGTTCATGGTGAAGTTCAATCCCTCGCTATAGGAGTAAGGATAGCTGCCATCAGAGCCAGCGTCAAGTCCAAAGCCCTCTTTAAATGTTGTTTTTAGCCATTGACATCCCTAGAAGATCATCTGCGCTCACTCACCATCACCAATAGCTACCATATGCTTTGAATCAAGAGACTTGATGTAGGCACTGGTAGACACAATCCAGTCGTAAAGGACCGACGGGTTGCAACCGTTGCAACGTGGCTCGTTGGCTAGTTCCCAAGCAAAGACGGCGGGCGAGTCAATATACCGGGATACAACTGCCTTAATGTAGGCGCGGTAGGCTGTCTGTGCGGCAGTGTTCGTGTACCAGGTAGTTTGACTTCCACCAAATGCTGTAACATAGGCTGCCATACCTCCATAGTCAGACCAATTGTTAACAAAGTTGATGATTAGCTTGACGTTGCGTTTCTCCGCGGCTGCAACAACGTAGTCCAAGCGCTGCAGGCCGTCCGCGCCGGTATTGATTGTAGCTCTTCCGTCGGACAGGAGCTGGTAATAGACAGTTCCAGATGACGGTACAGTATTCACATCGTTGAATCCCCAGACTCGGAGAATGCGAAGTCCGGACTCATCCATGTGATCTAATACTGTATCGACATCAGCATTATTTGTGAGAAATCCGATCCAGTATGAGTTGGAGCCAGCAAAGTAGCTCGTCTTGCCATTAATCTCAAACTTCAGCCCGTTCGTAGTCGGGAAACCAGTCCCTCCAGTGCTAGAAGTCGTGGTTGAAGTGACCTTGGTAGTGCTGGTCGACGTGGTAGAGACTTTTGTGGTGAGCGTGGTTGTGGTTCCACCACTTGATGCTGCAAAAGTCAGGAATGAACATTATTCAGATCTGCGAGACAACAATTACATGCTAAGCATTGACTATACCAGTCGTTCTGGTACTGACAAACCCAACCTGTTGTGCATACTGTCGTCCCAGAGTAACCGCTTCCACCGCATTGTCCGTAAGGTGCGACTTGAGCAGAGACCAGACCGGCCAAGGAAAGAGCTATTAATACTTTCATCGCGACTTAAGTACTCGATTGCTCCCATGATTCCATGTTGGACTCATGCAGGTATTTAAGTGAACATTGGCACCAGATGATGGCAACGGGAAAACGCCCCGAACTGAATTAGGACATCAGACTAACAAGCAAGGCCTGGAGGCATCAGTCCATTCAGCGGTAACGAGGAGTCCGTCTTCATAGGCCCCCCGTGTTGTTTGTGGAAAGGCAGATATAGTATCGCCATGACGAATTCAAGGACATTAAGGCCGGACCTAATTTCCCCAATACAATCCCTGCTAGTAACCTGCGGGGTAATTAAACACATAAAAGCACAAATCAATTGCGATTGCGGGGGTTTCATGCAGGAATGAAATGTGGAGGGCTTGTTAAGCCAGCGGAGTACGCTTGCCTCGATTTGTCAAGGCGTTTCAGCCGTCGTAGTTAGTCAATAAAGCCGCATTAGCAGACTGTGATTGTACGGAAGAACGGACAGTTGAACCGATCGTACGATGTTCAGATACCAGGGATAATGTGGTTTGCGGATAAAACCGACAGGGGCGAAAGTAGAGTAGTATCACTCTGCCTGCAAAATTTTGATCAGACCACACTGATCGGGGTGGATTTCGGGAGCTAGGTTTTGTTCATGACGAAAGATCCAGAATGATCTTCCCCGCGGAGTGCCGGAAAGACTTGGAAACCACAGAAGTGGCGGAGGCACATTTAGCAGCCAGCTTTGTTCCAACAATATGATAACAGCGAATCACATTTCAAGTCAAACGACCCAAGGTGGCCTGATAGTAGGTAAGCGTGGCTCTAACAAGCACCATCTACCTAGGTTGACCATTTTCACAGGAACCACTTGTTCCTTTGGCTGGCTCCGTCAATAAGCAAGACGGGTCTGCGAGCCGAGATTCCTTCCGACTTGGCACGGGGAATGAAGGATCGATCGGCACAATGTTGGCGGAGTAGAACTATTCCGAGAAGGAAGACGCCGATACTCTGACGTGGACTCTAGTATCGGCGAGTTTACTAAGATTCGAGGCCGTCGTGATAACTTAAGCAAATTGGGACACTTGACTTGTCATATCCCCATGTATAGCTGGACAAAAGGGGTATTGACAAGTTAGAATGAAAACTATAGAGGGTTTTGGCCTAGGTAACGTATGCCCCCTGAAGCCCTGGGGCCGGGGAAGATACCCACACAAAACCAGACAGACACGCGTAAAATTGAGAACTATTTGTTCTAGAAAACTTAAAGAACACCCGTGTCAAGCCAGAAATGCCACAATTTCATCATTTCCAGGGCGATGTGAAAATTCTTCAATGACGTAACGCGGGTGTGGCGTCCCAGAGACCGCCACTGACGCTCTCGGCACGCACTTTGCAACTATACCCGGGCTTCAATCGGGGATGCTTTGACACGGCTGCCCGAATATGCCTCAGCGGGTCAAAGTGCAGTAGTTTCAGTGTTCTTCCAATGCGATGCATGCGATAGAATGTGAAGTTGAGAGGGTTTCACCCCGGAACCTCCAGACTCCGCATTTTCCCCTCAGAGCAATTCTCCTTCCTTGTCTGGAGATGCATGGCCGGGGAAGACACTCACCGAGACACTGAAGAGGAATGACTTGCTTTCTCAGTCCGGAGACTCCTCTGGGGTCGGAACGCCCGGCTTTTCGCTGACACATGGCCCACCTTGTTCTCCAGACTCCAGAAAGACTTATCCGGAGTATCAAGGCCCTCTCACACCACGATTTCAACATAAAAGATGTATAATTGAGGTCCTGGATCACATCTCGGACCCGATATACCTGATCCCGAAGTTTAGCCCGAATATTAGCTCTTCGGCATGGTCTTGGCTGGCGATAAAATGCCGAGTCGGGTGAATTCGCCACTCGCTTGGAGCCCGACCCTGGCCTCTTCGGACATTCGGCTATCCGTTTGAATGGCGAACCAGAGCCGATGACCACATGGAATTGCCTCTGTATGGCTTCTCTCCTCTTTCTGTGGAGTCTATCGGGCCGTGCGAGTCGGCTTCGGCCGGCATGTTGCCTGACTACCATCCTCATTTGTACAATTGGCCATGGACATCGTCATCTCGCGCGAGTAGTCTCTCCACACTTCTCTCTCCACTTGGAAATGTGCCGTTTTTTTTTCTTGATTTCCTGTTGATTACAAAAGGGGCCTGTCCCCCATGTTCCCCAAGACTTTCTGTTGTTCCCCATGGGCCTGTCCCCCCAAAATCATAATCTTTTTTTTTCTCTCTCACATCACTACCGGCTTTGGTCTTAGTTTCATATACAATATAACTTGAAGTCCCTTCAGCCAGACATCTTCCATCTATACACAATGGGTGTCGAATCCTCTTCCCACCATGGGGAGTCTATCACCCCGGCTCAACAGCCAACCCTCCATACCTCCTCCCAAAACAGCCCTGTTCAAAAGCCCATGCGCCCCGTGGGTGTCGATACCCCCATCCCTCGGATAACTGCGCGTTCCTTGATCATGGCCCTCTTTGTCTCCATGGGTGGTCTCCTGTTCGGTTATGACACTGGTCAGATCTCCGGTTTTCAGGAAATGAGCAACTATCTGGAGCGGTATGGTGAGCTTGGCGCTGATGGCTCTTACTCTTTCAGTGCCACACGATCTGGTCTGATCGTCGGCTTGCTTTCCATCGGTACCCTGATCGGTGCCCTCGTCGGTGCTCCCGTTGCTGACGCGCTCGGCCGCAAGTGGTCCATCACCCTTTGGTGCATGATCCTCAACATCGGATTGATTGTTCAGATTTCTTCCCCAGATGGCCACTGGTACCAGATGGTCGTCGGTCGTTGGGTCACTGGTCTTGGTGTGGGAGGTTGCTCCCTTCTCGTGCCTATGTACCAGGGTGAAAGTGCCCCCCGTCACATCCGTGGTGCTATGATCAGTTGCTACCAGCTTTTCGTTACCCTTGGTATTTTCCTAGCCTACTGTATCAACTTGGGCACCCACAATATGGACGGCACTGCTCAGTGGCGCATTACGCTCGGTCTTACCTTCCTCTTCGCGTTGGTCCTTGGTGGTGGTATGATCTTCTTCCCCGAGAGTCCTCGCTATGAGTTCCGTCACGGAAAGGTGGAAAGTGCCCAGCGCACCCTGTCCAAGCTTTACGGTATTCCTGAGAACCATGTTCGCATCATTGAAGAAATGGATGAGATTCGTGAACAGTTCGAAGCCGAGTCTGATGATCAGAAATGGCATGAGTTCATCACTGCCCCCCGCATGTTTTACCGCATTGTTCTTGGCATGGTTCTTCAGTCGCTGCAGCAGCTTTCTGGTGCTAACTACTTCTTCTACTATGTAAGTTGCATATCAACCCCCTACCCCCTTCTTCCGCCAACGCGATTTTGCTCTATTCTTGCATTGTCCTTTCTATTGAAGGAAACATATGCTAACATTCATTCTCTTCAAGGGTACCACTATCTTCGAAGGCGCCGGTATCTCGGACAGTTTCATTACCCAGGTGATCCTTGGTGCTGTGAACTTCGGAACCACATTTGGTGGTCTGTACGTTGTTGAGAACTTCGGCCGACGCAAGTCTCTTATCTTCGGAGCCATCTGGATGTTTGTCATGTTCATGATCTTCGCATCCATTGGTCACTTCGTGCTGGACGTGGAAAACCCTACCAACACCCCCAACGCCGGTAAGGGAATGATTGTGGTCACATGTTTCTTCATTGCAGCATACGCCATGACCTGGGGTCCTATGGTCTGGGCTATTGTCGCTGAGCTGTTCCCGTCGAAGTATCGTGCTAAGGGTATGGCTCTTGCCACTGCCACCAACTGGTTGTGGAACTTCCTCATCAGTTTCTTCACCACCTTCATCACCAATGAAATCGACTTTGCCTATGGCTACGTCTTTGCTGGTTGCCTTTTCTTTGCAGCCTTGATCGTTTACTTCTTCGTCATTGAAGGAAAGGGTCGCACTCTGGAGGAGCTCGACTGGATGTATGTCAACAAGGTTGTCCCCTGGAAGAGCAGCAAGTATGAGATTCCTCAGCGCCAGGAGTGGGCCGCCGACGAGAGCCCTTATGGGCGCAAGGAGGAGCAGATGTACCATGCCGAGAACGCATGAGTACTCAGTGCATGAGCATTTGAGCATTTTCTTTTCCATTATTCACAATCGGGGTTATTATGGATTTGCATTTCACGATATCAACTTGGGCCTGGCGTACTGAGTGGAATTGTGTGGATTTCTTTTCTTTGTACATTTAGGTGATTACATACATCATGCATTATAGAACCTAGACCAATGTTTACATTACATATGATCGTCATTTGAACCCGCAGCAAGATATGAGACGCAGAAGCGCTCACAGAGCATATACACTTTTTGTTGCAAATCTTGCTGCCATCCGTCGATTCAGAACCCAGAAGACCAGAATCTGCAAACCAACCAAAACCAACCCCGACGTAACTAGAGTAATCATTATCAACAAGCCTCTGGGGTAACTGGTATATCAACCCATAGGACGTTAGTGGAACGAAAAAGATCACCATAAATCATCCAAGGAATACGTACAACATCGAAGATTCGTCATCTCGGAATATTTGTGTCCCTGCCATAAGACCGGCAGTAGCTGACATTACAACTGTGTCAAGTTAGTTTAGCATGGACTATACCAAGATATAGATATCGGCCAATCATACACATTCTAAATGTTCATAGCATGACTGAATTAGTTCATATCGTATGTCGATTGAAGGGTCCCGAGTTTCAAAAGGAATACTCACGCAACACTGATGCTTCTCTCTTCGGGGCTCTGACAGTTCATCTGAATCCAAGCGTTATGGATCGGATGATAGCCAACTGCCAATCCATTCACCATTGTCCATAGACCAAATCTGTCCCATTTCTCGACCCGATGCTCCATTGTTCTCAAAGCGGCCAATGCGATTAAGTAGACGGAGATCGCAATCATAACAGTCAAGCCCCGTTTATTCGTTTTGTCGCTCAACCACGCAAAAAATAAAATGACAGGCAGAGTTGCAAAGCCTCCAATTGCAGTCAATGAGTTTGCTTGGATTCGATTGAAGCCCAATGACATGATAATGCTGGGAGTGTAGGTTGTAAGTGGGCTCCACGTAGAAAAGACACAAGCCGTGGCAATGAAGTGTGGCCACTTTTCAATTTTAGTCAAAGTATCCCACACTAATCTCAACGGTATCCCGGCTTTGTTAGACCGAGCCAGATAGTCCTTTTTGGGACAAGTGTTCCTGGTCGTTGGGCCAATTGAGAGGCAAGGGGATGTCGCGCAAATGGTCTCGTGTTCAGGAAGGAAAATAAAAAGCACGCTTGACACGACCACCGAGAAAAGACCCTCCACTGCAAATAGTTGAGTACTTTTGTCAGTTGAAACTCGATTGATTATCTTACCTAAAAAGATCCATTGCCAACCAGAGAGATTGGCCCTTCCGTCCAGTTTGAGCAATCCCGCGCCAATTAAAGGAGAGATGGCTGTTCCTCCGAACATGCCGAAGAAGAAAATGGCGATTCGCTTTGTAAATTCCGGGGGTGTGTACCAGGTTGAAAGAGTGTACATTGCACCAGGGATATAACCAGCTTCGGCAAGTCCAAGAAAGGCTCTGGTGACTAGGAAGCCAGCTTTGTTGCGCAGAAAGATCTGTAAACAGCTCACAAGTCCAAATATAAAAACTTGTCCACTGATCCATTTGCGAGGACCAATCTGGCGACCTTCAGCTTTTGGTCGATTTGGGGAGATGAGTTCAAGTACCTTGTGAAGCATCATATTTGAAGGAATCTCCAGTATAATCACCCCCAAAAACATAAGTTGGTTTCCAAGGTTGATGGTGTTTTGGTCCGCGGAGACAGCTACTGCAAAATCACCCGTAAGTGCACTCGCGATGTTCGTTCTGTCTAGCTGATAGCTGGCAAACCCAATAAGTAGCAGTGGCAAGACCCGAAAGTCCGCTCTGAAAAACCTTTACGTTAGAATTGCATTGATGTTTCGTCCGCTTACTGATACAACAAACGTACGTTCTCCGATAGACTCTAGAGCTCATGCTCTTACAATCATCTTTTTTTGCGAGAGGATCGAGTTGAGCTTTTGTATAATCTGTCATGTCAAGTGTCCAATGCTTGTCAATACATTAACATAGTCCGGGCTGTGGACAGTTGCCGGGCTAACTTTGGGGATTCTTGTTCACCACGGAGGGGACCTTGGGGGCAATCAAATTCAACACCTTGTGGACGATAAGATAAATGCACTCGAAGCCAGAGAAAACAAAGATTTGCTTATATCTTCAACTTAGGTGTGCTGTTGAATTTCTTGCCCCTCAGATCATATAAACGGGTACTAATTTTCGGGTACTAGAAATATCAAAATAGGGATGAAAAAAGCAGAAAATGTGCATCAATTGAACTTTGAATTATTTCCATACAGGCTGAGAAATGATTAAGTTAAACCCGAAATTCTCATATACTGCCCAAGAAAGTTTGAAAGATACATCACAGGCTCGCAGTCGATAACAATTCGTCCATGCCAAATTTCAGTAGACGATTGTCTTCTCACATTAACGTCGCATCACCTGCACGAGAGGAGATTTAGGCGTGACAGTTTATCTGAGCGTTGTTCAGATTGATTGGAACGACGGCATTGGGATTTCCATCAATATCAGCATAGGTGTGCTGAGCAGTCAAGGTACCGATGACAGCACCATTGTTCTTGATGACACAGTTGATAGATTGCGGGAACGCAGTAAGCTGGGCAGCATTGGCCTTAACGATGCCACCAGCCCCGACAGAAGTGCTGCCAAAGAGGGACAGGATACTCTTGTCGGTTCCATCCGCGAGGAAACCCACGCCAGAGTATGCTCCAGATTGGTCATTGGAAAGTGCGACAGTGACTTGACTCCACGCGCGAGCCTCGATGGGCGAGGCGGCGGCGAAGACTGCCATGAACGGGACAAGTGCAGCGAAAGTAAACTTCATTTCGATGATTTTGAATGATATTCGAATAAAAATTTGATTTTGTGTGGTTTTATGGTCGTCACAGGGGATTGAAAGATGGATAGAGGTTTTTGTGCTGTGAAGAAGATGTACTACAACTTGTAGGAAGCATGCCGGATTTATACCTCCTTCACTGGGATGTTGAAGTGTAGCCCAGACCGCTGTTTTCCTGCCAACAAAGCTATTATTAGGTATTCAGCTTTTGATACGACCTGTAAGTAAGGCTTTGAGTACAAAAAAAAAGCAAAGTCCCTATAAAAGGTTGTGCTTTCACACAGCCTTGAAAAACAGAATCAGCTGAAGTTTGATTCAAGGCCTCCTACTGCAAGAATGAACTCGCATTGTAAGACATTTGTCTTGCATAACGTGGTTGGCATTAGCCACGCAATGCACTATCCATTCTTGAAATTTATGTTAAATACTTGTGGGCCGTGCGATTTATCCGAAGCATCAATAGACCAGGCAACTAAAAGCTGCATTCTGTCACTAGTGGATGGCTTGTTGTCGAACCAGACACTTGATCGATTCACTGGCAATGCTCATTATTCTTGAAGACAAATTTCTTATTATCCGGGAACGGAGGTTCTATTATTTCGAGAAATATTTCGAGTCAGCTGTGGGCGTAGTTCTCGGTCCCTCTGTTGCATGTCTAGCATTAAAAATTTGCACTATGACAGTATTGGCAATGACCATGGGGTTTCACAGCTGCCGCCTATTTTGTCTTGGTATTAGAATGCTCTGCGAAGCTGACACGGGAGCTCACCGCGTTATTGCCAAGCTGCCGGCGCAGAGTCCTTGGAAAAGTTTGCAATATTAAACTTCATTTCCTCACTTTTGAGTTTTTAATCACAAAAAAATAAAGCTATCACTAAAGTTTTAAGCATAATAGTTATTGAAATTCACACGCCGAAAATAGAACAATGTTAGACCAAAGCAAATGGAGCTCCAGCCTATACACAGAAAGATATATCCTGTCCAAGCCAACCCGCGTTGAGATAATGAGCATGGTGCCTAGTTGCCTCAATTTTGGTGACTTACAGAAATACGAAGAGGAGTCATCATGGAAATAGTAAGCACACTTTTTGCACGGCAACTTCGTATTCACTTCTTGGTGTCTTACAATCCGGATCGTACACGAGGCTCACCTTGACCTAACTGGAATGCCATAAGCCAAACAGAATTCAAGTTTCCAATGAGATGAACACCGATCTTTAGAGTTGAAAGTAGTCATGTGCCAAAATTTGACTTAGCATAGATACAACCGGTTTCCCTGAGCGTTACGCTAGGTCAAAAGTGAGTATCCGGGGAGGCCTTAAGGCGCACTAGGCTTTCCGATTTTAATTGGACCTTCTCTGTCATGGTAAGTAAATGTACTGGTACAAGCTTGTGCTGTCCTGCACTCCGACGTTCCAAAAAGCACTGCATGCCCCGGGCTATTGGGTTAAACTGAGTGAATATCGCATCAACATAGAGCACACACCACAAAAACCAGAAGTAAGCAAATTTAGAGGAAAGTCTCTGGTGGAGTTTTGGAAAATACAATGGTAGGCTATTTAGTGACCTACGCTACGAGTTCATTGTACCCCTTTGCCTAGAAAGGTATGCTTCCCTGGCCTTACTTCTTCTCACCCCACTTCCCCCAGTGGCTTGGCGGGGGCGGCTTCGGGCTTGGACCTTCGGGCCAAACCACGTGTGCTCTATTACACAGAGTCAATCATATTGCCTTTGAAACAAAGGCTTTAGTCAATTAACATGATGTTGGCCCTAAAAATGTGCCATGCATAAGAATTTGCCAGAGCGTTTGCCACTAATTCATATGTACACTTTGATGCAAATCCCGATTAGGAAGCATTGTACTGTGCAGTCCTACCTCGTCTCAATCCGGCATAGCATATTATATGCGTAAATCGCTACGTAGTATTCCGATATATCTTGCTATGGGTGTGTTTGACAGCAATATCGGCTCAAGCAGCCCTTGGGCTTCCACGGGCGGGGATAGTTGACGTGTTCTTACTTGACTGGAATCTACATTATCTCACCATTGCGCCAAAAAAAGAATGACTATACATATAATGTTGCTCAAATGCGGTCTGGTCCATTGAATTCCAATTATGTGGCGGAGGATTTCTGCAGCAGAGCAGACTAAAACAATACGCATTTAGCAGCGCATCTTGCTAATAATGACATGCTGTATAGTTGAACGCTGGCTTTGTAGCCGAGGAGTATATTTGGTCTCAAAGAGGCAAATTAGAAGTCAGGTTCTCAACGTTTTCTCATTTCGATGCCGGTGCATCCCACGATGAATCACAGTCTATATGCGCGATAAGAATATTATAAAACAGATACCTCATCTATTGAAACCTTCTAACATAGAAAATTAAAAAGTAGAAAGTCTCCTGCTTGTGCAGAATGTATACTCAAAGCCGGCATAAAATTTCGGATCACGACGTCTTTTGCTCAGGTTTACCCATATGGCCTCATGCAGTAAGCTACCTTGATTTTGTACCATTTTCTTTGTCTACCGGTTACGAAAATTCTCCACCGTCCTATGAGTAACATACGTAGGTGAGTAAATGTAAACTTTTAGGCATTGTCTAATGAGTTAGCCGCTGGGAAACAGAATATCTCTATGAGGGAATATGAAAAGCTGAGAAATTATGAATTGGGTGAATTTCTCATTAGCTAGGGGCAGACCGAAGCTTTGCTTGGATGCCAGAACTGATCAAGTTGCCTGAGGTTGCACCTAAAGACGATATGACCGCCGAACACAGAAATGGGTGTCAATTTAGATGTGGGATTTACATTCACAATTCGGGTCATGATTGTAAGCCTGGAGGATACAGTCAAAACTGAAGGAATGCATACCCGTGGCTGGTGACTGAGGAAGCATAATAAATGGTAAATCAAAGGACATGTCCAATATCGATCACGATTGGAATATCGTCTAATCTTTCCCGACTACACTTGGTGTTCGTATTTATCTTTTGCCCAAGAGCTGATAGTATAGTCATCACTCGCGAACCATAAATATAGCTGTCTAAAGCTATGTCTTCTGTAAGTAAGGGGTGAAAAACAAACAGTACCACAGATAGCTTCATTTTGCCGTTCGAACTGACTTACGTCAAACATGTTTTTGTTTCACGTGAAACTGGTCCGCAAGGCATGGTGATTGCGAAAAAGCGAAATAAGTCATTTATATCTACTGTTGCGAGGCCCGTGTATGTGTATTGTTCTCACCAAATTGAAATCTACATGATGCGGAACAAGGGGCTGTAATAAATTAGTCAAGGTGAAATGTATCTTGCAGATCATACCGCTCTAACTTTTCTAGGATATCAAAAAAGCTCAAGTCATTCCTTCCAATTCCGAAGGGCCTTAAACAAGTTTTGTTCATACAATTCTAGCAAAATTGTACCATTCAGTAGATAGACCCATTCTATGCTAATGAAAATTCTAAGGAAGGGGGGTATGTACAGGGGTGAAATTCAAATACCCGTCGGCGATTCAACAAAGGGGCTTATTTTCAACTGCCGAGGCATTCCAGAAAATCGAAAAGGAAGCTTGGCGATCGAGCGGGTGCTCAACCAAAGATGGCTTCACATTCGCCACAAATTCTACAATCAATGTTAGACAGAGAAAGTTATAGACCTTGGGAGACGTTGCTTGATGACATAAAGGGAGACGGATGAGGCACCTGAGTATCTAGAGGGTATTACCAAGATACTACGTGTCTGTGTAGCCACCTAGTTCTCCTCAGAGATAAGGTAATGTATGAAGGGTCCATAGCAGGGAAGCTATATCTGACACAAATGAAAAAGTATTAGTTTTGGTCGAGTCAATTTACAACGCACAAGCACAAGGAATTCGTAAGGTCCTACAAGTATTCCCAGCATGCAATTGCGATTGTTTCGCCTGCAATAAAAACGCGACTTGTACATCCAGTGTAATCTTGCCGACTTCCCATTGGTTGAGAGTAGATATCCTAAGATCGTAATCGTTAGGGCCGATGCTATGTTCAGGTACGCCCATTGCCTCGATATGGAAATGATATGCCGGGCTTCCCAATCAACTGGCGTAGGAATGTGACTTTGTTATCAACATGACTTACATTCTCTGTGAAAACTTACTTCACAATAGACTGCTGCTTGTTTCACGAAGCCCTCGGATAATCGCCGTTCCAACGTATTCAATTGTCTTAGTATGTGGCTCCCTTTTGGCTTAGGCCTCCTCGGCTTTGCCGCAGCCACAGAGTTAGCTGAGAGCCTTTGTTCAAGCACAGTTTATGTTACAAAAACAGCAACTGCTCCTGCGGTATCTGATTCCAGTTCACCAACATCAGGTTAGTGTGACAAAACTACTTGTAGCAGACACCCGCTAACAAATCTCAGCCTCGGGAAAGAGTATCACTGTTGCCACCGACGCGAGTGGACAATTCACAGCAATTGGTGAGGCCATTGCATACGCCCAGGATCACCAAGTTCCCACTGTTACTGTACTAGCTGGGACATATCCAGCCGTGACCGTATCTGCCACCCCTGTTGTTGCTATCATCGGCCAAAGCAAGAACAAAAATGATTACTCAAAGAATGAAGTTGTTGTGTCTAGCACAGGCATGGCTCTCACGATTTCAGTCGATGTGACTCAGATCACTTTTGAAAATATCAATTTCGTCAACCAAGCATCGGCGGATGGTGCAGCGATGATCCGTGGGGGGAAAAAAGGGTTCTATCAATGTCAGTTTGTGTCCGGCGGCTCCGGCATAACAACCGACCTTGGCTTAGCTGTGATCGCAAATAGCTACATTGAAGCTTCAGAAAGCATTATTTCGGGAGTTGGGACGACGTACATTTACAACACTGCTATCGTTCCCACGGACAGCTTGGCTACAATCGCTTTCATTGAAGGCCATGTTCTTGGGAATACGCTTTACAATTCCACAGTCATCTTCGATCACAGCACTATTTCTTCCAAGCCAGGCAAAAGCATTGACAACGTCTACCTCGCTGCAGCTAGTGGTCCTGGATCTGTTGTGGTCTTTCGCTCATCGTCCCTCGACAGAAGCATCGCTTCTACGGGTATTCACTTGGATAAAGTTACATTGGATGAGCAGAACTTCTATGGTGAATATGGTGATATTGGGCCTGGAGCATATGCAAACAATGAGACGGCTAGATCCAAATATGTGACTCTGTTAGATCGCTCCGATTTGGCTCGTTATACACTGCAAGCCGTTTTGGCAGGCGCCTACCCAACATTTGCAACGTCGAGCACTTCGTGGATTGATCCTACGGTTCGGGCTGCGATTCATAGTGGGGATGTTCTCATTCCATCCCCAATTGACTCGGCCGGCGATACATCTACCGCGTCATCGGGGTCGGGATCTTCAACATCCGCTCCTACTTACGTGGTCTCAACAGATCCATCGGACGGTCAATACGCAAATATCACCAGTGCCATCAGAGCTATCCCTGATGATGGGAACGATTATGTCATTTTCGTTGAGAGTGGCACCTACACAGAAAAGATTGTTATCAACCGGGCAGGCAAGCTCACCATCCGCGGCGAAACTTCCTTTGAGAATGACTCTACTTGTAACAAAGTCACCATCCTGTTTTCATCCGGAGCTTTACCTGGCTCTGAGCATGACGACGATGCTCCCGTGCTTGATATTGAGGATAAAGACGGGAAGACATTGGTAGCTCTATACAATCTCAATTTTCGCAACACATATCCCCAGTCCGCCGACACTGCTGTTCTTGCGGCCGATATTTCAGGCACTGTCGCTGCGTACGGATGTTCGTTTCTTGGCTACCAGCTGACCCTGTTCGCAAACAAAGGTCTCCAGGTCTCTTCTAATTGTTATATCGAAGGCTCTTTTGACTTTGTTTCGGGTTACTCGACGGCCTACTTTCACCAGACATATGTTGCAACCAATACAGCTGGTGGTTCAATTGTCGTTCAAGGCCGGAACTCAGAGACAAGTGACGGCTACGTGTTTGATACATGCGTTGTGACGTATACCGACTCGCATGGTACCAAGTATCAAGACACATACCTTGGTCGGCCTTTGTCTGAATATAGTCTCGTTGTCTTCAAAGGGTCTTATTTGGACAAGCATATCAATCCTGCTAGCTGGAGTGTGTCGTCAGAGGAGTCTCCCCGAATTGACCACGTCACCTTTGCCGAGTTCAACAACTCAGGACCAGGAAGCTGGAATAGCAAACGGGCCGCTTTCGCTACACAATTAATTGAAGAAGAGGCAGAGGCTTATTCTCTTTCCAGTCGGATTGGTGACACTTCCTGGATTGACATGGCAACATACAGGCTCGTTCCATCATATAACCTGGGTGGACCAAGTCCAACAAATTCAAACGCTGCAGTCCCAACTGACACTTCGACGCCACCAACCAACTTGGGTCATCCGGAGACTGGAAGTACACCTCCTGTGGGTGCAATATCGGTATCTGTGGACGGCTCAGTTGAAGGGACATTTGAGAATCTCACTGATGCGCTGGCATCTCTTCCGGCAGATAGCAGCACACAAGTCATTTTCATGTATGCCGGGTCTTACGAAGATCAGGTGCCTTCTATCGATAGAAGTGGGCCTGTCATTATCATTGGATACACGGAGGGAAACCCAGGGCAAAGTTTCGCTGACAACAGGGTCACGATCACATTCTCTCGTGGGATTTCAACTTCTCCTCTGCCAAACGGTCATACCGAAAGCGAGACCGCGACCATTTCAACCAAGTCCGACAGGATTGCGATATATAACATTAACATCGTGAACACCAAACGCTCGGATACTCAAGATACGTCCTATGCCACTCTAGCGGCTTCTTTGTTTGGAACGCACATTGCATTTTATGGCTGTAGCTTTGTCGCATGGCAGGACACCCTCTTTACCGGAAGTCGGGACGGCTATATGTACTTTGAATCAACGTACATTGATGGAGCGATTGATCCTATCTGGGGTTATTCCAAAGCTTACTTCAAGGGCTGTACCATTGGGGCGAAGATAAAGGACGTTGCCTTCACGGCTCAGGGACAAGCCCCTTTAGCAATGGGAGGCTACATCTTTGATCAATGTTATTTTGGCGCAGCATCCGACACAAGTGTCGATCTCACAAATTCCATCTATCTTGGACGCCCATTCTCAGAAAATGCTCTTGTGGTGATCAAGTATTCCCATCTAACCAATGTGGTGAACCCATCTGGTTGGAAAGCCTGGTCTGCCACAGACCCTCGAACCAAGAACGTGAAATTCGCTGAATACAAAAATGTTGGTGCTGGAAATTGGGAAAATAATCAAGAGGCTCGCGAGGCAGTAGAATTCTGCAAATTGTTAGAGGCAGATGACTACACGCTGGAAAATGTCATGGACTCTACTGATTGGATTGATCGCACTTATTGGGATTCTATTTCTGTGCCTGGACCCGAGGTAAGCGCATTAGATGCAGCAACAGGGACAGCAACAGGGACAGCAGCAGGAACAGCAACAGGGACAGCAGCAGGAACAGCAACAGGGACAGCAACAGGAATAGTAACAGGGACAGCAACAGGGACAGCAACAGGGACAGCAACAGGGACAGCAACAGGGACAGCAACAGGGACAGCCACGGGTACAAGCGCTCCTTCGGGGACCGATGGTTACGATAGCACAAAACCACCGTCCGGGGCATACCTTGTGTCCAAGACCAGTATTGAAGGCAATCCAACCTACGCCACTGTCCAGGACGCTCTGGACGCATTATCGACTTCCGCCCAAAAGGAAGGGACAATCTTCATTTATCCTGGCACCTACGACGAACAAATTGAGGTCAAGACATCTGCCACCGTTGTTCTCATTGGATACTCGGAGAACACTGGTGATTACTCAAAGAACAAAGTCACAATCACGCATAATAATGGAAGCGATGCGCAAGACGAAGATTCTGCAACTACTGGGGCCACCCTTTACGCGACAGGAGGCTACTTGCAGGCAATCAATATCAACTTTGTGAACACAGCAAACACAGAAGGCAACACCGCATCCGTCGCATTCGCCGTGAAAGACTCCGTACATGCAAGTCTTTATGGTTGCAACGTTGTTGGAAACCGAGGTGCTTTGTTAATCAATGGATATCTTTTCGTTGCCAATACTTATATCGAAGGGGGTGTCGACATGATCTGGGGCAATGGGGCAGGCTACTTCCTGGCGTCCACTATTTCTCCAAATCAGGACAGGGTCAGTCTTACCGCAGACAAGCGATCATCAAATTCCTCACAGGCAGGGTTCGTCTTCGACCAGTCCACTATTAGCCCTGCTGCCAACACAAAGTCTCTATCTGATATCTCCCTTGGTCGGCCTTTGAACCGCTATGCAAGAGTTGTGTATATCTACTCCTCTCTGGACTCATGCGTGGAAGCTGCTGGCTGGAAAGAGTGGTCCTCCAGCAGCCCTCGAACTAGTGACGTCTTGTTTGGGGAGTACAAAAACCACGGCGGTGGATCAGATACCTCAAAGCGAGCACCCTTTGCTGTTCAACTAGATGACGAAACGGCGGCAAATTTCGAATTGGCCAATTTCTTTCCTAGCACAAATTGGATTGATCTCAGCCACGTGGATACAAGTCCGTTCAAGGCTGGCCAGCCAGCACCAGGCTCAGCAGAAAGTCCCACTCCAACGTCCACGACTGGGGCTGCCAGTGAAACAGATCCGACCAAGACAGCAACTGAAATATCGACTGTTCTCGCCACTGTGACAATTACAGTGGATGAAGTGACTTCCACCGAGACTTTAGTCATTACTCTCGATATAGGTACTACTGTAGCCCCAGCCTCAGTCACCGAGGACAATACCTACGAGACTACGACGACTACCCTTAGAACACTCACTGGTGACCAATCAGCTACCACAGCGATAAGGACAACAACTACAACAGCAACTATCACTGCTCCTCCATCAACGATCACGTTTGTCAAAACCACCACGACAACGGTAACTGAGACCATTCAGCCAGAAACAAAGACCATTACCTCCATGCTGGTCGTCAACATAGGCGATAGAGGCATAAGAACCGAGATAGCCGATGCAGTGACTATAACTTCGACAGTGGCGGTAACCCAGACGACTACGACAAACTCGATCACAACTCTCAGCTGTGTTCCTGATGACTTCCGTGCGACAGCGAGAGAATTAGCGGTTCCCCATGTGGTTGAAGCCAGTTCCACAGTCACCGCCAATCCCACTGTGACGGAATCCGTCCGAAGATCTACACCTCCGGTGTCCACACCACACGTCACTGCATCGAGCCAGGCATCTGCAAAAACAATCACCGTGACTTCTTTGATCACCCAGACATCCTCGACTACCTCTGCACGGAGCACTTCCTACGTCACAATCACTCATACAGCATTTGTTCGCAATATGGCAAAGCTAGATGCATCTACTGTCACCAAAACTGTGACAAAGCTCGCCATGAAAACATCCGACGTGACTTTGACGGCCCCGAAGATAACGATTACAAGCTTCAAGACCATCACAATCAATTCCACAGATCAGCCACCGCCTTCTACGACCACAGTTACAAAATTCTCCACCATAAGATCTTCGCTAGCACTGCCGCCCCAAACTTCTGTAAGCATCAGGGCGACAATGATTCGCGAAACTCCAATAGTAACGATCACGGTGCATCCCACATCGACCTCAACCGCTTTTGCCCGAACTACCTCCACAGTCACTAGGACAGTGACGAGGTTTGAGAAGGGCGCCTCACTATGTTCTAATTGAACTCCTCGTTACATTAAGAGGTACAGATTGCCCTCCCAATATCTGGGATCTTTTATTGTTTTTCGATTTTCCTCTTTCCTCTGCCTTTCCTGGGGTTTCTGACTATGCTCAAAACCTAATAATTTTTGTCGAATAGAATATGTGTCTTTAGTGTGAATCAGTGGGTTTATGCTTGGATCTAAAAAAAAATTAACATTAAATTAGAACGGGTTTACTGTGACACTAACGAACCGTCAATATTGATGATCCACGATATCCCCGGACGTTAAACCACACCCCTGCTTGTCAGAAACTTGTTCATTAAAAGTGGTCCATCTCAATTTGGGCTGTTACCAAGTAAAAACGGTGTAAAATGCAGGGGTGTGATGTCATCAGGGACCAGGCCACCCCTTGGTAGATCTTAACGTCATTTTCAGCCGGGGGGACTCATCGTCCTTTATCTTGCAGGATTTAACCCATGAGCGATGTTGGTGATCATATTTTTATGCAAATAGTTTGACTGCCGTAATTATCATTCTTTCAAGCCTGTGTTTGATGTTTGGTACCGAGTACCTTGGATAAGCACAGATATATATCCGCATCGGCGTCCCTTCAAGCGCCAAACATGATAGTTAGATATTAATTATTATTACAACTTATACCTAAGCGCTACGCTATTCCCCCATGCTTGAATCCAGGCTAAGCTTCATCTAGGATTCAATGTTCTGTGGCTTTGATGGACCGCATTTAGACGCTGGTTGCTCGTGTGTACAACAATTTTTTCTTAGATGATATGGAAACATCACCAGATTCAACGATACTGACAGATTGGATTGCCATTTTTACAGTAATAGCGACGTGGTCTCTGATTACATTGCCAGCTGTTGATAGACAGGCGGATCTTATGATGAGGTAATACGAAACCGCGAGAGAAACATTCAGGGAGATGTATTGTGGCAAAATCGCTTAGTCAAGGATTGTTACATTTGAATGAGGTGCATTAAAATTCGAAAGGCAACCATGGATGTATGTGCATGCATGCTGCACACGAGCACAATCGTACAATGCATATGGATTGTCTTGGCTGAGGGAATTTCTGGGGTCTGGGTAGCCCCGGAACAGTCTCCTCACTGCCCCCAGTTTCCGGCAACGTGGCTTAAAATCGGGCTTGTACATTGACCCCATCATGGATCAACAAGGGGGATCGCTGCCAGAAAATCCAATTTAAGTCCTTCCAGAACAGTAAGAGCGCCTCGGCCGAAGCCCTCCACACTGACATCAAGGTCTTCCCCAAGTCTTCCCCCAGTCTCCTAGGATAGAGCCACATTAGAAGTCTGGAGTTTTAGCGTAGTGGGGGCCTTGGGGTATAACATTGACTAACATGCTCTATCTGATGTTATCAAAAACGTCTATGGGGGGCCGGGGTTGCGCCGGGCCGGCCACGCCGGCCCGGGCAGACGCAAGCAGCCGGAGGTGAAGGCAGTCCGGGCAAGTATATAGCGAGTTGGTTGGTCAATCAAGGCCGATTTCCCCACAATTCCGAGATGCTTCGGTGAAGATATTCGGCTTAGGTAAGCATTACCCGAGTCTGCAAGAACACACATAGGCGCGTTTCACGACATGCTGCTTCTTATTGGCATGTCTGCTCGAACGGACTGATTCAATTGAACTCTCTCCACACTTTTGCGGAGTAATTTATCAAACGTAATTATAAATCGTTTATCAACTTTTACCCCGGTCCGACTCCATCGCCACATGAGCACGCGCCAAGGAAGCAAATTTTGGTCTCATCTTTTGGCCATCTCCACGTCGCGAGATATTTGATTTCTTTACCACTCGTCTTCTCGGTCAATTCCTCTTCCACATCAAACTATCACCATGAGTGTCCCTGAAGCCCCCCATCCTATCCCTCACCGGTTTGAGGTCGACGACGAGACAGATATGGAAAAGGTCAAGCATGAAGAGGTGCCAGATGATCCATTCGGAAATGAAGAATCTGGGGAAGTGAAATACCGTATCATGCCGTGGTGGTGAGTACCTATCCTGTGATTCTATGCATGTATCATTCAAGCGCGCAATCTGACCAACTCACAGGCAAGCTGGAATGCGTGAGAGCCCACTGAGACAAGTCATTTGCCATGCATTTATCATCTAAACTAATCTTATAGTGATGGTTGCCGAAAATATTTCTCTGGGAATTCTGTCCCTTCCATCTGCTGTTGCAACCCTCGGAATTGTCCCGTAAGCATCTCTGTGCCTGCAGGCAATATGGAGTGGCTGCTAATACGATACTAGGGCATTTCTCATTATTCTTGGTCTATCCGCCATCTCATGGTACACCGGGTACATCATGGGCCAGTTCAAGCAGCGTTACCCCCAGGTGCATAGCATGGGAGACGCTGGAGAGCTCCTTCTAGGGCCTATCGGACGCGAGGTATTCTATGTCGGCCAGCTGCTATTCATTATCTTCTTGATGGCCAGTCATATTCTCACATTCTCTGTGTTGCTTAACACAATTACAAAACACGGTACCTGCACCATCGTGTTTGGAGTCGTTGGGTTGGTTGTCAGCTTCCTCGGAGCCCTTCCGCGCACAGCAGAGAAGGTGTTTTGGATGTCTACTATTTCCGCCCTCAGTATTTTGATTGCCACCATCGTATGCATGGTTTCCATCGCCGTTCAAGCCCCTGATAACGTCGAAAACGATATCATCACGTCTCCCAGCTTTTCAGACGCCTTCCTCGCGGTGACTAACATCGTCTTCGCCTTCATTGCCCATGTCTCTTTCTTCGGCATCATGTCGGAAATGCAGGACCCGAAGGAATTTCCGAAATCTTTGGCTATGCTTCAGGTCGTGGATACCACCATGTATATCGTGACTGCTATGGTCATCTACTGCTACGCGGGGCCAGATGTAGCATCCCCGGCTCTATCATCGGCTGGTCCTCTCATGAAGAGAGTTGTTTACGGTTTGGCCATTCCAACAGTGCGTCTTTATCCAAACTAAATTCAAAATTTCTATGCTGACTCCCGATAGGTCATTATTGCTGGTGTAGTTTTCGGCCACGTTGCGTGCAAATACATCTACGTGAGAATCTTCCGAGGCGAGCGCTCTCACCATATGCACCAGAGGAGTTTCTTAGCCACGGGAACCTGGGTCGCGATTGGCTTGGCGACGTGGACCGTTGCCTGGGTTATCGCAGAGTCGATTCCTGTGTTCAATGAGTTGTTGAGTTTGATTGTACGTTCCCCCAATCGAGATCTTGTGCATTGCTAATACCGCTACAGAGTTCTCTATTTGGAAGTTGGTTCAGCTGTAAGTTTATCGAGAATATCAAAAAGACAATGCCTAGAGGGATACTAACATGGAATAGATGGTCTCCCTGCCATTTTCTGGCTTGTCATGAACAAAGGAAAGTGGTTTTCCACACCCCGGAAGATCATCTTGACGATTGTCAACTTGATTATCCTAGGTATTGCCTGTGCCATTGTGAGTTCGGTCCTATTTATTTTGACTTTAGGGTTAATGCTAATCAAATCAGTGTGGACTGGGACTCTATGTTTCAGGCAAGGCCATCAACGAGAGCTCATCCAAGTCCAGCTGGACTTGTGCCAACAACGCCACTTGAAGTCGGCCAATTTCACTATAAAAGATATAAGGTGTGACATCTTTCGACTGCTTATTCTATAGATTTGTTCGGGTCTATGCGATATTATATAGACATTTTGTACGATTTCTCGAGATAGAGTACATTTTCAGCCGCGAAGGCGAGCTCAATCATTGTACATATTCATGCTCAGTCACGACTAGATCCATTGCTCAAAATTTCCTAGTTCTTTCCGCCATGAGGGTGGCCATTGTGCTTTGTCTCTGACAATCCCAAGCATTCTGCCATATTGAAGAAAATATCAATAGAGTTGTAGACTCCACCAAACAACTCTTGGCATGGACCCTGTGCAAACACGGGAACGTCAGTCAATGAGTGGACTCCCTGACCCGCGTCAACTGGCAATGTTCCGTTGACCAAGAATCCAGTGACTGCATCCTTGTAGGAAGCATAGTACCCATTCTTCTTGTTGTCTTTTGAGGTAGTGGCAGGGGTGCGTGGGCCTTCACTGTGAACCTGGTAATTTTCGCGATGATCGGGGAAGGCAACAACGCCTGAGTGAAGTGTATAACGCGGATCCCAGCGTTGCGGGAAGTGAACGCCTTCCGAGTATCGCAAAGCATTTGCACCGCCCACGGTATATTGCGATAGCCCGGAGTCCTTATAGTAGCCAACGGCCTTGCGCTTGTCGCGATCATCCTCTTGCGCATCCATGTACTCAGTGTCGACAGAGCCGGTGACATCAAATCCGTGGCCATGGTCAGCTGTGACGATAATGAGAGTGTCATCCAGCTCTCCCAGTCGCTTCAGGCGTTCAATCGTCGCACGAACAGTATCATCAAGCTCCAAAAGCTCACCCAAGGACCGGTCATAGTCCAGTGTATGCATCTGCTTGTCAATACTGGCGGCCTCAGACATGAGGAACCATCCTTGGTCACCGTGTCGCTCATGGAGGACGTCGATTGCCTTCAGAGTCATATCTTTGAGCCCGGGCAAGTCCTCTGCATCACGCTTCGAACCATCAGGATAATTACTCTGGTTGTGAAGGTTGGCTTGGTAGACATTGCGGTCCAACCAGGTAGCGAGATTCGAAGTTGAGAAGACACCCAATAGTTTCTCATCTACTGGCGCATCTTTCAGTGCGCTGTTGTTCCAAGCAACGTTGTACCCCTTCTCGGAGAACAGCTTGTAATAATCGCGTTGGTTGTCTTCGCTTTCAAGGAAGTCTTCTGCGCCAGCGCCAAGGAGAACATCAGGACCATCCCAGTCTGTCCACTTATACTTGGTCAGACCTTCATAATAAGCGCTGATGACATGGTCATACTCTCCACGATCACTAGTATGAGCCGCTAGTCCAGCAGGGGTGGCATCTGCCAAGAACGCGGTGGAGACAATTCCGACACCGGCGTGCGGGTGACGACGGCGGAAGATTTCCGAAATGGTCTCAAATTTGGGGTCATCGAACGGATCACTGGAGGAGTCGACATAGACATTCAAGGCATTGACGGTGGTCTTATGGCCCGAGTAGAGGGCAGTGGCGGAGTTGGCTGAATCGGTAATGAACGAGTCCATCGAATGGGTCATCTGGTGTCCAAGCACAGGGAACTTGTCCAGTGCCATTTTTGTCATGTACTTGCCGTTGATGCTGCGGTGAGCAATCAGACGCGCAGCAGTAATCATGTTTGTCGTCATGCCATCGCCTATGAACAGGATGACGTTCTTCGCTCGGCGCTTTGTGGGGAGATCACGAATGAGCCAGTTCGCCACGGTTTTCTGAGTCCCATAGTAGGTCAAAGTTGCTTCGTATTCACCCGGCTCATACAAAGCAACTCTGCGGAATGCTTTGGCTGTAACATTGACCATTGAAGGCTTGTTCATGTCTTGCGCAAACAGATCTGTTTCCATTAGAAAATGGGCCGAATAAGCGACTCAATTACAGAAAAGTAGCTCACCTTCGTACCATGTAAAGTTCCACCCTTCGAGCTTTGGTTCCTCGACATTGAAGAACTTGGTTGCTGGAATAGGCTTACCGCCTTTCTTTGTGATGGTAAACGTAAAGTTTTCATCCGGTCCTCCAATACGCTGCTCAGAGCCATTGATAGGCGAATGTACTTCGAGCCTAATATCAAAATATTGACCAGCAAGGAAATCTGCCCTATTGAACAGGTTCCATTAGTCATGGGAAACCCAAGGGGGGCACGATTTGGAGATTTCATGGCTACGACAAGAACAGAAGAACCAATACATACTGATCTGGTGGAAACACACATCCCAAGTCAGGGCAACCACCCAGGCGCTGGAATGTCTGGGCAATAGTGCTCGAGAAAAGGGAAACCAAGACAGCAATTGGAGCAGCCCGCATGTTGATTGCCAAGCTATGATAAGAGGTCGAATTGATTACATGTTGGCAAGGGGCAGAGGCTCTTTAAGTAGATCGAGATGAATGTGACTCCGTAGATTAACAATTTCCGTTGCGCCATTAGCTCTTCGGTCACGTTCAAAGTACACTTCGAGAATCCTTGCTGTCGGAGCTTCCTCAGTTCCGCTCGGAGGATATCTACATAACGCTATAACAAGCCGATAATAAACACCAAATGACAGACCAGCATGCTGAGCACGTGCAGAGAACTTGGCACTTTTCTGGCAAAGTCAAGGATTCTTGCCAAGCTGAGGGGGCGGACAGCCAAGCCAGCCAGGGAAGTATTGGGCGTCCGCCAAGATCAGTTTCTTGGCCAGCGCTCCCACGTGCCGTCTTCTGTTGGTACCTGGAAGAATGTGAAGTCCAGAGGACCGGATTAGCGAGTACTCCGTAGACGCCATTAAACAGTCTAGGCATAAGTCGCCTCGGCTGCGGATAGGGTGTCGCTTGATCAGGACCTGATCCAGACTGTGGTCAGATGACCGATTTATGGAAAGTATGCGTTATAAGCGACCATAGATAGGATAGTATAAGCATGAACAGGAGAACTTGACCGAATGTTGGATTGCCATTTGTGCATATAAAAGAACCTTAGAATCGCATATAATCAATCTGACAACCTGTCAAAGCTATTTAATAACCATCAAAAGCCTGCTCTGGAACTTCCAATTTATTTCCTGCTGTCTCTTTATTTGTAGGCTTATTCATCATGCTCATGATAATCGTTGTAGCGATCTCATCACGGACCTTTTCTTCGGGAAACCTAGTGGCACCAAGCTGGGAGAAACGTGTGACGGCGGACGTATGATCTTTATACTTCGTCTAGAAGGAAATTCTGAGTCCATCCTTTTTATAAGAACCAAATATCTCAACGTCGTCGATCGCCTGGTGTTTAACTAAAAATTAGCCGATCGATCTAAATTAGAGCTCCCAGGCATCGGTGACCAGCCCGTTACTTCCAACATATTCAAAGCATAGGATTGACTACATGATTGAATTCCAGGTCCAGATGGAACAGAAAATAAATAAACGATGAAATCGGATGCTCTAGACTGGTAAAAATTGCTGTGATTGGGGCAAGGCATCAAAGGAGACGATCACGTGACCACGAAAAAGAACAGCCAAAGCGATTTGTCAGTGCTGAATTCATGAATACTGCTTGGGAATCGGAATTATAGTAATTCCGAATAAGCGTATTACTAATGATGAGCATAGCATAACGTTAAATAGCAAGAATTAGCAAGTAATAAATGACAGAGATTTCAACGCCCTTATTGGCTGAGCAAGTTACGGGAAACATCACTTTCTGACACGATTTACCCCGCAATAGTTGTAGGGCTTAGTTGACTGAAATAATTCTCTTAAACACAAAGCCTTCGGTGAGAAGTGTAGAAGAAAGAACCGCAATGGACAACATTCGTTGGCCTACGACTCAACATGGATACTCGTACTGTATCGAATGTCCTCAATGGGAGGAGAGCCCCTCTGACGGAGAAGATTATCATATGGAACTGAGTATTGTCTATATGGTCATTAACATTAAGTGAGTTCTATAGTCTATATTATATGCGTGGAATCTTTCCTGTCACAGGGCATCGAAAAAGCTTTCTGGACAGATTCAAACTGCGCCCACATCCAACTTCTTCCTTTCAACAGCGTCCCTCCAGACAACAATGACCACAAACACGACCGAGAATGAGCAGAGAATCGCTAAAATTGTCATCCACCACCCGTATCCGATATTTGTTGCTGCAATTGGCGACAGTACAGTGCCAATAGCAGCCAGAATATTCCGGACCAGATTCAAATCAGCCACAACGGATGCTCCAGCTCCCGGCTTGACATCAACAAGGAAAGGCATGACCGTTGAGGTGACTAGCATGAGTCCTAGCCCAAAGAGGAATGCTCCGACGAGAGGAGCAACCCAGAAGACTTGTCTTTCAACCAACCAGCCATAGATAAGTAGGCCCGCTGGGACAAAGCCAACACCATACCATACAGTCTTGATTCTTTCAACTGGGCGAATCTCTCCGCTGTGGGTCAACTGGTACTGACGAAGTTTGGCGTCGCTCAGCTTCCCACCAACAACACTGCCAATTGCGTATCCGAGGCAATTGCTAATGTAACAGAGACCAATTTCGATTGCAGAGAAATTGTAGGGTGGCGCTGAGTATGCGTATGGAAGGGTTGTGTTAAAGCAGTAGAGACTGGCAAAACAGATGCTGACGTAGGCAATTGTCAAGGCAATCGAAGGAAATGCCAATAGTCTCAGCTTTGGCAAGGGGGCAAAGGCATCACGGTACATTATTTGGTGCCACCGCAACTTCTCCTTGCTTTCAATGGGAAGCTTCACAAGTGTCTCCGGTAGACACAACATGGTAAGCATCGCGGTACTGAACGTGAAAATGGCCATGAAGTAGAGATTTGCGCGCCACCCAAGCCATACTTGAATAGCACCTCCAATGATCGGGGCAATCATGGGTCCAATCAAGGTTCCGAGGTAAAACCACCCTAGAGCTGAGCCACGCTCGGTCGGAGCGAATATGTCGCTGATAACTCCTGCTCCAACACTCTGAGCGGACGAACAGCCGACTGCCTCGACCATGCGGAACACGATAATCAACGAAAGCGAATTGGACACAGCGCAGACGATCACGGCAACAGCCGATATAAGGAAGCTGAATACCAGCACGGGTCGACGACCATACTGCTGACTCAGTGTGCTCCACCATAATGGAGCGACCGCAAGACCGAGGAGAAACACTGTTGTTGTCAGGGCGACTTGGGTCTCTGTCGTATGGAAATGATCCACAAGAGTCGTGAAAGATGGGAAGAGAATGCACGAGGCGAACGGTGCAGTAAAGGCTGATAACGTGATAATCAAAACTATACTACGCTTCTGCCATATAGAGTGGCATGTTGGATCGTCACGTTTCCGAACAAAGCAGAAGCGATCAAACCATGTTTGAGGGGTTGTTGTAGACGATAACTCGGCGGATTTGAGTTCAGACATGATTTTTTGAAGATTTGGGTTTTTTGGTTCCTTTGCAGAGTGAAGTTGGATTGTTGGATGAAAAGCATGTTCGACAAAGAGGGCTTAATATACTTCGTTGGAAGGCCTCGTCGATTCGGGAATCCGGGAATTCGGGACTTTGGGGAAATTCCCGAGAAAGCAGTAAGCAGCAATCAGTAACCGGTCAGCGGTCAACGGATCAGACCTGCGCACTTTGAGCGCCCCAAAACGCCACAGTCGGGCGCGGGTGAATCCGGTGATAGGATCTTGGTCTTTCTCACTTGATCTCCTTCAAATCCCCGATATTCCTGTGCTAGGCCAATTTAGGACCATGAACAGAAGTTGTATTGCCTGTGCTGAATCTAAGCTCCGATGCGATCTTAACAAAACGGATCCACCATGTTCTCGATGTCTGCAAAAGGGCTGGGTTTGCGTAAGGGCGGAGCGGAAAAAGCGCGCGCGAAAGATCAAGGAGACCAGTTCCCTTCCATCACCACAGACCGGAAGCGACGATGGGCCCTACAAGGTCACCGATCTAGCAGTACTAGACGAACAATCTGTAGATCTCTCATTCCTCGACAAATATTTATCGGAAGAAGTCGACTTCCTAGCTCAGCTAGCCGACCTCGAGAATTCTGTCGATATGAGCCGTTTCACTTGGACACTACAAGATATGCCCTCGATCATAAGTGACGACAGCCTGACTCAATATAGCATCGACCAACCGACATGTGAAATGAATGTCGCGCAGATGACGATGAATGTGGGATTTCTATGTCCAGACAATTTCCGACTTCCTGCCGACTACGTCTTGGAACTAGAAGGTCCCAGCACCGTCGCTGTGGACCGATTGGAGACATATGCTAGGCTCTTTTTTGCTCACTTTCACTCTTTTCTCCCTATACTGCATATTCCCACCTTCTGCTTAGCCTCGTCCCCCTCCGTACTTGTCAGAGCGGTCTGTTTCATCGGCGCTGGATTTGAAAACACCGCAATGTCAAATTCGGATGCGAAGCTTTTCCATGAGTCCCTGTCATCACAACTCGCCAAATGCTGCCTTCATTACGACAAGGCCCCCCCAACACTTCAAGAGCTTCAAGCACTTGTGCTCTTCCAATTCGCGAGCATGGCAAATGGAGGAAGTGCAGCGGAACGGGCTGCGTCACGACTCCTGCACCCGCTTCTTGTCGCGACCATACGGCAAGCAGGGCTGCTCAAAATACATGGGGAGTGCTCAAAAGCTACACGTTCCTCTTATTCTTGGCATTCATGGATTGAAAAGGAGTCCAAAAAGAGAGTCCTTTGGGGCGTCTTCACAGTAGACTGCTATCAATCCGTTTTATGTGGAAGTAAGCCCCTTCTCCTGCCAACAGATACACGCGCTTCATTCCCTTGCAACGATGCAAGCTGGAATGCTTGCTCTGCTTCATTATGGGCTGCAATGCCCGCGCAAGATCCGACTAGCTGTTTTCTATCCTCGCTTAAGGGGCTCATGATCAGAGAGGCCCCGTCGGAGTCAAATTTAACCAATTTCGGGATGAATCTGTTAATTTTGGCAATCCACTCGCTATTAATAGAAGCTCAAACTTCAATTCTTCCTGTTGATCTTTCCGCCTTAGAGGGGGCATTGCATACATGGCATACATCATGGGAGCAGCTTCAAAGAAACGGTCAGCGTCATCAGTCTGAATTGAGTGTGGGAAATATCCTTATTGCAAACAGTCTCTCGCTATACTATCTGGCGTGCCGCTTTTTGAGAAACGGACGCCCAGTACTAGATGAGAACGCTTATTTGGAGAAATCTCGAGTTACAAGCAATCCTCATATTATAAAAGAACAGGCGTATCAGGACGAAATGATGAGATGTGTTCGGGAATTGCTGGATGAGTTTCAAGAGGAGGAAATTTCAACTACAATGATTTTTAAATAAGAATGTGATATCGATGAATGTTAATCATTGGTTGAAAGACATGGAAGAATGAACAATTAACAACCGATTTGTAGTCTTACCTTTGACAATTCAACAGAACTGGAGTGAAGCTTTATTCAAGGTCATAAGAAGCTTTACAGAAAGAATTGAAACCGACTCAATACCATGATATGACAAGCAAAACCTATCTCGATATATTGGACTGTATTCAGTTCTAACTACAATTGTTCTCCGTCCTGTTCTTCACTTCAAATGTGCGAGCTCTGTTGTTTCAACCACGGTATTATGGCCTCGAAGACGGCTTTACCCTGCTCGGGAAATAGCGCATGAGACGCATCCGCAATAATCTTAGACGTAGCTCTGTTCGGATACAGGTTTGTTGTCACATTCCACTGCGAGTTTGGTTGAAATGGGTCATCTGCAGGAATCAGCTCGAGGACCTGTGTGGTATCGGCACCCCCCAATGTGAAGTCAAGCTCCCATAAGTTTGCACAGCCGCGTGCTCCATAGCAAGAACTTCGGGGTACCACCCGTCTAGCCAAATATGAGCATCGTGATTTGGCGCAAAGAAAGCTTTTTGGAGAGCTTTGAGTCTTTCGGGGATCGGTAAAGATGTATTTCCAGTGATGAAGGGCATTTCCGCCATATTGCTGGGTAGATATATGCCACCTGGGGCTGCTAGCACAATTGCTGGTATCTTTTCCGGGTAGATCACAGAGCTGACTTTGGCAAGGAAGGTACCGAACGCATGGCCGATGACTATAGCCTGGCCTCCACCCAGTGTATCAATGACCGATGCAATATCCGCCGACAGATCCTCCAGTGTAACATTTGTCATTGGTCCCATAGATCCAAAAGTTCCCCGTGGTTGAGGCCGCAAGACAAGGTACCCAGCATTCACTAGGTAATTGGTGAAAGAATTGTAATCGTCGCCTCCATCTCGTCCGTACGAAGGGATGATAATGACCGTGGGACCTGCCCCTTGAACAAGAACTTCAATGTTTGCCTTCCCACTTCGAACAAACTGAGTGGGCCATTTATAGCGCATGAGTGGCTGAGTGAATGCTGGTAGCGCATGTACACATGTCATCATTAAAGTCAAAACAAGACCCGAAGGAAAGAGCATGATGAAGATTAGAGCAACGGGAAGCTTTCGATTGTGATTGTTAGAGATTTCGGTGTAAATTGTAGGGAAATGAAGCTTTTTATATGAATTTACTGCTAGGCCAGGCTCTTCTCGGGACCGGTTTTCAACACGCTGTTTTTCAACACGGAAATTAAGACAAATGACCGCCACAATCTGCAATTCCAGGCCGGGAATCCTATAATTGCGTGAGAATATTCATAGTCGCATGTCTGCAGATCAATTCGTTGCCGAAACCCCGATTACAAAATTGAGAAACCACCTACATCACTGAACGCCCCATATAGATACGGGTTGGTCTCCTTTGCTAGCGTTAGGCCACTTAGACTGAATATTTTGTTAATAAATGGGCCTTCATACTTCAGTTGCTCTACTTTAACATCCAAGTTTTCATTGATCTGTTTCTATTTGAACATTTGTCTCTTGCCTGGGAAATTGCACCAAAGTACTGTAACACGAGAAGAATGTTACATTGTACACAAAGTAACGCATGAGGCCTGTATCTTAATGGCAGATTCTAGACAATCGGGCGCAGTCTAAATGATATCATTTCGAGTTTAGTGGGACTTTTCAATGTTCCCAACTGGGTAAATGGTGTTGTCGGAAATACAATTTGAACGGGTCGGGATTTCGGGAAAATGAGAATATCGCCCGTGAATCTTGTTCCGAAACCTGGCTTGAGCCCGATATTTTCGATGGATTCAATAGACGGCGTTGACTTGTGGAAAATCTACACCAAATATGAACCTCTATGAGTTATGATCTCATCATATTTCGTCCAACTTGGGCTTGGTGGTGGGCGGTGACCGCAGTTCTTTCATTTTACTATGGATTTTCCTTGCAAAGTACCGAGCCACTTGGTATTATCGTTGAGTCACACAGCGCGGTATCTATATCTTATTACGGCGCGTGCCACGGCATGACAACACTCAATAATAGTATACCTTTAAGGACCATTATTACGCTACGCTCTAATTAGTAGTCTGCGTACTCGGAGTTACTGTAAATCCGGTTTCCAGGTAGCATTTATGAACTTGGCACTGACAGAGAAGAACTGCGTCAGGCTCGTTTGTCACCGGATTCCACGCTATAATATATATGTATATATATATATATTGAAATGGGGATGGCACGATGGCAGTCTGACATAGCAGACGGGTCGATACTAATGAAGAGGTCACACAACCACTCCCATGGCCTGAAGGCGTAGAGAGCGGTCCCTGAAGGTGTAAATCGTACCGAGCCTGATGCTATATCATGAATCAAGAAGTTTTGCGAGTAACTGTAGTCATATTGAGGTTGTTGGATCATGCTCCTCTCTCTCTGTAGGAGAAGACTGCATGTCTCCTGAGGCATCATAGATGCCTCAGGCCATTAAAATATGTCGGAACTTGCTGTCTTCCGTAACTTGCTCAGCCAATGAGGGCATTGAAATCTCTGTCATTTATTACTTGCTATTTCTTGCTATTTATGCTATGCTCATCCTTAGTAATCCGCTCATTCGGAGTTACTATAATTCCGGTTCTCAATCCGTATTCATGAATGCAGCACTGACAAAATACTACTGTCACGGGATTCACCACTACAATACTTAATAGGAACCACGTATCAAGTTTTGCCAATGACGCGAATTGTTTAAATTTGCATGGGCTCATTTTTTAACAAGAAAAACAAGAAATTATATGATAAACAATCTAAGGTTATAGACAAAACATCAACCTTGACCATATGGATGTCAGGACTCCTGTCGCGCCCATCAAGTCATCCACGGCCGCCAAATTCTTGGTGGTCATCTTTGACCAGGAGCTATGGTAGAAGCAATACGCGCAGCAAGCCGTCAAATGAGTTACCGAAATTCATTTCGATGGTACGGCTTGGTTCCTGATCCACACCAGCCTCATATCACAACAACGATGATTTTGTTACGCAAGTTTCCTGTGAAGCGATCTAAGAATAATATTTAATTGCACTTTTGAGTTCTTTGAATTATGATCTCACTGTAAAAAGATAGAGAATTCGTGCTAAATTACATACGAAACTTTTTTGACTAGCCACTATCTCACAAAAGGACTGTCAACATCATTCTGCCTACCAGAGTCACATCACGAACATTCCTTCATTTTTGGGCCATGCCCTATCAATACACTTCTTTCCAAAATTTCCTACATCTAAAGTCACGGCATGTCACTCTTCAGATGTAAGACAAGGTCTGCAAGTGTGGATCTTACTTGGCAGCCTTGCCAAACGGCACTGCGTAAAGTTTGAGAACAACTGAATGGTGGCAATCAGCTTCTCTAACAAAAGCTGAACGCCACGTTGATCCATGGTCTCCTCAGTAGCTGTAATCATAAGCTCAAGCTGGGATTCGTGTTCCACGGAAATGATACCCAGCTGACCGTGTGCCAACTTGGAGCTGGCCCAATCACAACCAGACGACGAAAGAACACCGCCCATTTCGAAGGGCTTTGTCGCTTCTTTGCTCTGGTGATGAACAAGACAAGCCATTTTCGATCCAGGGTGCCACTCTGTGCAGGATTCCGCGATAGCATCGAACGATGCCTCGTCATGTGCAGTGATTTCTAGTTGCTGTACCTGAACATGATGCAAAAAATCCTTCACCGTCCAGTTCGGTTCAACCCTGATCCTAACAGGCAGGTGATTTAAGCAGGGCCCAATGGCTGTATTCGCGTCCAAAAGGGAGCTTCCACGTCCGTGAACAACCTGACCTAAGATAATATCAGATTGCGAGGTTTTCTCAAACAGGATCCATGAGAACGCTGCTTTCATGAGTGTTGACATGGTAATGTCGGATGGAAGGGAGGGAATCGCTGTGTAGTGCTTTTCGACTATGTCATTGTCCGAAATCCGTGCCTTTCCAATTTGGCGAAGGGGATCGAGAGCAGCAGACGGAGCACCTTGAAGGTATTGTCGCCAGAATAAAGTCTCGGGTTTGTTCAGATGGCCCATCCGCTTATAGGCAACATCCTTGAATTGCACAGCTTGTGGAAGAGGCTCATCATGATAGGCTTTTGTGATTGCCTTCCATAGTAATGGTATAGAGGCTCCATCATACTGCGCATGGGATATGCGAAGAATCAATGCAGAACACTGCTCAATAGGGCTTGTGATGAGGGTAAAGCTGGTTGGAAGCGTACCCTGGGATGTAGAGGGTTGAACCTTCTGTTCGGATTCTCGAGCAACATAAGCCCGTGGATCATCATGTTGAACAAAATGCAGAACAGGCTCAACTTCCCGAAGGATAACCTGGAGGAAACGGTGGTTGGTCTTTAAAAAGATCGTGCGTAAGATGCTGTGGTGAGCCACAACCTTCCTGCACGCAATCTTCAGTTTATTGATATCTAGGGTCACCGGAAATATTTGTGCCATCGAGACCGGTGATGCGTGGGTTATGTAGAAGACTTGGAATGGGAGCGCCGGGATGATATCTTCCACGTTCTCTTTGACCATCAAATGTTTCTGTACGAATTGGGAAGCAAAAGTTTCTGCACGTTCGTGATCCGTAACCAGGGAGTAGGGTATATAGGACCACGAGGAAAAATCTGCAGTCACTATGCCATCTATGGCATCGGCGGAGTTCACGATGGTGGCCTGTTTGGCAAGGCGCATTATTGTTTTCCACTGAAACAAACTCTCCACTGAATGCTGAATCCCAGCTGCCCGAGCCCTCGAGGCAACTTTCAGAGCCGAGATGGAATCACCTCCCAAATGGAAGAAGCTGTCCTCAGCACCAATCTCGTCAGCTGCAATATTGAGTACTTGTGCCCAGATTTGCTGCAAATGCCGCTCCGTCCCCGTGGCGGGCACTCGCTTATCTGAAGGGGCTTCAGCGAACAATGATTCCAGCTGCACTCGCGTTGCGCTCGCTCCCGAGTCTCTTAACCGCTTTCGATCAACTTTGCCACTAGGCGTGTGAGGTATCCGTCGCAGCGGCACGAACGCAGAAGGTAACATGTAATCTGGGAGGATATCACCGAGTTGGCGTTTGACAGTTGATATCTGGATCGCAAAGTCGGTCGGGGCAACAATATCTAAGGAAGGGATCGCTGAGCGGGATACCAGTGGAGACATCTCAGCCTCTTTTGAAGAGACAAAGACAACCAGGCATTTGGAATTCATCGAAGCCATCGGAGTCACAATCTCAGCCACGATGTCGGTCAGAACTTCGGGCCAAACCTCCTGTAGTCGATTCTCAACTTCTGCAAGCTCAAAGCGCTGACCTCGTAACTTGACCTGGAGGTCGTTTCGTCCTATAAACGAGAGAGATCCGTCTTCTTCATAACGAACAAGGTCGCCTGTTCGATACACCCGGTCTTCCTTTCGATCACTAGTGGAGCCAAATTGCCGCATCCATGTTGGAGATGAGATGAAGTTTCCAGCTGTTTGGTCCAGACGGTTCAGATATCCGCGACCTACTAGTGGCCCTTGAAGAAGCAGCTCGCCCACAGCCCCAATGGGAGTGATTCGCTCAGGATTTCGTGGATCGGCCACCCAACAGGCCCCTGCAATCGGTTTTCCGATATTCCCACCCTGCAAGCTAGAATCTATTGGGGACTGTACAGTAAACACGACAGTGCACTCTGCTGGACCGTAAACGGGCACGATCCGTGTGTGTGGCGCCCACTGCTTAATATCACTAGACCTAAGGGGTTCTCCACCGAGCATGATCGTTTGCAGTGTTCCCAACTCGCTCGGCATCATTGCGCGCAACACACTGGGGGTCAAGTGGGCATGAGATGGTTGTAGCACTTGCAACGCCTCGGTCAGTCGCCCTCTGCGCTCAGACTCCGTTAGAACGCAGACGCAAGCACCCGCAATCAATGTACCGAGTATTTCCATAATGCTTACATCGAAAGCATAGGAAGAGAAGTTCAGGACGCGGTCACCTGGGTTAATTCCCATAAGACAAGAAACTTGTTTGGTCATTGTCATAAAGGAACCATCCTCAATCACGACTCCCTTCGGCTTGCCGGTTGAACCAGATGTAAATACTGTATAAAGAGCACGATTTGCGCCTAAACGGGGTGTCTTGTGATATGGCATCGGTGCACACTCGGAGATGCTCTTAGGCATGATCACAACATCGTGGAACAACGCCCCCGCTTTATGACGATGCTCGGGTAACGTGAGTATGAAAGAAGGCTTTACTTCTTCGCAGATATGCCGAAGCTGCGCTTGTGGATGTGAGGTGTCTAGGAGGACGAAAGCTCCCCCTGCCTTCAGCACTGACAACACAGCTACCACAGTCCAGCATGACCGATCCATGTATATTGGAACGAACGTTTCTGATGAGATTCCCTTCAACTGCAAAAGACCAGCGATATTGCTAGAAAGAAGGTCTAGTTCTTGGTAGGATAGGCTGAATTTGGAAGACGAGACCGCAAAATTCAATGGTTGCCTCTCACAATGCTGAGAGATCACCTCGGTGATCGACAGCGGACATCTTTCCGGGAACCCAGTGTTCCAGGCTTGCAGCTGCTGGATATCTTTGTCATTCAGTGTAGCAATTTTGTGCACCGGGTTTTCTGGGTGCTGGTGCACCTGCTGCAAAATGTGACTGAACTGGTCTAGCATACGTTCCACTTGCACTGTTGGAATGACAAGGTCATCATTGGAAACCGCAACAATTACCTCATCAGGCTTGAGGATAACGGCTAGTTGGACGGCGTAGGTGTTTGACGCAGCATCCCCCGATGATGTTCCCATAGGTTCCATAAGACGATCTTTGCCAGTGCCTAAGCTTTCATCCTCCCCTCTCCCCTCCACAAGTAGGATTTGAAAAGAACAGGCCTGCTTGGCTTCCGGTCCTATGGCAGCAATTTCAGGTAGCCCAACTTGTTCGAATGGAATAAGCTGTACCGTCCGCTCTTGCAAGTTTCTAAGCGCCTGTGAGACGGTCACATCATCATCGATTTTCACACGCAAAGGAAGCGTGGCAATTGTTGGACCAGCCATTGCTTCAATGCCATTGACGAATGCTGTTCGGCCCGGGGACACAATTCCAAATACTACATCATCATTACTCTGGTATTGAGACTGAACAAGAGCCCATGCGAAACGAATGGCGGTGGTTCGACTAACACATTCATCCATCACTGGGCCGGTCTCAATCGTTCGTACTGTTTGCTTCGAAGCCTGAGGCCGATATGATGTGGAGGGGAGTGCAGGGAATGGCTCGGCGGTAAGTTCCTGGAATTCACGACGCCAGTGTTCGAGCGCGTCCTTTTGTTGAGACATGGAATATTTAATGAATTCTTTGAATGGAGTGTTGTCGGCGGATACCATTACATGACCCTGGTAGGCCTCTCGGGCACGGTGCACAAGCAGAGGTAGTGACCAAGAGTCATACAGAGCATGATGAATGGTGATAACCAGGTCACGTCGCTGAGCTATATTGGAATGCTCGCTTGACAAAGGGATGACTTCGAACTGCACCAATGGCTGGCCGAGAAGAACGTTCCATTGTAATTTTTTCTCTTCCTTCATGCCCGGCCAGATCCAGTGAAGCTCGCTGTCTTGTACCAGGACCTGCATGAAGCCAAATTCTGACTGAATAAATCGAGTGCGTAGGATACCGTTGTGCTTTGCTACCATCTCCCAAGAATTTTTCAATAAGTCTAGGCTGATATTTGGCCCTAGACGGAATCGATGGTATGCGATATATGACCCGGGACGCTCGGCTGTCAAAGCTACCATACCGGCCTGCAATGCAGTACAGGGATATATGTCTGCGATTTGCTCCATTGGGAGGTCGCATTGTTCCATTGCCTGTGATTTCAATTCTTCCTTGTGGTTGCCCGGGAGCATTGAAAAGGGAGGCACGAAATCGTCCGATTCTTTTGGTTCGGAGTTTCGCGATTCCTTCGACCCTGGAATTGAGCAATTAAGAGCAAGGTCGCTAAGCTTAGGATGTACGAAGATTTCTGATACTCCCAGTCGAATGCTGTGCTCGCAAGCAGTAGCAGCAAGCCTCATTGCTGCAATCGAGTCTCCACCCAAGCGGAAGAAGTTGTCGTCAGGTCCGATTGTCTCTGCAGGGCGAGCCAGCACTTCAGCCCAACAATTTTGTAATTCGCGTTCCGCCCTTGTCAATTCTCTGAACTGTCGCAGGTGGCATCTTGTTGCCTCTCGGCCAATTTGTACTCGTAGGGCTTCAGATGCTGCATCCCGCACTTTTCCCCGGTCAATCTTTCCATTCACCAATCGTGGTATTTGATAGATAGGAATGAATGAAGAGGGAATAAGAGAAGCAGGAACATGTGCCAGAAGATGTGATTGCATTTGCTCCACAGCTGCCTCGAAGGTTTGAATATCGCCACTGTCTTCTGGTTGAACAATTGAGGCTACCAGGTGTGCATTTTTGGTATCATTTGGTGCGATCAAATCTGCAAAGACTTCAGGGTCATTGATAGGGAAGCACTGTTGAACATGATGCTCAACTTCAGCAAGTTCAACACGCTGCCCGCGCAACTTGACTTGACGATCTTTCCGTCCGATGTGTTGTATAGAACCATCCACAAGACGCCTCACAAGGTCTCCTGTTCGGTACAATAATCCCTTTCGGGAACCACGGAGCTCGGATAGCCAAATGGGATATGGGACGAATGCCGCTGACATGGCCTTCGGACGATTAACGTAACCGCGACCGACAATAGGACCCTCGATGAGCAGTTCTCCGATAGCTCCCACAGGTACGAGCTTCTCTGGTATGTTTGGATTTGCCACCCATGCGACACAGCCAGCAGGGTGTCCGATGTTTGATTCATCTTGTAAAAGATATTGCGATGACGACTGGGCCGTGGCAATGACAGAGCATTCCGAAGGACCGTAGGCATTCATCAGGCGGACATTCGGTGACCAGCGACGAACATCTTCCCGAGTCATGCCTTCTCCACCAAGCACAAGTGTTTCTAAGTTCGAAACATCTTGCGGGTCTAGGATGCGTGCCACAGACGGGGTCAGCAGCGTCCAGTTCACTCGCATCTCGCGGATTGCATGACCAAGGTTTTGGTTTCGGTCTTTATCGGAGGGAATGCAGATACAGCCACCGACCAAAAGAGTGTCGAGCATTTCCACAATACTAGCATCAAAAGAATAAGAGGCAAATTGCATGACCCGGGCATTTTTATTAAGGCGAAGTACCTGGGTATGTGCAGCCGATGCTGATAGGAAAGACTGGTGCTCGATGACGCTTGCCTTTGGCCTGCCAGTTGACCCAGATGTAAAAACAGCATATGCAGACGAATTTGGACTAGCCACCGACGGAAGATTGTCTTTCTGAATTCCTGAGTACAATGATTTGCTTAATTCTTCCACGACGATGGGGTTCGGCGCTAGACTGGCTGCAAGTTCGAGGTACTTCGAGGAGGTGATGATAATTGGGCACTGGAAGTCCATGTGCACCATTTCTTGCAATCTCTCTGCTGGATGCGACGGGTCAAGCAAGATAAATGCTCCACCTGTCTTCATGATGGCGATCATGGCGATTACTGTCCATCGCGATCTTTCACGGCATACTGGTACAAATACCTCGGGGCCGACACCAAGTAGGGCCAGGTCTTTGGCCAACAGAGATGAGAGGAAATCGAGAGTCTCATATTTGAACTGGCCATCCCAGGCATCAACTGCAGGGGATGATGGCTGCACCCTCGCCATTTGTTGTATGTCGGTGTGAATACAAGATCGTACAGCTTGTGGTAGGTTGCAATTAAAGCGAAGCATCTGCCTCTCATTCCTTCCCGTTGACAGATTGATGTTGCTAAGATTGATGGTTGCGGGGTCAATAAGCTGCAGAACGATGTGATGGAAGGTGTCAGCCACCAATTCAGCCTGAGCTTCAGTCACCGCGTGCGTCCAGTAAGTTAAATCACCATCGATGGTCTTTTCACGCGAAGTGATATTTATTGTCAAATCATACTGTGCTTAGTGAGTGATACGAACCAAAAGAACGTCTCATACTATTCCACACATACCTCAGTTGAGTCAATTCCATCTTCTGGTTGCAACCTAATCCTTTCAAACTGATCTGAAAACAGACCTGTGGCATCTTTTTGTAATGACATTGCGGTATTGAACAAAGGTTGACCAGAGAGATTTAAAGAATGCATCACCTTTGCCAAAGAGCAATGTTGGTGATCAAGGCTTTGGGCATAGGCCGCATGGTTTCCAGCAAGTGTTGACAGAACAGATGATTCATCAGACAAGTATAGGCGACAAATCAGAAGATTGATCAAAGGTCCAGAAATGTCATGCGCATCTTGCACCGGAATATCACGGCAAGCATTCAAATACCCGAAACATATAGATTCGCTCCCTGTGTATACACGAAGAACTATACCCCAAGCGACTTGCAGCAAACTGGAAATAGTAATACCATGATGCTGGCAGAATGAGCGGAGATCTCCTCCAATACTCATGGAGAATGGTAAGCATTGTAGAGAGCTTGAGGCGGTCCCATCATCTTTCAATCCAATATATAGAAAGATACATGGATGAATATCAGCCAAGTACTCCTTCCAGTAGGATTCCGAGGCTTTGGAGTCTCGAGTTTGCAGATAATCCAGGTACCGGCTATAGCAGCCCGCAGACTCGGCGTCTAGTTTTCCATTGCATGCTTGGTGAAATTCTGACAATAGTCTCTGCTCCGTGATACCATCAACAAGAATGTGGTGAATAGCTAGCTGACAGTAGGCCCCACCATCAGGCTCAATTGCGACGGTAAGATGATGGGGTGGGCGACCTTTGGTATTTGACGATTTCGGATTTAACAGGAACTCATCCGAAAGGGACGGAATCTGGCCTTCCGCACGCAATTCCGATCCTATCAACGTCTCGATACTTACCTCACAAGTTCTCAGAACGACTTGGACAGGATGACCGTGCCCTGTGACGCCGTCAATAAAGACAGTGCGCAAGATGGGTTGACGGTCAACAACCTGCTGCCATGCTTGCTTGATCTCGTTGATGTCAATTTGATTTGCGGATGTTGAGGAAAGAGACCAACGTATATGCGACCAATATACTTGGGGGTTTCTTAACTGGCTCAACCACATTCCAAGTTGTATAGGAGAGCAAGGGAACATATCCTGGATGCCAGACGAAGACACATCAAATCGACCTGAGACTTGATGGAGTAGTCTGTGAAGCTGCTCTTCGCTTGCAAGTGATAGTAACGGAAAGTCGACAGTCGAGAGTCGCTGTTCCTGCTGCAGCTCCATGGGGAGTTCCTCGAGGGTTTGTAGGCAATTGCCGATCCATTGATCTAGTCGGTCTTGGTGCTGTAATCGATTATTATAGATGAAGGACAAGTTGAGAGATCCATTCATGACGGTTGCGTTCACATCAATGAGTGCCATGCGCGGCAAATCAGCTGCCATGGGGAGAAGGGAATCGTCTTGGACTGATGTCATCTGCAGAAGGGCACCTGGTCGTTCAAATTGTTGGAAAAGACCTGTGTAGTTGAAAAGAATCTCCATTGGGGAATGACACTGGAATTGTTTCGGTCCATCGGGGTGGAGGAATCGCGACGCAAAGTATGCCCATCCGTTAGTGGACATGCTGCGGCGGGTGCTTTTTGTCAACTGCAAGATCCTCCTGACGCTGTCCTCTTTCTTAACATCTAAAAAGTAAGGTGCGATAGTGGTGAACCATCCAACTGTGCGGGATATGTCGATATCTGCGTCCCATGGCTCTCTCCCATGCCCTTCGCTGAACATGGTGGGTGCAGATCGATTGTCGAATGCCTGAACAAAGGCGTAAAGGATGGTTGCCTGAATGATTTCTACTGGCTGGGTTTGTAGTGCACCATTTGCAGTACCAATTATTGCGTCCGTTGTTTCCTTTGATACTGTGATGGTTTGTCGCGTTGCATCTGCCCAAGTATTCTGACTCAGGATGTCCTCCGGGCCCCAGTACTCCATCGATGGACGTGGAATTTCTGTCTTCAGAGTTTCACTGGGAGCGAGGGACGCTCTGGCATAGCTTTGTTGCAGCCGGCACCATTGTTGGAATGATATGGAGAGAGGTTGTACCGTACGGCCGGTGCTGAGGATATCTTCAAGGTCTTGTAGAATGACACGCCATGACACTAGGTCAATCACAAGATGATGGGCCATCAACCCCATAAACTGCTCCCCTATGTCTGTAGTGATAATGTCAACAACAATCATCACTCCCTGGACGATATCAAGCTTGCTCTGGCTGGTTGACAAAATTGTCTGCAAGGCTTTGCGGTCATTTATAGATGGCATCCGATGTTCTCTAAATCGAAGGCTTCTAGACACATCAGGACCAATAATTTGTCCCCATTCATCATCGTCTCGATGTTCAAAACGGGTACGGAGCATTGAATGAGTAGCGACAATCTTTTCAATCGCTCTTTTAATCTCAGGCGGCGGAAGGGGCTTTCTGAGCCGGAGAATGAACTCGAGAGTAAACTTATTGTGACCACTGGGCACTCGTTCAAAGAAAAGTCTCTGGATCGGAGAAAGTTCAAACCACACCTCCGTCTGCTCATCCTCCCCTGGTGAGGCAAAAGAGACGGACCCAGAATCTTTGATCCTTTCCGCCAGTTGTCTGATGGTTGGAAACCGAAAGATATCAGCAACAGCTACTTTGAGTCCGACTGTACGACAACCTGCCGCAACTTGCATGGCGCTGACCGAGTCCCCTCCCAGGCGAAAGAAGCTTTCTGTAGTCCCGATTTCTTGAACAGTTCGATTTAGTGTGTTTGCCCAAATCTGTTGAAGCTTTTCCTCGCGAGAAGATGATGGTGCCTCTGGCGTCATTTTCACAGCCCGATAAGCCTGTATCTCCTCCAAGGATAGCTTATTGGCCTGCTCTCGGATGTAACGTCGATTGGTTTTTCCAGATGGCGTTAGGGCTACATGAGATAGAGGTAGGTAAAACCTCGGTATCATGAAGGATGGTAGAACATCAGACATGTCGGCCTCTGCTGCAGCACAAGCTTCACGAAAATCGTCATTTGGAGGAAGAAACCCGGCTCGATGATGGCCGTCTTCATTTGGAGGGGACGCAGGGAGACATATAAACGCCATCAGAATAGCCTCTGGACGGTGATCATTGATACCGTTTTGAGAGGACGAACGGAGAACATCGGCAAGGGTCTGGCGGGCTTCCGGAAATGCTTTGTAAAGATGGTACTCAACATCCGCCAGTTCCAGACGCTGTCCGTGTAGCTTGACCTGAGTATCCTTCCGACCGAAGTATCGAAAACTGCCAGCACCGGTAGCCTGCACCAAATCTCCGCTTTTGTAGAATCTTTCGTATGGAACAGAGCCAAATTGCAGGCGCCAGGGGGGTGCTTCAACGAAGACCCGAGCCGTCTGCTCGGGCAGCGATAGATAACCCTTGCCAACAATTGGTCCTTCTATCAATAGTTCTCCAGTGCATCCCAGTGGCATGAGCACTCGATGATCATCCGGATGAACAACCCACCCAGATCCCCCTGTACTAAATCCTATGTTCGCTGGGTCATTACTCTTGATATTTGGTTGTACACTGAACACTGCCGAGCATTCCGCTGGGCCGTATGCATTTCCAACCTGTACAAAAGGCTCCCAGCGAACAATGTCGCTAGCCAGAACTGCCTCTCCGACAAACATTAAAACCTTTAAAGTGTCGACATTTTCAGGACTGATAATCCGGGTGACACTGGGCGTCAAGCAGGCGACGGTCACTGCAAAGCGGTTCATAGATTCGACAAGATTACTGTGACAGTCGTCTATTGACGGAATGCAGACACAGCCTCCATGAATCAAAGTACTGATATGTTCGATAATGCAAGAATCGAATGCTGGAGAGGCAAATTGTAACACACGCGACTCAGGTGTAATGTGGTATGGCTTTCCATGAGCCATAGAACTTGAACAAAAGCCTTCGTGATGAACAATTACACCTTTGGGGGCCCCCGTAGATCCAGAGGTGAATGTCAGATAGACGGGATCCTGTGGGCTGACCGAAGAATCCCGAGGTGGACTATTGCAATACAGTTGCTCTGAACCAGAATCATCCATGTTGAGCAACGCTTGAACTCCAAGCTGGGCCGCCAGCTCAATATGCATACCGCAAGTCAATACCAGGGGAGCTGTAATAGCTTCACACATATTCTGCAATCGGGACCGTGGGTGTGATGGGTCTAGCAGCACAAAAGCAGCACCAGTCTTCATCACAGCAAGCATGGCGACAGCCATCCACTTAGTTTTTCCCAAGAGGATCGGTACAAGAGACCCAGAGCCAACACGCTTCCAGGAAAGATAGCTGGCCCAAGCTGAAGATAATTTATCAAGGTCTAGATATGAATAACTGCCATCCCAGCTATTGATGGCCAGGGCATCTGGCTGCTGTTGCGTGCGACTTTCAATTAGAGAATGTACACACGGAATAAGCTGAGGACGCTTTGTCGAGATATTTTGGCGGCGGAGATTGTTCAAATCTTCCGGGCTCACGACACTGATATTGGAAAGACTTAGGCCCGGTTTAGTGTCGATCTGCTCATAAATATGAATGAATTGGAAGAGAAATCGCTCCATTTGGAAGGGCTCGATTACTGCCGGATCAAAAGTAGCCTCAATAGACATTGTTGTGGCGGAGGGGCGACATCGGAGGATTAAAGGATACATATCATACGTCAATTGGGTTGATCGACTCTGGGAGAATAAGTCGGGAAGGTCATGGCCATCTCGAGGCTCGACAGATAGCAGGGTCTGGAAATGACACGCAGCCGCTGGACCAGGCCCAAGGCGAAGCAAATTTTGCAATCCGACATGCTCGAACTCCATGGATGCTGCCCAATCATCCTGTACTGCAATCAAGGCATCTGCAACGGTATTCCGTCCGCATAAATTGATGCGCACCGGCACGCTAGCGAGTGCAGGTCCGCTTAAGTCTTGCATTCCCGCAACAGACACTGCGCGACCGGCATTGACTGCTCCAAATAATGTGTCGTCAGAGCCAGTATAGACCGATTGCAGGATCGCCCACGCCAATCGAATCTTGGTTCCGACAGTGCTGGAGGAACTTTTGGCACATTCAATGCTAAAAGACCTCTCTAGTCTTTTTGTTGGTCTGGCAGCATGACCCGCTGTTGGTAGTTGAGGAAACGACCTCATCGTGGCCTCGTGGGCATCACTGAACTTGGATTTCCAGAAAGCATTGCATTTGTCTTGGGTCCGCTGTACATGATCCACTAGAGGCCGAAAGGGGTGGAAAGACAGTTCCTTGCCTCTGTAGGCGGCGGCGGCTTGACGCAACAACAATGCCATAGACCAGTGGTCGCAAATAGAATGATGAATTGTCACTTTCAGCTTATGTTCGGTGACATTGAAGATGAAATACGCCAGCGGAGCCCCTGCTCGCCATGAAGGGTTGGCAATCTCACCATTTACGCCGTCATCGGTCTCCTGAACCTCCCATGGAATTGATCCTCGCACCACTGCCTGCACACAACCGTGCTGACTAGTTGGAATCATACGAGTCCTCAATATCGGGTTGGCTTGGGCTGTCCTAATCCAGGCCTCTTTCAGATCATGGTGGCCAATCTCTCGCGGCAGAGAGTATTCATGTTCGATGGTGTATGCTCTTGGATTTCGAAAAGTGAGAGCTATCATTGCCTCCTGGAGGGCGGTGCAGGCATATACGTCTTCGATCTCGTCCAGGGAGCAGTGGCATTGATCGGCCACTTGTTGCCAGATTCCCTCCATTCCGTTCTCGCTCTCAGTTGACGGACTAGGGGGCTCTTTGTTGAAAGGTGTCAATCTTCCCTTCAATGAGTCTCCTAACTCCATCGAATCTTCCGGTGGAGTGATGGCCCCTGTCGCAGGGATATCCATCGATGGCCTCATACTGGAGTTGGGGTGCTTTGGTACCAGTATCTCAATTTCTCTGCTCTCTATTCGATTAGAAGATAAACCTCTTATTTTGGGGCTCATATTAACGGACCTGTGCCACTCAATCGTAGGAGACTTTCCGGTTTTATTCAATGCACAACCAATCTCATCGGCAGTGTCAACTTCTATAAGGATAGCCAAGATACAACTTGGCATGAAGTTCATGCAAGAACATCGGTGAGTGACATTCAGGGTACATAGGGCTATGGCGGAATAAACATAATGCGCCCTGATCCAAAGAAGGTTGCATAAACCGTGGTATACGCACATGTTAATGTAACATGATGGTTTCCTTGACGTACACAATAAGCCCTACACCGACCAAAAATATAATCTTATGCAACGACTTCTCCTTTTCCGGCGTTTTGAACTTCATCCTTTGCGTTCTGTCAAGTTCCTACCATGTGTGTTCATCATCGATTGAGTTCATACCATGGTTTTTGATAAATATGATCAATACTATCGAGGAAGAATTATCTTCCGAAGGGGGTAGTTGCTGTAAGTCTCAACCTCAGCTGTCTGCGGCATAAAACTATAAAGTTATCTAAGATTAGATTCCATCCGCGCAGATCCCTTTGTGCATCGCACGTTGACCCACTTTTTGAACCATGTCTTGATCCACTTCTTGACATCACTGCTCGCCCCACCCACACTGCATTATTCTATTTGGTCAATGTGAGAGCTGATCGATTACTATGACCTTGAGACTATTGTGGATAAGTTTTGTTCGATGAGGGGTCTGAGCGATAGCCTTCTACGAATTGTTCACGTCACGCGTCACTGGTATCTGAACGCTAATGTTTCCATCGGCTGATTCTTTGTCATCTGGAAGTACTCAGGGACTTCTGACACGTATATTCAACTTCCCAGTTACACGCAAAGATAAAATCACGACGATGGTGAGGAAGTCCATCTTGATCGAAAAAAAAAGATTCTTGGTCATCGAAACGCTGTTCTTCGTCAGCTTCCCCACATCGTGTCGAAACGCAGGACATACCGATACAACTAGAGAGTAACTCTATCACCAGTCCAGATATGGTCGGTAGCACAGTGAAGTCAAAAGATGAGAAAGCCAAACCAGCGACTCTCGGTAGCTATGCGGTAGGTTTTGATATATTGATGGATCTGTTTTGTCTACTTGTGCTCACAACCCTCCAGAGGATTCTATCATATGGTGCCTCTCATGGGGGTATTTATATTATGATCCTGGGGCTGGTTTGTGCCATGGCTTCAGGAATCGTACGTTATCCCAACTATCGACCTGTCCTCAAGATCGACTAATGAAATTCCAGGCTCTTCCGTTGATGAACATTGTCTTTGGCCAGCTGGTGGGGAACTTCAATGAGTACTTTATACCGGGATCTGGCATCACAGAGCAATCATTCAAGTCCTCGGTCAACCAAGACAGGTGAAAATCATACTCCATTTCTCATAGCAGCGAGTAACTTACCGTCTCCTTCTAGCTTGTATATTGTGTATTTGTTTATCGGAAAGTTCTGTCTCACGTACACGTCCATGGTAAGTATATTTGTCTACCTCCATAACTCCGCTGTTACTCATACGAGACAGATTTGTTTTCGATTGACCAGCCTCCGTGCCTCAGGAGCCTTGCGCCTGGAGTACACCCAGGCTCTCTTTTCACTTCCTGTGAGCAAGCTGGACGAAATGTCGGTCGGAACCGTTACACATGCGATCACGGCGCTGTCGAATACGATCCAGCAAAGTGTTTCTGATCGACTCGCCATTCTTTTCCAGTCACTTGCCTTGCTCATAGCGGCTTACGCAATCGCATTTCGTTATTCCTGGGCGCTGACGCTTGTTGTCAGTGCGGCCATTTTATTTGTGATCCTTGGCTTTAGCCTAACAATGCCATTTTTGGTGAAGGCGCAGCAGAGCGTGGACCAAGCGGATGAGAAACATGCAGCTCTCGCTTCAGAAGTATTCGGCTCTATTCGAACAGTGTTCTCCCTGGGTGCTGAGCAATCACTGTTCAAAAAGTATACACGTTGGGTCCAGGAATCACGAAAGCGTGGCCTTGGTATGTCTTTAGTCAGTGGAATTCACCTTGGAATGCTCTTCTTTGCAATGTATGTCAGCTTCTCCCTGGCCTTCTGGTATGGGTTGAAGCTGTATCGCGAAGGTCACATCGCTAACATTAATATCGTGATCACGTATGATTGTCTCATCTTTTGACTACCTATGAGGCCATATTCTGACGATCAGTTAGGGTCTTCTTTTCCGTGCTCCTCGTGGTCACCATTTTGGGAGGCATTGCGTCGCCATTGATGGCTATCACAAAGGCCATAGGTGCATCAGGTGCTTTTTTCGGTGTCATTGATTCCAAACGGGATAATCCACCTGGGGTTCGAGATCTGGAGGTCTCCCATGCCGATATTGAGTTTGAGAACGTGACGTTTGCCTATCCCACACGACCGGAAATGGCTGTGCTTAAGGGATTTAATGCACTATTTGAGCGGAATAAAACCACGGCTCTAGTTGGATCCTCCGGTTCCGGGAAAAGCACTATTGTCGCTTTGATTGAGCGATGGTATGAACTTGAGACCAAGGAAGAAGATGAGTCCGTGTTGGGTCATATTCGTGTGGGAGCTCACAACTTCAATGACTTAGATGTGAAGTGGTGGCGATCTCAGATCGGACTTGTTCAGCAAGAGCCTTTCTTGTTCAACGACTCGATATACAATAACGTTGCTTTTGGTCTGATCGGATCTCAGTTGGATAATGGTACGGAGTCCGTGAAGACAGAACTGATCACCGAAGCTTGCAAGCAAGCCTATGCAGATGAATTTATTGACCGCCTTCCCATGGTATTATTACCCGCTGTCTGCATTCCTTTTATTTTCACTTCATCTAATTTTTCTTTTTTAGGGTTATTCGACCATTGTTGGGGAAGGTGGAATCGCATTGAGTGGCGGACAGCGCCAAAGAATTGCCATCGCACGAAGCATCGTCAACCAACCTCAAATTCTCATCCTTGATGAAGCGACCAGCTCGATCGATGTTCAAGGAGAAAGCATAGTGCAGGCCGCCCTCGATCGTGTGTCCAAAGATCGCACTACAATTATGATCGCTCATCGCTTGTCCACTGTCCGCCGCGCGGACAAGATCATCGTCATGAAAGAAGGCACAGACATTGAAGAAGGCTCTCATGAAGAATTAATACTCAAGAAAGGGATATATCATACCTTGGTTCATGCGCAACGGCTAGATCCACTGACAGATTTAATGGATGCTGACGTGCCGCGTTCAATTTCTTCGCATAAAGAAGAAGTTGAGCCTCAATATCACACTACCATAGAAGGCTGCGATCAAAGTTGCCAGAATATCCCCGAACGTGAAAGAAACTTCGGCTTTTTCCATAGCTTTGGGGTGCTCATTTATGAAAATCGTGGCCATTGGGTCTTATATGCACTGACACTGATCGGGGCTGTAGGGGCCGGTTGTAAGAACCCTCTCCCGCACATTTCCAGATATAAGCTTACAAATTTCAATAGCTGGGTTTTCCCTACAAAGTTGGCTTTTTGCCAAACTTGTGCAGGTATTCCAGTTCACTGGCAATAAGCTTGTGCAGGCTGCAAACTTCTGGGCATTGATGTTTTTCATCCTCGCCCTTGCCATGGCGACTTTCTATTTTATGCTAGGATTTGCGTCAAATTCAATCTCGATGGTGAGTCTACATACTTCCTTTCACTTTGATCAAGGCTAAGTGTTCAGTTTGTCGTATCCACTTCTCGGATGGATTATTTCTACAATCTCCTGTCCAAACCGGTGTCGTACTATGACCGCGAGGAGCATTCCTCAGGTAGCCTGGTTTCAAGACTCTCCACTGATTCGAAGCAGTTGCAGGAGATGTTTGGTCCTGCTGGTGTTTTCCCATTCATATCGATCTTCAATATCCTTGGATGCGTTGCAATTTCCTTCGCCTTTGGATGGAAGCTGGCGGCTGTTACATTCTTTGCCGCAATGCCATTCATATTTCTCTCTGCCTTCATGCGCATTCGCTATGAAATTAAATTCGAGAGCCTGAATGCCGAAGTTTATGCGGATAGCTCCAAGTTCGCAACAGAGGCGGTCAGGGCCTTCAGAACTGTCACTGCTCTAACCATGGAAGATACAATTTTGGAAAGATATTCAAATCTGCTGAAAGACCAGCGTCAAAAGGCTATTCGGAAGGCGTGGTATGCAACGTTGATATTTGCATTTTCCGACAGTGTCGAGCTATGTGCTATGGCTCTCGCCTTCTGGTACGGCGGTCAGCTACTCGCGTCCCGCGAATATGACCCAGTTGCATTTTTCGTGGTCTATATTGCCATTATCCAAGGCGGCCAATCTGCTGGGCAGTTCTTCAGTTTTGGCCCAAATATTGCTCAGGCTAAGGCTTCTGCCAATCGCATTTTGGCTGCACGGCCACCTGCCCAGGAACAGATTCAGCATGTTCCGATGGGGCCACTCTCTTGCTCAGAGGACACCCCTAGTTGCTCCGTTGAACTACAAAATGTCTCTTTTCAATATAGTTCTCGCGAGGTACCAACATTTGTTAATTTGAATCTCGCCATTGAGAGTGGTCAATTCGTAGCATTTGTCGGACCTTCAGGCTGCGGAAAATCTACGCTTGTTTCGCTACTCGAGCGCTTCTATGACTGCACTCAGGGAACCATTCTATTTGGTGGTCGAGACATTCGTTCTATTGAGATTCCCTCTTATAGAAGTGCTTTGTCACTCGTCTCACAGGAGCCGAAATTGTTCGAAGGTACGATCCGCGAGAATCTCCTTCTCGGTCTGGAAGCCCCCGATAATCCGACTACCGAGGACCAAATGATTCAAGCATGCAAGGACGCCGAAATTTTTGACTTCATAGCATCCCTACCAGATGGCTTCTTGACGGAACTTGGCGTCAACGCTCAGGCCTCGATGAGTGGAGGGCAAAAGCAGCGTCTTTGCATTGCGCGAGCCCTGATCCGAAAACCATTACTACTTCTTCTTGATGAGGCTACATCCAGTTTGGACTCTCAGTCGGAAAGTGTTGTACAAAGTGCTATGGAGAGATTAGCAAGCAAGCGAGACATGACTATCATTGCAGTCGCGCACAGACTGGCAACCATTCAGAAAGCCGATGCAATTTTTGTCTTTGGAGAAGGGGCGTCCTGGCAGGGATCAAAGATTATTGAGTCCGGGACGCATCATGAATTGTTGCGCAGAAAGGGGGCTTATTGGTTGATGGTATTCCCTCCCTGAACCCCATCTACTTCTTATAACTAACGTGATTATAGTGTCAAGCGCAAGCTCTAGACCGGTGATGACATCAACCTTTCAAGCAGCACTCTTTCATTCATTCCTTTCTCTTATCTCATGCTTCGATACCTCAAAGGCTAGCGAAATATGGACTATCTGCCTCCAGTTTGGATTCTATCCGTAGGTTCCGGGTAGGGAATCCCATTTCTATCCAGACACATCTTAGTAGCTGGTTGCAGACACGAAGGGACCAACTTTAAGAAGTGCTTTAGATGACTTGCGATCTAAAAATATCACGCTCCGTGTTTACTGAGGGAATCAATGCGGCCTTTCGTGGTCGCAAGCGTTTCCTTTTCAACAATTTCATGTATTTTTTTAACTCTCTTTTCAGAGTGCCGCGACCCTAGGTGATCCTCACACTTCTCTTTCACGGCGTAGGCCCCTATATTTATGTTCCTCTCCCACATGTAACCTGATACATACGACCATAGGGTGTGGAGAACAGGGCTTCCCGTCCGCTCAGCTGTACTAAAGTGGCTAGCTCTTGCATGGCCAATTCTCAAAGAGCACTGAAATTCTAAAATAGCGATAGAAACTCTGGTCTGGCTCCGCGCTTTTCATTAACGAAAACTACCGCTTTCTCTAATAAATGTTCGAAAATGAAATGACATGCTATCTTTGGAGCTCTTTGTTCATGAAGAAAAGAGAAATATATATATGTAACTATTGCAGTGGGGAAATTGCTTACTACATGATTCATGAATTAGCGGTGTATCGGATGACTCGGGCTTTTGTGATATATAAGACTTTCTACTAGTAGGATAGAGACACAGACACACCCTCTTCTTCACTACCACCTCTATGTGCTCTCCTCTCTTATACTCCTACTACCCCTAGTGGCCGATCTGGTTCGCAGACAGACATGCAGGGTCGGGTTCCCCTTCGTGTTCCCCTCTTCACTGTATATATTGTAGTGGTGAATCCCGTGACAGTAGTATTTTGTCAGTGCTGCATTCATGAATACGGATTGAGAACCGGAATTATAGTAACTCCGAATGAGCGGATTACTAAGGATGAGCATAGCATAAATAGCAAGAAATAGCAAGTAATAAATGACAGAGATTTCAATGCCCTCATTGGCTGAGCAAGTTACGGAAGACAGCAAGTTCCGACATATTTTAATGGCCTGAGGCATCTATGATGCCTCAGGAGACATGCAGTCTTCTCCTACAGAGAGAGAGGAGCATGATCTAACAACCTCAATATGACTACAGTTACTCGCAAAGCTTCTTGATTCATGATATAGCATCAGGCTCGGTACGATTTACACCTTCAGGGACCGCTCTCTACGCCTTCAGGCCATGGGAGTGGTTGTGTGATCTCTTCATTAGTATCGACCCGTCTGCTATGTCAGACTGCCATCGTGCCATCCCCATTTCAGTATTTTATTTTTAACTAAGTTGGATTTTGCGATGCTTAGTTTGTAGGAAAGGAGGCACACATATCAACCAAGAATGTTCTTTACGGCTGATCTCTTTTACTAACGTGATGACTATTTGATTATTCCATGTATGAATTAGATCTTAACTTACAGGGTTTAGCAATAAACAATGCTACTTCATTCCTTTACTTTCAAACTAGGGCTATGGTGAGAACTATTCACCCACCTTCTTTGGTAACTTTTTCGCATTTATAAAGATATTCTTAAAGCCCTTGAAATTATAAATCGCGAAGTACAGTATGTCCAGTAAACTAATACAATACAAATGAAGGACAGGTCGAATTTAGATGAGGCGGTGACCGCAGTATGGCGACGGTTCGTGATACGGATACTACCTCATACCGCACATATGGCCTTCCTAGCATCTATAATACAGTTTCCTTATCAGCCATGTTGTGTGTGAACAGTGAAAAATACATGAACTGAATGTTAGGACTCAAACGTGTCATTTACTATAAATTGACGGTTTGACATGGTGTCTGTATCGATGTGTTCCCCTCATCAGGGCAACGTTTTCAAACACTTTATAAGATCTATGGAAACCATCTTTGAGACACAGCGACTTTAAAGACGAAGATTTGAACAAGGAAGATATGATCAATTCCAATCATGAAATAGCCTCAGGCTGTTGTACGATTGTCTGTGGACTACTTCCCGCTTTTCGACGATCATAAATTTTATATCCGATCCATGCACCCACTACCGTAGTGATGAAGCTGAGAACACCTACAACTATTCCAGCTATTTCACCAGCATCAAGTCCACTATTGCCATCATCACTTCCATCGATCGGATCGTTTATAGTAGCAGTAGGAGTAGTTGTGCTGGTAGGCGAGGTTATCGCGGTGATAGCATTTGTAGCTGCGAGGAAACTTGTATCAGCCAGGTTATGGAAGTACGTGACAGATTATAGAATTTCCACGACTGAGAATAGGGGGTGTTTATCTGGGAATACCAGAGTGTATTGATCATTTCGAATGGAAAAAGTCTGTACCAATAGATAGGTCAAAGTTGAGTGAATATGAAACATACCAGAGTTGGTTGAAAAAGATGATGCTCCTGTAGCGGTCTCTGAGCCGTAGCCGTTGCTTGAACAATAGGACTTGTAAAAATTGGCAGCGCTTTTCATATCATTTTGATTCTCGCATGATTTATTGACGCAGTTTTTAATAAAAGTTGACGCATCGTCTTGGAGGTCAGAGCGGCAAAGACACTCGATTTGAGATTCCGGGCGAGTTTCGCACCCGATGGCATTTGCAACTCGGTCATAGAGACCATAGAAGAAGCAATTACGTGCGCATGGTCGTAAGGATTCAAATGCAGGATAATCAGCGAGAGAAGTGGTCTGCGCATTGCTTGAAGGGACATTGGCCCAGAGAATTAAATAGGCGAGTAATGGAGGAAGAAATAAACCCCCTTTGAGGTTCCTCATGGTAAAAGGGAACTTGCCTTATTGCGCTCAAGTTGATGCAATAAAAATATGTGTAAGCTCTTGTGACAAAATGGTTTTAGTTCTCGCAAGGATAAAGTGGGAAAGACATTATATAAGCCTTGAAGAGAGAGAAAGCGCGTCTCTGAAAACAGGTCAAAATGTCTGAAACTGATAGATCTAGGAAGAAACGATATTTTTCCATCTTGTGATACACATACTAGAGCGCTCTCGGCACCGAGCCGCATTTTTCGACTTCGTGCATTGAGACAGGCTTGGAGTCTTGGCATTTTCGTGTTGCAGTACAGGATAAAATCCAGTACCAAGACACATGCGCTAAGGTTAACTGTGCTAGGTATAGTACACGCTTGTGGCTTCACGCCTCGGGGCTGAGTTTTCTTGGCAGCTTACCCAGGGGGCCAATGAGCTTTGCTTGGGTCCCGCAGATACGAGGTCAGGCTGAAGTACATGAATCATGCGAACAGGAGGCGATTATCGAGGCGATTGGGTCATCGCAGGATATCCGCAAGCGCTGGTATTGGGGTTACCAGCTATAAAGCCATTGACTGACTGAACTATTAGAACTCTGTTGAGATGGTCTTTCATCCATACTAATTTTGTTCTACCATGCGAAACCTCAATCACATTATGTCGGAAGCCGATTTATAGCGTGTATATGCTAGCATGTTGAAACGCGCGAGGTTTTAGTATAATAATCTGGTAGACGGTCTTCAAATCCAGGCTATGAAATCGTGCCTGATGTATGAGAAGTCAAGTACCTCCTGAGTTACACCATTGTAGGTTAGCCGGACTATATCCTAAAGAGTAAAACTAAGCGATCCCCTGGCTAAATTTGATGCCTCAGAGACCGAGCCACCACAACACCGGTAAGCGACAGCAAAAGGCGAACTAGATGGTCCAATCCGAAAACATGTGTTAGAGCAGATTTCGGACTATCTTCACTAGTTGACTTGTTTCTTGGCAAGGCAGCTTCCGGCGTGGCTGGGTTGGCGACGAAAGTTATTGGTTGGGCGTGTTATCACTTACAAAGGTAGAAGTATAAAGCGCCCAGCAACTGTTCAATACGATCGGAAAGATAAGATATCTTTATACTCCACCAGTTTTCTACCCACTTGGTCTAACCTACACTTGCATTGTGAAAGCTTCTCCAAGCATATCTCGTCATGGCCGGAAATATCGACACCAACAATGATATATACAGACTCACTGCACGTCCCTTCATACTCGAACGCGAGGGAGAATATGACCGGGCAATCAAAGTTTACCAAAACGCAGTTGAGATCTTGTGTATGTCCATTGAAAAATTCAAAAAGATGAATGTACGCAGGGTCAATCGCAAGATGTTCGAGCGCCAGGTACAGGTCCATCGCGACCGACTTGCCTACTTGCAGACACTCAAGCGTAAGGGGAGCTTTGACGGTATCGTCCTGCCACCGACAATCCTTGACGCCATGGAGGACTTAGCTGTGAAGGATGGTGATAGCAGCCCATGGACCCTTTCACAGGTAAGTCGTTTACTGTTTTACCAATACGATTGTCCCATTGTGGAACTGGGCTGATCTCATACTGCCATTCCTCAGATGAGGCAAGCCCTTCATACTTATCGGTCCATGACCGACGAAAATAACAGCACAAGCGCCAAAGAAGTACCGCACCACTTGAAGCCTATCCTGGAGGCCTCAGACTCTACCCAAATACCGTTTTTTTCACCATCACTAGCCACGACCGCAGAGCCGCTGACGTACCGCATAACCCATGATTCCGAGTTTGTCGAGCTGGGTGCACGGTCCCACTGGCTCTTCGTCAAGGATGCCACTAATACCCATGTACTTTACGCGCTCCAGGCTATCTGGAGCGACCAGATCCCAATTACCGAGGCTGTTTTACGTCGTCCAGGCGAGTTCCTTCCACGGGTTGGCGCCGTGAGTGTCCGAATCCGCAAGACACCCGGTGGCAGTTTTCGTTTGGTAACGTCCACAGTCCCTGACATAGGGATTATTGTTGAGATCCCTGATAGGGAAGCAAAGAGCAAAGACTGGTCTCCGCGGCGCTTCCAGTATGGCGGTCGGAACTTTGTTTGGAGGAGCGGGCGGAAAGACAGCAGAGAAAAGAGTGCTGATGGTGGCCTATTCAAGTCGTTCGCATGGGAAGCGCTGTATGAGACGAAGCGTGTATGGCCTAAGCAGGGGAGCCAGACAGGTAAGCTTGAGGATGAGACTGTCGGAATGTGTCTGTGTTGGGGAGAAAAGGGTGGAGGCAATGGGGCAGCGCACTCGATATATATGAATCCTGGGTTGGATATGCATTTCAGGGAGCACCTACTTGCGGCACAGCTCGCGAGATTTGTGCGTTGCAAAAATCCACCCCATAAGGACTCGAAGGGAGTCGAGGCAGTAGCGACTGGACAGACCATATTGTCAATTCTTGAGATGGCATCATCTTAAACACAAGGGTACAGTCAGCAGTATGGGTGTATAATTGACTTAATCCGGCCCCTCATGGAAGTTGGATTTTTGTCCACAGTTCAATAGGGTGGGTGCGGATTCGTAATTAGTTTAGTCGGGAAATCAACCATTGAAACGACATGCTAGCTATCTTTCTTTTGGTTTTCTTTCTTTTAGTCGATTAGTCGAGAGCTCCAGACAATCAAAGAAATTCTAAATAAAGATATGCTTAGTTCAAGAACGAGTAGTAGTATATACAAAAATAGCTATGTTAAACAAAGGAGATAGTCAACCACCGCTAATCGTTGGAAGTAAGCTAAAACTAGCTACTGTAATGGTGAACCTGGTAACCCATGTCTTGGCAAGCATTCAGTATTCTTCTTCTTAGAGACCGGAGATAATCAGAGAATAACGACGTAATAGCCGATTTGAAAAGCAACGTGTTAACATCGGAGGAAGCAGTAGCGGCAGATATTTTGCCAGTCGTCGATGTCGCTGCCAGCATAGCAGTCAGCGATGCAGCAGTATGCTTGTTACCTTATTTTTTCGTCCCCAGACATTGAAATTAGGAACAGATTACCTTAATTGCCGTCAGTGTTGGCGTCAGGATAGTCGCTGGAATTTATAAGTGCAAACTCTGTTCTCTGAACAGTGCTTTGTCAATTTGCTGATATTTCAGTCTACCTATTGGGAGAGGTTATCCAATTCTCCGAAAGAGGCAGCGCTGACGCCTCCCCAACTACCTCAGTTGCTAGCACGAGTCTCCTAACGGCATCCCCAACCAACCCAGCATCAGCAGCTACGACCTCATGCACTGCAGCCCCAACAGTGACCCCAATTGGCGTAATAACCAAGTCAGGAACTACACTAGTGCAGTTCAATGAACTGGTTGCTATCTTGCCTCAGGATCTCAAAAGTACCCAGCTCACAAATTCATGGCAGTCAAATGCGAGTCTCTTTTTTTCTTGTAGAGTTTTTATCTTCCTAGTGCTGACGTTCTAGGAAAAGTAGCCGAAATAGGTATGCAGATAGCTAAGAACCGTTCAATGAAATGGCGGTAGAACCCAGCGTACCCTATAAACTGCTAGACGTCGAACGCACATTCAGGGATAGGCTATTCCTATATGGTTTTGACACGTTCCTTTTCTATACTTACCCCTTCTAGGGTGATCACAAACCCAAGGAATGTGACCGAATTGGTATGGAAGCGGCACTTGCTACGTTTTGCGTATAGCTAGTAGGTACGTAGCGTCGAAAGACTTCTCGAACATACTCGACATACTCTTCCTCGTTCTAAGAGAATATTAGGGTGTCGTCTAGATAGACGACACAAAATTGGTCGAGGAGGTCACAAAGCGCCCTATTGATATACGCTTAGAATATGGTAGGGGCATTCGCTAGTCCAAATAGTATAACTATGTATTCGAAATAGCCGTATCGCGTACGGAACGCCGTCTTCTATTCGTCTCCCTCCTTGATTCGGATCCTATGGTAGGTATCCCGGAGGTCTAGCTAGGTGAAGATTTTTGCGCCCGATAGTCGGTCTATTGTCTCGCTCACTAGCGGTAGGGGGTAGCGGTTCTTGATAGTAATGTTGTTGAGACCCCGATAGTCCACGCATAACCGCAAAGACCTATCCTTCTTCTTGATAAAGATAATTGGTGCGCTAGCTGGACTCTAGGAAGGCCGAATCTATTCCTTGGCTAGCATTTTATCAATATAGTTTCTTAGCACCCCTAGCTCGTTCGGGGAGAGAGGGTAAATTGGCTGGTGTGGTGGCTGGGCGCCCTCCTCTAGTTCGATGGCGTGATCCAAATGTGTGGACTAGGGCAGTTTGTCCGCGCCTTCCTCGCTGAAAATATCTTCGAAGTCCCTATACGCTTCTGGGATAGTTTCGCCGTCGTCAATTACTGTGTGGAAGAACGGCACTAGGCTATCTTTGTCTGATAGCTGTGGGTAGATAGCTATGACGAATGCTCCGAGCGTAGCCTTATTATAATATACCGCGGCGGATATCCTGAGGAGCTGCGTAGGTTCATTTTCACGGTAATTCCACGTGTGTTCTTTGTAATTGATATCGGGGTTGGCTGAGATAAGCTAGTCGTATCCAAGAATTATGTCGTACCCTTGGATTTCGACTGCCTCGCACGTAATAGGGTCTTCTCGAATAGTTCCTGCGCTGTCGGTTATTTTAAGAAGTAGCTCGTGCGCTCTAAATAACCGGATAGTCTATTCGTTGATGGCCCTAACCGTCCGCGGTCTAGCTTCGCTATCTAGGAGGTGTTGTTTGGCCTATTTTTGGTTCACGAAACTTGCCTCTGCGCCGCTATCCACAAGGACGCTTATAGGGATGCCCCTGTCGGCCAGGATAACAACCGCTTCGCAGATAAATGCCTTTTCTCTATCTAAATGCGTCTTGGCGGCCCCGAGTGCGATTGCGGCAAGGTTCACTAGGGCTGTCTATTTTTTGGTATTTTGACGGTGGAGGCTCTAAGGTCCGTCTTCTTCCTTATGTAGGATCTAGTGAGGTGACCTATCTCTCCGCAGTTGAAATAGGCGCTATCCTGCACCTTTCTTTTCTTAGCTGGGTTAGTCGAAGTGCTGTGTCGTAGTGTCGGATCCTGTCGTGATCCGTAACTACCCCTTCCTCGTCCTCGACCTTTGGTCCGGAAGGTAGGGTTACGGCCGAAAGTGTGTGGTTGGGGCTGATTTCCCCGGTCCGGTGGAATAGCCCCTTTAGCGTCCTTCCTTCGGTTGGACAGGGCTAGTTGTCGGGTAGGGATATTGTTCTCGACAATAGTAAGATAGTCGATATACTCTGTAAGGTCTATTTCTCTCTAGACGTCGAATTGCTCCCTCCTTTCTTTGATAGAGGGTAATACCGAGTTACGAAGCCGGGTGTAGATTTGAATATCGCCTGTCCGTTCTTGTTCTTTTATCTGGCCCTAGTACTAGATTAGGCGCGTAGCGTATTCGCGGACAGACTTAGTTTCTTTCTGAGTAGCTAGGTCGAATTGCTTAGACATAGCTTCTTGTAGATTCTTGTGCTTGTTGATCAATCCGATGGCCTAGTTCTTTATATCCCTAAAACGAGGGGTATCGTGGGGAAACTTGACCTTATATAGCTCCTTCACCTGGTTCGAGCAATAGGCTAGCGCCTATCGCGTCTAATAAGGTTGGTACTCGAACTAGTCTATATAAGTATGGTTAGCCTCGAAGAACTCTTCTAGTGAGAAGACCTATCTTCGATACTCGTCGTTGTCTTTTGCCTTGTAGATCACTAGGTTAGGCTGATCCCGCGGTTTCTTGATACTACGTCGGCGTAGGGTGAATAGGGCCTTCCGATCAGATTCCTGGTCGGTAGCTTGTGGCGGTCGATAGTTATTGAGCTCGAATAGCTCGTCGGGGAAACTAGTTGGTGGCATAATAGCTTCTTCGCCGAATGCGATAGGCGGCTAGGTTGTCTCCGATTGCGACGTACTTGCTGGAGTAGACGCCCTTATCGGTGCATTACTAGGTGCAGTAAATAGCGCATTGCTAGGTGCGAGTGGAGGTGGTCTTATCTCTGCTTGTTGCGTGAGATAGCCCTGCTCTCGGCGAAGTTGCTCCATGACCCGGGCTCTCCGTAGATTATATACTTCTCTCTCCAATTCCTCTAGTTCTCGTATCTCCTGTTCGGTGACCGCTCCCTGAGCTGCCCTAGTTGTGGAAGATTGTTGTTCGATTATTGGCGTTGGTACCCGGAGAGGTATTGGTTCGGTCGGCGGGAATGGCCCAGTCGGTTCTTGGGTGGTTTCCATGGTCGAGTCTTCAACGCTTTCGGTGACCTGAGGCCTAGGGTCGTGCCTAGCTGGCCCATTCAAGCGGTCCTCACTAGATTGGCTCGCTTGAAGCCCTTCGGTGAGGCGTTGGGAGCGACGCGAGTTCATGGCTTGTTGGTGAGGTTCTACCGGGCAAACCGTGTTTTGGGAAGCGTTCAGAATTGTGAGACCACGCAGAGTCTCCGGTTTAGTTAGGTAAGCGAAGTAGAAGCCTCAGCTGACGTGTAGTACAATATGGTTCTATTGTAGAAGAGACTGAACGCTGACCCTTCCCAGGGTCAGCGGGGATGAACTAAATACAGGCTGGCCCAGCTTCCGGGCGGTGAGCAGTACTATACTGCCACGATTCCTGAGGCACCACTCGTGCCTCAGGTACCAACATAAGTAGTCGAGGGTCCTGACACACGCGTTGTTTCTCGGCTCGTAATCCACTGCGTCAGCATCAATAACGAGTATGTAAGAGGGGCTAGCTAGTTAGGTCAAGGCAGAATCCACGCGTTTCTCGCCGCAAAGGCTCATGACCAATGACCGTCAGTATGTAACCGCTGATATTTTCAATGTCTGCTGTTTGCCCGTTTACGTGTTCTCATCCTGGTGACATGCATAATCGCTCGCGCCGAGCACGCTTAGGGTCTGTGAGCTGCTTCAAATGACAAGCTTTCCCACTTGCGAGATATTTCCCCTCGCACCCGCTCGACCAATCAATTATGACAGGGATGAAGCAATCTTTTCCGAAATCGTCCTCCTGAGGGTGGTGACCAGTAGTAAGGGCAGGCTCGAACTCGCACGGTCCAAAGGAACTGGGCATAGGGCAAGAGGGGGGGGGGGGGGGGATTGAAGGGGATTTGAATTCCAGTTTTGCCATTTTGAGCGGAATTGTAGTCTTTTACCATGGATGACGGTCGCCAGTGACGGGGAAATTGCTTCTACCCATCACAGACGATCCCGACCAGCTTCTGAATCCAGGCCATTGCATCCTAACGACGCGAGACCACACCAGCTTCACAACCCATAATCACGGACTGTAATTCACCGGCAACAATTCCTATTAACCTGCGCGGATGGCCCTTGCGATGCATACCCACACTAGTCATGAGCCGGTTATCATCCCGTTGGCCATTCGATAGGTGAGGGTGGGATTTTGGTATGGGTTTCGCAGTCGCAATCTGGTATTGGCCGCAAGATGCAGCATTGACAGAGATCAGGGGCGTGTGCGGTATTTTCGCCATTGGCCTGTATCACCGGGCCGTGCTTTTGAATATTCATCGACCGGGTGTAGAGGGACCGGAGAGACGGATGATAACGAAAACTGAGCGCCATGGTATTCGTGGCCAGGCAACCGAGAGCCATCTGTGACGCCGGGGCTGTGCAGTGTAACCTCGGATAGAGCGGACGGAGCGGGGCATGCGGCGTGGAGGGTACACCGGCACTTTACAGATGTGGAGGAGGCCGGCGGTATCAGAGCCAAACAAAACTCACTAACAGAGGAAAACCTAGATAGCTTCGTAGCATGGTACACAGTCACTCCCTTGGGGAAGGAGTAGGAGTTCGAACTGAAGCCACACGATGCCGCTGCGGGCTGGGTCATTCCAGTGGTTCTGCTCCTGCGCAATTACCATTCCAGCCCGAAGAGCGAGAACAAGCTGGGGCTCGGATCGAGCGGCATCTCCAATAAAATGAAAGGGGCAGTGCGTCGGGCTGCAACAAGGCGCAATGGTCGGTGGGGGCGAAAAAGGAAGAAAGGGGGCGGCGATGAGTGCAAGATAGAGGTGTTCCAGGGAGGGGAAGAAGGAGAAGAGAGGCCGAAAGGGCGAGGTCGCGTCTTTTATGTCGAGGCGACGCCCGGAGAGGTTACAAAACAGCGTATTAGGGTGCTAAACCTAAAAAGGCAAAACTAACCGCATGCAGTAATTCACAGGTCCCCATATTACAATATAAATAGTACCTAGTATGTTATCAATCGCTCCGGGGTATGAGAATGTACTCCGTATCCCGTACTGTAGCTGTAGTCCACGGGTACCTGCAGCAAGTGCCCAATTATTGATTCTTTGGGGAGGCTCCGTGGGCAAGGTATATTCGGTAGAGATCTCCATCCCTGCCGGAGGTAAGGGGTGGTTGCCAGTTATGTACTCCGTATCTCCCATATAAATAACCAACGAGACTTCAGGAGTACATGGTAAAGTCTAGCTCATGGTCACTTCCATGATCTCTGACAATCAGGGGATTTCCATCGTTCGCAAGTATCCTTTCCAAATCAAATCCGATCGCTAAACCGTCACCCTGCTCCTCCGCCTCGCGAAATCCTGGCGCATAGTCATCCACCAGATCGACTTCATTCCCTTTGTAGATTTCCACAAGCGGCCGTCGCATATCGACTCTAAGCACCAATTAACATAAACCATCTCGTAACCAAGAATGGACAGACTCACGGTTCATCCTCCAAAATCTCTCTTGGATCTGCATCTTCGTCGCGGTCTATGTAAATTTCCCGGTCCTCAATGTAATTGAGCGCCTGGTCTATTGGGACTCGATTTCCCGGACCGATTTCCCGATAAAAGTGGGCGAATTCCTCCATCATAATTTGACCCCGACGGGCTATCTCGTAGATACCGTTGGTTGCAAAATCAACCCAGAGACCTAGTCCGGTCTCAAGGGTCCGGTCATCGATAATAAGCTTGGGGGAGCAGTCTCTGAAAAGTACAGTTCCATCAAGCGCCATGTGCATATCGAGGAAGTTGGGTCGCGCGACACTTTGATGGAATTTAAATGTCTCGAGAACATTCCCCTTATTGTCTTCAGGGGGAACAAACACTATCATTTCGTCTGCTAGAAAGTCCCAGCCGTCTTCCCATGGGAATAATCCCAGGATACACTTGGCGAGCAGGGCTTCTTTCTCGGGGGTTAATTCGGTGGTGCAGAAGTAGACCATGCAGGAACTTTGAACGTCATTGGCTCCGAAAGTTTTATCCTATACTTGGATTAGGACAAGTCAGGTAGTAGGATGTATTTAATTGTTTCATACCGCAAGTTCAGGACCTTCAAAAAAACTAGGCTCGTCCTCTGGGGCTCGTGATTGATAGCTCTGTCATGGTGTCAGTGAAAAATAAAAATTCTTATCCAAAAGACATACATCGCGGAATTGTTGGTCTGCTGTTGCCCAGCGTTCGATCAACGCTCGTTTCTGTTGATCCGCGCCGTCGCCACCGACCCACTGCTCACGAACAAAATGCCTCCATGCACGAGAGGCGGCATCAAAATTCTTCCGGGCCACGGGTTCCTCATGTCGGCGAATGAAAGAGGGGATGCCTCTAGGCCACTGGCTATGTGATCTTGTTAAGGACATGATCGAATGGTGGTAGTTCCGGGGGTTGAAAAGAAGTTTAGTGAGGAACGTGGGGGGCGGGAATGTATTTAACGGAGTTTGATACATGCCCGCCCCAAGTTTGCACTAAGGCATCAAATCTAGTTATATTTTCAAAAGTTCCTGTACAAACTCATCTCAAACACACTAAACCTGTATTATGCGACCTTGGAATCTTTACGACTAAGCTTTGATAGGGGAGATTAAGTGGTTGCGAGCTCGGATATACACCCCTGGAGTGGGTCTTTGGCTTAAAGGGTTTTCGTTGAAGTGGATCGATCACAAACTTGGTGTGCACTAAGTAGCGTCTTTTCCGGCCTAGCCGCTTGCTTTCAAAATTCTGGTTGTAAAGTTGTAAATTTGTGCCAAAATCATTGAAATGTAAGCGAAAGTTTGATATTCATAAATTCCAGGTTTCCATGCACTACTATGTGCCAGTTAACAGCCAGCTGGTAAATCCCAGTTCTATATTCCAGCAATTAAAACTAGAAGAAAATATGGCATATATAAACATTTGACATGCCTTGAAGACCATAGCCGAATTTTGTCCGACAGTGAACTTTAGAACTCTAGGGCATTGAGTGTCCCACCCCCAAACCAAGATCAACCACACGAGCCATACTTAGCATTACAATTGGCGCTGGAACAATACTCCGACGAACTACCACAATAACCGTAGTTACTACAGCAGTCACCAAATTGAGATCCCAAACAAGTCCAGTCCGAATTAGACGGGCCACAGAGACCGTTCTCCGAAATCGTACTCGTAGGAGTCGCAACTGTGGTAGAGGTCGCCGTAGTGACCGTAGATGATGCGTGAGGGCTAGCTGTTTGGCTAGAAGTGAATACCGTCGAGCTTCCCATACTTGGATCATCGGTCAATGTAATGCTGAAGTTGAACCCGGTGGTCGGGAAAGAACCGTTCACGGGAGGATAGCACACGCGCTCGTATTCACTTAGCCAGACTTCATCGTGGTACATCTCGTCTGTTAGATCGTCATCGGTGATGTTGTACACTGAGTTGACCTGGTCGCAGAGAGTGTAGGTCGCGAGAGATGCGAGGTATGCTGAATCAGGGGTCCAGGTTGAGGCCGTGGTTAGGTCGGAAGGGAATGACCAGAACAGATTGGTGGTGCTATGGTTTGCTGTTCGGGTTGCGTTGAGATTCATGGTGCTAGCAAGTGATGTGCGTGTTCTTGTGGTGTTGGATATGTAGCTTGTATAGGTGTTGATGTTACCCACTGCTTGAACGCACTGTGGAGTGGATGGGTTAGCCTGAAAAGAACGATATGTCTTGGTTATTTTCTCGTGTAGAGAGACGTACGTAGCTGTTCCCTTTCCAGAGGCTGCCGCAACTGGAGGTTGCATTCAATGCGGCCTGGGGATTTAAGAAATTGAAATTATATTGAGAGATGCTGAATTTGTCGCACACGGATTCACAGGTATCACCATCTTGGATCTGATACCAGTGACCACAGTCGGTGTTGGAGCTAGTGACTGCGTCGGTAGGAAGAGACCTGTATATTTGATTAGCATTTTCACTTTCCGAACAACCGAGCGAAACAAAATAGCAGACAACATACACAGCGGTGCTTGCGGGCCTAAGAGCCAGGGTATCGGGGAGTGTGAGAGTACCCGGAGGACTGACGCAGATGTACTTCCCCGAAACAGCCGTCAGATTCTGCGAGCTTTGCGCTGAGTTGAGATTGGCATTCCATGCAACAAACTGAGGCACAGAGACTTGACGCGATAGGCTCGCAACGATTTTGTCAATGGTATCCGTCTCCTGAACGCGATAGATCTCACAAACATCGGGAAGGCAAATCTCTGCCCCAGCAACTATATGCGTACACCCCGTATCAAGGCTGTTCAAGTTTATCAAGGCTGAGGTTGAGACATTTTGAGCTGCTGAGATAGAAAGACAGGTATCTCCGGATTCAACCTTGTAAACAGTTTGATCGGGGTCAGTCGTGTTGCAGCGACTAGCGGCAACAGTGGCCGAGGCAGAGGCCGTGGAAGAGGCAGTCGAGGTTGGTGTATAAGTCACAGAGTATCCGCTGGTCGAGCAAGAAGATACTTGACTCGTTAAGGCCGACGGACTGAGCAAAATATCCTGACCCCATTTGGAATTCACTAGGGCTGACATATACTCCAAATAGCATGCGCTGCATTTGATGTTTGTTGTGCCATTCGAAATTGCATTTTGGAATAGGGTGTTGCAATAGGTGCCCGAAGCCGAATCAGTCAAGCAGGTTGCATCGTAACGCCATTTCATTTCTTTGCCTCTATCCGAGGCAGTTTGTGAGATACCGGAGATGTTGTACTGCGTACTTGTGCCGCAGGCTTCGTCCACAGAGGAGACATAGCTTGACAAAGCGGAAGAGCAACCGCTGGTACACATTTCCGACAGTGCATTGGCTGACCATGATGTCGTCTGGGTGACTGCCTGGCTCAAGCCGGCATAGCATGAAACATTGCTGGACATGGCATTCACGCATGCTTCTGAAGCTGATATATCAGCCAGAGTATCAGAGTTGTAAATGTAGAGAGTGTCTGAATTTCCCCAAGCAGCGGCATGATGAGACTGTAGCATCAGAACTACTGCCAATGCAGCACTTGCCCTCAAGAGTGCCATAGCTCTATGACTGAAAGAGAATTCAGAGCGCGAATTGATTTTCCTTGAACCTGGGACATGAGCAATCCCAAAGGAGGGGGAGTAATGGCTACTCAAACTACTTGTTCGGCAGGGAAACTTCGGTGTTTCGTATTGACGCCTTCATACCAACCAATTTACCACCTTATCAAAAGGAGCTAGAAGTGGGGAGGCCCATTGGAAGTTCAAAGTACCAAGCTAAATCTGAGACATCCGTCGAAATCCACTAAGCGAGGTACAGGAAAAAGTGGTTCGGCTTGAGCACTAGACAGCCCATTCAAGTGGAAAAGTGGGTGAAGCTTTACCCTATACATCAAGTCCCGAAGCCAGTCCCACTTAGCGGGTAGGGGCCGAGATCCCCTGAACGTGTTAGAGGGCCCCATGTTGGGGGCCAAGGGGGCCAAAATTTCCACATGGGTCCGCCAAGAATAATGGACTTAAGACGATAGAAAAGAATTGTAGACAAACAGATCAATGGCTGAAGCTTACATTCTTGGCTATAGCTTGGCTTGCTAGGATGCAGATGCGGCTCTAATGCCAAGTAAAATGTAGGAATTAACAGTATACCTTTCACATCGGATGCATTCTGTAGAGATTGCACAAACCATTGAATGCAGGGTTTGTTCTAAGCGAGCTGCACAGCTGAAACTTCCGGGCCTTGCCCCGCCGATGAAAATTTTTGAAGTGATTGCTTACAAGATTTGAAGCTACGAAGTAGTGTAACAGGAGGCTTGGAACCCGGGGGCCAACTTAAGGCGCCACCAGGTGGTCCGGATGTATTCGGCACCCATAGGAGATACTAGTACAGTACACCGGTGGAGTTATGCAGGGTATACATTGACCATTCCAAACTCTGAAGGGATTCGGTTTCTCACGAGATACGACTAGCCTAGTAAAAATTGCAAGTCTAGTCCACAAATAGTATTGCGTGCGCTGAGGGATTAAATTAGTAGATTAGATTAGTAGATACACTTGTGGGACTTCAAACTGAACTGTATCAGCGTCGGATACTTTAGGCTGCCGGACTGTTGCGAGCTTAGGTAGTCTCGGCTGTTCATTTCGGACCCCGTCTGTTATCTTTATGATCCTAGTTCCTCTTACTTTTCTTATTCATTCTCTTTCTCCTTTGACTTGAATCGTCCTGGGCAAGCTTTTACTGACTTGTTCAGTATTTCGGACGAAAGAGCCGCACCATGAGGATATACAGTTCGCGGGCGGAGTTCTTGTCCTGCCATTCTTTCTTTCTACTTTCTTTTATTATACTTTCACTCTTTATAAATTTCACATCGGCCCAGTTCTATGTCTGCAACTTGACAAGTCCATGTGTCAACGGTGCATGCTGTGGTGTGAACGATGGTGAAACCAATGGCGTTAGTTAAGCCTGTCTATCTTATCCATTAAGCCTCGCTGACCCAAAGTATACAGCTTTGTGGCTATGATCCCGACAAATCTTGTGGCTCTACATGCGTGAGCAATTGCAATGCAACTGCAGAATGCGGCAAATGGGCTGCCACTGCTGGCACGACCTGCCCATTGAATGTTTGCTGCTCCGAGTTCGGTTTCTGCGGTACAACATCCGAGTTTTGCAACGCCGGTACAGACGGCGGCAAGTGCCAAAGCAATTGCTATCAACCAACGCAGCCTTCCTGCAAATCGAACGACGTTCTCAAGAAGGTCATTGGCTATTATGAGAGCTGGTCTGCTGAACGGACATGTGATTCATGGTCTCCAAGCAATCTCCCCGTGCAGAGCCTGACACACATCTATTGGTCGTTTGCTCTTTTCAAACCCTGGAATGATGGCTGGAATGTTTACCTGATGGATGAGGACAAGATATCGAACTTGAATGACATGGTGGCTGATTTCATTGCTTTGAAAGATGACAACCCGTCCTTGAAGTGCTTCTTGTCTGTTGGCGGCTGGTCATTCAATGACGGTGATTCGGCGCACTATTGGTCTGACATGGCATCTACTGAATCTGGCCGAAAGTCATTCGCCAAAGACTTATTGCGGACGTTGCAGCAATACGGCTTTGACGGTGTTGACTTGGACTGGGAGTATCCTGTCGCTTCGGATCGTGGTGGCAGCAAGGATGACATGGAAAACTACGGCAAGTTGATCAAGCAAGTTCGCTCAACCTTTGACGACAGTGGTTCAAGCCTTGGAATCTCATTCACCATTCCATCGAGCTACTGGTATCTCCGCCACTTTGACGTGCCCGCCTATTTGCAAGAAGACGGAGCCGACTGGGCGAACATGATGACCTACGATCTTCACGGTGTCTGGGATGGCACAGACCCATACATTGGGAATATCACTGGAGCGCACACAAACTTGACAGAGATTCAACAATCCATGGACCTTCTTTGGCGAAACAATGTTGATCCATCAAAGATTGTTTTGGGCATTGGTTTCTATGGTCGATCTTTCACACTCAAGGACTCTTCATGCACTGGCGTCGGATGCCCCTTCACTGGAGGAGGGCAGCCTGGTCGATGTACAGATGCTTCTGGGATTCTCTCATATAATGAGATCATGGAGATCGTTGAGAATGTTGATGTCCAGGGTCCCATCTGGGAGGAAACTGCAGCAGTCATGTATGTCACCTGGGACGACAACCAGTGGGTATCGTACGACAACAATGTCACAATGAAGCAGAAGGTCGATTGGGCCAATGATCACTGCCTAGGCGGAGTCATGATCTGGGCCTTGGATCAGGATACATACGACTGGCAAGCTTTAACTGCCCTGCTGAACAAAGATGTCAGCTCCGCTTCCCTGCTAGAAGGAGGATCTGAGAACTCACTGAGTGCCAAGGCATTAGCACATGCATACAATCAATATACTGGTACTGATTGTTATGTCACTGGATGCGTGGACTATAACTCTGGATCATGTAAAGCGGGTTACAGTGTTTTGGATTACGTTCACAGAGCCTCTTACGGAACCATCACTGACCCCGATGATCATCTTTGCAAAACTGGCGATACGACCGAATATGAGGATTCAGACTCAGAATATCGTCTGATCTGTTGCCCAACAGATGCAATGCCGACATGCCAGTGGACTGGCGGCTCATCCGATGGCATGTGTACTGGTGGAAAGGAGAAAACATGTGGCTCAAATGAATTTGAAATTGTCAAGGACTCTTACTCTGACCGGACAGGGTCTACCCCGTGCATGGTCAATAGTCGATCGCTTTGCTGTGCCACCGACCCCAATCTTGACACTATAGTGAACTCGTGTTTCTGGACCGCCTGCAACGGAGAATGCATGAAAACTGATATTGAGTACCCGGAATATGCTCTCAAGCCCGGCACTAGTAAGTCACTTCACACCTCACCATCACACCCCCTTACCTCCCCCCGAGTCCACGTTGAAGAGGAATGTGAACGTCTGACAGGATTTTAGATCTCAACGAAGACTCTGAGTACTGCTCTGGAAGTGAGGTTTCGACCTTTTGCTGCCCATTTGACAGTAAGTTATGGCACCTCATTCGCAGCAACTCCGCTAATGGGACCTCACGAATCAAGATGGTTACGAGAATTGTGAATGGACTACTTGTACCGAGTCTTGCGCTAGTGACAAAGTTCTCCTCACCCAACGCTCAGCTTTACTAAATGGCAGTCTCCCCCAATATTGCCATGAAGGAGGCATGTACAAGTTTTGCTGTGATGCACCTACTCCAACTGTCAACCCTCCCGTCGACCCCTCCGCCATATTTGAGTACCCAGATGAGAAAAACTACAGCTATTACCTGAAGCACGAGGACACCGACAACAACGAATCATCCGACTTCGAGCAAGAGAACCCTTACGCATTTGTGATGGTGGATGGTGACACGGATGCATACGACGAGTCTCTTGTGGATCAGTGGACATTTTTGGAAGATGGAGGTCTCAACTCCAAGAGAGATGGCGGTCCACGCAAGAAGCGAGACATCTTCACATTCCGCGAGGACACGTTTGACAACGTCGTTGAGACTTACATTATTCGCTGTGCGAGCCTCGATGAAGATACCGGGTGTAAGACCATTTTCTCCGGTGGTGCATCAAACACCATTGTCAAGATGCCTTCTTACCACGGATCTGGACCCTACGCTCGTGTCATCAGCTTGGTTCCACAGCACTCTTCAGAGAAGCGGAGTAATATCCTACCGCGGGACACAAACCAGGCGTATGAACTCACTGTGGATTATGACCTGGCTTCCGCTTCGGAGGAGGAGAAGGGAGACGTCAACTTTCGGGTCGACTATACGAATTTGCTTGACTACTGGTAAGCTATGACTGGTGACTCCCTGTCAAAAAAAATTAGTCGCGACTAACATTATTCATCGTCGTTAGGGAGGATATTACGGAGGATCCACCCCAGAAGAGGAAGAGATGGTTTGGCGCCTTCAAGCAATGGCTGAAGAAAGTCACCACAATTGTCAAAAACAGCTCTGGATACCTACCTCTGAACTACTATGACACGATCAAGTTGTTCCATTGGGATGAGAAGTGCAGCGGCAAACAAATGTCACTGGACATCGATTCTACTCTCGATATAGGTCTCAATGCGCAATACGCGTACTACTTTGAAGGCGCGATTTTGCCCACTCCCAAGTTGATTTCTTCTTATGCATACTTTTCGGTTGCTCCTGCAGCAGAGATTCTTCTGACCATGCGAGGAGAAGCAGCATTCCAGACCAGCAGCGACAAGATCGATATTATCTCCGGTGTGACATTCCCTGGGCTTTCCATCAAGGGACTTATCAGCATCGGCCCAGAGCTCGCCCTTTCCGGTAAAATGGATGCCTCGATGGTGGTTTCAGGTGAACTTAACGCTGGTGTTGTTGTGGAATTCCCTAAAGCAGAAGTGTTCTTCCCACAAGATTCAGATGGTGAGGATGCCAGTGTTCCCCCGTCTTCTCTCAAAAACGAGGATGGCAAGGATGCCCCGAATCAATTCTCCGTCACACCTCAGTTCGAAGCTTCAGCGTCGGCATCGGGCAACTTGGCTTTGACTCTTACCCCTGAGGTCAAATTCGGTATATCTGTTCTGAATGGAAAGTTAATGGAAGGCTATGTTACCGCGGGAGTCGAGAACACTGTCAGTTTGGGTGTTAGTGCTTCGGCGTCGACAGGTCTATCGAGCGGGTCTTCTGCAGAATTCTGCTACTGGGCAGACTACGATTATTCGGTATTTCTGCAAGCAGATGCCTCGTAAGTTATATCTACTTGAAGGCTTTTGGTTATCCCGGTCAGTGCTAACTGATAAATCCTCAGATTCCTTGGCGACGTGGCATACTGGGGTGATCGATATGAGATCGCCTCTCCAGAAGATCCCATCGCACTTGTTGACAAAAAATGTCTAGCTTACTCGAGTGATGTGGATGAAAAGAGGAAGCGTGATTCAACAAGCTCGGCTCTGGTCAAAAACACAACTGGCTCACCTTTCTTTAGTGGATGGTGTCAATGTGCCAACAAGAATACTCAACTTACTAACGAAACCTTGAGTTGCTTGGATACAGAAGACACCTCGTCAACTGCTAAGCGTGCTAACACCGCACCAACTTGCTACCTCCCACCGGCGTTGTTTTACAACTGTGACTGGTTCCCAACAACGAGAATCAACAACCTCAACACTGACACAAATGGACAAACTCCTCACGTCGATCTCAGGGGCATTTGCGAAAATGTCAAGAAATACCTGGACCGGAACTCGGGCAAGCAATATGTTTGGCCCAATTGGATGCGCCTGACCTATCAGCCGGATCCAACGCATGCTAACCGGGTCGACGCATGTACTCAGAAATCGAAGGAATGTACGAAGTTGAAGAGGTCCCTTTGGCCCAAGGATGGAAAACAGCCCCAGGCGCTGACCATGTCCTGTGATGAGTTTCCCTGTATGTCAACATTGCACTCTGGATCCACTTGATTCAAGGCCATCTACTGACACGACACTCGTCCAGTCAACTCAGCAGCAGAGGGGGGGCACAGGCGCTGTAAGCTGATCTTATTCTCTTTGAAACTTGTTGCGTGAAAACTAATCTGATGTCCTTTAGGAGGTCGCATGTGTTCCGGACGGTCAGCAGAAGTATCAAGCTAAGATCAATGGCCAACTTTCTTACATCAAGTACACCGTGAGTCAAAATTTTTGTACCTGGCAGCATCTATCAAATGTTTACTAATTAATCAGCCAACGGGCCAAACCGCATCGAAATACTGGAAGGACTCGTCATGGACAGGGCCGACAAGATACTACACCATGAACCTTTTCAGCTACACGAACACCCAGAACAACCTCGGGACAGTAGGTGGTATATTTTCCTCAGGTGCCACGAACAATCCTTCCATGAACCCAGGGACAGGACTCCTCCATGTTTTGGGTGGTATCAACCTCCAGGGAAACCCTGAACTTTCACTGACCAACAACGGCATCTGCCTCGTGTACCCTTACAAGAAGAAGGCCCCTGGTGCGCTTAAGGTCGATATGCTGGAAAGCAAGCCCTGCAAGATCCAATTCGAACCCCCGGCTACCATCGCAGCCAGAGGTTTGGACCCTAATGACCCTGACAACTGGGTGGTTACAAGTAAGTTGATCAAAACCAATTGATTGATGAGACATGACTAACAAATACTGTCCTCGACTCAGATGTCACACTTAGCGACGATCCCTTCGAGGAAGATAGTCCGTTCAAGGAGATGGCCGATCAACTCAACGAGATCGGCTTGGCGCATGATGATGATAGTACAGAGCCTGAATTTGTCACTGCGAAGCGGAGTCACAGTCATCACCATGGCTCACACAGACATCATATATAGATACGGAATTTTCCAATATTAAAACTTTAGAACGAAGTCAAGGAATGGATCCAGAAAATTTTCAGCCGGTCACTTATATATTCTTATACGACATTCATGAATTGTTACATAGCATTTTTGAAAAAAATGAGACCAATGTGGATCTATAGATATTCATTGGAATTGGTGTGAAACTTGGTTGTTTAGCTTGAGCCAAATCGACGGATCCTTCATCCCTTCCGGCTGTGTCTACTCGGTCACTTTGGAAGATCCCTGAGAGATTTTAATTAAAAATGTTTCAATTGAGTTTGATCAGGGTCCGCTTAGTCAGAACCCGATGAGTCAGCGGATATGAAGCCCTGAAGGACTCCCGAGCCCGGCATTGTCAAGGATCGCCGGCAGCATGAAGCTGGGCAATATCGGACCGGTATTATATATCTTAACATTCAGTCTGATCCCGAGACTTGATGGGTGTTTTCGTCCGTGATTTTCGCCCGCATGATAGATAAAAGAAGGGATCCCGTTAGATTTCTTGCGATATGATCTCCAAAAGCGATCCAACAAACGCATAACACAATAGTCAATCGCTAAGCAGGTCGTCAGCTTGAAAGAACCGTGTCAGCTTTAGACAATCTACTTGAAGATTAAATTGCATCTATGGAGCGAGATGATGACACTGTCTTAGAAGGTCTTACTGGAACGTAATGAGGCTATACAGGAATTGTATATATGTGTAAAGAGAGAAGGGAAGAAGAAGAGAAGCTATAGATGGGCAAGTATCTAAAAATAGTAGACAGGTCACGTGACCCACCAATAACAGGACTTACCTTCCAATACCCTTCATGAGATCATCTATCTCTTTCGAAAGAGCTTCCTATAAAGTGTTACGGACATGCTAGTCACCAATCACATGTGGGGACTGCAACCACCAATGGGCCATCGAGAGCCAACCAACCTATCTGGCATCCAGATCACGTGCAGCACCCAATACCCAGGCGCCCCCAGGTTTTCAGGAAAAGAGAAACCACGATCATGCTCAGTGAGCAAGAGCTAGGCCTCGAGATGGGGCGGGGCGGTTCTAAATTTTTGAACCACGAACCGCCCCTCGTAGACCCGCAACCATCCTATCTTAGAACCGCACCGCCCCGCGGGTCTATGCGGTTCGGAAGCGGGTCGACCCTCATAGACCCGCGAATGCATAATTTTGCCAAGAGTTTCCTCTTTTGGACGTATAATTTGATAAATCATCTTTATTATTTACGGTTATTAAACACTGTTTTGGTCTTACCCTTCTGTCTATCCTAAATAACCACCAACCGTTTTGAAATTTGATGAAATGTAATTGTATATAGATTATTTAGCATTGACATTACCTACTTGCCCTTATAATAGGATATATTAGCAACATTGTTGCGAGTTCTAGTAAAAGGTGTAGTTTGTTCGATGTATGCGGTCGGAAATATATATTTGAAGTATCACAATATCAAGTGCAATATAGCTATATTTTCTGACGTACGTTAGAAAGTCACCTCTCTACTACTAATTCCCTCACAAGTATAGATAAATCCCTTAGTATCATTTATTAACGTACCTCAGAATTTGAGGGTATCTCCAACCTATATTCGAGATCCCTTAGTATCACTTTTTAACACACCTCAGAATTTGAGGCCTTTTTCGATAACTTGTGCGGTTCTTCTTGCGGGTTGTGCGGTTCTTCTTGCGGGTTGTGCGGTTCTTCTTGCGGGTGTATAAGGTTCTTCGCGGTTCTTTGCGGTTCGAACCGCAAGGAACCTCGATATAGTGGCGCTCTCTATCCAATCACTAGATAGAATTCGATGTAGTCTATCCATATCTTCTATTAGCCCTACTAGTAGCTAATTCCCTCAAGATTCTAGTATGTCTCTCTTCTTTACCTTCCCCCTTTTTATTTTATACTCAATTCGTCAAAATGTCACAGAGCTAGACCTCTTAGTTCTTAGATAACTATCCCTCATCGATTTTCGGCGATAATCTAGTGGATACCCTCTCCTTCCTTCCTTCTAATGGGCCATTTAACCTCGACAGGCGTGACACGCCAAATTCCACCCCTGACGTGAACTTTACCCGACTAGTAGTGCCTCCTCCGATTCCCGAAACACTCTAACGCGTTAGCCCTCCAAGAAAGAAGATCTATATCCTCTAGACTAAGATAGCGAATAATGATTTCATTGTATAGTGGCTATAGACTAAGTTTGGAAGTCAGATAAAACGGAATATCTTTGATGTCAAGCACTAGTTAGAGTGCTAGGATCATTTTGAATAGGTTGCAGCTGCTTAAGATAGAACTCCTAAGGTTATATGTAAGATTTGCAACCATATCCTAGCTTATCCTGCCGATCGCCACCGGGGAACAACCTATATGAACAAGTACTATATATAAGGGGTCAATTGTCGGAAGCTAGTGCCTCGGTCGCAAGATATTAGACGGATAATATCAAACGGGGTATATAGAACTCTTACCTTTTATCCTTTTCTTTACTAATATTATAAAAATCTCTTACTAGGCACACTATACACCCTAGAGACTATATTTTACCTAGTAAGCCTGGATAGAGAGGTTAATTACCTTTATTACTGCCTCGCGGTTACTATTCCTCCTTATTGAGTATCCTAAATTCCGCGCCCTTATCGAAATAGCCCGACTTGCTCCCTCTATGCCTGAAATCCCTTCCGTATTTATAGTCCGCCGGCACCTTAGGGAGATAGTGGAACAACGCTAGTATACTCTTCTTCGCAAGCTTCCTTAGGGCGCAAAGCTCTCTATTGTATTAGATTGCTGGACCTCACCTTTTCGCTAGTCTTTTATGGCAGTAACGGGCTACTTTCTTGACCAAGAGTGGAACTACCGTGAGATCTTACTTGGCTTTGAGCCACTATATGGCTCGCATATAGGGGCCTATCTAAGCATAGTTCTCCTAAACCTTCTTGAGAAGTATTAGGTTGTTCACCGGGTGTTGACTATTACTACTAATAACGCGTCTAATAACGGTATATTGCTAGGTAGTCTTCAAGAGGCCGTCGAGTCTCTAGAGTTACCTAGGTATATTCCGGTTATTTAGATACCCTATATCGCGTATGTTATATAGCTTAGTCTAAAAGAGCTTCTTGGTTAGATAGATACGAACCCGCGGAACGATCGGGAAGAGATAGAATAGGTAGAGGAAGGGACTAGGGCCCGGCAAGAGAACAGGAAGATTGTGGTTACACTTAACAAGGTCTAGTGTTCTCTTACTTCTCTCTTATTTTATATACTAACTATTCTGTTATCTTCTAGGTTCGCAAGGTTGTAGTTTATATCAACAAAAGTCCCTAGCGCCGTGAGAGTTTTATGAAACTTCAGACGGAAGAGCCAAAGCTTATGCCTATCCAAGATGTTCGGACACGCTAGAATTCAACGTTCCTAATGCTCCGGCGTCCCCGGCGGCTATAGTCTGCCTTTGATAGCTTCTATGCTAAATTCAACCTTACTAATATAAAGATAGATAAAGATAAATGGCGATAGGTTGATTATCTTCTCTCAATCACCTATCCCTTCTTTAAATTCACTTCATCTCTCTTAGCAACCACAGATATTACCGTTCATAACGTCTTTGGTATCTACAATACCTTGTTCACTTATATTGATAAGGCAAAAGCCTAGCTAGCGCGAAAGAGGGTTGGTTAGAAAAAGGTGATAAAGTCAGCGCTAGATTATGCACGGGATAAGCTTGCTGAGTATTATAGGAAAACTGATGATGTTCCTAGCGATCTCTATGCAATTGCGACTATCTTAGGACCACGGAACAAGCTAGCGTTCTTCTCGGGAAAGGAATAGGAGCCTCACTAGGCGCCACGCTATAGGAAGTCCCTAGAGACTTATATTTAGCCTTACCAAGAGCGCTACAAATAGTCTCCGTCAACGATCTAGTCTATAAGAAACGATATATCTGATATTGATATCCTTGTGACCCCTGCCGAATCCCTCTAGTCCGAAACGACTGCTATAGATGAGCTCACGCGGTATCTTGGAAGTAGTAAGTCTATCCCTCTATATCTTACTTCTTATATACTCCTTCGGTTTCCTTATACTAACCTTACTAGGTACTATATAGGCAACCCCTCGGGTGTACTAGAAGGAACACCAAAAGGAATATCCTATTCTGGCAAGCCTCGCCCGAGACGTCCTCACTACCCTAGCTAGTGGCTCTAGCGTTGAGCGGTTATTTAACTCCGCTCGCGATATCTGTCACTATCGACGAGGCTCGCTAAAACCGCAGACTATCCAGGATTTGATGATGTTTATGTGTATAGCAAAATTTGATGTGGACTTAGAACAGCTTGCTTTGATCGAGGAGTACCTTTCTACCCAAGAGAAGCAAGCAGAGAGTGAGCGAAAGGATGCAGAGAGGAAGAAAGAGGAGGGATTTGATTCAATCAGTGATGATGAGGAAGATCCTTCTACTACTAAAGCTACCCAACCTTCTAGTGAGCGTACACTTGGGAAGAGACGAGCCGAGACCACGTCAGATAATCTTATCCAACTAGATAATACTGACGAGGTTCCTCTACCTGATAATAGCCACTTACAGGAGGAAAGTGGCACTCAGCGGCGTTCGTCTGGGCGCGTTCCAAAGCGCTTAAGACAGGATGAGGATTTTGTATATAATTAGTAGAAATAACGTAATTCACATGCGAGCTGGACACACAAGCGAGCTGGACACCCCACCTAATCAATCAATTTTAAATGCATTTATCTCAACCAAAACGCCATTAAATTCAATGAATTAAACTCGAGATCTATCAGGACATGTAGTCATTCTATGACCCTGAATTCCACAAACGCTACACTTCGGTAAGGCTCTCGTACGTGGCTGAGAAGGTGTCGGAGCTAGCTCTGCCTCGCGGGGCAATGGTGCTAAAACTGCTTGCTCTGACTGCGCTATTAGAGTAGAGGCCTCTAAAACTGAGAGGCCTTCTCCGGAGGGTATTTGCCTTGTAGAACG